TCTATAAATACTCAATTACCCCTGCTTTAACTTCTATAAATACTCAATTACCCCTGCTTTAACTTCTATAAATACTCAATTACCCTTGCTTTAACTTCTATAAATACTCAATTACCCTTGCTTTAACTTCTATAAATACTCAATTACCCTTGCTTTAACTTCTATAAATACTCAATTACCCTTGCTTTAACTTCTATAAATACTCAATTACCCTTGCTTTAACTTCTATAAATACTCATTTACCCGTGCTTTAACTTCTATAAATACTCATTTACCCTTGCTTTAACTTCTATAAAAACTCAATTACCCTTGCTTTAACTTCTATAAATACTCAATTACCCTGCTTTAACTTCAGCATTCTCAGTAGCCAGACTTTCCTCCATGATCTGATTTCCTATGAAAAATAAAAGATTGAAGATGATATTTTTTCTACAGCAATAACAACGAATATACATGAGAGATACGGTCAAGAATTTCAGAGATTCATACTGGATGCGGTTATTCTATGAGTGCGTTTGAATTCTCGACCAGGAGACTCGGGAGACGCGCCAACACCAAGATGGCTTGCATCTAATGAAATGTCAGAGTTCACTATTATCGTTCGCGTTCAAAAGAAAAGTTTAAAGTGTTGACAAAATCTTTCCTAAACACGTAAAAGGAAAACCCAAATAAAATTTTCTAAATCAGGCGGTTTCGCTTTGAGCAACTTCAATCACCCCCCCCCCCTTTTAAAAAAATTTTTTATGAGAAAAACACGTACTCACCATCTCGCTTTGGCGATGATGATAGTCCTACAAAAAACAAATGTACATCATGGTAAGAGTTGTGATATAATTGGGAAAAAACGAAGTTCGATCATCACCCTTTAGTGCCAAAGAATTCATCTGTTTTGTTTTGATGATTCATAATAAAGATGTCTGTTTAATTCTTTCAGTAGACATTCGTGCATCCTCTAAATAAAACCTCAAGGATTAGAAATTGAGCAATAAGATAACGTATTGGCTCATAGATAACCAATTGGCGAATGATATAACGCAGGCTCATAGATAAAAAATCTGTCAGTGAGATAACGTGTTGGCTCATGGATAATCAATTGGCCAATGATATAACGTAGTGGCTCATAGATAATCAATTGGCGAATGATATGACGCAGGCTCATAGATAAAAAATTGGTCAGTGAGATAACGTGTTGGCTCATGGATAATCAATTGGCGAATGATATAACGTAGTGGCTCATAGATAACCAATAGGCCAAATGGCCAGTGAAATAGGATTGGCCAAAGACATAGGGTCCTCGCCCGTGAGATAACAAAGCGGTCCAAGTTAGAATAAGTTGGCACTAGAGATAAGGCATTAACTAAGGAGATAACAAATAGAATTAAACCAATGGATAACGATAACCAAATAGGAAAATATAAACAGGTGAAATAATGTAATGCAAATCTGTCATCCATGTTTCTCACCAGGATATAGGAAACCAAAAACCCGGAAACTACAATATGCAATTCAGAGTTTGTGAGATCACAATCTGGAATCGAAAATTCCAAGAACAAAACAACAAACAGCTTACATGCGGATTCCGCTAATCTCAAAGCTGGTATTCAAGCTTCAATTCAGTCTGTAAACATTTTGTTAAAATATAGGATACTAACTTCTTTTCGTTTAGTCAATTCAGCACGCAGATCTCGTAGCGCATCCACTTCTTTAAGATTCCCATTCAACACTTCAACTAACAAAGTACAATGATTACAAAGCAACAAAAGTCAACGTGCTTCTTAGCATGATTAAATAATCCTACGAGATGTATTGGCGCGAGGTTTTACACACTCACTACACGCACAATACATGTATTGGCGCGAGGTTTTACACACTCACTACACGCACAATACATGTATTGGCGCGAGGTTTTACACACTCACTACACGCACAATACATGTACTGGCGCGAGGCTTTACACACTCACTACACGCACAATACATGTATTGGCGCGAAGTTTTACACACTCACTACACGCACAATACATGAATTGGCGCGAGGTTTTACACTCACTACACGCACAATACATGTATTGGCGCGAGGTTTTACACTCACTACACGCACAATACATGTATTGGCGCGAGTTTTACACACTCACTACACGCACAATACATGAATTGGCGCGAAGTTTTACACACTCACTACACGCACAATACATGAATTGGCGCGAGGTTTTACACACTCACTACACGCACAATACATGTATTGGCGCGAAGTTTTACACACTCACTACACGCACAATACATGAATTGGCGCGAGGTTTTACACACTCACTACACGCACAATACATGTACTGGCGCGAGGCTTTACACACTCACTACACGCACAATACATGTATTGGCGCGAGTTTTACACACTCACACGCACAATACATGAATTGGCGCGAAGTTTTACACACTCACTACACGCACAATACATGAATTGGCGCGAGGTTTTACACACTCACTACACGCACAATACATGAATTGGCGCGAGGTTCTACACTCACTACACGCACAATACATGAATTGGCGCGAGGTTTTACACACTACTACACGCACAATACATGTACTATTTACCTGTTTGAACAAGTTTTTGCAGAAGATAAACTGATTGAGTGGAAAACTTGTGGACATGATTGTCAAAACATGGTGGAAAGCCAGGAAAGTTATTGGTGGAAAGCTAGGTGGAAAAGCTAGTGGTGGAAAAGCTAGTGGTGGAAAAGCTAGTGGTGGAAAAGCTTTGGTGGAAAAGCTATGGTGGAAAAGCTAGTGGTGGAAAAGCTAGGTGGAAAAGCTGGTGGAAAAGTGGAAAAGCTAGTGGTGGAAAAGCTAGTGGTGGAAAAGCTAGTGGTGGAAAAGCTGGTGGAAAAGCTGCTAGTGGTGGAAAAGCTATTGGTGGCATTAAGTAAATCTCAAACAGTCACATCCCATTAAAAAACTACATTGTTGTTTGGCTCCCAAATAACTTTTATAAAAAAATTGATGTTACTGGAAAGCATTTGGTTCAGAAAGCCTTGCACACAACAAGCATTACAGTTATAAAAATACAATGTCAGACTATGCATTTCTTGTGTTGGGTGAACTGTGGCCATATCAACTTCTAACATCTAGAATGACAACAACTAAGACTCCTGTAACTGTTTATTATCAGAATTCTACAAAACTTTGCACCGGAGGGGGGGGGGGAGAGTGAACAGACAAGAATCTGTCTAAACAATTTGATGAAACATTACAGAAGAGCATATACCTACAGGTATGTGTGTATTGAATATTGCCAATCAACTCCTCTTACATTTTGTCCAATAAAGATAGGACATCATTGTGTTCCATAGTATCGATCCAATGCTTCCTAAGGTCATCTCGCTTGCAATGAAGTAAGTTTTTACAATTGTTTAATGTTTCTTTCAGATTGTGTACTTTTTCGCGAGAATCTATAAGCAAATGCATGTATTTGGAATTAGTGGATGCATCGCAGCAGTGCTAACTTTACAATTTAAAAACTTGGAGAAAGTATAAACACCACTGCATGTCAAAATTTATCTGATTTCACAACTATGATAAAAATTGCATAAACGTAGGGATGTCACAAGAAACTGTGGAACATGGGGGAAATTTTCTCGCAGGCCCTTTGATGTCATGATTTTAAACATTTGCTACTGTGAGGCATGAAGAATCATAAAGAGATGTTAAGTTTGAGAAACAAATTTCAATGGCAAACTTTACAAATCTTATTAAAAGTAAAAATAAAAGCGACTGTCCTCATTTTAGAATCTCACTCAAAAAAATGGGGCTCCCTTTTCATTGGGAGTTCAGGACTAAATGCACCATTCATCATCTTGTTCAAAGCAGGCCTGGTCTATAATTATCCCAAATAAGCCAAGGCAGATAAATCACATCAATAGAGAAAAAACAGAGGCTAGCAAATTGAATCTTCCCACATCAACCAGTTACGGCACTTCCAGGTTATGCCCAAACACTCCTGAACACCAAAAATATTGATAAATTAATAAGAAATACCTTTTATTCTTGATGCAATTCCAGTAAACGACTGAAGTGTAGAGTTCAATGATACATGCCTTTCTAAATACAATCAAAATATAAAAAAAGTAATAACAGTTATGAAAAACTTAAAAAGGCATGTATAGACAGTAGAACTAGCAAGATTTCAAATCTTTCTCACGCGTATACTTCTTTAATCAGACTTTCTATTTTAATGCAAATTACTTATGAAATGTTATAAAGTGACAAACAAGAGAAAACAGGATTCATCAATGGAAACTACTACTTCTTGTACATGTAAAAAACTACCACAAATACCTTCCACCAATTTGTTAAGAAGTAAATCCTGCTCGTTAAATTCACTTTCCAAGCGCCTCTTCTCGATATTACGACTTTTGTTATCACCGCTACGTCAACGAAGAGAATGAAACAAGCGATTGAAGTTGAGTTCATGAAAAGAGATGACTTGTTTGTATAATAATCGATGAAAGAACAATATTGAGCAATGAGCACAGATGAAAGCAAAATGGTTGTCAAAAATTCACTTTAGACAAGGAATTACCTAGATATCAAGCTTTTTACCACTCTCAGTAACGCAGGCGACTGAAAGTGAAATATAGCTTTACGATACACAATTATTAAAAAAAAACAGCTCCAACTTTTCATATGAGAAACAGTCCTACCTTCGCTGCATCTTCCGTGTCCATGTTTAAATTTAGTGTTGTCATTTCCTAAACATCGACATTCCTCGACATTAGATCGGAACACAATCGTAAGAAAGATAGCTTGGAGAGAAAAGACGACGAAAGCATGGAAGCAACTTAACCTAATACCACCTCTATCCCTTCATGATCCCATTAGATCTTTACATGTATGTCTTTAGAACAATATTTGAAAGGTCGTCGGCACGAACTTATTTCAATTTCATGCTCTTGAACGGAGTCTATCACCACGTAGATCAAATTTAAAAACACCTCAACTTGATTCTTTTGTTTTGCAATGATTTTATTTCAATAACAATGCATATCGTGCCGTCATCGAGTCTGACTGATTGAGTCATATCATGAATGATGGAACTTTCATGTTCTACGTTGAAGTTTTTCAATCCTCGTCGCTGTCATCAATCCAGTCATCATCGTCAACTTCCATGGATTGAAAGTCCACACGGTATCTAAGAATTCCTGCAACAAAAATCTTCTATGAGTTCTTGAGCAGTACCGTAGGGCAAAAATCACACGTCAATGGGCGTCGAAAGTACGTACATAAAGATCAACACTTTCTGCGCACTCATAAATGGGGGGACTTAGTTCGAGAGAGCAGTCAAAATCAGAAAATAATTCTTACCGCCAATACCACCAAAACCTTTACAGAACTGAGCACCTTCTTGCGAACGATCTGTGATAATCTCGAGAGTTGCACCTGCAAAAGACCTGAGTTATTGTCCAATGATCAAAACCCCGACACCAAAAACCTGCCAAAACAGCAAAACGATACACGTACCAAAATTTTTGTAATTATTCGCCAACCACTCCAGCAGGGACATTTTCTCGACAAGTTCCATCTCGACCCCAGTCTGGAAAAATTGAAAGGAGAGTAAGTGTGAGTATATTGAAATAAATTGGTGGCAAAATAAATGAACGAGGTTACTGAAGAGGATCGTAAGATCAAAAGCACCTCAAAGGATAAGAGGATGGGCACACGTTATAGATCAGAACGCTACGCTTAAATCGTACCGATATAGGATTTTTTGCAAAATTCAAGAATGCTTACACTTTGATCAATGAAATTAGTTTGATCTCTTTCCTGATCAGGACGCAAGTGTAGAACTTTCTCCTCTAGAATAAGAAAAGAAATCTCACTAAAACAACGAGATTTTTAGCCTAACAACCTGCACTATCAGCAGCGGCAGGTAGGTATTGAGTTTGATTATGCGAGGAAGGGCGAGAGGGGGGTGGGGTTGGGAAGCACAAGGTGATTATAAGTTTGCAGTTGCCATTGTGTCAGACTGCAATACATTAGCATTGCGATGATATGTTTGCATGTTTACAGTCTGCAACTATTAATCAAAACGACTTTTCCACTCGCTTGTACATGGACATTTTGGCAGGGGAAATTTGCAATCTCCGGCCACCCTCCCAAACCCAGCCATCTTTGTGAAATACGTCACTGTAGCATACAATGTCTTACTTTGTGTACTGCCATGTTTCCTGTGCTTAACTAGGAATCACGTGACAACGATGAAAATAATGTATGAACACGCAAAAAACCTTGACACATTGACAACGATTATAACATTTCTGTTACATCGGTGCCAAAGGGTGAAGAAATTCACGTGATTTGATTTATGATGGAGGAAAACTGTGAAGTCGTTATTCAAGACTTCACAGGGAACTGCCAGCCATCACGTGACTAAATGACGAGTGTGGAAAGCTGAACTAAATACATATTGCATCTTTTGTCGCAGATCCATTTTTGCCACAAAGGTGACTTTAAATCGATCATTTGTCAACAACGAAACAGACTAAGTTATTTCACCTAAACCAACACACATGCTTTTTTTCTCTCACCATCAAGAGCGTGGTTCTTCAGCACAAATCTTTGTATCTCTAGGTTTTCCCAGACGATTAGTATATCGACAGCTCCCATCTCAAGAGCCTACGATTGCATATCACAACATAATAACACACGGAGTGGATAAAAAAAAAAAAAAATTCAGGCTAGGTTTCATTAAGTTGACGAAACCTTCAGCGTATCGCCGACACCAAAACAAAACTTTCCGGTATCTTGAGAAATTTCATCAAAGTACTTCCCTAGTGAAAATATACGCACAATAAACCTAAAATGATCACAGTGATAAGTCAAGAACACTATACAAGACGTACCGATCAATTTCTTCTCCTGAATAAACTTTACATTGGCCAAAACTTCAGAAGCCAATTCTATAGCCTTCGGCGCAAAAAGAGATTATAAGCGACAGCATAAAATTAAAGAAATTTGCTATGCACAAAAACCTGGTTAAAACCATTTTCCCCGCCGTAAGATACGTCCACTAACTTCAGAACTCTCGTTTGAAGACGCTTTGAAAAGAGAAAGTCAGAATAATTTTATGGCATATAAGATGCATACATTTCAATAGCTTTTTAGCTGAAAGACAATTAATCGTCAACCAAATCATACCTGATCAAACATATCGGATTGACTTAGTTCTGTTTTAAAATCAGCTGATCCGGCCAAGATTAAGCCTGTAACGTTTGGCTGTAGACGAAGAAAAATAGACAAGAAATTAGCACGAGAGTCCAAAATATTTTAGGCAGCAGTCTCTACACTATCACTGATTAACAACAGAGACGAAGCCAGCCCAAACTTCTACCACTACATTGCAAATTTTGTGAGACAATTTATTATTCATTTCTTTGCAAAATTAATTCAATTCGTTGTTTTTCCAGTGTTTGAATGCGAAAATATTTTCATTGCTGGAGTAAAAACGGGATGGCTTCGCTACTGATCACTAACATACTTTATCATTAGATATATACAGTTGAACAGCAGTTTCGGCAACTTTTCTAACGTAGTTGTGTCTCTTTTCCATCCTCAATCGAGCAAAACGCAAGGCAGATTGCCCGCCACGACCTATAGATATTGATGAGAAAAGATAGCGCTTGATGAATGAGGTAAAACGAGGAATTCAAGTAGAAATACAGTACAAGTAAACAAGGTCATGTGAACAAATAAGAACATTTGAGCCACTCAGTCATCTGTAACGGTTAGCTTCGATTTTGGAGCGTTACTAACATACGATAGCCGTCTACAAAAGGATTTTAAAGCAACGTACAAAGAAATTGATTCTCAGCAGAATCAGTGACAAAGCATTGCTTTAAAGCGTTAACCTACTCATCAATGTTTATCAATGAGATGGTAACTTATGTCATGTAAGCTAAACGTACGCAACAATCAAAACCGAGTCTGCTGTCATGTAAGCTAAACGTACGCAACAATCAAAACCGAGTCTGCTGTCATGTAAGCTAAACGTACGCAACAATCAAAACCGAGTCTGCTGTCATGTTAGCTAAACGTACGCAACAATCAAAACCAAGTCTGCTGTCATGTAAGCTGAACGTAAGCATCGAGACATATTGTACAAAGACACGATGCCATCCAATCAGCTAAATTCAATCTACCTTTACTGCATTACTCTGATAGAATGAGGCTCAGTTCAGAGTGCAAAAATTCACAGCTCTGCAAAAAGGCATTATGTACTAAGTGTTAAAGAGACGTCATTAGCCAGAATGCATTGGGCGCGATTTGTTGATATTGCAATATCTTCCAATGTAAAAGCAATATCTTCCATAAAACCTCTGCAAAAATCCTTATGAAAAATCTGCATTAGATCACCCAAAATGACAAACAATTTTGTAATGATTTTTAAAAAGAAAACAATTAAAAACTGACTAGATGCACACGATGGACTACAATCACTTTCTCAAACTGGCACTATTGCCAATTTCTGTATTTCATACATTTTGAGCTTTACTATAACATCATTGCCATACCGTGTTTTTTTGGCAAGTCCACCGTGAATCTATGAAGAACATCGCGGGTATTTCCACAAAGAGTACCAAAGAGAGCGCCATTTCCATCCATAACAATAAAGCCAAACTTTGTATCATCAGTTAGTAAATTACTTAAGGCCTTAATTGAAAGAAAAAACAAAATCAACACAAACAAAAGACTCTATAATAAACATATCCATACGATGAAACGTCACTCTTTTAATAAATTTCACAAAACCAAATTGCTTATGGCTTTGTTAAAAATTATATGTTGGGCTGTAATATTTATATTGATAAACATTTTCCCATTGCATATACAAATATATTTATCTTCCGAATTTTATATCACCCGAAATGCACATGTAATGTCCCAACAAATATGACAAAGGCAAACTGAAAACACATGCAGATTGCCACAGGTTTCACACCCAAAATGCACATGTAATGTCCCAACAAATATGACAAAGGCAAACTGAAAACACATGCAGATTGCCCCAGTTTTCACAGGTTGTTGAAAGCAACTGATTTCCCTTTCACGGAAAAACCTACAGACTATGGTTTTTAGACTGTAGGACGTTACAGAAAGGTTTTCAAATTCAAAAATACCACAATTCATACTTGTGCAAAAAGTTGAATAAATACATTTTCACACACAGGAGAGTGGAACAAATGTGAATGGAATCGTTGGGTATTCCCACCTTTGTCAAACATGATCACAATATTTCGTGTTTACCATAACATAAACATTTCTTTACAGATAAGTGAGATAGCATAAGAAACCGTATGCAAAATCAAATTCCTTGCACACTGTTCTCCAAAATTAAAACATCATAGGATACCTCTACATGTTTCTAAATGTAGATCGTCCAGGTTGACTCTGAAGATGACTACCGCTAAGGTTGTCGAAACGTCAGTCAACAACAACAAAAACAGTCCTTCTCAAGACTATACTAACCTGGACGATCTACATTTACAAACATGTAACAATACTCCTGGGTTCAAACCATTTACTTTATAGTATACCTCGGTGTGAAATTTATTATCACAGAGATAAAGGGAGGTGTTTATTGGTCGAAATGGTTCAAAATCAATGTTCACTTTTTTTTCTTTGCCATCTTCAGTGACAATGGTACCACAGTATATCACCAACCCATTTGGTGGAACTATAACATAATCAATAGTCAAGAAAATGCAGAAAATTATGCTGTAATGATTAGCTATCATTTTCTAAACCTCTATTATATAGTTTAAGTCGCTGCTGGACAGAAGTGATTGCACTTAACACAGATAACCTAAAAAGCAAAAGAATAAAATAAAGCTCAGATTATTCTTTTTTAATCACTACAACACGAGAAATAGAAACCAGCAAATTTTCACAACCTCCAAATCATTGCCATGGCTTCGGCACAAAGACCAGGCAAATATATTTAGCCTGGGTTGCTGAGTTATCACAAAAAGGTCATATGGTAGGAAAATGGTTAAGCCTGGAGAAAATTGCTTCCAAATTGTAACAGAAACCTACTTTTAGGGCCAAGTTTCGAATAGACCAAATGTATAATTTGTGACTTTATGATAACAAATCAATTTCTCAATTGAGAGATTTAAAATATTTTATGTTATCCCAATGCATAAATCATGCAATAATGATACCTGTTAACACGACTTTTTATATTGGGCTGTACCAAACTCATCCGCCAACATTTTGGCAACTCTGGAAATCTGGTCTTTAGGAGGTATGATCAACGATATCATGCTAGTACCATTTCTATACAAAAAAAATATATGAGCTTCCGTGTTTAATTAAGGATTTCCAATGAAAAATACAAACCAAGTAAAAAGGGAATTTAGAAAGCGGTCAAGTGGTTCCTAACCTATTATTTCTGTATTTTTTCATTTAAAACTACTATTTTCTATGGTAATGTCAACGAACAATTATAATCATTTAAAACTTTTACCCTCTGGCTGCTTCAAGACTTTTTATCAACTTCTTTATTTTCCACATTTCCACATTTCTATCAGCAGCGTCTGCCCCCTCCATGTTTGCTTGAATTTGAAGATATGCAAAATTTAACATGCAAATGTCTTCATTGTAGAAAATTAATGAATTATATGAAATAAACATAACACTCAGCAACTTAGTACAAACTATGGCAGGCTTCCTTACGCCATGACTTAACTCCACACAAAAACTGGTGTGCAAACTGCAATGGTGTTGTCAAAGTAAAATTTGGGAGCGACTATAGAATACCCGTCCATTCTTAAAGGCACCCTTGCAAATTCAAGGATGCCGGATACATAGTAAAACATAACAGTAAAGTTTAACTAAATTATCATTTAGTATCATTAATGACTAACATAAAGAATGAAATATAAGAACGAGGCATATTATAAGGAGTGGATAGTGAGTGGATGGGTATTCTATAGTCTAGCCCAGGGGGTCTCCAAACTACAGCCCGCAGGCCAGATGCAGCCCATTGGGCTTCTCAATCCGGCCCGCAGAGGCAGTTCAGAAAAATAATATTATTAAACAAAATAAATTTTGTGCAGAAAGTTCACGTAATGTCGCACGCCAACTAGCAAGAGTGGCTTACGTCAATTTTTCTCCCAACTTCCGTTTCAAGCACACTGCGAAATTTAAAAAGCTGAAGGATAACGTGGAAATTTTTTATATTCTTCGGCCCTCAACATGCTGGATGAAAGTTCATGCGGCCCTCTGGCTGTAAAGTTTGGAGACCCCTGGTCTAGCCAAAAGTTGAAAAGTGCAAGACATTAACAATGACATTAAGTTAGCCAACAGAGATAGAAAAGATGAACTGGAATGAATCTGCCAAAAATAAAGCCAAAAATAGTCAATAGAACAGTAATTCAAGGTTAAAATAAAAAGTATACCTAACATGACATAGTTCTCTACGTATTAAAGAAGTATACACTGAACACGTGTTACGTCCAAAGCACGAGACCAAAAAAAAGAGGAGAGCTTTGTCTTACCGGTCTATGTTTATCAATAGTTGAATTCCAAAAAATTCAAAACGACTTCTTCACAGTTATATAAATGAACGAAGTAAATCACGCCGCAAAACCAAAATCATTTTCCTCTTCTTTAGAAATGGTGCAATACAGCATTCCATTTGGCAGGCTCGCATTTCTTGGTTAGCGGTGTAATGTGTTCCCAATACTTCAACTAATCATGAAGTTGTTGTCGCGTGGAAAAGTAGATTACTTGCGCGAAAAATTGGAGGATTTTTCAATATAGAACATATCTCTTTACATTACATCGACTTCAATTTCTAGTCGATGTTGCATTTGCATGAATCGAAATGGGAACCCTTGGCACGCAACTTTTACGAAGGGTGGTTTTTCAGCAATATATAAACTTACTCACGAACAGACAATCCAGTTCAACTGCAAAATTTTGTCTAAAATCAAAATATGATGTCATCGTCATTGGTGCAGGTTAGTATTAATTTCTGATTTAATGCCAGCAAATTGTGAATTTTAACAGCTGATTTATTTAACTGGTTTAGGACATAATGGTCTTGTTTCTGTAAGTATCCCAGTCAACAGTGATTAATTTCCACATTTTTTTGCACAACAAACTTGTGGACTTAGCCTAAAAAGGCTTTTTATACCAGGCAGCCTATCTTCAAAAGGCCGGCTTGAATGTATTAGTGCTGGAACGTCGACCTGTCCTTGGTGGAGCTGCAGTAACAGAGGAAATAGTCTCAGGTTTTAATGATTTTGTTTTTCTTGCGTAGCTAGATTTTGTAATGTTCTTTTTAGTGATAACTTATAAAGCTTTATCAAAGATAAGAGATCAATACATTTAATTAGCATTCCTTTTGTTCAAATGCATATTTTCAGGGTTCAAGTTTTCTAGATATTCATTTGTACTTAGCTTGCTTCGACCTCAAATAATGAAAGATTTAAAGCTGAAGGTATCATTGAATCAGCAAGCTTTCCTTTAAGCTGATTGTTGAATGCCTTTTAACTGTTTTGCACTTTTAGGATTTTGGTCTTAAGCTGTACTTCCGTGATCCTAACTATTTCACGCCTTGGCAGATGGTCGCTATCTCTTACTGGGATCTGATGAATATAAAAATTATGAGGAGATTTCAAAATTTTCCAAACACGATGCCAATGTAACATGTACTCCTTGTACTTTTATAGTTTTAGTCATTGTTAAATCCTTCTATATCATATAGATGATGGCAAAATACGAAGCGACCCTGAGCAAACTAGGTATTTAATGACAAGTTTTAGCTTTAAATCTTCCAATAAAATGGAAAGGAAAAAGATCATGTTTCTGCGCAGCGTTTTTCGTTTTTATGTCAGTATGTTCCATTCAATACTCCTCTTTAGTCGATGCGATGGGACCATTTCTCGATAATCCTCCCGTTGACCTGCATGCGCTACTTTATGGCACAATGAGAGAGAAAATAGATACTGTATCTTCAATTAGAGCGCTAATAAAAACAGGCAAGCAACAAAACAGTCTCCATTTTCTTTATTTTCCGAATATCTTGATGTTTCTTGTCTTGGAGCATACATCTTGACGGCGTTCATTAATTTTCATTTTTTTCAGCAAAGAAACTAGGCCGCGATCTACCTTTATTCTACGACTTGCTCACTGCACCTGCAACCAAGATAAGACATATTATATTATAATTGATTGCAAAATACTCCTCTTGCCCATGTGATGAATGCAAGACTTACTGAAAACCCATCTCCACGCACGTTTTAGATAAATGGTTCGAGTCAGAGCCATTAAAAGCATGCTTAGCAATGGACTCGATAATTGGTGCCGCTGTCGCTCCTTCGTCAACGGGAAGCGCGTAAGTTATGAAAATTCTTTCTGCCAAAACTTGAATGAGTCACCTTGTACGCACTCGCGCCAACTTTTATATTCCAGGTACGTTCTTCTGCATCATGTTATGGGGGAACTTGAGGGACGTAAAGGTGCTTGGGCATACGTTGAGGGTGGTATGGGGAGTTTATCTCAAGCTATCGCGGACTCGGCAAAGTCTTTGGGCACGACCATACTGACTGAAGCGGTAAATATTTTCCCACACACATTTGAACGTATACTACGTTTTTACTAACGTCATGCCTGTATATGATAATAGCCGGTGAAGTCACTGCAGGTCCAAGGAAATTCCATACAAGGGGTTGTAATGGATGATGGGACACAGATAGGTGCAACAACCGTCCTATCGAATGCAACACCAAAAATCACCTTTCTAGATCTCTTGCCAATGGTAGGAATCGACATCACACGCAAGAATCCGCCATGATTTTTCAACATTTAATTGCATTCGACTAGGATGTTTTACCCGAAGAATTTTACGAAGATTTATCATCTATCAGCTATCGCTCTCCCGTTACGAAAATCAACGGTAACAGCCCACGATGAACAATCGTCTGAAAGTAAATAAGAGAGTTCAAAATTTCGTTGTTTCCCCTATTTTTGCCTTAGTTGCTGTGGACAAGTTGCCCAATTTCTCGGCGCGACCCAACGAGTCGAACGGTATGGCCTCTGATCACCATCGCTGCACTATTCATATAAACGCCGAATCGATAGCCACGATAGAAAAAGCTTTTGCTGATTTTTTACAAGGAAAGCCTTCCGATAGGTAAGAATGCTCAGCTTTGCATTTGATCGGGGATATTGTTTTACACCGAATATCAAGCTCCGTTAATGTTGTAGACCGTTAATCGAAATGTGTATTCCGTCATCCCTTGATCCAACGCTTGCTCCGACCGGATGTCACGTGCTGTCTCTGTTTATCCAATATACACCGTATCGTCTGAGGAATGGATTGTGGACAGACGAAAGACGCAATGACTTTGCAGACAGAGGTGAGCACAATAGCATGTTGTGTAACATCAAAAACGCAGGAAAAGTTTCACGAGACTGTAACGAGAACAGCTATGTTTTCTAGTTTAGAGCCAGTGGCACTGAGGAAACACAGAAGGTAGAATTCAAAGTTAGATAAAGATGCCGAGTTTTGCTTTCGGTGGGAGTGAAACTGTTAGATAGAGTCAGGAATGAGTACATCAGAGAATCAACATATATTAGATTTTTCGAAGATAAATTCACAAGCGAGTGTATGTAAGTTTGGACAGGGGAGACATAATTAGTATATTAGAAGTGAAACGTTGAAGTTACTATCGTCGGTTAAGAGGCCAAGAAGGTAAACCAAAGAGGATACACAGATGATCGAGTAGAGGACGAACAAAGGCATGTATAGATGTATAGATGTAGTTGATGTCCCAACACAGAATGAAGAAGCGATAAGAGAAAAAGAAAAGCAGACATTACCAGTTCTGAAGAACCTTTGCTTGAACAATCGAGAAATATTCCAGACTGTCGTGAAACAACCCATTGGCAATTGCTGACGTTGCATATTTTCTCTCCCCCTCCCCCCCAACTATCGATCTTCCAACGTCTCCTGACTTTCCTTATTTGGACGACTTTCCTTATTTGGACAATAGGAAAAAGTACTCCAGCTACCGTCACGGAAAATGCAGTGTACCTACACTGAAGATATATGTAATGTATCTTATGAAGTCTTTATAGTGTTGCCATTTTTCCAGACTAAATTATTATTTTGTTATGAAATGTAATCAACTTACCACGCTGAAAAGAGGTTAACGTGTTTGACCTAATGTGACTTTAAATGTTTGCATTGACGACAACATCGGGTATCAACTTTCTATTAGTATCAGTGCTTTCACCGTTTAAAGACAGGAGATCAACATAAGTCGCGTCATTTAGCCCTGACTCCGCGTGTGGTGTAATTGTTCGCTCAAACCGAAAATTGAATATTTTATACAGTTGACAGTAGACTTGTCATTTTTAAGAACGTCATGCGTCTTTTACTTTTTGCGTCTTGCATTTTATGCAGCCTTTCGACTATGACAACCAAATCTGCTGAATATCAGACGTCCACTTGGCTCGATGATGAAATACATCCGAGATCATTCAGTCGACTTGCTTTAGCCGTGGCAAAATCAAGTTATCTGCCAATCGAGCGCTTTTTGCGCAATGGTTATATCATGGAGAACCCATCTCACTTTGGCAATAAGTTGGCGCAATGTACCGGCGATAAACCTGAGATGCAAGCTGGGTTGTGTTACAAGCCATGCAACGAAACGTCTTGGGCTTCCGTGAAAGGCTTAGGACCAGTTTGTTGGGGCTGCCCTAAATCGCATCCACAACAACAAGCAGGGTTGTGCTACAAAAGGTGTCCCATGGATAAACCCAACGGTAGAATGTTTTTATGCTACGGAGATTGCCCTAACGATTATAGAAATGACGGGCTGACGTGTACGCGCGATGTCAGTTTGAAGACAGCCAACATCACTGACTGTCCTTGGTACGACAAATGCGGGCTTACATTCTCGCGTGGATGTTCCAAGTGTCCAGCGGGATACAAGAACGACGGATGTATATGTCGTAAAGATATCCACGTAATTGAACGCCCACGTTATAACAGAGGTATAGGGGTTCTAATGAAGTCTTACTACCGGGGTGTTGGTTTCTTCCCAAACATCTTAAAATATGATCCGTCCAATGAACAAGAAGCATGTCCCACGAAGAATTGGACAGGCCAAGCGTTTGCCAACGAAGACACGGAAGTCTTTAAGTTCCTAAATCATCGTCAAAAGATAGCGGCGTTTGGTTTCCGTGGTACCGAACTGAAAAGCGTCTCTGATTGGTTGGCGAATTTCGATCTGGTCTCGGAAGATTTGTTGGTTAATGGCACCCGCCTGCCAGTTCATCGAGGAGTTAAAAATAAATACAGCAAAATAGCCGGTTGGTTTGAAAGGCATTACCTGGATGTACCCAACGATTACTACATAGTTATGAGCGGGCATAGTCAGGGAGGTGCGCTAGCAAGCATTGCTGCAGTTATTGCGGCATTGAAACTCGCACGACCTCCAAACGCAGTCATCACGTGGGGAAGCATGCCAGCAGGCTCCGCACGTTTTAGAAAGTTTTACGAGAAATACGTAGGATGTAACGTCACGATCAATTACGTCACAAAAGGTGATGTCCTTGCTACTCTTCCAAATGTAAGTGACAAAGCCCAATTGTGTGACATGGACCTCTTACCCACGAGTGACTTCATTCTCGCGCACAGTTTGTACAGCGGTTACGGTGAAGGATTAAAGGCTGCTTATCAGGATGAAAAAGCAATCGGGATGGGCTGTAATGTTTCCTTGCCAGCGAATGACGTTATGGAGAAAATCTTTACAGGATTTCATTTGGCACGTTAATAGACTTTTTTATGTAAATAGTAGAAGGCAGAAGTATTCATGAACATTAGAGGCGAAATATAAACTTAGTAAGACTTCGGATGAAATTGTATAAACTTTGTAAAACTTGAATGTTTAACACGTTCAATGTATTCATTAATTCAGTTGAGCAGGCATTTAGAGGTCAGTTTATCACAACTACAGTTTTCGTCATCCTTGTTTTATCTTCTTTACAGTGTTCGATTGCATCGAAGATTATGCCCCAGGCTTCAATTCGTCTGTCATCGGTAGGGATATTCTTACCCCGCCCGATTTAGTAAAATGTAATAAAATACATTTCGAAAGAACCTTTAAAATGACTGAAATGGTTTCGAAAAGAGTCATTCGACCACAACCCTTCCGTTTTTTCCTTCCATTTTAGAATATATTTCACGGCGCTATGTCTATTGACCAACTATATTTTGCAAGACCCTTGCTATCGATGTCGAATTACAGAACTCCGATAAAAGGTTTATATCTCTGTGGCAGTGGAACACATCCCGGTAGGTTGAGCAGCAGGGACATGACTATCAACTATCACCTAGACATGTTTATGTTGTCCCTCTTAGGTGGTGGAGTTATGGGAGCATGTGGACGCAACGCCGCAAACGTAGCACTGAAAGACTTACGAAGATAAAACACAACAACGAAGCTAGGACTAAAGAAGTGTAATCACAGAACACATGATTCAGTTCCGCATCTTCGAACATGAAGTATAATTTAAAAGATTTGTCGTCACAATTGTCTTACAGTTGGCACGCACCAATGATGTAGAACCCAATCTCCTAAACGTCTAACTAACTACCGCGTCAGTATCACATCAAACATTTTAAAAACCAAAACTAAACTATCAAATCTGCAAATGTAACCAGTTCAGAATAGCTGGCGCAAATTTCTTTTCGTCTCTTTTGCCAAGTTTGAAGACGGTGGCTTGCCTCACTCGTAACTATAGAATATGGGCGGAGTGAAGCATCTAGAAGATTGGGTTCTAGGTCTTTGGTACGCATGCACATAGAGTTAAAACAACATACCAAAAAGTTAAAAACAAATATTATTAAACACACAAATACATCCATATACAGTCGCAATGTGTTGTGCCTAGCTATCTAGATAAATTCGTATACATTATTTACTTTGACGTGGGAGTCAATCAATCAACAACCTATTTGTGTAATGTATTTTAAAATTCCCGCGAAGGGTATGTTTTCTATATAAATTACATTTTTAACATAAATATGACGTGAAAATTCATTGAAATTAAACAACACATTTTCCACACAGCTTGCATGAATGCGTGGATTTTCCAAGGATGTGTATGTACAAATTGCAATTTTGAAACCAATCAGAATTTCAGACCTTGGCGGAAAGACCTGCGAACCGTTTGACCATCAGTCCAAGACTTCGACCGTTTGGAAAATCGCTTGTACTCTTGGGTAAAATTCTCGTCAGCCATTGGACGATAAGACTGCGGTTCACAATACCCCTGGAGATACGCATTTTACGAGAAGTTATTTTTTCAGCAAGTTTGGCAATTTTTAAGATAGAGTTGATAAAGCTTGGCTTTTTGATTGGATGCGACAAAATTTTCGTTTTTCTGTCGCGGAATAGTTTGGTTTCTTGAATGAATGTTATAAAAGCGCGTTTGTTTTCGCAGATTGCCAATCGCCATCTCGTATACAAAAACTTCTAAAAACAATGAAAAAACCACTTACCTTGCAATTCTCGTAAAATGCTTTGTAACCGCCCTGGATGACGTAGATCTCTGGGTAGAACAACTTGGGGTAACAATGAGTGTGACTGTCGCGATCTTTGTTGCGCAAATATCGATATCTAAGGAAAAAGTGGTTTTTATTTAGAAATACGTAGTCTTTTCTAACATAAGCAGTCAGATGATTGCACAGATCTCTCGAAAAATCCTACGTAAGGTGAACAGCAGTACAAAATGTCGGACTACGTCACGGGTCTTACAACAGAGACTTAGTCGTGATGTCAGTTCATTTTTAGTCATCGCGTTCACGCGTAAGATGTTGACTGATAGTAAGCATTTAGTATATAAGATCGATACAAGATGCCTGCTTGTCAGCCATGTTCAATTGATGTACCTTTTCCAGTGAGCTTCTCCAAATGTGGTAATGCATTAGGAGAAGTTACAGTTTGATCAACAGAAAAGGAGAAACTTAAGTATTAGTAGTACGATATGACCTACGAAATATTAGAATAAATTCTTAATAGTTAAAGAGAACAGTAATACCGTCCTCCATTTTCTAGTCGAGGTTCAACAAAATCACTGCTGACATGAATGAGATTATACACACTACTTATGTCACTAAACTGTTCGATAAATATCTACTAAATATCTAAATATCTTGCGTGAACTTTCAAGAACTAGAAAGAACTTTTTCCAACTTACAACGTGGGTGCTCTTTTCGACGAAAACTCACAATGAAATATCAAAATGGTTCGTTTATTTTCAACACACTTGGGTTTCTTTAGAAAAAAGTCGTAAATTTCTTCTTTCTTGTGAAAATTCAAGGCGGTCTGTAAAAGAACAGCATGCAGATATCATCCACATATTGAAACCATTAATAAAACAGTTGAAATACGTACGAAACACTTCTGCTTTTTATTTACCTTAATATGTCCACCGTCGTACTCGTACGGATAACGACAATCGACGATGAAAAACTGATCAATCTCTTCGTACTTCCAGTTCAAAACATTGCTAACCTAAGAAACATAACCAAAAATATTCTTTCATTACACGCACGCGCGCAAAGCTAGGCGAAGGAAAGATTGATTGGCTAGTTTCGTTTCATCGTTGATCAATGGGGATGCTCTGGTTTTGACGAGATTTCGGTGGCTACTTATCGCCGTGGCAAAGACTTTTTTTTGTTGAATTATGTTTTACTTTTACATTATGATTGGGCGATATTTTTAGGTGTGCTCCATTTATCATAAATTGCTTTTCCTTAATCGTTTAAAACAGTGGTACTTTGTATGAAAATTGGCAACACTCCCCTAACTCCATTATCGTGTTTAGCAATCTCTTGTACACAATCAACACAATGCTACAATCTCCATATTTACCGTTTCAGGCGTCACCGTTTTAAGGTCAGCATGCTGTCCTTTGATCGTCGGTAAAATATTTTCCTACACAAAGAAGGAATCGTCGTTTTTATCACAAGATTACCGAGATTGTACACAATGATCAGTTCAACATTGCAACGCTAACCTTAGCAAAATCTCCAGTCAAATTTTTGTTATCTTGTCCTAAAAAACATAAAATATGACATAAGAATTTATTATAACTTTCGTTCAAAGAGATTTCTGATCCAGGTCGTTTCAATGTATTGCAAACTATATTTTTGATTTAACGCACAATGATATGTACCTGGATTTAAGAATTGTTCGATATCTTGACGGCTCCTTGGTTCAACAACGGACATTGAACGCATTAACGGACTACGAAGAACTTTGACAGGTCTCTAGCAAAACAAACCAATCAGATCACAACTTAAGAGACAACATGAATGTGTCCAAGAACACTAAATTTAACTTACAGGAAGAAACAATGGCGAGTTCCAGCTCGCTTCCATTGCAGATGAACATCTTCCCCTGAAATACAAAACATTTAGAGCAGAACTTTAGATATTATGCTGGAAAAACTAAAAACGGACATCAAGGTATTTGAGAGCAGGGATATACATTCACCTTAACTTCTTTCTCTCTTCCGGACTATCATCACGTGGTGGTACTGGTCTCTGAAACATGACCAAAATATTAGTTGGTAGGCAACACAAGCACTCATCCATAATTCATAAGCAAACATTGCACGGGCAAGATCATGGTAGCTACTTTATGTACAGCAACCAAGAGCTTTATGGTATTGTCAAGTACAACACAGTCATACCTTCATAGAGACAGATTTGGATCGCTGTGTTTTAATCTCAGGGTTAACATTACACAGTACGGGATTAAATAAACTACAGGAATCCAGTCCTGTCATACCAGTAGATACCTACAGAAGAAGGTAAATGGCTGTTTATTTTGTCATGATTAGTTTCCCACAATCCCATACTGCTATATTTTCCCACTAAAACAGTGAAGCTAAGCTCGTTTGAACTTGCCAACTTACATTACTGACACAAGCCTTGGATGTTTTTTCCGTGTTGCATATATTAATGATGTTCTAGGACACAACAAAAGCACAGTAATCAATTGATTACTCGGACTGAGTACTCAAAAGATTCAAAACAAGTAATGATGAACTACTCACAGAATTTGCTAATGGCTTTGTCATCAAACCAGCAACAGTTGACGACATGGAAAAGGCATTGTCCTAAAAAATCATTTCAATGAAAAAAATGAAGTATGAATGGATTTTGAAATATCAGCAAACTTTAGGTTACAACCTCAGCCTGTTCAAGAAGAGTGTAATCAATGAAACCATCATCATCTTCATCAACAGAAAAATGTATGACTTCTTCATTATCATATGACATGTCGGTAGACTTTACATACAATGGAGAAATGCACAGATTAAAGAATATCACTTTAGGCTAATGATTATGAAGGTGGAAAAAATGCTACAACTAAAATTGTTTACATACAACTTGAGTATAAACTCTACCTCTAGCTCTGCTGGAGCTGATATGGGTCTCCTTTTACCACAATTTGAGCCAGTTTTATAAATGGGCATGGTTGGTTTAACAAACTCAAATCATTTTTTATTATTGTTAATGTCTGCATCTTGTAAACTTTGTGAAGGATGGTCGTCTGATGTCTCATCTCTTTTGCAGTTTGATGGAAAGCTTGGAGACTAAAAATGATAAAGTTTAATTCATCACTGCATCCTAATGGCTATGTGGTGCGTGGTAACTAATACTTACAGAAGATGAGATTCTTTTCAGGAGTTCTACTCTTCTATGAAATGAAAATAAAAAAGAAAATGTCAAACGCCTAGCAAAACAGTTACAAAGTGCATAACTAAACATAAACCATCTTGCACCAAATAAGAATTGTAATCATGCATGGTACATACATGTCATAATCTCACCTGATTGGTTTAGACACAGACCGTCTCCTAGTGCTACAGAAAAATTGCATAACAGAAAACTATTTAGAGCTTCATTTATAACCAATTTGTCATTTTTCTTATTCTTATAACAATACTAATCGATCATTAAGAAAATTAAAAGAAATCACCGAAACATCATATGTCGACATGCCAGAAAATATTGAATGATACACGTGTGTTAATGAGTAAAGGGGCACGGGAACGATTCCTCTTGGCCAATCATTTTTCAGTAGAACATTAATTAAAAGTCATCTCAACATAAAAATAAACATAACTTTGTACGCCTGACAGTAACCAACGTGTTGTCTCAATTGCCTGTCTTTTAAATGCCAACACACTCAGACTAAGTTTTGTAAATGGCTATTGTTTTCATAAGTTGCAACTCTACACAACGTACCAAACAAAATCCGCGGATGGTGAACCAAAAGAGGCAGTTGTCTCCGGTGAAGGACAATAACCTAAAAATGTGAAAGAACTCGCTAGTGAGCAAAATCGTAATACATACAATTTTAAAAGCACAGATAATCAATAATGCACCACTTCGAGTTTTAAAATCTGACTAGGTTTACCGATTCGCTCGAAAAACTTCGAGAAAAACTCTTGGAAGATAAAATTGGCGTAGCCGAATTGTTTTCGACATCTCCCAAAGAAAGTTTTCTTCGAGGTGTACACTTGGGCCTGTAAAAATATGATAAAACTTTCAATCGACGACAGCAAAGCAAGTTAATTGAATGAATATATTCCTATATATATTTAAGTACTTTATAAAAACTATATACCCTGTTGGCGTTCTTGTGCAAATGCTTTCAAAATTCCTCGCAAGCTGTGTCATTGGAGATGCAACGACTGGCTGTGAAAAGCACGAAAACGGACCAGGCATCTGAATTTTAAGATCTTTAGCCATTTCTCGCTCCATTGTCGATTGTTCTGCTCAATCAATCTCAACACAGTTCAATTAAGTGTCGACGCTTTCCAACGACTGATATAGTGTTTCGAGGCGCTTTAGAGGCAATCAAAGACCATCGAAAGGAGCTTCTTATATCCTTCTAAACGGATTCAACTAACTTTACGGCTTAATCCATGTCAAAGGCAAAAGCACAATACCACAATACGAGCAGTTCCAAGCGCCCTTTTTCAAATACAAGAAGATATTTACATGGAGATTAACTATAATTTTTCAGCCAATCAGATGGCAGAAGACAAAGTTGTTATTGTTTCCTAGCAATGGCCACAATGGCTGACTGCTGGCGCAAGTGCGCAAGACAGGTGTCAAAGATATTGACATTTAATTGGTTGGAATATGAAAGAAAAGTTATTAATACATATTACGTTGTCTGTACCTTATTATTCATCACTACATATTCAATAAATTACTGTTCATAACTAGTCAACTTCCTTTTGATAAAACTTATGGTCGTTTGTTGCTGATATTGAAAGCGCAATTAACACATAACTTAACAATAAAAGTTTCTTTTAAAAAGTTTCTTTCAACGAAACTTATATAATTGCCATTCAGTCATTCCTACGCATTTTTACACGACGTGATTGGTTTGCTTATCCTAATTCAATGAAAACGATTTAGTTCGTTTAGTTCATCTTGAGCCTATAAATTATCAAGTTTCCTGGCGCTACATGACAGTTGGCAACTCATCAAGTTTTAACGTTGGCAAACTTGATATCAATCTTAGTGGGTGTGACGGGCAATTCACCGCAATTGCTTAGTCACACGTGCTCAATGTGTGCATATTTTTGCTATTATGGATAAATATATACCACATCTCCAATAGGTCTATCCAAAGCAAATTTGATCATTTTGCCATTGGATGAAGACTTTGCCAAGACTTCGCAAAATCTCTCTAACTTGAATGATTTTTGCCCATTTCTTTCATTTCCGCGTTTTGCTTTTTTTCTAGGGACAATTGTTTGTTCCTCCCTTTGAGGGACAAAGTGCGCTAGTTACCTCTGCTGATATAGGATCAACCTCGTTTGTTTTTGGCTTAACTGTTGAAAAAACTTTTGACATTCGATAAACGATGAAGACGGATAGAAAGAGCGACAGACAAGACGGAGCAAAAATGCGATCTGAAATAGAGGTAAAGTCGTACAAACGAGTTTTTGCAAAATTTGACGCGACAAAACGCGAAGAAGGAAAGCAATCGTACTCGATCACTAAAAGCGAAAACTCACAACCCAAAGCTTTTCGTAAACACAACATTTACAAAGCGAATTCAAACAATGAAGTTAATGTTGTTTGCTGGACATTGTATTAAGGCATCGCATAAAACTGACAACGACATCAAATTAAGTAATTTGATTCTGACAATGATTTGATGAGGAGGGCAGCATTGAGCACTCTGGCGTGAAGTGAACATAAGAAGCAAGTTGGGAATGTGGTCATCCTTAGATGTTTCAGGAATTTAACGTGGCACTCGAAAGAGAACTTTTTTTCAAACTTGGAAAAGATGAAAACATTCCGTGAAAATGCAACAGGCCTCAAAGGTGACTCGGTCAACGATTCTCGTTCGCCCCTCAACGATCCATTCTACGCAGAGTCTCTGATCATTCAATCCAAGTCGATCGTCGGAAAGATGTACAGCAGAAACGAGTACGTCAGGTTCAAATACGATTGTGAGATCAACCAGCTTGTCCGTGGATACAAAGTGTGGATAGCAGAGATCAAACGCAAAGAAAGAGAAATCCTTCAACAATTGGAAGCAATGCGCGAAGAGCAAAGAGAAATCTTGAAACAGCAGAAAGATCTGAATGCCATTCAGAATAACCGCGAATTCATAAATCACTACAAAAGACAAAAAGTGAAAAGACGAAAAAACACCGGTGCCTTGTATGATATAAAAGATACGTTTCCACTTGAGCAACAAAAGAAACATTTACATCTTCATCGCGTCCCTCAGCAAGTCAACAAGAATGTAAAAGCCTTCGAGAAAGACACAAGAGCCCAATTTCAAGAAAAAAATGCGCATTCAGTCTTGCGACTGCCGAAAATTGCAGCAAAAGAACACAAAGAGATCGTCTTGGTAACGAAATCACAGCAAACCAACTTGCCTGGAATTTTAACGGTCAAAGATGAGGAGAAATCAGCTGAACGGCAAGTGGAGTTTATGAATTTCCCAGCTCAAAGGGATTTACAATCTTCTCTCTTGAAGCAAGAAAGTTGCAACCTACCAGTAAGAAATCCTGTTAATGTTCAGAGGAATGTTATCGACGACAATTCGATAAATTTCCTCAAAGATATCAACACACTTGACAAAACTCAAGTCGTGAAGCAGGACACAGAAAACAAAACATCAACTGAAGACGCGATTGAACCATTATGGCAACAAAACTCAAGTTCATTCCCATCGTTCAAAGCAGAAGGTAGAAGAGCCCGAGCAGCCTCGGTGCCTTCAACCAACGGCAGGGTCTTCGAAGTTACAGAACTAACGAGGGGAAGGCCATCGTCAGTGGCTGCTTAGGAGATCGTGAGTCTGTTAAAGCTAAAGTCTCTTCAGAAGAAGAGACGAAATCCAAAATCGTGAAATGGTAGCATCTATTACATTAAACGTGAAGAAAAAGACCGCGAGAACAAGTTAGGACTTTATGATTGAACATAGCTAAAGAAGTGGAACATTTGGCAAAAATTTCATTCTTGAGTCTCTCGTGATTATCCTAATAACTAACAATACATTAAAAGTAACACATCAAATTAACATATCTAATAAATTAATAAATTACCAGACAGTTTGTCGATATCCGGTGTCATTAATGAGACATTAACGAAGTCCCATACTGTTCATCGTGATAACAGAAAACAAAATTTGTTTTTATGTTTTTCATATGTTTCGTAGGTGCAAAAATCATTTTATTTTCTTAATGTTTTAAATACGTGATTGTCCGTCCATAAATGATAAAGTGTGCCCACGACAAGCGTTTACAATTTTGTCAAGTGAAATCATCATCTTTTTACGTATTTCCCCCCGAAGTCAGTGAAATGGCCGAAATGACATTGGTTTTTTTAGAAAACTTACATAAGCATTTGTTTAGTCTCTTTAAGAAAGTGTCGACGTCATCAAAACTCATTCCCAGTGCCCCAGCAGCTGTTAAGTAGGAGCACGGATAATTATTCGAGTGAGCACCCATCCTACGAACTGGTAACCATGGATTTCTTTACTTGCATTCGTAGCAACGACCCTAAATATGAGCAATGGTATACATTAATCTACTGCTTTATACGCCTCGAGGTGGGAACCTTTTCATGTTTAGAGAAGGCCTTGGGCTAGGAGCCTCTTCATCTTTAGAGGAGAAGGGTAAAAGCAAGAATAGTGTACAAGGCTTTCAATGAAACAGGCACTTGCAAATCTCATTACAAAAGTGAGATAACAGATTAGAAGTGATCTTTGTCTACCACAACCATGAACAAACAGCATAAAAACAGTCTCGAGCATTATTTCGTAAACTCTCGAATTCTTCTCCAAATAAAAATTTGGGAAAGTTCCTGACGAGCTTGGTAACTTTCTACCTCAACTTTAAACATTTTAGTTACAGCACACCCTCGGTAAAAAGGGCCAGCCTTTATGGGTGAATGAAGTTTTACATAAAACCCATCTATATCTTTCTATCTATCTGTCTAAATACATTCAACAATGGTATCATCAATATCAGCGTAAGAATAATTCCTTATGAATAAAATCCAAGTTATAAAATCCAAATAATAGTTTAGACAATATGACCATTCCAACAAAGCAAACAAAAACAAATAAAGTATTAAAGTAAATCTTTTTGAGCCAGGGAGTATCGTTACATGCTTATAGATGTAGATCGTCCAGGTTGGTATAGTCCTGAGAAGGACTGTTTTTGCTGTTGTTGACTGACGTTTCGACAACCTTAGCTGTAGTCATCTTCAGAGTCAAAAAATTTTATTTTTTTTTTTTGCCAACCTGGACGATCTACATTTACAAACAGTATTGATACGAAGTATATCGTGTTAATATGGGTTGAAGAGAGCTCGTACCTAGCACCAGATACGCATCTCGTAAACAACATAGATCCTAGCTGTGTCGTTCCGTCGTTTGATGTCTCAAGTCCTTCCAGATTTTGTAAAGAAATTGCTGAAAACAGTAAAAAAAACATTATTTAAGCAGAACTTCCAGAGTTGCATGTACTCAAGTAACTGCGCTTTTCTACCTAAAGATATAGGATTGTGTTTTGTATCAAGTAGCCTCTGTCCGTACGTCTCAGCCAATCTTGCGAGACCACTGGCTAAATGTTGGTAAACATTCTACAAAATGAATAGAGAATTGTAACTGACGAACGATTGCGGCGAAAAAATAACCTGCTTAAAGAGATGCACGATGAATACCTTTCTCTGCGATAAAAGTTTTTGATATCCTTTTGATCCAAGGCCAAGTAACGTTATAAAAAGATCCAAGCATGGAGAAGCGGACGCTCGACCTGCAAAGATGTACAACAAGCTCTATTTAATGTCTTGGTGAACCCTTACTAAGATTGATAATCCGTGATCTACATACACCATTATGGGAAAAACGAGAAGTATACATTTGCTGTCACAGTCATCGTCAAATGCCATCATTAAGCACCTACCGTCATTTACACCTACGGTGATCTACTGTCACCTACCGTCATCTATTGTCACCTACCGTCATCTACTGTCATCTACTGTCACCTACCGTCATCTACTGTCATCTACCGTCATCCCCTGTCACACACAGTCATCCCCTGTGATCCACTGTCACCAACAGTCATCCACTGTCATTCACTGTCATCTTTTGTCCCCAACCGTCATCTACTGTCATTCACTGTCATCTACAGTCACCAACAGTCATCTACTGTCATTCACTGTCATCTATTGCCCCCAATCGTCATCTACTGACACATATCGTACTTCACATCACGGCACAACTTACCGGGGTATGTTTTTCCTATTGCATCAATTAAGGTGGAGTCAAAGCCTGCAATGATGGCTCCACCCACAGGAACCATGAAGTTCTTATCCAAACTCTGAATGAACACGTCAACACGACCAACACGCGCTGCCTTATAGAAGAAAAGATATTTTCAATGTTCGACAAGCAATACCTGCATAATCTTTCCCTTCTTTACATTACGACAGCTCAAGATTTGTTTTACTTTACCTGCTGTATTAAGTGCATACATTTCGTGGACTGAACACCATAAGCGTTGTTCACGACGTGAGGTACATCGTTTTCCTTACAAATTGTTGCCACCTCTTCTAATCTAAGAAAAAGTTTTTCTCATGCACTGCACAACATAAATTTACGAGCCGCTGTAAGAAAACGCGCCACAAAAACATAAACATGAAAAAGTTGACAAAAAGAGTTGAAACTAAGTTGAGATAAAATGTGAATTAATGCATTTGTTTCAAGAATCATGGCCGTATATGCAATATTTTTTGCTAAATTCGGTCTGGTGAGCTTAGAGTTAATAAAAATTGTAAAATTCAGAACTGTGGTGGTAGTGGGGTGTGGTTATCATTATGACTATCACCTGTCTGGTACCCTTGGAGCAAAGCAACTTGTTGTAGTCATGATGCAAAGTATGTTTGTTGCTCCGAGTTCTTTGACTTTTTTCCTAATGTTTGCAATGTTTGTCCTCAATTCATCACCTTCAAGAACATTTTCAATAACAACAGGAAAAAAACCTACAAAGGATACGCAATAGTAATGTCTTTAGAGATTGTCTACCTTCAGACTATAAATTAAAACTTATCCAAGTACAAAATATTGAGAAAAGTAGGCACTTACGGGTGGAAATTTCATAAATTTTCAGTCAGCAGTTTAGAAACTTTTCTGTCCAACTTATTAACCAATGTCATGGCATGCAATAACTATGGAAGTTCTTTAATGGTGGTCATGCATACCTGCTGTAATTATTGCCTTGAAACAGGACTTCTGATCAATCCTTGGCCACAGGACATATTTGGCCTCGGGCCTAAGATGCCGTAGTGTCAACAATGTCATCACAATGCTCATTCCCGTGGCAACAGGCAGTACCACACAGGAGGTAGCAGTTCGAACACCTGAGACATCAGAAGATCAGTTAACAAAGAATTAGGAGAATAAGTAGCACAGCTGGAGAAAATACCAACTCTTAGAAATTTGATCTTTGAGTGTGTAGTAATTGTGATATTACTAAATGAAATGCCTTGAATGTAGTACTGAAATATAAAAAAAAAAAAATACTATGTACCTGACTGTTTTATGATATCCAAGGCCATCGATGATGTTAACTTCAATATAAGAGAAGAGCCCGCTGCCTTAGGTTGGACTGCAGTAATATCACCAGAACGACCAACTCCGTGACTGAACCTCATAAAAAATATGAAAGAAATACATAAACGTTTTATGCATTTCTACTTGTGACCTGCATTGAAGATAATTGAAACTCAAAATACTCGATACCTGTAATGTCTTCGCGACACAATGCTGTTTGCTACTCTTCCTTCTCTTTCACCTGCACCAACATTTCCTAGTTTTTGAAAAAAAATTCAGATTATTATTAATTCAAGTAAAATGTCAAACAACTTGCATAAAACCTCCCAAAAAAAAACACAACATATCATACCTTACAATAACCTACTAGTCAAAAGATGCTCAAATGTAAAAAATGATAGGGTTAGATGTGAAAGGTTGTATTACTGGGTATTGTTAGCTGTCCTTAGGACCACTAATAGCCATCAGTTTAGTCTCCTGCACAGTGGCCTGAGGTATTGCATCATGCATGATGTCATTAGTAGCTTTCAAAGGTCATTCAATTAAAATGAAAATGTACCTGAAAAGTTGTTGCTATCCATTACTGACAGCTCATGCAAAAGAAGCTCAATGGTCAATTCATCCCATCCATCTTCGGTATTTTGTGCTGCATTTAAATGAAAACAACCAAAAGGACGTCATATATAAATTCATTAAACATACACAAGTTCTTAGACAACATGAATGCTAATCAAAAATCCTCTTTTAGCTACTTGTTTCCTTTCTTGTATTATGTACCATCTCATTTTTCCCAAACATGCATTGTTCATCAATAAATCAATGTTAACTTTCGGAAAGTGAGAAATGATTATGTCCTGCATCTAAACGCTAGCTCAAAAAAACAACAACTGAGCAAACATTTTTGTGCTGGTACTTTCCTTGAACAATACAAGAGGTGGCACTTTCAGGTCCACAAGTGGAATGTTTGAGGACAAACGATAATATTTGTATTTTATCATTCAACCTATTATTAGTTAAATAACGACCATCTCATGACATACATTTTAAATACCATAACCATTGTTTGAACAATTTAAGAATGCATACAACCAATAAGTGCACATTATTTTATGTATGGTAAATGGGCTTTCCTTACATGTTCTAGCAATGCCTTTATTTTGTGTTCCTGATTTTTTCTCGCGTTCTCCCCTTGTTGAACATAACTAGAAGATATGTATTTGGCACACAGCTTAAAGTTCTCGGCATTCATTTCAAAAAAATGCGTTTTTTTGAGAAACCATTTAAATTACAGTAGAAAGTTTATTTTAAACAATAATTGTTGTCGTGATGTTAGGAGATACTGGAACTTGATCAGTCTAAAGAGCGTATCTTTTTTCAACTTTCTCGGGAATTTTCGCACTGGATCAAATTTTTTAGCTTAATCGTTTCAGACGTTAAATAAACTTTTCATTCTGGTCACTTCGAGGAAGAGTTACGACGTTTTAACGACTTGGAACAGTCACGTGTCGAGATACGAATTAAATATGAGATGGACTGATGGAGTGCATTTTTTAGAAGATTGTTCCCTGTGCACTGAAAGTCATTAAAATCTACGTGAAAAAGATCAAGAAAACAAAAAAATCCCGACTACTAGTAACTATTCATCAACAACTCATTGAATTGGTACGAATATTATGAATGAAAACTTATGATTGGCTTATTTAGTATTGAATATATTAAGATTCACCATTCCAAATTACCTGAAAGAGAGATACTGGAGTAGCAGTGTGCTCTGGTGTGTATCAGAGAAGGTTCAAACTACCATCCCTTACCAAATGGCCGAGGACTGTGAGAAAGAAAAACATATATCTGTGCTTGTTGAACAGGCATTTCCAACATGTATCATGGTGTCGTACAAGGATGAAGGGAAAACATATAGGGGAGTCCTCCTAGATGAATCAAGCCACATTGTCACCAGGTAGTATACATATTGCACCATGCAATGAAATCAAATTAACCACTTAAGCTTGGCATAGTTGTCATGAACATAGTAGTTTCAATTAATTTGTCACTCACATGACTTGAAGTGTGGAAGTCATATCACAAATAGTCAATGAAACATGTGATATAAAATACATTATGATGTGGTTATTGTGATGAACTATGGTTTTATTGTAATGAAAAGGTATGATCAATTTCTCTTTATTTTTTTTAGAGCATCACTCACCAGAACCATTGAAGACAAAGACAGTTCAAATTTATGCTTAACATCATCACGTGCTGTGACATGCTCATCAAGTGACTTGCCAAAGTGTGAATCTCGTACACCACAAGATAAACATGATGATGACATTGACCACAGTTCTTCAGAACACCAGGGCAGAAGTCTTATAAAATCATCATGTCTTCGAAAGAGACAAATTAGAACAACACAAACAGGTCAACCCGTGACTAATAGTGAAAATATGACTGACACAAGGCGGCTTAAGTCACCAGAGCAAAAAATCTCTCTCATGAAATCATTGAAAAGAAAAAGATCAAAGCCATCCACAAGATCAGGCACTTCTTCATTTGAGAATGGACAGGAAGATTTGGAACAATCAGCAACAAATGATAACTCTCAACATTTCCCTGTTCTTAAATTGAAACGAACCACTGGAACCTCAAATAACTATGTGGCACTTATTTCTGAGAAAAGCCAAAAAGTGAATGCAGAAACTGGCAAAGAATCTCCTTATGTACAATCAAACAAAAGCTTCGACCACAGACATAACACAAGATATAGGGGAAGGAAGAGAACTGATGAGAAGTCAAATCACCAGGAAATGAATGTGAAGTCTGAAGAGCCAAACGAAAAAGAAATTTTATCAAATGGTGATGAAATAGTTGAAGTTTACACAAAGGAGCCAAGTGCACTAATCAATGAGAATGGTTCACAACTTGGCAAACATGTTAATATTAATCAATGCTATGCCAAAAGAGGCGTACAGCCACGTAATCACAATGTAGAAATGAGAGTGGGTGAAATCATTTGGGGAAAGTTCATGGTCATCCCTGGTGGCCTGGTCGTATCCTTCACATTATCTGTCATGCTACTGAGGACAAGCCTAGTTTAGTGAAAGTTTCTTGGTATGGATCAACAACAACATCGGAAATTTCATGCAGTTTTTTAATGACATTTGAGGAGCATTTTAAGCAATTATACAAAAAACAAAAGCAGGGTGCATACAGACGTGCCGTACGCCAGGCACAGCAGGACTTACAAGTCATGTACACTGGTAATCAAGGGTAATTTCCTATGATGTTTTGTTATGTTTCCTAAGGCAAACAGCAAGCTTTAAAAAAACAAGCGACAAGATGATTTCCCCAATTTTAGTGGCTAACAAACAGTGTGTTTGACTGATAATATTTGACAGCACAGATATAATTAATCTGACCTTCAAATGTACGCATTGATAAAGAACTATAAAGATTATGAGTTAAGGATGTTATGTTTTACAAAATAAATTTTGTTGCTGTGCTATTCGAGAATTGTTCACAAAGCATGACAATGCCAAAGCATGGTTAAAAAGAGAAACAGCTGACTGTAGGTCTTGTAGGAGAACAATATCTAAATATCACTAGCAACATTTATTTGTACATAATCGGATTTAATATGGCTTGTATTGAAATAGCTATACAATTTAATGTTTTGGCAAACAATGGTATTTACTATTATGCACTTGCTCCTCGGATTTGTTATTTCTGAAAATTGATAGAATACCCTCCAGAATTAGGGTCCTGTTGTAATTTAAAGTTGTCTGTCGAAAGACCAAATGGCCGCAGTACCATGTTGCCAAGATCCTTCAATTTGCCTAAAAGAAAGCAAGAGTCAAATAAAGCATGTATAAATGAAGTTCAAAGATTAATACAATCATGCCTATCATTTCGTCCTTTAACTTTTCATGCTTGATTTTGATCTCATCAGGTAGTCTCTGTAAACAATACAATTATTTTCATAATGAACACGGTGAACAAGGGTTGATTACAAGCAAACAAAATTAGAATACCAATATCGCTTCGTGAGCAAGATGACATGTTTTGTCATTTTCAAACACGATCCTGTAATCTGAACAAATTTATTTAAGTAAGACAATGATGTGAGGGGGGGAAGAGTGAGGAAAGGGGGGGCTGATGAGCTAATGACATCAAGAAATATTACCCTCCAATGCCTCTTCAAGCTTGTCAACTTTTTCATAGCACTGTGCCCTTCTCAATCTTGCCTTGAGGTAGTTTGGGGAAAGTTCTAAGGCTATAGAAATCAGAAACAACTGTTGGCCAAAAACATTTTGTTTTAATCATACCAGTTTTCTACTGGAAAAATTAGAAATCTTACAAACTAAATTACCTCTATCACAATCACTAATTCCATTTTCATAATCTTCCTACATGAAAATAAATTATGAATGCATACATCTCAAAATTTGGTTGAGACTTGACAGAGACTTTCTGTTATTGCTGCGGTTATTTATGGTTGAAAGAATACATGTTGTGAAGTGCTGTAAAATGGATTGCAAAGACTTCACATGTCACAAAATTTTTGATGTTTTTTTGAAAAGAGTGAAGGAAGTGATACAATAAATATAAAGGTTTGTTATAATAGGAAAGGCAGCGACAAAGCCAGCATAGTTTTATACTACTGCAATGTAAAGATTATTGCATTCATTCAATGATTAAATGAGGAAAAAACAAAACGGATTTGCCACCAGAAAAAGATATGAAAAATAACAAGAGCGGTGCAAAAAATTTTAAGGGGTTCAGCTGGTAAGTAAGTGATTCAGGACAAAGTAAGGGTCTAGATTCTAAAGGTGGTCTGGTAGTGTAGCCACCAAAGGTATGTATTGTACAGAGTTGAAACATTGCACAGGGAAACTCGGTTCAACAACTGAACTACTTGTTCGTCATGCTGAAAATAGGGGGTGGGGTTAAAATTTTTGGGATGAAAAATTTATTCAGGTGCTTGAAATTTAATACTTGGGGTTGCACCCCCCAGAAAATCCGTCCATGGAATATACACATACCAATTTTTGACAGCAGGCTGCTCGATTAGCATAGAATATTGATTTATTTTCAGTTTCTTCCTTAGGACAATATTTAATTGCTTTGGTGTATAAATCTTGTGCTTCTGTGTATTCTGCAACAACAAATGAAAAATGTTCACAAAACAGACCGAGTATTATTTATTTCTCGTAAGTAAAATACTAACAAACCCTGTCTCCTAAAGTGGTCATTTCCTTTCTTCTTGAGTTCCAAAGCCTCTTTCATCCTTTCCTGACACATAAAATCATTCGCTGATTAAAAACTGCATTCGTTCAAGGAAATAAATTTTGTAATTCTTATGAAACTTCACGTCATTTTAAATTTGAGGTTTTTAAAAAGTACATGATAGCTGGTCTGTCTCCCCCCTTCCAACCCTCAAATTAAAGTCCAAATAAAATATACCTCCGCCTCTTCGGGACTTAGAAATTCTTCGGCTGACTCATAATTTTCGTCGTCATTCTGTTCGTCCATCTCATTTAACGCTTTATCAGCAGTTTCATCGTCATCTCCTTTACAAAACAGAATCTTGTCACGTTGAAAGCTTTCACTTTCAAAATCTGCATGGTAATTACAGCTACTGAATTCTTCATCACACTCACTGGAGATGTTTCCTTCATTTCTCTTGTCAAAGTTGGATTGTTTTGAATGTTTTCCATTAATTTCGTTAATTTTTTACTTAAATCATCAGTTTTGTTTTCATTATTAAAGTAAGCTTTGGCTCCTCCAACATTACTCGCTACAGCCTGTTTTTCTTCTTTTGAACTCAATTCTAACGTGTTTTCATTCAAAGATGTTTCTTCTGACAGATTAGACAAACTTTCTTTTTCTAAATCGGCCATGTTTCGAAAGCACTAAATATCGTACTACACGAAGTATGAGCAGTGCCAAACTGATCTCACGCATAGAGAAGCTGCTTGGAGTGCTAGTGATAAGCAAGCAATTTCAAATTGTTTGGGAAAATCAGTTTATATATATATAAGCGCGTTCATTTAGAATGATTTGAGGTCTCTGCCTTTTTTTTATATCATGACATCGAATACTGGAATAGAAAACTTATTTTATCACAGCAGGTAATATTTTTTTCTATATTGATCGTTTTTGTAGTACCATTTTATTCTTCCTGGCTGCCATGCAGGTGTACACTGGACAGATTGACCGAAAGCGTTTTTTTGTTTCGTCCTGTAGATTGTAATTCCTTCTTTACTATTCCCTTTAAGGGAAATATATGAAAAGAAAGAATATTTAAAAAAATTTGAATTAGCAAGTCCATAACAAGTTACACAGCCAGCCCAAGTATAAAGGGCAAAGTTTGCTTCCCGCTCTCCAAATTTAATAAACTTTGTCAATAAATCGCACCTTTGATAATCTCCTGCTTTTGTCTAAGGAAAAAATAGAAATGTTTTTACTTGATTTTCATTGATTAAACAACATTTATTCAATTGCATGCAACGTGGTGCTTCAATTTTCATTGTATGGATAATTAGGGTAGGCAATGAGTGAGCAAAAAAACAATCTACTTTAAAACCCAAACCACCTTCTCACCTCACATCACCAGGGGCCGGTTACATGAAGCCTGGATAGCATTATCCATTGGATAGCTAAAATTTCCAAACTTGAAAAAAGTGTTTATATTTTTCTTACAATAAAAAAATTTCATAATCTTCGAAACCATATTTTATTCCAGTGATTGCTCATTTCAAAACTTATGTTTTTTGATTTTTAAAGGGTTTTATAAAAGTTTTAAAAAAATTGCTATCCAATGGATAACTGTATCCAAGCTTTGTGCAACTGGCAAGGGGTATTAGGAAGCATATTTGGCTTTTCATTCTTCAGCCAATGGAGAAGATGGCTTGTACTGTCTTGTATTAACTTTTGTTGTTTCTTGCAGATTTCCCAATGGATTGGCACTACTCCCTCTGCCATTTTACCTTCCTCTTGGAATAGTTGTCATGGTAATAAGGATATTTTTCATCGCCCAGTTATATGTGGTGTTATTAATAGTGCCGAAATCATGGATGATAAGACGGTATGGTTAGATATAAGAAAATGGATTGTGCATGAAAGTATAATCCAAAATTTGGCATGTTGTTATGTTTTATAAATGTATACTGTAGATTGCTGTTACGTGTATCTGGTGCCATGTCCGGTTTGATTGTAACTCAGCAAGGAGTGGAATTAGTTCATAGACAGGAATGTAAAGTATGTAAAGTTTTTCAAAATAACAAGTTTCATTTTGTACTACAGTGCTCTGAATTTCTTTAATTATATCCTATAACATGAAACTTATTTGACTCCTTATTTCATAAATTTAGATGATTGTATCAAATCACCTAAGTCCTATGGACAGTTTGGCTTTTGAATCTATTTTACCATGTTTCATGGTAAGGTCAATTGTTTATAGAATCATGGTAACTTCGTTCATTTAAGTTAGAACAAGATTTGTGTTTTGAGGATGCTGTAAGAAACCACATACCAACATTCCTGAGATGGATATTAAAATATGATGAAGTTGAACAAGGCGACCCTGTTCCTTCGCTTGTTTTTCCAGAAGGAGCCACCACTAATGGAACCCAAGGACTTCTTAAGTTTAGGTAGGTACATGTTATGCAAAGACTCTTGACCTGCTTATATATCCAAGTTATTCTTTAGCAAGCTTTACAATCATGTGTTTGTTGTAGTGCAATGCCATTTGATGAAAAGAATGAACGGTTTGTGGTGGTATGCACAAAATATGATTTATTTGGTTTCTAAACCTAGTCCTTTTACTAATAATATTGACAACATTTATAGGCAACAATTACTATATCAAGACCATATTTTGTACAAATTTCTCCGGTTAGTATTGTACTAATACAATAAATAGCATATCAATTTACCAATTAAACATGTCCACACTTACAGTCCGTTCTTGGCAGTTATTGGTGGAGTGATTTTCTTTGGCTAATATTCACACCCTACACTCATATGAAAATAAGGTATGGATTACTTAGATAATGTGTAGCACAGACTTATAAAGTGATTTAATTACATGACTGATAATTTGTTTTTATGTTTAGGTTTTTTGAGCCACCCAAGAGAAAAGACAATGAAAGCAAAGAAGATTATAGTGTTGCAGTTCAGAATGTAGGACGCAATATTTTTTACCAAAGATATTACATTGACTAAAATGAAACCATTTCAATATTTTTTTCATGTAGTTTATGGCAGAGAAACTTGGTATAACCTCCACAAAATTTGATGCAAAAGAGAAAGCAGAGTATACAAAAAGATATTTTCTTGAACAAAGTAATTCGGTTGAACCCCTTCTATTTTTAGTTCCATCATCTTTAAAATAGTTTTTTCAATGCTCTAGGTCAGCGACTAAAAGACTTTTGCAAGTGCTATGTCACATCATCAAGAACGGGATGGTTTTGATAGTACGGTAGAGTCCATGGCTTCTCAAGTGAAAAATGTTTTACCACAGGTGCCAATGTCAGTCATAAGGAAAAATATAAGTATGTACTATTGGAAATGACATTATTTCTCAATGAATTAATGTGTTGGTGAATGCAAGCAATGTGGGGCTGTGTTTCCTTTACAGAAATAACAAAGTGTGTTGACACCAGCATAACAAATTTCTTGGAAGGAAAAGTGTCGTACACACCTGAACAAATAGAAAAGGTGACATTTGAGATTTTACAATTGCAGTACTTGTTGTACTTGTAACTTACATTTTATCATTTCATTTTACACCATCGGACAGACAAGCTCACCAAGCAATAGTAGCAGTAAACCTGCTGATAATTCATTCGGAAAAGACTCAAAGGAAAGGCATTTATCATTTCAAGAGAGAAAAAAGGCATTTATTGCTGCCGCCAGAGAGTAAGTATTTTTTGTGATGTGATCAACTGAAATGTGCCAACATGCTTGGAAGCCTTTCCTTTTGCAAGCAATGAAAAAAAGAAATTTGTACTTGTAAACAAACTTCCATTTTAACGCATTTAAAATAATTTTATTCATTACGTCAGGAACTATCTTGCTAAGCATGGTCTGCCCAAGAGAACAGAACAATGACGTGTTATGTTGGTGGATTATGGACTTCCTATGGATTTAACATGTGCCATCTTTGTTGGTTTAGCCAACAGGTACCATGGAAGAATCAATGGTGAATTATTTATATAATCGCTTGTCTAAGAAATCCAATGTTTTATTGATGTACTAGATTAATATTAAAACATCAAAACATGTTGGTTATTTTGTCTAATTACTTGCTTGTCCTTGTATTCTTCTGACCGGAAATCGAGTTCGACTGACCGGAAGTAAAAGTCGAAGAAGAACGCTTCGTCTAAGTTGATTTGTAATTCACGAAATACATTTGAAGCGATATTTTCAACAAAGTGCTCTTCTAACATTAGGCCATCTTCGACAGCATTCAAGTATAACGTAGATCAAAAGTATTGTGACAATGACGGCCACAGCCATAGCAACCAAAACTATAGCCCAAATGGGCATAATACAATACGAATTTTTGCATTTGTTTGAGCAGCACCACATTCTACCTTCGTCGCATTCGAAAGAGGAATCACAAGAAATACCAACACATCCTGAGGCATTTGTACAATGCTTAAAACCTGTCTTTCCACAACATATTGGTGCCAGAGGAGTTTTACAATCGTCTTTTGTACTACATGACGTTGTCAACGTTCTTTTATTCTGAGCTGAAACACTATGGATGACGAGACATCCATGACTTAAAATAAATGCCAGTAGCAATGAATATGTTCCCATTGAAAAATACATCCACAAACTTTGTGTGTCGTTCGTTTGCTTTGTTTACGGAAATTTATCTCCTTAGAAATTTGCTTTGTAAGCTCGAATTAATTCAAAAGTATTTGAGATATTTTATGAATATTTCACTGAACGACTGCTGCTATGATAATTTGCATACTTTTCGTAGATATTTCTGTCAGGGGGATTAGCTCAAATGGTAGAGCGCGCGCTTAGCATGCGCGAGGTAGCGGGATCGATGCCCGCATCCTCCAATTATATTTATAGTTATCCATAACAATTTTTTCCGCAAATATTATTTTTCCCCTCACCTTTCGATGAACCAACTAACCGAATAAGAAAGTTTATTTGAAAATATAGAGTTATTTCACGGGATTTTCGGGGAAGATATCTTTTGCTGCTACTCGACCCAGGCTTCCTATAGCAGCGCTATCGAGCATGCGTGTTACCACAATACAGTACATATTCACAGAAAATTAATGCTTTTAAAGTAAGAACATAAAAAATTAGAACAATCATTTAAAACATTAGATGTTGAAGCAAATAACAACAACGAGGCTAGAATCGCTGTTACATGTACATGTCTGTTTTCACCTACTTTCGATCATTTTGATTTTCTCTCGCCTGTAATACGATCGCCATTTTATAATCCTCTATCGCTTCGGATCGTTTCGACAATTTCCCTCGGACATCGGCGCGACTTTTGTAAGTCAATGCGTCGCCCGGCTTTAACTGCAACGCTGAAAATAGATCGTTGGACTCAAGTGATGATGACAACGAAGACTTTTAGGGAAATCTTTCGTTAAGACTTACACACGGTAAAATCTCACATAGTAAAAGATATTTAAAGTGTGTTATTGGAGGAACTATATATGATGAAAGTATGCTGTTATGGCTTAATTCTTTGTAAAAATAAAGCAAATCTGCTACGTAACGTCACGTGTGTAAACCACAAAAATGGAAGAAAATGCTTCGTATGAATAACAAGTGCCACATTTGATAGGGTAATGTAATAAAAAATACATGAAACACTTCATCTAACACTGTTAACTTAATGCACTCAAGCTTGACAGTCTCGGGGACCGGACTGTATTGTCCGCTTAATATGGGTATCCTTTTGATTGGGATTGATTTTACGAATTAGATATACATGCGATTAAATCCAAGACTTTAGAGTGTCCGCCTAATACAGAACTGCTTAATGTACAACGCATTAAACAAGCAGCTTTGAAATGTTTTCATGCAGTTCAGACAATCGCCTTATATACTACAATCGTTAACATTCATCGACATACCATGGCTGTAATCTTGTTCTGCATTCTCAAATTGTCCAAGTGAAGCGTACAGATTACCGCGATTGAGATAAATGTGCGCTGAATACGGGCTTAACTCAACTGAATGAAAGAATCGACGAGATTGAAGATACATCTGACTTTGTATTGCACACACACACATAATAACGCTTCTTACTTGCTTTCTGAAAATCTTTCAAAGCCGAATCAAACTGCTTCAACAAGACCTGAGAAATTCGTACGGATAGAAAACTTATCAGGAATGAAATATGAAGAACAAAAACGATAAAACTTGATGAAATACTACTGAGATTCGACTGACTTTAGTGATTGCGTTATTTAGCACTGCGCTTTCATCTTTCGGGTTCCAAGAACAAGCTTTTTCATAATAAGTCAACGCCTGAGAAAAGATGTTGGAGAAAAACTCTTACAATTGGAATATGAATAGTAGAGGTGAATTAGTTTTGCATAAGAATGAGATAATGTGTAAGAATTTACAAAAACGCCTTAGCATATTATGACCGTAGAAATGGCTTCTACATGATCGGTGGAAAAACCAAATTTGTGGAAAAAATATATGCAGTGATGTAGCGAGCTCGTTGACTGGAGAGGAGCGTATAAATTCATATATGCAGTGGCGTAGCGAGCTCGTCGATTGGAGAGGAGCGTATAAATTCATATATGCAGTGGCGTAGCGAGCTCGTCGATTGAGAGGAGCGTATAAATTCATATATGCAGTGGCTTAGCGAGCTCGTCGATTGGAGAGGAGCGTATAAATTCATATATGCAGTGGCGTAGCGAGCTCGTTGATTGGAGAGGAGCGTATAAATTCATATATGCAGTGACGTAGCGAGCTCGTTGATTGGAGAGGAGCGTATAAATTCATATATGCAGTGGCGTAGCGAGCTCGTTGATTGGAGAGGAGCGTATAAATTCATATATGCAGTGACGTAGCGAGCTCGTTGATTGGAGAGGAGCGTATAAATTCATATATGCATCTCTTAATCCGTAGAAAACAATGGATTGCAGAGAAACTTATTACGGAAGAACATGCATGTATGATATATGAATATGTGCCCCCTACTTCCCCCTGCCCCATGTACTGAGATTGCCTCGCCACTTAATATATTGGGATATTTTGATTGGGGTAACTTTTAAATAACCGCAGGGGCATGGCTTGTTATAAGGTAATCACATCATATGGGATAGCAGACACAACATTGTATTGACGAGAAGCAGTAGAACTATAATCGTTTTTTAAAATCCATCAATATACCTGCTTAAACTGCCTTTGTTTAAAATAAAGATTCGCCGCGTTGTAGTATGCTAGGGAATACTCGGGTTCCAGACGTAGAGCAGCTTGATAGTCATTCATGGCATTCACAGTGTCGCCCATAAACTGCAAAGGAAATAAACTGATTGAGTATATTTAATACGAGCAACATGTATAAAGACCAAGATGGCGCGAGCTAGAGCGATAATTCAACACACAACCTGTTGTATAACGCCACGATTTGTCAGAAGTTCAGCAGTTTTGGAAATCTAGCAGTCGTAAAATGTATTTATGATGAGGACAAAAATTTTATGTGATGTTCCAAAAAGCGAACGACAAGTTCGTACTTGTAGACAGTCATTTATGTCGACAAAAGCAGCGAAGGTGTTTGACATTTGTAAGTTGACTATCGCTCGACTTTCAAGAGCTGCTTGTGAACCTGAAATGAAATCGTACAGAAGTCAACGTGAACGTTTCAAGTCATCTTTACTAGATGAATGTGAAAGTTTTACCTCTGTCGACATTCAAAGCGACGGTAAACTGGTCCCAAGCCTTTTGATATTTTCCTTCCACCTTGAAAGAGAAGATCGCGCGCATCCGTCGTTATAGGAAAAGTTTAGATGGAACATAGAAATGTATCAGTGTATCATGTTAGGATTTAGTTGTTCATCATATCCTATGCTACCATACTAAAGTTATATTAATGATACTAAAAAGCAAAGAACAGTATACTGCCGACTACTCTTCTACCTTATTATCCACTTTATACTTTATTATACTATACCTGCAAATTATAGCCAAGGTTTACACGGGCGGACAGGCATGTTGGATCAAGGTGAAGTGCTCTTAGATAATCAAACCTGTAAGTAGACTTAAATGTAAACTCCGAAAGAGATAGTATAACATATGGTGGCTTGTTCCACTATCCTTTCTATAGCAATTAAAGCAAAATGAGATAGAAAAGAAAGTCCAAAAAAATAGAAGCAATGGCAAGGACAAAGGTTTCTAGGTCAAGAATTTTAACCATCTATACCGTAGCGTGATACGTATTTTCAGGGAATCATTGCCACAAATTGACCTCAGAGGAATGGCATGAAACAAATTTGTAACATCTGCAAGGTATTTGTTAGCAGTCGTTTGCGGAGAATTACTACCTTGCATGACGCGTTGCAACAGCATGACCATAATTACTACCTTGCATGACGCGTTGCAACAGCATGACCATAATTACTACCTTGCATGACGCGTTGCAACAGCATGACCATAATTACTACCTTGCATGATGCGTTGCAACAGCATGACCATAATTACTACCTTGCATGACGCGTTGCAACAGCATGACCATAATTACTACCTTGCATGACGTGTTGCAACAGCATGACCATAATTACTACCTTGCATGACGCGTTGCAACAGCATGACGCGTTGCAACAGCATGACCATAATTACTACCTTGCATGACGTGTTGCAACAGCATGACCATAATTACTACCTTGCATGACGTGTTGCAACAGCATGACCATAATTACTACCTTGCATGACGCGTTGCAACAGCATGACCATAATTACTACCTTGCATGACGTGTTGCAACAGCATGACCATAATTACTACCTTGCATGATGCGTTGCAACAGCATGACCATAATTACTACCTTGCATGACGCGTTGCAACAGCATGACCATAATTACTACCTTGCATGACGTGTTGCAACAGCATGACCATAATTACTACCTTGCATGACGCGTTGCAACAGCATGACCATAATTACTACCTTGCATGACGTGTTGCAACAGCATGACCATAATTACTACCTTGCATGACGTGTTGCAACAGCATGACCATAATTACTACCTTGCATGACGCGTTGCAACAGCATGACCATAATTACTACCTTGCATGACGTGTTGCAACAGCATGACCATAATTACTACCTTGCATGATGCGTTGCAACAGCATGACCATAATTACTACCTTGCATGACGTGTTGCAACAGCATGACCATAATTACTACCTTGCATGACGTGTTGCAACAGCATGACCATAATTACTACCTTGCATGACGCGTTGCAACAGCATGACCATAATTACTACCTTGCATGACGTGTTGCAACAGCATGACCATAACTACTACCTTGCATGACGCGTTGCAACAGCATGACCATAATTACTACCTTGCATGACGTGTTGCAACAGCATGACCATAAATACCTTGCATGACGTGTTGCAACAGCATGACCATAATTACTACCTTGCATGACGCGTTGCAACAGCATGACCATAATTACTACCTTGCATGACGTGTTGCAACAGCATGACCATAATTACTACCTTGCATGACGTGTTGCAGCAGCATGACCATAATTACTACCTTGCATGACGTGTTGCAACAGCATGACCATAATTACTACCTTGCATGACGTGTTGCAACAGCATGACCATAATTACTACCTTGCATGACGTGTTGCAACAGCATGACCATAATTACTACCTTGCATGACGTGTTGCAACAGCATGACCATAATTACTACCTTGCATGACGCGTTGCAACAGCATGACCATAATCCATGAAAGCATTGCCACGCCCAATGTAAGCTTCTTTAAAGAATGGATCGCATTCTAACGATTCTGAGTGGCACTTGACCGAGTCTACCAAACGGCCTAATCTGAGAAATATAGATGAGAATGTAAAAGAATCTAGACAGAATGAAGTGTATTTCACAAAAAAATCAAAGGCATACATTTGAAAAGCAGCAGGCACTATAATAATGATATAATGAAGAGAGTCTTGCTACGAACGAGGGTATGATTATTATCTTACTTGTGATAACAGAGTCCAAGTGTGTGGTGAATATTCGGGTTGTTCGGTGACACCTTAACAAAATCAAATCATTCCACAATAGTACTGTCCACTTCATGATATATATGCTTGCGTTCCATAACATCGCTATCACAGGAGAAGTTAGATCATCAACGAAATGCTTCCTTTCAAATGGATGCAGTGCTATCGAAAGTCTTAAAAGAATTATAGTCGTGTTGTTATTTTTCACGTCATAGATAATCGTACCTTTGAAACTTCTTTGAAATCCATCACGGCATTATCCACATCGCCAAGCTCCAGGTACAGCAAGCCCCTGTTCTGCAATACCTTTAATGGAAAGTTTTATGCGATCATTCATTGGATAACGACTGTAACACATGATATACCAAAGCCAACGTCATCCCATGAAGATTTTCGCTGAATACATATAAATCCACATCACCTTCAGATCAAGTTCCCGTGAACACAATAACACTGTGCTGTAATCAATAAGAGCCTGAAATGAACAATTTGGAGTATCAAATCATCTGAGAACTTGGATATCTTCAAAAATGGACCGTCGACAACTCGAGTTTACTTTTATAAGGTTCTTAGAGGTAGGTACACACCATTGATAATAAGATACGAGATCGCAAAGCTCAAAAAAATGATATTTACAAAGTGCTCACTGCCATAATGATATAGAAAATAATTCAAAGATTAGGGAAAGTTCAGCGCAACGTTATATTCAACGCCTGTAGACTCTTCTCGGTCCATAGAGATCGAGTATCAATAAGCTTTTGATCATTTTCATAGTCTATTACATTCATCAATTAAATTTGAACTGTACATCGTCTGCGAAAGTACAGTGGTCACCATCAATGCGATAACGTGGGCACATATAGTTTTTACATATTGTATACTTGAAAGCTCTCGGGAATGCGTGTAGAGTCTCAACCATTGTCTCGACATGAGATGTTCCCGGGGGGGGGGTAATGAATTGCTCGTTGATTTAAATTTAGACATTGGAGAAACTGTGAGGTAATGTAGTCCCGGCAAAAAATAATGAATTCTTCATCGGTAATTGAAAATCAGAAAGAGTGGAGTGCAGAAATCTTTGGTGATTGAAACAATTCGCGAACATGTTTATGAGTCACATGCGCTTCTCCATTACCTTTTGATAGTACTTCAAAGCATGGAAACACACAGCACGGTTAAAGTAGGCCAGTAGACAAGCAGAATCTATGGCAATCGCTTCTGTCAAGTCACGTATAGCCACTTTGAAAGCGGAGATATGAAACTTCAATGCCCCTCTAAAAGGGAACAATTCGTTTCTTTGTTATACATTGAAGATGGAGTTGTGTTTATTCACGATGTAAATTACCTGTAGAGATATGCCCTAACACTTCTTGGTTTAAGTTTTATTGCTTCGTTACAATTCATGATGCCTTTAGAAAAACGACCTTTCATTGCATAGTATACGGCACGACTTAAGAACGCCTGGAATAGTTTGGGATTGATGGCCAGGGCACGATTGAAGTCGTGAATACTTTTTGAATGTTTTAATTTCATTTTGGTTAGACCGCGATTGTAATAGGCCTGAATCATGCGACAGTAAATAAAATAAACAAACATTAAATAAATTCTTATCAAATATAGTTAAGATGTCTGAATGCTGTTGGTGTACGTTCACTGTATACGGTTGTAAGATGATTGTATACTGTTGGTAAGATGTCTGTATACTGTTGGTAAGATGTCTGTATACTGTTGGTAAGATGTCTGTATACTGTTAGTAAGATGTCTGTATACTGTTAGTAAGATGTCTGTATACTGTTAGTAAGATGTCTGTATACTGTTGGTAAGATGTCTGTATACTGTTAGTAAGATGTCTGTATACTGTTGGTAAGATGTCTGTATACTGTTGGTGAGATGTCTGTATACTGTTGGTAAGATGTCTGTATACTGTTAGTAAGATGTCTGTATACTGTTGGTAAGATGTCTGTATACTGTTGGTAAGATGTCTGTATACTGTTGGTAAGATGTCTGTATACTGTTAGTAAGATGGTTGTATACTGTTGGTAAGATGGTTGTATACTGATGGTAAGATGGTTGTATACTGTTGATAAGATGGTTGTATACTGTTGGTAAGATGGTTGTATGCTGTTGATAAGATGGTTGTATACTGTTGGTAAGATGGTTGTATACTGATGGTAAGATGGTTGTATACTGTTGATAAGATGGTTGTATACTGTTGGTAAGATGGTTGTATACTGTTGGTAAGATGGTTGTATGTTGTTGGTAAGTCTATGGATAGCTTCTTAACCACTTGTCGCTTTGCAACAATTTTTCATGCGTCATACACCAAGTAACCTTCCTACACAGAGAATTCGATGACTACATTGTACAATTCCCAAATTACTAACTTCAGCATAATCAGGATTAACTTTGATGGCGTGATTGAACGCGTCAAGGGCGGCAGTTGGATTGTGTAGTTCGGTAAAACAATTTCCAATCATGAAGTAGACGGCAGCCGCTTCAATTGGCATCGGAGTCCGTGGATGCCAAGGTTTCTAACAAAGCATTTAAGAAAACTCAGGAAAACAAACTAAATTCAATGAGGTTACTACATGTATTCCAAAGCCATCATCAGAGAGATTATTCATAATATAAATCCTTTATATAAATCCTTTATATATTTATATCCTATATATTTATATATATATTTATATCCTATATATAAATCCTTTATATATTTATATAAGTATAATCCTTTAAATAATGTAAATATAAATTCATAATATAAATCCTAAAGGATTATATATTGATACATGTAGTTGAAGGTGATTACTTTTTGTGCAAAGAAAATATGAGAGATTCACGTTTTATTCGGTGGTGTAACCAACCCTCGCATTTTGGTTCTACTATATAAATTGTCAACACTTTCATAATTGTCATCGTTGTTTTTTTTTTAGAAATCTGCAGTTTTCGCGGTGACCAAGCAAAGAAAAATTAACATTGCACAACTAAATGAGCGGGCATAAAAATTTTCACAATGGTCTCGGTTCTAGTATACACGGACTCTTTCGTTAAAATACCCGTAGCGTCTTCGTTATAGGTGAATTTTTCGCTAACTTGAATATGGTGCAATATTATGCCCGACTGTGATTGGTCGATTTCGTTGCATTACATCACAAAATAAATGCAATCTTTCCACACACACTCTTGATGAACTTATTGAAGTGAATATAATATTTACCAGGTTGGATATGGCTCTTTTGAAACTGGCGATGGCATTCTCGTATTGCTTTGCTTTCATACACGTCTTTCCCAACAACACGTACATATCTGCTACGGGGGAAATACGGGCTGCTCGCGTAAGAATATCAATCGCCTACCAAACATGGCAATGGATCCATTAGTAAAGTAAATGGTTTGAACCCGGGAGTATCGTTACATGTTTGTAAATGTAGATCGTTCAGGTTGGTATAGTCTTGAGAAGGACTGTTTTTGAGTTTTTAGGTTGTCGAAACGTCAGTCAACAACAACAAAAACAGTCCTTCTCAGGACTATACCAACCTGGACGATCTACATTTACAAACATGAATGCATTAGTACAAATCACACGACGTGTGTACAGCGTTGAACTAAAATACAAGGAACGCTACCGATAATAGAAAAGTCTTGAAGCTAAATTTTACACCCAGACACGCGAGATTACACATACACACGCGTGTGTAGTCAATCAATTTTCAGTATCTCGAATCACCACACACGCGCGTCTGGGTGTAATCTCGCGTGTCTGGGTGCAAGATTTGGCTTCACTTATTTGCTTCAGGTGGCGTTCCATGTATTTTAGTTCAATTGTGTACAGTTACGTAGCCAAACTGCAGGTTTGGTCGTGCTATGTAAGATTTAGAAGTCATCGTTATTCATTTCTTTGGGAATTTATTGCTTTAAAAGTAAAAACCGAAGTATTGACAAAACAAAGTAATAGACAGGCCACGACACATCAGTTAAAGTTGTACAACCTCCCGGGGCGGACTCGATTGAAGCTACAATCACCTCTTCTCCAAGAGACTTTTACGTTTATATCAATGACATGCAAGTACACTAAAGGTTACATTTAGCAAAATGTTTTGTAACACGTGACTCAGAATAATTTGGAAAGAGATACAAAGAGACATAAACCTGATCCCATGAGATACACTTTCATGATCATCTTAAATTGCTATAGCTACTATATATAGCTTGTTGACGAACACGTACCTTTTCATGATCTTGCAAAAATGCATATACGACAGCCTGTTGAGTTGCGGAGCCTCCAAGTCCTTTACTTAGTTCGGCAGCTTGTCTAAAAACAACACACTCGACATGCAGACAACCCTTCAATGCACAATATAAAATCATCAGAAGCACAAACTATTAAATTGCGACTTCTTCTCGGAGCTAAACATACGTGGGATAAATTAAGGCGCATACGACTTACTGACTGACCTTATGTGAAAACTTGCCAAGTCCAGTTTATTTTGTTTCAAGAGAAGTTTCCCCTACAAAAAAATGATACTAGATGAACAAGTTCGCTCCTCGAAGAATAAGTGTATCGCCCGTGTTGCTCAAGGTGAATAAACTTTATACAAAGAGACTCAATTCTATGCAGAACTTTTCTTAGTGAGAAAAAAATTTCCCAACTCCCCCTGGTTACCTGGTATTTCGCAGTGTCTGATTAAAGGTAAAAGTTGATCGGTACAATAACGAAGCCCTTACCCTCGCGATGCGATAGTCGGCGTTGTTTGGATGTAGATAAATAGCTTTGGTAAAATCATTTATCGCCTCTTTGATCTAAAGAAATACAGATTTTGTGATACTTCTAGGGATAACACACAAATGAAGTCAAGGCTCGATGGCCAGGGGGGCGTGTTATTTTTCTTGAACTGGTATGGTGAAATCCCCAAACTGAAGTTTCCACAGGAGGTATGTTTGTGTCAAGGACTAGCTGGCATAAGTAATGCCGTGTTTTCATAGAGTTTGACGTCATTTCCGCGTATTTGTATAACATGGAATGATTCCTAGAATATGGTATTGCCGTGTCAAGGTTGGACAAGGACGCCATCTTGAAAGGTGGCAAAAAGCAAAAGTCAAAATGAAAAATAATTTAAAAGAAAGTTTAAAAAAACAGTCTAATAAAACATTTAAAAAATCAAACTTAGACTAAGAGCTTTGCAAATGTCCACCAACTCGGGAAAAGCAGTTATTCATCGTAAATATCGTCAGTTTTACCACCTTTCAAGATGGCGGCCTGCCTCACTCGTAACTATAGAATTTTGGCGCAGTCACGTATCTTGTAGATTGGGTTCTAGGTCAGAGATAGTACATTCACATGTATAATATTTTCCTATTCGATGGTGCAATTGTAAACGTGTTTCCACTTACGTTTCCAATATTCTCGTACGCTTCAGCACGGCAGAGGTGAGCTCGAACGTACGTGGGATCAACACGAAGTGCAGCCGAGAATCGTTTAATTGATCTATACAACATACAAAGATGGTAGAATTTGCTGAAAAAACTCCAAACCCGTTGCACGATTTCATGGACATTCTCACCTTGGATAGTTGGAGTATTTAGCGATGAAAATCAAGCCAATATTGACATGCGCACTGGGAATGTTGTTGTCAAGCTGCAAGGCGGACTCCAAGTCACTGAGTGCCTCTTCCCAACTAAGATTGAAGATCGAAGGTAGAATTTATGAAATGCTTTGATAATAAAAGCGTCGAGCATTTTAAGGACAAGAATAAAACCGACCGCTTCAGATCCGTATAAACAATCGCACGATGCAAATATGAGTACACGTTGTCGACCGTACAGTCCAATAATAAAGAGATGCTTAAATCTTGTAGAGCTTTTTGGGGATTGATTCTACGGAAAATTAGACAAATGAATCGTATGATATAGAGTGTAAATTATGTGCGATGGCTTTGCAACGGTAGTGCAACCATTGGAGGATGGGACGAGGGCGGGGGAGGGGAGGGTGGCTTAAGTTAAAAACAACTTTTGTTGGCAGGTCAGATCTAAGTGTTGAAAGCTAACGGGCCGAGGGATATGCAGTAGTAAAGACTTCATTTGAAATCTTTTCATAATTTCATTTGAAAAGGGCCTTCGGCCGGGCCTCGTCAATCAAGCGACTGTTTATATATGAAATACAATAATCGTTCAAGCCTACTTTCTAAGCAAGCAGCCACGGTGATAAAATCCTTCTTTACTTCTTGGATTCAAATGAACAGCGAACGAAAGATCTTTAAGCGCCAAATCGAAAATTCCCTTAAATATGAAAAACTCCATTCGTTGCAATGGACGAAAGAGCAAAGAAATTCATGAATCGATTTTTTGCAGCACGACACTTGTACAAAGAAAACGAGTAAGTGACAAACCATTTTGGCATGAGATTTTCCTCTGAATAAGTAAGCTTTAGCGTCCAATGGATCCTGCTTTAACATGGCTGTGAAGCACTTTACTGCTGCGGGCAAATGTCTAAATAGATTTATACTTTAACGATGACTGAGCTGCTTCACAAAGCCTGCGGTGTACCTCACCTCTGGTTGAAGTTATGGCAACCGATGTAAAATATAGCATCTGTTTTACTTGGTTCTAACTTTGAGGCTTTTTGATAATCGTCTAGTGCGAGAACAACATCACCGCGCTATAAATTAAATGACACACGTGTAACTCAATCTTTGATTGAAAGATTGAAAGATTGTAACTAAAGATTGAAAGATTGTAACTTAGAAAGATGAAAGAGAAACGAAGCAATGCAGCGAGGCTACCATGCAAAAGAAATAAAAACCTCGACAAACAACGCTGCTCTTTGATAGTATGTTGTTGCATTATCAGGATCCAGTTTAATGGCTTGAGAATAATTCAAGATTGCCATCGTACTGTCACCTAACGACTTGTAGATGTCGGCCCTATAAAATTAAAGCAAAATGTATAGAAGATTCAAGTGGAAAAATTCTAGTATCAATAGAAAATAAGATTCAGAATGGTCAATATAAATTGCCGCATAAAATAAGCGTTAACCATACATTGCACTTTACTCTGCCAGGCAATTTAGCAGCAGGAAAAGAATACAAAGCTGATCTGGTAAAATTATGATGACATAGTGTCGTGTTTGTAGTACCTTGATAAATATACTTTGACGATTCGGCTATTTTGTTTCGTTATAAATGTCAAGTCCTCCAAAGCTTTCTGAGGGAAATCAAGAAAGTTTTTTGAGCCTTTAACGAGACGATGGTAAAACTGCCAAGTGTCCTACCTTGAGATTGTCATTGAGAAGATGTAAGAGATGCCGCTGCCAACGACTCACTAATAGTTGGGGCTCAAGCTCCACGGATCTGCAGAAACAGAAACTCGAAGGAATTAATACAAACTTTCGTGGCAACTCGTGAAAATAAAGCGCTTCCAAATAAATCAGATAATCTACTAACCGATCCAAATCACTCCATGCTTTCTTGAGAAAACCGAGCTGTAAAGAGATTTATGAAGTTGTAAGACAGTCATCAATCGCAGTTTCGGTCATTCAAACATTAAGTTAAAAAAAGTTGCAGGCAAATACTTCAATTAGATATGACTTTAGGAGATTTTGGATTAAAATTTTCGATACTACATCATTTTGCACAAAATTGTATGTCATTGGTCAAACTAATACAGGTTAGTTTGTCTAACCTTCCTGTAAATGGCTCCTCTCCGTGCTAGTCATTGGTCAAACTAATACAAGTTAGTTTGTCTAGCCTTCCTGTAAATGGCTCCTCTCCGTGCTAGTCATTGGTCAAACTAATACAAGTTAGTTTGAGTAACCTTCCTGTAAATGGCTCCTTTCCGTGCTAATCATTGGTCAAACTAATACAAGTTAGTTTGACTAACCATCCTGTAAATGGCTCCTCTCCGTGCCAGTCATTGCTCAAACTAATACAAGTTAGTTTGAGTAACCTTCCTGTAAATGGCTCCTCTCCGTGCTAGTCATTGGTCAAACTAATACAAGTTAGTTTGACTAACCATCCTGTAAATGGCTCCTCTCCGTGCTAGTCATTGCTCAAACTAATACAAGTTAGTTTGAGTAACCTTCCTGTAAATGGCTCCTCTCCGCGCTAGTCATTGGTCAAACTAATACAGGTTAGTTTGAGAAACCTTCCTGTAAATGGCTCCTCTCCGTGCTAGTCATTGGTCAAACTAATACAAGTTAGTTTGAGTAACCTTCCTGTAAATGGCTCTTCCGTGCTAGTCATTGGTCAAACTAATACAGGTTAGTTTGTGTAACCTTCCTGTAAATGGCTCCTCCCCGTGCTAGTCATTGGTCAAACTAATACAGGTTAGTTTGAGTAACCTTCCTGTAAATGGCTCCTCTCCGTGCTAGTCATTGGTCAAACTAATAGTTTGTCTAACCTTCCTGTAAATGGCTCCTCTCGTGCTAGTCATTGGTCAAACTAATACAGGTTAGTTTGTCTAACCTTCCTGTAAATGGCTCCTCTCCGCGCTAGTCATTGCTCAAACTAATACAAGTTAGTTTGAGAAACCTTCCTGTAAATGGCTCCTCTCCGCGCTAGTCATTGCTCAAACTAATACAAGTTAATTTGAGTAACCTTCCTGTAAATGGCTCCCCTCCGTGCTAGTCATTGGTCAAACTAATACAAGTTAGTTTGTCTAACCTTCCTGTAAATGGCTCCTCTCCGCGCTAGTTATTGGTCAAACTAATACAAGTTAGTTTGAGAAACCTTCCTGTAAATGGCTCCTCTCCGTGCTAGTCATTGCTCACACTAATACAAGTTAGTTTGAGAAACCTTCCTGTAAATGGCTCCTCTCCGTGCTAGTCATTGGTCAAACTAATACAAGTTAGTTTGACTAACCATCCTGTAAATAGCTCCTCTCCGTGCTAGTCATTGGTTAAACTAATACAAGTTAGTTTGTCTAACCTTCCTGTAAATGGCTCCTCTCCGCGCTAGTCATTGGTCAAACTAATACAAATTAGTTTCACTAACCTTCCTGTAAATGGCTCCTCTCCGTGCTAAATACAAAGCCAGCGTTTCGGACTTTTCCGATTCCTTTATCCACTCGGAAATCTTTTCAGCCTCTCGCAACAAATCCTGTGAAAGCATCCAATCAATCATTCATCGAAACATACAGTGACGGACAAACAACAAATCGAGGCACGGAGCCAGAAATTGTAAACTAAAAAATTTTTAGTGTCCACACCTGGTATATTTGCCGACTAGTTTCGTCAAAGTTCGGTTCAATAACTTGTATCTCATCCAAAATCTCGGGCGTCACAGCTCTAGATATAACATGACAACGACATATGCGAGCTCTGTTGGATTGCAGGTGTTTTTATCAAGCGAATATATGTGAGAAAAAGGAACGTAGTGTCTGAAAAGCAGCAATGTCACAAAATGATTGGTAAAATGAGCAACGGTTATTTTTTGAATATGTTGTAGCGCTTTTTTTGAAATGTCCGCGTTAAGGCATTTTGTTTCCAATTTGATAGGTCTTTTCAACGTGCTTGACAGAAAAAGTTACGATACAGCCATGCTAGGTTTTTAACGAAAAATTAGCTGCGATTTACCCTTGAAAATTCAATTGATCTGACCGTGTGCAAATGAACACGGAACTATTTACTACCATAACAAAATATTTCGCTTTTGTCTATTTTGTCTGTCTATTGTTCAGAAAATACCTGTTGGAACTATATTTGGAATTAAATCAAAAGCAGATGGCATCAATACATTTGTAAAATAGTATTGATGCCATCTTCTGATTCTCACAACACCCGGATGTACGTATGGGTTTTTAAATTCACGAAGGACACAGGAAAATTTGCTTAATATTAAACTTATATCTGACGTAGTAGAGATTTGACGTAATATAGCTAGGCAATGTAATTTGGATGATACCCTGTTGAAGTCTCGCCATCCGCTACAGTGCTCATCATTTCTATAAAAGGAACACAGATGATACTAATGCGCTACTAGGAACTCGTGTAAAGACGGATGACGAACAAACCTTGAAGAGCCACGGGCGTTTTCGATTTTGGGGGACCCACGCCATCGAGCCATTTAAACCAATATTCATCTTGAACCCAGAAAAACAATTCATCTCCAGATCTTAATAAGAAATGCAACAAGGAGAACTCGATTTTAGGGTTCACAATCGTGATGACTGTTTGAACTATGACATGGACAATACTTACAGGTTTTCGTGATCCAAGATTCTATGGTCAAGCACGCTGGGTAAACTAGGAAAACGGGTCAATGTCCTAAAAGAAAGCAGGCTGGGTAAACTAGGAAAACGTGTCAATGTCCTAAAAGAAAGCACGCTGGGTAAACTAGGAAAACGTGTCAATGTCCTAAAAGAAAGCACGCTGGGTAAACTAGGAAAACGTGTCAATGTCCTAAAAGAAAGCACGCTGGGTAAACTAGGAAAACGTGTCAATGTCCTAAAAGAAAGCAGGCTGGGTAAACTAGGAAAACGTGTCAATGTCCTAAAAGAAATCATTGCAAATGTTCATAACTTCTCTTCTATAGTTGCAAAAAGTGACAGGTTCAATTCTTATTCTCTTTACAAGAAATGAATCTGACTTGTTTTCATCGCTCATTCTGACGTCTGCACATTAAAATGTACATACGACACAAATTTTTTTTATCGTCCTAAGCAAAGGATTTCCTTCCTCGTGTGCTATGTAAGTTTTTGGGATAAGTAAATTTGAGGATTTACGTTCAGTCATTTTCTAACGAACAAATCTTAAAATCATGTTTTACTTGAGAAATTTGCTGGTTTTTTGTTCAACTGAAAGTTCCTAAAAATGCTATGAAAACTGATCACTTACCTAATACATAATTCATAAGAAAATATGAAAGTAAAAGCTATGTAGAAATTAGGAAAGACTCACCAATAAATCTCAGATTTTCAAATCCCAACAGCCTCAATAGTTCTCGAAGTAAGCATGCAAAAATCTTTGTTAAAAAGAAAGTCCATTGCAGTTTAAGGAAATCATACAATGAACATGTTTGTAATATATGTTACCTTGAAAGCCAAAAATACAGTAAAAAGTTTTTTCTGATCAGATAATAGCCAGAGGCGTAACTAGAACGTTAATTGGGGGGGGGGTGTATATTCATATATTCACTTGTCCCCTACTGATTTCTTTGGAAATTCAAATTACTTTCAAAAGAAATCAATAGAGCACAACGGAATATATGAATATGCACCCCCCAATTAACGTTCTAGTTACGCCTCTGATAATAGCATTTGACAAAGTACGCAGCTTACTTTTCATGTGATGGGAATTCTTGCGACTTTGATCTGTTAAAGTAAAACAAGAGAAGTGAGAAACGTGCTATAGAAAGATTAGTAATTCATCGCTACAGTAGATAAAGTAGTAGATTCAAAGCTAGTGTTTGCGCAAAAAAAACAAATGTAGAGAGAAGTCAAACACTAAAAATGAATACAAAAGTAGAGACGTCGAGGTAACTCGTTGATATTTCGTCAGTAACATACGGTTATATTAAATAAAGTATTGTAGATTAATCGCTAACGTAGTGCTGACACATAAAAAGCCCCAAAAGTAGAGACAAATCAAACACTAAAATAAGTACAAAAATGCGGAGGTTGAGACAACTCATTGTTATCTTGGTATCTCGTCCTTTTATTACACTAAATAGTGCACCCATTACTAACGGATGTAGACGCAAAGACACACAAAAATGAGAGAAAAGTAGGTACAAATTAGACCTGCAAACACAAAAAGCAAATACAAAAGAGGCCAAATATAGACACAAAAGTAAGCGATAAGTTGGGTAGGTTGATGTAACTCTCGTTTCACCTGCGAAGAAGTTTAGATGAATTTTCAACAGCCTCGACGCTTTCTTCTTCAATACCTGTCAGCAAATAACGATGAAGAACAGTTGAACTTTGATACAACAAAGATAAATAAAAAATCCTAATCTCGCGTAAATTGAGACGTGCTATGTAAGGTCTTCTTTTAAAAAAACAATACGTGGATAACAGCATGTACAACGTATGTGTGAATTACTTGTCCCTCTGACTACTCTGCTCCATAAAGACGTTTTTGATAGTAAAAATAGCTTGGAAGCAATGACAAAGAACACAGCCTACTAGATACCTGACTCCACCGAAATTTATAGCAAGCTACCAGTGAAGCAAGCCACTGTTTTGAAAGCTAGCAAAACTCATTGATTTTCTTGTAGTTTTGAAAACACTTCCATAATACAACAGAGAAAATTCAAAAGTGAAACGACTGCTTCGTACTTTGGTTTTCTTCGTCCTTTCTTTTTCCTTCGAGGCGTCTTTCCTCTCCTTCTTCGCGTGAGTTGTTTGATACTTACGAGAGCCCTTCCTGAAAGCGGCAGAAATATTGGGAAAGATCAAAGCTTGATGACAACGAAATATTTGAATGCAAGAATATGAAGAACAAATTAAGGGGCTGATACATTAGCCAGAGTAGCCTGGATTCAGTCAAGCGATAAATGACTTTGGAAAATGAAAACGATTCAATACTCATCATCAGATAAATCTTCTCTGGCATTTTCACAGTATTCTGGTTTCATAACTGCACAAAACATTTAGAATTACAGCAACCAATTTGGCCTAATTTGAAAATTACAACAGGAATGACTTGCGGCGCTCAATAAACAGCTGTAATTTTTACGCTTGAAGTTTTGACTCCTTTCAATATCTCGAAATCATTTCACGCCTCACTGAAAGTCGGTTAGACGGGATCATGTAAACAGCCCCTGACTGATAGAAGACGATAAACATGAAATCGACATCGTTTCAAGTAATACCAATGTTAATGCTGCACTAACAGAAGTTTGATATTTTACCTTATAAGATACAGACCATAAAATAACGTTAGAGATTTAACAATAAAAAAATCTGCTACTTAGATAATGCAAGGTAATAAGATTAGCCTATAGTAAACCTGTATTAAGCGGTCACCTTTGGGGATTCCCGTGGGATCGACTATAACCGTAGTTAAATACAACACAGTAAATTTTGGTATTGAAATTTTGACAAATTGGTAAATTTCCAAAGGTCTCTTTTGCATCCGGTATATAAAAATGTCATAGTCGAAAGTGGCGACAGCCAAAAATAGTCCCAAATCTTTGCTTGCATCAGCATAAAGACTTTGACAAGTCCCAGAAGAAAAAGTGAATGACATAATGTAGAATTGTAACGGCTATGGTTACTTACCGGACGATTCATTCAGCTTCGAAAAACAACGAAAGATTAAGTTTGGAGCCTTTTGAAAGGGAGCCGCGTCCGCTTTATACTAGACGACCGTACAGGAAAAGTCATTTAATAGCATTTATATTAAAAAAGTTTAGGACAGTGCTACATACTCGTTTGAAAAAGGAAGACTTCTCTCGAAAAACTCCCGCCTCGTTAGCAACCAATCAAATCATGTACGATTCATCAAAACAACCGCTGACTGACAAAACCCATATGACATCACAAAAAAACTCACCTCAATTTAGATGTTGTTTTTATCGTGCTCGAGATGCATGACGTCGTGTCGTCGATGACATCTTCTTCCTTCTCTGTTCGATCCGTTTCAGAATCTATGAATTCAACAGAGAGACAGTTACAGCTGGTACAGGATATGGAAACGCGATCCTCTAGAAGGAGTAAGCGAATGATGGGCGCTTGGGTGTGGTCATGTACGAAAAAAGTCCCATTTTGACCGGACGTTTCATCGATGTTCTCGACCGAAATCATCACTTCATATGATAATGAAAAAAATTTTTCCCACGAAATGCATTTGTTTCCTTAAGTTCATCACTTGCAATATATATCAACCTTTTCAAACAACGAGGTGCAGGATACAATGAACCACAATCAAAGAGGAAGGACTGTCTATCCCAAATATTGTCAAATTTTACTTGTACGCATAAAATTGAACAAAATAGAAAATTCATTCACCTTCTTTTACCGACGATGGTTTTTCAAATGAACGGATGTTTTCTTTCTCCTCTTTCGCCTGAACGATTATCAATGCAAATTTCAACATCAGCGAGAAATGTGATCAAGGACAATCGATGTCAGAGAGGGAGAGACTACGAAGCATCTCGAGAGGAGAGATGTAACATAACGAAGAATGAGAGACGTCATGATCGAAGGAAAGAGACTCCTTGCAGGTGTACAGATGATTTTGAAATAAAAAATGTTACTGAATGTTACTAAATGTTACTGAAATAAAAATTAAAACCTCGACGCTGGCATTTACTGTCGTCTCTCCGAAACTATCGTTGTTACTTCTTAAAAAAAGTGAGATGTCTTTGATTTTTTTTTAACCCGGGAGTATCGTCAAATGTTTGTAGATGTAGATTGTCCAGCTTAGTAGAGTCCCGTGAAGGACTGTTGGTGTTGTTGTTGACTGACGTTTGGACGACCCTAGCGGAACTCTGAAGATGACTACCACTAAGGTTGTCGAAACGTCAGTCAACACCAAAAACAACACTCCTTCTCAGGACTCTACTAACCTGGACGATCTACATCCACAAACATGTAATAATTATCATTATATAAAGTCGGCTTTTCCATTGTTAAGACATTCATTAGAAGATAATATGCTAAGAATACGGACACACTCACTGCACGCAAGGTAAAATGCATACCGTTTGTATAACATCTCTACCCTTCTCAGGTAGAAGAATCGCCCTGTCACTTTTCATGTTTTCCAGTAATTCTTTCTGCTGGTGTAGCTAGAAGAAGGCAAATGCACCCAATTAAAAACATCAAAGGAGAATCGCAGTAATAACCATACCTCTCTCATACTGGCGTCGTAACCAGTATCAAAACACAAGCTAACATCGCAACTTAGGTCAGGTTGGGAGAACCGTTTCGCTCTAAATCAAAGGTGTAGAAGTGAAATTTAGACTGGAGTGCGTAGTTTAGCGTTTATCGTTATCCACGAGGAATGTGGGCACACATGACCATAAATGCTAGGAAAATGCAAATAAAGAATGGATAAAGAGGATTTGTGACTCCACATGCACCAAGGAAAAAGGTCAAGTTATCAGTGGGGAGTCCGACTTATATATAAGCCAGCAGGGGCTATGTTTACTTCACTTTTCACCTTTCTTACAGACACAAGTATTTTTCAATCGGTCGCTAGACTAGCTTTCAATAGCAGGCACAACATCTTACTTGAAATTTATGACGTCGGAGAATATTTTATCATCGTCGTTCGCATTTTTCACGGCGGGCAACGCGAACGAATCCTTCATTTTTGCCATATGTCGACGTGCGTCGAGAACCGAGAGAAATCGTTCTGATCCTTCATTTTCACTCGCTACACAATGATACAAGTAACTTGTTTTAGATAGTTTAAAGCTTCAAAGTGATGGGAGCTCGTACCATTACCTGAGCTCATGTTTCGCGATGATAGTACACGGACATCATTCTCTTGCTTGATGTTGGGTTTAACTTCAGAGTGATGGGAACTCGTACCATCACCTGAGCTCGTGTTTCGCGATGATAGTACACGGACATCACGGACATTATTCTCTTGCTTGATGTTGGGTTTAACTTCAGAGTGATGGGAACTCGTACCATCACCTGAGCTCGTGTTTCGCGATGATAGTACACGGACATCATTCTCTTGCTTGATGTTGGGTTTAACTTCACAGTGATGGGAACTCGTACCATCACCTGAGCTCGTGTTTCGCGATGATAGTACACGGACATTACTCTCTTGCTTGATGTTGGGTTTACGAGATAATTGGTCCATGATGCAAGAGAACGAACCATGAGCACGTTCCAACACTCTAAAGAAGTTACATCAAATGAGAGCTTTGAGGTTTAACGATGAAAAACTGGAATTCCGGTTTCATAACACGAGAACGGGTGATGGGAAGCTAATACTTTCTGTACACACTTAACTCGAATGAGCAATCTTTATTGTAGCCATGGACGGATTTTTTTTTTACGGGAATCGTAAAACAAAATCTAAGGGGTTGAGCTGTTGAGAGTGACGTAAGACAAAGTAAGGGTCAAGATTTTAGAACCGTATATGTAGTGTAGCCACCAAAGGTAGCGTAAAGAGTTAAAACGTTGCTCAGAAAAACTCAGTTAAACTGTACTGTTGACTTATTTTGGCAAAAAAATTTTTTTTGGGGGGGGGAGGGTCGAATTTTTTCTTAGAAGTAGAATAATTTATTTGGTGGTTGAAATCTGACAATGATGGGGGGAAACGAGCTGCGCTTCCCTCCCCCCAGAAAATCTGTTGATGACTGTAACCATGCTTCCTCCACTCATACTCCAGCCTCAGTACCTTTTCCTAGCTTGAGCATCTTCAGGATCTTCATCGTCAATGTTGCCCTCGTCTTCCTCTGAAACCTGTTGCGTTCCCACAATGGAGTCGTGTACAACTTCCGACGTGTTCTTTAAAACGGATCCTCCAAAATAAGAGGGAAACATCCGACTTCTGATCGTGAGCGGTGAGAGATGAAGCTTAGGAGGAGCTGGGGACCAGTAAAACCTTTAAAAACAAAGCAAAAGTAGAAGAAATACAAGGATTCGGGCAGTAGAGAGTTGAGGTGTACCACGAAATGCTCATATCAAGGTGCTCTCACGTTAAGGCATCAAAAAGAAAATGAAAAGTATAAACTATATCTGTAAACTACATTTTCAAAATAATGCATGAAGGAATAACGGTTTTAGTTTTTTTTATAGAAAGTTGAGCAGTTCGCTGGTCTCATTCGTACGTCATACTTGAACTACTCTACCAGCAGTAACTTTATACAGTAACTTTAAGAAGGTTCGCTGGTCTCATTCGTACGTCAAACTCAAACTACTATACAAGCAGTAACTTCATACAGTAACTTTAAGAAGGTTCGCTGGTCTCATTCGTACGTCAAACTCAAACTACTATACAAGCAGTAACTTCATGCAGTAACTTTATGAAGGTTCGCTGGTCTCATTCGTACGTCAAACTCAAACTACTATACAAGCAGTAACTTCATACAGTAACTTTAAGAAGGTTCGCTGGTCTCATTCGTACGTCAAACTCAAACTACAATACCAGCAGTAACTTGATACAGCAACTTTATGAAGGTTCGCTGGTCTCATTCGTACGTCAAACTTGAACTACTATACCAGCAGTAACTTCATACAGTAACTTTATGAAGGTTCGCTGGTCTCATTCGTACGTCAAACTTGAACTACTATAAAGCAGTAACTTCATGCAGTAACTTTATGAAGGTTCGCTGGTCTCATTAGTACGTCATACTTGAACTACTATACAAGCAGTAACTTTATGAAGGTTCGCTGGTCTCGTTCGTACGTCAAACTCAAACTACAATACCAGCAGTAACTTCATACAGTAACTTTATGAAGGTTCACTGGTCTCATTCGTACGTCAAACTTGAACTACTATACAAGCAGTAACTTCATGCAGTAACTTTATGAAGGTTCGCTGGTCTCATTCGTACGTCAAACTTGAACTACTATACAAGCAGTAACTTCATGCAGTAACTTTATGAAGGTTCACTGGTCTCATTCGTACGTCAAACTTGAACTACTACACCAGCAGTAACTTCATGCAGTAACTTTATGAAGGTTCACTGGTCTCATTCGTACGTCAAACTTGAACTACTATACAAGCAGTAACTTCATGCAGTAACTTTATGAAGGTTCACTGGTCTCATTAGTACGTCAAACTTGAACTACTATACCAGCAGTAACTTCATACAGTAACTTTATGAAGGTTCACTGGTCTCATTCGTACGTCAAACTCGAACTACTATACAAGCAGTAACTTTATGAAGGTTCGCTGGTCTCATTAGTACGTCAAACCTGAACTACTATACAAGCAGTAACTTCATGCAGTAACTTTATGAAGGTTCGCTGGTCTCATTCGTACGTCAAACTTGAACTACTATACAAGCAGTAACTTCATGCAGTAACTTTATGAAGGTTCGCTGGTCTCATTAGTACGTCAAACTTGAACTACTATACCAGCAGTAACTTCATGCAGTAACTTTATGAAGGTTCACTGGTCTCATTCGTACGTCAAACTTGAACTACTATACCAGCAGTAACTTCATGCAGTAACTTTATGAAGGTTCGCTGGTCTCATTAGTACGTCAAACTTGAACTACTATACAGCAGTAACTTCATGCAGTAACTTTATGAAGGTTCGCTGGTCTCATTCGTACGTCAAACTTGAACTACTATACAAGCAGTAACTTCATACAGCAACTTTATGAAGTTACCTCCCTCTTTAGGTAGAATGTAAAGGCACATCACCTTGTCGAATCATCTTTGATGTCAATTTTTACACCTTTAATAACAAGGGGCTCTTCTAAAGCTGGTGAAAACTGAGAAAAGAACCGTAAAAAATATATGTAAGATATTAAATTTCAAAAATATAAATTCTTGATGATGCTAACATGAAATCAAACCCACTCCAAACTCTCTTTATTCCTCCCTTATTCCTGACAGAAAGTAAGGAAAATGACAGAAAAACCTACAATGTCCCGAGCGAGTTCCTCTAAATCTTCCAATGTATCTTCCTCACACTCGGACTTGGCGAGGATATTTCGAGCCACATCAGATAATCGTGTCTTCAAGTCATAATCAGCCGCCACTTGTTCCCAGTCCACGTACGCATTTTGCGAACATTTGAAAATGCCATCACGCAAAGGATGCATTCGTTCGATTTGCTAAAAATATCAAAAAATGAGCGCGCGTCAGATTCGATCGGTTGAAAAAAATACAACAATGGAAAGAAAAACGGTTTGGATTTGCTACGAGCTGGTGGTGCTAAAGTACGTCGGATTTGATTGGTTGAAGTTGTACTCTAATGAAAAGAAAAACGGTTTGGATTTGCTATAAGATGGTGGTGCTAAAGTACGTCGGATTTGATTGGTTGAAGTTGTACTCTAATGAAAAGAAAAACAGTTTGGATTTGCTACAAGAAGGTGGTGCTAAAGTACGTCGGATTTGATTGGTTGAAGTTGTAATCTAATGGAAAGAAAAACGGTTTGGATTTGCTACAAGATGGTGGTGCTAAGGTACGTCGGATTTGATTGGTTGAAGTTGTACTTCAATGAAAAGATAAATGGTTTGGATTTGCTACTAATATAAAAAAAGAGGGGAAATTTGATTGGTTGAATATGTACTTCAATGAAGATATAAACAGTAACTAAATGCTGATTGGGTTTACATTGGGTTAGATTGGGTTAAATTGGGTTAGATTGGGTTGCATTGGGTAACATTGGTTGTATGGCGAGACGTTAGTTGGCAGACGCAACTCTCTCACAAATATCGACCGACAGTCTTTTATACATCACACTAATAGGAAATAGATCACCTGAAGATCGAAAACACCACGATTTTAGATGTTAGTAAGATTTGCGTTGAGAAAGAAATGTCAGAAAGTACCATTTGTGGGTGAAAGGTGCATGTTGAAGAACAGATGGATACCTGTGTTATGGGCGCTTTATTGTAACGATCCGAGACGATTCTATGCTTGTCCACTGTGTGCATGTCTCTGGATACACGAGTCATATGGGCAGGTAACTCAAAACTGTTCGTTTGAGAGCAAAAATGATGAATGTTCGTCTTTTCATTGGCCTAATAATCAAATGACGTTACGATGTTATACCAAACATGAAATACACAGAAGTGACTGGAACCGACCTTCGTCATCAATGACGTATCCTTCTTCTGCCACGTTGATAGAAAAGTTACGTCATCACTTGCGCCGCTAAATGCCGTCGTGTGTGGTCTCGATGCAACAAACTTACTTTGAACGCTGGGTCTTTGGGATAGTCCGGCTTTCTTGCCAGAAATGTTCACAATGTCAGAGGCTGTAACTTTCAAGGGAAGATGCATATTCTTGAAAATGAAGAGATATTCTATTATCATACACAGTTTTCACTCTTATACCGTTAGCAAAAGGAAGAAGAATCTATCGTAAATACCTGTAAAATTTGCCTAAGATCATCATGTTGAGGAGCAACATCAATGTTTTTCATGTTATTAAGGCCATTTGGGTCGTCAATGTTTTCTGATTTATTGTTTTTCATGTTATTATGACCATTTGGGTCGTTCATATTTGCTGCGTCAAGCTTATTCCCAATTTCTTCAACATCTGCAGCATTAAATGACACCAAGTCATTTTTTCGATCTTGTGAAGGATCAGATGGTGCAGTAGAAACACCATGATCTCCTGATGATGGGATCTCCAGGGGGGGAGGAACTGATAGTGAAATAGGTACATCATTATTACCAGATGATAATGGAATCTCCTGGGGTGGAGGAACTGATGGTGCAATAGATACTTCATGATCCCCAGATAATGGGATCTCCAGGGGTGGGGGAACTGATGGTACTGTAGATACACTATGATCCATTAACAATGGGGTCTCAAGGGGCGAAGGAACTGATGGTCCAGAAGATACATCATGATCCTTTGATGATGGGATCTCCAGAGGTGGAGGAACTGATGGTGAAATAGGTACATCATGATCCCCAGATAATGGGATGTCCAGGGGTGAAGGAACTGATCTTCCAGAAGATACATCATGATCCTTTGATAATGGGATCTCCAGGGGTGAAGGAACTGATGGTCCAGAAGATACATCATGATCCTTTGATAATGGAATCTCCAGGGGTGAAGGAACTGATGGTCCAGAAGATACATCATGATCCTTTGATAATAGGATCTCCGGTGTTGAAGAAACTGATGGTTCAGAGGATACATCAGGATTCCCCAACAATGGGATGTCTAAAATTGAAAGAACCGATGGCCTAACAGAGTCGGAAGTCTCTGAATTACCAGCTGTTAATTGAGACAATTTCATCTGAATGAGACGAGAAACACTGAGTTCTGACTTTTCGTGTGTTGTATGCAAATTCTGCAGGACATCGTCAAAGTTTGCATTTTTATTTTGTTCATCTTTGGTAAGCATATTAGAACTATGATCTCTCATTGATGCTCTGGACATAAGACGACTTTCTGGTCCAATTGATGTCTTACTTGAAATCTCATCTGAAGACCTTCGAAACAACATTAAGAATCAATGTTTAAGAAGAATAGAAGATTTTTATGGAGTTGTTCTCTATCTGATTCTCTATCTGAATACTCCTTCTCTATGTAAATACTCACTAAGTTTTTTGAACACAAGACAAAGATTTTTCTTACCAATCCAGCACAAAAGGTTCATCATCATCGAAAGTTGTTCTTCTTTTGCTTTTCACAAAACAACTGTCTTTCATATCATCAAGTTTTCGTTGTGCAAGGTATACAGGCATGGATGTATTTTGAGAACCAGTGATGGCAAACTTTGCTGAAGGTTTGCTGCTGGAAAGGTTGAACTCGTGAACTTTTTGCATGTAAAGATAGTCTGTTGCCATGTGCCTTTCCTGTTGAGCAAATAGATGATACAATTGATTAGATTGACAATGTGCCTACAACTAAATGCAAAAAATTTGAAGAAAGGCTATGAAAATTAATGCCTCTTTGTCACCTAACATATCGAGCAGGCAAAATTGAGTAATGATACCCCATTAACTAGTTTCAATCAAAAAATTCATAATTATTTCATCACCTTTCTTTTTTCAGTTGAATCATCAAAATCAACATCCGGTGACTTTTTTTCAATTTTCTTTCCCTGCATGATCACCTTGAGGTCGGGATTGTCAGGTCTTATTGAAACCACTCCCGGCTCATGAAGACGTGGTTTCGTTTTCAAATCTTCACTCTTTTTCAAAGCCATTTTTTTATTCGTACTTTCCTTCATTTCAGGAGGGCTTTGACGAGTTACTCGTGTTTTTTGGTCATTCCGATTAGACTGTATCGAGCTTTTAGCTTTTTCTTCTGTTATGAATTGTTGTTTTCGTCTTGGGGAAGCTATTCTAACAGCAAGACCCCTATTTGAAAGAAATTCGTTCTTTTCCTGAATTTTTAAGGATTCGTACTCTCCTTTTGACTTTTTAGCCAAGAGTTCAAGCTCTTTTCTAAACTCGACAGAGGCCTTGTCATATTTCGTTGCCCGTGTTTTCGAAGGAAAATAAGACATTCTCTTTTGTCCTTCTCCCACTATACATTCACAAATAACATATTTTACTCGTTGCTTTCTTTACATGACACTATAACATTTTCAAATTATTTCTTCACTGCAAAAACAGACGGAAATATTCAACTTTTCTCTATAAAATTCCCTCCGCCATATTTTCAAACGTTGTCATGGTTACAGACAATCACGACAGCAGACCGTTGAACTATTTCAGGAATAATAACTTCATCATCGCCAATTCATTTTATCGTCTATTTTATCCGTGATTTTATTTTATATTATTTAAGTTTTTCGCCATATTCAAATTGATGTAGATGAACATTTATGAATAAAAGGGCAGCTTTAATTGATAACGAAGCGAATGGAGCTTGAAGCAAAGACATTTTTGATAAGAAAACTTCTTCAACAGAACACGCCAGCGAAGCTCTACTACAAAAAGCAAAACTGCCAAAACTCGTTGAACAGTTTCGCTCTCTAAGTCATCCAGATAATACGATGTTCTTGGTAAGAATATAGTTATTATTATATAATATTCTGTAGTACTTATATTTTCATTACTTTATAACTTTGTTGCCTAACATAAAAATGTTAACCTCGTGGTTTTGAAAAATTTTCCTCTCGTAAAATGGTGCAGACTCCTTCTTTTCCCGAGAGAATGCAAACATGCAATAGTTGTTAAAATGCCAAACGTCTTTCATTCAATTTCCAAGATGATTTTTCTACAAGCCCTGAGTGTTTACGCTCTACAAAATTTCCATTTGCTCACTTGTTTAAAATACTAGTTATCTTGAATGTAGACGATTTCATTTCGGTTTAAAATATGAATTTGCATGATTGGACGTTTTTTATAAAACACTGTGTTTGTAATTCACTTATATAATAAAGGATTTTTAAAAGAGTTGACTGCACTGTTACAAACCGAACGTCAAAGGACCACACTAAAGTAATGAAGTACCTTCCTTGTTAATACACCAAAATAAAAACTCCGTTTCAACGGTCACAAATCTCTTATGGTGAAGTTGTTGGAACTGTTGCATTTGCTCAAATTGTTTTGATAAGTCAAATGTCACTGTGCCAACGAGACATGTAGTATTGGACGATATGAGTCAGACGTCAAGTGATTTTCTTGTCAGCCCATGGCTGCTTGTCACCGGACACTAGAAAGGCGAAAAAGATCGACGCAACGAGATAGATAATAAGTGTGATCCAAAACACGATCTTCCATTGCTCAGGATCCTAAGAATAACAATGATTTGATTAATGCTTACCATTGACCGATGCAATTCGTGAAGGATTTTAATTTCACCACTAGCACGCGTCCACCTGTAAGTCTTATGGGCATAAAAGCTCGTAAGCCCTTTTTCTTGGGCTTTTACATGGGTGGAGGGGCTGTAAAGGAGGGGCTAATGCATAAACTATATTATGCTTCAGTAATCTTGAACGTTACACTGTTAAAAATATGGGCTTGTATCGCCTTGTATGCTTGTGGGGTTTTCTGTGGAATGAGTTGAGTGCCACTAACGTGTTAAGCTTATTCACTCGAAGGCTTATGCAAGTGGGCTTGTTGGCGGAGGTTAATGGTATCCAAAGATAATGCTCAGGCCGTAGCCAGAACGTTAATGGGTGGGTGTTTATTTATATATTTTTATTTGTGCCCGACTGACTTCTTTTTAAAGTGATTTGACCTTCTAAAGAAATCAGTCAGGCACAACTGAATACATGAATGTACCCTCACCACACCCATCCAATGGACGTTCTAGCTACGGCCCTGACAATGATGGTGGTAACTGTACCCGAATCTATTAATCAAAGACATGCGCAAAAAATATTATGCAATTTCCTTTTTTGTACTTCGTTCAGCACTGAACAAACGTGGAAAAATTTACAACCTTTGAATGTGCAATATATCCCGTTAGCATCGGACTTAGGAAACCAGGCAACGAGCCAAAAGTGTTTGAAAGACCCATCAACAGTCCTGCATAACGAGGAGCGATATCTAAGTGGTTGACAGCATAACCCGTGGCGTTTATACCAGAGAAACCGACTCCGAGGACAAGGAATAAGACACACAAGTATCGCTGGCTCACGTAGCTTGTTGCCACGATGAATATGCCGGCTAAAACACACCCTAAGACACGATTATGATAAGAATATTTCACAGTTTGAAACTTCAGTTCTTTCTTTTTCAGCGTATAAAACAGTGTATGAAATATGGAAATGGATTAGGAGTTTTTTGTTAGCTATATGATTAGAATTCGTTTTGAAGATTCATGCCTTTGGAATAGCTGGTAAAGGAGGGGGAAGTGCAGGATTTACTCTAGGAATGAATCTGAACAAAATATTTATTGTTTGTCCTCTCCCAATAACATCAACACTATGGCTTCATGATAACTAGCATATTTGTGTGTACAGAGACTCCCTAAATAGGGCGATTGCCATTTCTGTTATGTATACATGGGGATCCCTCTAATTAAGTACTTCATTTTCGATGTTTCGGATTTAAAAGTACTTACCGACAGCATAATATAATGCACGAACAGTTCGTATCTGCATGACATTGTATTTAATTAGAAAATCTGCGGATAGTCCAGCGACAGGTCCCAGCACTGCTTTCAGCAAGTATGGGCATGCAGCAAGAAATCCCGTCTGCAACAAGTGAAAATGGTGTGAGAGCATTTGAAACATCGCCATAAGTCAGCTGACAAGGAAGTGTTATTTTGTTTTAGAAACATACGTGTTTAATATCAAAGTGTAAAATGTCCTTGAGAAATGTCGGCATTTCCGTGAAGAGTGTGTAATACCCCCAGCATGCTCCAAAATGACCAATGTTGATCCCCCATACCGGTGGGGATCTTAGAATCTTCCCCCATGGTGGACAATCATTCTAAAGGAATAAAGATAGGAAAATATCTAATAACCACAGCATGTTCCAAAATAACCAATGTTGATCCCCCCTCCACACTGGTGAGAATCTTAAAATGTTTCCCCATGGTGGACAGTCAGAGTTCACCTGAATCTCTTCATCTGCGATGCTTTCTATGATATACTTCCGCTCGTCTTCGGAGATTGTCGGATGCACCAAAGGTGACTCATACGAAAAAAATTCCCAAATCAAATACCAGAGGATGCTCATTGTGCCTGGAGTAAGCAAAACAAATAAAATTTCAGCCGAAAGATCTCGGAAGCTTAGAAAGTCGTACCAGCCCGAAAGTTTTGGTCCTGCTTTGTAAATTTTAGAACATTAACATTGTTCAATTCTTTAGAAATCCATTGTTTTCACGGAACCCGGGACCCTATTTGCGTGCTTGCTACGCCAGTGCAAACAAGAGGCTCATCTTGAACTCAATGTCACAGACAAAGTAGAGGAAACAACTATTGAACAATGGTCAGAGGCTTGGCAAGCCATGGGTGTCTGGGACCCTGGGTGTCCAAATACGTAAAGTTTTTGGAGTATGGAGGAATCTTATAGGAAAGACATGCATAATCTTGGTTTGATATGTTGACTGATGTCATGTTTTTAAAAGTGCGCCACATTTTCAAACAAATGAACAAAGATGATGCAATTAAGAAAAGAAAACTCCATAAAAATACCTAATATCGAGCAGTTTCATTACCACAGATCGACTATTGTGGGTGATCGAGCGTGGAACTGCCACATTTTTTAGAAGCTTCCTAGTGTGATGACATCATCAACAAAAATGTGTTCATTACACTTGTGAAGCTACAATCAGCTTTTATTGTAAGTCTGTTTATGACAGAAATGGTGGTAAAATGAACATGCTGCTGTTTTGTATTTGTCTCAAGTATTGAAATAGAATGGACCTTTTTTGGAACTTGTTTCTTTTACTCTTCTTTAACTAAATCGTCGGCAGGTAAAACATGACCGTATTTTCTCTAGTAAACAATTACACTAGATCACTTACCAAAGAAATAAAAAACTGTGGGCCAGCCACCATCAAATCCATATTTACAAAGTAGTCCTGTCACGGGTAAGGCAACGATGTTTCCAACTGCAGCACCTAAATGAAAGTTCCATGAGGAATGCACGTGTTACGTAGAAAGAAAATAAGGCAACAATGTTTCCAACTGCAGAACCTAAATGAATGTTGCACGTGGAATGCACGTATTTCATAGAAAGAAAGGCAATGATGTTTCCAACTGCAGAGCGTGAATGCAATTTGCATGTGGAATGCACGTTTTACAAAGAATGTATACTAACAATTTGATAAAGAACGAATCGTGAAGATTTACCATGCAACCTTTCTTACCAGCTATTGCCGCTGTCACAAGTGTACTGCGCTCAGATACTGGAGACCATTTACTCCAGATTGCGTGGTTACATGGATAACTAACGCCCTGAATGAATAAGGTAGCAACGTACTTATGCTCACTAAGAAAAGACCTTAACCAACGCCTATCGAAAGTCAATGTTTTACCTACCAGGAAAAGACCTTGAAGAACACGCACACCAATCAATGCTCCCGCGTGATACCTCGCGGCAACAGGAGTCAATAGTGCGAGAAGAGCAGCGAGCAGAACTCCGTAGCCGAACACCCGTGTTCCACCAAGTTTCAATGCAATCCAAGCTCCAGCGATTTGCAAAGCCCAATAACCATAAAAAAACGAACCCAAAACGATACCTACAAGAAACAAATGAGCATATGCCACGTTTGAATCAGACAGGTACAGAGCACTCAATTTTCATTCAGATTGTTGAAATGATTGCAGACATATTCAAACTGCATCACCTTGTGTTTTTGAATCCCAGTGAAATTCGGCTGGCATCCTTGTCTGCACACCAGCTTTGATCACTGTTCGATTGTTCACCATGGCAACTAATGCAACATTCAAGTTTACACGAAGTCCGTAGATGTTGACAAAACCAAGAAAAACCAAGAACAGTAAAAGGTAACGTTTAGGTAGTCTGTTACACAACAGACTCTTTGAAGTTCTCGATTCTCCTTCGTTTTGTTCAGATGACATTTCCATGGCTTTCTTTTCATTCAACACATTTTCTGTCGGATTGAGATGGTGTTTCGATTCTCCGTGAGTAGCGTTAGCATCTTCTGAGAGGGTAGTTTTGTCTGTATCTTTAGTAGCAATTGCTTCATTTTCATTTGGGCTTTTTTTATTTCCTTGGTGAGAATCGTCGGCTTTCTCCTCGTCGCTCATGCTTTCAACTTTGAATCAATTTCACTTCCCTTTAAATCGCCATGTTGTGAATTGCTCAACTGAAATTTGTAGAAATTTTGAAAAGAGAGTGACCACGACAAAATTTATAATTAACTAAGTTAGGCGTCTTGTATCGCAATTCTCTCAGAATTCACATCAGTACGTTGACTATAGTATTAGGAAATAGAATATTATGAAACTTTTAATTTCCTATTACTTGGAGTATAATATCGCAGATAATAAAATAGAGACTTTGTCGTGGTGACAAATCTGAAAATAGTTCTAAAAATAGCAAATACCATACTGAATGGCAAAAGTAATATAATAAGTCGATAGTTCTTAAAAGAACTGTTTTAAGTAAAGAGCACTAACCCAATAGTTCTAAATTGAACGACACGATGCATTTCGGCAGACTACTTCTCAGGTGTCAACGTCTGCTAAAGGAAAATTTACAATCTACCGATATTTATAATGCTCTGTTTTGAGCGTCATCTCCCCTTTTGGAGATGACTTACACTCTTTCTTGGCATTATAAATATCGGTAGATTATAAATTTTCATTTAGCAGACGTTGACACCTGAGGAGTAGTCTGCCGAAATGCGTCGTGTCGTTTAATTTAGAACTATTGGGTTCGTGCTGTTTACTTAAAACAGTTCTTTTAAGAACTATCAACTTATTATATTACTTTTACCATTCACTATGCTATTTGCTATCTCTAGAACAATTTTCAATATCGCAGATTTATAAGTCGACAAATAGTTATACAAGGCGAGTAGTAAAAATAACAATTTCAGGAAAATTCAAGTACAAAGTATGCACGAGTGCACAATAATTCCTGCCTTTAAACCTACATGTGAAAAGAAAATGGAAAACTCACACTGTCAATAACTAGCATACATTTCTTTTTTTCATCAAATTTTCCACTTTAATGACGCAACATTCAACTTGTCAAAGCAGTGAAAAACATTGCTCAGTATACAACGTCGAGTTTGCGATAAGTCTGTGCCTCCCGTAAAGATTAAGGCCATCGGGAGAAAATCAAGGAAGCGTTCAAAATGAAAGCAGGTGGCAATGAAGAGAAAATCTTGGCTAACATAACGATACGCAATCCACACAATATAGACGTTGATAGAGACATGTTTTCAGGGTCTCGAACTCTTTGAAAAAGTTGTAATTTTACAGGAATCGCTTTACTACACATAGACAATTAATAGCTGTACCATACATATACAATGGATGAATCAGTAATCTATTTGAGTAATTTATTAGTAATCTATAGTAATCTATAATCTATAGTAATCTATATAAGTAATCTATTAGTAATCTAAGTAATCTATTTGACAATATAAAATTGATGTATATGAAATCAACTTGCCCTGGATGATTGACATAATAAAATATACAAGAGAAACAACGTCAAAACCCTTTAAACTATAGGAAAGAAAATAGCGAAAAGTTTACCCTTTTTATTTTCTTTAATCTTTTGCCACAATTAGAAACGACAATTTTGTTCATTATAAGCGAGATATTTAGCTAGTCACTATGTACATCCTTTGCTACATGTAACTATTACTACTTTGTCTGTCCTGGCTCTTAATGGCTGCTATCATAATATCCATACTGTGTCATATGTAGTTAGCCACTTCTTCCAAAAATTTTTCATCTTGTTGAACAAATTTATTTTTACGTTTTAGATAAAGGGCCACCACAGTATGTGACCACCGAATACAAGACGATAAACACAATAAAAAAAACCAACAAGACAGTCAAGACTCTACTACAAAACTAGAAGCTTTACTGCAGATGAATGGTGAAAGAGATTACCAAAAAGTAAGATTGACTGATATACACTATGTTTTGCAACAAAAACGTGTAATGTAAATTATTTACATCGGCAAAATATAGCTTACGGTTTTCCATGTAATACGACGTACAACATAAGCGACCTCCATGCTTGCAGAGAAATGGACGAAAGCTTAGCTTTATGGAAGGACATATCAAAACAATGTTCTCTTTTTCAAAGGATCGTAAAAGATCGAGAAATAGAGTTGCGCAGTGGTTTATCTAGTTTAAGTCAAAATAAATTACTGCAGCAAATTTTGGCATATATTTACATTTCTAAGCCCTTCAACTAGAGGAATATCTATTGGTGAAATTATATTCTTTAGAAATTCAAAATAAATATTGTTTTTCCGAAAGTACTTTGAATTTAAAATTAAGGAGCTATAATTTATTTTGACGAGCGCTGGATACACTACTGGAGTTCCGAATGAAAAATCACATCGGGAAATTACATGAGCAACAAAGCTCGTGCAGTCAAATGACGTTGCAGTGTGTATCCATCATAATCCCATTAAATCAAAACATGCATTTCACATTTTGGACTTTTTCCTGTAGTAATTGTATTTCTGGAAGAAAAGAAGGCTCTGGAATGTCTATTTAGAGGGCTTACAGGGGAGTGGGGAAATTGCACATTTTTCGACCGGTGACATTTGACTGTAACCAATTTTTGGCTTTTGAGTTAAGCATCTTGCATTATACACTGTCAAGGCAACTACAACCATCAGCATGGACAGACAAAATAGTTGGCAAGGGCAGCCGAAAAGTATAAATTTAAACACCTGTAATTGAAAAACTGAAAGCATTTGTTGCATCCAAGCCAATCTTCACCATCATTGTCTTTGCACATTTTGCAAATATCAGTATTTTGTCTACAGCAACACAAAGAAATGAACTGAATTTAAAATGAATTTAAGTTTCTCATGCACTGTGTAAAGACTGGTTAAAACATACTCATGAATGTCATCATAGCATGAGCCAAATATGAGTGATATTAATTTCTCTCTCTCTAATTCCATTTTAAAATTTGTGTTGAAGCTTGAATTTTCACAAATACACCTTGCAAACTGCGAAAAGGAAATTGTTAAAATTAGTGGGTTTTGATGTATAGGGAATGTTGCTTGCATTTGTAGAGGAAGTTCAGATGTTACAATGTCGATGACTCTTTGTGTGCAAATAACCAATTAATTATCTACCCCATATGTCGGTTTTATAAGTTTGAAGATTGGTAAACCAGGCATGTTTAATATAGAAAAATGAAAATTTCTCCAAATTTTTTAAAATTATTTTGAACTTTCGACTTTGTGCTTCATTCCTTCTTCAGAATATTATAGGAAATTATTTACCATTGTTTTTGATTTGTAGACTAATAATTTCTATATTAATTTGATTTCTTAATTTTATATTAATTATTTAATTTTAGGATAGTAATTACACCACTCGTAATAAACTGTATGTATGTGTCTGAGCAATCACCACAAGAGATTTGCAAGAAGATTCCCAAATGTACTCCGCACACTTTGTATGTACAGGTGGAGTATTGTGAGAAGAGTACTCTTAGGAATGTTATTGACGAGGGATAGTACAAGGACCAACAGAGAATGTGGCGGCTTCTTCGTGAGATTGTAGAAGGATTAGTTTCACGTTCATTCACAGGTAGAAACTTTCGATTATTGTTTGTGCAAACTGTATGTGTGTGTAACTAAACATAAAAAAAAGGTGAACAATTTTCGTTTAGCTCGATAAATATATGTAAGACTTATTATTTGCTATTTTTCTCTAATATTAGCCAATAGGGTATTATTGAAGTAAACGCGTTTCGACATTTCATTGAATTGCAGTGTCATAGAGAAAGTTGTCTTTAATGGAATACCGAAAGCACTGTATACCATGAATATTACAAAAACGACATCAATCGCATCATAAATAATTACTATTAGAAATTTGAATGGTCATTATGTCCTGGACGTCCAGGTTGTATCAATCAGTAAATCACACTATTTTTGGCAGTATGCTGCTCAAACGGCGAAAAAGATGCGATGAAGACTAATGAGAAGAAGGATAAACGAAGTTTTCTTTGTATATTTTGATATTATGTAATTTTTTCAATCGAAGGCAAAATTTGTTCCTGACAGGCAATCTTATAGCTTTGACGAAACTAAAGCAATGGATGCGACACGGCCCCCTAAAAAGAACGCTCATACAGCAAAAATTTCGAGTTCTTCAAATTTGTCAGTTGATGAAATTCTGTATTTGTTTGAACTATCAGGCTACGATCATGTCCATTCGCTGGAGGAAGGCATTTCTATGACGTCCGCAACTAACGAGAACCCAAATAATTTAGAAAATTCAGGTAAAGTCATTAACGATATAGAAATGAATCAAATTTCTAAATCTGTTGATAGTTTTGAAGCATTTCTCAATGAGATGGTGTGAATATTAGGTTAATTATGCATGTCGTGGAGCTTGACACTTTCAGCCGTTAAGATTAAAAATCAAACTTTCACAACAACAATAGCAATAAATGAAAAACCAGTCAGGTGCAAGAATAATCATTGTTATAAATACAGAAAAATTTGTACTGTAGGATTAATCTGTTTTCGTTTATGCATGCATAATAATGCATGTAAGAACATAAATTTCACTTATAAATCTGCCTAGACTAAATTTGAACAGAAACTGCAGCAGCAAGTACAATGGCAAGAATAAAAGGGCGAGACCACGTTAAAGTTTATGTTGAAAGAGAATTATTCGGTCACTGGAAGGGGCTCTCAACGTGGGTTGAACGTAAATTATTAACTATCAAAGCGGAATTACTGCGAGTTAACTACGTCTACCAGACAAACCAAATGTCAATGGATATACCGGACGAAATCTAAGCATTTGATAAGCATACAGTTTGTACCGAAGCTATGGAATTGAGTGATAGCGTAACGCAATAAACAAGAGCGCCGTGAAGACTATGAAGATTGGTTTCTTACAACATCCGATTTCCTCAACACAATGTTTAGAGATAATATGGCTGCGTTGTCAAATATCCTGTGATATGTTATAAGTGTCATAAACCATTGAAATGTAGGATATGACTCGTGAAATCGACATTCCTAAAGAATACATCTCAAAATCGGAACGATAGGAAAATTCATTTCCCATGCACATTATATAAAAGCTAAAAGAAGACAAGTTATCGGCTGCTTTAAAGCCTCCACCAACGTCAAGCCAGAAATATGTCATCCTCATATTTAACTACGACAAGTGCCATTGGATTAATAAAGCTAATATCGACAGCAGCCGCTAAAAGAAATCTGCATTGCTGAGCTGTAAGAAAATGTGCTGCTTTTGAAAGACTTACTTGTCTCTATCTTTTTCAAAAGAAGACATAAGTAACCATAGATGTTTTGCTAATGTATTATCAAACTAACATTAATATAAATGTATTTATTTGTACTACTCTTTCACTCTTTATATCAACATTCGACTACGAATATGATTTTTGGTTTGTTGCTTTATCTTTAGCTAAAAGTGTTCTGCTATAATTTTGATTCGAGACCTTCAATGGTCTATTTTTTTGCATAAAATATTTCAAGGTAGGAATGGTACTTTAAAATGACCAGTTGTCTTCAACGAACTCTCTGGTCTAGTGGATAGACACAACCTTTCGAGGTTGAGAGTGGAGGTTCGAACCCTGACTAGAATAAGATGTTGTTAGGCTGTAGGATGATCCGAAACATGGGAACATAGTGCTGGTTAATAGAACGAAAATAGGATTTCTATTACTACGTTTTTCGAGAATGGAATGCGACACTTAGTATAAATTCAGAAAAATTCGCTCCTCCCACGAGAAGGAGAGCGAAGAAAAAAAAAGATAGGATCCCATGCAAAAAAACCACTCTTAAAAAAACTAAGTCTTTTTCTCAAATTTTTTTATGACTCCCTATGATCAGGGAGTTCATTTTTTAAATTTTGAAAAGTCAGGAAACCCAAGAGCAAACAGAACGCCCTAATCATTCCTTTCTTACATCCAGGCACTCGTTCCTCAGTTCGACTTTCTGTCTTCCACATCCGCCGCGTACACCTGCCAAGTGTGTTGGCAGAGGGGCGAACCAAGGATCTTGTGCACCGGAGGTCATTGATGTCGAACTGAACGCCCAACATCGGCCAGTTGAGCTAAGCGCTCATCATCGAAAACCCAATGTTTTTTGGCGTATTTGTTAAATTCTTTTCAATGTGAAGCGAAACAAAAGGAGAAGGTCTCGAACCTTAGAAGGTCTTGAACCAGAGAAGGTGAGATCACTGCACCGGCATCTCTACCACTCGGCCAGACGGGTGAATTGGATAATTTATTTAAAACATGTCTAGTGCTTCTGACAAAACAACATTGCTTTCTTTTCTCTCGAGGCTCATATTTTATGCTGTGTTTAACTTGTACTTTGTCGCCATCATTGCAACGGTGAAGAAAGGGACTTACTACGCAGTAGAGCTGTCCAACTCTAACATTGCTGGAGAATAAATGTTTGAACTGAAAGGAGGAAGATTAATAAAGTATGCACAATGTCAGACTTTGCCATGTGGTAAATCAAAACAACAACGCGCATGTTCGTAGTCAATTTAATGGCGCTAGAAGTTTCTAACTTGTCTGTTCAAAGTTAAATAACATTTTGGACCGTCATGCATGATAATAGTGTAATGGTTTATACAAAAGCATATGGTTCCTACAGAACAGTATCCACTTACTAATTCATAGTCTATTCAAGTCTTTTTGTCATTTTACAATCTTGCCATGTCTTGAGTGTCATCATTTAAAATATAGTCAATGTAATCAATATAGCCAATGCGGTTTTTGTCTACATTTGTGTCTACCTTCTTGTCTACCTTTGTGTCTACCTTAATGTGATTGTCTACCTTTGCGGCTACCTTTTCATAGGACAAAGTTCTCATTTTGTTGAACACGATAGTTAAAAAATTAGTTATTTCATAGTCGAAAGTAGTCGAAGTACTCAAAGGTAGTCAATTCACCCGAGCATGTCTTTGGTCATTCTTTCCGATACAATGGCGTTGAGATCATTTGATTTTATGTTTGAACTAACTGAACTATTTTTTATCATCATACGCACCAACAATATTTTTTTCACCGTTGGTTTTGGTTGCGCACAGACAAGAGTTTAATAGCAAGGACAAAGAAACTTATGAAATGACGTCTTTTTATTATATCGTCTTTGATGCAATGACAGCTTTTTCTCTTTTAAGTAATTGATTACATATTTTTCTCTTCTATGTAATCGATTACATCTTTTTCTCTTTCTATTCTTGCATTTTCACAAATTTTCACATTTTTTTTTTCACACAAAGACTTTTATTCACTACATTTTCACTAAAAGACTATAATTCATGCATTTTCACAAATTTTCAAACTTTTTCACAAAAACGCTATAGTTCATGCATTGAATTCAGTCTTTGTGTGAAAAAAATTTGAAAATTTGTGAAAATGAAGTGAATTATAGCCTTTGAGTGAGAAAATGTGAAAAATTGGGAAAATTCGTGAACTATAGTCTTTTTGTGAAAAAGTTTGAAAATTTTGTGAAAATGCGTGAATTGAAAGGGAAAAAGATGTAATCGATAACATAGAAGAGAAAAAGCTGTCATTGCATAAAAGACGATACATAAAAAGACGTCATTTCATAAGTTTCTTTGTTCTTGCTATTAAACTCTTGTCTGTGCGCAACAAAACAAATGTAGACAAAAACCGCATTGGCTATATTGATTACAAACATACATGGCAAGATTGTAAAATGACAAAAAGACTTGAATAGACTATGAATTAGTAAGTGGATACTGTTCTGTAGGAACCATATGCTTTTGTAGAAACCATAACAATATTATCATGCATGATGGTCAAAAATGTTATTCATCTTTGAACAGACAAGTTAGAAACTCCCAGCGCCATTAAATTGACTACGAACATGCGCGTTGTTGTTTTGATTTACCACATGGCAATGTCTGACATTGTGCATACTTTATTAATCTTCCTCCTTTCAGTTTTAACATTTATTCTCCAACAATGTTAGAGTTGGACAGCTGAAAAGCGTAGTAAGTCCCTTTCTTCACCGTTGCAATGATGGCAACGAAGTACAAGTTAAACACAGCATAAAATATGAGCCTCGAGAGAAAAGAAGGCAATGTTGTTTTGTCAGAAGCACTTGACATGTTTTAAATAAATTATCCAATTCACCCGTCTGGCCGAGTGGTAGAGATGCCGGTGCAGTGATCTCACCTTCTCTGGTTCAAGACCTTCTAAGGTTCGAGACCTTCTCCTTTTCTTTCGCTTCACATTGAAAAGAATTGAACAAATACGCCAAAAAACATTGGGTTTTCGATGATGAGCGCTTAGCTCAACTGGCCGATGTTGGGCGTTTAGTTCGACATCAATGACCTCCGGTGCACAAGATCCTTGGTTCGCCCCTCTGCCAACACACTTGGCAGGTGTACGCGGCGGATGTGGAAGACAGAAAGTCGAACTGAGGAACGAGTGCCTGGAAGTAAGAAAGGGATGATTAGGGCGTTCTGTTTGCTCTTGGGTTTCCTGACTTTTCAAAATTTAAAAAATTAACTCCCTGATCATAGGGAGTCATAAAAAAATTTGAGAAAAAGACTTAGTTTTTTTAAGAGTGGTTTTTTTGCATGGGATCCTATCTTTTTTTTTCTTCGCTCTCCTTCTCGTGGGAGGAGCGAATTTTTCTGAATTTATACTAAGTGTCGCATCCATTCTCGAAAAACGTAGTAATAGAAATCCTATTTTCGTTCTATTAACCAGCACTATGTTCCCGTGTTTCGGATCATCCTACAGCCTAACAACATCTTATTCTAGTCAGGGTTCGAACCTCCACTCTCAACCTCGAAAGGTTGTGTCTATCCACTAGACCAGAGAGTTCGTTGAAGACACCTGGTCATTTTAAAGTACCATTCCTACCTTGAAGTATTTTATGCAAAAAAATAGACCATTGAAGGTCTCGAATCAAAATTATAGCAGAACACTTTTAGCTAAAGATAAAGCAACAAACCAAAAATCATATTTGTTGTCGAGTGTTGATATAAAGAGTGAAAGAGTAGTACAAATAAATACATTTATATTAATGTTAGTTTTGCAATACATTAGCAAAACACCTATAGTTACTTATGTCTTTTTTTGAAAAAGATAGAGACAAGTAAGTCTTTCAAAAGCAGCACGTTTTCTTACGGCTAAGCAATGCAAATTTCTTTTAACGGCTGCTGTCGATATTAGCTTTATTAATCCAATGGCACTTGTCGTAGTAAAATATGAGGATGACATATTTCTGGCTTGACGTTGGTGGAGGCTTTAAAGCAGCCGATAACTTGCCTTCCTTTAGCTTTTATATAATATACATAGGAAATGAATTTTCCTATCGTTCCGATTTTGAGGTGTATTCTTTAGGAATGTCGATTTCACGAGTCATATCCTACATTTCAATGGTTTATGACACTTATAACATATCACTGCATATTTGACAACGCAGCCATATTATCTTTAACATTGTGTTGAGGAAATCGGATGTTGTAAGAAACCAAGCTGCATAGTCTTCACGGCGCTCTTGTTTATTGCGTTACGCTATCACTCAATTCCATAGCTTCGGTACAAACTGTATGCTTATCAAATGCTTAGATTTCGTCCGGTATATCCATTGACATTTGGTTTGTCTGGTAGACGTCGTTAACTGGTAGTAATTCTGCTTTGATAGTTAATAATTTACGTTCAATCCACGTTGAGACTCCCTTCCAGTGACCGAATAATTCTCTCTCAACATAAACTTTAACGTGGTCTCGCCCTTTTATCCTTGCCATTGTACTTGCTGCTGCTGTTTCTGTTCAAATTTTGTCTAAGCAGATTTATAAGTGAAATTTATGTTCTTACATGCATTATTATGCATGCATAAAAACAGATTAATCCTACAGTACAAATTTTTCTGTATTTATAACAATGATTATTCTTACACCTGACTGGTTTTTCATTTATTGCTATTGTTGTTGTGAAAGTTTGATTGTTGATCTTAACGGCTGAAAGTGTCAAGCTCCACGACATGCATAATTAACCTAATATTCACATCATCTCATCGAGAAATGCTTCAAAACTATCAACAGATATAGAAATTTGATTCTTTTCTATACCGTTAATGACTTTACGTGAATTTTCTAAATTATTTGGGTTCTCGTTAGTTGCGGACGTCATAGAAATGCCTTCCTCCAGCGAATGGACATGGTCTTTGCCTGATAGTGTTTACTTTTATGTCTACCTTTGTGTCTACCTTTATGTCTACCTTTATGTCTACCTTTATGTCTACCTTTATGTCTACCTTTATGTCTACCTTTATGTCTACCTTTGTGTCCACGTTTATGTCTACCTTTGTGTCAACCTTTATGTCTACCTTTGTGTCTACATTTTGGCTATTGTTCTTTGAAGAAGGCATTTGATAAAATCGTGATTTAATCAGAAACGACATTAGTAAAAGGAAACGATAGATAGATAAAAAGTGGTTATTTTACAAAATAAGAGACGGCATAAACGACATTCGAAAAAGTTTAGTGAAATATAATCACAATGAAGTCAAAGACAGAATCATTTTCAGTGTGTTTTTATACATCGGGAGCTTCACTTGTAGATCTAGAAGACAACAAATGCGACGAAAAGGATGATTTTACCATACATTAAAGTATACAAATATTATCCAGTTTTTTTAAATGTAAGTAAAATTTTTAATAAGCAGCAAGCCTCTGATACGAAGGAAATGATCATTACTTGATCTTTATGAACAGGTAAACATAAAGGTAAACACAAAGGTAGACATAAAGGTAGACATAAAGGTAAACACAAAGGTAGACACAAAGGTAGACATAAAGGTAGACATAAAGATGGACATAAAGGTAGACATAAAGGTAGACATAAAGGTAGACATAAAGACATAGACATAAAGGTAGACATAAAGGTAGACATAAAGGTAGACATAAAGGTAGACATAAAGGTAGACATAAAGGTAGACATAAAGGTAGACATAAAAGACAAAGACACAAAGGGAACAAAGGTAGACAAAGGTAGACATAGGTAGACACAAAGGTAAACATAAAGGTACACAGGTAGACACAAAGGTAGACACAAAGCTAGACATAAAGGTAGACATAAAGGTAGACACAAAGGTAAACATGAAGGTAGACACAAAGGTAGACACAAATGTAGACATAAAGGTAGACATAAAGGTAGACATAAAGGTAGACACAAAGGTAGACACAAAGGTAGACACAAAGGTAGACATAAAGGTAGACATAAAGGTAGACATAAAGGTAGACAGAAAGGTAGACATAAAGATAGACAAAAAGTTAGAAATAAAAGTAGACATAAAAGTTGACATTAAGGTAGGCAAAAACGTGGATATAAAGGTAGATGCAAAGATAGGTAAAGAACATTGAAAAGACGACTCCTATGGAATGACGGCTTCTATGGAGTAACGACTTTTTAAAATCCATGCATATCCTATGACATAAAGACTTTTTCAAATTGAAGTTTAAATAGTCCTGATTTTAGTGAAATAGTTTTGTATAGATAGCTAAATGTCATGTAAAAAACACAGCTTCTACTGAATCAAACAGAATTTTACTGACATTCACAAGCCTTTTTTCGAATGAGCATAAAAATAACTATGTGCACACTTTGTTCCGTTTTTTTTAAGCAAACAGCTTCTGATAAGGTGTCTTCACACTATTTAGTGATACTTTCTGCAAAATCGAGAAACCAGATAATTCACTAAAGACGTCTTGAACTTTCAAACTTTAAACAGTTTCTTCACAGTATATCCCTGTAGATAAAATAGAAACACGAATGATATTTGTGGTGCAACGCGTTTGATTGTAAGGCCAACAACACTCACCGGCATTGAATACAAGAAGATTCCAATAAGAAGTAGGATAAGAAATAGAAAAATAAGACCGAAAATATGCCATTTGTATTTTCTCCATATTATAAAACGGATGGATTTCCATGGAGACGTAAACCAACGAAATGACGTCGCCGGGCGCCTGTGAATGGCAAATACACAGATTATATAAATGTTCAGTTTGTTGGAAATACAGTAATGTCGTATCGATACTGTTTCTATGATAAACCTAAAACTATAACCCTAGCTCCCGCACTTGCACCCAAATTCGGCGGTTGATACCACCACACTCCCCGTCTGGAAATTTTGAACCCCATACGTACTGAGGTTCGTCTAACACAGGATTAGTGTTTGGTTTATTGCGTCCCGTACCAGCCGGCTTGGCTTTACTCTCTTCAACGGTCAGCAACTCCAAGGACATTTCAACTTTACCCTATATGAATAAATGAATGTTTAAGAGACTTTGCCAGGAAGTAATGCACACAGTGTTCAGGTCACCATACTGCTAATATCCTTTTTTCTCCATCTTCGCCAATCATCGGCCACCAACCGTACATTCTTTTCTGCTCAAAGAGAGAAATTGCTTCATTTTCGCTGCTCAGAAATTTTACATCTTCCAAATCGGGTATTTGATGAAGACCACATTTTCTCGCCTTCTTTGCCGGCTTTATAACTTTGTTCAAATCAAGTTCGGCAGAGCCTGAACAATAAGAAGCATGTCACTCAGATACTGCGCGTTGAAGGAAACGAAATGAAAATACTGAAAGGAAACGCTACCTAGGAAATCATCGGGCGAAAATGAATCATTATCCCAGACTTGTATGATCAAAGTCGGCGGTAAGCGTTCCTCCCTATAGTCAAGACTCCAAAAATGGCTCTGGAAATAGGAGAAAAGTCGAAATGAAACATTGCTGCAAACAACAGACTCCATGATAACATACACACCTTCTTGTGGATAACCATAATTTTTTCTGCAGCAAGATATTCGAAAGGGAAAATCATCCTCCAATTGAAATTTCCTTCCCCGTTCAGAGATCTGTACGGACAAATTCAACTACACTCAAGAACAGCGATCTTAAGACTTAAACCAAAATGAGCTACACATGCATTTCCATGATAGTTTCACTATGGTAACGGATATCAGCAGAGGAACACAATATACCAAGAGGGAGGGGGACAGGAAGATTTGACACCCGTATACCCGCATAAGGATTACATTGGTAATACATTCTTAAAACAAAGTGTCCTATAAACGTTTAGGGTTTCACATATATCAGTATGCACAAAAGAAAACAGCTTCACAAACATTCGAAGCTATTTAAAAATTTGGTTTATAGAATATCTCTCGATCCAGGCAATGTTCAACAACGTTTGAATGACTATAAAGATGTTGTAAATTTAACATCATTTTTGTACAGAATTTTTGCAGCGAAGACAAACTTTTTCACTTCCTCACCCCTGGAGATTCACAGTTTAAGCTCGAAATGTGTACCACACGGCTTTGGTAATGGAAGACGGAGACTGAAGTGATTGGTTTTAACCCAGTGGGTATGGTTACATGTCTTTGTACGTGTAAATCGTCCAATGTAATAAAAGTGGTGTTGGCATGGATACGTCAGTCAATATCAACATCAACACCAAGTCCTGGGGATCAAATCCCGCATCTTATTGTGGTGAAATAACTTTTTTGGTCGTGCGTGGAAAGACTGGAACTAAGTAAATTGTTGATTTCAAATTTTCCCTGAGGGTGGTTTTATATTCAGTTCAGTGGATATGATAATAAAATATCACGATTTGTGCATTTCGTTGCTTACCTAAAGTGAACATCGGTTTTTTGCTTTTCGTTAATTCCTGCTATCCAACTAGAAAAAATAAAGTAGAAAATCACCAAACAATCTTGTTATTCTTACATAAAGTAATGCAGCGGAGCAATTCAAACATGTCAGAAGATGTCACGAAAACAGTCAAGAAACAACAAAATACTTGCGTTAAAGAGATGCGATTAGTTACCATTTCAAGTATATGTCACTCATTTTTTCGCCCATAAATGACGTATCATCCAAGATGACGTCACTCGTGTTCCAAATAATCACTCGCAGCTCAAAGGCACTGGGTTTTCTAGGAGATAAATCGAATGGCGGCCCGGGATTGCCAAGTCCTTTTGGAAATATATCAACAAACAATTGAAGCTTTCCCTGTAAAGGACATGTTCGAATCAACGGATGTATGCATGGCATTATGTACGTGGGTATTTATGGATATACGTGGGTATGTATGGATATACGTGGGTATGTATGGATATACGTTGGTATGTAAACTATGTATGGATGTACGTGGGTATGTATGGATGTTTGTATGAACGAAGGTAAAATACAACCCATACTTACAAACACATCGTTATGCATTCGCATGTGTACGTGTTCGTCAAGTATTTTTCCAAGGTCATTTGTAAGAGGCACTTTAACGAGTTGCGAATAAATAAGAACATAAGAAAGATAAAAACAGGTTTGTCTCACCTGTTCAATGCTAGGTTGAATACGATTGTATAATGGTCGTGTTTCCACATGTTCCGGAACGAAGATGCCAAAAGAATGAAGAACATGTAAAGCCAATCTTTGGCTTGGTGGACCCATGTGAGAGTGGACCGTTAGACCTCGCTCTACATAAACAAGATCAACATTTAATCAAATAAGCTCCGTAAACCACATGTAAATATGTGAGCAGAAAAACGTCATTGCAACGTTTGCATGCCAATTGTGAAACAAAATGCTTTTCCTAAAATTAATGTTTCCATTATTGCCATTCATTTGTTGCCATGCTCCGTGATAAAGTAATGTATCAGTATGTTTTTATAATGATGAAAGATGTATTCTGTTACATTGTTGCCATTCATTTGTTGCCAGGCTCCGTGATAGAGTAATGTAACAATATGTTTTTATAATGATGAAAGATGTATTCTGTTCTAAGATATATACCAACATAAAATGTAGACTATCTTAAAAAGAAATGCATACTATAATCTATACAACGTTGTATTCAAAATAAAAACATAACAAAATATCATCGTGCCCTTTTTCACATTGTTAAATCTTTAGAAAGCTCATTTTCCCAATCATACAACGAGAGATAACCACTTTTTCTTACGGAAAACAATGAGACATTCCATCGATTAAAGCACTTACCAAATTCAGTCAGATAATATGTTTGATGGTTGACAATAACTTGTGTGTTGCCGATATAGTAAGGCTTCGAAAGGTTCTCACTTTCGCACCATTTGGAAAGTATTTCCTTGGGACTTAAAGAATCACGCCATTGGTTTGTGCCAGATCTAGACAGAAAATCAACAAACATTCAAATGTAGCACAATGAGAAGGGCTCTGGCGAGCATGAAACCGAATTTCTGTCAATTAGTCTTTAGAGCTCTTCTAAATAATCATCAGAACATGCAATGTTTACAACACAAAATTTTTTTAATCTCGCAACAAGTGAAGGATTCTACAGAAGTTAGTTTTCATTTACGCAGACAGTATGTATTACCTAGTGACCAACACTAAGTTGTATTTCCTACCACAAAACACACATCCTCCCTCATGCTAAATCATGACATACACATCAAGACACAGGGATACAACGAGTCAGGATTAGTTCCACGCAACAAGAAAACAACATATCTTACATGCAATAGGTTTCGGGCAAACCACAGGTACCCCTATGTCTCGACAAGAATCTATTTTCCAAATCAATGATCGTTTCACCAATGACATCATCGCGAGAGATCCCATCGTAATCCATGACACGGACGCAAAGATCTTTGTTGATAGGAAAGGTGGCCGTGAGCTCAAACATCCTGCAAGAACATGAAAACCATTGTCAATGTCTCTTCTCGTTACAAACCTGTGGCCGGTTTCACGAAGCTTTTACAGTGTTATCTGTTGGTTAGTAATTTTTTTAAACTTGTAAAAAAGTGATTTTATTTTCTTGACGATAATGAAACTTTGTAATTCCGGAACCAATGTTGTATTTCATTGACTATCCAGTTTAAATCATAGATTTTCCCCTTTTAATAGAGTTATGAAGTGTTCAAAAATATTGCTTATCCATTGAATCGCCCTTATACGGCCTTCGTGCAACCCCACCGCCGATATGACACTCAAACTAGCAATGAAAGCGTTGCAATACCTTCCAAAGATTGGGTTGAGAGTATTCGGAACATATTTATCTCGATTATCAAACTTCTGTTTACCAAGTTCCACAATCAAATATGGATCAGCCTATTATGAAATATCAGATAGCAAGAAAGTTGTCATAACCGAAAATCTATTGAACGCGAGCGTAAACTACGAACCAATCCGTTCGCATCCATGGGCTGAAGGTCAATACCCTGAAACAGTTTGAAACACAATTTAGCAAAACGCAGAACAAAAGAATAAAGACATAACAAAGAAGAAGAACATAAAGTGGAAAAGAGACGACTGACAGTAGTTAACTTGAGTAACATTTCTTACCTTTACGACGTATAGACGAATGATACATTCAACAGGAGAGCTGGGAGGTAGGTTATTTAAATGCTTCGGAGGTAGAGGTTCCTTAGGGTTGTTGGGCAGTGGATACACTCGAAAAGTTCCCTGAAATAAAACAATTTGAATGTGAATTGATTTGCTCGGTCTTAACGTCATCATTTGGCAAAATAGCCTAAATATTAGAAGATTGCCCAGAATTAACGGTTCCATGAGCTAAGACGGCAACATGGCGAGTTACGAGAAGAAATGCCAAATTTACAGGAGTTGCAACCTCTCGCCAATGATGATTTCAACACGTTAACTCGTATTCATAATCGATGGATCGAAATTGGTAGGAAAATTTAACAATCGTAGTTATGGTAACCCGTGAGCGATAATTTGAAAGGACAATATTAAAAAGTAACTCGTGGCCAGTTTAATAGAGGTTCATAGTTAATTTGTAGAACTACACATAGTTAACTCGTGTCCAGTACTTCATAGTTAACTCGTGTCCAGTACTTCATAGTTCACTCGTGTCCAGTACTTCATAGTTAACTCGTGTCCAGTAGAATTTTAGGTAGAATTTTACAAGAGATGGATGTAAAATTCTTTTACAGAGGGGTGTTCTATTTTGAAGTATATTTTAGTGGTTACTTTGGGTGCGTTGTCCTGCCTTGTTTTGCTAAATTCTGATACTCTTATAGAAATGGAAAATCCTCAAATTCATTACTTGGTATAATAACCTCTTTCCTCCTACTTTAACCCCTAATCACCCTCCTTCATCCTCTTTAACCAAGACTAGGAGAAGTGCGCAAACCCACAACCCCGGTCCACTTAATTCACCCTTACTACACAAATATACTGCGGGTGAACAACATGCAAACAATGAATTCATTACAAAGATTGCAAATAAAGAAAAAACATTTTTACATCATCGTGTTAAGACATACCTTAAATTCTCCAACAATTTGATCACTGTTTTCCTCTCTAGTCCGATTTTTTCCTCGGCGAATCGTAAATGTCTGTACAAAATCTTCAAACCTCTCGAAGGATTCGACTTTCTCCAACTCACAGGGGTAAATCTAAACAAAAGAAGGCAACGCCTCACCAAACACAACTTAAACACAAACTTTAATCTCCATAGAATCTCGAAAGCGGACAAACCCGTGACTTGCAATGCGCAAGGCATCAAGTACAAAAGCTATCGAAGGAGCGACAATTAAAGCATCAATTACCTTTATCTTATTGTAGCCTTTCTCAAGATAGTTCCGGACTTTGTCAAATCTCCTACTGAAGCAAAGTACTTGGACCACCAATCAAGGTCTTCCTCGGAATCGTGTTTCTAAATACAAACGGTAATCGCGAAAGGTTTAACTTAAAAAGATTGCCTACCAATATACAATCGATAACCGAACATTTTTAACAGTACTGTTGATGTTTTATACAAAACCTTTTTCTTCTTCTCTTCCTTGATTTCCAAGACGTGTGATCCACGTTTCTCTGGGAGTGGAGAACCTGGAACACAGTTCGATATACTGCGGATGATGAAAGAAAATTAATGACGCAACGAGCGACATCAAACTTACCTTGAACATCTTGACCATCGATATGATCACGTGGTTCACGTCTATAACGATGAAGTGACTTAAGACACAAACCAACGACAGGTTTACGACCAAATGAACGGTTATCGCGAACCTTGATATTCATTGGGGGCATGTATAAATCCTCGCGAGGAAGATGCTAAAATAACATGTGAAATAATTATTGCCCGTCAAACCTGCGTTTCTAGTGGATGAAAATTGTTGCAGCGTTGCCTGGAGTTTTAAACACACCCTCTCCTCTCACCTCACAATAAAACATGAAGCTTTGCAACATAATTATACGAAATAATACAGCGTAATTGTGTGAAATTGAACCTGCGTGGAAACATTTTAAAACTACTTGTATCAAGTTTTACATTTCAATCTTCACATTTCGCTTATTTTTCACGACTTTGCCATATCAATTTTGCCAAGAGTGACATCGGTCAAAAAGACCTTGGTAGGAAAGTTATCCCAAGACACAATAAATATCATATACTTTGTAAGGTCGGAAGCAGGGGTGGGTACATACGACTGGCTCGCCGACTGTATCCCACCATTGAATATTGAATATTATTCATGTAATAATCCTGCCCACCAATAACTTCATTTTCCTAAATCTGGCCCGCCGACTGGAGAAGTTGCCCACCCCTGGTCTGAAGTATTGTCTATACTTGTGGTCAAGAATAACTACAGAATTATATAGTTTAAATGTCACGTGCGCACGTGACAGGATAATCACCCTGCTACATTAGGTTAGCTCTGTCAGCACCGTTAAGAACGCAATTTAACTATATCAATACAAAAGACCAAAGAGAGAAATAGTGAGATCCATGAAAATCTTTTCCGGGGGACCTAAGATGTCACGATTTTGAAAATCTGCGATTTTATACAGATCATATTCGAAAATAAACTAGCAACCTTCTCAATTACAAATAGCTCCTTTCTAACGCCCAACATATTTTGAAGGAGGTTTGCTGAACGTTGGGTCCTATCAAATGGAGGGCATCTTTTAGCTTAAGATCTGGGGAAATAAACCAATCTGCCCCCTTAACGGTCATATGTCATTTCCTATTTTAAACCCATAGCACCAAAGATTGGCGAATTCCATTAATGAGCACAGCATTCCTTTCAAACAAAGCTCAACAAAAACATAATTATTTTCAAGGGCAAGAAAAAAGATATCTCGAAAACTCCTTAACATTCTCCCTTTAATTAACAGAAATGCATGCAGATACTTCATGCGTGCAAACGCTAAATACAACTTACGACTTGGAAAAAGAACAACGGCTGCTCAAAATTTGGATTCTTCGCAGTATTCATTATGACCGTAGACTCGTTGATGTGACCGCCAACTTCAAACTCGATGCTGGGAGATGAAATCTTCGACAACTGATACTTTTTCATGTTTCGTACGCCCCAACATAAAACCTGAAACATTCATTAAAGTATGAACATTGGGGGAGGGGGGGGGGTGGGGGTGGTCATAGGGATGAAGGATTGGCGATGTTTTTTTTCTGACAACCTCCGTGTACTTTGAGAATTCATTCAAGCAAGATGAAAAGAAAATTACAATAAGCATCAGTCAATTACAAAAAAGGGAATCGACGATCTCGGTTTCGCTTCCAAAACCATTACCTCGATTGCAGTTCTTTGCAAAACAGGCTTTATGCCACTGGGAACTAGATAATAATCGTTTTTCAAAGGGGGAGCAAATGGCAGGTCAGCTCCTTCATCCTGTAAAAAACATCAAAACAGGTTATTGTGACAACATCCTATCGTTAAACATAAACGAAAAATCGATTTTATATTAGTTTCATCTAGCAATGAATGGTAGGGATGTGCTAAATACCACTTTTTCCGATAGTACCAGATGACAGTCTACCGAATACTGGTAGTCAGAACATTCCAAACATCCGTAAATAAAGTACGTTGAGAGATGGTTTAGAGCTTGGCTATTGTCATGCAACGCCTTTACGTCATCCGAAAAATAACAATGTTTCTAGCTATGGAGATGAATAACTTTTCCGGCTAGCATATCTTTATGGCTATATTGCTTTGCTAGCAACCACAGGCTGAGATTGAGCAAGATGATTGGATCAATGCACTAATTTCTGTTTCAGGCAAAAAATTATTCTTCATTCTCCCTCGTAAATGACAATAAAAGTTTGCCATTATCCGGCGAAGATTTAACCATATCGGATGTCGGTGTCTGGATGCACATCACTTGTGCATTGACAGACGTATGGTTTTACTCACCAAGAACAGTTCAAATGCCGCAAGTAGTTCTCCAGCTTCTTCTTCCCCTTTCCTAATGTCATACCACAGGAGTATGGGCAATGGAGGTTCGTTACCGTTTAATTTCACTGTCGGTTTAACAATTGTACGGCCGATAAACTCATCTTTTCCCTACAGAAAGTCAAACACAGGAATGCAAAATTTATCATTTAAATAGACCGAACTAAACAACTTGCATAAAGGTTATTTCATGAAATATTTGTCATAAATACTAGCGAAATACACGTACTAGTGTATTCATCTGTACGAAAATACATCTGTACGAAAAGAGGTTTACGTTAGGGGAGCCAGTCTGATTAAGGGAATAAAACTCGATTCTATTATGATAGAAAAGGCACTACTCGTCGGCTTTAGACAATAGTAAATCCTCTACAATAATTTGAATATTCATCTTTCTGATATTTTATTCAGAGACAGGCTGTAAAAAAGCGTTCTCAATAAATACAAATAAATATCAAAAAAGTAATAAAGGTAAGATTTGAGGGTAAAAGTAGACACAAGCATCAACAAATTTTTACAACAAGCAAGGGTCATTTGGGATTTATTTCAATCATTTAAACCTACCTCCTCCCCCCCTCCTCCAATAAAATCTGCCCGGAACAATTGATGTTACCCGTATACATTGTGTAATAAATATTTGATATGCATTAACTAATTTTATAAACGTTTTCGTTTTAGTAAACATAAAGTTCATCCATCTGTCATATTGTGGAAAGACGTGAGAACGTAAAAGTTTAAACACTCACAACTGCATCCCGGTCGAAAAACTCCAGGACGACATGAGGAGGATCAGTTTGTACACCTCTTACATCACCGTAGATAGGGATATTGTCGAAGATTAGAGTCGTGTCCCAAGTGGGACACAATGTCTGTTGAAGAATTGCAGTGGCCTGACTCGAGTTGGCGAATGATACACGAACATATGGATCTTTGGAGAGCAGAGAGAGATAACATAATAATGAAGGGAGGATATCATATTCTTCTGAAAAACATTCATTGCCCAATGCATACCTGACATTCCAGAAGAGTCAGAGGGAATCAAATCCCGCGCTTGATACACGTAAGCTCGTAACTGATACTTGTGTGGTTCTATTGACGATAGAAATAGAGACATTTATAAAAAATCGAACCTTTGGAATGTGTGTTCCATTGTAACTAATGTTTGGTATAGGAATATTTTGACAACTTACTTTCAAAAGTGATGAACATTCGTGGGGCGTTCAATAAAGGACAAAGTTCTTTTCCCTAGAACAATGCATAAAGATTGAGGCATGTCATTATTATGATACCATGTACGGGAGGTGGACAAAAAAGTAGTATCCTTTTTAAAAACAAATGATTACTGAAAAACATCAATAAATCTTTTGACGAAGAGAAAACTCTCGAGCATGAGCAACCCTCGACCTTCGGTCTTAGGCTTGCACTGATCTGCTCTCGAGTTCTCCCGAAGGTCTCCTCGGTTTGCATATGCCCGTGCAAATACAGTAAACATCTTTTATTTCTTAAATATAAAACAAGACTGGAGCCCTGGAGGGTAATACAAATACAATATTAATACTGCCTTACCTCCTGACTACTAATATGAAACACGGCGGGAGCACTAGGGGTTAATTGGGTCATCTTGCGATGCCATCGTCGTCTGCGAACGAGATCCATTTTACGATTGGTGGCATGGAAACGAGTTGTGAAGACTGTTGAGTATTCCCAGCCCTCTCGCATATCCGCGTTTTGTTTCTGTAAAACAGTTTGCAAATGAAATGAATGACTACAAAATTATCTCGAAATTAAACTCAACCCGCTAATATTAAGTCAATATCTTAAATTCACTATAGAACAATAGAACATAGGTGAAAGAAATATGGCGAACAAAACGACTTGCATCGGAGTCTTTTTTTATTTCTTTAATCAGTTTTCGTTCCCTAATCCATCTTCGTCGACGACACAAGTGATACATTTTTTCAACAGGACCATAGCTTGCTAACGTTGCTTCCACAGTATATTCCCAACCTGACGAAAAAGAATTCAAATGCGATGCTTTGAAACAAGCATCAGCTTCATTCAAGAGGTAATTTTAAGCTATTTTGGGGGAAATAATTCATGATCAATTCATGATAACCATCTTTGGAATTATGGGTTTAATCTCATACAAAGTTTGTACAATCACAATTTGATGTAATCCTATGATTAATTTAATTCTGCATCTAATCTAATCTAATTTTAACCTGACTAATCTAATCTGACTTAATCAAATCTTATGTTTCATTGCGAGTGGCACGTGTTTAATCAAAACCAAAAAATTGAGTACCTTTTTCATCAACAGCCCTGTTCAAGTCAATTTTCCATTCAGATGTCCAAACCCAACCGGGGGGGCAGCTTATTTCATGACGGGGAGTGATAGCGTCACTTTTCTGTGTGTTGTGAAAAATAAAAGAAAAATATTTCAAATGTAATGACAGCGCACAAATTTTGCACAGGAAAAACTAAACAGGAAATGAAGTGCGAAGAAATATATCAGAAATGTGAATAATATTTTTGTTGACATAAACTGTTCATGCTTTTACAGCATGAGAAGAATTAATTTTGAGTTGGTAAAACCTACAACATCAGTCCATGCTGGAACAGCATCCTGCCAAGATCCACCAAGAATGCGAGATTCGTTCTCGAATGCATCTTCGAGAAAACTCTTGTGACCAGAATCGCGATCATATGTTAAACTGTGCAGAAAACACATTCGTCACTGAAAGCAAATGCGATGTGCTTTTGATTGATTAAAAATATAGTTTCGATCGTACCTTAGCTCTGGACTTATGAACCAACCACCTTCCCACTGCCAACCATCGGGAGGATTGAAACAGGACTTTGGTAATGAAAGCTGAATGAAACATAACGTATATAATGATACTGTTATAATCTTCAAACATGTCTTTAAACTGAACAACGTGAGAAAAACTCTTGAAATCGTTATTTCTATAAAGCCGAGGCTACATGAGCGATTTTTTCGACGCGACTTATCGAAATCATCAGCAGCCACCATTGTGCAGCCACCATGGAGCGCGCGATCCGACGACCAGAAGAAATCGTCAGAGTTGATCGGGATAATTTCAACAAGTTGAATATTTTTCAACAAGTCGACACACGATTTTATCATGTGCAGGCACCTCAACTGAACAACACGACACGACAAACCCGCTTCTTCTAAAATGATCATCGATATAAAAAATTCTCCCACGTGTACACACCTCCTTGGTTTGATAATTTTGTAAAATCACGTCGAAAAAATCGTTCGCGTAGCCCCGGCTTAAAAAAACATCAACAATAAACTTACATCTCCTCTTGCGTTGGAAAAAGCGGGGCGAGGACAGCCTTTCGAGGTCCACGAACCCAACACGCAAATTTGATTCTCGTACTGAAAAATTTTATGTTCATGCTCAAAAAAGTCAATGGAGAGGTGTTAAGGTCTGAATTAACTTCGAGTATAGAGTGGCAAAGCCTGTTCGTACTGTGTAAATATTTCAATGTTCTTGTATTGTACAAACAATACATTTGTAAATGAACAATATTGATGATCTGATTATTACATAGCATGACTGAAATTTTACAACTGGCTACGTCATTGATGGCTATGTCAAAACACTATGAAAAACGACTTATATGAAGTATAACTGTAACTGCCTTGGAAAATAGACGAATTTTTGTCAATGTATAACGGCTTCAATAGTTATGAGACAAACTTACAGTTTCGGCAAAGACTGAGAAATCTCCTTCAACTTCCTCACGTGACGTCCAATCCTCTTGATCCTCCTCTAATCCAAACCAAATCATGACACGCAAGTAGGCCGGTACCTCTGGAAAATCCTCGACATTTTTGCCTTTTTTGCCTGGATACTAAAGAAAAGAAACGTTCAAATGGTAAAATCGTTCGATCGAATCCTATGTTAGTCTAATCCAATTTTGGACCTAATTGTACGTCTAATCCAACCCGATGTTTCATCTAAATGCTTTATCTTTAATCCAAACAAAGATTAAGGTACAGGAGCAATGATGTGGAACCCAATACCCTAGATTGTCTAACTAACGCGTCAAGGCTGTGTAAAGATGAGGCAAGAACGTCTTCTTGAATGAAGGTAAAAAGCAAGACTCTCAGTTAAACGTAAGTTAAAAGATAGTTTAAAAATCAATCCTAACAAACATTTTAAAAACTAAATGGAAAGTATCACATATGTACAACCATATATCAACACATTAGAAGCACCACTTTCAAATGTCGTCAGTTTTGCCACCTTTCAAGATGGTGGCTTGCGTCACTTGTCACTATGAAACTTCGGCGGGGTGAGATATCAAGTAGACTGGGTTCTAGATCATTTTACAAAAACATACCATGTGAAAGTTACTGAAATGCTCATAGCGCAACTCACTTTAAGGATAACATCTAACTCCTCGCCACAATATTTGCCCTTGGCAGCGCTGTTTTTTGAGTATAGCAACCTATACGCAGGTATTCTGTAATAAGCCACTCGTTTAGAACCACTCAACATCCAGATTATTACATCGGGGATGGAGTTCTGAGGCTATAAATAAAAAAAAGATGGTACACGTCAATTTATCAAACACCTCTCCTAATTTTAACTTCTTAAATGATTTCAACCATTCTACAATAAAAAAAACGTCCACCCTTTAATTTGATTCTGTTTGCAATGCCATTTTATGAAATTCAGTCTTTGTGGCGGACGGTTGCCGATCCATCCAGGCAATCAAAATGATTGATTTCAATATGTTTAAAAATAGAGATCAGGAAAATTCTAATTCTCCAATTAGAATAATCAACATCAATAATAACTAAGTGAATGCTTGGAACCCGGGAGCATCGTTACATGTTTATAGCTGGAAATCGTCCAAGTTAGAAAAGTTCCGAAAAAGACTGTCGGCGTTAGTGGTGACTGGCGTTTCGACATCCTGCTTAGGACTGCACTAACCTGGACGATATACATCTACAAATATACATAAAAGATATAAAGTTTCTCCGGATTTTAAATGATTTCTATTGAGCTTTCGACTCGTTGCTTCGAGCCTTCATCAGAATGAAAAATATTTATTTACACGTGTAAATAAATATTTTTCATTCTGATGAAGGCTCGAAGCAACGAGTCGAAAGCTCAATAAAAATCATTTAAAATCCGGAGAAACTTTATATCTTTTATGTATTCAATGCCTGGATTACAAATTTTCAAACTTATCTACAAATATGTATTAATGATAACTATTGCACTCAACTAAATTCTCTTTTGTAGATATATCAATAAACACCACACAAAAGAATGTTCCCACTAGATAAACTACTACAAGTGCCAAATGAATGAATCCCAGGTGATCTCTAAAAGGCCAATTGCTATGCTACCCTGTTTTCGTCTCGGATACGATGATCTGCGCATGCTTCAAACTGCTTCACACAATTATGGTCACCAATAAATATAGCTGCTGAATAGTGAGTGAAACTGATGATACCAATTCTCAATGCTAATTTGAAAATTCGGTATTTTTGAATTCAAGAGACGATACGTCCTTTTTTAAAGTGCGAGTGACCACAATCCTCATATTTCACAAACAAAATGCCATAATAAAAGAAAGACTTTGTCGTGGTGACAAATTTAAGAATTGTTTTAAAAAGAGCAAATACCATGGTGAATGGTCAGAGTAATGTGATAGTTCTTAAAAGAACTGTCAATGAACAAGAATTACTACGTTACTATTTTGACCATTCATCATGGTATTTGCTGTTTTTAAAACAATTTTTAAAATCGGTATGCGTAAGTAGGGCTTCGTTCATTTAGAGCTTTCTTTTTTTGTGGTGTTTACAATACTGGAGAGATAATTATATCAATACCTCGATAGTGATGTCCTTCAAACGAATCAAAAATCCATTGACTTCCGTCAGAGCTTCGGAAATATCCGTTGCAACTCGACGCAGTCTTGCCGCCTCGTTACCGATGGATTGCTATAAGGGCAAGCGAAAACCAATAAAAATCTGATTGAGAGAGAAAACGATATGAGAAGGAATGAGGTACATCCATAGCCATTACCATTTCAAGTTTTCTAGCTTCATGAAGGTGAATATCAAGTTCGTTGACACCAAGCGTTTTGGCTTTCAATGGAGGCAACGTCTTTCTAAATAAGTGAGAGTTTAAAAGCATTCTTTGTTTGTCCAGGTAATAATGTTGCAGATAAGGTAATTATGTCCAATGTAGATAAGTCCCGAGATGTTTGAGTTGAATTTGAAGAAGAAAGTTTATTTCTTACTTGCAGTCTTCGATCAAATCATCCAACAATGCAATAAATATGATAGCGGTTTCAGCCAACGTTTCACTAGATTCCAAACTTATCTCGACTCTTTCAATGTTGCTTTCCTGAAAAGCAAGCATCGCATGATCTTAATGTAGGCAATTACAGAAATCGCTCGAAAAAGAATAGCGGTATAAGAAAGATGGCCGGCCGGCTATCCCTACCAGCTTTTCACATATCTCAAGCAAGATGTTCAAAGGATCCAGTCGAAATGATATATCCTCCCAGTGACTGTCCACTGATATACACGGTTTTGTGTGACCCCAGGGTAAGTAGTAATAGTGACATCCATCAAAGATGGCGTTTGTCGGCGGTGTTGTGGATGACGATGGCTCAACCGACTTATCAAGCTTGTTGCCGTAGTTTCCTATATACAAGAAGAAAAACTCTACATGTTGCATGATAACTCTATAGGGTAAAGAACGAAACCTACGGCGATCACAAAGAGACAATCAAGATGAGATAAAGTAGGAGTTGTGATATGTCAAATAAGATTTGGCAGCAGGCTGGTAACACAGTATAGAGAACATACACTAAAGCCACTCCATTAAATTTTTTTGTGCCACACATATCTTATTGCGCATGCGATTACCATAGTGGCAACCAGTCAATTGCAATTTTTGACCAATAGGAATGATGAAATGGCTTACGGCAGCCAGTAATTTAATTAACTATACAGCAGCCATTTGTACAGCGAAGTGGCCCTACTGTATATTCCCTATACTGTGCTTGTAATTTAAAGTTTCACATCATAATTTCTTTACCTATACTGACTTCAAACTCAACGGGAGAATCCTGGATGCTTATCATGAGCGCCTCCAAAAAACATGCAAATAATTTGAACTTTCGTCGCCTGAGAAACGGCTGAAAACAAAACGAATGTAAACAAGTATGGATCTTTCAATTTCTGGAAAATATTTCAGAAATGGAGTACAGTTCTAGAACGAGGTACATAGGAACATAATAAACCTGTATTACAGGTACTATAACAGGTATTCTAACAATATCTGTTCTCTGTATGTCCTCCACAGGCTCATCCATTTTAAACGTAATAAACCTGTTTTACAGGTACTATACCTGTATTCGAACAATATCTGTACTCTGTATGTCCTCCACAGGCTCGTTAATTTTACAATTCAAAGACGATTCCAACTCGACCAGCAGACGTCCTCTATAAGCAACTCCTTCATCCTTGAAACGAACAAAATGTATCCAGTTTTACGAGGTGCAAATCTTCTATGGTTTAGCTTCGCAAAAACTCAAATATACCTGTCCCAAATTAAGCTCGTCATATTCGTCAGGCAGATCGCTGTACTCTCTTGTGGAGCCATAAAAATTAATAAAACAAGGTCCAAGCGTCGGTAGGAAACCTTAAAATTAAGAAAGAAGTCCATACGACCAAAGGGAAACATTTGATTCATATAAAAAAAGTTTTTTACTCTTTACCATCTGTTCCTTGTCCAGATATCTCTGAAATAGGAAGATGTACAGTTCCAATGCAATCATCCCTCGTCAAACGATCCCTGCAAATATATTTTTAAGATTGGTCATTCATTTCATTGAACGCGCTGACACGTGTGCCGACACGTGACCGATGGTTTTGTTGGAGAGGAGAGGAGAGGAAGGGAAGGAAGAGGAGGGGAGAGGAGGGAAGAGGAGGAGATGAGGGGTACTGTTACTACTGTTACAAAGATTGGATTTTGGCGATTACTTGTTGCCGTAGCATGTAGGACATTTTTGGTAAATTACTTTTTTATTATGACAGGGAGATATTTGGAAGTGTCCTCCATTAAACACTTATCACAATTGCTTTTGTTCAATTGCTTGCTATATTAGTCTTACGAAAATTGGCACCCACCTCTGGCGAAGGCTTAAACTGGATGTATATTTACCATTAAAAGGAGCTTACCAATCAAACAATCGAAGCCTCAGTCTCTCACACATAGATGGAAACTAAAAACAACCAAATATAAAAAGAAAAATGGACTCGACATGAGTACGTAAATTAAACATGCCAACACGTGAACCGCAAGCGAACCTTAAAGGGAAGATGAAGTTCTTGGTTGAATTCTGGATGATCAGAATTGTAATGGGTCCTCGTTTTTCTCTGGAAAAAGAGGAGAGATTTTGGTAATACTTCCATGAAGAGAATAAAAACGTAGCTTTAGAAACCATTACCTTCTTTCCAGCAAAAGAAAACACCAGATACGGATCAACTAACTCCTTCACTTCTTCCCCAACACTGAGAATTTTCTTGACGCCTTGCGCAAATCCAGAGTCCACTAGAAGAATGGCAATGGGAGTATGTTTATAAATCAAGTAAAAATTGCCACGTTATCATCAAACTCAAAGATACTTTGGGGAATGTCCTCAGCTCTGTAAACTTTCAATGAAAACATTCCAGGTCGTAAGCTAACTCCAGCAGGACACAAAAGATTGCTGTAAAAAAGAAATAAGATTACTTTAAAAAAAGAAATAAAAGATTGCTGTGAAAAGGAGATAAAATGTAGTCGTTAACTGAGAAAGTAAAAAAATACTGTAAAACAGGAAACGAATTGAAAGATTGCTGCAGACAGGAAACAATTAAAACCGAAGAGGAACAGTGAAACGAATTCCAGCTCAAGATAGCCGGTCCCATGTTTTTTTCTACTTCCTTACTTTTCAACATCGTCACTGCTTTCATCTGTGTACTCCACATCTTCCATAGACTAAATAAACAATGTACATACCTTTTCAGAGCAATAGCTTTATATATCAAACAGACACTAAATAATATATCTCACTGGAGCTTTATCTCCTGGACCAAGAACACAAATGGACGTCTTCAAATATCCCTATGATTAAAACAACTATTAACGACAAACGATAATTTAACCAATTGCATTTAAAAGTTATATGTACGGCATCCTGTACCTTAACACCGCCCATTTTATCTTCAGGATCGGTCAGCAAAATCCACTTTCGACTAAAAGCATGTCCTGGGGTAAAAACCAAATTTGTATCAATGCCTGTGTTTTCCACATTAAGCAACTTTGACGTTAAGTCATGAGTATGTTTAAACTGTAAATCACAAGAATTTAGTAAGAGCTAAGATGATTTCAATATTCTAGGCACGAAATAGAATCGCTACGTTAATTTGCTTCATTCCCCAATTCATAAAACCAGTTCATTTTTTGCGTTTCTTATAACATCATTTCAGCATATTATGAAAACAGACTCAAAAGTCCAAAATCATTATACGCCTTACTGGCACTAGCCACAGAAGATCATTTCAAGTTGACGTATCTTTTTTCTGAAGTACTCTTCCAAATAGCTCAAGAAACGATCATGTAAAAGGAGAGGCATGCTCACCGACCGGAATAAATATATAATTTAACTAAAACAGGGGGGATAACACCTCGCTCAGGATGTTTCATTACAATGTACTTATTTTAAACTCGACCCAATATAGTATGTTCCAATATTTTGTAATGATACAAAGTTCAGTAAAATATAACATGCATAAAGACGATTACCATCTTCGTCGTAAACCATTCCCACGTCCAACTAAATGTTATGAAAAAAAAAAGGAAAAATCATCGATTTAGTGGAAACACGAACTCTTGAAAAATTAGAAGTCAACTGGACTTTTGACTAAATTACTCACTTTAAAGAACCCAATCAGCGCGTTTGCACGAAGCTTGCGTGAATTAAACACCTACAAAAAAATACAAACACACCCCCAAAAAATTTAACGGCACATCGCTGCAGCACAATCCATAAAGATTCACAAACACTCCTGCGCATCACGTACCTCAAATGAGATTATTTCATCAAAAAGTGTCGATGGATTCATTTGAAAGTTAAAGAAGAATATCTGTAGATATGTTAAATTATAACAGCATGTTTTAAAAACATTTAGTTGATAAGTTTTCCTTAGCACACTAAAACCTAAATACCTCGTTATAGAACGGCTTGTTTGTCGACTTTCTCACACGGGTTTGGCGAACCTGGTTGGAGACACTGATCCGAACAACAGGATGGATGTTCTGACCGGACAATTGACGACCTTCGATCACCTTGATTCGAACCTGGAGATATATTATGCGGACTTATCTTTAATGGAATGTACGTTGTTAAAAGTCAGCAACACCAGCAAAGGGTAGGATAGAAGGTGAGCAAGATTATTGAGCAAGGAGGTGAGCGAAAGAAGTATCCAAGGAGGTGAGCAAGAGGGGTGGGAAAGTAGGTAAGCGAGACGGGTAGGGATAGAGGTGAGCAAGTGGGGTGAACAAGTGGGGTGAGCAAGAGGGGTGAACTAGAAGGTGAGCAAGAGGAGTAGGAATAGAGGTGAGTAAGTGAGCGGTCGAAAAGAAGAGCAAGAGGATAGGTAAGAAAGTGAGGAAGAAGGGCGGGAAAGTAGGTGAGCAAGAGGTGTGGGCAAGGAGGTGAGCATGAAGGGTGGGAAAAAAGGTGAGCAAGAGGAATGAGCGAGAGGGGTGGGCAAGGAGGTGAGCAAAAGAAGTCTCCAAGGAGGTGAGCATGAGGAGTAGGTAAGGAGGTGAGTAAGTGGGGTAGGCAGGACAGTGAGCAAGAGGGGTGGGCAAGGACGTGAGTAAGTGGGGAAAGGTGCCATTTTGACATTTGGGATTTTAACTTTCCATAAAAAAATCTTTAGAGTTTTACGCCTCATCAAACCTGAAAATCTTGTGGTTTATCCGAGAGCTCGTATCTTGCTTTTCTTATCTTCCGTATTCCACCTTTCCTATATTTACGAAGAAAGTTGTAAGAAGGAGCAATATTCATAAATTATTACGTATGATGACATGAACATATAATATCCCACGTCAAATCACGAAAGTCGACGACGCTATAACGTGTATAACCATGGAAATAGGAAAAAGTTTAACTGCACGGTTTGCAGGTCATATTATAAAAAAATAATGTGGTATGTTTGGACTTAATTAAATACAGATAAAAAAGGAATCTAAAATTCACCCTAAGTTTGCAACATCCTCGTTAGTAACATTCTCTTCATCGTCTTCACCGTCCTTTTTTGGTTCTTTTGACGCCGGAGGAATGTATTCCAGTTGCATGGACAGCTTAGCCTTCAAAAATACAACATTTCTCGTCATAAACACCGATTTTTGCCAATATAAAATTGCGTTCAAAGGCTCTTTACCTGTGTTGTACGTTGATTGCCATCCAGAAGGCTAACGTCAGCTTGCATGCTATTACAGTCATTGCGGACTAAATCTCGCAGAGAAATAGTCGCTGTACCCAGAAGTCTACGGAAACATCAAAATTTAGCATTTTTTTTTAAATAAACAAACGCATTTTATGGTTTGATGCATTTTGTATCAGTTCTTTAAGCTTAGCGGAAGATACATAGATTGATTTTGTCAAAATTAATTGATCGAGCTAAAGCGAGATGCAGCCACTATGTTCGTATTTTCTTACTAGTCTCCAGCACGGTCACTCTTAATTTAGACTAATTACATCAAATCGTCAATTCTCGGCGTAATATTTTTTGCGATAATCATATAAGCATTAAGTGAATCATTAAACTTCCAGCTTCTTCTTGGGTCGGGGGATGGTTCCCCATTTCCAGCGACACAATTTATGAGTAAATAACCTCATCCAATAGAAAAAAATAAACGAAGGGTGCAGTACAACAGGGGATAGTAAACATTCAACAAACCTGTTGCGACCGACTCGTTCCCAGTCTTTCACCTGCACGACTAGGTTATCTTCGGGCACTAAAGATCTTCCTTGCAAATCCCATTCGAATGACTGAATGAAAAATATAAGAAAACAAAATTTCTTAAATTTCATTGAGAGAATGTAAATTACAGTAATGTATGCAACGATTCAAGTTACGTCAGAGAAAAACGAATTGCATTACGCAAGAAAATTTTCACAAAAAATGCAATGTTGTTTTTTCATTTAAGCTAAATGTGCATATTTTGAGCGTTATTCTAAACCCAGATCACGTCTTATTCACGCCCCTTAACTTCTTTCCTAAGAAAAAATACATAGATTTCGTAAATGATTTCAAACACTAAAGCTTTAAATGTCTTGAGCGTCGAATCCCATATCATCACGATGATCGTGATCTGAGATAGAAAATAATCAAATATCCGATAATATGTCGCGCTCGCGACAATAACCATGTCATTATGACTTAAGGTGTAATTATGCTGTTTTCATGGATTCAACAGATGGACTGGAAAAATTTACATATTGTTTTTTGACATGCAGTCAATAAGCTGTAATTGATAGAAATTTTAAAGACTTTCACGTTGAAGGATAAATAAGATTTCATCTGAAATATAGCAGACGAAATAGATTTTTGTACGACGATCTTCTCAAGTTGCTTCACGGGGTGGAACAAAATGGGAAGAGGCACGCATTCGCATCACTAATTAGTAATATGCAACATTAACACGCGCTTGTGCAACGTAGAAAGAAATGTCTGTCATTTGAGTTTTACAATACAACTTAAATATTTATATGGGCTAAATTTATAAAGACAAAAATGAACAGTCAGACACAAATTAATGGTCGCCTTATACATACCTCGTTCCATACTGGATTTAGTTCATCTTGAATTACTTCAGTTTTTTTAGTTATTCCTATAAGATAGTGATGGATATTCCATTTAACATAGCCACACACTGAGAATCATATTACATTGATAAGGTAGTGAAAAAAGCTCGCGTTAGTCGCGGAAAATAAAATAAAATACAAAAGTTACTGTCCAGTAATCGAATTCTAATGACACTTTCGCTTCGCAAATATTTTCTAACGAAACTTCGCAATTTAACGGGTTTTAAACTTCCAAAGACATTCCACACACAGCATATGTTTAAAGGAAGGGCAAACTTGAAACAATGATTGATAAGATAAAAAATTATCACCATTCCAAGGAACTAATACTTCAAAGTTAAGCATCATTGTAGAAATGAAAAAATGAACAGGAAGACAATGAAAAACTAGCAAAGGTGCTACAAACATCATAAACTTGACAAAATGTTGCAATTTTTCATGAAATACTTTACCAAGAAAGCAAAGAGTGCAAAAAGGATCGCTTTTTCCAATAGTATCGACATTACGTAAATTGCTAGAAGAAACACTCAAGATTCTTAACGCCATTTTAATAGCTTCACATTCGCTTTCACTTCACAACAGCTGGTTAAATTGCGTATTTGTTCAACGGATAAATAAAAATTTATATGTGTTGTCATGCACAGCGTGAATGATGACAAGGTCATCTTTTTAAATGCTAAACGAAAGAATTTGGGCTAAGGTGTTTTTTAAATCATAATTTTCGAACACGGGCACAGAGCACATTCGTACAAAAAACAATTGTAAATGAATAAATTGAGTTTGTTTCGTTGTGAGCCGACCGCAGTTTAAAAGTATTTTTTGTGTAATTTATGTAAATTACGTTTAGTTTTCGTACTGTTAATAAGTAAACAAAATTTTATTACCTGTAAAAGATCAATTATGGCAAATCATTAAATCATTTCTTTCCGATGAGATCCGAAAGGAGCATGGGAAGCATTTTTTCAGGCAGCTAGGTCCCAGACCTCAAACATACCATTGAGGGGATTGGGGAAGTATAGTTTAAGTTTTTTGGATTTATATATTTCAAGATCTTTCGAGTGGGTTATCAGTTGGAAACTTGCACCACTTTTTCATGAGATTCAAACATCTGATCAGGAAAAACTTTAATTCTGATCCACAACCGAATACGGTTAATTTTTTTATGTACAACTCATTGGCCAGGTTTTTTTTCTAACAAGTTAACCATGATGATCCCACAAAGAGTTACGATAGTAACCAAATGCAAGACAAGTGATGTGTTTGCTTTGCCGCGCGCAGAAACACAAGTAGCATATATAGTGAATAACTTTCCTTACTCGAAGTGTCATTAAAAATAACTTGACTTCCACAATCAAGCAGTTATTAGCTTGATATTTAATATAGTCTTTTCCTCAATATGAGAAGGTCTCTTATTCTGCTATGTAATATTTACGTTCACTGCTCGTCTCATAATTGCTACTACTTAGAAAACTTCATCCCTATTGCCCGCTAGACATTGACAAAATTAAATACATACAACGAAGTTTTTAAGAGGCAACAAATCACGAACTTACCTTGGAATACGATCAACGCAAATGGATCAGTTTTTGTTCCTTTTTCTTTTCGAGCAAATCGAACAAGATTTGGCAATGACTTTGCTTTGATGTCGACGATTCTCAGGGTCGACACTTTGCTGGTATGTTTAGCAAAGATGGGCATACTGTTTGCGAGTGCGTATAAGGGTTTTTAAGAAGGGAGTTGGCGGCAGCCTTTCCAACGATACTTCGCAAACGGTAAAATTCGACAATGCCTGTAAAAGTTGAAAAGTACATAAGGCATAAAGCGTAACGGCGAAAAAGTGTCCCAAAGAGACAATAACAACTTTTATGCAAATTTACAACATACCAAAATACGTAAAAGGCATAAAAGGTCTTTGAATCACCACATCAAATAATCACCTTCCTCTACATAGGCACGCAGAAGTAGAGCACTTCAAAAACTTACACATTCTATTTGTTTCTTTAGTAACTACAACTAAAAAGTTGTCAAGCGTAAGCATGCTTTTCTTGCAGAAGCACCATATTTTAGACAGAGTCGTAGCCATCCTGCTGATTTTGTTCTGCTATAGAAATTTTTCTGTGTCCACTGACTGTGAAAACAATAGATTTCTATAGAAATGAATAATCATTTGAAATTTACATAGTCACTCAGCTAGAGCATAGAACAAAAGCAAACCCCCCCCCAGGATAGCTTTTAGTTAGATGCTTCTGCCAATGAATATTGACTGTATCCAGGAGGGCTCCGGTATGATAGTATTAGGTCGAAAGTTGAATAGCAATGTGGGCTAACTACTTGAACAATTAAACGTTTTTTGATATGTAAATTTTTGAGCCTTATGTTATGGCCATTACCATAATTATAAACATATAAAATCGTGTTTATTTCGGTTGTCATACGCTACAAACCTGTCTGTGTTTAGTCTAAAGGTTTTGATAGCTATGGACGTTGATCTCACAACGTAAATAATGTACTTTGTTTAATATTACCATAAATAAATACAAGGATAAGATTTGTTAATAAATAGGAAACTGTCTGATCCTAAATTCGCCAACTTTCATATCAAAAGTTTCAATAGTTCAAGTGATGTAGACAGCTCAATAATGGAGGGGAGGGTGGAGTATTCATAAATGAATGTTATAATCGAAAAGAAACAATATTTTATGAACCTTATCCGATGAAACATGCATATATACACAACCTTCCCTTAATGAATAATTATGATGACGTAATTTGCAAGCAACAAAAGTAAACCGACTACAAAAACAGATCGTTCAAAGGAATCTTTATTGGCAATGACTGAGACCAATCAAATATTGTACAAAACAAGTTCGAAAACATGCATTGTATAATATCAAAGCATCAAATATATCAAGTTTATAAAATAGACGATACATCGCACAAGGAAAATTAAAAATACATAATTACATATGAAAAATTATGGGTTCGCGGTTCATTCCAGGCCCCTCCACAACCGCGCGGTCCCCGTATTATGGTTGACATCGTGTATCTCGCAACAATTTACATATCTTTATGACGAAGGGGAAAGAGCAGAAGCATGCAATTTTAGGCAATTTGTTTTCAACGTATTGCGAATGGTTCTTCATGATAACTGGTTTTATGTTTTGACAAAATTCCAGTGGGTTTTTTCCAACTAGGTTTTCAAGAAATGTTGAAATGAAATTTTGAACAATATGTCAAATACAAGCTGCCTAAAATTATCGAACTCATGCTTGAACGAGTGGATGACATAAATGACGTCAACCTGCGACAATTAATGACGTCACTTGCAACAATGACGTCAAGTTAAAACGACAACAAATGACGTCACTTCCAACGACAATAAACGACGTCAACTTACAACAATACAATGAGATTAAAACAACCGGAAGCACAGTAAAATTATCGAAGGCAGCTCAAAGCTGCGTGCCCATTTCTATTTACAACAACAACTGACCATTCTGATCATTTCCAAAAAAGATACACACTTTCAATTGTAAAGGACTAATTCATGATGCCGGAACTATGGGTGTCATAGCCATGAGTGAAAAAGGGGGGGTCAATGCTTGAGGACACCACCATCTCCTTCACTGACAAATCGCTTTCTTCCCCTAAAGCAAGAACATAATAACTCAGTTCAGTTAATGGTATGTCAAACATTGCAAAAATTGATATCTAACTTAAGGCAAGCCCCGTGAAAAAACCCCGATCACAGAGCAAATTGCAGTTGCGCAAAAAAACTAATTATTTGCTGTTTGTATTTCCCAAACACTAGCCACATCGATAAAAACGTTCAAATTTCGATTGTCCAATGTAATCGCTAGCCACCACCTCGGTTTAGCATTTTTCAACAATTAAGAAGATAGTTTCGTCCACATTGCTGATTTTTACACAATCAAGAATCTAATCAAGCATCCTCAATGCACAAACATATTACATGACCGCGAGGCTAACATTTTAACGGTGTCCCCAATGTTGTGCGTATAGCTTACTGGTATATACCTATGTAGTTATTGATAGAGCCATGTATATACCAATGTTGGAAAGGTTATCAGTATATATATTGAATGAATATATGTTGGAAAGGTTATCAGTATATATATTGAATGGATATATGTTGGAAAGGTTATTGGTATATATATTGAATGAATATATGTTGGAAAGGTTATCAGTATATATATTGAAATGATATATGCTGGAAAAGTTATCAGTATATATATTGAAATGATATATGTTGGAAAGGTTATCAGTATATATATTGAATGGATACATGTTGGAAAGGTTATCAGTATATATATTGTATGGATATATGTTGGAAAGGTTATCAGTATATATATTGAATGGATATATGTTGGAAAGGTTATCAGTATATATATTGAATGGATATATGTTGGAAAGGTTATTGGTATATATATTGAATGAATATATGTTGGAAAGGTTATCAGTATATATATTGAAATGATATATGCTGGAAAAGTTATCAGTATATATATTGAAATGATATATGTTGGAAAAGTTATCAGTATATATATTGAATGGATATATGTTGGAAAGGTTATTGGTATATATATTGAATGAATATATGTTGGAAAGGTTATCAGTATATATATTGAAATGATATATGTTGGAAAAGTTATTGGTATATATATTGAATGGATATATGTTGGAAAAGTTATCAGTTTATATATTGAAATGATGTATGTTGGAAAGGTTATTGGTATATATATTGAATGGATATATGTTGGAAAAGTTATTGGTATATATATTAAATGGATATATGTTGTAAAGGTTATCAGTATATATATTGTATGGATATATGTTGGAAAAGTTATCAGTATATATATTGAATGGATATATGTTGGAAAGGTTATCAGTATATATATTGAATGGATATATGTTGGAAAGGTTATCAGTATATATATTGAATGGATATATGTTGGAAAAGTTATCAATATATATATTGAATGGATATATGTTGGAAAGGTTATTGGTATATATATTGAATGGATATTGCTGAGCTTTGATCATACAGAAACTAATAAAATAAACCTTATGATAATAACCTCGGAGAAAACTTATAAGAAATGACAATTGAGACGCAATCATGAATGAACAAACCTGGTGGGCATTTTGCTTCTCAATTCATCGCTGATGATATTTTCGTCAACACACTCGTTACAAAAAGACTCCAAAATTTGATATGCGTGCGGCGTGTCCAAACTGAGATCCTCCATGGAGCGAAAAACACGCTCGAAACCCTACAGAGCGCAAAAATCCACAATAAATTCAAAACTTACTGAATGCACACGGCACAAAAGCAATGCCCTCCCCCCTACCCTTATATAAATTATTACAAGTGCGAAATGAGTGAATCCCAGCCATTCTGTACAAAAGGCTAATTGCAATTGCCCTGTTTTGATTCTACAATCCGTGCATTCTTTACACAATGACGGTCACCAACGAAAAATGTTGCTGAATAGTGAGTAAAACTGGTTGTACCACTTGTTGATGCTAATTTTGAAAATGGGTATTTTTGAATTCGAGAGACGATACCTCTATATTTTTAGCATGTGTCAGCTCATTCTTCACGTGGAATTTAGCAAAGTACCACAGGTTGACAAAGCGCTATGTTTAATTATCTGGGATTCGTTCATTTAGAATTTACGACAATTTAACTCGAGGGAAACTTTCTTTATTTTTGTGTTGTGTTTAGATAGGTAAAATGTTAACCCACCATAAATAAACATGTTGTGTTTAGATAGGTAAAATGTTAACCCACCATAAATAAACATGTTGTGTTTAGATAGGTAAAATGTTAACCCACCATAAATAAACATGTTGTGTTTAGATAGGTAAAATGTTAACCTACCATAAATAAACATGTTGTGTTTAGATAGGTAAAATGTTAACCCATAAATAAACATGTTGTGTTTAGATAGGTAAAATGTTAACCCACCATAAATAAACATGTTGTGTTTAGATAGGTAAAATGTTAACCCACCATAAATAAACATGTTGTGTTTAGATAGGTAAAATGTTAACCTACCATAAATAAACATGTTGTGTTTAGATAGGTAAAATGTTAACCCACCATAAATAAACATGTTGTGTTTAGATAGGTAAAATGTTAACCCACCATAAATAAACATGTTGTGTTTAGATAGGTAAAATGTTAACCCACCATAAATAAACACGTTGTGTTTAGATAGGTAAAATGTTAACCCACCATAAATAAACATGTTGTGTTTAGATAGGTAAAATGTTAACCTACCATAAATAAACATGTTGTGTTTAGATAGGTAAAATGTTAACCTACCATAAATAAACATGTTGTGTTTAGATAGGTAAAACGTTAACCCACCATAAATAAACACGTTGTGTTTAGATAGGTAAAATGTTAACCCACCCATAAATAAACATGTCGTGTTTAGATAGGTAAAATGTTAACCTACCATAAATAAACATGTTGTGTTTAGATAGGTAAAATGTTAACCCACCATAAATAAACACGTTGTGTTTAGATAGGTAAAATGTTAACCTACCATAAATAAACATGTTGTGTTTAGATAGGTAAAACGTTAACCAACCATAAATAAACATGTCGTGTTTAGATAAGTAAAATGTTAACCTACCATAAATAAACATGTTGTGTTTAGATAGGTAAAATGTTAACCCACCATAAATAAACATGTTGTGTTTAGATAGGTAAAATGTTAACCCACCATAAATAAACATGTTGTGTTTAGATAGGTAAAATGTTAACCCACCATAAATAAACACGTTGTGTTTAGATAGGTAAAATGTTAACCCACCATAAATAAACATGTTGTGTTTAGATAGGTAAAATGTTAACCTACCATAAATAAACATGTTGTGTTTAGATAGGTAAAATGTTAACCTACCATAAATAAACATGTTGTGTTTAGATAGGTAAAACGTTAACCCACCATAAATAAACACGTTGTGTTTAGATAGGTAAAATGTTAACCCACCCATAAATGAACATGTCGTGTTTAGATAGGTAAAATGTTAACCTACCATAAATAAACATGTTGTGTTTAGATAGGTAAAATGTTAACCCACCATAAATAAACACGTTGTGTTTAGATAGGTAAAATGTTAACCTACCATAAATAAACATGTTGTGTTTAGATAGGTAAAACGTTAACCCACCATAAATAAACACGTTGTGTTTAGATAGGTAAAATGTTAACCCACCCATAAATGAACATGTCGTGTTTAGATAGGTAAAATGTTAACCTACCATAAATAAACATGTTGTGTTTAGATAGGTAAAATGTTAACCCACCATAAATAAACACGTTGTGTTTAGATAGGTAAAATGTTAACCTACCATAAATAAACATGTTGTGTTTAGATAGGTAAAACGTTAACCAACCATAAATAAACATGTCGTGTTTAGATAGGTAAAATGTTAACCTACCATAAATAAACATGTTGTGTTTAGATAGGTAAAACGTTAACCAACCATAAACAAACATGTCGTGTTTAGATAGGTAAAATGTTAACCCACCATAAATAAACACGTTGTGTTTAGATAGGTAAAATGTTAACCTACCATAAATAAACATGTTGTGTTTAGATAGGTAAAACGTTAACCAACCATAAATAAACATGTCGTGTTTAGATAGGTAAAATGTTAACCCACCATAAATAAATATGTTGTGTTTAGATAGGTAAAATGTCAACCCACCGAAATGAACTGATCAGGTGTCACAATATTGCTCAATGTAAACGCCTTGAACAATTTCACCATCTTCTTACCGACTTTGGCATCTTCTTTGTCGAACAATAACACCACAGCCTAAAAAAACGAGGCATAAATGAAAATGTGGACGGCCGTTTACCACTATAATACGTAACTGGACATTTTGTCCTATCTTTTGTGTTATATTCGTTGATATGCACAGAATTAAAGCAAATGATGGATCTGCTGAGATTTCAAAAGTGTTCATTCGTTTCTTCTATCAGCTGTTGATATGACATTAAGAAGAATCTCCAAAGAGTGGGAATTGTTATTTATGAAAGAGTTTTATGCAGTGCGGTGTTTGAAATTAATTGAAGATATGATCTTCGCACTTTGCTGGACAATTTAAGCAATTGCCTCATGAACCTGAAAAATTCAGGTGACTATCCCGTTGAGTCACCTGAATTTTTCAGGTTCATGAGACAATTGCTTAAATTGTCCAGCAAAGTGCGAAGATCATATCTTCAATTAATTGTTATTTAGTTACGATGATCATAGATGCTCTCTCACCTCATAAATTAACTCGTGATGAAAATGTGGAACATCTAACTCTTCCAGACAGCGACTCGCCTGTAGGGAAAAAACAATGAATAACTGCAATACGTCAACATGGATATGGTTAAATGCATCACGAACGAAACCATCCATGCGATTATCTGCTTTCGTTGTCGCATTTAAAGTTGAAATGAATCAACGAGTCCGGGACTTTAATTACTTGCAAATTGAATATTATGTTAAGGAATATTTGAAAATGACATGAATGTTTTAAAATGATATAAAGTCTACGAACAACCAACTACACACAAATAAAAACGAACCTCTTCAATATCCCCGGACGAAAGGTACTCCTTCAGTAACAATATCATTTTCTTGATTAATTGTTTCACAGGTCGACGTCCGCCACCGACACCCCAGACGTTGTCCAGTCTTACCATACCATGTTTCATTTTAAGAAGGACATCGGCACGACTTAACGCCTTCCTTTGCTGCGATTCCGCACTCGTATCTTCTGTGTAATTCTTTACAAATGCTGGCGGTAGGCAGTCATCTGCAACCGCCCGAGCAATGAATTTACCCAGAACCTTAAATGAGTAAGTTGAAACATTGGAGTATTGTTATTCCTCACTATAATCGCCGCAATTATGCAGTGTTCAATCCTAACTCGCAATTGTCCAAAACGTCGCAAGAATCGGCAATTTTTTATTTTTATGTATCACGTGTTGTCGATGTAGATCGTCCTGGTTTGTGCACTCCTGAAGAGCTGTTGGGAGTTGGTGTTAACTGATGTTTCGACATCCTTAAAGGTAGTCATCTTCAGGGTTAAGTGGAAATTTAGATGACTCTGAAGATGAATACCGCTAAGGATGTCGAAACGCCAGTCAATACAAATACCAAAGGCCCTTCAGAGGACAGCACTAACCTGGACGATCTACATGCACAAACATGTAATGATACTCCCGGGTTCAAACCATTTATTTTAATTTTTGTATGCATCAAGCCTTAACGTCATCCAGCTGTGTAAAAATTATATAAAAATAAAAATAATGTTGTGAACTACAACAATTGAAATTAATTTTTGATCTGCAGTTTAACAGCCAATAACATGGGAGATGATATACAGAACATTATTGGACGTATATCATTGTTCCACACTGGATCCCTAAATGCACACATAAAAGATTTTATAAAACCTTTTCGCGTAATGTCCGAGATTTTCCAGGAGGAAAGCAAATTTTCATTAAGAAGATGATAGCCTAACATAAGACGTTAAGGCCATTACAATAAATGTTGGGGTATCATATTCCTAAGGAATGTTCATTATCCTTTGTCGGTTGCAATGTCAACGATCATGTTCGCGACTTTACAATTAGGCACCGTTTACACTATACCGGATTGCTATCGTAGCAGGTTGAATATTCTTTATATTAAAAAGCAGTGAAATTGTTCAACGTCAGAAACATAATCAAATAGACTAAAACTATCAGCTTAATAAGCTTTTACTCCGTACAGTTACCCCTTTAAAGCAAATGAAGATGTCGTGATGAGCGAATCCGGTACAGTGTAAACGCAGCCTTAAATTGAATGAACTTTTTAACAAAATTAACTCGCAATTACGTGAAAAAGTGAATTCGAATGAATCATAATAGCACAAGAGCCAAGAGTGAATGCATTTTGCAATTACAGGCAACAAAGTTTGAGCCCAAGCGTATCAATAAAGTTAAACTAAATTATCATTTAGTCCTCATTTACTATTTAATTAGTATAATTTAGTAAATGGCCAATATAAAGAAGGAGGAATATCATACGAGTGGATAGTTGCTAAGTGGACAGGCATTTTATAATCTAGCCATGACGTCAACGTACTTTGTCGTGAGGCTGGCTGAGTGACCTAACATTGCAACAACTTTATGCTATCTACGTAATGTTTTAGAAGAACTGTAGCGTCAAGAGTTTTAGCTAATACAAAAATTATCATTCTAAGTTTGCAATTCATCAAATTCGTTCAAAAAAAAGTTCAGGTCCACTTTAAAGTTTCATATCCTCTAAATATTATACCTCTGGTGCATCTGGAGTGTCAAGTGTTATATCTTCTAAATCATCCAGAGCATCCATGAATCCTTAACAAAATCACAAAGTACAACAATTATTATACTGAGTCATTTAGCAACATGGTTTTGAATGAAAATTTATGCAGAAACCTTGAGAAATTTCATCTTCAGTAACAACGACACCATATAGATCTGATATTAATATTGATGTCATTTCCCTTTGAGCATCCTGAAGACAGGAACAATAGTTCACTAAAATGACTTTTCTTTTTGGTGACCAGTGCAATGAAAGAAAAAATTACCTTCTTTTCCATGGCAAGAGAAATAGCCAAGGCTGGAATCTAAATTGATAGAAATTTGGTTATATGAGATGTCGAAAAAAGTTGTTAATTTTGCTTGTCGATTTCAGCAATAGCTACAAAGTCTGTTTGTTTAGAACCTTGTGCTTCATTGATGGTAAAATGTTCAACTCGTTCAGGGACAGCTATTTAGGATAAAAAAATAAACAAAATGAATACTAATGCAAATAAAATTTCTCATTATTCACTGTGAACCAAATCATATATAAGATTAGCATATTCTACCAAAGAAGAAATATGATTTCAAACTTACAATAACTTCTTGAGTTTCACCATGCTCAAAATATTCCTAGTCAGAAGAAACAAATGTAAAAGTTAAGCTACTTGTTCGATGAAAACTACATACAACTTCTTATAAAAATCAACGTAAAATATGCGTACTTGTATCAGAGGTTGAACAATTTGAACAAATTCATCTTCTTTCAACACTGGTTTCAACTCTTCCAAATAAGGCTCCTAAATACATGTGTAAATATATGCTAAATATATGCTAAGCCCAAAATAAATGAAGAGCTCACACACAGGTGTTGACTTGTGTAAGTTAATATGACTAAAGCTGTTGAGCTTCACTGACACAAATACGGCATAAAAAGACAGTTTCCCCAAGATTTATGTTTTTATACATTCTAAATGAATGAATTCTAGAGAATCAAACAGAATTATTTAAGACTTGTAATAACTTGCTAAATGGGATGTGAAGAATGGGGTCGCTCAAGCCGTAAAATTGGACTTATCGTCTTTTGAATTCAAAAATATTGAATTTTAAAATTAGCATTAAAAAATCATGCAATATTCTTACCATTGGTTTAGTTAGCACTTTTCTTTAATTATCTGGGATTCATTCATTTAGCACTTAAAATAATTCATACAGTGGGGAACTTTCAAATCGTGTAGTATTTATATTCAAAGTACATGCAAAATTAGCCAAAAAACCAGATGAAATTTGCGTTGTATTTCTATAGTACCAGTGCTTTTAACAGTTAAAACTCATGACAATATACAGCCAGCAAACTACCTCTGCCTCCTCGGAATCATAGTTTGGATCCTGTTCATCATTCATCAGTTCAGTATCATCATACACTTCACCAGCTTTGCCCCAAGTTCCCTTGCCACCGGCTCCACCTAGAAAAAGTTGAAAAAAAATTGTAATGATTGACCAACAATCAATAAAAGTCATCTGGGTACACACAGCACTGCTCGAAACATCGGTTCATGGGTACGGAGATGGATAATCTGACATTTTATAAGAATGAAAACTGACATCATAAAAAGCAAATGAGCATTTTACTGACACATTCAATGTGATTGTCTCTTTTATAACTTGTTTGTTCACAAATAAATCTTTTTGTCAATATAATGTATTTACCCATTATCCCTTTCTTGAAAAATAAAAGGAATCACTACATAGACAGTGGCAGTGACTTTCTGTTATTAACAAATTTCCAGCTCATTCACACAACTGAGCACTTTTGATGATAAGTTGGCCATAAAATAGTATTGTTCATTCATTAGGCAAATATTGAAATGACAATGACACGGAGACACAAGAATAGCCCACGGCGAAGTATAAAGGGCGAAAAAAGTACAACTCACTGTACTTTTGCTTTGTTTCCATGCCAGCACATTTCCTATTCAAACATGTAATCGATACTGAAGCCGACCAAAAACACATGGACAAAACAAACATACAGATGACAACATTTACCTATCATTAATAAAGCTGGGAAACATCACGTACTTTCGACATTTCTCGCTTCGACAAACATATACACAAGAACAACCACTTTCATATAATCACCAAAAAGCCAATTTATCGATATGACTTTCGCGTGAAGCAATTCACTGAGCGAAGGAATGAATCTCATAAAGCCGAAAATACCCTCGGGTCCTATATACTGAAGCTATATTTTATTTCATAATAATCTATCAAGGTGCATACGGTTGAACTGGCTTTGTTCTTCGAAATACCAACATGTTAAAATACCTGTACACAACACATGGAATTTATCAAAGTCATTATGAAATCAAGAAGATGCAAATCAAATATAAACAAAGCAGAATATCCTTTAACGATGCGATATAATGTTTCAAAGATATGTTCACTCGCATAAACTATTTTCTAAACCAACCTTTCTTTGCAGCACCCTTCCTTCCAGTTCGCGATTTTCGATCATGTTGCTTGTCTTTTGCCGTCTTGAAAAAAAGCTGGTTGTCCGTTTTAACTCCATTTACGTCTTTGTGATTATCGTGTGAAGTCTTCACCCTCTTCTGCTTCTGTTTGTGGTTGCCTGCAATGTCTTCATGACGGGACGGGCCATTTTTCTCTGGAGACTTTGGTTGCAATGTCGTTGCAGTGGGAATCGTCTTTTCCATTTTCTTGCTCTTTGTTCACTCAAATCTTCTCCAATTCCTTCGAAACTACAAATCGGGTTTCATGCAAGCCCCACAGAATACAGAAAAGAGTACTCCACACTTTTAACAAACGTTTTCTTCCACAAAATTACACAGACTTCTCTCCCTCCCTTTTGACGAAGTACTTTTAGTTTTTTTTGCTTATGTTTTGTTTTTCGTTTCACGTGTGATGCATCATGCAATTTGATTGGCCATTTCTCAAGACGTCAGGGGGGTGCAAATATTGTGACCTCAAAGTTGAAAAACTGCACGATTTTTTGTAAACAACGCATTTGGAAAAATAAACTAGTTCAAATTTTGCCTTTTACGTCCAATAAACGTGCAATAAACACGTTTTAAGTACGCTTTTTATGATCTTCTGTACACTGTATTATTTCCTCGCCAAATGTACTAAATACCCATCGTTACTCAATGATCTCACACTCCATAATCATCGTCAACCAACGTTAAGGGTTTCAACTTTTAAGTACAGTCTGAGTACAGTTCTTTTTATGAAAGAGGTGCTGTAAAGATTGTCTTGCATTATGACTTCCAAGCTCAAATTGAAAGAGGCGTTTCAAAAGACAGGATCTTTCTCTGAAACAACGCTGGAAAATGAGCGCCATGCGAGCTATCAGAAGTCCAGTTTGTTAGATGAAGAAGACCTTTCTGTTTCTGACGAAGAGTTAGAGAAGTATTTGGGTGCTATAAAGAAGAAATCAGGGTTAAATAAACTCTGGACTGGGAATACATTCGACAAAGTTATTGACAGAACTCCTGATGTCTCCATATCATCTGTGTCTGAAATGGAAGGTAAACTTCAACCATGAATTGTCTTCATAGGTTTTTAAGCTGAATGCATGCATATTTCCCATAGGTGGTGAGGAAAGAACAGATGAGGAAAATGAGGATGATTTTCGCCCAAAGATTTTCACCCTGCCAGCATCATTTGACGAGAATGGCAAAAGTGATATTTTTGAACAAAGTTCAATGCAGCCAATACAGTCTGTACATCATATATCAGAGCAGGATCACTCTGATATCAAACTGAAGCTTGCAAGTAACATTAAACTAAATTTTTCTGACCAAAAATCTGTTACTGTGTCAGACATTAGATCACGGAGTAGCAAAAAAGATGTCAGTGTAAGTAATGAAGATGAACCAAGCACTCTTGATGATATCACCGAAAGGAGCATTGAGGAAGATATAAATATAGGTTATGATGAAAATATTTCAGCAGTCAATTCAAGTAGGTCATCCACTCGAAGAGAATCCATTGAAGAAATCTCGAAGCATTCATCTAAAAGTAAAACAGGGAAAAGAAATCATAAACAACAAAGAGATTTTCAAACTATTTCAAAAGGGTCTACTTCTTCCAGAACTAGCCATAAACTAGATAATAACTTAACAGAGAATTTTAGTAGTGGAAAGACAGTTAGCACCATATCGAAGGGCAGCAGGGCTAACCAAAGAAAAATGTCCAATGTTGGTTTTGATAGTTCAAATGACACTTATTCTAGTAATTTCGATGAATCTATGACAACATCAAACATATCTCATACAAAGACTAAATCCCACTCAAAGTCAACTAAAGAAAGAAGAAAAAACGAAAGAAAGGTCTTATACTGTCTACAATGTTTTTATAACTAATGGAAATAGTTTGCCATTGTAAATAGAAATGTCAATACCATATACACGGTTTCTATCAACAGGCTCGATTGAATGAGCAATATCGTGATGTTGGAATTCAAGTTAACATGGGAGACACGATCCAACCAAGGTTACATGTTGGAATGGCAACACTAGGACAACAACATGGTCGTCCTAGTCCTATAGCTCGACATGTTGTTGATGCAGATCAGGTTGAAGGTTAGAAGAACATAATCATTAGATGTTTCAAAGGAATATTTATCTGTTTGCAGGCCATTATCTAAATACATCACCAGGTCAATCTTTTACAAGGCCAGAATTTACTGAATACTTCAGGTTCAAACTTGCAACGTTTCTTTCTTTCTTTAGCTGTAACTACCTACAACCCGGCCATAGTGGCACTGACAGACATGCTACGACAACAGTTGAAATTGGTTGAGCAATTTGTGGAAAACAGTCATCGTATGTATGAATCTTACACAAGAAATTTGAACACAACATACCAATACACCACCTTAGAAGGCACTCTTGAAGTAAGCGATAATGAAAGTTTTAGTGGAATTTCAAAGGGCTATTTATAAATGTCATTAACAATGTTTTTTGTTATGTAGTACATTGATAAAGTTGGCGAACATTGTTCAAGAAGAACATGACAATCAAGACACTCTAAAATTTGTTTAAAACTATGATTTATTTTTAAAACTTACACTTTGTACACTATTGTTACTTTGCAATAAAACCAGTAAAGATTTAAACTATTCCACCAATTTCAGCACCCATTCGTATCGACATCACATCTTTTAATCGCTTACCATGCAATTTGAAAAAATTCCACAGGAGTATTTGCAACATGGCACATACGATGGGAGTATACACCAACACCTGAAAGACACCAACTTTGATATCACCTATGTTACTTTCATAAACATTCTCAATGTCAATTGTCCTTGAATGAAAAATCGTATGTCCTGTCTGTTTGGCAAGCAGCCAAGTCCCTATCAATGGTGCAAGTGTTTGCCCTGGTTTTGAAAGCAATGCTGTGGTGCCAAAAACAAGAGCCGAGATACTCTGCTTGCGGCGATATAAAACATAATCTTCGTCAACTAGATCACTTATAACCAAATTGAGTAATTTACAAGTGCCTTCAGTGAAAACCCGATTGCTAAAAGAAATATAAATAAAAACAACTTCTGACTTGCTAGATAATGTTAGTATATTATTCATTGAATAATGATAATGAAACCAAGAAATAAACTTATTGTTGATAAAAACCTTGCAATAAAAATACACAGAGTGGTTGACCAATCAGGACCAAGAGCCAACATAATCAAACTCAAAATCAATTTGACATAGAACAGCCCTTTAATCACCATGTAAGTACCAAATCTCCGACACAAAGTTAGGAAATATAAATTGTTGATGTGGGGCACAACAAATGATACACCAAGCAGAAATGCACCTGCTTTTGGCGAGAGTTTGTCACCAAGTAACTTGCTCAAGAATAATGGAAAGAAATTGCTGTTGAAATGACAATGGAAGACCTAAAAAGCAATTGAGAGCCAGATGCACAACTACACTTGAATCAATCATGAAAACGTTATAATTTGCACGCACGGTGAAATGTTCTTCACACCCAAGAAACTTCAAGTTACAAATGTATTGCAATGACAGCAAAAAAATGAGTTTCAATCTAATCAAACAATAATCTTCCTGGGCACTTACCTGGATCAAATTCATCGCAGTGAACCACAAAAAGTTTTTGTGTTTTGATAATTGTCGAAGATATTTCTTTAGTGCCAAAGTTGAAGAACTATAATTGTTTTGAACTTCATTTCTTAAAAAAAAGAATTGTCACGTCAGAAGACCTAACTGAAAGTACGAAACATGAAAACTAGGAAATGTGTAGCTTTATTATAAATAGAAAGGCATTTCAGTGTTCATGTGTATTGAACAAAACAACTAATTGACAATGAAACAAAAAAGAAATCAACCTCAATTACCTGCCACTAGCTGGTGCAATTGTAGATGAACGACACATTTTCTCATGATAATGTTTCATTGCTGAAGTACTAATCCCAAAACCAACAAATGAAAATGCAGCGAGCAACAGACAAAAGACTTGAAATGTCATAATATGATTGTGATCCCAAAAATAATACGACATAAACACAGATGCCGATCCAATCGCAGAAAATAAAGAACTGTGGCCATTAAGGGCGGTCCTTTCCACTTCTGTTAAAGCTAAATCGGCTAGCAGTGCCGAATGATTGAGGTCAATAATTGTTAAGAATCCATCGTATATACAAAGACATATGACAAATTGCAATGATGGTTGTAGCCAAGTGAACCAAAATGACAGGAATCCAATCACAAATAATGGACCAAACTTTTGCAAGGCCCTAGAAATTTTGAAAAATGTTCACACAAGTAGAACTTTAGACCCCAAAACACTAGGTGTATTTATACAAAAAAAGAGGAATAGATTTATGTCAAAAAACATATCTAGCCATGTGTGGCATCACTAATGAAACTTTCAAACGATAATAACATTTAAAACTATGCTGGCACACCTGATTCTTTTACTTGCAACTTCGTTGGAGCCAACATGACTAAAACAGCAATGAAAACATCAGACTAGTATTTCCTTTCTTTGATGTGATCATGAGTTACACTTAAAGTACTCACACGTTCTTTTCCAGCGACTTGCGGTCACTTAACCAACCAAAAAGGGGATCATTGATTGAATTCCATACAAGAAACACAGTCTAGATAAACACTATTACATCTTGATTTCATGGCATTGAAAGTACTGTACTGGTGATTAGGAATACGCCTCACAGGTCAACTTTTGATTCAACACATTATCTTAATAATAACATAAATTCAGCTACTTCAAAAATGAGCTGCAGTATACAACTAATACATCCCTACCTCTCCAATCCAAAATGACGTTTTATCTATCTTATAGACAGACACAAACATCTCAACATGGTATAAGAGGAACACATTATGAAGTATGGACCAACACAAGGCAACGACACCATAGGAAATTCGTAGATCTTTAACTGCTTTCATGTTTACACAAAGAGTATAATAACCCTAAACCATTAGGCTGAATTTCGCCCTTGCAAAATGGCAAACTTCCATGGCATAAATTTTCGTTTCTTCCTTTCCGTTTCTTTGATGTCAAGCAACCATATCAGTGCAAGCAACAAACTTTCTAAATACGTAATTTATTCACATTTTTGAATTGATAGCCGCTTGCCGTGACAACCGTATGCGCAGAAGAACTTAACATAGACAATAAGAGTATCCACATACTCCTATTGGTAACTGATTTTTTTGGCAACCTGCTTGATTGGATTTCATTCTTATATCCAAAGGTTGCTATGGGAAAATAAAGTAGTATCATGAAAGTAATATAAAATGCAAAATTGTCAATTCCTCGAGACGCGAAACAAAATTCGCACACAACTTCAAAACTTTATGAAATGTGTAACTACTGTAAAATAAGCTCGATTTCAGCAATCACATGATTCCTTCCTTCAGTTTTAGATATCCAAAAGAGTCACTAAAGATGAATTGGAGAGGCTCTTATCAAGCATGCGTCGACTCACGTTCCCTTGCTCAAGCGATGTCGCTTCCAAACTTTTTTCACGTTTTAATTTTCTTTTCCATTCGAAAACAACGCTGGTTTCTTCTATATGACCATCGTCTGTTTCGGAGGGACGGCTGAGGCCCTACGGCAGTTCAATTTGAAGATTTTTAGCCCGTGAATACACGTTATTATGACTAAAATTACAATGTTAGGCTAGACCAAAAGAAAAGCAGTATTCTGTGAAAGTCCATTACCTTGATCGTTGCACGCTCAACAGCCCTCATCGTTTGAACTATGGCATTTGTCAAATTGTGAGAACTTCTAACGATTATGTTTTCAACCTATGAAAGGCAAATGTACAGTCAAACGTGGACAAAGTAAAAACATTTAAGCTTTAATGTAAGTATTCCTTACTAATCTATCTTGACTTGCACACTTCAAACACGATACGATATTAAGTTGCCTTGTGCCCAAAGAGCGAATGGCTTGTGCCAAACGAAGTACACTTTCTTTAGACCTAAAACCAGATAAAACATTCATACATACTTCCATCAATGTAAACATACAATAATTTTGGATGACTTGATGGACGAATGGATGGATGGTTGATGGATGGATGGATGGATGGATGGATGGATGAATAGATGGATGGATGGAGTGATGGATGGATGGATGGTTGATGGATGGTTGATGGATGGTTGATGGATGGATGGTTGGATGAATAGATGAATGGATGAATAGATGAATGGATGAATGGATGGATGAATGGATGGATGGATGGATGAATGGACGGATGGTTGATGGATGGATGGATGGATGGATGAATGGATGACTTTTTTCACAAAACTTACTGTTGATCCGCGCACTGCTCAGCGATGATTTTTACAAACTCAAAAATGACTCGACATTCATTAATAATATTCTCTGCATTCCTCATCATTTCGTAAGTATCCTAGAAATCAATAAAAATGAAACCAACGGTACGCGCATCAGGAATCATTACCTCATATACGTGAATTTCGTCGCCTGTATAACGTTGTTCATGTCAATGGTACTGTACACACCTTTCTACTACTTCGTTTTCTTGTTATATCTGCGATCGTGAACATGTGACGAGCGATGGATTTTGACACGCGCACAAAACTGTTGTTCTCGTCCTCCCACTTCTCTGTTTCGTCTCGTAAATGGGCCGCAGCACGCTGAAAAAATAATTTCAAGACAACTTTTCAACGATGGAAAAACGAGACCTTCCGTGACACACATCGAGATGTCGTAATTGTATGTACGATTGCAACTCACGGCTATGGAAGAAGATGATTTCTTTCGTTTAGCGTCCACTAATCCATTCGTTCTCCATGGTTTACTTAAGCCATCCAAACTCGAAGTCCTTCGGATTACTGCTGGACCATAAAAAGGGCGGCTCATATCAGTTTCGTCCAACGACTCTGTCGAATCGATACGAAGCAACGAGTCTTGTGAACCATCAAACTGATCCCTCACTCTTTCCATTTCTCTTCCATTATTTTCAGTATGGTTTATTTGAGAACAGTCGTAGCGACTTAACAAGCTGGAGGCCTCACTTGATCGAATACTGCAATCTTGAGGTCCAATGTCCGATTTCTTCAAAATAGATTCGATAAGTGAAAACACAATACGTAACAAGTGCAACACTTTCGTCATGTCAAGTCATACAGTCATAACAAACACATGCAACACTGGTACCGGCAACGAGTTACCATCAGTGAACTGTAGAACGCTAACTGCGCCGCTATCTTTGAAGCCAATACTCATGCTAGTTTTTCTGCGTTTTTCTTACATGATATTATTTCACAATACAAACAACAATATACATAAAATACAGTAGCACAAATGGCAATGATAAGTTTTACCTCACGAGATTTGGGAATATGCCTAAAAACGCAGATAAAATGGCATGATAGCTGGCTTCAAAATGGCCTCTAGCCTTAGTATTGAAGTTAGCGTTCCAGTTAATTTTACAGTTAACATTGCAATTACCATTGTTAAATCGTCCTACGCACTCTTAAGCCAAACTAGTCAAATAAGCAAAAGTAGCAACGAATACCTGAGTTTGTAAGGCAAAATCACTCAAAGATGTCACCAAACCATCAATTTCATTTAACGAGTCCTTAAGATCATCTATACGTTCCTTCGTGCTAGTTACATCCACACGTTCGCCTGTGGCAACAGCTCCCTTCATCGATGAAGTACGTGAATAAACAGGATTGCCATTTGAATGGATACCATTTGATGTTGATGGATCGATGGGAGAGTTATAATAAAGTGCGGTATCTCTTAAAGTATGACCATAGGTATACATCGCATTATTTCGCTGTTCTGTATCATCGAGGGAGCCCAAAAGTTCTTTTGTGATAGCTGAAGAGTTGAAAGTTTCAATAAATGACGTTGACGTAAAAAAATATATTCGTCAAGTGCTGGTATAAAATTCCTACCTTCCACGGAGGAGTATTGAACGTTTTTCAAACCTTTCAGGTTTGCCATCAGGAAATGGGCACGTGATGACCACTGACGACGTAACATTTGAAAGTGTTCCACAGTCGGTTGATCGGGATTATCTACAGCGTGTGCAATAAAATCAGCGGAGCAGCCAGCTTGAATATCGAGGGGGGGGAGAGACCATGCTCATAATTTGCATATTAATCTGCATTTTTTATTTATGCCAAAAAGTAACATGAATATACAAATCACTTTCATTACTACAATCTGGCTATACCACTGAATGAGATACTCATCAGCATAAACACGAGAGCATAGACACAGAATAAGGAATATACAGAAGGTTCAATCTATTGATGTTTTTGTGCCACCTCTGTTACACACATCTTATAGCGCAGGTAATTACAACAGAAGCAGCCAATCAAGGGCAATTTTTGATCAATAGGAAGAGTAAAATGGCTGACTGCAGCCAGTAATCTAGTAAAATACAGCACCGAGTTGCGTAGCGAAGTAGCCCTTTGTATAACCTTATTCCGTAGTCATTCTTTTCAATATCCAGCAAGGAGATGTAATGATAAGAAATCTTCAATACAAACCCGCTAAGCCTCTTGCAGCAGCAATTACTTGTGGTGTAAGGCGATCTAAAAAGTCACACGTGACTCTAACCATTCTAACTTTCTCCTCGTCTGCACTGTTACTGATTGTTAAACACGCGTGATTTCTGACGCGAGCCACTTTTGACGAAAGTTTATTGGACTGCCCTTCGAAATCGCGTAAGTACTCCAGTTTCATGTTGCGGTCAACACGACTCACGTTTAGTGCTGCGCCCGCGAGCCTGTCCACGTGAGCTGAAACGTCAGCGGTCATGTCGTCAATCAGGGAAGTGAATAGATGAACCTAAAAACGCATAAAGTTCTCGAGGGAAAAAAATTATCCTGCCTTTTGAGTGATGACAATAACTCGTGCACACTTTACCTTTGCAGACCACTCTCGTTGCAACAAAACCATTTTCTCCGCGTGTGACGTAAAAGACAAACTTGCCTCTACAGTGCTCATGTCACCTCGTACTTTGTCTCGTACGATCAACACAGCGTCCTGAAATTTCTGTGTAAGCTCCACAACACATTCCACAGTCTCTTGTGCTTTATTTGCCTTTTCCTTGTCTCGACAACTGCAAAACAAGAGACGTACATTTGTGATATTTTGCCAAACCTTGTCACTCATCTCTTTCCAAGGCTTGAATTCATGAGAACAAGTCATGAAGTCCCGAAGAAAATTCGTGACAGACGTACGCCTGTATTCTAATAACGCACCCTCACTTTCAATCACTGAGTGGGTCTTCAAGAACGGTATTTTAACTCATATGTCTTCGCCATTTTAAAAAAATTAGCAAAATTCTTCATTTAGAAAAATGAGTTTCACATTGGTAAGCGGAAAAGCAATTTTTTGTCGCACTCAGTGAGTGAGAGAGTGAGTGCACTTAAATATTTTTGTAGATGAGTTGCTTCAGTTTGGAGGAAAAGATGTCGGTCGGTCTATGAGATCTTATTTGTCGATGTCGATGTGTCAGATGTTTGTGGTTATCAGACCGTCATGGGCATCACGATAAACACAAAACTTTTAAAGTGAAATAAGTGCTACATTAGTGCTCAATGGGGTAATTGGCGAACACCCATCCCCAATATCCCCCCTTTACCCAAGCCTTCCCAAGCCAATATCCCCCCTTTACCCAAGCCTTCCTAAGAAATCCCTCCCTGAGAAAAACTAGCATTGAAAGTATGCTTACTAAGCCGAACAGCCGTCCGCCATTTCTTTCAGATTGACAATGTACGTGTTCAATAACTTTCCACGATCTCTGACGACCTGAGCATTACCATGCAATGCTGCCGTGCAGATGCCATCGACAGGTGCCGAAGTCCCAGCTGTGATATCATCGACAGCGAAAATTAGAGACTGAACCTTGCAAGCCCAATCGCGACGAAGGAATTCCAATGTGATGAAGTCGGGAGATTTGTCGAAGTTTTTCATGATTTCCTACATGAACGATATACAATTTCATACAATTTTAGCATTCGGTGATATTTAGGCTTTATCAAAACCTAAACTAATCTTCCAACCAACAACAATTACCGATTTCTCGAGCAACACTAGTACACTACGTCCTAATTGTGATAGGCTTATAAAAAAACCTCACTAAATAATCCAAAATTTATGGATAAACATAGTTCGGCATTGTCGGGTATGTATGTGTGGTATAGAAGCCAACTGACCTTAACAAATATAATGAACCGGTTCGTCAACTCGTCCATTTCAGCGGACTTTACCATGACAAGTTCGATTCTTTTTAACGAGTCCAGGTTTCTCGCTGGTACTTCCCCCTCTCCGCTGACGTCGACCGCATCTTCTGCATCAGCCGCAGCTTTTGCGGAAGACGCCAATTCACGCAAGCGCAGTACGTGGACCCTGAAGTTCTTTATCTGAAGATAAGGGAATTGTACGGGGTAGAAGTTTTGGACATCATGGGATCAGTGAAAGGAGATAAAACAATCGATAGTGTTTACAAAGTAAACGAAGTAGTAGGCAAACATTTTTGACCCGCGTATTTATGTCAATAGTAAAGATTTCACTTCCACTACCTGCTGTAAAAGTAATTTTTGGTCTTTCAGAGTGATGGCAATCACAACACATGAAGCGAAAGCAGACCACGGATTGACTAACTTGTCCACAGTTGCACGAACGATGTCCAGTTCTTCGCTCCATTTATCGCATTTCAAGCGAAGTTGAGAGCTCGCCTTCGAGTCTCCGGGATTGGCAGCCACTTTCCACGCGAGTTGCACGACATCAGCCGTGCTTTCGTAAACCTCCGAGGATTTGTTGATCGCAAGACTACACATAACCACCAGTAAAAAAACATAGTAAACGTCAAGATCTCAAGATAGGAACATAGATTTTTCAAATAATAAAACGTTTTCAGCCCCCCCCCCCGAAAAAAACCCTAGCAAAACTCCAAACGCAGGTTTTAATAACTTATAGCACAAAAGCAACAATCAACGTTCATGAGCTATAACTGAAACGGCTTTCGGAAAACACATAATAAATAATTAGTCCACACATCCCGTCATGCACAGGGCAATGTATATCGTACATTGTACATTGGCCAATCAAATTGCACAATTCCTTATATTAAAACTAGCTGTCAAATGATACTTGCTTTGTGTGTTTCAGTTGTCTCGGTATGAAACACATTAAAACGAAACCTCTTGAAATACGAACAATCATGTGAATTGCATCAATTATTCACTTGTTCACAGGCTAAACCAATATTATTGAATGACAATTGTCAATTGCACACTAAACATTTTCCTCTATCAAAAGCTCTTGCAGTCAACCAGATGTATACACACAGTACCTTGATACTTCTTTGTTTTTTGCTCGTCTTAAAGCTGGCTCGTCGACAAAGTCCTTTAAACTTGCTGCACGACGCGCCAACTCGTTACAACGCCTCTCAACTAAAGCGTAGTCTGATTGTGACACGGCGTCGAGTAATCGTGACATTAGAGACATCGGAGACGAACGTAGCAAAGCCGAAAGCTTTCGTAGCATTTGAATATCGTCAGCTTCAACGAGGACTAATCCTGAAGCAAGAATGAATTAGCATAACATGTGTGAACCATTATAAAAGACTGCTAACATGTAGAAAGTCATCCTCCTCGATTTTTGTTCAGGCGTTATACGCCATTGCTTTGCAAGTGCAGGACACACAGGCAATCTTCTAGATACATAAAAAAAACAAAATCTATCCAGGGGGGAGCAGTTGCCACACACAAACAGCGGAAATGACCTCTTATGCGTCAGTATTCTGTGCTATTTCACGTTAAAACTAGGTTGTGTACGATTTGCAAAGTACGCACTCGCACTCTAGGAAACTTCCCATGAACGTCTATGGTTCATTACAACGCTTCAAACTTATACTTATAAAGCACGTAAAGTCTGTGTGAAACATACCAAGCAACAGACAGCGCCTTGTCTCTTCCACATAACTTTCTATGTCATGGGAGGCACGATTCTTTCGTACGCCTGGAGATAATTGTGACACAGGTGAATTGTTCGCTGCAACGTTGCCTGTATTCTGAAAGAAAGTTCAGTAGTCGATAAAAAAATACATAAGTGAAGACGATGATCATCGCCATATTTCTACTTGCAAGCCGAATTGTCCATTACAAATGTTCAAAATTATAACCTACCAAAACAATTCCACTATCTCTTCCAGTTAAACTGCTGCCATTTCTCACGAGAGCATTTTCATCAACTGGGCTATTTCTGCCCATCAATCCACTTCTTGAATTACCGCTGTTGGTGTTGTTTAGGGGGCTCGGAGTGAGTCGTACGTTAGAAATCTCCTGACTCGAATGATAACCTATAATACATATAAACGTAGTAAGTCGAACATTACGTCAAATTTTTATGTTTTCACAATGTGTTGATATCAAAGGCACTGAAACCGACTTTTTTCTTGCTGGAAACAACGTTAATTAATAATAAAACATACCAAAAACACACATCATCTTTTAAAATCAAGATCCGACTTATACTAGTGCAAATAAGTAGTTAATATATTATCCCTAGACTTGATAATTACTTCGGAGCGAAGTCGAAGTATCGCTTTCAAATCTTGTCTCTTGTTTTTTTATACAACTCGAATCTTGAGTTTACAAGACGATGTTTTCTGGATTATGTTTAATCGCTTATTTCTTAAGATTGTCGGCGGGAAAATGCTATTTGGTAAAAGTGAATGATAAATCCAACATTTGTTCATGCGCACAAAACCATCAGTCGGTAGTACTCTCTAAAGCCGTGTGCACGTCTGGTAACTGTTAAACAATTTCATCAAAACAACATAGCAATTAATATTTGCAGCAAATTCGTGCGTGTAATAAAATGAATCACGTGAGAACATTTTGACAAATAACAGTCAATGTTAAGCGTGACATCACTACATCAGCTACCTGTGGGAGTGTGGCTCAAATAAATCGACGGGGCAGCGACTTGCTTGTGATCGACATCTTGAAAGCTGTTGTCTGAACAACGATATAAAATACATAGAAAATACATAGAGAACAATTTTTCATGCTTGAAAACAAATATTTTATTCTAACATTCTCGAGACGTTCTCAAATGTCCAAAAGAGTATATCTGTGTTGTAAATCATCTCGTGAAAATACCACTGACGCGTACCTTTAAGATAAAGAGGTGATCTCTTTACGATTGATCTCATTTCACCTAATTTATCCACAAGTACCATTGCTTGTTCTAAGAACTTCACGTGGTTGCGTGAATCGTGAATGTGGCAAATAACCTCGGTTGATAGCGAGGCTACTTCTGGTAAGACTACAAATGAAATATATGAAGTGACATTCTATTAGTTGAGGACCATTGAATTGAACATGCAACAGGAAGCCTACAGTGTATTTTCAAGTTTGTAGATGTAGATTGTCTAGGTTAGTAGAGTCCTGAGAACGACTGTTGGTGTTGACGTTGACTAACGTTTCGACAACCTTAGCGGCAGTCAACAACAGTCCTTCTCAGGACTCAACATGAACAACAACAGTCCTTCTCAGGACTCTACTAACCTGGACGATCTACATCCACAAACATGTAACGATACACCCGGGTTCAAACCATTTACTTTACAGTATATTTAGCTGAGCATGACTAGAATAATATGAAGCCAAATTTTACATCCAGACAATTGTCTAAAGGTGAAGTACGCATTTCAAATCACTGTAAAAATGAACTGCCTTTTGGGTGAATGGTTTACTTTGGGTGAAGACCAAACTTGGCTGGCTGGTGGCTTCTAGAATAGTGAAATTTGTACACGCAGTCAACCCAATAGCAACTAATGATAATACCAACCAGAATTGACACGTGACGTAATCTCTGTCAATCTGCCCTTGAAAAGCGGATCGGCTGTGCGCTGTGTTTCGCTGACGCATACTTGAACAGCTTTTTGAGACATACCGACCAACAACGTTATCTCCTGAGTCAACTTCTCGAAATCTAACGCGGTCAGTGCGTCTTGACATTTGATGAGACATTCTCTAGATAACGCTTCGGTCGTGTCGAGAAAATCCGCAGAAGTAACGGAGTGCAAAGAGAGATCAGACAGTGTGTCGACTTGCTTTCGCCATGTCTGTTGAAGGGCCTTCAGATTTTGTACGTTTTGGCCGTTTTGTGGCTGTTGACGGACCTCCGAAGATATGCCGATAATCTGGGGAGTGATAGCCTCTATTTGTCCAATCACAGAGCGTATCATGTAGACGTCTAAATAAATCATTTCATCTTCGATTACTAATGCAAAAAATAAAATTGAAAAAAAGTCCGGGGGGGGGGAGGGTTGATTCAAAAGAATATTTTGTGATGCAAAATTTTAATGACGAAAAGCTCTTTCACAAAAAAAGTGCAATAACTGTTTCTGGTCGACCATCTTAAAATAGTTGTCCTTACAAGAAACATCGAATTTAACTTCCACCAGGCAAAGGCTTGTATTAACTGGAAAAACAACAAAAAAATGCATACGGCCGGGGACCGAATCCTGTCTGGCATTGATCACTGAGACGAGAGTGATGGCAGAAAAGCACATCAATCCACTTACGGTGTGGTTCAGCAGCCACAGATGATGCATTAGATGCAGCCTGGCAAAGTCTTTCAGAATAGCCGAGGAAAGCCTGTTGAGATTGCTTCAGTCGACTCATTGCCTGGTTATAGTTCAACAAACTGTCGTTCTGAAAAGAAAAGTATTTTCAAATTCGTGATCGACACGAACTCTGCAATGATTTGCGAAATTCTCGCAACAAAGATAACGCAGACGAACATTGAACATTCGAACTTACAGGCAAAGGAATGGTTGCCGCAGTTACCACGTTATGAAGCTGGGTGTCCACATCGGAGAACACCGTGCACATGTCGGCAATGATCGACATGGTAACACGACAATCCAACGATCGCAAACACTGTTGCAATTTGTCCGCCTTTAAGTCAAACTCGTTTCTAGGAAAGACAAAGAAATGACACATTTAACGTAAACGACAACTTTTTTTAAATTTTTCATTGCAAATATGTTTCGGCAAACTTAAGATAAAGTTAAAGAAGACGTAAGATGGAATATTCAATGAAGGAATGAATCCATTCACACGTACTGGTAAATTTAAGTTCCTTACAATATTCATTCATGAAGTATCATCATGTTGAAAGGAATGCAGAATCCAGCAAAAAGTAAAGCTTTGGAATCAGGACTCCACAAGAATGAAATCCAGACACCACAAGTATGGAATCCGGACTCCACAATTATGAAATCTGGATTCCACAAGTATAAAATCTGGATTCCACAAGTATGAAATCCGAAATCTACAGGTATGAAATCCGGACTCCACAAGTATGGAATTCGGAATCGATTCATTAGGATCTGAAATGCATTTAATAGGACGAGGAGCACTTAAATCGTACCAAAATGGTCAACTTCTAATTTACAACCCACCTAAGTCTCTCAGACATTGGTTTGGACGATAGGACTTCCTGAGCTTTATTTAATTCATTTCGCGTTTCCAGAACCTACAAAAAAATGCACCAATGACAAACAGCTATTTGCATTATCCTTCTGCCCTCGGGGCGTACTGAGCAAGTCTCGTACCTCATGACAAGCTTGGGCGATTCGAATTTTGCGTTTCTGATTTTCACATTTTTCAGCAACGGCCAAACTGTTGCGCACAATTGCGTCTAGATAGTAATCCAAGTCATCACTCGGTAAAGGCAATCCGCTCGGCAACGCTCGGTCCTGGTCGTCACTTGTCGACTGCAGCACACTAGGTGACGGCATATCCAAATTCTCACTCGTTGACGGCAACACACTAGGTTTTGATCTGATCTGTTTCTGCGACAAGTTCTTTTTAAATACAAGAAGCTAGTTGATGTTAAATAGAAAATTTCATTCAGAAATCAGCAGTAGAAAAAAGGTCACACCTCATTTCCACCACCATCCCAAGTCTGACTGTACGCAGCCTCTCTTGTTGTGTATTCTGCAGCCGAAGTTTTAGTTTCAACAATCTGCATGATTTGCGTGCATGCCTTAAGTATTTCCCCCACGACGTTGTCACGTGCAGCCTACAAAGAGCACAGACGTCACTTAAATACGTCATTTGCGCTGATGAGCTAACTAGTTTGAAAAGACTCGCCCTTTAACATCATTAACTTGCCTTCAGCGTTATCTGGTTTGGATTTTGTAGGTACTCGTGGCTGATGGACAACAATTTTGGTTCGGCTTTCAAAACCATGTCCATCGAAGCTGATATAACTTCTTGTTGAACAGGGCTGACAAGTTCCTAGAATATTTTCACTTGGTATTCAGTGACTTAAATAATATTTTCACTTGGTATTCAGTGACTTACATAATATTTTCACTTGGTATTCAGTGACTTACATAATATTTTCACTTGGTATTCAGTGACTTAAATAATATTTTCACTTGGTATTCAGTGACTTAAATAATATTTTCACTTGGTATTCAGTGACTTAAATAATATTTTCACTTGGTATTCAGTGACTTACATAATATTTTCACTTGGTATTCAGTGACTTAAATAATATTTTCACTTGGTATTCAGTGAATAATATTTTCACTTGGTATTCAGTGACTTACATAATATTTTCACTTGGTATTCAGTGACTTACATAATATTTTCACTTGGTATTCAGTGACTATAATATTTTCACTTGGTATTCAGTGACTTACATAATATTTTCACTTGGTATTCAGTGACTTACATAATATTTTCACTTGGTATTCAGTGACTTACATAATACATTTTACATCAACCACTGAGGCAGCCAGAGCAATTCAAATAAATGCAACGTGACTTACATTTCGTCTCATTTCACAAGAATGCAGGAACTGCGAAACTCTGTCATGGAATATCTAGGATATTTACATAGAAACAAAAATGATGACGAGGCTCTTAATCAATTTAAAAACACCCTGCAATTACTTGAAAGTGCTTTCTGAATTCCAACCAAGTCTGAAATTTCATCAAATCCCATAGAATTTTAAGGACGGTATTTGCTTCACAAATGATCTTTCGCACTTCTGCATCATCGGAAGTAAGAAGAACCTAACAGAGTTGCAAAATGTCACACAAAAATACACAAGACAAGGTAGTAATTGTGTAATTTCCATTTAACAGCACAACACTTACATTCACGGTGTATTCAAGAACTTTTCGGGCAGACTGACCCAATAATGTTCTTATTGATTCATTGTTTGGGTCAACTCTTAGTTGTCTTGCCGCTGACAACAAGTTACTTCCAGCCTCAAGGACTTGACTGCATGCCTTAGGCATATCACAACGTAATTGCTGAAGCAAAAATATAGGTGAACACCAATAAATAAATTATTGTCTCAGATTCAACTTTGGAACAGTTAATAACTTTGGAGGTATACTACCTCGTCATATGTCTCTTGTGCCAACCGACATCCAGTGTCAGTCAAGGCTTGCACAGTATTGAAAATATGTTCGGCCGATGCAACAAAGTCTTGAAAACCATGCTGATTCTGTGGGCCTTTGTCATTCAAATATATCAAGTTGGACACCTGTTAATTTCAGAGCACAATAAAATCAAAAAGAATTTACACAAAAGTATTAAATTCTGTCTTAAACGAATTGACGTAGCGCAATTTCTACGCCAAACAAAAAATTGTATTATAATATTTTATCAGTCTGTCTGTATTGACAAACCAGACAACGAACATGTTTGGCTGCGCAGGTAAACCAGTCTTACACTCTTTGAAATCAAACTCATGCAAAGATATGTATGTGAACATATATTCAGAAAAATAAAAATGTTTACGGATTTTTGACGTGTTAATCTGGCGAAAATCGTTTAATGTGCTCCAGCTTTTATCGATAACAAAGCAACTTGAAATTTCAACAATTTAAACTTCAACTTACTTGAGTGGCAATTGGCGAAAGAACTTGTTTAATGGATTTCGTTTGAACCAAAGTAGAAAAAGTCGATGATGACATTTTTTACCTTACATAAGAAAAAGAGCCTTTTGCACATGATCTGCAACTCTTACATTCCACGCATGTAAGAAACATAAATCCATGAGAAGAATGTATTTTAGGTATGTTAAAAACATTTAACTTGACATTTAAAACATTTTTTGAAATGACCGCTGTGCCCGCGGGCTCATACTGATCAAATCGAAATCTAATCTGAACGAAATCTAATCTAAGCGAAATCTAAACTATTTCATTCTTCTAACTCTTGGCTGATTAGTGTGGTGCAATTTGGCAGAAACGTTTTAAGACTTTCACTCAAATTTCATTAGCCAAAAAAAAACAACAACACACAAACACAAAGTTGATAGTTTAATCATTTAAGTGAGAACAATTAGACCAGCAGCATTCTTAAAATTAAACCTTTTCTGCTTTTATCTGAAATATGTCGCATTTGCAGACGTCTTCTTCGAAATCGAAACGCTTTGACGACAAAAAGATCTTTTCAGGACTGTCACACTGACAAAAAATATCTTTCGAGTCTGACATTTCTACTAATTGACCTGCCATCTCATAATCGTTGAGTTTTTCATCAGATACCAAACGTTCATTAGGCACGAACAGCAAACTACACAAATCGCAGCCACATGAAACGAAAGTTGAATTTTTCCTCCATGGCTTATCACTTGACGCAAGATTATCCGCTCCTCTTAACACGGCGAAAACTTCAGAGGCGAGTTTTCGGCATGCGTTGTCAACACGCATTGGCTCCGATGATTCAAGAGAAAAGTTGGATTGCTCAACTGAGTCTTCTTCTATCTTCTCTTGTTTAAAATGGCCAGCATAAAAGCATTGGCCCTGTCTTCGCCAAAATTTGAAAACGAAGATATCGGTTTCGAGGGTGCGAAATTCGGAGAGAGTAGATCATTAACAGGATCTGCTTCTTCCCTCGCAATAAAAGGACGACAAAAGGTTTTGGTCGAAAAGGACGACAAAGGTTTCGGTGGTTCATATGTTGGAGAGAACTTAACATTTGTTTCTTCATTTGCAATATCTTCTTCAAAATTTGAAATCGAAGGCAATGAGTAAAGCGGTTCGAATGTTGGAGAGAGTTGAACATTAATAGAAGCTGCTTCTTCATTCACAATTACTTCTTCAAAATATGAAATCGAAGGCAAGCTGTGCTCAAAAAATGAAGTGGGTCGAATATTTGCAGACGCCGTTTCCCCGTTCAAGACAGCATTTCTTTTCATTTCAGCATGAGTGGAATCGTCGTTTCGTTTGTTGAGATCGCTACGCTTGGAAACAAGGTGGATTGTATCGTTCTTCTGTTCAAAGTTTCTCAATTCAAGTGAGCAACTGCTCTCGCAACAACACTGTGAACTTAAAGGTTGCATCTTCAAATATTGTTTAGTTGTTTGTGCTTCTGGCTCATCCTCAGAGCAATGACCATCAAAGCATACTTCATTATCCACATTCTTAAGTTTCTTGTCTAGAGAACTATGAATTTCCAATGGAATCACCAATTCTTTTTCAAAAAATAAAGTATTTGTATCGCTTATACTATTCGAACACACATCATTACCCATCAGCACAATATCCTGTGTTTCATTACCATTCTTCAAAGAATCATCCATCTCTGATGCACTGTTACATGAAGTACTTGCATTATGTGTACCATTAAAATACTTATCGACATCATTCATACCAAGTGTTTCCATGTCATTCTCCTGAGAATCACCTATCTCACAATCTGGTGCATTGCTACATGAAGTATTCTCATTGCATGTACCATCAGAATACTTATCGACATCATTCATACCTAATGTTTCCCTGTCATTCTCCACAGAACCACCTATCTCACAATCTGGTGCATTGCTACATGAAGTATTCTCATTGCATGTACCATCAGAATACTTATCAACATCATTCATACCAAGTGTTTCCATGTCATTCTCCTGAGAATCACCTATCTCACAATCTGGTGCATTGCTACATGAAGTATTCTCATTGCATGTACCATCAGAATACTTATCGACATCATTCATACCAAGTGTTTCCCTGTCATTCTCCACAGAATCACCTATCTCACAGTCTGATGCATTGCTACATGAAGCATTCTCATTGCATGTACCATCAGAATACTTATCGACATCATTCATACCTAGTGTTTCCATGTCATTCTCCTGAAAATCACTTATCTCACAATCTGATCCACTGTTGAATGAGGTGTCAATTACTTGCATAATGTCTGAAACAGGTTGGCTTCCTTCACAAGATGATACCTCTACAGCAACAGGAGTCATATCATGTTCATTAGTGCTTGTCAATGCAACTTGCACAGTGGAATCTAGCGATTTTGCATTTATAGAACTATTCTTTGGAAGGGGCCTGGCCACCTGACAAGAACTATCAGTAACATGACACACAGACTCCTTAACAACTTTCACTACCATTGTAAATGTTGACATTTTTTGAAGATGTTTAAAGTTAACTCTATGGATATGTACTTTGCAATCAAGCAATTTCCCATCTTTATTCCCAGAAGAAGCAGACTTTTTCTCAAAACTCCACGGCCAATGGCATCAAACAAGATTCCCCAGTGTGTTTCCCATCTTTATTCCCAGTTTTAATTCCAGAAGAAGCAGACTTTTTTCTCAAAACTCCACGGCCAATGGCATCAAACAAGATTCCTCCAGTGTGCACAATCAAATGGTGCTTTTTTAATCCACTTAATTGTGTATAGGTTTTACCACAGATCTTACAAGAGAATGGCCTTTTAGTAGTATGGGTTATTTCATGATTCCTCAAGCCGCTATCTGTGCTAAATTTTCGACCACATTTGCCACATTTATACGGTTTAACTCCAGTGTGTATTCTCATGTGCCGTGTTAAATGATATTTTCGAGAAAACGCATCCCCGCATTCACTGCACACAAAAGGTTTTTCGCCAGTATGTATAGTTTCGTGAGAAACCAGGTCAAACTTTCTCTTGAATCGAGCGTGACACTTCCCACATTTAAAGGGTCTTTTCTCGGAGTGACATGCTCTTTTGTGCACGGTTAAATTTCCAGGCTGAGAGAAAGTTTTCGGGCACCTATTACACTTGTAAGGTTTATCCCCAGTATGAACCCTGATATGCCTGGCCAGTTCAGATGGTCTTGAAAATATCTTCGCGCATTTCACGCACTTGTGGTATTGTGCCATAGAAGAGTGACAGTATTGGTGGTGTCTTGAGAAATTGCACTTGCAAGATAGTCTAATGTCGTACCGGTCAGTCAACGCATCCAGCGGAGAGAAAAAATATTTTATTCCAACATAAACTACAAATAATAAAGCAATTGAAAATGATGACAGCGCAAAGGCATCAAGCAAATTGACTCACCTGTTTCTCTCAAATCATGCACTAACCAAAGGATGTCCATTTAAACTGCCGCCATGTTTATAACGTTCCAGTTTGCCATAAAGAGAGATCAGTGCATATAATGATAATCACTGCGATTATAACACAACGAACGACACCTTATACACGAAGTTTTATGCTATGCTTTTTGCGAAAAAATCAACGTAAGACTAGTGGATTTGATTCGGGATGATTTACAATTGATTGCACAACTAATATGCAAGCACATAGGCATTACATTTCAACGTGACGTTTGGTGTGGGCTTTGAAGTGAGAGAGATAAAAATAGCCAAATCATGTCAGGACAACGTGCATGTTATGTAAAAATTCCTTGACTGTTAAATGCAATGTAAAGTTCGTAAGAAATGCGGTAATGATCGCATGTGTTCCACAAATATACAAAATTGATTCCTAAATCTAACTCTTATTCTTAAATAAGAGACTACGGTGGAGATATTGGTTTTAGATTGGATTGGCGATCATCACTTCGCGTATTTGCAGAACACAGAATTATTACCATTAATGTCATCTAGAAAATCTATAATTAAAATGCGACCCCCCCTGCCAAGTGCCCGATAGTGACTGCACTTCCACTTAGACACTGTCAACTTTAGGTAATAAAAGCATTAAATTTCTTGGACATTTGGAAAGGGGAATAAGGTTTCAACACGGATATTAGTTGCTTTATTTCTGAAAACTTTACACTTTTACAATTTATAACGTAAAATCCTAAAAAATCATTATACATGTAAAATATGTTGTTTACGACGTGATTTCGTTCGACGACGAAAAAGCAAGTTTGATTGTGAAGATTGTCTTCGCATCTGAAAGAAGAGGATGCTGTCGATGCAAAATACTTTATCTCAAATCATAAACGACCAAAAACAAATTACCTTCATTTCTAACAACTGTATGGTTCATAGACATAAGCGACCCAAGTGCGCTGCCTACGTCGGACCACTCCAAAAGACCAGTGGCACTTTTAGTCACTAAATGAAAGCAGTGTGTAAAGACATGAATGCTGTTGTTGAAGTATGGAACAATGACATACATACCATTGGGAAAGATCTTGATTTTTAACGGTGGCGTTGTATTTTTCTGTTCAAAGAGCTAGAAAAACAGAGAGCACGCTTTTACTTTGACAAGCCATACGTAAATATATCGTTGTGCCAAAAGAAAATCAACATGAAGACTGTCATATAACGTCACAGAAACTCGATTTTTTGCACCTCTTTTAAGGAATCTTCCGTGCTGTCTGGCGGAGCGTTGTAAAAATGAAGGACTTTCGTAGGTGTGAAACTGCCTGTGTTCAATTATGTTAAGAATACACGTATAAATGATTTTTAGAGTGAAACGTTTGAGTATCGTTACATTTTGTAGATGTAAATCGACCAGATTAGTGTAGTCATGAGCGGGACTTTTGGTGCTGGTATTGACTGATGATTCGACATCTGCAGAGCAATCATCGTGTTTAAAGCTGAGGTTGTGGACATGACTACCGCTGAGCACGACTACCACTGAGCACGACTACCGCTGAGCATGACTACCGCTGAGCACGACTACCGCTAATGTTGTGGAAACGTCAGTGAACATCAGCACCAATAATCCTTGTAAGGAAAGCACTGACATGGAAGATCTTACATCAACAAACATACAATGATTTTTAGTAAACGTACGCTTAACGGAATCAATACAAAACAAAAAGGATACGATTCTTGCTGATGGCCTCTGCGCTGGTGAATCTGAGAATGAACAAAAACAAAATAGTAATTACATTCACAATGCTAAAAGAACATTTACAGTATCTCGGAGTTGTACCTGTGTAATTTTGAATCAAAGAAATCTTTGAATGAAGTTTCTACACTGGGATTGTAGTTTGGAGGGCATGTCAAGCTTGTCTGCTTAGAGAAACTACACAATTATAAAAAAAAATTTTGCAAAATAAATTAAAAGAGAACCTAAAGAAGTATAAAGATACAAAAGTTGTATAATAGGAAAATTAGATGTCCTCGTGGTATCCCCACTTGAAGATGCTTTCAAAAAAAACGTTCAGTAAGTTCTTTAAAGAACAGTTTCGGAAATCCTATATATTCATAAGTTAAAAGTATACAGTACTTATTTATGATCAAGAGGTAGTTATGTAAGCTTTACAAACGGTTTTTCTCAACCTTAACCAATACTTGCACCTTTTACATGGACGTATTTCTGTTTCATATTTGTTGAGCAACACTTTAAACATAGGATAGTATGGTTCACATGAGATGGTACCGTACACATAGGATAGTACGGTGTACATAGGATAGTACGGTGCACATAGGATAGTACCGTACACATAGGATAGTACGGTACACATGAGATAAGACGGTGCAGATAGAATAGTGCGGTGCACATACGATAGTACCGTACACATAGGATAGTGCAGTGCACGTAGGATAGTAAGGTACACAACAGTCCATCACCTGAATTTCACTTCGTAATTAAGCACCTTGCAACCATTGAGATTTTGAATGATTAAAGTACACGACATGTGATCTCCCATTTCCACCATAGCACATCCAGGTTTGCTCGACATTAATTTTACCTAAACAGGAAGGGAATTTGTAAAATGCACCCCATTATTGCGCAAAGAACTTGTTGGACTGTCTAAAAAGATGCTCGCAGTAGCTGTTCAGCGAGTGTTTGGTCGTGCTATGAAAATATTTCGGTTTTCACGTGCTGTAAAAACAATAGAGTTCTTATAGCACGACGACACTTGAAGGTTGGTGAAAATTATCTATACACGAAGCCGGTGGCGTAGCCAAACCGAAAATATGGTAGTGGTACGTAAATATTGCAGGGTTACCTAAGTGTAAAAAAAACATATCTCTAAAAGGACAAATTATTCTAATTATCTTAAATTTACATAGTTTGACTGTAGTATGTAGGTATTACCAACCTTCATTACATTACCAAATGGACAAAGGAGATTGAAAATTCCCTCACAAGACAAGAGATCAGGATCGAATCCATAGGCCATGATGACTGTTGGTCCACCCGGCCCCGCACCCATTGGACCTGGCGGACCAGGTACGAAATCATGCCGTGGGCCGAAGCGTGGATGCATTCCCATACCACGAGGACCTGCGCTCATGTTGGCATTCATTCCAGCGTGATTAAATGAAGGGCGGGTTAGTAAACCACGACCACGACCTGGGGGACCTCGCATTGATTCTATAAAAAAATAAACACGAGGTGTTCAAGCAAATTGATACAGTTTTTGAATGAAGTGAATGGTTTGAATCCAGGTGTATCATTTCATATTTGTAGATGTAGATCGCCGAGGTTAGTCCAGTCCTGTCCTGAGATCACTGACATGGTCGGTGACGACCAATGAACGAAAACACATGGAACGCTTCCTGTAATACAAAACCCAATAATTTTTTGAAGCCGTGATTTTACGCCAGACACGCGTGTGTAGTCAATTATTACTCCGCGAGAGAATCTCGAAACACTACACACGCGTATATGGGGTAAAATCTCGCGTGTCTGACGTAAGATTTGGCTTCAATTATTTGCTTCAGTTCAGGTAGCGTTCCATGAAGTTTAGTTTAATGGTGATGACTGACATTTTGACATGTTTAGCAGTAGTGCCATTTTCGCAGACATCACCAAAACCAACAGTCTTTCTCACGCCGACTACACTAACCTGGACGATCCACATGTACAAACACTTTTTCAAAACTATCAACACAAAACGCTAGAATTAAATAATAAGTGATTGGTTAAGCCAATGCAGATGCAGCAATGTGATTGGTTAAGCTAATGCAGATGCAGCAATGTGACTGGTTAAGCGAATGTAGATGCAGCAATGTGATGGATGGATGTACGAGTTTTGCGGCAAACGTAATTGAATAACTTATTCACGTGACATTGTCCATGATTATGTAAGCAACAATTTCATCCAGTTTCTTTGAGATCCCTGCTCTTGCCAATTCAATGAAATTAGCATTAAAAAAACATGTAACAATAAATTTTAAGTCTTGATGAGTTTTTGATATTTTGCAAAGGGATGATGTATTTTGAATTTCTTGCAAAATGTGGTTAATTTGATCATAGCGCATACGGCATGTCTTAGACTGACGTAATGCATCCCAAGTGTCACAATGACGTAATTCAGGTATTTACGTCATCATTGCATATGCGATATACGACCATTGCTAGATTTTCATTGCGATATGACTCTCTTCGTGCTTTTTTTGACGCATGTCATCGACTACTGCAGAATAAGATATGCATCATGCTTGGTCATTGTCCTTTGCTATTTGCTAAACCACGTCCTTTAACTTCGTGTTTCTGATGAGGAAGATAACATTATGCTTCGTGATACTGCATGTCGTGTGTCAGTATTTGAATTATTTCTTCTCTTCTGCTATGACGATGCTGCACGTGTGATGAAGAAAGCATCGTCAACTGTATTGTTAAGTCTGCATATTATCAGTTCAATGATAGCACATCCTGTTTAAGAGCATCTTCTAACCCGTCTTGCTATGGGGATTTTCTTGTGCACATGTACAATACTATGACTACAATCAATGTTTTGCTATCATGCAATTGACATGTTGACTTCCAGGGGTGAGCTTGAAAATGTGTAACAGAGTACTGCGTGAAGTTGCATTGTCCTGCAAGTGGATGCACAGTACCCCCCAAGTTATTCACTTGAGGATGATGCTGATATGATGCCTGCAGATAAGCCGTGTTGTGCCTTGTTCTTGCTGCTTTCATCAAATACAACAGCTTACTTACAGTTAACTTGAAACAGGCCATTTTGCATCATTCCACAGTTCATGGACAGCACAACAAGCTAACCACACACGATGTAGACATAAAAAAACTTTCAGCAAAACGTCAAGAATAAGATAAACATTAGAATGGACAAAGCAAACTCAAGGTGAAAAATATACCCACTCCATCCCAGTAAGTATAATTATGACACTTCAGTGGCTTGATTTGATTCAAATTTATTCAAGCTGAGAGTATTCAGACAATACTCAGTGAAATACATACCAACAGCGGGTTTAGTGTAATCCCATGTTTCATGATCATTCTTGTACACAGTCAACCGATGTATCTACACCAATTATAATAAGTAAAAATGATGATCAGTCACACATAACGAAGTGAATCATAAAGGGTTATGATATGTTACAAAAGTTACTAATTCTTTGGATTTTCTTTTTTCTTCATGGGTGTTGAAAAAGTTTTTACGGGAGTGAGCTGGTAAGGAAATGACATACAATACGAGAAAGTAGGTTTTAGTTTGAGAAGTTTAGCAGTCAAAGGCATAGTAAAGACTTCAAATATTGCCCAGAAATTCAGTTCAACTGAACTACTGATTTGTCTAGCTAAAATTGAGGGGTTAAAATTTTTCTTAGAGGTAAACAATTGATTTGGAGGAGTGAAATCTGATATTTGCGAGATGGCACCCCCCCAGAAAATCTGTCAATATTTGTACTGTATCATGATTTAACTAATTTCTGAATTTAACATGTTAATTTATACCCTAAACCTAGATTTATGTCAAACTACCATTAAAGTTGTAACAATTTATGAAACTCAGTTCATGCCACATACCTTTGCAAATTCAATCTTTAAAGTGTTTGAACCTTCATAGAGATCCCATCCGTCAAGAGCATCCTTCGCTTGCTGAGCTGACATTGGATTGTCAAATTTTCAAAAAGTTAAGGATTACATACATAGCATGCCCTTCATGCACTGTTGATGGACTGGCAAAGCAAACCAGGAAATATCATCAAAAAAGGATATTCAACCATTGCTTGCAGTTGTCCATGTTTGTTGAATATGACGATTCTTTGAATAAAGCCATATCCTTGAAATACTTCATGTAGGTTATTCTGAAATATATTATAATGACCATTAGGTAAAGGAAATTCATCAACGAAAAGGAAATCATTTCTTACAGTCGTCACTCCATATTGAGGATTTAAAATTGTTAAAAGAAGAATCTTGTTGCCTACAGCATTGGCCATTTCATCATAATTTGGTTCATTTCCATAGCTGAATAAAAACCAAAACAATTTCTTTTCAACACACAACATACCAAGTAACGTGTTGTCAAATGCAATACATACCGTGTAATTTCCTGACTCTTTGAGAAGTTAAAGAAAGCTGTTTGCCCGCATATGGATACATCATTCTTCTAAATATTTCACCAATTTAAAATGTCAATACCAACATCATAATTACCATTGGCCAAAAATGGAAGTACATACCTGACATTTATCGAGGAGATTTTCGGCACTCTCAACTGTATCAAACTCAACCAGTGCTTGTCGTTTTTTGGGTATCAACTTTACACAACTAGAAAAATCATACATAACCTCAGGAAATGACCTATTTCCCTTTGTTCTTCACTGTTGTCCTTGTGAACAACAAAGGATGATGGGGTTCTGACACACATTAGGGAACTCCTCTAGCCAATCCACTGCAATAAATAAATGTGCTTGATATAACCAACACCAGCTGGCACACTAAGTCAAAATCTAGCTCCCAGGAGTTTATGAGAGTTGATAACACATCTTCCACCTTTTTCACTCTTCAGTCGCAGGAAAATAATACTTAATTGCCTGACTTCATAAAATATACCGCAGAAATACAAAACTGTTGCCAAATCATATGTACTACGATGATAAGACCAAAAGACGGCCAATTACCAAGTCTGTAATTGGCATTTCTAAAAATATTCTCAACTCTTTTTTCATCTACTTTTTATAATTAATAAGACGTCAACACCATTTATCAAAAAGCTTTGAAAAACAGGTTCGTCAAATTGCATTAAAGCCAAAAATCATTCGACAAAAATCATCATAGGAAGCAATAATTCGATGATATAATCAGGTGTTGGGCCACGCAACTCATAAAACACGTCTTACTGATTCAACCAATAACCTGAAGGAGTTTCGCTTTTTAGCAAAGTTTTCTTTCTCCAATCTAATCCTTTCCTTTTTACCTCTCACTTCATATCACCAATTGTAGTTTTCGAACATCGATAAAAGAAAAATTCTTACCAAACGCGACCATATTCTTTGAGCGACTGCACAATATCGAAGTCAGTAGCACCTTCGGCAACATTCCGAACGTGAACAACTTTCGACGGAGGAGAATAATGCGGATTGTCTGAGTCAAAGAGTGATTTCGCTGCCCCATCCTCGAGCTTCATTCGTTTAACAGACGGTCCTTCATTGTTGTTAGACATCACGATCAGCTTTTTCTAGTTGATGAACGAACTCAACGAAGATGCAGTGATGCACAAAGTTGAGTGTAAGGAAACTTTCGTGATTCGTCCTAGATCGTCTTTCTTCAGGATTTCGTTAAAAATGAATCCACTGTCAGGCATGCCAATCTATGCAGCGGTTGGATACATCAACGATACTTCATGTAGCTAGCCATTCAACAGCTCATTACATGTGTTCTAAAGGTGCTATTAGTCAAAATTATCCTGCACGGGGAATAAAAAGATCTACGCATGATTAAAGTACACTTTAAACATATTACTAGGTCAGTTGAGTCAGAATGGACAAGGAACAAGGTTCGACGCTCGAAATATATACATCAAATTTCAACATCAATAGCTAGCTATTTAACAGCTGATCAATTAAATTAGTGTCTTTCGAAGATTGATAATTAAAGTAATATACAAGCGAGCGCATGAAATTTCCTATAGTCTAGTGATAAATATGAAGAAACTATGTCGGTCGTTCAATTCAAAATTGAAGAAGAATTCTGACTTTTTCTTTAGAAAAACATATTCTCCAATTTCAGTGGAGTCGAGTTCAATCAGAATGAGTGTAATTCTGATGGACACTAACAGGGGGAATAGTTACAAGACTGACCATAATTCTATAAATTACACAGTGCTAATATCAACATAATATCAATTGAAAGTAGTCTATTTTACATGGGGAACCCAAGAGGCCTGCCTCGTTGGGTAAGACCTTCAAATCGCTTGAAGGTGTAGTTAAGAAAGACCCAGTCTTTTTTGTTCGATTGTGCCTTTGATGAACTGTCTAAAAAGCAACAACAGAAAATGAATGCAGACCGATATTGCGGTATACAACATAGACAGACGAAGCAACGAAACAAATTGAAACAACGAGTAAATTGACATGGAATTGAATATTTTTTTCTTTTGAAAAAATGTGACGATCAACTGGGGGTAAATTCAGTTCCTAAACCAAAGGTAAAGCTAAGTCTGAGTAAGTGACACTTTAATGGAAAGAAAACTTCAAAAGGACGTCAAGTAATGATAAGCAAAGGAAACGTTGAATGCTTTTGATGTAGATCGTCCCGATTAGTAGAGTCCTGAGAAGGACTGTTGTTGTTGATATTGACTGACATTTCAACATCCTTACCGGTAATCATTTGACTCTGAAGATGACTACCGCTAAGGTTGTCGAAACGTCAGTCAACATGAACAGCAACAGTCCTTCTCAGGACTCTACTACAGCTAAGGATGTCGAAACGTCAGTCAACATGAACAGTCGCTAAGGTTGTCGAAACGTCAGTCAACATGAACAGCAACAGTCCTTCTCAGGACTCTACTACAGCTAAGGATGTCGAAACGTCAGTCAACATGAACAGCAACAGTCCTTCTCAGGACTCTACTACAGCTAAGGATGTCGAAACGTCAGTCAACATGAACAGCAACAGTCCTTCTCAGGACTCTACTACAGCTAAGGATGTCGAAACGTCAGTCAACATGAACAGCAACAATCCTTCTCAGGACTCTACTACAGCTAAGGATGTCGAAACGTCAGTCAACATGAACAGCAACAGTCCTTCTCAGGACTCTACTAACCTGGACGATCTAATCTACATCACATCTACAAACATACAACGATACCTTCGGGTTCAAACAATTCATATTAAAATATTTTGTGGTCGTATTTCGCAAAGATCAAATACGAGCTAGACTGGTAAAATAATTCATTGACGAAATGCTTACTGGAAGGTTGGAAATTCATATCTAAATCAGGAAATTCGTCGAAGTTTGAAGTATCGTCGATACTCTTAACTTCAACAGGAATAGGAGCAGGTCGATCTCTGTAAGGAGAAAATAAGCGTAAAATGTGAAATTATTCGAGATTCGGCAATAACGTTCGGATAATTTGTGAAATATTATGATTTTATTGTGAAACAAAATAACAACTTACTTATAAGCTAACAACGATATTACAATAAGTTCTGAATATCACTTAATATGACATGTGTCATACCTACTCAATCATGCATGCAATGCTATGTTGTTTATGTTTTTCGCATGATGTTCATATCTTAATATAAAAAATAATGGAAGACTGAGATTTGATTTCTATTAGAAAGGACTTTCAACTACGATTTACGTAGCTAGTTGATACGATGAGTGAATTTTCTAAACTGTCTCTACACATATCTCATGTTTTTCATATCTAGCTATACCTATTCATTTACCCACATATGTGTCATTTGACATACTATATCCATTCATGTACCCCTGTGTATACGTCAACTGAAAAGCGATACCTATTCATACACGAAGATATGTCAAATGGAGCTATATCCATTCATATACCCATGTACGTGTCATCTGACAAGCTATATCAATTCATATACCCATGTACGTGTCATCTGACAAGCTATATCCATTCATATACCCATCTACGTGTCATCTGACAAGCTATATCCATTCATATACCCATGTACGTGTCATCTGACAAGCTATATCAATTCATATATACCCATGTACGTGTCATCTGACAAGCTATCCAATTCATATACCCATGTAACGTGTCATCTGACAAGCTATATCCATTCATATAAATGTACGCCATTCCACAAGCTGTATCAATTCATATACCCATTTATGTGTCAGGTAACAAGCAATAACTATTCATTTGTGTGTGTTCTCAGCCCTCAGTCAGGTTCGATTCATTCAGCAAAGCTTATTGTACCTAGATGTACGTGTATCCATTCAATTTAAATCCACTTTAACATACCTTATATGTTGCCAATCAACTCCACGTAAAAAAGAATGTTGTTTTATCTCATCGACGCCATTCGTCCCGATTCTGTCTTCGCATTCACAACAAAGTCTATAATCAACGACCATAAAAAACCGCTGTCTATTACAACTAATACAAAAAAATTCGAGTTTCATAATGACATAACACCTTCATCCAATCCTTATTCGAGATTGATTCGCAAAAAAAATCATATAATAATCGTAAATTACACTTTACCTTTGAATAAGATTCGTAGATTCGTGTGATATTGGTATTTCTGGAGGAAAAACCAAAGTCTCCTTCCAATTCATTACCTTTCTATACGTTTCTAATGGAAGAAAGACCTTTGATCAGAACCAATTCAACTTTATTATATGGGAAGCGTCACTTCCGGCAAAATGGCGCGCTTTGATTTGCTCAGAAGCAATTTTGCCGGTCCATTATTTTCCAGAAATCGACCACGATCAAAAACGCGTAATTTTACAGTCAAATGTAAACAATCTTCGTAAAGCAAACAGCAAAACGCAAAGAAAAACGAAACAAAAAAACCATTTGCGAATGTGAGTCGAAGGAAAAACACTTGGAAAACAGTTACACTATCCATACAATACAATTTGAAACGATTTCTTTTTTACTGACAAGAAGCAGAAAAGTGAAAGTCAAACGTAAAAAACAGCAAGTACGAGAAAGCTTCGCTTCAGGTCAAATAATCCCATATAATAAACCTTTTAATAACCTCGCTTTGTCAGTCTTTACGGAGAAATATCAGACCTCTGTCTTTTTGTACAAACCTCGCCCTACGGGCTCTGTCTGTACAAACTAACGTCGGTCCGATATTTCTCCGTAAAAATCTCGCGCTCGGTTATTAAGGGTTTGGTAATCAAGAGGTTGAGTTGCGAGGTTAAATAATTTAACGAATACAAACCTTGCGGTGCTTCTGAACAAAAAGGTGGATAACCTTGACGTAGAAAAAAAAGATACTCTTAAATACTACTGAGTACTTTTAAGTAGTATTACATGCACATTACATACTACAAGATACTATCAGAGGACAAGTCACCGCCCAATAATGATTCAAAGGCAAAATTCATCAAACGAAGCTCAAAGCAAAAACTCACCAATCAACATTTCGTATAATATTACACCTAAACTCCACCAGTCAGATGTCTTGGTGTAACCGTTTTGTTGGAATACTTCTGGAGCGATGTAGTCGGGCGTTCCCACTGTCGAATATGCCTGAAATTATAACCTAAGGTTAAACTAAATACATTAATTGTATGGTATATCCCTGACTGTGATTTAGTGGATTTAAAACTTCACTTGCATATATGCAAATAACCATAGAGCAGTGTAACCATGTGTGCAAATAACCATAGAGCAGTGTAACCATGTATACAAATAACTATAGAGCAGTGTAAACATGTATGCAAATAACCATAGAGCAGTGTAAACATGTATGCAAATAACCATAGAGCAGTGTAACCATGTATGCAAATAACCATAGAGCAGTGTAACCATGTATACAAATAACCATAGAGCAGTGTAAACATACATGCAAACAACCATAGAGCAGTGTAACCATGTATGCAAATAACCATAGAGCAGTGTAACCATGTATGCAAATAACCATAGAGCAGTGTAACCATGTATGCAAACAACCATAGAGCAGTGTAACCATGTATACAAATAACCATAGAGCAATGTAAACATACATGCAAACAACCATAGAGCAGTGTAATCATGTATGTAAATAACCACAGAGCAGTGTAACCATATATATGCAAATTCTAAGAGAAGACTTGGTCGAATAAGTTTCAAGCCCTCCCTCCTGTTTTGAAGTTTGTAACTATGTAAAGCAGGTGGGAGAGTCTAAAGCTTATCCGACCACATCTAGTAAAAACATTTCATGTTCGGCCACACTGTGTACGAAAGCGTCCTCATTGACGTAGTCGACAAATCTAAACGACTGCGATTGGTCAACACTTCCTCGATGACAGCGTTAATCACAATAAGATTAATATAAGTGTGCCTTGCAAGAAAAGATCAAAGATTGCAGGATCGGTTCAATTTGTAAGATTATCTCATTTACCAAAGCCCTTCTCATGCGTTTCCATGTGGCAGCCTTTCGCTTGGAATCCATCGGATCGTTGACTGCAAAGCACAAAACTCAATCAAAACAGTGGCGAGAAAAATTGTCACTTAGCACAGTGAAAAATCTTTAAGCTCGAACCCTAAGCAAGCAACTTGCATTCATGATTTAGTTTAGTATGGTCATTATATTTAATAATAGAGCTAAACTTTGTATATAGCAAAAATTATCTTTTAGCTCCATAGATGGCTAATGTTATTTTACTGCTTTGTGATTTGTGTAATTGTATTTGTACAAAAGCACGCCCTCGTGGAAATCAACTTCGGTTGACGAGACCAGCATGTCATAACAAAGACTTCCATTCATTCACTCATTCGTTCGTTCGTTCATTCATTCATTAAGCTAAATTAGTAGTTAGGCATTCAAGTCCTAAGTACGAGCTGGGGGATCAATCACTTCGTACACAACTTCGCATACAACGAAAAAACGTTATTAGATGTAGATTTTCCAGGTTAGAACTGTTAGTGTTAAAATGACTAGCTACCGCTAAATTTCTCAAGACTGCACTAGCCTGGGTGATGTACACATACAAACATGTAACGATACTCCACAAGGTTCAAATCATTCAATACAACACGCACCGAAATCGTGCATATCTTGAGGTTGAAGTTCACGATAATAATCAGTGCGATGTGCTTTCTTCAAACCGGTACACAAGCCAAAATCTGCCAGTTTTATATGACCCTAAGAAATGGCAAAATTGTTCAGATAAAGAAGCGAATGTAAGAGCGTTGAAAGCGGACCCGGGGACATAATTTGGAACCGCATGACTTACTGTAAATAAATGAAACTAAAATTCAATTTGTGCCGACAGAATTGTGATTACTCGTTGATCAAAAAAAGGAAGCTGGTCTTACCCTGCTGTCCAGCAACAAGTTGTCCGGTTTTATATCCCTGTAAAACATAAAATGTCGAGAGATTACTAGAAGAAATTGATAAATATACACCATTCAGGATCATACAAAGTACTCTCTCTTAAACGTTCACAGTTCAAGACCAGATGAGTATTCTCGCTTCATAACACAGTTGAAGACAGTATCAGTACAATTCTCTCTCTTAAACCTCGCGATCAAGAGACCATTTTTTACAAGCCTTTGATCAAAAATACCCTTAGCTACGCAGGGATTACCATCTTCAAAGTGTAGTTAAAATTGTTTCGGACGCCGGTCAGATCCCAACTTTGTACACAGTAAAAAAAACATTTCATTTGATTGAGACGTGATGAAATATCTTCAAAGTTGAATAACGATTACATCGGCTGGACTTTTTAAAAATGAAATGGCTATAAGTTTATGGCTGGTAGGTCAGGTTCACAGCAATGGCATCGATCGCGAGTTCCAATGCTCTGGACCCGTTATTGTACAGAACGAACTACATGTATGTATAAAAATAAAAGTTTCTCCGGATTGTATATAAAATGATTTTATTGAGCTTTCAACTCGGTGCTCACTCAGCCTCACACACAGTTGAGTGCGACACAAAAATCATTTCGCTAATCAACAGCAAACTCATTTCTCCATCAATGGCAAGATTTTTGTCAAAGTATTTCAAATCAAGCAATCAGTAGAGAGAGAGAAAATAGCGTCTTTGAATAGTTGTGAGGTGATATTGAAGCCTCACTCATTGAGTGGGAAAGTGAGTGAGCTTTAGAATACACGGGAGATTTTACCTGTGAATAAAGCCCAATGTGTGAATGGAATCAATGGCTAACACCGACTCAGCAATGTACATGCGTGCTTCTTCTTCCGTAAAGGTATCTTTCTTCATTAACATCGTCATTAAATCTCCTAAAATAGATCAGTAGCTGCGTAAGCAAAACATCAACCCATACGGCTCTTATGACAAGCACGCCACGCATCGAAAGAAGAATAGTCTAATACCGCCGGGAAGAAACTCCATCACTAAATACAAGAATTGTGTATCTTGGAATGAAAAATACATCTTTACAACCCAAGGATTCTCTGCTTCAGCTAAGACATCTCTTTCTGCTCGGACGTGAGCAACCTGGAGCAATGGAAAAATAAAACATGAGCGTTCCAGAAGAGATAAAGATACCGGTCATCGCTCAAAATGTTGCAACACGACGTAAGCAATTCTTGTCCAATAGGGTGCTAACGTTCAAACATCTCTAAGGCATTCAGAAATATTAGAAATTTTTCCCCAGCACCCTTTAAGAAAATATATGTGCTCGTACCAGATCACCAAAGCAATTGTCACAGACAAAAAGAATTTCAATAAACAGTATTCCTAATCCACCTTTCCGACAGTAAACACATGTGTGAAAAATACGAGATCAAATTACAAAAGTCAAACAATCAAATGGTCGGACATAGTATAGTATATGTAAAATAGTGACAATAAATAGAAAGATGCTCTTGGGGCATTTGTAAATCTTATTTTAGAAATCAAGAACGACTAATTATAAATACAAAAGGTGTAAGAGTGAATAAAAACCATTTTCCGTCAAATCAAAGGAAAGCTTGGATATGACATGCAATATGCAGATACAAAGTTATAGAGAAAAATAAAAACATCTCTAACATTATCACGGATTTTCTCGCTCAGTCACAAATTTTCGAATAAATCATCTGTGTATGCGCAGTCATCTTGAGCATACGCAGTCGACTTGACCAGCTGCACAAGTTCATGGTCATGGCAACGACCAACTGCATCTACTTGCACTGATTTTTAAGTAAATAGCATGCTTAGTAACAATTTAATAAAAAAAATCATCTGCGCATGCGCTCGAGCATATAGTATGCAGTGGCTTAGGGGCCCAGACTTCGGTCGCGACCGCACTCTCCCTGCGTACCCTGAGCAAAGCCTATCGCAGGTGATCTCAGGGTCTGATGGGCGGAAGCTTGCTATTGGCATGTCCCAAGTAGCATAGCGTGGAGGGGCCGAAATCTCCTACCGTTAACATGCGGCGTTCTAGTGCCTTACATATAAGAAGATATCGGGAAGCATAAACCGAAAACGGGGTTTTTTGCTTTCGAATTTTATCTTTTGTTTACAAAAGTTCTTATCATAAAGAAACTAGAGAATCCAAGAATACTGCAAAGGTTCAAACAGCTTCTGCCTTCTTGAATTACAATTTAAACCAACTCTAAACATGTTCATACATTTTTTACTCGTTACCTTTTACAATGTAACTTTCTCATAACTCGCTCGTGATGAACGAAAGCCTCCTTATTCAACATAACTCTCTCATCATGAACGAAAGCGTCCATGGGGCTTCATGGAAAAAAGGGATTATCTACTTTATTATAATAGTTTCTGCAAAGATAACGTTTAATAGGCCATGCAACTTGTATCTTCCAAATTGAACTTCGCTTTCAGCCCTTATGTTATAAAATTTTAATGCATTTTTGACAAAAAATTTCTTTTTACTTAACAATATTTTCATGATTCAATCTAGAAAGTAGCTTCACTTTTCGAGGAATTTTGCGATTAAATAGTACACTTTTCGGATTCAAAGGACTTCTTTTGATCGCATAGAGACAGCCGTTCAATTTATTACGTAAGTGCATGTTCTATGCATTTCGTTGTAAGAAACCACCCTACCAAAGAATATTCGGATCCGAGTTAAGCTGCATCGAGCGAAGAAAATTGAAGAATTTTTTTAACTATTACTTTTATGTTTGTAAATGTAGATCGTCCAGGTTGGTATAGTCCTGAGAAGGACTGTTTTTGTTGTTGTTGACTGACGTTTCGACACCTTAGCGGTAGTCATCTTCAGAGTCAAATGAGGAGTAAACGTCAGGTTAGCCGTATTTGTTATCTGGTTCTTACGTCATTGTATTGTGTTTACTCCTCATTTGACTCTGAAGATAACTACCGCTAAGGTTGTCGAAACTTCAGTCAACAACAACAAAAACAGTCCTTCTCAGGACTATACCAACCTGGACGATCTACATCTAAAAACATGTGACGATACTCCCGGGTTCAAACCATTTACTTTATTACTTGAAAGAATGTTTTATGCAGTGCGGTGTTTGAAATTAAATGTAGATATGATCTTCGCACTTTGCTGGACAATTTAAGCAATCATCAGCAATCATAAGCAATCATGAAGATCATATCTACATTTAAGATCATATCTACATTTAATTTACTTTATTACTTTTATGATATTTATGATTCGATGTATCACGAGACTCCAGATGAGATTCATGACTGCCTTTGAATACAATTAACACATATTCATAATAAGACAATGTTTTATGTTATCATTTAGCGTCATCGTAATTTTATACATTTAAATTTATAGCTATAGCTTAAAATTTCATTTTTACGTATATAACTTGTAAATGAATCTGAAAAGTCAGTTTTAGGAGATTTTATCCATCAATAATAATAATAGTGATTAATGATTATAAGACAGAGAAACCAAACATGTAATAAAATAACAGTTCAAAATTTGTATGGCTTACTTTTTGCGCTTTATGCAGCTGGAATCCGTTCTAGATATTCTTAAATCACGCCGTAAAGGGCCGTAACAATCCTTACAAAAAAGTTAATAGCGCGACAACATGCCAGTGTTCAAGCTTTCCTTCAATCGTTGATTTTATAACAAATTAAACAGGCAGCGATGAAAACTATGAGAAATTTACAAAATTGAAACCCTGCAAACCTGTTCCTTTTCCAACATATCGGCTTTCCTGAGAATCTTCATTGCATATACATGGCCTGTGTCTTTCTTTTGAACCAATCGAACCTAAATCAACGAATTCGGCAATCAACGTTGCTTAAAAGCAATATACAATCTATGTCATATAAGATCAACGTAAAAACATGACATCATTAATCCATGCATGTACACTGACCTCCCAAACGCTCCTCTTCCTATCACCTTTAAGGAATCAAAATCATCTTTACCAAGTCTTGATCTTTTTAATCTCAAAAATTCTGTCTCCTTCTGCGCATGAAGTGCTCTCCTCTCCGCTTTCTGTAAACAGGATGTGGCATCATGAAGATCTTAAAGACTATATCAACTGGACCTAAATCCTATATCCTACATTTTAAGCCCAAATCAAGTGCCAATTGCGCATAAAATTAACGCATGATCGTCACTATGACATCAAGGAATACAAGAAACACTGATAAAAATAACATCATGTTTTACAGCTCAGTCAATGACTTAGCACTCAACAAATGAAATGATATGCAGGACAACATTGATATATCTGACATAATGTTGTACAAGTCAATAATGACTTAGTGCATAAAGAATGTTAAGGGGATACTGTCCTGTACTGAATTATTTCATGATATTGTTCTACATGTTAGTGAATGAACTTAGCATATAATGAACGTAAGAGGATATTGTCACACAGAACATTGATATAAATGACATCACGATTTACATGTTAGTGAATGACTTAGCATACAATGAACGTAAGGGGATATTGTCACACAGAACATTGATAGAAATGACATCACGATTTACATGTTAGTGAATGACTTAGCATACAATGAACGTAAGGGGATATTGTCACACAGAACATTGATATAAATGACATCACAATTTACATGTTAGTGAATGACTTAGCATACAATGAACGTAAGGGGATATTGTCACACAGAACATTGATATAAATGACATCACGATTTACATGTTAGTGAATGACTTAGCACATAAAGTTTTATTGCACATGTTTTACAAGATAACCAAATATCGGATGAATTGCAACCATGTATTTTAAGTTGCTAAAATACAAAGCATAATTCATGCAAGGGTCCATGAAAAGTCTCAGTTTTAGCATAATAGGTATTTGAATTTGTACAAACATCATTCATATGTTGAATATCATTAAGTAATTTGAAGCAAAGATCCCCAGACAAGTGTCATTATCTGCTGGATGATGAACAAAACCGGAAAATGTTTTCTCATATGCATGAGGTGACCATTCATGTTTGCATGTATGTTGATAAGCACATTTATCGTAAGTAGGTTATGCTTAATAACATAATTCCAGGTCACTTATCCTTGGTTTATAAGCAAATTAAAGTGAACAGATTTTTTTTTGGTTATGGGTCACAGAGCAATACGTTTGGTGGCTATGTGGTAGTATTTGTTGCTTAACAGAGCCAAGAATGCATGTGGCTTATGATAACAGCAGCTCACAACGATGTGTGAGAAGAAAACACTTTCATAGACTCAATAACAAGATGCCAATTACAAGGTAAGCCTTGATATGTCCTTTCATCAATATCAGCCCGAGTTTACAGCTGTGTAAGTGATGCAAAACAAACTGAGTCAGTGACAAACAGTAGCCTGGAATGGAATGCAAAACAATGTGGACTCATTTGCCTGAAATGTGGTAGACTTATCACATCATCCACATTGTTTTGGCCCAATGGGATTGATGGAATGCAAACCTCTTCACTTGAGGGCAAAGTTTGACAAAATACAATTAATTTGCATGAGAATTAATCATGCCACATTCAAAGCAAATGAAAATGCAGGTAGCATGCATAAGAATAAAAATACATAGCAACCACAAAAACAACAGTTCTCCCTGACAGAAAGAAAAAAATATTGCAAAATTTAAGTCAAAAAATCTACTCAAACTCGGTATTCAAAAATAGACAAGATTCGTTGAAATGATTCATTTACTGCAATTGACATACCTTACCAAGCTAACTTAATTGCCTTGACAAATGCCAAAAGAACATTCATTTCGTAAAGGAGTAAGATCATTCCAGATACTTTACAAGAAAGTTCGCAAAGTCGATAGCATTATATGTGGCAAAACATACCTCTTGCACAGTTAGACCTTGTTCTTCCATGGCTGCCTCCAGGGAGCGCAGTCTGAATGAAATTCACAGAAAACGAAACAAACACTGTAAAGTGAACATTCTTGAAAAGGGAGATGGCGAACATTAAACGAACTTCGTATTCAATTCAATACCTTGACTTTCTATCTTTATGCTGAGCTAAAAGATTGGAATAGAAAGACTGAAGAGACACCTTCGTCTTTGCCGCTTTCTCGAGCGTATGGGGCGAAAATCGCTCTCGCGATCCGGTAGTGTTAGACGTTGTAGGCCACATTATGAGTCGCTCTACGCTGCCGCACTAACAATGCATATTCAAAAAACGTAAGTCAGTTTTCATCCCATAAGTAAACAATTTCCAACAATTTCATCTTGTTGTTGTCGTGTGGACGTCTTGTTCTCGTCAAGTTAAAAATTGAAAATTGGCGTCCGTTCGTCCCAGGCCCTTTAAATCATTACGTGGTATGTATGTTATGTCACTAATGTACAAAATGGACTTTAAAATTGTCGTATGACATGTGACTATTGACTATATAAATTAACATTCCCCCAAATAAGTAACGAATTCATTCGTAAAGTATTTTAAGTCTTCAAATAAATGTGTTTATAAGAGCTCGAGGAAGCAGGCATATAATGACAATTACAAAAGCTTGTGATGAATGATAACAAACTTGTCTTCTCTGAATTGACAAGTCGTTCTAGGAAAAATCTACACTGTTCATAGTACAAAACTTGCTAGACGCCAATATGAACGGAGGAAAAGAGCTTGTCATTGTGTTAACTTATTTGAGTACTTAGTTTGTAAAGTGTATTCTCTGTCGCTGGGATAAATTATCTTTGGACAAAATTACAAACTTTATCGACCGCCAATACCCTGAATATGTCACAAATTTGCTAACACAGTCCTGGATAAAGAAACACTATGCAAGATTTGAAAGTTTAAAAGATCTTTTTTATGAATCATCTTGTAACGAAGCAATACCTAAATCGCAGATTGTCTGCCATGAAATAAGATAACGCTAAAAGAGATAACGCTAAAATTCTAGGCATTTAGATTGATGTTCAAATTCGAATCATGATTATTCACTTTTCAATCACTAATGATAGTGACATCATGAGATGTCGAAACATGTCTATTTTAAAAAAATTTGTCGTTTTTATTAAATGCACTAATGATAATTATTTGTCATTGCACCTTTCCAACACAATTTGGGGTGTACACCTCAAATACATCTCTAATAAGAAAATTTATGTATATACAGCATTTCCTCTCCAATTCCCGATAATGGTATCAAGCTATGTACACTGTGATTTGTGCTTTTTTCCACTCACAGTCAGACTTAGGTTTATCAAACATGCGGATGATGCGTAAATCTTGGTTCAGCACTTGATCATCCAAAAATTAATCCAAAGTTATGAGTTTTGAAGAAGCTTGCAGAAAACAGCTGGAGGTAGAACAGTCGAAACGGAAGTCAAAGCTGGAGTTTAAAAATCATAGAGGCTGGAGTTTAAAAATCATAGAGGCTGGAGACGGAGACAGTAACGATTGTGTTAGCCAGACTCCAAAAGGTGTGTTAGCCAAACTGTAAAGATTGTGTTAGCCAGACTGCAAAAAATGTGTTAACCAGACTGTAAAGAGTGTGTTAACCAGACTGTAAAGAGTGTGTTAACAAGACTGAAGCTTGTGTTAACCAGACTGCGACGACTGGAATTGTGCATTTTATCGACTTTATCTATCAACTATTTACATGATCAACTAGAAACTAGTGTTTTTCACAATCTTCAAACTAAGTAAGAACTATAACTCATTTGAAAGCAATACCAGCAAAATAATAAGAACAATTTCCAGCAAAATGACAAAAGGGTATTCGTTCTTCATATAAAATAATATTTATGTCAACGAATTCAACTTCGTCGTATAAAGTTATTGAAACATACCCCTATATGGGCTGTTGCCGTACATGGATACGGTCAATAAATATCGATATTCGATAGAAGTTAATTTGTCGTGCACCCAAATTATCGAAAAATAGTAAAAAATTTTAAGAAGTTTTATGAAATTGTTTCCAGTAAAGTGTAGAAAACGCGCGTTGGGCAGCTGTTTCTCAGAAAAACTACAAAACGATAACATGGCGTCTATCTTACATGTGACGTCAAAGCGGTGATGTAGATAGGTTACTTCAAAGTGCCGATGAACAATGAACACTCTAATGGTTTTGAAAGTATATTGACGTAACTGCGTTTTCATAATTTTCCGCTTTGTACATTTTTGATATTTTTTATAAATCGATTTCTCGAAATTCTACAATAGCGTAACAGTGTACTTCGTGCAAGATCAATTTTACCTCAATCAACACTCAACAGAGTTAGAGATAAAAGATATTCTCCAGTTTTCTAATAGAAATGCAACTCTCTTGCATCATTTGGCGACATTTCCTTGGGACAATACGGGCACTTGATTCTACAACAACATAAAATAAATTATTTTGAGTAACACGCTTTTTAGCATTCAGGGGATGGCAATGACAGCTAAAATCTTCAAGTCTGCAAGAAAACAGGATTGAGGAATGTTTACTAGCCCCCGTGCTGCCGCTCATAGATTCATAGATGTATTATTTAGCATTGTGTGACACGTGATTCAGCTTCGATATTGAGGTGAATGTTTTGAGCCGCCGAGGGTATCGTTACATGTTTGTAGATGTAGGTCGTCCAGGTTAGCACTGTTCTGAGACGGATTGTCGGTGTTAGTGTTGACTGACGTTTCGACATCCAAAGAGATAGACATTTTCAGAGTCAAAGACGTCAGCCAAAACTAATACCGACAGTCATTCTTAAGACTGCACTAAACAATGTGGAAATATTCATTTCGAACATTGTGGAAAGCACAACATTGTTCTATCCTGTTTTGAACAATATCGACCTGATCCTTATTAGTTATTAGCCATGTATAACTAGGCACAAAAGTCGTTTGCTGGCGGCAGCATTTTAAGATTAAAACCACATACCCCTTGCCACCGCAAATAAAAGAACAATTCTTACATGGGCACACTACATAAATGCACAGGGACAAACCTGTTTCCATTGGTCAGTTTTGTCAAAGCATCTTTGGATATAACATGTCCACATTGAAGACGCTGAGGTGGATTACTTTCCGTGCATTGCTGGCGCAATATAGGACACGCGAACAAAGAATGGTAACGATAATCTGATCCTAAATCGATTTCAATCTAAAAAGATGAATTTGAAATCCGTTAAAAGATTAACAGAGAAGTACTTTGAAGTAGAGCTGTACGGTTTCGAAAGTTTTATCTTTGGTTTTATTTTGCAAGGGAAGGAAAAACCTTGGTTTCGTTCAGTTTCGGCTCGTTTTGTTTTTTATAAATGAAAAGGAAAACGTTACAAATGTATTTACTCAATTATGAACACCGCCAGGCGTAAGCCAACGTTTGCTTGTTTTGTAGCTATGTGTTGTCCGTGACATGTTAAGGTAACATGATATTCTGCACGGATCACAGACTGCACACGGCAAACTTTTGTTTTATTTCTATTCGTCTTTCTTGGATTTCAAAACGGGCCTCTTCCAATTTTCTAATGGAACGAAAGAACCTAACTACTTTGTCCACCGGACATTTTATCAAAACGTTTCCACCTGCGATAGGGTCGGTGTTCAGCGGACGCTAGAGGGAAAAGCAAAGCCCAAACTATCCGTTCTTTGGCCTATAAAATTTTCGGTGCTGAAAAATGGAACAAAAATAGTTATTTTGGTTAACTGCAAATACTCACAGGTAGTTCTTCCTTTGATGTCCAAACTCCACAACACTGTCTTTGTTGCATAACCTGTTTGATTTGGAGTAATGATGGCAGTGCCCGCAGCCAGCTGAAATACACACTTCAAGGGGACTCTCCACTGGCAACCCCAGCAATCCACATGCATCTTTTGTAAAGACTTATATTTCAATCCAATGTATAGGATCGAGGAAGGATGCATAGGGTGAAGAATCCAGTCCCGATTTACAATATGCTAAACATGCCATCAACTGTTGGATTTCTGATTATGAGGAAATAGAACAAACTTCATGTAATTGGCTGACAGTAATTAGGATGACAAATATTAGATGTGGCACCAGCCAATTTGGGTTGCTGAAAAACCATGTTTGCAGTAACCAAGTTCACACAAAATTTTCAAGGAGATTTTAGGGGTAAAAGTGGACATATTACCTTCCCCAAACCGTAAGAAGTTTCTAGAGAATTGGCAACATTTTTTGAAGATGTTTTATAACTGCAAGGGTATTTAGTACCATCGACATGCTCTCGAAAAGTGACAAAATAGCCAAAATTTTATACAATATTTAAGACAAACATATGTATTCAAACATTGGTTCACAATTATCTGTCGCTACATGTACACATCACTGACTTGAATATAAAACAAGAATATTTTCATTGCACTTGTAATCTCATGTTACAGTAAAATCTCGAGAGAAAAACCAGTTTAGCTTGTCGCAAAACTTCCTTAGTTGCAACACTACGATGAGATAACATAGGTTTTGTTGCCGTAATTTTGGACAGCTTGGTCATGATGCCAAAGAAACTGCAAGCAAAACAAACCTTTAGTGTTCTGTTTGGAAAATGGTGCAAAATTTCTGGCATAGACTAGCGCATCTTTATATTTTCCTTCCAACAAAAGATTAATGTACTTTAATTTATGAAGCTTGAATTCAAGACGGCTACCCCTTGCTATTAACTGTGATCTATGCCGCTCACACCATCTGGTAAACAAAAAGGAAATTTCACAAGCCATGTGCACGAGCACAATCACATGACCGATAAACTTTTCTACCTCAGTGCGGGAGCAAGAGACTTTTTCTTGCAGGCATCAAGGATGTGATTCAATTCTGCAAAAGGTAGTTTCTCTGTATCATCTATGTTCAGACCTGCTTCCTACAAACAGGGAAGATAACAATAAGAGTGCATGTTGTTTAAAAGCAAATATGGATTTAGGGGACAGGTGCCGGGCTGGGTGGGTGAGTGCCAATTTACCTGCGAATATTAATATACCAAAAAATTAAGCAAAAGCAATTAGGATTTGTGTTCAATTAAGCGCACTTCTTAGATTCATCCATTTATAATAATAAAAAAGTAACAGAATTCAACAAAAAAGTTTTCACATGCTTTATGGCAACAAGTTGCCACCAAAATCTTATCTTTAAATTGAGCACCCACCCACTTACAAAACCTTTGTGGTTCCATCTGTTAAAACGGTTATAATACAGTCAAACAAAACCGCCTACCTTTATTAAACTTTCACCAATATCTAGCCGTCCTTGGCGGAAGAAATGCTGACATAATACTTCGTTTAGTATTACAGATTTCTCTCCCAAAAAGATACCTTGTTTACTCACACCTGTGTTGTCTTGAAGAAAGTTCTGTTGTTCAATGGTACAAATATTTTAAATTAAAATTCTAATCTGCTCATCATAATTCGCTGCCAATGCCTGACTTTACAAACCCGATCAATGGATTTTCCAATTTTCGATAATGAAGTATGAAGATCTTTGTGCTCTTTTGCAACTTGGGACACAATGTTACTGACTTTCTTTGAATTCTCACCCAATATTTCAAGGTGTGTGGCTGTTAACTCGCTCTCACTGTCCACTGAAGATTTGGAAAGTTGACACTTAATTGATGTTATATATTGATGTTAAATATTGATGCTTGTATGAGTTTTGAGGACTGTTGGCTGTGATTATAGGTGAGAGATTTAGTGACGAATTTACGCAGGGTGGTGATAAACTGTAAATGGTGTGTGTGAAAAACGAATTTGAATAGAGCAATTAATTCACTGATTTGATGCAATATTTCACAGCCAGGCTGGATTTGAGTAGCTATGTAAATGCAAAAACATATGAAATATTAAACAAAAGGAAAAATAATTTAGGTGCCCTAAACAAAAAATTATAATTGTAGATGACATATCTCGCAAACCTTTGCATAGTTCTTCCCGCAAACTCGATAAATGCTTCAAAATATCGTCAAGAGAGGACTCGGTGTGTTCTCGAAAAGCTTTGTATTTCTTAGATAGCTTTTCTTCTTCTTTTTCCACTGCTAAACATGATTCCATCTTTTTTTGTCTTCTTTCCGTGCTACCACTTGAGAACAAAGCAGTTGTAAAATTACAGATGACGGAAACAATATTTATTATTTAGCGATAAATTTTGAGCAATGTAAGCTTTTTTAATGCAAGTATACGCTTTATGTGTTCCAAATTTGAAATTGACTTTATCTGATGTTAGACGTTTCGAATTTCAAACTTTAATACACAAGATTTCACTTTTACCTATCTGGAAAAATATTCCCAAAATCATCAATGTGGAAACATAATGACGTAAGATCTTGACAAAACAACATTTTCTTTACTCTAAACAACGAACTCGAAAGAACATTATCAAACATCAAACTTTTTCATTATTCTACTCTCAAGCTATGGGTTGCGATGGTGGAACAATACCAAAAAGATGTGAATTGGTTCGCGAAAAGAAAAAGCCAGAGAAAGTGGACAAAGAAATAGAGTTGAACGCTAAATGGTTCCACTGTGCTATCAGTCAACAGGAGTTATCGGAACCGATTGTTTGTTGTGAGTTGGGCAATCTGTACCGGAAAGAGTCCGTCATAGAATATCTCTTAGACAAATCCAAAGCAACGACTGATATTGCAAAGCACATTCGCAGCTTAAAAGATGTCAAAGAACTAGTCTTGACAAAAAGGATCCGCAAATCCACCAAAGAAATGAAGGGACGATCAGCAGACACTTACCTCGACTTCCAAGCGTCGGATTACATCTGCCCAATTACAGGCATGGAAATGAATGGTCGTTATCGCTTTATTTTTTCATGGAAATGTGGCTGTGCCTTCTCCGAGCGTGGTCTGAAAGAAGTGCCTTCAACTACATGTCATAGTTGTGGAACACCTTTCACCAAAGAAGATTTGATTGTCATCAATGGTGGAGAAGAGGACATTGTGAGAATGAAGGAAAGGATGATGGCAAGGCGTCAGAAAGCAAAGGAGGACAAGAAACTGAAGAAGTCTAAAAGAGAAAACAATGAAGGCATGAATGTTGTACCAAAGAAGAAAAGCAAAGTTGTAGTTTCCTCTGCTGAAGAAACAAAATCAAAAGATTCAGCAATGTCAAAGAGTTCAGGAGTACCAGCAACTACTAAAGCTCCCAAACTCAATGATGATCTGGCTTACTCCAAGTATAAGTCAGTGGCAGCAAATCCTGATGCAAGCAAAGTTTTCAAATCATTGTTCAGCTCAAGTCACAAAGAAAAACCAGGACAATTAAAATCAAATTGGGTCACATATCAATCTTATCATTGTTGAATGCTACAATAGTTCACAATAAATCTGCTTTTGACTTGTTTAAACTTGAAATTGTCTCAAGATATCATTCTTAAAAATCTTTCCTCGTGATTCATCGAACTGTTTCTGGTTGCACAACAGCCTTGAAATGTTTATTTCCACGTAATATCTCAATGTTTAAAAGTTCTCCTTTTGCCACAAAATCATAAACTTGCTGAGAACTGCTGACTGCAACACCATTAATTCTAACTATTATATCCCTGGATAAATACCGCCCTACAAATCAACCAAAATACACAACATGACTTTTGGATTTCAGGGTGTAAAATAAGTATCAAAGACAGCTTTACATCAGCAAAATATTCCTTATTTCAAAATCTTCAACAGAGTTATGAAAACTAATTGACACATGTGTGATTTTGACTACTATGCTTAACAGTTATAATGTTTTACGATAAAAAATATTTGCCAAACTATATTACTCATAAAATTGTGCAGGAGCTTTCCATATTGCACTTTGTGAAATCATTTTAATCATTAACTACCTGTGTGATGGGGAGTTAAACACCACTTCCGGTATAAACACACCACTTGTGATAATGGGAAAGTCGGGAATTCGTCTCATCAACTCATCCACAATGCCTGGTGTAAGTGTAAGCATGTGGATGCCAATATAACCCTTTGCTGATTTCACTGACTTGGTGCCACCCGTATCCTTGAGAAATTTCTTCACAGTGTTGACGGGAATTGCGAAGGAAATACCAACTGCACCTTTAACAGTCATTGTGTTGATTCCAATAAGTTTGCCATCCTGCAAAGCTAACAAGCTCAAGCATAGTTCATAATAAAAGCAATAGGAGACTATAATTTAAAACCCACCAGGTTAACAAGTGGCCCACCAGAATTACCAACCTGTAAGAAAAAAGTTGAAGAAAATTCATGAAAATTCTACCAGAGCATAAACTAAAAACTTCTGAGACTAACATTTATTGCTGCATCTGTCTGAATGTACTCAATGTTTGTCCTCAAATCCCCAATGCTCGGTGAACAGTGCTTACAATTCCTGATGTGACTGTGTTGCTGAGGCGCAAAGGGCTTCCCATCACAACCACAAATTCACCAGGTCGTATGTTTGATGATTCACCAAGTTCTATTTTTGCAAACTTTATCTACAACCATGTTGATTAGAAAATGGCTATAATGAGCACTTCAAAGTTACATTGAAACAAGCAGTTTCAGTACCTTCTCTGATTCCTTAGCTGCACAGCAGCAAGATCTGAAGCTCGATCAACATTAACAATTTCGCCAACAATTGACCTCCCATCTGACAATGTTACTTTAACACTGTGCATATTCTCAACGACATGTGCATTAGTCAATACCAGTCCATCTTCGGATACAAGAAACCCAGACCCCGATGACGTCCCATACCCCATAAAACTACGCTTGCGATCCAGGCCTTCAATATGTACAACTGCCGGGGCAATTATCTCAACCACGTCCGCAACAAAATTGAACTGTTTTGATTTCGATCTATCAGCAACAGTTGCATAATTCTTATGCAATAGTTTAAAATTTTTATTTACCAACCATTTGTATAGTTGAAGCCCTGACACCCAGCCAAGAAAAATACCAACAGACATAACAGTGTATTTCCCCAATAGATCTTGATAATGACACGACGTTTTTTCATCTGTGGCAGAACGTCTGATGCTATGTGTTCGAGTATTATGCTTTGGGAGTAGAATTTGTCTTTCCAAAGAGGAGAATAATCTCCTAAACCATGCTCTAGTACACGAGATATTGTAAGCCATAATGACAATTACAATAGTGAAATTGTTGCATCATTGCATCATGACGAAATATTTATTCAGCCCCACCGTCCTCAGGTTGTTGACATGATAAAGTTATTCCCCCCGTCCCAAAAATTATTCTAAGCTCGAAATTATATTACAAACAATGATATGAACTAAGCATGACGCATAAACCAAGCGGTAAAGAAAGCACGAGTTCAATTCTCTTCTAAGCCATGTGTTATTAAATTTTTTATGTGTATAGCCGAGTCTAAATTATTGCTCGGAAACAGTAATGAGCTTACACAAGTTACGTCTTCGTCATCTTCGTGTAGAGGAATGCTAATTAACATCAAAAGTAGGCCGACAGTACCGGTTTTACCATATTTACGCTCGGTCGCTCACTTGGCCCGCCACATATCGTCGTTAAAGAAATGCGAGTTTTGACAAACTAAAACATAACTAAAAACCATTTGAATTATTACCGAGTTTGTAAAGTACTGATAATTTCAATACTCTTTTTTATACAGTATCGCGCAGTGGCAAATGTCTAGCACCCATGCAGTACACGATAATTGATACGCAATATTTACCTGAGCATTTGAATCTATCAACAGTTAGGTGACAATCTTGTAAATGAAATTTGAGTGAAATTCTACATCATACAGTGACTTATCTTTTGGTTTGTTTGACTTTTGAGAATCGGAGACAAAACGCTGAACAAACATTTTAATACACCGACCAACATTAACGACTATCAAGGATGCCAAGATGACATTCCGTATATTATATTGTTGTTGACACTACGAGTAGCATTTGTTAAACTGGACAGAAAAACTGTTAAAGCAATTTCCTTTTTATGACAATAATTTGAATACTCTCGTAGAAATACCGACTTGACAAGAAGTGCATAACACCACACTTGTCATCTTCACTGGAACCTAGGGTCAAAAGATAACTTCGGGGCGATGGAAGATAGAAATCAAGAAACATCTTTATCAAACAGACTAATGGCATTGAGTGGACGCAGAATAGATCCAAGTCAAAACAGCATTTCACATTAACAAACATATATGAGCGAGACTGATCAAACATGAAAACTCCCACAAAAGTTATGTAAAAACACTTCTTTATTTCAATGAATGAGAAGTCGTATACTTTCTGAAAAATACAAAATTAGTTGCATTATAATAACAATTCATTCTCATTTTATATAACACTTTAAAAAATGAGCACTTTGGCAATGGGAATAACAACAGTTTACCCTAAAAACTCAATAAAAGTACATCGTTTATGTCTTACAAAACCAGTTATTCATAATAAAAATTCTAACAATAAAATACCTTATCTTTTACAACTATTATTTCTCACAATATTTCATCGCATTTTGCATTTAATAATATAAATTACTCGTTGCACTTTGCAACATGGTGATTTTAAGCAGTTGTTTAGACACAACCGCCTCATCATCTGAAATCAAAATATATTCAACATAAAAGTTGTTGAACTTAAAATATAACTAATAGACGCAATGAGTCACAACAATCTGCGAATCCGATATTCACTGGAAGAATTTCACCTCAGGGATGGGTTGAAGTTAGAATTTCACGATTAATTTTGTAAAATCCTAGGTTTTTCGCAACTAAATATTCAAATATGCATATATATAAACCTTTGATTGGAAAACGGCAGGACAATTGAGAAATCAAGTAGCGGATATCGCATTAGTTTCACGAACGGAAAAACTTAAGAAAGACTTAAGTTTGAGATGCTTAATTACAAATGTTTAAAAATCTGGTGCAATACGAGTAATAAATTCCTTTTCCTGCCTTTTGACGGCCATTTTCATAATGAAAAATCTTTGTTAAAAATAATCTGAAAACATTCAACATTCTTAAAATTCGTATGTAAAACCTTTAGTGAGCGATGTGCTCGAGTAATATCCTTTTCCCAATAATTTCAACATCCATTCATGTTGCTCGAAAGCAGTTTTGATCGATTAATAACTTTTCGTCACGATAGCCAACATTAGCGGGTTTTTCTGCTTCCGACGGTGCGTTTTGGCCGAGGTCCTACGACTTGCGGTCCATTGAGAAATCCTTGTGTAATCTGTTGGTTTTGAGGACAATATTTGATGGTGTGCGAGTCATCGCCAGTTGCTTTACAGATGGGACAAGTATAAGCTCTTAAGATTGGGCAAGTTGTTTTACCGTCAGGACCCTTCAGTACGTGTGATGTATACAACTCTTCGGGCTCCCCGTTGTTTCGACAGAACACACAAACTTGAGGTAGATTTGCCGAAGGAGGATTAAAACCACGAGGGAGACTTGACGATGCTGTTACCCCTTTCCCGCGACGAGACAAGTTAGTCAATGAATCAGCTCTTCTCCGATGTGTATGGGCACTACATGAGAATGCACTAGGACTGGGAAATGGCTGAAAACCAGTGCTTTCGCCAATGGTCAATCCCAAATCTGAGAAGGAATCACAGCTTCCTGAGGACGAATTTTCGGAGTCGATGCTGTCGAACCGATCGCGTCTAGGGTATCTGGTCAACTCGTTCGCTTCGAAGAAACCCAATTCGTTACTGGGAATGGCGTTGTGCTTGCATTTTTGCACGAGATTGATGAGGCCAAAATAGTCGTTAAACACATTAAACTCGTTTTTGTTGAACGTTGTGCCATTGTCTGTCATAGATTTTGTATCATCATCGTCCGAATCGAGAAAATTGCTTGGCATCAGCGTTTTCAAAACTAACTCACTCAACGACATTATTACTTGATCGCACGATATCTGTTCGCGGTTATACACGCTTGTCTGGTGCCCTTCAATTTGATGACAGTTGTTAACTTCAAAGCAATATCGTCGCCTGGCGGACCCTCTTCAGATTACGAAAGCGGAGGACAAAAATATAACGCGCGCTCTCAGCAGGACTGCTAAATAAATTACTTTCAATTATCACGAGGCGTGCTCTTTATTAATCATCGGTAACTACTTTGCGCATGCTCTACACTTTCTACGCATGCGTTCTAAAGAAAATGTTAGCATTTCGCGGCAAAAGTCCAAAAGTTATATGCAAATGTCCCGTGTTGACACCATAGCTAATTTCCGATGGAGCTTTGTGGCATTTAATCGAAGCTCGTAACGACGTTGGAGTCATTGTCATCAGAACACGAGGATTATGTTGGATGAAAAGCAATGCAAATTAATCCCACATTAACATACTCCATTCATAACGTCGATTCAAATATTTAGAATTTCTCCCAAATGGCTTCCAGCGCAAGTTGTGACATTTTTATACTATGTTAAAAAAACAACAAAATGTCAACAACTATGATGTCAACATTACGTGCAGTACAAAAAACAACAATCGCCATGAAATATAAGGCTTCAAAGTTCTGTGTGAAGTGTGAACAGATTTCATGATTCATTTAAATGAAGCACATCCAATTCCAGCTGAAGATAATCCTCTAGAGGATCACATAGTTGCAACATTCCGAGATTACAAATAAACAAGGCAAACCGGAAGTATTGCAATAAACTATTTGACCTCTTGAGTCTCGAACTCGACCCTTTCGATTGCAAGCATATTGTATTCAATTCCTGATATAGTTTGTTTTTGACATGGGATCAAATCGCGAATCTGTACCAAGCAAAAAAATGCTGGATAATTATGAAGAACAATTCAATACGTTGAAGATAATCTCTTTGAAAGGTGATGAATGAAAGTGTGCAGTGGAATAAGTAAACGTATCATGTTTGCGTACTGTTCAGATTACACACGGAAGTAAATAAACAGTAAAACTGTTGTGACAAGTTGCTTTTCGCGTTCCTTCGCAAATTTATATCGTGTATCTTTAATAGCTATCAATGAATTTGAGGAGTTACAAAAAAAGTGTGAAGATAACTATGCAAAGGTCAGATTTCGGCTTAGTGTTTTTAATTTTCTTTGTATTTTGGACGCTGTTCATCGAAGCTGCTGTTTATTAATATATGCATAATATATTATTTCGATTTTTGTGTGCTAAATTGTCATTTACTTTCTGTGAGCGAGAACTTTTACCTTTGCAGTACTTGGAAGAAAGGGAAAATTATCTTAGGACGAAAAAGAACTGGAAACATTACAAGAAGGTTGAGTTGAGAGTTATGCATTTCAAGTATATGAAAATTGTTTCTAATCGTCGTAATTTAGATTCAAGTTATAAACTATCCATGTGAGAATAAAACAGCAAATTTTTAGGTCAGGAACAATACGTTAAGTTTTGGATCGAATATGCAAGGAAAGCAAATTAATGTTTTCAAAGCAAAAAAGCAGTTAATAATTCACAGATATCATGAATTGTTAATGACATTGGAAAGTATTTCGTTTTTTTAATTAGACACATGTTGGATGCAAGTGGAAAGAAATTTTCATTTTCTTTTTAAATTTGCAAAAGAAAAAGTTTGTGGGTTGAGTTGAGGTCACCAAATATTTAATTATCAGAGCCATGTATCTGTATGGTGGTCATGTTTACAACCTTACATTTGTGTTTATGCAGCTATATTTCCCATTTCAAAACTAAAATTATTTTTATTTAAGAAATCTCACTGATATATATAATGTGCATCATCAAACGTATTACATTGATGAATTGGGAACTTCCAAATTTAGATATAAAATTTCAATTTTTCCTTGAAAGTTAGAGCAAAGGTACAGAGATGTTATTTTAATGAAAACTTTTGGTTTATCCATAGACATCCTGGGTGAAAACAACTCACCCCACAAACTTCTACTTTGTTGAAATCAAAATATTTCACTTGCACGGTGGCTATCATTTATATACCGGCTGTCATTTATATAGTATCTGGAGAAGTGCTTGGAGAATATGATAATCTTCATATGAAATGTCATTTATATAGTATCTGGAGAAGTGCTTGGAGAATATGATAATCTTCATATAAAATACACAATCGAGCAAGAATGTAGAGACAAGGCAGAAGATTATGCCAAGCAGGTTTCTTGATATCTTTTCTTTCCTAAAGACATGTTCAAACAACTTTACAAACCATTACAAATTTACTTCTGTTCTTTAGCAAGTTAAAGAGAACAAGATGCTGAAAAGACAAAGTGCCATACTATTAAACACTTTGGTTCAAAAAGCTGTGGACTTTGATTTGGTTGTTTATAATATTTCTGTTCTATACTCTTGATATATCACTTAGCTATAAAGTTTACTTCAAAGTACTGAATAATCTCTGCTTTATGTCAACAGGATGAGCTTTCTGGAGAGGTTGATGACTTGTCTTCAACAGAAGACCAAGGATTGAACGACCAAGAAATTGAATGTACCTATTGGTTCTCTTCATAAAAAATACTCCTCAAAATTTTCCATTGCCAATATAAGAATTTTCTGTGTTTTATAAGGGAAACAGCAAGTTGAATCACTAAAAATCAAAAACGAAGAACTCTCACAAAACCTGAAATGTGTCGAGGAAAAGGTTGCTCATTTGTACTAGTGAAAATTGTTTAACATTCATTTTTACATTAGGTGAAAGCTGAATTATCTTTATTAGCTTTGTGAAGAGAAAAGTGAACATAATAAAACGAAAGTAGAATTGAAAAATAACATGGCAAACTTCAAACAACTTAATCGAGGTACATTGTGCAGTCGGGGACTGTTGCTGTCAGTGGAACATTATGAAGAGATGTTATGATGGGGGAGGGGTGACATCCTAAGAGAAAAATTACCCAGTTGAAAAACATTGCCTAGCTGTCCAATAACCAAAACATATCAATTTCATTTCCATGGCCCTGCTTTACCTTTGTGATTTTGTTAACTGAAAACTGTGGGAAAGACATTGTTTAAAATTTTGTGATTTCTCATAGTTTCTCATTTGGCCCTTGATGATTTTTCTGACCTGCAAAAGAAATATGAAATGGAAATTGAGATTCGAGAACAAGCCGAAAAAATTGCAGCTGAGGTACAACGGATCAAAGTTGTTTCTTTAAGCTTTAAGGTTCTGTGAGTATGATTGAGAAATTTTTATTACACTCAGGCAAGTCACGAACATGAAGCCTTTGCCAAGCAAAGAGAGCTAGTTTCTAATGATCTAACGGGTGATGAAAAACTGCAGAAAGCTCTGGATGAGATTGGAAAATTAACGAAGAAATTACTGGAACAACGAACAGAGTTTGATGGAAAGGTAAAAAAGGAGACATGGTTTGGCTGTCAAAACTCAATCGTGGAAAAAAGTTAAATCTTTTTCCTTTTAAGGTGAAAGAACTTGAGGAAGAACTGGCTTCGTCAAATGACGCTCGCAAACTGAAAAGTAGGAACTTTTAAGATAAAAATCTGTAATGATACCCAGCAATGAAGGGATTATGCTTTTCCATAGGTTTGGAGGACAAAATTAACACGTTTGCACAAGGAGTTGAAACATTGGAAGATAGGTTAACTCAAGCTCAAGCTCGAGCGACTCACGCTGAAGAAAAAGGTACGCAAAATGTGTATCTTCAAACTCGTTTTTATATTCTTGCCCTAAAATTGTCACGTTCATTTTTGCAGCCAAGAAGTTGGAAGAGGAACTGAAAAAAGCTAAAGTATCCAACACTGTTCCCTCGGCTCCCCCACTACCTCCTCCTCCTCCCCCACCGCCACCTGCTCCCACGCAACTGTTTAAGTAGGTTATAGAAAATGCCTAATATTCCAGAGATGTGAAGCTAGTTTTCAATCATTGCGTCACATTGTATTTTGCGATTCGAGTTGCATTCCCTTTTTCGATGTGAGAAACAGAGATACATCGCTTCGATGCGAGTGAAGTGGAAAACTAGCTTTACTCTTTTATTTTCACATCGTTCGTTCACTAAAAGAAGTTATCTTTCTTCTGTAGAAGGTTTGTGGGAATGGTTGCTTTCAGTGGAAAAAAAAGTCTCAAGAGAAGTGAGATTGAACTGTTCTTCATTTGGACTGTTTCTCATGTAGTCGTCCGAGTTGTTTTGATGTTATCAGCTGTCTGGATAGAGCTCTGTTCTATCGACTTGCGTTCTAGAGATGACTACGACCATTTGAGAATCAGACCATATCTATAACATTCAGTAATACCGTAAACACTTCCTATAAGCCCAGCGCTGATATGAGTTCCTAATCCCTTTTTCATAAGCTTATACATGGAGCAAGTTTCATCATGGCTTTCATGGGCTTATACATGGGAGAGCAAGTTTCATCATGGGCTTATATATGGGAGAGCAAGTTTTCATGGGCTTATATATGGGAGAGCAAGTTTCATCATGGGCTTATATATGGGAGAGCAAGTTTTCATGGGCTTATACATGGGAGAGCAAGTTTCATCAGGGGCTTATATATGGGAGAGCAAGTTTTCATGGGCTTATATATGGGAGAGCAAGTTTCATCATGGGCTTATATATGGGAGAGCAAGTTTCATCAGGGGCTTATACATGGGAGAGCAAGTTTCATCATGGGCTTATATATGGGAGAGCAAGTTTTCATGGGCTTATACATGGGAGAGCAAGTTTCATCATGGGCTTATATATGGGAGAGCAAGTTTTCATGGGCTTATATATGGGAGAGCAAGTTTCATCATGGGCTTATATATGGGAGAGCAAGTTTTCATGGGCTTATACATGGGAGAGCAAGTTTCATCAGGGGCTTATATATGGGAGAGCAAGTTTCATCATGGGGCTTATATATGGGAGAGCAAGTTTTCATGGGCTTATACATGGGAGAGCAAGTTTTCATGGGCTTATACATGGGAGAGCAAGTTTCATCATGGGCTTATATATGGGAGAGCAAGTTTTCATGGGCTTATACATGGGAGAGCAAGTTTCATCATGGGCTTATATATGGGAGAGCAAGTTTTCATGGGCTTATACATGGGAGAGCAAGTTTTCATGGGGCTTATACATGGGAGAGCAAGTTTCATCATGGGGCTTATAGGCAGAGTTACGGTAGTTTGAAATTCTTAACTAACCCTTCCAAGACGCCCAACGGTCATTGGTTTTCATTTTTGACTCGAGTTCCGCTTGCCTGTTTTTAGACAAGACGGTCATAAAAGAGGACCCGCGTATCAAGGCAATGAGTGAAATGATGGAACGAATAAAAACAGGAAAAGTGTCCCTTAAACCCGTTCAACGACAGGTGAATATCATTCCCGCTTTTGACGTACTCACCCTGTACACTTAGTCATGCTATGCAAATTTTCCTCTGTTCACTTACTGCGAAAACAATCGATTTCTAAAGGCTTGAATCATGATATATTCTGGCATTTACATAGCAGAACTAAACCATGCAAGCTGGCGACGTCACTAACCTCCCCGTATTCACAAGAAAAAATACAAACCTTGATATTTCCATTTCGACATTCGTGTTCTTTAGGTGTCCATGCCGGAGAGATCTGAGACGGAAGATGGTCGAGCTATAGAAAACTTAAGAAAAACATTAGTAAGTATCGTTTCAACGAGATGTCGTTTTTAAGGACGAACCGAGTTGCTCTAACTTAAAATCGTTCTCAGAAAACGTTGCGTCAATCCCCGTCGAAAACATCGATTAAGGAAAGCGAGAATGAAAAAGAAACAGCCCACACGTTCGGCATCCAACTTCGCAAAACTGGCGATCGAAATGGGAGATTTTCTTCAGAATCCGACGATTCTCCCAATAAAATTCCATCCGTGACCTTACGTAAAGCGCGAAGTCACTCGGCAGGAGAACTCTTAGACGAAGAACCAACCATGGATAAAGACCTTGTCAAACACCTTAAGAGACAGAAAGCCGCCGCCGAAAGAGGTATGACTGTCGACGTTGTCCGATTGGCGTATCTAATTTAGTTCCCGATTATAACTATTGTTACATGTTTGTAAATGTAGATCGTCCAGGTTGGTATAGTCCTGAAGGACTGTTGTTGACTGACGTTTCGACAACCTTAGCGGTAGTCATCTTCAGAGTCAACCTTAGAAAGACTAAAGATGACTACCGCTAAGATTGTCGAAAACAGTCAACAACAACAAAACAGTCCTCTACCAACCTGGACGATCTACATTTACAAACATGTAACGATACTCCCAGGTTCAAACCATTTACTTTATAACTATTGTGTCCGTTCTAGATGAAAACAGCGAGGAATCGCCAGAAAAAACCAGCCCGGTTAAGGATAAGCAAAGAAAAAACAGCAGCAGCTAGCCGGAAAGCTTGGAATCGTATGGAATATCATTGCCCCTTCGTATTTGCCATTATATGACAATGGTTTTAAATGTTCATTCTTGACGTGGACGGATATTTACGATTCTTAGGAATAATTCATGTTAAATTTTCACAGTATAGGCAGTAAATGTTCAGAGTCCAGTGATTTTTTGTGGAAGACCACCATCCTGGATCGTTCTTTCGTGTACAATCGTCATTAAACCATTTGAATGTATCTAGGGGGGGTGGGGTGGTAGCGTGAGTTTACTGCACTAAAAATCACTGGACATGTCATTCTGTAGGATAGTACTTAGTGCTACTGGAGAAGAAATTTCTCACATTCGCAGTGTAAAGTATTTATTGAAAATTCAAATTGATGAAGAGTCAAACTCAACCTCAAAACAAAACTAAAAAACTTTTGCTCGTATGTAACGCGATAATGAGGAGAAATACCGTTCCTTTTGTAGGATCATAATGATCTTTCGACTACATGAGTGTACGACAAAGGACATGCGTTTCATGAAAGTCACAAACTTCTAACGTCCCTTCAACAATCTTTCGGTCACTCGTTCCAAAATTCTCTTTGCTTCGCAGTTAGGGAAATTTCTCATGTCGTAATACTGCGGAGCGACCTTCACCAACCTTGAAAAGAAACATGGTTTACAGCAGGTGTGGATTTAGGTGAGGCAGAGACGTAACTGGGACGTAAATTGGGGGTTGTATATTCATATATTCAGTTGTACCCAACTGAATACTTTTGAAAACGAACTTGCTTTCAAAAGAAATCGGCGAAACCAACTGAATATATGAATATAGTAAATGGTTTGAACCGGAGTATCGTTACATGTTTTTAAATGTAGATCGTTCAGGTTGGAATAGTCATAAGGACTGTTTTTGTTGTTGTTGACTGACGTTTCGACAACCTTAGCGGTAGTCATCTTCAGAGTCAAAATGAAGATGACCCTGAAGATGACTACCGCTAAGGTTGTCGAAATGGCAGCCAACAACAACAAAAACAGTCCTTCTCAGGACTATACCAACCAACCTGGACGATCTACATTTAAAAACATGAATATATGAATATACCCCTTCAATTAACGTTCTAATTACGCCTCAAAGGGAAGGGGTGCGCACACAGCTTGCCTTAACTAAATGCGGCGCAGAAAGGTTGCCAGTTTCCCTTGTAAATACTGATGTACCAAGCATTTGAGCAAAAGCAATTGTGATAAGTGTTTAATGGTGCACACTTTCGAAAATCTCCCTATGGAAGTAAAAATGTAACTGAATTCAACGTAAGTCTGACAAGGTGCAGAAAAAAGTAGCCACCGAAATCTAATCCAAAGTGAGTATTAAAGCTAATCCAAACTAAAACATGCTGGGCCGACTAAATCATCGTGGATCCATCCCTGGGATACTACAAATCAGGGAAAGCAAATTGAAGTTTACACACGATGGATCACAAACTGCGTCTTCTTTACTTTAGCTCTAAGGGAGTAGTAAGCATATCGTTGTCCAATATATCCATCAACGTCTAAGGTACCTACCATTCGGGCTTCACTTCGGTACATGTTCTTATGTAGTTCTTCGTGGTAAGGACAAATTCGTTGTACAATATCCATTCAGGTTTGTGATCCAGCACAGTTGATGGGTGAAGTTGTACAACCTGACACGAAAAATATTCACATGCGTCAACAAAAGCGTTTCTTTCATAAGAACTTCGTGGAGTTTTTACTCTGTTTTTACATTTGCAGCTATTCGATTAACTGGATAATAATGAATCAGAGTTTTTCAGTCTGCGCTGTAATCTTCTTTTACACAAGTAGTTTTCAATTAGTGGGAAAAAAATTTGATTAAAATAGGGACGTAATCTTGACAAAGCGACAAGAAATATCTATGTACCTGATTGTCCTTGACTGTGAGATAGTGTCCAGACCTCTCAAGATGCGCAACCTGTCTCGCAGTTGACGTGTAATGATATTTAACGGTCAGTAATCATCTACAGTACAAAACTACATCATTGGCTAACTATCTTAGGAAACCCTTAACTCAACACTAGAGGTTTATGGCTACAGGTCGTACGGGAGGAGAAGCCAAATTTTAAACCTTCCAAGCGACCGGTATCGAAACAAACAATACCCACCCCCCGTGATACAAGACAAAAAAATGGCCGAAGTAGCTACGAACCCCAAGTGATAAGATCATTGTATTCACTGACGGATCTAGAGCAATTCATCGATGAATATAAATTTTGAGAAACTCACAAGTATTCTTTCATAAAATATTCTGTTCAAACTTATCGATAATGGTGTTGTTTATAATACAAATTTCAAATTTCATTGTACGAAATACTTAATACTCTGTATCCGTCAGTGCTGGTTATGTTCCAGTAACTGCCAGCTCTCTTAATCAGAAAGGCGAAGATAGATAACGTCCGCATACATTACCTGCATAAAGAAGCCAGCGACAAGAGCCTTTCTTATGTTGATATAATAATCTTTACTGTTGAAGTCTGTGCTCCGACGGGCCAAGTTGAAACGATCCATAATACGTACAAGCTGGTCCCGCACGCTGTCAGCGGACTTGAGAGAACGATACTGCACGAAGTTATCGTAACACCATTGCGATTCTTCGTGATCTACACGGGTAACGATAATGCCTTATACCTCTATCTCCCTCATATCCCTAATTAACGCCAAGCGTTCTTCAATGACACTAGGTATTCCATAGAAGTCACTACTTACTCTGTTTAAACGCGTGGTAGACGTTCAACAAGGTCAGATGATCTCCATCGATATGAGCAAATTTCATTTTCGCGTCGTCAGCAGCTTTCTTCGCTTCGTTGGGACGTAGAAAACACTGCGGTACTACAGAAATATTTTTTTTGGCACGGTGAAAAACTTTCGTTTAAAACATGGACTTACTGTAGGGGTTGAGAGGGGTGTGCATCGCACTACCGACCTTGGCTAGGGGGAGTGGAAGTGGTGTGCCAATTTTCTTACGAAATATTAAGACAAAAAAATTTGTGATTTGTGTTTAATGAGGCACACCTTAAAAAAAATCTCCCAACCATCATATAAATATGGCAGTATTTAACAAATACATGGCACGAGAACTTCTGCCAAGTAGCCCCTGAAATCCAATCTATACTAGACCCCTCTGTACACAATCAAGCGGAATCCATCCCTGCACCAGTGTCAATAAAAAGCAAATGAACAGAATTCAACAACACAGTTTTCTGAATTCGAATCCAAACAAAAAACAAAACGGTAGAACCTGAAAGCATGGCTGTAATCGAGAGTATTTCATTCGAGCAGTTGAATTCGCAGCTTGCAATGACCATTTTTGCCAGCTGTGGATCGAGAGGAAATTCCGCCATCATTGAGCCAAGTTCCGTAAGGTCCCCATTATCATCAAGAGCGCCCAGGTAATTTAGTAACTCCAGAGCTCGCATCAATGTTTCCGGCGCTGAAAACAAACAAACATTTTCAGCAATTGTAAATTGATACTTGATTTCTGACTCTCTTGTACTTGGGGTGGGGTGAGGTGGGATCTCAAGATTAGATCGCCCCACAGTATATCCACCACGGAGGTTATTCGCTACCTTGGTCAATGGAGACAGAGAAAACATATATACTTGATACTTTGTTTATCTGCCACAAATGACAAATGTTTTTCAAAAACTTTACTTGAAACTAAGAATTTTTGCACATCTAAAGCTTCTTAAAAAAGAAATCGGCGATTTTGTTAAGATTTGATTAAAAAAAAACAAACGTAAAAAAATATGAAAAGATCAAAACATATGAAACACACACCGGGAGGATCCATGAAGTCAAAATGGACAAGATCATCTATGCCAAGTTTCTTCAAATGTAAAACGACGGTACCAAGATTTGATCTCAATATTTCTGGATATGTATTATCCTGCATCTCTGTTTGAAACGCCTTCTCCGTATACAGACGGAAACACTTGCCAGGTTTGGTACGACCAGCGCGACCAGCTCTTTGCTGTGCGCTTGCTTTGGAAATGGCAGACACCAGAAGAGACTCGACGCGTATACGAGGATTGTAGACCTAAAAATAAAGAGCGAGATTTAGGAGTCCCGAAAGATCTGTGAAACTGTTTATGCTACATGTGACATTTGGCAGTCCCGAACGATCTGTGAAACTGTTTATGCTAGATGTGTGATTTGGTAGTCCCGAAAGATCTGTAAAAGAAACTGTTTATGCTACATATGAAATTTGGTAGTCCCGAAAGATCTGTGAAACTGTTTATGCTACATGTGAGATTTGGTAGTCCCGAAAGATCTATGAAACTGTTTATGCTACATGTGAGATTTGGTAGTCCCGAAAGATCTATGAAACTGTTTATGCTACATGTGAGATTTGGTAGTCCCGAAAGATCTGTGAAACTGTTTATGCTACATATGAGATTTGGTAGTCCCGAAAGATCTGTGAAACTGTTTATGCTACATGTGAGATTTGGTAGTCCCGAAAGATCTATGAAACTGTTTATGCTACATGTACATACCTTCTGTTTTGAGAATCCTGGATCAATGACAAACACAACGCCATCAATGGTTAGTGACGTTTCCGCAATATTTGTCGACACCACAATTTTACGACTGATTGCACCGTTAGGGCGGTTTGCTGGCGCTGATTCAAATATGCGTTGCTGTAGGTTTGGGGTAATGTGGAATAGAGAGGGATGCATTTCAGCTCTCCGACTTCACCTCCCAGATTATCCATCTCCTTCCTGATACGTTTGCATGCTTCTTCAATTTCCTGGAAAAATTTTCACAAATTGAATTGTTTGAGGAACTTTAAAAATGGAAGTTGTAAAATTTCATTAACAAATTAATTTTTGCATGGAAAGCTTGGACTACACATTATTGATAGAAGAAGTTTGTGTTTTGTAATGCTTACACTGTTCAAACAAAATATACACGACAAAATACATTACAGGCAGTTCTTCCGTCACGCGCGTTGACATTGACACAGAAATTCTGTTGTTATTCATGGCTTCAAACGCAAGCAATAATTAAGACCTTATAAGGTACAGGATATATATTGGGTATTGGGAGAAGTTTAACTGCAAACATGATGTAATGTTTTTCTTCAACCTTCTAAGAGATACAAGATCAAACGTGCTGTATCGCATCACGTGTCAGTGTGGCATCACGTGTTAGTGTGACGTCACGTACATCAAGTTTCGTAAGTCATCTTAATTGGTGGGTTGCAACCATCCCCCTGGGAGTAAGAAAACAATGGAATGCTCGCCATGTTGGATGAAATTTGCATTGTAAATAAGGAAAATCCTTTGTTAAAATCATCCAACATGGCGACTATGACGTAGCTTGTAACCCCAGAACACAGCAAAGTAATGCAACATACATGAAGTACTTCGTGCAATTATCCTAATTTAACATTGACATGTCAAAATGGTGTAACACATTACAACAGCAGTTATGAAATGTTGCCATGTACACTCTACTTCAGAGACTTGCCCATATGTTACCTCTTGTCCAGTTAGGAAAAGCAAAAGATCACCCTCGACTTCTTCACACATATGAATCTGAACAACTGTCCTGATGGCTGCCTCGAGGTAATCTCGTTCTGGTTCTGGGGTATAAAAGATCTCCACTGGATGGGTACGTCCGGGTACGCTCAACAACGGACAGTTGTTAAAATATTCTTGGAACTTCCCAGCATCCAATGTGGCACTCATGATGACAATACGAATATCTTTACGCTGGGCGACAACCTGGGTAATCAAAATTTAAAATAAACACTTGATTTCGGTTATCAATGTTCAACAACAATTAAGTCTAAATCCAATTTTGCAATTATTCCAACCTCTTTCAGCAACCCCATAAGAATATCTGTAGCGAGGGTACGTTCATGGGCCTCATCCAGTAAAATACAATCATACTTATCCAATAATGGATCAGTCATGGCTTCTCTTAATAGCATACCATCTGTCATGTACCTGAAACAGATCATTTACAATCATGACATCACATCTACAATACACAAACTAAAGGTTTTACACAACACATAAACTTGCTTCATAACAGTTCTGGCACTAGTACAGTCTTCGAATCGAATACTATATCCAACTTCTTGACCCAGAGTAACGTCCATTTCATCAGCAACACGCTGTGCAACACTCATTGCTGCTACTCTCCGAGGTTGAGTACAAGCAACACCTTTACGTTGGTCCTTTCGTCCTTCAACACACCACTGTGGAATCTAAAAAATAATCAAAGTTTTACTTCAGTAAGAAAAAGTCTTGCAATAATGTTTTGCTTGCTATTGTTTACTTCTTGCATTAAACTTTCGACATATGATAAAGAGTTCAGAGATTGTTTTCTGACTAAACAAAGGTAAAGCAATGCCTATTTTTAACTTAACTCTTGCGATTTCTATTTCGTTTCTGGCATACCACACTTAGGCATGAATGGAGCATACGTTGTAGTAAAAGTAGACATATTGCTGCACTATCAAGTATCAACTAAATATGCGAGCTTTTCTTGGTGTCCTAAATCAAACTGTCTATGGCTGGCTAAATGTACAAAGCATGAATTTGCGACAGGCAATATGTGTAGCAGAGAAAAACCTGTAAAAAATTTTGCTATTTTGGCAGATTATCCACACCTGAGTAGTTTTTCCGGATCCTGTCTCACCAACCAAAACAATACATTGATTCTTATCAAGCATTCCCATGAATCTCTCCTTGTACTCAAACACGGGTAGCTGAAGTCTTTTCTTCAATATTCCATAATAACGTTCAGTGTATGGTCGACCGGAATATGGATTCAATTTGATCTTCATTTTCAGATTCTCAAAATCTCTAAATACATGCCAATGAGCACAGATTACACAATTCACTGATGTCAGCAAACGTGGTGTTTTTGGAGGTGACGTTAATGGTATGGTACTGTTCCATAACAAAATTGCCAGGCCAGCATGCTTTGGTTAAAACTATAGCTTTAATTAGTATTTGTCAAAACAAGAGTTGTATAAAATGATCAACAGTACACAGTTTCCACGGACTCAAACACAATAAAGTAAACTTATTAACAAGAGCTTTAAAGATTTCATTAATTTCAACATATCTGCAAGATGGCAACTGCAACAGTGCAGTGTATAATTCACTAAAATTGCACCTTTCGAAGAGCAAAAGCGGGCTATATTAAGTAAAACTTACGCCATCTCTTTAGACTTCTTAGCATCGTCGACATCGAGTCTTCGTTTTGACATGTTTCACAAAGTTCCAGAAAATTTGAAGAAAATAACGGACACGTTTTTATCGAAGATTCAGTGATTTGAACAGCCGATGAAAAGTTTACTGGCGAAAAATCAGTGCAAGACTGCAAGTGGACTGGGGCGAGGACGCAAAAAAAATAGCCACTGAAATACCTCCCCCTGGTTTTTTAACAAAGCAAGCACGATCAGAGCCCTCTATAGTATAAGAGTTGGGACATCTATTGTTATCCGTTTAGCTTACGTTGATTGGGCAATATTGATCACCTGATCAATTTCCGCTATTTTGGTTCCTAGTTTTGAAATTTAGCTTGTGTTTATATAGCAATTGCTGCTAGTAATACAGTATTTTGAGATAATATTGCGTTTTTTTATGGATAAGTGTGTAATAACTGATTGTTGAAGGCTACTAAATGTCATTACATATCGCATAAATCGAGGATTACGAAAAAAATGAAAGAAATGCCTTTACGTCGAACTTACGAAATTTGATTGCGTATGGTGATTGTTGTGCTGAACTGCTTTTGATATAAGGTTCAATTAACTGACTCAAGTAGAAACATTTTTGGGCCAAATAACATTGCAAAGTTCGTGCTGATGCAGTTTCAATAGTTTTCTTACTCCAAAGCTTGTTTTTTAATCGAAGATGATTTCTCATTATGTTCTGAAATTGGTCAATCTACAAACCTCTCAATTCTCAGCCACTTCCATACTAAAACAACTACACCAAATCACAGAAACTCTTACGATTTTCCATGTTGTATTTTGTATTTTAGTTCATCATTTAAAATGAAGTAATTATAATTAGGATATTCAATGAAACAGCTGAGTACAATATATTTTGGTATTGAATTGTACAAATGTACCCTACTTCTGTAGCTCAAAGTAGAACATTACTTCTCTTCTAGACTTGTTGATGATATTTTAATTGTAGGTTTTGGTTTATAAGATCACAGAGGCATATCTCCATAATTTCAGCTATTTGGGCTTTTAATGTATATTACAACTGTTGCTGCCTTTCTCATATATATTAAAATATGCTGGCTTCTCATATATATTTAGGTGCTGCTAGCTTTTTGATATATATATTTCACTGGCAATGCAAGGCATAGAATTTGAACAAACGGGCTGAGCTCCTCCAACACACCCCTGTTTGATCATTAAACACATATAGAAGTTTTGTCATTCCTCAACCAATAAATTTAACTCTTTGCTAAATTAAAGATTGGATCAGACTCATATGCTGTAAAAGACTACAAACAGTAGCACTTATAGCAAACAGACTGTTCTTCAACAACAGAAATGTTTCATATTATAGAAATAATATATTCATTTTAAAGAAATGCTTCACCAAAATTTTCAGCAGAATCCCTAACAAACTTTATTAGAAATAAACTTTAATACTTTATAAAGTGATAAAGGCGAAATAACTTCATATACAGGAATAAAACGTTTAAGGTCAAATGCATCTTGGTCAAATCATTGCATATTTCAATAACTAAAAGTAAAAGTCTGTCATTTTCTGCTGAGCAAGAAAATTTTGTGATCTTTCAGAATAAAAATATCATGCTTGGATTAAATTGGGGGCATAAATCACTCACTACCATTAAATTGTTACAAATCTTGAACACAAATCTTCCGGACCAAATCTGCATGATTACTATGATTCAAAGATTCGAACAAAGTCTTGTCCAAGTATTTGATAACACTGATGCCAGGATAACATTGCCGCTTGCCACCAAGCTTAAAGATCTTGAAAACTTGTTACAGGGTCGGAACATAAGCCGAGAAAACACGTTAACGTACGAAAAATACTTCTTACAATGGGTCACGATCAATTTGAAGCACGAACTAGTAAACCGCAAACGAAGATCAAACCAATGAAATTAAATCAGGTCTGTCGCAAATCGTTAAAAAAACGCAAAGAGCTTGCTATTATTCCTAACATATTTGATACTACCATGGAAAAAGCTTAAATTGCTTTCTTCTTTTGCATATAAACCCAATTTCCAATAGTATTATTATAGTTCACTTTGCAAGTAGGAACCAAAATGGCGGCTCCGCGCTCGCCCCAGACCGTTTGTCCCAACTCTTATACTATAGAGGGCTCTGAGCACGATATCTTTTATAAACATGACAACATTCAGATTATTTTCTTCAAAGTACTGAAGAAAGTTAGTAATAGGACATTCCCAATATTTTTGCACATTTTGTTTTAGTTTGCATGTTCTGCAGACTCTGCTACAGGCGCACTTACTCGGGTACTTCGTTCCTGCCATACACAACGTAACGTAACATGTGACCATTCTTGACCAATTACATTTGATCAGTTTTTGAACATTTTATCCTTCTTCCCGCTTCCCGCGTCCCATGCCATCTTTTTTAAAACGTTTCTTGTTGACACAGTCTTTATCGTAAGTATTATGAAAAATATTACGTTTATGTCGAAATAATAAGATTCATAGCATCACTGCGAGCTAAATATTTCTAAACATACGACTATTTTTTTGAAGCTATTGGGGATACTTGTTAACGAACTCAGCAAAGATGTTGACGACAGTCGAAGAGTTAAATGGCATCGCCACAGCAGAATATTCTATTGTACGAGGTAGGATGGTTTGATAAACACAAGGAATAACTATTAACAGCTTTTTATCATAGATTTAAAAAAGCTTAACCCTTTCCCTGAAAATTTTGCTGAATATTTGTATTTGTATTGCATGAAAATTATGAAGACATAATGTTTCATATATATTTGCTGTTCTTTATTCCAAAGCCATCGTCAGAGAATATACGTAATATTAATCCTTGGATTAATATTATGTATATTTTCTGTTCGCCAAGAGAACTCAATAAAAAATATCCTGGGTTAGGAATATTGTGTAAAGTGGATTTGTGATTAAGGTGCATAAGGAAAGCATGTGCTAGGCAATTTTTTCTTTAAAATGTACACTTATACAATAGGAATACAGCGTGCTTTCTTAAAAATAGGAAGCACTTCGAGAGGAATGGGCTGTTTTTACTCAGAATAATATATACTCCATTCCTTGTTCAGTACTCTAATGTATATAATATATTAATCGTTAGGATTAATATATTATATATATTCTCTGTACTCTAATGTGAATGGCAAATTTTCATGTTTCAACATGAGCAATATATATGTGTTATTTACTGGCTGGAACGTCCGTACTGAAAAGAATATTCTTTTTCAAAACAATGAATCGATTTATTTGTTTTTATATTTTTATTTATATAATTAAGTTGAATAGTTGTTTTGGTGTTTTGGCATATTGAAACTGAAATTGAATTCTCTAATGAAAATTTTAATTCATCTGGTTCCAAAATTGGTGGTGTTTATCTTAGTTATGGTGTTAGTCTTAATTTTGGTGTGAGTATTGGTGCTGGTGTTAGTTTAAGTCTAGGTGTTGGAGTACTTAGTGCTATAAGTGTCAGTCGTACTGCTAGTGTTAGTCTAGTTAATCCTGTTGTAAGTCTAATTAGTGCAGGTGTTAGTTTTTAGGTGTTAGTCTTAGTGAGAATGTTTGTTTTAAGTAGTGCTAGTGTTAGTCTTAGTGCTGGTGTTAATTTTAGTGCTGATGTGTGTGTTAGTGCTGGTGTGTGTGTTAGTGCTGGTGTGTGTTAGTGCTGGTGTGTGTGTTAGTGCTGATGTTAATCTTAGTGGTAGCCTTAGTTTTAGTGATAGTGTTACCGGTTGTCTTAGTTTTAGTTCCTATGTTTAAATGTTGGTGTTAGAGTAATTTTTTTAAAATTATAAAGGAAAATTTTATTGATGATATTACAGTTTCTTTATGACAGTGATGGGTAGGGAAATATACTGATGATATTACAGTTTACAATAATTATAATTTATAAATTATAGTTTATAATTCACTGCATTTTCACTAAAAGACTATAATTCATGCATTTTCACGAATTTTCACATTTTTTTCTCACACAAGGACTATAATTCACTGCATTTTCACTAAAAGACTATAATTCATGCATTTTCACAAATTTTCACATTTTTTCTCACACAAAGACTATAATTCACTGCATTTTCACAAATTTTCACATTTTTTCTCACACAAGGACTATAATTCACTGCATTTTCACTAAAAGACTATAATTCATGCATTTTCACAAATTTTCACACACAAAGACTATAATTCACTGTATTTTCACTAAAAGACTATAATTCATGCATTTTGTCTGCCTTTGTGTCTACTTTTATGTCAACCTTTGTGTCTACCTTTTAAAACTACCTATATAATATCAAGTAAATGGTTTGAACCCGGGAGTATCATTATATGTTTGTTTGTAAATGATGATCGTCCAGGTTAATAAAGTCCTGAGAAGGACTGTTTTTGTTGTTGTTGACTGACGTCAAAACGTTGTCAACAACAACAAAAACAGTCCTTCTCAGGACTTTATTAACCTGGACGATCATCATTTACAAACATATATAATATCAAGTTGCATTTTCTGTCATGGACATTTTAACATGTATTATGTTTTTAATAGGTAGGAGGATAAAAAAATTTTTCGTAACAGTATTCAAATACAATGAATCAATTTTTTCATTGCAACATTTAATGAAATTAATATATATTTACACACTCGATCTTTTAGCTATGTAATACTAAAGGTGGCTGATGAAGCAGACAAGCCAATTCTCCTAAAAACATGGATGAAAATTATACTTAAATGAAATAACGACTTTTTCTTATGCCGTACATGTCGTCTTTTTATTGAAAAACGTTACAAACTTCTAATATTTATTAATGACTATTTACAACAAAGGCTTGAAGTTGTGTTTTCACAGAAATCGTCTTTCGTATTCAAATGTCTTTAGTGTTTACATGGACAAATTACTTGTAGTGTGTATTGTAGATAATGGTACTAACAAAAACGTAGACACAAAGGAAGACACGAAGGTAGACATAAAGGTAGATATAAAGATAGACGCAAAGGTAGAAATGTCGTTTATGTCGTCGTCTATTAGACAGGCGCAAAGGTTGACAGAAATGTAAAAAAAAAGATGTAGACATAAAAATAGACACAAAGGTAACATGAAGTTGACAAAAAGATAGACATAAAGGTAGACGCAAAGGTAAACATAAAGGTAGACACAAAAGTAGACAGAAAGGTAGACACAAAGGTAGACATAAAGGTAGACATAAAGTTAGACATAAAGGTAGGCATAAAGGTAGACACAAAGGTAAACATAAAGATAGACGCAAAGGTAGACAGAAAGATAGACATAAAGGTAGACATAAACAAAGTCGAAAAGATAGACGCATAGGTAGACAAAGAACGATGGAAAACGATAAATACGATTTCATATCGTTTGTTATGCAAGCACAGTTTTCTATATACAGGTTATGAAGATCCTAACTCTTTGATAGAAACTACTTCATTGTTGCTCAGTTAAACGTAATAAATTCTGGCAATGTTTCTAAATCAGAATGTTTAAATATCTATATAATTTATGCTATTTTATATCCTTACATTCAGAAGTTAACAGATTTGGATGTATTCGTCAAAATCTGTCATCATATCATAAAGCAGCCAGACTTAACTTAAGCGCTCGAGGGGGTAGAGGGCGGAGTGTGAGGGCAAGCCTCAATAAATGTTATAAACACCAATTTTCAGCATGAAAAATATCAACATATGTTACACACAGATTACACCCCACACCCTCACTTTCTTGTCCTTCCGAGCCCCCTGTAATTAAGCATTCAGACACCACCGGATGTCTGGATGTTTAACAGTCGTTCGTACGATGAACAAGGTTCAATAGGGATCGTTGTAGGATTACTTGATCTAAGCTCAAGATACGATAGCTCACCATCTTGCTTGAGGACACTGTCATCGGATAGTGTCGAAAAAGGAGGAGACTGTTGACTGGAAGCTGCATCATCGCTAAAACTGGAAAGTAATCTTTCGCAAGCCGAGAAACTTGTGTCGATGTATTGCTGTAAAAAGAAAGGAGAATGTAAAGTTTGTTGGTCGACAAATTCATCAGTTCAGTTCATCCAACATTCTTACTCACGGAAGAAGGAAGAAGATTCGTTAGAATCAAGTCGAAAGTTTCAATAAGACGTGTAAAGCATGGTCGGTGTAAAGGATTTTCTGCCCAGCATTTCAACATTACGTCATAACTGAAAAAAAATCCACACAAACAAGGCCTTTGAGTACTTAAATCTTTCTCCTTTAAAAGAAATATTTTAGAAAAAAGCACCATAATGGAATTCAATGATTCATACGAATGATCCAATAAATACACACAATCAATAAAATACTCACATATTTTGTGGACAGTTATGAGGTTTTTCCATACGATAACCGCATTGAAGTTGTTCAAACAGTTCTTCCACTGGCAGACTTGGGTAAGGTGTGCCACCTAAAACAACAGACGACATGAATTTTTTCAATCTTTGACTCTAGTTTTATTCATAGTATATCAAATGTACAAACCAAATGTAAATATTTCCCACAGAACGATTCCGAAACCCCATCTAAACGTAAATTAGCAAATTAGTTGGCTGAGCAAAACATTATATAAAATATTATGACTTGCATAAACTCTCGATAAAATATAATTAAGTGATTTTATTAGTTAAGGTGATACGATACAAAATTACACGATGTGTTTCTGTCTGACAAGTTAAGTCCTCACCCTACCCCCACCCCCACCCAATCCTGACACGTAAGTTTTCCTCCCGTTTTTTATATCGTTAGGACTTACACGTCACTTTTAGATGAGTAAACACGGTCAAATAAAGCTTCGATTGCCATCCATTTCACTGGCAAGCGACCCTGAAAACAGTTCGAATAAAACACTGAAATCTTACGTGTCAAATGTAAAAGCTGAAAAATCGACCTTACGTCAGTCGTTTTTCTGTAGTAATCAAACGCGTGAACATCACGTGCCAAACCAAAGTCTGCAACTTTTAAAACTCTGTCTTCTGACACGAGGATATTTCGTGCAGCCAAATCACGATGAACGCACTACACAGAAAGAAGAGTTTCACATTACCCGCATTTAGCTTCACCCGGGGGGTTTGGGAAGCCACGGTTCTCCCCGACTGGGTGCCCAGAAATTTCGCTTCTTGCTTAAACGCTCATAATATAAACGTCACATTTTTACTGGAGTGCCAAATTTTGAAATCAATAAAGAGACCTTTTACTCTCACATGATGATGCATGTAAAAGAAAATCGAATATAAATATCTGACATCAACCAGGTACTTTGTCCTTAACGACATGGAACACCCACATCTTCTAAAAGCTTTCAAAGCCCCCTGGATGAGAAGTTATTGAATAGATTTTGTAAATCTTCATATGTCGTCATACCTTCTTGCTTTCCAAAAATTCCATTCCTCGCGCAATTTGAAAAGCAAACGAGACGAGGTCTGATAACGTGATTGCTTCATCATTGCTGCTTCTTTCCATCGAGCTGTCGTTTTCAATTAGCTCTCCATATTTCGGTCTACGATCTCGCAAATAGTGACGTAAATTTCCGTATTTTGCATACTCGATCACCATGAAGATTGGGCCTTGTCGGAAAAATTTTTTATGTTTACTTTGTAAAAGGAACGGACTTAACATTTTGTTGGAGGAAAGGAAGGGATCTTCTCTATTATTGACAAGATGTCTGATTGTAGGTCGGTCAGTCGTTTCTTTGAATATATCAAATAAGCGGAGGAGGGAGGGAGGAAATATTTCCTTCAACTCACAATATTTTTTATTTGACACAGATATTTGATAGGAAAATTAGCACACCCCCGAAGGCTACGAGTATGTGCCCGTCCTCCCCCGTCAGTACATCCGTTGTCAGTAAAGTTGGGATCAAAGAACACAAGAGCCCGTAATTACCGTTCTGAGTACAGCATCCAATAAGATTAACAATATTTTTGTGTTTGCCAATTGTCTTCATTATTTCCATCTCGGACAACAAGTCCAAAAGCTGTGCATCAGTTGAATTCTCTAAAGATGAAATGCTCATTATAAAACGACTTTGCTCTCTTCGCAACTATCTACATTCATAGCACTGTTGCTTCAACAAACCTTTCAATGTTTTGATCGCGACCGGGTGCATTTGAGGCAAATTGTCAACTGCAATCGCGGTTGCTTTCAGAACACGTCCGAAAGCGCCTTCCCCCAATGGACCATCTATTCTTAACTGTTCACGTTCTATTTCCCATGTTTTATCCAGTGGTATGCTGATGTGAGCAAAGTTATCGCCATAGCTACTCGCCAACCCATGAAATTTTACTTCACCAGTGACCGAAGGAGACTGGATCGAGTCCATAGCAAGCCAACGTCTGACGGATGAACGTGGAATACTTCTAATGTCCGTTTCGTTAGCTATTCTAATTTCTTCCTCTTTCTTGTTCAGTTTCTTACGATAACGAGCACGGTAGAGCACACACACAACGATAAACACGAGAGATACGGCACAGGCAAGACCGATAATTATGCCTAGTTCCCAGTCTTCAATTCCAGTCGAAGGGCGAAAGTGCTGGCGCAAAGCAAAAGCTTTGGCTTTGGTAGGCTCGTGTATCAAATTCAACAGTGCTGTAAAATTAGAGATCGTAATAAATAAACCATTATTTTTCTTGTAAAGAATGAAAAAACCATGGCTTACTTGGACTTGAAACAAGAACCCTCAAATACATGGACTTTTTAGTAATTCCAAGCGAGTTTCCTGCTTTACAAATGTACTTTCCAGAATCCGATGACGTCACATTGTGAATCAACAAGTATCGTTTGAAAAATTCATGGATGTTTTGCGTTGAATATGTGCGCGTCGTTGTTCTGTTTTCGAGTTCGGTTAGAGAAGAAACTCTATGTTCCGAACCGTTTATTTCTTTAAAAAAGACGATGTGGGGCAGGGCGTGGCCTGCAGCTTTGCAAGTAAGCTTGGCTGTTTCACCTTTCGTCGTTGTGACGTTGAGCATATCTTGAACCAAAGGTTTCGTTTTAAAGTAAGCTATACATATAGTACAGAGACGAATTAAACACACATTTGTTTGGTATATATACTCCATTTTTTGCCTATAAAATCCTTACATGTTTGTGGATGTAGATCGTCCAGGTTAGTAGAGTCATGAGAAGGACTGTTGTTGGTGTTGAGTGACGTTTCGAAAACCTTAGCGGTAGTCTTAAGATTGTCAACCTACCGCTAAGGTTGTCGAAACGTCAGTCAACAACAACACAAACGGTCCTTCTCAGGACTCTACTACCGCTAAGGTTGTTGAAACGTCAGTCAACAACAACAAAAACAGTCCTTCTCAGGACTCTACTAACCTGGACAATCTACATTTACAAACATGTAACGATACTCCCGGGTTCAAACCATTTACTTTATAACTTTCCTCACCAAATACTTTCAGATGATATCTGCGTATCCTGAAACCAGCAGCGTTGCTTACATTACAAACGTATTCTACCGATTTTCTCAGCCTGTTTTTTTTCAGAACAAAGGGATCGCTCTTTTTTAGGAACACAGACGTAAATGTCTTATTTATGATCTTGTACCAAGCGATGCTCGTGTTTGCTGGGTTCTGCACAGAACAATCCATCACTTTTTTTCTTTTCGAATCTATTGGCGTAGGCCACTCGAATGTGTAGCGGCCAGGCTCTTTTTTGAAAACTTTGCAAAAATAAGAAGAAAAAAAGTTCGTCGAGCAAGGAAAACAAATACAGTTTCTAAAGACACCGAACATTTTTTTACATACCCGGAAGTTTTTCCGAAGGTGGAGGAGTTGATGCTGAAAATACAGACAGAATACATATATAGCTAGCTTTTCTTTTGTAAATGAAATTTACTAACATAGGGTGAAGAATTAGGTAACATTAATTTTGTTGCGCTGCAAGGAGCAACCGTACAACGACTCTCCATCTATAGATCTAACAAAAGAACTGACAGAAATGAAGTCTGAATACAGGATCTTAGACAAGAAGAAAAACGAAACAATTCTATATCAGTATTGTCGCATGAAAAATCCTAGTTCGGCAATCCCTTGATAAGTATATAGATAAAAAAAAAATGCATCTTCATGAATCATACAAGAAGTCATCAAAAAAATGAGCCAAACTTCACAGACTACAAATTCAATGATGTCAACGCGCACATGCAAATGGTCGATGCGACGCCAAATCAAACACTTCCTGCCCATAAGTACAGAGCTTATACGATATTTCCAGTAAGTAGACAAAACAAGAAAAGCAAATGCTTGAAGGATGCGAAGCATGACGATAACAAAAATATACCTGTCCCTGTAGCAATGACTGAAGTAGGGCATAAGATGTTTATCGAAGCAGCAAGAAAAAGGACACGAACGTCGATCTTCGTCATATTAATTGCGACAATGGATGAACGCCTATCTGACTCTTGATGCTTTAGATAATCTGCGAATGAAGCAAAATAGTGTGAAAGGATAACGCAACTTGCACGAGATAACGATGAACGAAGCACTATAGAGGGCATTTTCTGTTTACAGTACGATAAAAGACATGAATACATTAATGAACATTAGAAAATTCATCCGATGAATTTATCATGCACGATGTGAAGATGTTTTTTTTTTAAAAAAAAGGATGAACACCAGTTTCCAGCACAATGGTGCTAAACAGTAAATCAAAAACATATAGTTATCACATACATAAATATATATCTTCTAATTTTAACAGCTCGTTGAGAAAAAAAAACAATACAAAGGCAACGCTATAGTATTTCAAGAACACGAGAAACACAAACGTGTTCATAAAGACCAAATGCACCTCAATTGCAGTATAACTGCAAAGACCGAATTTCGATGTTGCCAAATTTTTAAAGAAATAAAACCACAATGATACAAAACTCTCTCAAGAAATCATTGCTATGTAGCAGTTACCTATGCACTGCCATCGAACATTTTGAAAAGGATAAAGATGCAGGTAGTATATTGGTTAGGTGATACGTAATATAATAAAAATTTATTCGTTGAAATAAAAAGTGTATTTGAGATATCAACTATAACCAAAACTCGAAATTGCGTACATTTCAGATTCTCCGGACAAGAAAGACAATTTCCAAAAATTAAGACGACTTACGTACATTCAAATCAAGACCACGAAAATCCCAAAGACTGCGAAGACGCTAGTACTGGCTCGGATCTAAAAGTCAGATGAACGAAAAATTTTATTTACATGCCAAGATAAATCAAGGTTATCGAGACAAGGCGTTCAATCCGAGAATAATTTAGGGAAAAAACAGATCAAACAAACAAACGTGAGACGTACCACTTTAATGTAAAGAATATAATCAAAACTGTTGTAGGAAATGACAAGCGTATAGTCAATATCTCAAATCTCCTGCCCACGTATAACAGGAAAGCGTAGTGAACGCTTTGCAATTATTAACTCATTCGAAAGTATAAATAAAATACACCCAGCGATTTTCAAAACGACCTTTCAGCAGCAATAATACCCTCTTAATGCATGTGACAGGTAAGATATGGAGTGAAGTTTTTACATTTTGTTACATGCATGCATTTATTTGTGCAACCTGCTATAACTCCTCTCGTATGACCTGCGTCGTGAGAAATGAAAACGGAAAAATTATTTCGCTGCAACCTGTCCTCGTATGACCTTTCAAAGGGTGAATATTTTAATCGCAGAAAACTAGCATAGTCGCGGTGTGATATGGAAAATCGTTGACAAATTCTCGTGCTGGAAGATTTTCTAAATGATTTCATTAATTTGCAGGTCCTTGACAACAACAAGTTGACGTTTTAGTATTCTCAAAGTGCTTCGAAACGGTTAATAACAGGTAGTCACGCAAATGCATTTAAAACGCGATTAACTTTGCAGTAAAAACCCCTCAGATGACAGGCGATACAGCGAGAGTATAGTCATGGTATTTTCGACGCGAACAAGAATAGACGATTATCGCGTGACGGGATGATGACCAAAGTAACTTTTATTAAAAGATATTCTTTACCCGTTCTAGATATTACAATCCCAACGTGTGTCATTCAAAAAATTGTTAAAAACTGCGACAGCACATAATTGACTATTTCTTTACATGTATAGTCCAGATAATTACATGATAAAATTACCAAAAAGACAAAGGCATTAAAACCCGTTATACATATTAGAATCATAATGTTCTCTACCCCCTACTACACCTTGAGTACTTATGATAACACAAAGAGGAAATACCTTTAAACTCCGAGATAAAGCTCTAACGTAGACGGGACTCTACCCAACTGCCAACTGCTCTGTAAAAATAGAAACAGGTTGTTATGAACAAGAACTCGCGTCTTATACGTCATTGATTCAACCGTGAAACTAGTCTTTCATATTTATCTAAAAAGAAATTCTTTGTAATGAAGCACGCTTTTTAATCGCACACATCACAACACATGTTTTGTTTAAAAAGTTTTCTTTATGTAGCAACTAAGTTAAGCAAGTGTTCGAAACAAACAATACAATATAATATATTACTTATTAATATAATACAAAGCACACCGGGATACTAGCCGCATGTGCTTGCTATACGTGAGAAATTGAATTGATTCAATTTGCTGGTACACGGACATATCAACCAAATATCAAACATCTTTGATATTTGCTGTTATGAGCGACGAAAATTCCAATTGTAAGACGCATGCGCAGTTGAAATTCCAATACAAAAAAGTTACTCAAAGCAGTAATTCATTGAATCTCAAAGAAGCATTCCTTTGCGCATGAATAACCTTCCAAATATCTGGCGGAGATTCTAACGAGAATCAATGCAGGGGGGGGGACATTTGCCTCGTGCTTTCTGTTGTTTGGCAAATCTACAAGGTTTGCTTGAGATGTTTGGTTACCAGGCCTTCACGGCACCACAGAGTACATGTGAAGTTACTCAAAACATTAAACCACAGAATCTCAAAGAAGCATTCTTTTGTGTGCATAAAGCCTTCAAAATATCCGAGATTCTAACGAGAAGCCACCGGGGGCAATAGCTTGTGATCTTGGCTGAGCGTCAATCAACAAAGTTTGCACTTTCCTTTCAAAATTCTTACTATGTACTACCAGGCCTTCACCACTTCAAGAACTGATAAGTTGCAGAAGCAGAAAAACGCGAATTCACGCCATCTCAAGTGTTTCGCAAAAGTACTGCAAATCATCAACAAAAAAGAATAAAATCAAAAACAAGACGACAAATTTTAGACGATAACAGTGAAAGATGCGGACCACTGTGAAGAATAAAGATTTACGATGTTGGATACAGTCCGAAGTTTAATCATGAACGTTTTCATTCAGATCGTTTTAAAATATTTTCTTGTCATGAAAGTTGTGAATAGAGCAGAATATTTCGTTCACAGGCTTCAAAAGGAAATGACTATAAAGGGAAACTGTTTTCAAACAGACAGGACGACCCAGAAATAATTGAAGATGCATTCCTAGTTCATATACATTTGCATTCTGCGTTGTAGCTAAAAGAGAGTTTTTGAGTGTATGCAAATAAAATTAATTGAACAATGAATATCAGCAGTAGCATTAATTTCTAACGTTCCAAATCGTTCCACCTGCACCTTAAGATATCGCCTAATTTTCCAAACATTTCCTAAATGGCTTAGAAGATATGCGCGCACCGTCCGTAATATATTGAACTGTACATTGCAATGTACAAACTAATTAGTTTTCGGAAGCTGAAGTTTAAAACAAAATTCTTTCCCTCACTGCAATATTGCCGAAAGTATAGCTCGTGCAAACAATCTTCGAATGAAGAAACTTACAATTTAAACGATCGCAAAATCTATGTGGTTATGATAAATTGACTCCTTAACACCAAGTTCAGCAAAACCACGGCAATTTTACAGCTCCATGTCTACACAAAATCATAAACACGTACATCTCACGACGAATTAGGCCATTCCGAACACGATAAAGTCCACGACATTCACAGGCAACTGTGAAACGAGTGGAAATTTATTGTCTGTAATAATAACAATCCAATCATCACACACAATGACGACACAAGGAAAAATTCATTTTCCTAAATATCTTGCAAATTGATTTAATGATCAAACGTTTCTCATGTAAGGTTGGCAAACGACGTAGAGTCACGGATGGTTCCGACGAAATAGATACCTGTTCTGAAGCAAATGAAGCGTAAAGCAAAGAAATTCTTTAACGAAAGATCATGAAATAAAATGCAAATATAATGTCATGAAAGAGAATCGACGAGCACTACCTGAATGAGCTATGGAAAAGATGAATTATAAAACTTTATGTTAAAATCCGAGAACACAAGATTGAGAGGTAACGGTTGCTTATTACACCTTCTAACGAAGTCCACTTTTTCTCATCATTCAACCACTAAATTCTACACCACAAGAAGCTCAAACTCAACAAAAAGATCTCGCGAACAGCTTTTTCACCGAGGTCTTCTCGAATCCATTAAGCACGACACGAATGAAATTCCAGCTCAAATAAAAAAGAAACATTCTGAAAGTTTTTATAGTTTTCTAGAACCCGCCACATGGCCATCGTCGACCTACTTGTCGTGGCATTTGTTTTATTTCCCGGAAATGTTGTGGGGAACACACGTAAGTATGAAGCACAATACGATAAGCCGAGGAACATACTCATTGGTAGATATATACGATGAAATTCCTAATAAGGAAAACTGCAACAAAACATCATGAGCACAAGATGGTGAACACGTGAAAACCCCTCAATTTATTTACTATGAAGTTTAATATCGTGAAGCATTGTGGGCTTAGCGAAGACCTGTGCTTCTCCTCAGCAAAGCCGTTTCGCTTCCACTAGCTAGTCGTTAATCAATCCTCTCTTTTCGTAGAAAACAAAGCAAAAAGCCAGAGTTACAACGAAAGTCGTTTAGACAAATTATTGGATGAAATAATTGGCGAGATTCCTTCGACGGACACCAACAACTTTTTTACACAAATCTTGAGAAAAGGGAAGCAGAAAAAGCACTTTACAATCTCACCGTCAAGTTTCGAGCATGCCACAAAGAAGTCGGTGGAGACTGTACATGAAGGAGAGAAAGACAGCACAGAGATTTCGTTAGCTCTATCGTCACCAAATGTTTACTTTGTTAACTTAGGATCAAAAGCGGATCGAACCACGGATGAAAAGCAAGAATACAAAAATGCGAAGCGATTCAACATTCCACAATGGAAAGCAACTGGTAAAGCTGGGAGGGCAGTTGAAGTGCCTAACTATTCGGTCTCTACCGATGATACCGCCTCAACAGAAATTCGTGTGAAACGCCAAACAAACGAACTGCCTACGGTAGCTTCTTTTCCACAAAATACTATCGAAAGTTCGTCAGCTCCGGAGAAAAACACTAGAGAAGTTATAGCGATGGTACCCGTAGCAATAGAGGCACCCTTGCTTTCGTCATCATCTGTTGCATTACTCTCACAGGGTAAGTCCTTGCTGTAAAAGTAATTTTTGAGCGTAGTGGTCATTATACTTTTCAATTCGAGTTGTCAGATGACAGACGGCCATACCAGAATGAGACGGTGACGATAAATTTCAATACAATAAGAAATTGAGCTGCCGGTAACGAATTTAAATAGTTACCAAACAACATTTAAACGACGTTGGAGACCAACGTCAGTATCAGAACAAAATCGTTTTAACGACAAAGGATTGGTACGAAAACTAAACGTTGTCGTGCTGTACGGAAAATGAAAATGAAGCTTTTTATAAGAAATCATAGCATGCAAGCTTCATGCATACCTGTTGAAACGCTCCAGAAAGAATTTAAATGTCGTTGAACGAACAGCAAACTGGTTTTGTTGATGGCGAGAATTGTTAGTATATATATCTAACAGTCAAGGTGTAGGCGTGTTGAAATATCCGGCAAAACAGAAGGCTGATTAATTTTAAATCATGCTTGTTATCACAAAATTGATCGCGGAAGAGGCAGAGTTATTGATTTTTACGTAATTAAAGCTCAAAACAAATTTTTTTTGGCCAGAGAGCGTTAATTTGTTTTAATCATTTTAAAATCCCGGCAGCGTGATATATCTAATATCGCTTATTTTTGTCAAGGTGAGCAGGTGGTACAACCGGAAATCATAGGAACATCAAGGTCTGACATACCTTTGTCCACAGTTATCCATCAGACACCTTCGAAAACCACACTTGGAAATTTTCAAACCCAGCCAAGCAAGTTACTAGCGTTGGACGACCAAGAATCGACACCTTTAATCGATAAAGAATTAGTTCAGTTATCCTCCGTCCCCCTACATTTGTTTCAGAAACAGTCGGACAGCAGAGAATACGAAGAAACAGAAAAACAGAGCAGCAAAAACGCATTGAAATTAGACCGGCTTTCTTCGGAATCCTCCGAGGAAGATAACAATCGAAAACAGACTAAGGATGACTCGAGCAGGAAAACAATTGAGAGATTAGAATCCAAACTCGCAGATATGATTTCAAAACTCGAGATTCGACTACTAAACAAAACAAAGAAACATCAGAAAATGCAACAAGTGACGAAAAATGCATCGAGGACAAAATTGCTGAACACCTTAAAGAAAAGACTCTCTGCTGTCCTCAAGAAGTTTAATGCAAACCCAGGATCGAACCAACCGTTTACTATAGGAGAAGAATGGAAGAGTGTGCTAAACGAGAATCAAATAAACAAAATAATGAATACAAAGAAGATTGACGATAGGAAACAGTCCGAAACAAGAGGTAAATGATTATCTTATATCTCGTCTTACTTTCATAAAAAAGAAATATTTTCATACATACATTTTGATTTGCACCATTAAAGGAAGCTGGTCGTTGGTTGCATCGCAACTGCTAAAAAAAATAAATCAAGGTGAAATTATTTATTTCAAATTAAAACTTGGAAAAACATCGACGATAACTGTTTAAGACTTGTCTATAATTAATTGTTTTACAGCGATAGTAAAGTTCAAGGAACAGCAAACTGTCCGCTTCATTGGTTAGTAAATATCAGTGACAGAATAATTTTTTCCTGTTGTTTAATGGAGGCTAATTTTCTTACAGGTAAAACAGCTGCCATGTATCTGAGCTTCAACGAAAATCATTTTTCAATGATTATTTCATAAATGATTTATCGGGACATTCCAACGACGCTTTGGTATCAGGAAGAGCCAGGATCTCACAGCGATCCTACGGTAGGATTTCTGCACATGGGAGTTATGGACTTTGCTTTTAGGGAAGAAAAAGACTAGCACAGTGATGCTTCAGTAGTATTTCTGTACAGGAGAGATATGGACTTTGCTTTGAGAAAGAATCAAAATAGCACAGGGATGCTACAGAAGTATTTCTGTACAGGAGAGATATGGACCTTGCTTTTAGAAAGAGTCAGAATAGCACAGTGATGCTACAGAAGTATTTCTGTACAGGAGAGATATGGGCTTTGCTTTGAGAAAGAGTCAGAATAGCATAGGGATGCTACAGAAGTTTTTCTGTACAGGAGAGATATGGACCTTGCTTTTAGAAAGAGTCAGAATAGCACAGTGATGCTACAGAAGTATTTCTGTACAGAGGAGATATGGGCTTTGCTTTGAGAAGAGTCAGAATAGCACAGTGATGCTACAGTAGTATTTCTGTACAGGAGAGATATGGGCTTTGCTTTGAGAAAGAGTCAGAATAGCACAGTGATGCTACAGAAGTATTTCTGTACAGGAGAGATATGGACCTTGCTTTTAGAAAGAGTCAGAATAGCACAGTGATGCTACAGAAGTATTTCTGTACAGAGGAGATATGGGCTTTGCTTTGAGAAGAGTCAGAATAGCACAGTGATGCTACAGAAGAATTTCTGTACAGGAGAGATATGGACCTTGCTTTTAGAAAGAGTCAGAATAGCACAGTGATGCTACAGAAGTATTTCTATACAGGAGAGATATGGGCTTTGCTTTGAGAAAGAGTCAGAATAGCATAGGGATGCTACAGAAGTATTTCTGTACAGGAGAGATATGGACCTTGCTTTTAGAAAGAGTCAGAATAGCACAGTGATGCTACAGAAGTATTTCTGTACAGAGGAGATATGGGCTTTGCTTTGAGAAGAGTCAGAATAGCACAGTGATGCTACGGTAGTATTTCTGTACAGGAGAGATATGGGCTTTGCTTTGAGAAAGAGTCAGAATAGCACAGTGATGCTACAGAAGTATTTCTGTACAGGAGAGATATGGACCTTGCTTTTAGAAAGAGTCAGAATAGCACAGTGATGCTACAGAAGTATTTCTGTACAGAGGAGATATGGGCTTTGCTTTGAGAAGAGTCAGAATAGCACAGTGATGCTACAGAAGAATTTCTGTACAGGAGAGATATGGACCTTGCTTTTAGAAAGAGTCAGAATAGCACAGTGATGCTACAGAAGTATTTCTGTACAGAGAAGATATGGGCTTTGCTTTGAGGAGAGTCAGAATAGCACAGTGATGCTACGGTAGTATTTCTGTACAGGAGAGATATGGGCTTTGCTTTGAGAAAGAGTCAGAATAGCACAGTGATGCTACAGAAGTATTTCTGTACAGGAGAGATATGGACTTTTCTTATAGGAAGAGTCAGAATAGCACTTTTAGACACAACACCGAAGTGACTGAGCAAATTTGCAATATTTACAGGTACATGTGGCAAGGCGCTCATCTTGAACTCGGGTAACATTCGCTTCACAAAAAAATATTTCGAAGATACGAACGCCATCACCATGGCGATGTGGGTAAGAACCAACGTCACCGGTTATGTAAAATGGTTCGTACCGGGGGGGTCGCCCGACTTCAGCACGCAAACACAATATCCACAGGTGCATAGGAACGTGTGGACGCATCTCTGCGGGACATTTAACGGCTCCACTGGAGTGACGCGGATCTATATCGACGGGGAACTCAAGATAGAAAAGATCAATGAAGAAGAAAAAAGTTTGCCTGCAGACTTTACACCTGCAGGCATTGGGCCCGAGTTTGGCGATAGTAGCTTGATGGCAGTGGACGAGGTTTATTTGCTGTCTCGGGCATTGAGTTCTAGGGAAGTGAAAGCGTTGTACAATGACTGTGAATTCAACAGAATGGTCGTCCATTATGGCTTTCAGAAAGTCAATAAAACCACTGGGATCGTCTACGACCAGTCCGGCCAGCATAATGACGCACTATTGCAAGGAGGTTTGTAGGCAAAGTTCAATAGCTCCTATTAAACAATAGTTGATTAAGCACTCCCCAATGCATTTTTCTTGAGCAGATGCCAAGATCTTGGACAGCGGATGCAAAAAGTGCGGCTCGTGTCTCGATATGAATTCTGGAAGAAAGGCCACCGTGACCGTAAAAACGGACAATTTCAAACACAAACCGACGAAAGCGATCTCCATTGGTGGTTGGTTTTATCTTCAATCTACAAGAGGTGTTCATCCATTGGTCAGTGTGCCAGAATCCCTGGATAAGTGGACAATACTTGACTTGAACATAAAGGATGGAAGACTTGAATGGAGGGGTTATGACAAAGACAATCATGAGATATTCAATATTGCTACAGCGCAGTCCGTGGTGCCGGAAGGAGTATGGGTCCACATTCTAGCAACATTTGATAGTGTCAAAGGTCACGCTAAACTCTTTATCGACGGACAACAAAAAGCACTCGTGGAAACGGCGAAGGAGCAATTATTATCGGAGGACTGGAACGAGGTTAAGATTGGATCCGTCTCTGGTGGATATGTCGACGAGTTTGTTATGTACAACTGGGAATTAGAGCGTTCTGAAGTCTTGTATATCATGAAGTATTGCCCTGACCACCCAAAACTTGTATCATTCACTGTCCACGTGCCATTGAAATAGACAACTGGTTTGGAAACAATTACACTGTCTTCACTTCGTTATTGTACGTGTCTCCCTAACTCATCTTCAGACAAGCTAAGCTAAAAATGTCGAAAAAAGTTGCTCTGTCGATAGGAGCTTGCAAAGGGCAAGTCTGTCCTCAAGCCACAACAATCCAAGCTAACACAGCACTAGCATTGTCTTTTTTGAAAGAAAACTTTTGAAAAGTCGAAATCAAACTCACTTAATGAGTTTCATCACTCTTAGATCCAATTTTTGAAAATCAGTTTTTCTATCAATCATATCTATTCCCAAGGAGTCAAACAGTTTGCATTATAAATTATCATATAAAATTAAAATTTTTCATAGAAAATCATCAAGTAAAAGTTGTTAGTTACCTCAAGCTCACATCTTGCAAATTACTTTTTGCCTCAGTTTTAAGTTATTCATTTCGAATGTCGAACTTTTGAAGCTATGAAAAAAATAAAGACAAAATTTAACGAGTTTAGATTCATTTTTATCTTTCATCAGTCGATGAAAAGTTCCATTTTTAGAATACGTACCCCTTCATTGTTTGGCGTTCATTCGGTGTAATATTTAGGGCGGAACTTTGTATTGTGAACTGAAAGACAAAGATAAAATAGGCATCTGCACAAAAATTGAAATCTTTAGATTTATCTCCAAAACTGCAAAGGCGAAGTCTCCATTGACTAAACCAAGTGACTTAAAACTTATTTCGTTTTCATCTATAAAATTTGTGTATTCAAAGAGATTGCTATGAACAAAGCATGGCTGCAAAACAACAAAATACCACAGAAAAAAGGCGTTTATATCAGTTCTGTTACCTATTATTATAATATCACAATGATGTAGTGGGGATGTTCATTAGGTCGTTTGGTCCTTCAATTATTCTGTTTCTTGGTGGTTCGGTCTTTTGGCGGTGTTTTGGTGGTTCGGTCTCTCGGTCTTTCGCTCTTCAGTTCGGTGGTTCGGTCTTTCAGTGGTTCGGTTTTTCGGTGGTTGGGTTTTTCGGTGGTTCGGTCTTTCAGTGTTTCGGTGGTTCTGTTTTCGGTGGTTCGGTTTTCGGTGGTTCGGTCTTTCAGTGGTTCGGTTTTTCAGTGGTTCGGTTTTTCGGTGGTTCGGTTTTTCGGTCTTTCAGTGTTTCGGTGGTTCGGTTTTTCGGTGGTTTGGTTTTTCGGTGGTTCGGTTTTTCAGTGTTTCGGTAGTTCGGTTTTTCAGTGGTTCGGTTTTCGGTGGTTTGGTTTTTCGGTGGTTCGGTTTTTCGGTGGTTCGTCTTTCAGGGTTTCGGTGGTTCGTCTTTCAGGGTTTCGGTGGTTCGGTCTTTCAGTGGTTCAGTGTTTCGGTGGTTCGGCCTTTCAGTGGTTCGGTTTTTCGGTGGTTAAACAACCTAACGCTGTTTCATTACTGGTGTGGTTATCATCTTTAAAAGCTAACTCAATTTCTTGACACACCGTGTTTTTATGGGATTAAACAAACATATTGAAGCTATGATAAGGCTACATGATTCTCATACAGTCGTCCATGTTTCTATTCGCAGTATCTTGATAAGGGTAACCCCTATTTGTCGAGTTGAAATCATGGATTTTTCCTTTTAAACATATTTTTGAAGCGTTCAAAAATATTTCCATCCAGAGGGTAGCGCTATTCGGCCTTTGTACAACCGACCCCAAAAACTTAAACTTTTTAGTCCTTTTTCGTTTTGTATTACTTAAAATACAAATGAATCATCATAGTTGGTAAGTGTACAAATATCACTATATTTCGGCTGAATGTGAAGAAAACTCTCATTCTCCAAATTTAGAAGTAGATTAGTAGATTAGTTGTGTGCGCGTTATACAATATACTCCACTGACACTGTCTGCAACTTTTTTTTATATTATTTTTTTATTTTGCTCGATTTCTAATTTCCTCTGAAAATTTCACGATAAAGGCATGAGCGTACAAGGCATTTATACTATATTCAAATTAAATTAGCGACTTCTCTCGCTCTCTAATTTGGAAATGAAGTTTTATCCCAATGTGATGGTATTTCAAACACTACGCTTCTGCCACCTGTTTTGTAATGACTGTGTGCAAAATTACGTGCAGAATTCACTGGGGAGAGGGGGTGACAGCCCGACCGTAGGTTTGTACGAGCTACGTAGAGTTCAGGTGATTAGCATAATTTATATCTTTACAAATTTAATGTTTCTGCAAACAGCTAAGGGAGAAATGTTTGTATAGCAGGAGCATAATCCTCGTCATTAGCAAAAGATATATTCATAGAAATTCAAAATCCTAAGTCATACACAACTACGGTACAGGAAGCAAACAGTATTCCCACTTCATTGTAATTGGTGCTGTATATTAAATTACATGATTGGCCGCGGTTGGCCATCTTCGCGTTCCTATTGGTCAGAATATACAAATACTGGCTGCCTTTACGCCAATCACATTCTTTTCACAATAGCAAAATTTTCATGAAGTGAGATTACTATTTATTTCCTTTGCTGTTACACAGTCTCATTTTGAAAATAACTAAATAATTAAGAACATATTGACTATTTTCATACAATTTCATTCATATAAATTTATTGGCTGGCCATTGTGGAAACTATGTCTTGTACACATGAGATAGTTTCTAATCATAACATCACGGCAAACGATGAATGGGTGCGGCATAACACCTCTGGGCGTGGTTGCTTCACTCAACAATAATGACATACTTTCCACAAGGGTCGGCCACTGCAAGTTGATTTTGCAGTGTAATGACAAGGCAAAATCTGCCAGTAAATACAGGCCCTGTTTGGACAGCAGAGCATTAACATGCAGCTCTGGCTAAGTCAACATGATTGATTATTTTTTGAATAATATTTTTTCATAAATAAGTTAGCATTTTGTTTCATTCCCGATCAATCAAACAAGTGAATAATTTGAATTTGAGTATCCTCATGCACAGTGACACTACAGAGATGCAAATTATTCACTTGGACGAATAATGTTCCCAATGATCACTTTCTTCATGGAAACAGCACCGTATAAACACACACTAGAGGGACCGGATGATATGCCAGGTATTGTTGAAATAAGGGTTTCATACACTAGGGGACCGGAGCATATGCCTGATATTGTAGAAACAACATTTCCATTCCAGGGGGGGATTTTCTGGGGGTGCAGGAAATTGTAAGACTAAATGAAAGTAGAACTTCTTATTTCAAAGGTAATGGCATATTTTATACTACCACCATTTGCAATTGAGGTATTACCATGCATGTTTTTATTGAAACATTAAATATGAAATGAATTACTAAATGTGAATTCATTGACAGCAAAACATACAAAAACTTTTCAAAAAGCTAATAACACTTTGTTTATGCAAGGTTCACTAATCCGTAAGTCTAAAAATGCACAATAGCACGAGGTCCTTGCAACTTTAGCAAGGATAACAATGCACCACTTCTGTCAAATAAGTATTGATCCAACCCTGTTCCATACACTAAAGGGACCTGACCGTTTGTCAAGTATTGTAGAAACAACATTTCCAATAACTAGTGCAGTGGCAGACACTGTGGGTTAGGGAATGGCTCAAGTCCCCCTCCATAATTTTGAGAGATTTAAAATCTTGCACCAAATCCCTCAAATCACATCTACATACATAACTGTGATAAAGGCACTGGGATAAATTAAATAATGACTATTTGGTCGACTTCTGTACTGTGCTCATACCAGCAGACGCATTAAATTTTCTTGTGTGTGTGTAAGATCATGAGTAGGAATCCTTAAATTAAATTACCAAAGATCAAATTATACCTATAGAAATGTCCCGGGATATCCCTGTATTTCATAAAGTGTCTGACCATATGTCATCTGACCATATGTCAGGTATTGTAGAAACAACATTTCCATACACTAAAGAAACCTGTATGTCTGGGTATTGTAGAAACAACATTTCCACACACTAAAAAACCTGTATGTCTGGGTATTGTGAAACAACATTTCCACACACTAAGAAACCTGTATGTCTGGGTATTGTAGAAACAACATTTCCACACACTAAAGAAACCTGTATGTCTGGGTATTGTGAAACAACATTTCCACACACTAAAGAAACCTGTATGTCTGGGTATTGTAGAAACAACATTTCCACACACTAAGAAACCTGTATGTCTGGGTATTGTGAAACAACATTTCCACACACTAAGAAACCTGTATGTCTGGGTATTGTAGAAACAACATTTCCACACACTAAAGAAACCTGTATGTCTGGGTATTGTGAAACAACATTTCCACACACTAAAGAAAGCTGTATGTCTGGGTATTGTAGAAACAACATTTCCACACACTAAAGAAACCTGTATGTCTGGGTATTGTAGAAACAACATTTCCACACAATAAAGAAAGCTGTATGTCTGGGTATTGTAGAAACAACATTTTCAGCCTCATTTAGAAGCATTTTGGGAGTAACTACATTCTTTTTTCCTTTTCGTCGTCAGTGCGGTTTTGACGATTTAATAACTCCTCCAATTTAACAGCTCATGTCAAGACAAGCCTAATGGGCGCCAGTTTGACAATTCCCATCACCGACGGTAGATTAAATCTTGGAACGTGGCAGGGAGTTTGGTTATGCGAACATAGAGATCATGCAAGTTCAAGAAATATCGTCGTTACCATGCAAGGTGTTCGTAAATGACTTGTTTTTTTCAGTACCTTGATCAGTTTGATGTATGTGTTTGCAAAGATTCCTTTGAATAGAACACTGCTGGCGATATTCAAATCAATATATACACTGAGTATGCTCACGAAAATGAAATATATCTTTATTTTATGATAAACTGTGCTTCGACTACTTTTACGTTTTTTTGCGAGAATGTTTTTTCTACGAATGTTTTTTTGTACATTTTTTGCAAGAATGTTTTTTCTACGGGCTTATGTTTCACATTTACTGTGTAAACAACCGCTTTGAATATATTTTTATGTATCTTTGCTAATTGTACGACGTTAGGACGCTTTTGCTCCATAATGCGGTGTAAAAGCTTTCCTAAAGACATTGATAAGGTTTTAAAATGTCACTTGACCAGTTTTTTTGAGGCGTTTATTTACGCTACAGTCCAATACGTACGATTCATTATTCGAAATTTACATATTCATCGCGAGACTTTTAGCGCGTTGTCTTTCAGGTATATTTATGTTGCTAATTGCTTTCACCGGTTTTCTTCGTTTTTTGAGTCATTGTCTCGTGCACTTCATTGTCGTTCGTTGAGGAAATCTTTCTTTTAGACGAAAGTCGATTATTCTGATGGAGATTAACCAAATGACAGAGGGCGAACTGTGAGTACTTTAATTTAAATGATTTTGACCGAGACGTCAACGAGTTTCAAGGAAATTTAATCAGTACGAAAAATTGCAATTTTAGTTTTTCTCGACAACTTGAACCAAAATTCTGCAAATGCGTCAATTATCCTCCGTGCGTCTACGATTTTGCCTCAAATTAGAACTTCGATGAGCGTTATCTTGTTGAAACCGAAACCAAAAAAATAATTTACAGTTAAGAGTTCGGTTTCTCAGATGTAGGAACCACGGTCGGCATGTTTACTATAAACCATTTTCAGATGTTTTGTTTCATGTGGGAAGGTGCATTAAAATCGGTTACAATGACGTCTGCCATCATCTATTGTGATGCGAGTGAAAATTGCCCGACGCCTGAATAAAACATTAAGAGATCTACGGTATGTCCGTGTATCAATGTGTGCAAACTTAGAAACTGATTGCTTGTCTTTCAAAGTCACCTGCATACTCACCCATTAACAACTCGCGCGGTCTGTATTGTCGTTCACGGTCCCGGAAGGCGAATTTTTTGCTTTTGAATGTGAAATTTCTCTTAGCATTTTTTCACGTTTCGACTGTCTACGTATGCGATGGACAATTTGCGCACCGAAACAGCTGTCCACTCCTCTAAATTGTCCAATCACATAGTTCAATTAAATAATAGAAGATAGGATCATTTAAATTGATGCTTATAAAAGCAAATTACGACACATATACTCTTTATTGATTTGCAGTTGCCTGCGTTAACTCATCACGACGAGTTTAGGTGTACACTTTTCGAAATTATCAAGGAAAAGTCAAACGGCAATGTGGATTGATGGAAGCAATTTTTATGGGAATAATAGTCGGATTGATGTTCGTGACGGCTTTGCTTGGTAATTTTCTCGTAATGTACACCGTTTATCGCAATACATTGCTACGACAGCAGTGTTCCAGCATCTTCGTTGTCAATCTAGCCGTTTGTGATTTCTTAATTGCTCTTCTCTTGATGCCCGGTTTTTTTGGCGTCTTGATTAATCGTTCGTGGTTAGCTGAGTCGTTCTTTTGTCAACTCAACGGTTTTCTTAATCATTTGCTCGGCATTTGTGCCATACACGCATTGGTTCTAATTTCAATTGATCGTTTTTACGCCGTTATGAAACCGCTGAAATATCGTGCGAAAATGACGATGCAAAAGTCGCTGTATGCCGTGTTTTACGTCTGGATTCAAGCTATAATTTTTGCTCTCGTCCCAGTCCCCCAAGGCTGGTATCAATTCAACGACAGTTTTTTGTGTTGTACGTTCACTCCGTCTTCCCATCATGCACCGAAGCATCTCTATATTTATTCGTTGTATTTCTTTAACTTTGTGATTCCGCTGGTCATCATACTTGCGGCATATTATAAAATATTTCATGTTGCGAAACGTCATTCTGGACGCATTGGACCAGCGGTCGTTCAGCTTGGAGCAATTGGAATCCAAGAACTTGTGGCTATTCGGAAGGATATCGGTCGACAGCGCGAGGCCCGAGCGGCCCGTAATATAACCTTCGTTGTTGCAGCGTTTCTCTGCTGTCATGTTCCATATATTAGGGAGTTTTAGCAAGAGTACGCTACGACTACGAGTACGAAATTTGACCGTGTAAGAGAATGGCACGAGGAAGTTTGTTGTCGTTGTCGCTTGGTCAAAATTTTGCTTTAGTTGTAAACAAGAGAACGAGCCTTTTTATTGTGTAAAACACCGACGTTTGCGAAGCAGCTACGGCTCTATTTTTCAATAATGATATCAAAGAATCGATAATACTGGTTTTACAAGAATATAGGACTCTTTAGACTGAAAAATCTTCACTATTTTAAGTTTTATGTACGATATATTTGTACTATTTTATTGTTTGTTTACCTTTCACTTTGCGTACGAAATACATGAAAGTTTTGCAGGTCATACTTTCCTTTTTAATGAACATCTGCGCTCAAAAAGGGTTCTAAATTAAAGCCTGGATGCTCGAAAATAGTACTGTAAACTAATTTCTTACAGAATGAAGACATATACCTACTTTCTTTCCTTAAAAAGACATCGTAGCCGCGACTACGAATTTTTTACAAAACATCGTACTCAGATTGATGACGGCTACGTGTTTTTGTTGTCGCAACAATGTTTTCGCGCCAAAATGACGTAAATCGTACTCGTAGGCTCTGCTAAAACTCCCTAATACGTTGAAGTTACTGCAGTTGCAAAATGGTTTCACACTACAGTTACCTCTGGCTGCAACGATCTCTGTCAAGCTGCTGAACTTCTTGAAAAGTTCTCTAGATCCAATTATTTACGGTATATGTCAAAGAAAATTTCGTTCTGCCTTCTCCTCCATTCTTCCATTGGGACTTCGTGTTAGAATAATGAATAAAACCCACCTTAACCAAGAGTTCGTTAGGCGTAGAGCCAGTAACAACGCGATGACGTCCGCTGACCGCGAGAACAGCAAGTATTCTGAATACAGCCAAGATCAAACAACTAATGATAATATTTAATCATTTCACCATTCAGATAACAGATTGGCGATATCCTCTAAAGTTTTTTAGCTGTTTACATACAATATGTTTTGTATAATTATTTAAGAGTAGCGTCCTCTAACCACTATTGTTTGGTCATTCATGTATAAGCGGGGATACACAGGGGCATGTGTTGATATCAAACTGCAAATTACCATCTGTGTTATACTGGTTCAAACACCCTGAATGTCCTTGTTTCTCACATTCTTCGAACTTGTTTGGATTATAGAAATGCCATCCTGATTTTGCACCCAAATCAATCCAATGCTCCTGATGACGATACAGCATACTGCCGTAGCGATTCCGGGCAAAAAGTCCCGGGTTTTTCATCACCGTGATCATTTCCCCGGCGAAATTCACCTAGATGTGCGCAAATGCTGGGAATGAAATGCTTGCGTAACGGAAAGCTCTCCTTCATAATCTTATCATCATCATACCTTTGTCGGCTTTTCTCCGCGGCTGACGAGTATTTCCGACTCCATAAGATGTTGACCATATAACTCTATTTTCCAGCGATCAACGTCCATGACAATCTTTCCACCAGCCTTCCGGCCGTCAACGCAACACCAGATTGAGCCGTCGTATGGAGTAACACTGAAGCCAGCGGCTTGGAAAGTCGGTGCAAGAGCTTTGAGAGCGGTGTAGTTGGCTGTTTGGAAGGTGATATCTGCATCTCTTTCCCACGGTAAAAGTTTGTTTAGTTTGACAGCACCTGAACATTAAGACGCTGCTAATTACGATCTAAGGAAATTTAGAATTTCGAAAGCTATCAATCAACCTACCCAGCAATGTTCCTTCCTGTAGCTCGCAAAATAATCCCGCCTTTTCGCATTCGTTCATAACCGTTTTGATGGCATCGGCGAGGTTCTCTAGGTCACATGGTGGAACGGCCATACCACGTTGTCTTGAACACGACGATCCTTGTCTGTGCGCAACTCCGCGCTTGCAGCCAAACCTCGGTGAACAAGAGAGCTGACTGATAGAACGATGCTTGAACCAGAAACACACACAAAGAAAGAAATTTCCAAGAATGGATGGTAAAGAAAGTTAGTCTTACCATCTCACAAGTCCGGAGCTTTCAACTATCTTTTTGATATCGTGTTTTTTGACAAAGTCCAAATACCAAGCATCTTGGTCTTGCTTCAAAGTTTCTACGTTGAACATGACATCCGGGCAACTCACCACAATTTTCTTCTCTTCTTTCAAACGCATAAACATATCGCGGAATACGCCGAAATGAAGCCTGAAAATAGCGTGTTGTTCTTTCCTCAAAATGATTCTTTCAGCATGAATTCAAACAATGTTTCGAATAGCGTATTTGCCATCTTAAATGAAAACTATTACGTAGGTAGTTCTAAAGAGAACTGTTGAAAACGAACATTAAAATAAATCTAATGACGCAATGCATTTCGGTAGATTTCTCATCAAATGCAACGTCCGCTTCATTGAAAACTAAGACTCCGCTGATGTTTATACTTAAGACAAGAGGAAATTACGTCACCCTTCATCGAGGATGCGTCGTTTAAAACAGGGATAAGTGAGATTTTAGAAACTAGCGAGATTATTTGTTGTCATTTACCTCGGCAAATACGCTTTTTAAAGGCTTCAAGCAGTGTTTCGTTTTGTCCTCTTCCCAATTTCTAATTGTGAGGTAAAGCTTGAGTTGAAATAAGCATTGATTATGCTATTCGAACGACAACAACGAACGTTTCTTACTGCTACGCTTTCTCAGTTTAAAGATACTCAAAGTTATGTAACACTTACTTCTTATCCAGTCTTACATCTTTTTTTCTCGCCATCCACGGACCCGGAGTGTAATCACAGACGACACAATCCCAGGACGACATGAAGTACCCGCCTTGCAATGTTAGAGTGAAGTTCCGTAATCGTAACTGCTCACAACCGCTATCCCAGTAACCATTGCGTTGTCTATAGGCACCGGAAGTGATAGCTACATCCGGATTATGACTTAAGATCCTTATTAGTCTCTTAAGATTTACGTCGTCATCAAATTTCGCGAGGTTTCTACCAATCAAGACGTACTTTGTTGTCACGCGGGCCAATGCCTTTGTCCAGATCTTGCCTAGTTTCCAGTCCTTTTCGACATTCATCACTTGGACATGACTTTTGATTTTATCGATCCCTCGTGGTTTGTTTCTTGTGATAAATATCACTTTGAGGCTGGGAAAGTGTTGATGTACCCCCCTGAGGACATGCTCGTGCGTGGTGGAATTCATGTAAGATAAGTGTAAGTCATCAAAGATTAATGTAACTAGTTTGTGCAGAGAAATGAATTGGGAACAATTTAAGGTGGCAAAACCTTTGCGGAAAAAAGGATAACCGTAGAGGAGCGATTTGCCGAGAAATTTCTCCGGACAAATTTCCTGAATTTCTGCTGTTTCTGCATCGTGTTTGTCTGTCATGTTTGCTGGGAATAAATTTTTGTAATTTTGCCTCTCCTTGATTCTGTTTAAGATCTCGACCAGCTGTTCGTACTCGTCACCGAACGAAATTTTTTCCAATTCGTTCATGTTTCCTAAAATCATCAATATTTCTTCTAAACTATTTTCGGATCTTTTCTTTTCGCTTGCGGGGGATGTATTTTCGTATAAAATTCCTTTCTCTGGTCCATTATCACAATGGATGCATACGTCTCGCTGTATCACGAAATGATTGAAAAATTGTCCACATAAGATGGTGGATAGGATTGCTGTCAAACATAAGAATGTCACTTTCTTCCTTTGCATCATTCACTAAAACATTAAACGTAAAAACTCCTAAAAATGTTTACTCTTTGGCCAATACCACCACGTACACTGTATTTTATACGGTCTCGGGCATAGACATATTAAAAATAGATTGCTGACGTAATACATCTATAAGTAGCGCACGTGGGGCCATCAAATTGAACTAATATACATGGAACGCTACCTCTAATAGAAAAGCTTGATAATTTATCGAAGCCAAATCTTACACCCAGACACGCGTGTTTAGTGTTTCGAGATTCTCTCGCGGGTTGACAATTGATTAAACTGCTGCTTTTTTTAAAGAAAGGGAATTTATCCGCCGATAACAGTTTGTGCAATTTGGACAATTTCATTGTTTTCAATTTCATTTCTCCCGTTTTTTGCGAAACGTTTATTTAATTTACATTGCATGTATGATTGAATTGCATCTTTTTTCATTCGTATAGTGTACTAGCATTTTAATATAAATAAATTAGACAACATCTTTTGTGTTGCCGTAGATGTGCATGCTTGTTGCAAAGAATGTTGTGGAATTATACAATTTTTGGAATTATACAAGTATAAACTCTACTCCATATCTTACCTGTCACATGCATTAAGAGGGTATTATTGCTGCTGAAGGGTCGTTTTGAAAATCGCTGGATGTATTTTATTTATACTTTCGAATGAGTTAATAGTTGCAAAGCGTTCACTACGTTTTCCTGTTATACGAGTTCTTACGTGGGCAGGAGAGTTGAGATATTGACTATACGCGTGTCATTTCCTACAACAGTTTTCATTATATTCTTTATATTAAAGTGGTACGTCTCGCGTTTGTTTGTTTGATCTATTTTTTCCCTAAATTATTCTCGGATTGAACGCCTTGTCTCGATAACCTTGATTTATCTTGACAAGTAAATGAAATTTTTCTTTCATCTGACTTTTAGATCCGAGCCAGTACTAGCGTCTTCGCAGTCTTTGGGATTTTCGTGGTCTTGATTTGAATGTACGTAAGTCGTCTTAATTTTTGGAAATTGTCTTTCTTGTCCGGAAAATCTGAGATGTACGCAATTTCGAGTTTTGGTTGTTGTTGATATCTCAAATACACTTTTTATTTCAACAAATAAATTTTTATGATATTACGTATCACCTAACCAATATACTACCCGCATCTTTATCCTTTTCAAAATGTTCGATGGCAGTGCATTGGTAACTGCTACATAGCAATGATTTCTTGAGAGAGTTTTGTATCATGGTGGTTTTTTATTTCTTTAAAAATTTGGCAACATCGAAATTCGGTCTTTGCAGTTATACTGCAATTGAGGTGCATTTGGTCTTTATGAACACGTTTGTGTTTCTCGTGTTCTTGAAATACTATTGCGTTGCCTTTGTATTGTTTTTTTTTCTCAACGAGCTGTTAAAATTAGAAGATATATATTTATGTATGTGATAACTATATGTTTTTGATTTACTGTTTAGCACCATTGTGCTGGAAACTGGTGTTCATCCTTTTTTTTTAAAAAAAACATCTTCACATCGTGCATGATAAATTCATCGGATGAATTTTCTAATGTTCATGAATGTATTCATGTCTTTTATCGTACTGTAAACAGAAAATGCCCTCTATAGTGCTTCGTTCATCGTTATCTCGTGCAAGTTGCGTTATCCTTTCACACTATTTTGCTTGATTCGCAGATTATCTAAAACATCAAGAGTCAGATAGGCGTTCATCCATTGTCTCAATTAATATGACGAAGATCGACGTTCGTGTTCTTTTTCTTGCTGCTTCGATAAACATCTTATGCCCCACTTCAGTCATTGCTACAGGTATATTTTTGTTATCTTCATGCTTCGCATCCTTCAAGCATTTGCTTTTCTTGTTTTGTCTACTTACTGGAAATATCGTATAAGCTCTGTACTTATGGGCAGGAAGTGTTGATTTGGCGTCGCATCGACCATTTGCATGTGCGCGTTGACATCATTGAATTTGTGGTCTGTGAAGTTTGGCTCATTTTTTTGATGACTTTTTGTATGATTCATGAAGATGCATTTTTTACATTTTAACATTTTTACATTTTGTTACATGCATGCATTTATTTGTGCAACCTGCTATAACTCCTCTCGTATGACCTGCGTCGTGAGAAATGAAAACGGAAAAATTATTTCGCTGCAACCTGTCCTCGTATGACCTTTCAATGGGTGAATATTTTTGATCGCAGAAAACTAGCAGAGTCGCGGTGTGATATGGAAAAATCGTTGACAAATTCTCGTGTTGGAAGATTTTCTAAATGATTTCATTAATTTGCAGGTCCTTGACAACAGCAAGTTGACGTTTTAGTATTCTCAAAGTGCTTCGAAACGGTTAATAACAGGTAGTCACGCAAATACATTTAAAACGCGATTGACTTTGCAGTAAAAACCCCTCAGATGACAGGCGATACAGCAAGAGTATAGTCATGGTATTTTCGACGCGAAGAAGAATAGACGATTATTGCGTGACGGGATGATGACCAAAGTAACTTTTATTAAAAGATATTCTTTACCCGTTCTAGATATTACAATCCCAACGTGTGTCATTCAAAAAATTGTTAAAAATTGCGACAGCACATAATTGACTATTTCTTTACATGTATAGTCCAGATAATTACATGATAAAATTACCAAAAAGACAAAGGCATTAAAACCCGTTATACATATTAGAATCATAATGTTCTCTACCCCCTACTACACCTTGAGTACTTATGATAACACAAAGAGGAAATACCTTTAAACTCCGAGATAAGGCTCTAACGTAGACGGGACTTTACCCGATGCCAACTGCTCTGTAAAAATAGAAAACAGGTTGTTATGAACAAGAACTCGCGTCTTATACGTCATTGATTCAACCGTGAAACTAGTCTTTCATATTTATCTAAAAAGAATTCTTTGTAATGAAGCACATTTCCTAAATGGCTTAGGGGATATGCGCGCACCGTCCGCAATATATTGAGCTGTATATTGCAATGTACAAACTAATTAGTTTTTCGGAAGCTGAAGTTTAAAAACAAAATTCTTTCCCTCACTGCAATATTGCCAAAAGTATAAGCTCGTGCAAACAATCTTAATGAATGAAGAAACTTACAATTTAAACGATCGCAAAATCTATGTGGTTATGAAAATTGACTCCTTAACACCAAGTTCACGGCAATTTAACAGCTCCATGTCTACACAAAATCATAAACACGTACATCTCACGACAAATTAGGCCATTCCGAAGACGATAAAGTCCACGACATTGACAGGCAACTGTGAAACGAGTGGAAACTTATTGTCTGTAATAATAACAATCCAATCATCACACACAATGACGACACAAGGAAAAATTCATTTTCCTAAATATCTTGCAAATTGATTTAATGATCAAACGTTTCTCATGTAAGGTTGGCAAACGATGTAGAGTCACGGATGGTTCCGACGAAATAGATACCTGTTCTGAAGCAAATGAAGCGTAAAGCAAAGAAATTCTTTAACGAAAGATCATGAAATAAAATGCAAATATAATGTCATGACAGAGAGTCGACGAGCACTGCCTGAATGAGCTATGGAAAAGATGAATTATAAAACTTTATGTTAAAATCCGAGAACACAAGGTTGAGAGGTAACGGTTGCTTATTACACCTTCTAACGAAGTCCACTTTTTCTCATCATTCAACCACTAAATTCTACACCACAAGAAGCTCAAACTCAACAAAAAGATCCCGGGAACAACTTTTTCACCGAGGTCTTCTCGAACCATTAAGCACGACACGAATGAAATTCTAGCTCAAAAAAAAAGAAACATTCTGAAAGTTTTTATAGTTTTCTAGAACTCGCCCCATGGCCATCGTCGACCTACTTGTCGTGGCATGTGTTTTATTTCACGGAAATGTTGTGGGGAACACACGTAAGTATGAAGCACAATACGATAAGCCGAGGAACATACTCATTGGTAGATATATACGATGAAATTCCTAATAAGGAAAACTGTAACAAAACATCATGAACACAAGATGGTGAACACGTGAAAACCCCTCAATATATTTACTATGAAGTTTAATATCGTGAAGCATTGTGGGCTTAGCGAAGACCTGTGCTTCTCCTCAGCAAAGCCGTTTCGTTTCCACTAGCTAGTCGTTAATCAATCCTCTCTTTTCGTAGAAAACGACGCAAAAAGCCAGAGTTACAAAGAAAGTCGTTTAGACAAATTATTGGATGAAATAATTGGCGAGATTCCTTCGACGGACACCAACAACTTTTTTACACAAATCTTGAGAAAAGGGAAGCGAGAAAAGCACTTGACAATCTCACCGCGAAGTTTTCAGCATTCCACAAAGAAGTCGGTGGAGACTGTACATGAAGAAGAGAAAGACAGCACAGAGATATCGTTAGCTCTATCGTCACCAAATGTTTACTTTGTTAACTTAGGATCAAAAGCGGAACGAACCACGGATGAAAAGCAAGAATACGAAAATGCGAAGCGATTCAACATTCCACAATGGAAAGCAACTGGTAAAGCTGAGAGGGCAGTTGAAGTGCCTAACTATTCGGTCTCTACCGATGATACCGCCTCAACAGAAATTCGTGTGAAACGCCAAACAAACGAACTGCCTACGGTAGCTACTTTTCCACAAAATACTATCGAAAGTTCGTCAGCTCCGGAGAAAAACACTAGAGAAGTTATAGCGATGGTACCCGTAGCAATAGAGGCACCCTTGCTTTCGTCATCATCTGTTGCATTACTCTCACAGGGTAAGTCTTTGCTGTAAAAGTAATTTTTGAGCGTAGTGGTCATTATACTTTTCAATTCGAGTTGTCAGATGACAGACGGCCATACCAGAATGAGACGGTGACGATAAATTTCAATACAAAAAGAAATTGAGCTGCCTGTAACGAATTTAAATAGTTACCAAACAACATCTAAACGACGTTGGAGACCAACGTCAGTATCAGAACAAAATCGTTTTAACGATACAGGATTGGTACGAAAACTATACGTTGTCGTGCTGTACGGAAAATGAAAATGAAGCTTTTTACAAGAAATCATAGCATGCAAGCTTCATGCATACCTGTTGAAACGCTCCAGAAAGAATTTAAGTGTCGTTGAACGAACAGCAAACTGGTTTTGTTGATGGCGAGAATTGTTACTATACATATCTAACAGTCAAGTGAGATTACTATTTATTTCCTTTGCTGTTACACAGTCTCATTTTGAATATAACTAAATAATTAAGAACATATTGACTATTTTCATACAATTTCATTCATATAAATTTATTGGCTGGCCATTGTGGAAACTATGTCTTGTACACATGAGATAGTTTCTATTCATAACATCACGACAAACGATGAATGGGTGCGGCATAACACCTCTGGGCGTGGCTGCTTCACTCAACAATAATGACATACTTTCCACAAGGGTCGGCCACTGCAAGTTGATTTTGCAGTGTAAGGACAAGGCAAAATCTGCCAGTAAATACAGGTCCTGTTTGGACAGCAGAGCATCAACATGCAGCTCTGACTAAGTCAACCTGATTGATTATTTTTTGAATAATATTTTTTCATAAATAAGTTGGCATTTTGTTTCGTTCCCGATCAATCAAACAAGTGAATAATTTGAATTTGAGTATCCCCATGCACAGTGACACTACAGCGATGCAATTATTCACTTGGACGAAAAATGTTCCCAATGATCACTTTCTTTATGGAAACCATGTACATACCTTCATAACAACTGGAAACCCTGTACATAACTTCATATCAACACCTACCTTTTGGAAATTGATATTTATAATTTGAATTGTCCTCGTTTTCTTCTTATTTTCGCTTTCCTTAAAGTCCTTTGTTGAAGTACACAGTTGAAGTGTTCTTGCTTTGTCTTATTTTATCTTGGAGTTCTTTTTCAAGATGTTTTACACTCATTGAACTGAAAATAGAACGACAGAAAACATTAAAATACTTTAAAGTAATTTTCACATAAAAAACACTCGTTGTGCACTAACCACTTTTGAGGAAATATTGAACAAGCCACTGGAACCATGAATGACAGACTGAAAGAAGAGATAGTTTTTTCACTATGACATAGTAAGAGTCACTCCTTCGTTTTCGACTGTCCCCCCCCCCTCTCTATAGGAAATCCTGGCTACGCCACTGAAAAGAAATTAATGAAACAGACGTTTTTGTGGCCGTTACCTGACTCCACATAGCAAGACCTGAAGAGGCATATGAAGTATCTTGATCCTCTAAAGAGGAAAGAAAAGGAATTGCAATTTACTAAAGCAAGAAATCCACTTAGTGTGGTTGATCCAGTCAAAACTATTGTACAATTGACAAATACATTTCGTACAATATGGTACAATTCCTACGATTTTATTCTTTCGAAATTCATAAAAGTTCATAGCTTTCTAGCAAAGTTACGATTTGAAAATATTTGTGGATGTAGATCGTCCAGGTTGGTAAAATTCAGAGAAGCATTCAGTTCATTCAAATGTCACGCATTTAACGTGTCTAAGATGCATTTTCTTTCATAAATATTTCACACACGCAAAGTAAGTATTCTTAAACTAGCACGTCTTTTATTTAGACCAGACTAACATGAAATTATGCTTTCTAAAAAACTTACACTAACACTGGTATTCTACTAAATTTAAGGAGAGAAGATTTTGTGGATATTGTCGACATTCCACTAAAGAGGACGATCTACATCTACAAATATGTCGCGATACTCCTGGGTTGCCCTAACCATTCGCTTGAAAGAAAATTAAGCTACCATCACGCAAATTGACTGTATGACCAGTGGAAGCGCCATTTAGAAACATCTTACCTGCATCCATCTAAATTTCTCTAGTTTCTCCATAATGATAGGAATGATCACTGAAAGCAAAGGAAATTTTTTAAAGCTGCTTCTTGACAAAAAGAAACATAACAATGATCACGTAGAGAGTTCATCCTTACACATTCCTGGGGCGGCCATAGCCACTCGGGACGTTACCACTTGACCAATTCCTTTCATCGCAGCACGTTTTGACATGCCTAATTCTTCACCCTCTTTGTCATAAACCTTGATGCCATTCAGTAATTCACTATTCATAAAAAGCCAAGTCAGGGGCGGATCAATGTTCATTTCACAGGAGGGGTGCAGATTTTACAAGGGATGGGTGTACATCGTTATCCTTACTAAAGTTGCAAGGGTCTTGGGCTATTGTGCATTTTTAGGCTTACAGAAGAGTGAACCGTGCGTAACAAAAGTGATATTAGCTTTTTGAAAAAAAAAAGGATATGTTTTTTGTTAATGAATGCGAGTTTATTAATTTTTTAAAATTGAATGTTTCAATGAAAACATGCATGGTAGGTAATACTCAATTGCAAATGGTGGTAGTATAAAATATGAAATGCCGTGGATACTCATCCGACATCGGAACTTAATGTTCAAACGATGTTCATCCGACATCGGAACTTAATGTTCAAACGATATTCATCCGACACCGGAACTTAATGTTCAAACGATATTCATCCGACATCGGAACTTAATGTTCAAACGATATTCATCGGACATCGGAACTTAATGTTCAAACGCTATTCATCCGACATCGGAACTTAATGTTTAAACGACATTCATCCGACATCGGAACTTAATGTTCAAACGATGTTCCTTCGAAATGAAAAGTTCTCTTTTTACTTAGTTTTACGGTACAATTCCACAGTCTCTGATACTGTTATATTAATTGTCTGTAGCACGTGATACCACTTCGGAATTTTTCTTGGGGGTTCTAGAGACTACTTTTTTACTTGGGGGTTCTAGAGACTACTTTTTTACTTGGGGGTTCTAGAGACTAATTTTTTACTTGGGGTTCTAGAGACTTTTTGGGGAGTGCGCACCACATAGGAGACAAAAGCACAGCCTGTAAACTCGTAACAAAAGAATGAAGAATCTCACCTCTGTCGAGAGAGCGGAATATTGACACAATTGGCTGCAGCGACTGCGACAAATGGAACATAACGAGCAATGATTGGTGGAGATCGCTTTGATAGAAATGGTAGAAAACATGTTAATGATGCAAACCTCCATGTTCAAAAATCTTAACATTGTTAAGAGTACAGATTTGTTAACAGCAGAGTATTCTATTAAATTCAGCCTGCGTGGAAACATTTTCAATAAAACTACCTGTATGAAGTGTATAATGTTAATGTGTCTATTTCAGTTTACAATGGGACTACTGGATGTAATACTTCATGTACACAATTCTTCATTACTTTGCCTTATCAATGTTCACCAAGTGTGACGTTAGTCAATTTTTGTGGACTACACAGCACATTTGCCTTTGTATCACTGAGGATAGTGAGCATGTGTTTTTAGATGAAGTTTTACCACAGGACGAAATAAATATCCTATATTTTGTTTGACTTTCATTATTTTCTACACATGGAGCCAAGAATAACAAGACAATTAAGCCTGTTTTCCACTAGCCACGTATCGTAACGTATCGTAGCAAAACGTAACATGGCGCATGCGTGCTTATGCATATTGACCATCAAATTTATAAGCACGCATGCGCCATGTTACGTTTTGCTACGATACGTTACGATACGTGGCTAGTGGAGAACAGGCTTTACAGTATGAATACGACAAAACCTTACGGGAGAATCGGCCTGTAATGAAATTTCTTTACAAAAATCCATTAGAAATATATTCATATCATATGAACCTTCACAAGAGAATTGAGTCCAACAGAGACAGCGACAGCTGTAGTGGTACTTGAAACATAAGCAATGCCAATCTGCCTTTAAAATTGAAAATGCTGATAACATAGCCTGTTTAGCACTATACATTCACAAGATGAAATGACGTACTTTCCGGTTGTGGTTGATTTCGCATTTCTATTTGTATAATTCACTAAAGCATTAAATGATTGATTCACCCATTGCCAAAACACAACTTGAGGGATTGTTCTAATAAGAAAAAAACATAATCTTCAGATGCAGTTTAAGTCAATGCAACGAGACAACGAAAACACCTCCATACTTGTAAAATTGGAGTAATGCACCAGTCAAAAGCATTCCACCTGGAACTTGGAATGACATCCTACCAAATAAATTCATCTTTTCTCCAGAGTCTGGATGAAATGCTGATTCATATAGGATTTTTGCATCCCATATTTCATCATTAGTTGTCCCACTTGGTTCCTTATTCACCCTGGAAATACATACGACAAGACGATTCAATCTTAGCGGAAAACTAAGCAGAGGCAACAGGTTTTAAGGGCAGTTTAACAAACACCAGTTCCCATCATGCACCACCAGTGCAACCCAACAAACACCTAACCCATCATGCACCACCAGTATAGTCTGGAAAACACCAATTCCCATAATGCATCACCAGTACTGCTCAACAGACACCTAACGCACTATTGCATCACCACAATTCCCCAGCGTAGTTTAGCAAACACAAGTATCCATCATGCATCACTAGGGTAGTCATGCATCACTAGGGTAGTTTAGCAAACACAAGTGTCCATCATGCATCACTAGTGTAGTTTAGCAAACATAAGTATCCATCATGCATCACCAGTGTAGTTTAGCAAACACAAGTACCCATCATGCATCACTAGTGTAGTTTAGCAAACATAAGTATCCATCATGCATCACCAGTGTAGTTAAGGAAACACAAGTACCCATCATGCATCACTAGGGTAGTTTAACAAACACAAGCACCCATCATGCATCACCAGAGCAGTTTAACAAACACCAGTACCCATCATGCATCACCGTTCCAATGTTGATGACTTTTTTGACAATGGTAAAAAAATTTAATTATATAATAAAATGTCAACAAATCCTGTTTCATTGAATTTGAAAAACTGTACATAATATAAAAACTAAAACAAGTTTGGAAAGTAGTCATAGCTAAATTTTCAAATGAATTTAAATTCGCCACCAATTTTCCAATTTGTGAGCCCAGAGAACTTTCTTTAGCTGAACAGTGGTTAAGATGCCTGCAACACTACACCAGCAAGTACATAACCATTGTGAAGGTTTTCTGATCATCTTGATTAGACAAGAGTGATATGCACACCATGGATAGATTTTCTAGGGGGGGCTCCCTCCAAATATCAGATTTAACACCCCCCAATTAAATTGTTCCCTCGTCTGAGAAACATTTTAATCCTTCCCCAATCTTTAAGGAAAACAAAATTATTATTGTAATTGAGTTTTGCTGGACGGTTCTACAACGTTTTGCACTATCTTTGATGATGGCTACAAAAAACCTGACTTGTCAACCCAAAAATCCTTACTTTGTCATGAATCAATTCCTTACCCGCTAAACCCACTAAAATTGTTTTGGACCAAACAGAAAAACTAAGAAAATCTGGGATAAGCACTAATTTTGCTCACAGGTTAGATTCCTCTTCTCTATAGCATGTTGTATTTCACAGAATGTCGAACCAATCATATACCCTCATCATACATAGGTAAATACTGACTCTGCTTTACTGCACTGTGTTTATATTAATAACAGTAAATGTTAAAATAAACCTGTACAATTCGAGTAAATTCTTTGCCTCATTCAGTTGATGATCTGATTTTAACGAAAGCAACATGTTTGTAATTTCTGCAAAGTGTCTGAAGCGACCCAAAAATGTGCTTTGATCCCATCTAGGAAAATCCAGGTTGATTCTTCCATTGTTTGAATCTTGCATAGAAATCATCTACAAAAATACAGCTCAATGTATCACAGTGCTGTAGAAGTGGGGGGGAGCACTTGGGGGAGGAGCCCCCCTTCTACCTTTGAAATGGGTAATTTTAAAAGGGCACTATTGACAAAAATGTCAAGAGAGCCCCTCATCTGATAAATTTAGTTCTACAATACTGATGTATCAGTATTAACCTTGGATATGCTGACCTTCAAAATACGTTTTTTCTTCGTTTATACTACGAAACACATGTTTGAACGTGAGTCTTCGAGACATTATATAACACGACGCAATAACATTTAAAACTAACTGGAAGCAGTGTGCCGGCATTGCCCCCCCATGTGTTGATATTTTGGAGGTCACAGAAATGAATACGGGTAACGTGGTGTCAAATGTAACTTATCATAAACAATAGATGGATTTACCTTACTTACCCTGTACACAGCAATATTGTAACAAATAATTCGCCAAAACACCTTTTTCTACCCAAAATACAAGTTACAACTTTTAGCCATTATGAACAACCTTTCTCTGTTCCCGCCTCTCATTGTTCTTTGTGAACCCTGAACTTTATAGGTTAACTGGATAAACAAGTTCGTCAACGAACAGGTAAATGACCCTAACCTTTTCTTGTAGAGGGGATATATTATTTTCTAGGTAGTGGGACTAAGAAGCAGCTTCATTTCGAAACTGAAGCAGGATATATGATATATCATACTATTGCGTGTAGCCTCTCTTAGTAAGAACATTAAAAAGATCTCTTTGAGAAAGACTGATGACTTAACTCAGCTCATTGCCAAGCAACGGCACGTGGTGAGGACAGGTATTACGATGAACAACAGAGAAAAACGCAACACATTTTCGAAAGCCAAACCAGTTAAGACAATTTTCTTGAACAATGATGCAACTAGATTAACCGTAACAAACTTCTCGTTTAGATTCATATCAGATGCGCTACAAAGTAATGTTTTGCGAAAATTATGTCAATCACAACAGGCTTTTTAACGTTGTATTTGTACTACTGCCATAGCCTCGTTTTTTCTGTGCCACTACGTTCAAATGTAAGACAAAATAAAAAGAAATTTTCACTATGGAGTTCCTGGTCGACGTGCAATGAGGAGACTTGTTGTCTTCAAGGTGCGAGATTAAGAAGAAGACAATGTTCAATTCCTCCATGTTATGGCATTGAACAGGAATCGGAAAGTTGCCCAAAAAAACATTGCAAAGGTAGAATAGTCTTTAAACAAAATTCCACCCTTTGGCCTACACCAAATAGTAAGTTTTATTATTAAAAACCAACTGTTATCAAAAGATATAAACTCCACTATTGAGCAAACAGTGCTGTCCAACCTTCGAAGACTGTAAAGACAAAATTAGCAAATTAACTGTCATCGTCAGATGTGGTGTGTTTCTTGACTCGTTCATTAAAAACTTCATTTGATAGAATGCCACATAGGATCTCTAACGACATCAACCATCGCTGCTTCAGGATCTTTCATTCTTTCCGAATGTGAAACGAATGTTAAATATAGGCTACGAGGTCCGCTTTCAAATCTCATTCGTCCTTTGTTCGAACAGACATTTCCAGCGTTGTCAAACATGTCGCGCGGTGGATTTTTTGCCATAAAAAAAGTCTCTTTAAGAAGGAAGTTCTCGAGACATAAAACGACGACAATTTTCAAGGTATTTAGCTCTATGGTTGTCTAAAATCTTATTTCAGACGTGGTAAACTCCTTGCATATGCAGGACGCGCAAAATGCATGTTGTCTATAATAAGGTGTAGCTCAAAAAGTTAGGATATTTTTCTTGACGATGATAATTCCTTGATATTTTGTTTAGCTTGAATGTAGACATAAAGTGACGACATATCCAATAGAAAAGCAGAAAATCGTCATGCTGAACGTGTTGTAACTGTATATTTGTCATCCATATTTTTTAAGCATGCATATCTATGATTTGTAAGTTTAAGATTTCCTAATTTTTTGAGCTGCACAAGTAACTAAAATATACGGAAATTGGACGTCAGTATATATAAATATTTCCCCAGTTCTTCAAAATGCAATAACTTCACAAGTTAAACCATATTCATCTGATCATAGACACTAGTTCATAGTTCATAAGAAACACTGGGGTGGGGTGGCCAATCAAGTTGCGAAGAGAACATGAATGACAGGACTCTTAAAGGAAGCTTTAACTTTCAATATGAAATACATGATGCTAATCATGAAATGACAATACATCACTAATAGGTCTGAATATTCTAAACATTCAGAATGGAGACTATCAAAAATTCACGAGTAGTCTTTAAAAGTATTGTAAATTATCCAAAATGATTTCGACAAGCAGGACCTAAAATCCACTAGGAACCCTCGTTTCGTTTCGTTTTTGATGCGTGCACAGCACGAGGAAAATAAAATTTCCATGCAAGAACTTCCTGCAAACATCTTTTTTTTCATTTTCAGATTTGTTTCGAACCAGGAATGTCAATAACGGCAAAAAATGCAAAGAAAATATTCCCATCAAATAGAAAAATCAAAGTATCTTCGCGCAAATCATTAAAACGAGACGCCTTACTGTACGGTGTCATCATCATGACACATAAAAATGGCCGATTGCTTGCATTGTTATGGTCAGACATCGACAGGAATGGCATCACAACCCACTACAACAGAAAGAAAAAATTGCCGACAAATAGCATCAATGGTTTCTACGGATAGGTAATTAGCATTCATGAGATAGTTTACTATTAGAATTAGTATAATTTAACTATATTAGAATTAGTATAATTCAACTTTATTAGAATTAGTATAATTTATCTATATTAGAATTAGTATAATTTAACTATATTAGAATTAGCATAATTCAACTATATTACAATTAGTATAATTTAACTATATTAGAATTAGTATAATTTAATTATATTAGAATTAGCATAATTCAACTATATTAGAATTAGGATAATTTAACTATATTAGAATTAGGATAATTTATTATTAGAATAGTTCACTATTAGATATTAGAACTATTTTCAGATTTGTCACCACGACAAAGTCTCTATTTTATTATTTAAGATAGTTTACAATATAGAGTTCACATTTTACCTTTTCACGTGTTCAAGTGCTCGTTGTTGTTTATTGATTCGTCGAGACGCATTTCAAGTGCTGTATCGTGTTCGTGACGACCCGATTGTGTGTGTACCCATAAAGACATGTGTAATGGTGACTGCATTTCTTCCAAAGACAAACCGACAATATTGGCACCGCGGACGTTTGCGTCTTGCAGATCACATCCAGACATATTACAATTCTGTAAAGAAATGAAAATTTACGTAATTGACAAAACAAACGATGGCATTCAGTTGCGAAGAATAGGAGCAAGGGTTAGGATGGAAACCACGCCAATATTTTCATGACCATAATATGTTATAGCCTTCAATTGTATAATAGGTATACTGTAGGTAACTATAATAGATACCAGTGGATTAACTAGGGAGGGGGGAAAGGGTACGCACTTGTTTTAGCTTTCTCTAGAAGTAATGCCGGGGGTGTGCATGTTCACCTTGAAACATTGTCATACAAAGCAATTGCGCAAAAATAGTTGTTCTTTGCATTTGATGGAGCACACTTCAAAATAACTCTCAATCATCCACAGAGTAGTTATCACATTCCAAGCAAACCTGGGATTCATCCCTAATTATACACAAAAGCTCTTGAACCTCGGCGGGACCCCTTGTTGTAGCCGAAATTTACCAGTGAGTATTGTCAACGGAAGAACAAGAGTACCATCCATGAGGAAGGTTAAAACTTAAACACACGAATTAACCCCATGTACGTAGCAAAAAAACAAAATCACATTATTATACTGATTGCATCATTTACTCGGGTACTAAAGTTAATAATCAATTAACCAACCCAATCTACAAGATTCATGTTGATAAACGTGAACGACGTGACGTCAATTTTAGGAAGTTTTTCTAAACACGAAATCCTCCACCCGGAAGAAGATTCCACTTTTTTGCAACTCTGACTCCGTAAAAATATCAAACCGCGTGTTCAGCGGTCTTAAACAAAACATGAGGGGACTATGTACCTCTAGGTCAGCTCCCGCCAATATTGCCCCACGCAAGTTACAGTTCTGTAGATTAGCGCCTTTCATCGTGGCCACACGGAGATTGACGCCTGACATTTGACTAGCTTCCAAATCACAACCTTTCATATTTACTCCTTAAATTGAAAACAACATCGTTTGAGTGACGGAAGTCGGATGAATGTTATCGACAGCGAACATTCAAACCTTCCAGGTTCGCACTTTTCACTCCGGCTGGATCTTCAAAATTGCAAGCCATGAGTGAGGCTCCTTCAAGATTAGCGCGCTGCATTCGTACACCGCTGAGCGAAGCACCCTGTCAAACAAACATTCAATCAAAATTTCTGTCGCAAAGGAAACTGATTTCAGAAAGAGAGTGATGTTGAGCTTTAGTAAACGAGAGGGTGACACTATTCAGATAAATCATAAAATAGATATCAATTTGGACTGTAACGAGGATGGCATAAGGATGCCGAATATATGAAAAGTATTGTCGTGTATTTGAAATTTAATGTTGTTGACAAAACAGAAAAGATTAGTTAGAATACATTAGTCTAATGTATATTACAATCCCCAGCTGTATCTTAAGTATTCAAAGTGTCTTACATCCATGTGAGCACCTGATAAACATGATCGTTCAACACAACAGTATCCTAATGTATCTAAATATCCCCAGCCGTATCTTAAGTATTCAAAGTGTCTTACATCCATGTGAGCACAAGATAATCATGATCGTTCTACACAACAGTATCCTAATGTATCTTACAATCCCCAGCTGTATCTTAAGTATTCAAAGTGTCTTACATCCATGTGAGCACCAGATAAACATGATCGTTCAAAACAACAATTTGAAAGATTTGCTCCAGCTAAATCAGCACGCCGCAAGTTCGCCATTTTGAAATTGATGTAACGTAGATCCAATCTGGAAAGGTCGGCACCTTCGAGATTGATGCCCTAAAAAACAGACGTTTCACGCAAAATGAGCGATCACTAGAAAAAAGTTTTGAACGCACCGCAAACACGTCGCAAACCTGACATCTTAGTTCACAATTCGACGGAGTCGACAGCAATATTCGAACAAATTCTTGCCTCGTCAATGGCTTGTCTACATCCTTATCTAAATCCTAAATACATACTCTGTTATAAATATTAATATTTCTTGTTGTACACGAGCTGATAATGCAGTGTTCCCAGGAGATAGATATACTAGATGGGGATGCGTGCAAGTAACAATAAGTGTAACACCTCTGAAAATCATCTCCAAGTTTTTCTACCTTAATAATTTGCTCTACTTGCTCGGCAACATTTGTAAATCCAAAAAACTTTGCTTCTTCTAAAACGCCATAGGGATTGATGCCATCATTGAGAATAAGCTTTCCATGGCGGAGATAGTTGAGAAGAGGAGCGAAATAGTCAGGACTTCGATCGATCAAGTAAGCCCCGCTCTCGTCTCTTGCACTCCTCCAGCAATCTAAAAGTGACATGCAGTAACAGATTCTAGAAAATCTATGGTGTTGAAAATAATAATTTTTTTTTCACCTCAAAGAAGTGTGTCTGGGGGGGGGGGAGGGTGAAGAAAATAACAGCATGTGTCTACTATTCATTTTCAACATTACCTAATTCACTGAGAACAATAGCTATTCAATTTGAACATTGGCTGTCCACAATGAAACACTCAAATTGAAGACAGCCACATCTAGAAAATGCCTCCTCCCCCCCACTTTCATATATTTCATAAAGTTTCCAACACTGTCACCAACTATTAAAAGAAACTTACTTTGTGAAGAAAACATCTTAGCCAACATGCTGTCGGGATTGCTTCCAATTAAAGTTGCTCTTGAAAATAAAACATACAAAATCAATTTTCTGAAAGCTGCTTCATATTCTTAAATGATCTTCGCAGACATACTTAGTCGTTGTGAAATGTCTTCCGCCAACATTCAATGTTATCCAGTCTTCAGATGAATCTAACAAAAACTTTGACTATTCAATAATTCAATTCTTTCCATGCATTATCACAACTATTCACTTCGGTATTCTTGACTTGCAATTCAGCCATGTTGGTGGTATGATACAAAGGAATATCTTATCAGTGTTATTGTTGGCACAGAGCCGACGTGCGCGAGCAACATTGTTTGGTAAATCTCAAGAGAACAGTTGCAAGTCAAGAATTGATTTTACTATTACTATTCTATTACTTGAAGGCTTTAGTTTGGCTCCCCTCCCCATGAACAGTCAAATTTTAATCAAAGAGAAAGTATAATGCAATGTCAAATGTTTTTGAGAGGTAAGTTGAAAGAGCAGAAATCCAGGGGGGTGGGGGTGGCAGCAATAATTTTGTTTCCATTTTTAGTTATTCAATGGTATAGATTCCATACTTGCAATCAACTTCTGTTGCTTTGGTAACTGATAACCCCAACCACCCTATCGAATAATGTTTTGCAGTCTCCACAAGAGTGTATAAAAATTACTTTTAAAACAGCTTTTATCAAGTGACTTGTATTGAAAAGTTTAGGTAGACATCTCACCATTAAAGCTTCCATTGTTTGAAACAAATATGACATCTTCGTCTCTTCAAATTGAGTTAGAATATGAAACAAGTGTGAATATGAATCGAAGAAAACTCGAAAAACTTATTTCTTATTATTTGAATACCTGATCACAGTCATATCATCGATTCGAGCTCCTTTGCGATTGTACAACTTACAATCCTGCACTTTTAGTTTCTCTTCAGCGAGACAGCACAGTTCCTCGATGCTTTTAGGAACAAGAACAACCTAATGTCGAAAGTTACTAAGAATTAAATATTCATAGCTTCCCAGGGAATTGTCATTTCAAGACACGAGTCTGAGTCACATGATCATAGTATTGATAACTGTCGACAAAGATAAATGAAATTTACCTTTCCGTTTTCAGCAGCTCCATTCTTGCAAAGAACGACGCGCTTTTGAAGATTACTCTCCATTTTTCATGATTTTTCTTTTTTATTTATTCATTTCCTGGATGTTGGTGGCAAATTATATCCGAGGGAAGAAATCTCACACGAGACGCCATGTTGAAAAATATTGATGTACTTCATTTACGATGCATGACCATTGAGTTCTATAGAACTATTGAGTTATTATAGAACTCAATGTGCATGACGAGAAAGAAAATTAAGATACGTCCATCCACTTTCATCTTTTCACTCAACTTTAGAAACTGGTAATTTTACTAGATTATCCCTATTTTCTCAAAGAAGAAATGACTTATGACAGTATTATTTTGACAAAAATTCTTAACTCAGATCATAAGTAGAGCAGTCTTATCCCAAATAGACGTTATGTACATAAATGTAATTACAAGTTGAGAAATGACGAACTTTAACTTTAGAAACACGAAGAGAAAACCAAGTTGTACTAAAATATTCCTAACAAGTAACAAACTGCTAAAATTACATCATTTACTGGGAAAATTGATGAACCTAGTATTCAGTACCCTTGATTACTTTTAAAAGCATTATGGTGGTGATCAAAACATTGAATTTAAAACAATACAAAAAAGTAAATTGCTCGAGGGTCTTTGGTCAACCTGACGCACATCATAATTATGGTAATTTGTCTCACGATGATGAGGCCAAAAAATTAACCCAGCACATCTAGATAAAATCTCTAAATGGTATGCTTTATTCAATGTTTAAGCGATCAGAAAAATGTGGTCTTCATTTACAGTTACTAAAAAGCAACGATTTCTTTGAAACGAAGTTAAGTGCCCCCGATTTCAATCAAAATTAAGAAATTACAATCACCATTACAATAGGTGAACTATGGATCCTCTGGCATGTGTACTTGCCGGACTTTAACTAAAGAATGAAAGGAATGGGTAAACAGCGTCTTCTCGTCCAACGATAAATGTTTTGCAAACGTATTGAGTGTGCAAAAAATGTCGGCTTGGTGAAAAACAGGAGAACTTCTGCTCCACACGAGTCAAAAGAACGAGAAGTACAACAAGAAATTATTGGTTTTTATTATACTTTAATCGAGGTGTAGCTGTAAATGCTATGATTAGCACCGACGCAACCCTAGGTTATGAAATAAAGTTAACATAACATGGAATTGGAAACTGACTATTTGAGATAAGAGTCAATTCTCCCTCCTTCCACAAGAGCTATGCGATTGCATCTGTAAATGATATTTTGAGAAAGTCGTTAATGAAAATAGTTTTGGACAGACAAAAATCAGTGAAATTGTTTTAAGAACAGCGCAGTCCTGTCTTTTACGTTTTCGGCTGGGCTGCATAGGACGAGATCAACAGAGCGTATATATTTACCAGCTTGGTTTTCTCCAACTGCGACCAAGGTTGTTCAAGCGTTTACTTCTGAAAATTGTGATCGAGGAATTTTTTTTATACGCATTTCTTTGTTCGGAGATGGTGAAACGCTGACGAAATGGTCATCTGACAAGCAATCTTCATATTTGTTAGGAAAATCAGATCATTTAAACATGTAAAAGATGCTGTCGTTCATATTTACGACACTTCAATTCATTTTCATTTTATGGGAAAGAAGTAAGTTTGACAAAACAAAAAGAGCGTTTTGTTTAATATTCAATTAAATGGCCGAAGTAACAATCATTTGTTTATTTAAAATACGGTTCATGAAGCAAGTGTCGGTTTGTTTGTTCTAGCCGCTCTGTGCGTTCCACAAGATGAACTAGTCGCACGGCGTTCAACAATTTTTGACAATCAAGTCCTTCAAAAGGTTAAAACATTATTTACAAGGGATTTTCAATCTCACGGAGAATATGGTGACCAAACAGGACAGAAAAAGTCAAGCATAGCCAAAGCTGAAAGCGCACTCCACGTAAAAATAGACCCTTTACAATTTGGAGAAGCTTTGTTCAAACAAGCCAATCAAAATGCAGGAAGAAGGTCTGATATCTACATGAGCAATGCGATCGACGCGAAAGCGTTAGGCATCGCCGTGCTGAAGCTCATTTTTGGAAAAGACGCTAGAATGGTGATGAAAGACGCGAAAATAGACGAGGATCAAGGCAAGGCGAAGATGCAAGATGACCCATCAAAAGCAACGTCGTCTACGTCACAAAAAATGGAGATAGCGGAGAAGAAATCTTTAGAAAAACATAATCACTATGGAGGGGAGCGCGAAAAAAACATGAAGCGTTTGATATCGCTGATAAAAGAAAGTCATAAAAATACAGAGCAAGGTGTGAAGAAATCATGGGTCCTGTTGAAGATTCCATCAAAGCAACCAAGAGACGAGCTTGGAATGCTCACGGATCCAAGTGCCACGGCAGAGGACGGAAGTAACGATGACCATAGCTCTGACGGCAAAACCGTAAGCGCTAGGAAAAATACCGACACTAAAGACAAGAGAGTTCGTGGTTCCAATAAAGGATGGCACAACACGGATGATAATGAAAGATTGATGACTGATGTACAAAAGAAAGTCAAACATCTTGCACAGCTAATCAGGAAAGAAAACGAAGAGGAAGACAAGAGCAGGAAGACTGAGGCGACTCAACAAGGCAATGGAGCTTCGTTCCCAGGAACAGAGCGAGTGACATCGAAAGCGCGAAAGATTGAGCGAATAAAGGAACTCAAAACTCCTAAAACGGATGCAAAAAGCTATGAAAACAGCGTGAAAAACCTACTCAGTGCTTTAAAGTCAAGTGTACAAACACATAAGTTGAAACACGACTCGTACAAAGGAAAGAGAGGAAAGGACGGCAACAAGCAAACAGAGAAAACGCATTCAAATTTTCGCTTAATTCCTTCAAAGAGAAAAGAGGAACATGCTTCGAGCAAAGATTTCGTTAATGTAGGAAACGGCAACCCAGGTAACTCATAGTTTCCAACACATTTAACACGTGACAAGACGTGAAAGAAAAAGTTTTACGAAATATTTTACACAAACTAACGAACTTTTCAAATTCAAGGTGGATCTATCATTTCCATGAATTCTTTACGTCAACTTGGTCAACTGCTGGGACTATCTCCACCACACAAAGATATAATCTCACCATACACTGGTGGCCTGGACACTCTCACATTGGCATCACCAATGCTCAATGCGAGAACGGAAGCGCTGGCAAAACCTATTGCATCTCTTTTACCAGCCAAAACACCCTCAACCGCTGCCCAAAACACAGGACAAGAGAGCAGTTCGAGCAAAATAACCGAACGTAAGCGGTAAAATTGATAGGTAGCATTTGAATATGACCGTTTGATTTGTAAGTGATTTTCATCCAGTGTCTTTGGATGCTTTTAAAAGTTCTGCGTGTCCGTGCTCTTCTTCATAACTAATTTGACCACGCACAATAGTCAAATTTGTCGTGAACCTGCTTCGTGTTGGTCATTTTTATTAGATTTTCTTCTTTTAACTGCAATCATATCAGAGTGAAAGGTTTGTTTATTGATTTGAAAAATAGTACACCTGTAAAACATGGCGTTTAATAGTTCAAAAACATTCAAAGCAGACGCCAATTTTCTCAGAGTCCTTTCTATAAGGAACACCCACATTCTAAAAATTGTGGATGCCCGGACACACAGCGCTTCTTAAAGCCCCCAGGCCTAACGTCAAATGCAAGCACATATACGACTCAGATCGTCTACATATCACAGTCGAATATAAAAACGTAGATATGAAACAAAGAATTTCTATGGAGAAGTTATTAACTGCATGAAAGTGACATTCTGTGTACCATTATGCGTCACATGTGAATTCTCAGTGAGATAACATGTGACACAAGTCACGTGTGACTATCCTGAGATGTGTAACATGTGTCACATGAGAACTTACGGTGAGACTGTGTATCACATAATGTGTCATTTGTGAGCATTTTCAGGTGTGTGTAACATTACGTCATATGTGAATTCACATTAAGACTATGTGTAACATTATGTGTCACATGTGAAAAAAATAATCAAAGAATACGGTTTGAAGGGTGGTTCTAGTTTGAAATGATACAAATTATGAAGAGAGCATTCAAGGTTTCGTCTTCTTTCATTTCAGAGTTGAAAAAGTTTGCGGAAAGAGGATTGCAAAGTCACAACGACTACCGGTACATTCATCACGCGGAACCTTTGAACTGGGATGAAGATTTAGCGTCATCAGCGGAGAAACTCGCGTATCAAGGAGCAAAGAAGGGTTTCATACGACGTTCGGAGCTAGTGGAGAAAAATGGCTACGGCGAAAATGTAGTGAAACTGTCGAATACCGCTTTAGAAAAGGCAGGAGAGGAGGCGACTAGACGTTGGTATGAAGAAAAACAGAACTTTACGTTCTCAGATCCTGTTATCAGCGAAGGTACTAAATCTTTCACTCAACTGATCTGGAAAGAGACCCGACGTCTTGGGATGGGAGTTGCTAAAGACGACGATACCGGTGAACTTTACATAGTTGCGCTGTACAGTCCAAAAGGTAACGAGTTGGCGACATTGAGAGAGAATTTGGTCGCAGATGGTGAGAAAAAAAACGATGTGTACGCAAGTATATTTAAAAAGAGCGCAACGCAAAGACATCCATAGAGACATATGTACATACATACATATACATGACACATAGAATGTTAAAAATAAATAAATATCTTTGAACTGTAACTAAACGAGAGGAATTAATTTCATTGCCGGGTCTTTGATCTCAATACTAAGAAGGAACTTTGCATCATTTCACTTATGATCGTTTGTGCTACTGGATAATCTTTAGATCTTGCATATTTGCCACTCTCCTCAACAAATAAATAAACAAAATTAAAAGCAATACATTTTTTGTTCGGCGTTCCACAACAACGACAAACAGATTTTCATGTTTGTCTATATACATGTTAGTAAATTAATATTAAATGTCTTGTGTTCAAATTGATGAAGTTTATGTTCAATGTGGACTTGCATCGAGTCTGCCTCTTGAATTATTATATCGTGTTGAAAGGTAGGCAAATTTAATTATTTGAGGAACGTTATAGATATATACATGTATTCTTGATTCTTGAATTGGTATATTATAGTTTCCGCTCGAGGAGCATAAGCAGGTCTAAGAGGAATTTCAAGGAAGGCAATGAGAGGCAATGCTCTCTCAAGAATCATGAACATAGATCCTTAAATTCCACCAATAAAATTCTTCAACTTTTCAACATGATAAAATATTACTGTAGAGGAAGAGTCGGTGAAAGACTAGGTTCAATAGTGTAAAGATATGTATTTTTTGCTGAAAGAAAGTTCCTATGTTCGAACTAAGATTGATCGCTTCACTAGTTTTTGTGGTTACCTGCAAAGGAAGAAGTTGAACAAAATCCTTACGGTGACGTTATCATAAAAAATTCTCCGTCAACATTCACCTTTTTTCGTATATAAAACACTGGTGCTAAAACCATGAACATGCAAACTTATATTTCGGTCTTTTCAAAGTTACAATTTTTATCTCAGAACAATGTTCGGGAATAGACTTGACGACTTGAAACGACGACTGTAAATGCAACAACTCAACTCGATTAAATAAAACGGTTCTGTTCTGTCACTCGAACAACGTAATCGAATTTAGTTTCCCGCAACTGTTTAAAAGTAGATTCCGAGATAAGATGCAACGACGAAGATGATGATGAGAAAAATACAGCTCCTATTTTTATTGTATTTATATCTACCACCAACGATAAACGGTGAGTATTAAGTTATACATATAAGCAGCGCCTTCTTGCAGCGACAGGTAAGTCAACTGGTAAGTATTGAAGAGAACTCCACACAACGAGACCATTGACTGTAATTTCTGATCAACGTATCAATGTCTAATGACCGCGGAAGAATTCTAACCATTATTAAACGACTGTGCTTCAGGAAAAGCAAGTTATTTTAAAGAGAGGAATGGAAAAACTGTTCATCTCACGAGTATTGGCGATCTCAGTTCAAAAGGTGATATCACTTATGTGGGTTACAATTATTTCGTAGACAAACAACACGCTAGCTTTTCATGTTATAGACATCATACAGATGGCCGACGATATAGCAGCAGACAAGAAAATCCTGATATCAGGTTTGTAAGAAAGAAAACAAACATTTTAAAAATAGAAAGTAAACGAAAATAAACACAGACGATTCGCGCCTATAAATCTTCTCTGAAATCCCCAAGCTCAACAATACCATAAACTTTCCGTAGATCCAAACAAGGACAATAGCGAAAGAGAGCGAGAAGAGTTTCCGCAAACTTCCGACGAAGGAGAAAAGAAATTTGTTGACTTTCTAAAAAGCGAATACAACGGCGATTTTCCTGAGTACCTGAAGGAAACCAAAGCCGACTTTGACAGGAATGAACAGCTTGAGGATAATCTTGAGTCTGAACAAGAGACTGCGTATGCTATGAATTCGGACAACATTCCCAAATCAAAAAATGATCAGCTTGATACATACATCATACCACAGGACAGTTATAACACTTTCCAGGAAAACAAACTAGATCCGTTTGAAGAGGATGAAAATGCCTTGAATAAAGAAAAAATGAAGATGTTCGAAGAGACTGCGGGATCACAGCAAGACACGCCATACTCCAATGGTGACAAGGAGTTAAAGTTAAAACAAAACGAGAATATGTTGAATAATGATTTAGGGACGACTAAGGATAATAAAGGACACACGACTACTTATGATAACGACAATGATTTAAATGAGGGGGTCGCTAAAGACAACGAGCACGTGGATGATTCGCCTAATCATGTGACTGACGACGTCATGAGCGATAGCAATTCGCCCGAAAACATGGCTGAAGAAGTTGACACTGAAAATGAAAACACTAATAACAGTGAAGAAAATGCGATTGAGGATGAACTATTTGATACAGAGGATGTACTGAAGCCGGATGAAAAGGAGAAAAATAAAGAGAAGAAAAAACATGAAGAAAGGAAAAACGAGGAAAACAAACATCAATCGCAAGGAATCCTGGAAGCTTTTGACAACATAAAAGTGCATGATCATGGGGTGAAAAAAAAGACGAAAAGTGCACGCGGGAGATCTCGACAGCGTGTCAGCGGGAATCCTTTACATACAGCAAGTACAAATAATGGAAACGACGAGGCCATCTTGGATTTCCTTGACACGCTTCTTGACAAAGATCCCAAAAGACTGAAGGACGATGTCTTGGCGATGACGAAAGAGCTACAAAACCAAGGTAAACGTAATTAAAATGGCAAAGCATTTTTAAATGACGGGGTCTACATAGCTTACACAAAGTATCCTCCACTTTAAGATAACCTAAAGATGTTGGAATCATCAAAAACGTCACGTGACAACGAAGACGTCGGAGTGAAGGAATATAATGATCGAGGCTTTGATGAAATTCACGAAGAAAACGTCCAAGAAAACGATAACGTAGATGAAACGACGGAGGACTTCGATTATAGTAAGTAGAAAAACAGGGAATATCAACAAAAAGACAAGGGCTCATTTATTTATAAAATTTGCAAAGAAAACGGGAGAGAAGGAGAGGATGTATGATCAATGCCTACATTGGCGTACAGTAGGGGGGGGGAGGGGAGGGTAAGCTGTTGTTTTGTACTAATAACATTTTGGAATTGAACTTTGCAAACCTGACTAAGCATACTATTTTCAAAAGATTATGCATGTCAACAGTTTTACCAACACTGGTTAAGATAACAGAAACTTGTTGGCTCAGCATAACTTGAGCAGTTGGTTTTGAAGTAGAAAATCTTAGTACAAAGGGAATAAGAGAGGTCTTTCAAATCTGAAACATTTTGAGCAGGTACTAAACGGACGATCCCCACAACACATTCATTCACTCCGAATTTGTTTTGCACAGAAGAGTTCAAGGAAGAAGCTTTGAAAATGCACAACGAATACAGACGACGACACAACGCAGATGCCATAACATGGTCTGAATCGCTGGCTAAAAAGGCGAAAAGAATTGCCCAAGCTTTACTGCACTCAACAAGACAAAGCTTTAGGCGTGAGCTGAAAAAACCAGGCGAAAGCATTGCAGTTTTACCTTATTCAACTAAGAACATCGCCAAGCGTGCTATTGATCAATGGTACGACGAGATACTAAAGTTCAGTTTTCGAAATCCTACGGTAGAACCAGAGACGAAGGATTTCACACAGATTATCTGGAAAGGAAGTAAAGAATTGGGAATGGGTTTCGCTCACACTAAAGACAGAAAGAAAACGCTAGTGATCGCCATGTATAATCCACCGGGAAATGATGTCGGAACAATACCACAGAACTTAAATACATTTCATCAACACGATCCTTACGCGGACATTTAGAAAAAAGAATCTTTTTCAGGTAAATTCAAAATCGTATGTTGGATTTGTCACATCGAAAGCCAAACCCACATAGATTCTTGGTAAGCAAAGCCCAAAAGCTAAGGGAAGGTTTTCTAAACGCTTTGGACTCTCGTGATGATTGATCATCGTTCACAAGGCAAAAATTCATGGCGATTTACCTTCAAGACTGTCCACGTGAATGAATATCCACGTGACAAATCGTGAGGCCAGCTCATCTTTTTTAATGCAATTCGGAAGCATGTCATTTAAAAACGTTGGCTCTTTCTAGAAGATCCACTAGAATTAGAGACAGCGTATTTCGCAAGGGGTTTTGGGAGGTCAATTTGTAGTTAAAAAGCCTCTGTTTAGTTATTTCCGCGCAGAGGCTTTGGAAGCTTTCAAAAGTTGTGGGTGTTCCATGTTCGCAATTTGATAATGCGAGAAACTTAGAATAGTAATAAAACTGCTTCATATTAGTTATTTTTGATAGTTTTTTCTTCCTTTTTCGGCCTATAATACAAAAATTGTCAAAAATGCATTACATACAAATGATTTGCATATATCGGCAATGCTCAACCCATTTGAAATTTCCAGCTTGCTGGTGCCAGTTCCTTAATTAGAAAATTCAGTGTGCTTGCAAAAACTCAGCGTGCAATATGTCATATATTTTCATGCAAGAAGCTAAATATGTGGGTGACCTTCCTATATAGAACATCCACACTCTAAAAGTTGTGGGTGCACTGACACCCACGGCTTCCCAAGCCCCTGATTTCACGCGTCAAACAACTTGTGAAAGGGATTAAGAGTTTAGTGGTTTAATTAAATCAGGATTAAATCACCATTGAAATTTGAGTCGTGTTGATAGGTTTCCATAGTTACCGCATACTTCGCATTCGGAGTTGCATCTGCGACTTAGTCGAGTAATGTGAGGGGAAAACGCCGTTGTTTTTGTTGAACCGACTGAACGAGGTCAAAAATTAAAAGAGAAGCAGAAACCTAAATACAACTGACTATCATTCACTCATAAAGAGGCCGAAATTGAAGGTAATGTAGAAAGAAAGACCGCATTGAATAACATACAAAATATATGACGAATTCCAACATTTACACGAGCGTCGATCTATAATACCAAAGGAAAATTATACAAAGGTAACGAAATGACATTGCGTTTTCAGATAACAATTCGACAGAGAAACGAAGATTTGGAAACTGAAACAGGGAGGTCATAAGATCAAGGCAAAATAATCTCTATACAACAATGTCTAGCGACGAAAGACAGGGAAACCATGAATCTATTTTATCAGTCAACTCCGTACTTCTCGGCATGCTCATGTTATTCACGACCTTCGGCAATTTCATTCTACTCATGTCCATTTGGAAGAACAAACGACTTCATAAAGTCACGCATATGAACACGGCGAGTTTGATGCTCGCCAACTTCATTCCCGGACTTATCATTATCCCACTGAGGATCGCGAGATTGTGGCATGAAAATACTGGCAAAATGAATGAAGAAGCGACGTTGTGTCGTGCATATCTTACGACAACGTTGCTATGGTGCATCGCCACCATATTGACGTTGGTCTCGCTCAGTTTCGATCGCTATATTGCGATTTCCAGACCGGAGAAATACAATCGCATGCTTACGCAACGCAATACGGGCCTTCTCCTGCTCATATGTTGGTGCTTCGCCATTTTGCTGGCATTTGTATCGTTACGTCATTCTGATGGCGTCATCAAAATGTTCACCTGCAACTTTAACTTGCTGCGAAAGGAAAACTATGTTTATCTCCTAATAACAGTCGAGGTTATCCCGCTGATATTAATGTTCGTTATTCATTACCAAATCACGAAATTATCGGCAAAACATGTACAGTCTATTGGCGTTGTAGACTCACGTTTTACCGACTACAGGGAAATTTCTCTCGACTTCCAGTCAGAGATACGCTGGTCTCGAATCGTGATTCTTATCATACTGCTGTACGTATTAATGTGGGCACCAAGGTGTATCTACCTTCTGGTGGATGAGAATTCGATGTCAACTAACAGCGCTGACGCATTTGACGTTTTGACTGAGGTAGTGACGTACAGTTTCGCAGGACTAGTGCCTTTAGTACTGGTGCATTTTAACAGTGAAGTGAGAGATGAGTTTTTCAGGATTTTAATGCCGTACCAATGGTTCCAAAGAACACACGGAGTTGGTAAGAAGTACAAAAAGAACGCGGTAACGCCACTTGACACGACAACTTTGTGATGTCATGATGGCATGACGTCATGATGGTGTGATGTCATAATGCTATGATGCCATGATGTTGTGATGTCGGATGATGTCATGAATATGTCATGTTATGATGTCACTATATCATGATATCATTACGTAATGATATCATGATTCACGAAGAGTTGAAAGATGCTCAGACTCAACAGAAGAACAAACAACGTTCAAACGCTTTAGCCAAAACATGGGAAACATGTGAGCAAATTTAGATGCATGGTCGAGTCATGTCATTGGAAAAAAAACACGCAAAAGCGACGATTATTTAGCAATTCTATACGACGGTAAAGGCTTTCTACAAAACCGTCTTAAAAATATTTTAGTTAATTTATAATGGATTATGTAATGATGAAAATAAGCGCATTGATATTAAAAAGTCATATTTCAAAACGAGAAACATCTTTGAGAGGTTGTACACTTAAAACCCATTTCTCACCTCATCTATCCCATCTTTGAGAGGTTGTACACTTAAAACCCATTTCTCACCTCATCTATCCCCGAGCATACCTCTAGTTTGGTTTCTTCCGCTTGCCATGTGTTTCTGAAGTGGTGGTGGCTTGTTTGCGTTTCTTAGATGATGACAGCTGTGGGTGATATAAGTACTTTGATGTATCTAGAGGAGTATCACGGGCAGTGAGGTAATCAACGATATACTCAGTTCTCAGTACCGATATCCCAGCAGCTTCAAGACGACCGTAGTCAATCTTGTTGACATGAGTCGCCCCAGGATCTAGAGAATCAACAGCGCAAATCAATAAGGGACAGTAAAAAAATCCTAGATAATAATATTTTAATGCGAGTCTTTTGTCAAAGCACTTACTTATAAATGCGTGAGTAACAGTTTCGATGTTTTGAAACGGTGGAGTCGTTCCCAGTACTTTTGCGCCTCCGGCTTCGAGCATACGACTAAATGAGCCAGCCCTTTCCTCCTCAACACAGAGTAGGACCTTCCAGTCTTGGAATGCTCCGATTTTCTTATGAAATTCAGCTGATTTCTGCAATGAAAACAGAAAGAAAATGAAGAGCAATCTCAATTGAAGTGAAACAGAAATAGACATACAAACGGATTGCAAGCGGTAGCGTATCCAAACCTTAAAAAATTTTATTCCTCCAGTGAATTTCAGAACACTACAATTACTTCATTCTATAGAAATCATTTTGACGCAGCGGACAAAGAAAAATTTGCACGGTAAAACTAAATGACCGGAATGTCCACTGTATGATTATAAAAATCTGCAAGTTATTTCAACGTACATGAGTACAATCCACGTTGGTCAAAGAGTGCAATCCATCACATGATTGTATTTACATTAGATAAAAACAACTGCGAGATATCAATACTAAATGACTTAAAGCCTAAATATCAACAGTGCTAAACAACAATGATCTTATAATACAAAATATTCGCGTAAACCTTCCACTCCTCTTCCATGCAAACGCTTTCACCTTTTCGCTCTGCTATAACGGTCACAAGCTCGGGACTTGTGTATTCATGGCGCAAAAGAAGATAATTTAATGTTTTGAACATGTTTGTAGATGAAGATCGCCCAGGTTAGTAGGGTTTCCAGAAGGACTGTTGGTATTGATGTAGACTGACTTTTCGACAACCAGTTGAAGATCCAGTAAATTATAAATTCCTCCTCAATTTTTAATTCAAATTATTTTCAGAAAAGCACTATTGGTTTTTAATTTCTAAAGAATATTATTTTACCATTTTTAATACCATTAACTCTTTACAATGTAGGAACTCTGCTCGGTTGAAGTAACATATCGGCAAATTTACCTGCTATTTCAACTTCCTTATTATGTACTAAGAAGTCACAAGTTGTGTAAAGCGTACATTACATAAACTTCGATATTTTGACAATAAGAAGTGATATGAATAAACTGTTTCAAAACGTTCTCTGTCTTTTTGAAAGTTATGTTCAACGAAAATATAATCTCCATATGACAATTTTCGAGTCATATATGGCTACCCTTAAAAATCTATGATCAGAAACATTACCTTCGCCAGTTCAACGCGCCAATAACGCGATGTCAGCCCCCATAACGTCACAGATTGGCCAGGCAAGGCAACACCCCATTCGTGAGGTTCTTCATCAACAAAGCACTGCGCTTCACGACACTCCTCCAAATACGACTTGCGTAACAACCAATTACCGGCGGCTATCGAAGAGAGACATTTCTCGTTCCTGAAAATAGATGATAATCCACGTCACAAAACGAGCATTCACGTCACGATAATGACGTAGCAAACTTATTTTGAACACGCTCAAATAACGTTGAAAGTTCTTCAGCGAAATTGACCGAGCATTATTAATGATTGAATGAGATAAATTATGAAAGAGAGACCCGCTTGCTCATGAATTCTTAGCAGTGAATTTTTTAGAACCAAGAATTTATTGAGTGCCAAAATTCACGAGGGAACGCTCTTATCTGCATGCAACCCAGCTTGGATAAGGAAGTTTCAATAATACCGATTTGCTGACCGTGAGTTCACTGTTAAGGCTCTACACCTGTTTTTCAGGGTTTTTTTTTATACATAAGTAGAGAATTTCATTACATTGTAATAGAAGTTGGCAAAACTACCCCCAAATTAGAAATAAACGCAGGCAACTCATCTGATTATAAAATTACAGTATTATTTAGACAACCTTAAAAATTTATACGGGAAGCCTAGTTTCCAGGTCCCATAATATTTTCGCCATCTGATACATACAACACATGCCGCATTCCATTGAGGAAAGAGAGAGTCTATTCATTATGACGGGTAAACAAACCTGTTTAATTGTCCAGTGACAGTATGACGACTAGCCGAATTAAAATATTGAGCTTCGAACACTACTCCACCGAGATTTTCGATCATAGCACAATAATCTATTTTCTCTTGCTGTGTCATGGAAGAGAGCGTGAACCTGGGACGGGGTTTTTCCTCTGTTCTCACGTCGTCCGCTGGATTTAACAAGCTCACGGGCTCAGGAAGACTGGATTTCGTTGTGATGTGCAGAGCAATAGGCGGTGGAGCTGCGGGAGTAGAGGAATGGATAGGGGAACTGGGGGATAGTGACTCTTTCTTAACAGGCGTTTCATGCGTGATTTTTGTAATGTTCTGCAATGGAAGAGTAACAATAAATAGCAAATCCATGCCATGCAATGATATGTTTGATTTGCATATTAAAATCGACTATGAGAGAGAGCATTAATATTACCGAAAGGCTGCTCGAAACACTGGGGCTACACTCGTCCAATTGCGCTATAATTTTCTGCCTTTCTTGCCTGCTTTTTGGGTCGTCATACGTGATCCCACCCATCATTGACTGCTCGGCGTCATCTTCTTCATCTTGAAAGCTCTAAGAATGATAACTATAACAATAAAACAGACGTCTAAAGCTTTTCTATTTCGGGAGGAATACGGCAGAACTTTGAAGAGCCGATAAGTTTTTGTTTTTGAATTCATTGTCTTGTGAATTGGATGTCGATGTTTCAGGTCGCTTTGAGCCAGCAGTAATTGATATAAGCTGTTGCTGTCATCCGGGCATTAAAAGTTGCATATGCCATTATCACTTGTTGAAGTACATACTTGAATATATGTGTACATTAGGGTACGGGGGCCAGTTGCACGAAGCCTGAATAGCGTTATCCATAGGATAGCAAAAATTTTCAAACTTGTAAAAAAGATTTTTTTATTTTTCTCACGACAAAGAAATTTTGTAATCTTCAAAACAATACTTTATTTCAGTGATTGCACAGTTCAAACCATATATTTTTCTCTTATAAGAGATTTTTTAAACGTTGAGAAAAAATTGCTATCCAGTGAATAGCACCATTCGGCCCAGTGATGTACGTATTGGACATAACTTAAAGCAAAGTTAGTCAACTATTTACGAGATAGTCGTTTTATTTATTTTCCCGACAAACTCCGCGCGACTGTCGCCTTCAAATGTTAAACGCGAAGGCGTGGAAACTAGTTAGTTTTCAGGTTTTCCACGAATCATATGTAAAAAATCGGTGAATAAAAAATCAAAGTAGTCGTTTTCCTGTCTAATGCTTGGTTTTTGAAAGTATCTTAAAAGCGTTGTTAGTATGCTGGTAGTATTAATAACATCAACGCAGTAAGTAGGAAAAACCTTTTACACATGTCCTACAAGACAATTGTAAATTGAAAAATGCAAACCAAGTAAAACATTTATATTCACAAACTATATTTTCCTCTCAAAAGGTGAGTGTGTTCTCACTTTTAACATTGACCTGCCTCCCGAATACTCTCACCTTACTTGATCGAAGCGATCGCAAACGAGTCGACGACCGTCTGTGACGACCGTTCTTTTCATTGGATTCCGACGAATTCCGAGAATGGCTAGAGTTCCCTGATGTTTGAAGGCGACCACTGCGACGGCGGGTGGCCTAAAATAAAAGAATGCGCCGTTAAAGATTGAGATTTCAAAGTATTTTATTGCGCTAGTTTAGATTATTCTAAAGAAAACTGTTTAGGAAAACTAAATTTTTCTGAAGCTAATGACGTCACGGCAACAATATTTGCGTAATCAACATAGTTAAATATCTCTAGAAAATATATAATTTCTATATCTGAAAATATATAATTTCTAATCTATATTTGGACCAACAAGAACTGTGGCAAAACGTGTGACAAGCGACCTTTTCCTGTAAGTCTTGCTTTTCTCTCTTTTTACAAAATTCATGCAATTAATGCGCTGTCCCCTCTTTGCTTATATCGAATGCTTTCTCCGATTTCTCTGTGCATTTCTGAGATTTTGCACATGCGCAGAGTGGTCAACTAAAAGTTTGTACAACAGTTATTCATGGCGATACCTTCATGGACTGCATGAGATCTTGTATCTGTTTCAGTTCTTCGCGAGTTTGCAGAGAATCAGTTTCAGCTGAATCCTGACTCATTAGTGCTGGCACATGCGCAGTCGCCTCATTCACGGTAACATTCTCTTGTGAAATCGGGGGGACTGGCAACGAGCTTTTCGCTTTCTGGTCAATAACTTTGGTAGTTTCCTACATCGAATAATGAGAGAGTTTACTCCAAAAAAACGTAACTATACATTTGGTAACATTGCCTTACGTTTAACTTGAGATCAAATTGTACAGCCTTCAATGGCGTAACAAGGGGGTGTCGGACGTTTAAAGTGACGGGGAGAGCGAAAAATTACGATAAAAATCTATTTTATTATTTAAGCACATTTAAAGGGAAAAAATTGCGAGCTAAATGCATATAGGTAACCTGTTCGATACTATTTATGGTAAAAAATTTAAATTTTACTGTATTGTCAAAAAAAAACAAGAATATTTTTTTGTGTTGAGGAATCTTTGGAGATTTCTACTAAGATTTCAAACGCCGAATGCTGATATCACATCTAGCACATCATAGTCACCCACATTCAGTTTTACAAATTCAAAATGATAGGTTAACTTACCGCGTCCATATTTTTCAAGTTTCGTACCGTTCCCTTGGTTTTCACGACAGACAAAGAGAGCTTCGGATTATAACTAGAAGGATACAAAACTTCGTCGAGATGAAACTGCCGATCAACACAATCATACAGCCAGTGCGGCGAGACAACATGAACACCGCTTGACTTTGCTTTGCTCTGTTCTCTTGATAGACGACCCTATGAAAAACGAAGAAAAGCACGTCCACGTTCGCTCTAACGTAGAACTTTACGGGGCAAAATATGGCAGCATTACCTCGCAAATATAATGAGCAGCATGACCTCGCAAATATGAGTAGTATTACCTCGCAAATATGAGTAGCATTACCTTGCAAATATAATGAGTAGCATTACCTTGTAAATATAATGAGTAGCATTACCTCGCAAATATGAGTAGCATTACCTCGCAAATATAATGAGTAGCATGACCTCGCAAATATAATGAGTAGCATTACCTCGCAAATATAATGAGTACATGTCTTATCTAAACTTTCTCTAAACTGTGCGCCCACGGAAATGGCCAGCGTACGTAGTTCAGACATCCGCTTTCCACATTTTTTCGATGCGACAAGCACGACGTTGGAAAGAAACAGCGGATTGCTCGGTTGAATCTACCAGATATAGGTATACATGTAAGCAAATCGTCGCAAAACACTATCTATAAAAAAAACCCACATGTTTTTCAAGATCTTTTACCCGAACTTTCTCTCCGTCCTTGGTATCGGATTTTTTTCTCCGAAAGCCTATTTGCTCCCCATCATTGACACCAGATCTTTCTCTCTCTATCCCTATTTGCTCCCCATCATTGACACCAGATCTTTCTCTCTCTATCCCAATTTGCTCCCCATCATTGACATCAGATCTTTCTCTCTCTATCCCAATTTGCTCCCCATCATTGATGTCAGATCTTTCTCTCTCTATCCCAATTTGCTCCGCATCTTTTCCATTAGCTCGATCTCTCTCTACCGCCAATCTCCTTGACTTCGATTTGTAGGGATCCAAGGGACCACTTGTAATAGATCTACCTTCATCTATGGAGGATACATTTCCATCCCCGATAACCCCACCACCAGGGACAATTGATGCATCTTTATGAGCAGCACGCGACCCCTCACTATCAACTACACACCCTTCTACGCCCACATGGGATCCCTCATTATCCAGGGTTGATTCTTTCCGAGACTCAATAAGACAACCGGAGTTTTTCAATCCAGCCTGTAGATGTTCCTGAATATAATCATCCATAAGAAAGCTACTTCGACTACTGCGGCTTGCGCGGCTATTGCTACTGCTGCTGCCAGATGACGGACAAGGGGACTGGAGACAGTCCATGACTTCGGTAAGATCGTACGACGGTCGCCGAGGCTTACACGAAGGAGCTTTTTTGAAAAGAGCTTTTAGTCTTGGAGCCTTCTCTTTTGCTGGAAAAGAGGAAAGTTGAATCGAAATGAATTATGATCTATATTATGACAGGGATGGATTCAAAATGGTTTTACAGAGGAAGGGGTGCCCTGGTTTGGAATAAATTTCAGTGGATAAACATGTTGCCGTAGCATGTAAGACTTTTTTTGTTAAATTCTGTTGCCTTTTTTATGATAACGATATTTTTGAAAGTGTGCTTTTCAAACACTAATCACAATGGCTTCGCTAAGTAGTTTAGTACATTAGTGTTTTATAGGGAAAGTGGTACCATTAGCACTCCCTCTTTAAATCCATCCCTGTATAATGATCCCTTAGCACTCCCTCTCTATCATCCTTGTATTATGATCCCTTGGCATTCCTCTAAATCCATCTCTGTATAATGATCCCTTAGCACTCCCTCTTTATCATCCTTGTATTATGAGCCCTTAGCACTCCTCTAAATCCATCCCTGTATTATGATCCCTTAGCACTCCTCTAAATCCATCCCTGTATTATGATCCCTCCGATTATAGAAAGAATTTTACAGGATTCAAAAAACAATTGAAATTGCACAATTCTAAATTCTCCGATACCTGTGTTCGTCTTCTCGTTGTTTCCATTCATTTCTACGCGATTTTCACCACTTCTAACGTCACTCCGAGGCGCGGCAAATTCATTGAATAATTCCTCCCCTTTATCCTTTACTTGTCCCACGTTATCCTCTGTATCCTTTCCAATTTCATCTCTCGTACTCTCCCCAGGTTCAATGGTTTCACTCGGTGTTCCAACCGTCACTAAGTAAGGTGTTTCGTCAACTTTTCGTCCGCTGCGTGCGCATTCATAAAGCCAATCAACAGTCAGAGGGGGAATACCCCACTTGACCGCCGCGTCGTACTTGGCGCCCAGCGGTTGTTTCAAAATGAGATGAGTGTTCGCGTGCACATTTTCCTTTGCCTTGCGAGAAAAAAATTCCTGAAATTGTCCCCCTAAAGGAAAGAAGGTCTATAGAACAAAACTATATCTTTACTTTATGATTTCAAAAACATGGCATAAAAACCTCAACAGCAGGTTACTGATTACGTACTTACCCAATGTTTCTATTAAATCACTTAAATTATTCTTTCCAGATCGTAGAATTGACTCACGGAAATGACGCAGTTTTCAAGTGGATACACGTTTTCAGGTAGCGCAAAGGGAGTGAATAGAAAATCGGAGTCGGGATCTACCATTTCACCACAGGTTATTGTGGACTGAAGCCAACAATATGTCACCTAAAATGAAACAGGAAAAGAAATGTGAAAAAGAAGTACAATGTGCAGAGGTGAAAGTATTATGACACGTTGGGGTAACTTAAGAGGAAAAAGTATTATATGTAGGGATAAGATGAGAGGTTAAAATATATATCTGAGGGTGAATGAGAGTTAAAAGTATGATATGTGAGATAAGATGAGAGGTGAAAGAGTTACATGTGGGGGTAAGATGAGAGGTAATATTATGATATGTGGGGATAAACGGGAGGTAAAAATATGATATATGGTGGTAAGATAAGAGATAATGTATGATATGTGGGGATAAGATGTGAGGTAAAAGTACTCACCACTGTTTTAGCATAAGTGCCTTGTAAACATTCATACTTCAGTGGTACAATAAGATAGTCTACAATAGACATGCTACTAATTGGTAATACACAACCACCAAGGTCTTCAATGCATTTACGGATTTCATTGAGTTGCTTTCCATCAAAGCCATTCATTCTAAACCGAAAGCCCTTCAACAGCTTACTACATTCTTTTTGACTTTCATCTCCTAAAGTAAATTTTCATTAAAGACAAAAGAAATATTTTTGTTACCTACAGAACCTGCCAACATGCAGTTGCATGTAAAAATAATCAATATTTACTACTACCTTCTTGGCAATGTGTAAAAATAATCAATATTTACTACTACCTTCTTTGTCATGAATGTAAAAATAATCAATATTTACTACTACCTTCTTGGCAATGTGTGTAAAAATAATCAATATTTACTACTACCTTCTTGGCAATGTGTGTAAAAATAATCAATATTTACTACTACCTTCTTGGCAATGTGTGTAAAAATAATCAATATTTACTACTACCTTCTTGGCAATGTGTGTAAAAATAATCAATATTTACTACTACCTTCTTGGCAATGTGTGTAAAATAATTAATATTTACTACTACCTTCTTGGCAATGTGTGTAAAATAATCAATATTTACTACTACCTTCTTGGCAATGTGTGTAAAAATAATCAATATTTACTACTACCTTCTTGGCAATGCATGATCGATGATTTATTCACGTAGCTCATTGATTGATTGGTATTTCCAGGATCTGTTAAATACTGTTTTAAAATATCCTCGTCATTTCGAGTCACATCATTTTCCGATACTCTCCTTTCCTTTGAATCACAATTTTTCTTCTTCTTTGTTTTTTGATTTTCCTCCACATTGTCATTTGTTTCCATGCAATAGTACTCTGTCACGAAAAAAACACTAGCAGGGACTACTGAGTACAGGGGGAAGTTTCTATGGACAATTTATTGGATAAAAGTCAGCATCCTGCATATTGAGTTTTCAAGCTCTTCTTCCCCCCAGTTTCAAACATTATCCACAATCCTTGAGTTAGGTATAAGTTCAGGGCAGGGAGGGGGGGAGCACAAGGGCCATGGGTCTCCAAATGTTTAACTTAAACAATCAAGCACAACATTGAATGGGACTAGGCAACATGCATTACTTACAGCACTGACTATAGACAATGGCTTACATTAGAAAGTTGGTATACCAACTTGGAACAAACCCCTCTGAACAGATCACAGCAATTACCAGCACCTTACAAGCAACTTATTCACAATACAAACAAATGATCAACTAGAAACATTACACTTCTCACTAATCCACAATAACAATACAAATTAACACCCACACATTTCCCGCATATACAATACAATGACGTATGAACAAGATAACAAATACGGCTAACCTGACGTTTACTCCTGATTAGACTCTGAAAATGACTACCGCTAAGGTTGTTGAAACATCAATCAACAACAACAAAAACAGTCCTTTTCAGGACTATACTAACCTGGATGATCAACATCTACAAACATGTAACAATACTCCTGGGTTCAAACCATTTACTTTAAATAATCAAGCTAGCAAATTCCAAAATGTTTTTCATCGTGCAATTCTCATCTATATAGTAATTTTCCTTTCAATAGCAAGCAATAGGCAAACATGGCTAAATCATAATATTCACCAATATTTTCATTAGTGTACACAAACATGCAACCATTGAATCATTAAAACAAATGTCTCCTTTTATGATCCAAATGCATGTTTCCAATAGCTTTGCATTGGCGACATGACTTGCAAAGTGTTACTACACAACAGACAATTGATCAGACATCAATTAAGGTATTAATTACTAACCTTCTTCAGAAAGGCACTTTGACTGTCGACATGATTCCAGTAGCCAATCGACCTTTACAACATGTGGTGCAAATTCATCATTAACTAGTTTTAGGACATCTTGTAAAGGCTCATCGCCAACAACAATATGCGTAACATTGTCATTAATTTTGTTAAATCTAGTAGCACCACCCGCATTTATTATCTTTTGAAGATATTCAAGTTGCACATCATTAAATCCGACCAAATAAAGTTGACATCCATCAAGAAACATGGTATCAGAAGGTATAGGTACATTATAATTACAGATGGACTTTCTCTTTACAGAATGAAGCGATTTATGATATCTATGTCCAATCACAGCCTTCCTTTTTTGTGATGATGATTCTTGTGCACCATTACCAAGCATGGCATGTCCGGCTTTTTCAGCACTTTTCTTTGCAATATCTCTGGCTTTCTTTGACATTTCTTCACTTGACATTGTGTAGTTAATGCTGGCATCCACATGGCTTGTCCGCAATGTTTCATCACCAGCATCAGAAAGCTTGGATTGTTTATCCGGTTTCACCTTGAAAGGTGCTTCATCAAGCCAATGGCCGGCAGATATGCACTCGTACAGCCAACAAGGTTCGACACAAATCACACTCCAACGTTGAGCAAAATGAAACTTGTTCCCAACTGGTTTTTCAATTAGTAAATGAGTGGATTTATCACACGAGAGTTCGGGCAAATAGCTACCTCCATTCATCTCCACCAATCTCTTGATCTCATTCCTTTTTTTTGTTTCAAACCCGCTCACACATATTGAGCATCCCTTGAATATTGGACAGTAATGACTTTCCAGAAATGAGGAGTGGGTCGCATTGAAATTCATTTGAACTTGACTTTCCTTCCAAGAGTCTTCAATCCACGATGGCAAAACTATTGGTTTTTTAAGACGTGCTGCAGTTGCATATTTTTTACTGTTGACTTCACCGGCAACAAGGTGAGTGACTTCAATTGTAAACTCTGCAGCGAAAACTCCATTCATGTACTCAATGAGGATTTGAAGTTTCTTCCTCAATGATTTAGCGATGGAAGTTGAGGCAACAATCAAATCAGTCATGGACATTGAATAAACTGGATGTAATGCATTTGGAAGAGGTGAGTCGCTTTCAATACATTCCAGAATGCAGATAGGTCCAAAAACTCTCTTGTTTTCGGCAAGCAGCAGCTCAAAAACCTCTCCTTCGAATCTATCGGTGACAAAAACTGTCATCTTTTCCCTGGCGCCAGCTTCCATAAGGTCTTTTGCATGTATCTTGGTGACATTGAGTTCTTGATTCAGCGATTTCAAAGGCCCGCAGTAAAAAATCCCCGTCCTCATCGCCGAAGGTTACGAAATACAGAGAAGAATCATCATTTGGCATTTCAAAACATGAAATGTATAGCTGTAAAATAAGCTTTTATTTCTCAAAAGTAGCTTCGCAATCAAAACGATGTTTTGAATTTTCGCACATTATTGAACTAAAGCCCGCGCTTGTTTCACAAGTAATACAAGTTATCCTTTACTATCCATTGTTGTTCACCATTCCTTGCTCCGCAGCGACCAGGACCATTAAGCTTTATTTTAAAATAACTGTGAAGGCTTTAGTAAAGGACAACCAATCTTTTTTTATGTTTTTATAAAAGCTAAAACATTAAGCATATATAGTGTAAAAATACTCTTCCAAAAAGCTGTTATCATTTTTATCAAAATGAAAAAATCACAAAATTTTGGTCACAATGTGACGTAAAACAACGTAGGCGGCCGCTAACCATTGAGTTCTATAATAACTGGAGGGGAAACGTCAACAAAATTAGTATAAATTATTAGCGCGCGGCCGCGTGGTCAAAAACATGGCGGTAATGGCGGATTTTGGTGGTCAAAACTTCCACTTTAAACATTTTTTTCAATATTCACTCCCTCCTGATTTCTAATACTGTTTGTATGAACGAAAACAAGTGAGAAAAAAAACAATTACGATACCGACAGCATATCATGTGAAAATAATGCTTCAGCATTGCGTGAAAAACACAGTACGGACACTTAAAAATAAAGAAAATCGACGGTAGAGAAACGCATATTTTGGATGTAACATTTAAGTTATTTTATGACATTTTAACCTTTTAAAAGTGAAAATCAAATGGCATTCTTTAGTAGACCTGTCAATCTCGTCAAACTTATACATTATTTCATGCTTCTGTGTGTTTACTGTTTCTAAACAGTTTGGTGCAACTATTTTTCTTGCTCAAATGGATAAATCTGTGTAAAAATGCTTCAAAGGAAGCGAGAAAATGTTTGCTTCAGTCCTACGACATAAGTCAACTGAAAATTTACCATGGATAAGTATCATAAGTGTATTGTCATTACCTGATAAATCTACTGAAAACTCATAAAGAAAGTATGTTGAACTAGAAGAGCTACAAAAAAGAAAAAAATTCAAAACACCATGACACTGTTGCTTGGTAATTTTTATTTTGTAAACAGCTTGGCAGAATCTTGGATCTATTACTGAACAGAACTACATTAATTTTCCATTGAAATTACAAACTTGGAAACTAAAGTGCATTGGTTTCTCTGACAAAAACACTGTCTATTGCTGCATGAAGGCAAAATAGTTATTTGACAGTGTAGGTGTTCAAAGAAATTTATCAAGTTCTATAGATATTATTGTGCATTACTTACAGTTTTTTGGAATTGTGTAATATATGTCATGAACAAGAATAATTTTTCAAAAGTACTAACCCCTTCGAGCACTACTACTCTTCTGTTTTGCTTAACCAACTTACAGCTACCAATACTAATTATTTATATGTACAAACTAACATTTAAGAATTAAATGATAAACAACTTGTTGAATCTTTGTATTTTACATCAAGCCTTTGAATTAGTTCCTTTTATCTCTTGGTAAAAAAATATTAATGAAAGACTTACAAATCAAGTTTCTCGAAAATAGTATTTTGTACAAAGAAACTAAATAATTGGAAAGGTCACATGTTGAAGACAGACTTTGCTTCTTTGACTGGGTTGCTTGACCATGAGCAAATTTAAATTTGTTTACAATTTGTTTAAAGAATTCTTTTTATTGATTTCTACTAATTCTTCATAAGACACAAAGAATTTCTTTGCCATCTATTTTTGCTTCTTCTACATTCAACTTCATTGTAACCAATGCATCCGATGTGAATTTGTGGATCATCTGGAATCATACCAAGTATGGATTTGATGAGATGAGACAATAATATGTTTAATTTTTCATGCATATTAATGATATAATCATAAGCTACTGTTGAACAAAAATTTCAAGGTAGAAACAAATCTTAGCATATTGTTCAACACACTACTTTCATCTTGGTTTTGAAGTAGTAACCTGTTTACTACAACAATAAATACTTCATTTACAGAAACACTAAGTAGTACTTTCAAATTGTTTGCATAAATCCAACTTTCCAATCTTATTATAATTGTCTACACTATACAGTCACTCAAATTGAGCAGGCAAACAGTTTAATAGTTATTTTTATTATACAACATATACCATAGTTCTCATTAATTTTGCATGGCACTGCATTCAATTTCAACACAACTCTGTTGTAAACTTTCCCTTCATCTTTTCAAAAAAACATGAACAAATTATGCCCCATTTTTGGGAGATGAACTCAATTCGAATCAGGAGAGTTTAGCTTGATACCTTGATCACGATACAAGATGGATGCAAAACTCGATAAAAATTGACAGCTTCGCCACGTCTGGCGAGCGATTAACTGAAGAACAAACAAGACTGGACCAAAATAACTTTAAATTAAAACTTAGTAGTAGAAACAAGCTTCAAGTATCGTGTTAAAAACAAAATAGTAAAACTAATACTGTGCTACTTACCGGAGTCAAGAAATGTTCCCTTTTCTGTCGTTATTTCAGCATCCGCAAACCACAAAAGTTGGCAGTTTAATAAATAAAGTTTTAAAAAAGTGTTTATGTTAGGAAAATAAATAGTTTTGATATTTTCTATACTCGCAATCGTGGTGGTCAAATCAGGGTGGGCGACAAAAATTTCATTTCATGAGCCCGCGTCTCTCCGCTGACTTTGACCACCAAAATCCGCCATGTTTTTGACAACGAGGCCCAGGCCCCTTTGCCCCTCCAGGTCTTATAGAGCTCAATGCCGCTAACACCCGCCAACGGCAATACGTCACGTACGGTCATGTTAGTGTACAGTGTTTGCGAAGGGCAGGTAAGGCCTTAAAATAGTGAAACAATAACAACGACCTGGATTCATTAGTAAGTCTGAGTCACAAGACGGGAAAAACCTTATCATATTACTTTTCAGACATATCTATTTTCCTCATATGAAAAGTCAGTCATAACTTTGCGTGAACTATCTAAAACTTATTTTCTATTCGTGGAATTTTGACAATTTGCTGATTCCATCTTTACGTTTGCTTGAGCGTCTAATATATGTTTGAAGAAACAAGACCTCAACCAGCAGTCGGATCGATTTCCTCATTGCCATGTTGCTGTATATACGTAACGATGAAAGATGTAGAATTGACAAAATCGAGCTGATCGATGGTTGTTGTCCCCGTATTAAGTACGATGTGGCGAAAATCACGAATGAACAGGTTCCCTCGACGTCTCCAAATGACGAGTATTATGTATCAACCATGAATATCGAACCAGCAGTTTGGGGAATTATCCTTCTTCTGGACTGTGTTTATGTGGATGTGACACAGCAAAAATTTTCTTGGTCAACTAAAAGTGTGGGAAAAGTGAAAGATGTAGTTATAGGTACGAAAAAACATCTCTTCTTTACTGCAACTGTATAGATATTTTAACCTCCGAATTTTCAAACTACCATCGCTTATTTATTTAACAGCGTGAACCGTAAGAATTTCCGTTAAGACGCCGGTAGAAAGTAATATCGTTTACATTTAAGTGATGTTCATAGATTAGAACATGTATGTGTTAAATTAGTGTGTGGTGAAAACATGTGTTGGATCAAATTGTTGTGTGATTTATGTACATTGATTGAAACGCGTATTACAATTTCTTTTTCTTCTTTGAAGATAAGGATGATTCTTTCGATGAAAAATGTTACAACCACGATGCATGTTACGAATACGACGATAACATTGACGAATTATTCAATCTCGCTGAATACTTGATTGAAATCAGTCGCACTAGATCAAAACGCCACAGAAAAGTACGTTGTTTGTACACAAAAGACCAACCCGTATTACATAACAATGTGATTAAATAATTGGATATTTTTAGAGTAAAGAAGAACAATTGTATTTGGTAAGAATGTTGTACTGCTGTATTCTACCCAAAATACAAATCAACTGCGACGATCAAAGCAAAGTAGAAGCTGCCATATGTAATGAAAAGCTGTTCATTAAGAAACTGAACGAGCAGATTGAATATGAGTCACAAGCATTACAAGAATTGCAGGATGCATTATTCCAGCAACAAGATGAAAGATTAAAAGAATTTGAAGAATTAGCATTAGATAAGAAATGCACCAAGAACTTTGTTTTGACACTTAAAGAAGATTTGAACAAAAGAAAAAACCATCTTCGTGAAAAGGTAGTTTCCCACTTCTCAGTTTCTTAAGGTGTATTTAGAAATAATTGTAGTAACACAAAATATTCTAAGAAATCAGTGCAGAAACATTGAGTGGTTTCATGAATAAGTAAGTGTGGCTATGTAAACTATTACAGTATAATAACACCAAGTATTGCTGGTAGTTAGTACAGTAACATCAAAATTGTCAGTCCGGTTAAAAATTTTATCTTTCATCATTAGATTGAATTGAATCAACTAGATGTCCAGGCCATCAAGGCAGACATTGAGAAGAACGGTGAGACAGATGAGAAAAAACTGACATTAAGCAATGCACGCAAAATGACAGAACAGCTTCGTGAGAAACTACATAATATTCTTGTGGCAACGGAAGATTCAATTGAAGAATCTTTAATGGAAGATGGCTTTCAAAGTCAAGACAATGTTCCCATTGTGTTGAAATATCTGCACTATAAAGAGATGACAAATGGGCAAAAGTTAACAACACAGGGGAAAATGGAAAAAAAGGTTGTACAGTAAATTGGAGATAGGATGATTGTGCATTTCATTTTGTTCACCCTTGTGCCAATTCTATTGGTACATATTTCCCTGTAATTTTTTTCCTCTTAAGCTTTACAATTTAACTCAACAGTAGTAACATTGGGTGAAAAGGTTATATAACTTCTTCTTAAGCTTTTCAATTTAACTTAACAGTAGCAACATTGCGTGGAAAGGTTATGCAACATTGCAACAATATAATTAGTAATTCTTTGCATTAGGTTCATGCAACCAGTATACTGGAAAACTTGAAACGGATCAAGGAAGAAATTGGAAGCTGGGATGGAAGAGCAATTGCTACTCTTCAGAACTCTTCACAAATCACGGACGGTAAGATTTGTAAATTTGCTTCCCTTGAAAACCTGCGAAAGACGTCACTTATATGATGTCAAATGACGTCACTTATATGATGTCAAATGACGTCACTTATATGATGTCAAATGACGTCACTTACATGACTTTTTCTTAGTATTGAGAGACAAGGACATTCACATTCCCGAGTACCAAACCCTCAGTGAACGTGTGGTCACGATCGTAAACAATCCCGAACATCCATTTGGTGCAGAATTCGCCACGTTCACCAAGTCTGTGCGAAGGAAATGCCGCGATATTGCGAGTATTACGCCTACGCACAGGCACGTCGATCATCGCGATTATTTGGTAATAAATGGTGACTGCACGATGGATGAATACATGAAACCGCTAGAGAGGTTATGTGTGGAAATCAAGGAACATTTTGATCGTATGAGTATGTTGTTGCTGGATCATTTCAACAGGAACTCCCAAGATGTGTTGAAGCGTAACAAGCTACAGCTGTACTACGAGAAAAGATTCTACGACGAAGTTGGAAAAGACATCGTTCACGTCTACGAAGTAGCTCACGAAACTCGTCAGAAGAAAATGATTCGTGATCTGGAAAGGTTATCAACGTATCCCATCAACTGTCTGCATCTCGCCATGAAGGACGAATGGTGGCACAAGTTGTTCGAAAAGCGACGTCAGGTCAACGTTGCCAAGCAACGCTCGAACCGCAGCAGGCAATCATGCTCTGACAATTCGAGCAGTTCTTCTTCTGGATCATGTTCACCACCAGATAACAATGATCATATTTCTTTAACGTCAAGTTCCAGGCGATCATCTGCCGCATCAACCAAAGATCCAGATGGTACCCGGCGGTCCCCTGCAAGACGTCGTGGAATAAACTCGCTTAGTAGATTTTTGAGACGCTTAAGACGACACTCGGAAGAAATCATAGATGGCGAAAATAAACAGAATGAAAACACGAATTCTCACATACGTTATGACGATTACAGCAGTTACAGAAATCCGGACGACGACAGGATTGAAGACAATACTGGAAGACGGATTGAGGACAATACCAACTTTACGAATGGTGTTGACGACAGCATTAACTATAACGGCAACGATTGCCGGGAACTGGTAGGGAACAACGCAATTCACGACGTCAATGGCGAGTTCTCGAAAGAGGATTTTGAACTTTCAACATTCGAGAAACACTTCGGACCCTCCATGTACTGCCTGAAGGAACTCTTCCTTGTATCATCCGTGTTCGAAAAGCTAAACTGCCTGACGAAATCCTTGACGATGGCGACCAATGCTGTGTATAACCTTAGACAACAAGTACTGGAGAAAGTTGACGACGAAAAGGAATTTTCCCTCGCCATAACAGCCGATGATCTATTACCGCTTATGGTCCTCATTATTCTACAGATGGATGCGAGTGACGCTGCTTCTATCGTCACTCATTTAGAAATGATGCAGGACCTGAGTCCTAGGTTCTTGACACTTGGTTGCCATGGATACGCTTTAGTCGAGTTCGAAATGGCGAGTAAGGTATTAGAATCTTTATGTAGCGAATTTGATTGGAGTGACTCGTTTAGTCCACGAAACTAGCTTCCATCGAGCGCTTCTCTCATTTTTTTAACAATTCCAACTAGTCATTTTTTTGCAGATACATAATTTATTACCTCAATTATCTAATGCACCATTCCTAACTGTACCAATCTAGAAAGAGTAGCGAGAATGAACACATAACCAGGAAGAATAGTATCCAAACTCGAAAACTAGCGTTGTTCTTAATCGCCTGTGAATGAAATATTTTTTTTATCAAAATGTATGCTTTAAAAACGCAGTTTAACTTACGGAAAGTTCAACAAACCTCGCGAATATTCTCGTTTCCATCCTTCACGTTCTCTGTCGTCTTCACTGTCGTTTCATATACTTGATCAATTTGTTTGGACTGTAAACAAAATTTAATGCAAGATGACTATTCTTATAGATACGTCAAAAAAAACTTTGAAATTGAACTATTCTAGTACCTGCTCTAGAACTTTTTCGGAGAAAACCTCTTGGAGTTTTGCAATTTCCACAACTTGTCCTTCAATATTTCTGTTGGTCAATTACGACAGTGGTATTTAAAGAATGATTTTATTGACTGGTTGGATAACGTATTTCCTTTATTTAGCCATCAGCTTAATTTTAACCTATTCCCCCTCCTTTGTAAGAACACCCTCATTGAAAGGTAACGAAAAACAACGTCACACCCTCTGAAATGGAAAAATTATCGGGAAGACGATCTCACGATGAAGTCATAACAAAATGCGAATGCCAATCGAGCCTTATACATCGATGTAAGCGTTTATTCGTTTGAAAATCACGAATATAAAAATCAAAATTTTCGCTTGCTTTGTTTCAAAATTTCAGACAAAATTATAATCACGTTTTTAAATCATTCTTTTTTTTCAAAATGTACTAACGCACGTACTGGATTGGGTATTTTATTAAATAGAAATTGATATTGAAGTATACGTTACGTGAATTGGTATGCGCAAGCAGCTCTGCGTGAATATTAAGATAACCACCAGCCTCTTTAGCTCCCCCCCCCCCTTTAAAGCAAATAAAAGATAACTCCTCGGGGGGGGGGATAGAAGAAATACAGTACGCACCGAGCAAAACACATAGCAAAACACTCAACCAAGACTGGTGTGACCAAACTTTGAACAATCGAAAGATTGCAGAAGAGACTACGAAATCGAAACAAGATGAATGCCCACCTGACTTCACTCGCTAAACTGTTCATTTCATCCAACATTCTCTTGTTTTCTTCTTCGAACTATAAAAATACAAAATAAATGGTTGAAAATTGGTTTTTCTTTCGAGACAGTCAATAACTGTGACGTACAGTTTGCAACTCTTCCTGCGAAAAGTCTTCTCGTTCATTGGAGATGGTCGTTGACGAAGATTCCTCCATAATTGGACTGTTCGCAGGAGGTTTGTGAATGACGTCATTTCGCAATCGTGAACTATAATATAATGATCACATCGTTACCATAAAATGGAGTCGTTTTGCGACCAAAATAGTTGGCTGCAGTTTTCTATAAGTACATGAATAACGAAAATACCAAATGTATATCCTTAGTTCGAGTTGCGTTCTTTGAATTGCAGATAAGAAAGTTCCCTGCTAAAAGCGAGTGCTTGTATACAGAGCTCAGAGCAATGGCCAAATGCTCATCACAAACAAATCCAATCTCTGGTAAGAGGACACTAGTTTCCAGTCCTTTCTAATACGTTATTCTTCATTTTAACCTCCCGTAAGCAAACATCAGATCTTGTTTGCTCCGATGGTGTTTGCTTACAGGGGTGACACTGTATGTCATCATTATTAATACATTAACTTACATTTTCTTCTTCTCCACAACTCTTTTCACGCGAATGGCTCTCTGTTCACTATACAACTTACAAGTGGCTGCAAGAAAATTGATAGCTCAAAGCTTTTAAGCACAAAAATTGTGGTTGTACAGCATGCTTCATGGCATGGGCAAATCTAGCTGTGCTCAGGCAATCTCAATGCTAACATTTACAAAGAATTTGGGTGATCACACACATGTCTCATTAAAAGACATGTGGCTAACGTTATAAAAAATAGAAACATATTTGAATACAGCTACAGTAGTTGTGTAATGAACTTACCTTTCAAATACTTTTGCAAAATTTCCAAAACTATGAAGCGATGTTCATTTACAAGCTCAGTGTTCTTCTGATTTGCAACTATGTAGAAGAGGAGTACTCAAGACATTGATCGTGATTTGGAAGACTTTGCAAAACATGTAATTTGCATGCAATGAATTCGGAATAACAAATGGGAAAAAACATGAGATTCATCAAGGGCACACCTTCTTCTTTCAACGATTGAATGGCAGTTGAACAAGTCCTGATAAAAGTCTCCGCATCTTCATCAATTTGGTCTCTCTCTGTGTTACTCATGGTTGTGCTCGAGGCCACATGACTGTGAAAAATATATTATGGAGAAAAAATGAATGAAAATGTTTGTGAGAAAGTTTATATATAAGTGGGGTGCTGGAGAATTTCAGGGGGTTTGCACCCAAGAAAATGTGCCCCTGGTTTATGAGAAAGTAAAGTTTATGAGGAAGCAAAGTATATGAGAAAGCAAAGTTTTGAGGAAGTAAAGTTTATGAGAAAGCAAAGTTTATGAAGAAGCAAAGTTTATGAGAAAGCAAAGTTTATGAGGAAGCAAAGTCAATGTGAAAGCAAAGTTTATGAGGAAGCAAAGTTTATGAGAAAGCAAAGTATATGAGAAAGCAAAGTTTTTGAGGAAGTAAAGTTTATGAGAAAGCAAAGTATATGAGAAAGCAAAGTTTTTGAGGAAGTAAAGTTTATGAGAAAGCAAAGTTTATGAAGAAGCAAAGTTTATGTGAAAGCAAAGTTCATGAGAAACCAATCTACAACATCTCAGTCCACAAACTCCACAGGGAAACAAAGCTGATTCATTTATTTCTGGACATAGTATCAAAGCAGATATAGGTGGGATAAATACTAAACAATCTTAGCATAACATTTTCAATGCACTGGTGTCCAAAAATGCGCGAAATTTATTTCATGTAAGATGAGAACAGAAGCTGACCTGACTGCATTAATATAATCCTTCCTGTGTTCCAACAAGAACTCTTTTAACTTTGAAACGCTTTGTTTCTGAAAACATAATTCCCATAAATTGCCATGGATTAATCCAGTTATGATTTTCGATGTATTGCAGAAGAAAACAAGAAACTTACAACGTGAGCTGCTTTCAAACCAAACTCAGTTGTCACTTTAGAGCGACTTCTCTTCAAGATATTTGAACTTTCTTTCGAATTTCCAGGATTTGATGATTTATTTCGCGTGTTTATCGCCTTTACACAGGCTTTGAAGAAAGCAGTTCGGTCCATAAACATATAAATTGAAACTAAAGAGCATGAAAGAAATTAAAAGGCACAAGTTGAAGTGAATGGATTGATGAAATTTGATGACAAATATTCCTTAGATACATTACGTACGAGGGCTTATGCTGAGCATGTGTCTCGCTGGCGCAACAATTTCTCTGAGAAAAATATGGCGACAATTCAAATTACCATTGCATTTAATCTTTTTGTTTTTTGTACTTATACAACTGGCGTTATCGAAGCAATATGCGATAACGATGACGAGTGTTGCCCTGTAGACAAACGACCACAAAATTCTTGTTCACCTCTTGTCTGCTGTTCCTATCTGTGAGTCCGATTGCGTAGAAAGTTGTTTTGTTTTGTGGACTAAAGGTCACAAGTTTACTGTCATTTTTTCAGCCCCGAAGAATTTGTTCATTGCGATGAACCGAAAGATTTTTCCAATAACGCATCGGAGGCTGCAAGGCTTGGATACGGATGTACCAAGGTTCATACACATTCTAAACTAAATTTTCCATTTATGGCAAATATAAAAATTTTATTCCATGTTTGATGTTTGTAGGTCAGTAGATGTTGATTCGCTCAGGATTTTATAATAGTAAATACAATCCTAAGACGGACTGTTTATGTTGGTGTTGACTGACGTCTTCAAAGTCTTGAACTGCCATTGCCTGTTCAACACTTATTTCTCACTCCTCGGGACTGCACTTATATGACATATAGTAATCTGGACGTCCAGCATCAACGAACACATAATTAATCTACATTATCCTTCGTATCATTCAGTTTATGTGCTGTATATTGGTGGTGAAAATCTGTTGTTTTGTTTGATTGAATTTTATTTATAATTTCAGTATGGTGGTGGCTCAAGATACGAGGATGTGAATCATACAAAAGTTGTCTGCCACGTCTTGTCTGGAGTGGAATGCTATGGAGAAAGAATGTTCTTTAAACATGGTGTTCCATGCATAAAGTAGGTGCAACTGTAAATTACTTGGTTATTTCATTAATGTATCCATTTTTAAAGTGACAGTGACAAGAAATTTTTGTCCTAGGTACAATGGTCATTATTTTCTTACAACGCTTCTTTACTCTCTACTTCTTGGATTTCTTGGTGTGGACAGGTTTTGCCTCGGTTGGACTGGAATAGCAGTTGGTAAACTACTTACATTAGGTGGTCTCGGTATTTGGTGGATTGTTGATATAATGTTACTTATCACTGGTGCATTGAAGCCAGAAGATGATAGTAATTGGGTGCCATATTATTAAAACAATTATTTGTTCGTTGTGAAAATTATGATGCAGCACTCGACAGTTGAACAGATTTATTAGCAATAAGGACATGGTTATTTAAATTACGTAGAGAATTACTCTTTAACAGCAATCCATTTAAAAATTATTTCGATTCGAAATAACTTCATAGCAATGCTAGAAATTTCCAAAATACATGTATTAACATTTGCATTGTGTTTAAGTTATTTTGAAATGTAAATACATCTAATATTATGTTGTTGAAATTTCTTTTGACATCTGTTAAATTACATGACTGTTGACTGATCACAAAAATGCTCTTTGTACAAATTTATAAAGTATGTGATATATTAAAGCATTGAAAATGATGTACATAAATAAAAAAAATGTTTTAAAAACCTTTTGCACATTTTGGAAATGCAATTTTCCTTTCAGGTATTGACAAACATGACCTAACTACAAGCTTTTTTTGACCGAACATGCAATTCAAAAGAAAACAGATTAATTCACAATAAGACCACAGAATAAGAATATACAGAAGAGTCACTCGTGTCGGAACCTTTGATGTTTATGTCGTGCCCGCATGGTGGCGGCCATTATTCCAGCCAGATGATCCGGGTTTTTGACTTTTTCCAAACCTTTAAAATGATCCGAAGTCATTTTCCAAGTCAAAATATACATTATTAAGTATTGATGTCATGTAATTTTAATGGTTGGAAACAAGTGAGAAATCCTAATCATCTGGCTGGACTAATGGCCTACATGAGGAAGCATTGTACACCTGAGTGACCCTTCTTTATAATCATTCTGTGATAAGACATTCTTCAATCTGTAACCAGCCATTCATGACAGTTTCTCGTGAGGATTGATTTGTTTCAACAAGTACAAAGGAATAAGAAAGAATAAAGCACCGATACCATAGCAGTATAAAGGTCCAATACTCCAATACACTTAACGAAAACAAGAAAATAAATGAGAAACACAAAGTGAAACTTCAATGAAACAATGATCTTACTTGCACAAGAAAAAAATGGTCCAGTAGCTCGTGCTAAAGTTCCAAGAGAGCGGAATATCCCCATGATTTTCCCCTTTTCTTCTGTGTTACCTATGATATTAATGATCACATGGATTTCAGAAATAAAGTTCACAAAAAATTCTTATTACTTCAGGATAACAAACCGTATTTCGATATCATTGTTGTTAAAGCTGACACAACTGTTGCCGCTCCTATAGGACAATGGCAATGAAAATGTTTTTGTTAGCAAATAAAATCAAGCATTAGTAGCAGAACACATACATACCAAATGAAAATAGAGTTATGCCAATATAGAATAATTTTGTTGAAGTAGCTAATCCTAGTACTAACATAGCAGGTATTAATGCAATCATGCCCTAAACAATAAAACAGTATATCAGTTAATGAATAAATAGATAGTAAAAATTATGATTCAAGTAGGTTCGCATACATGTATAGCCAGTTTCTTTTCTCCGCCAGGAGCCAATCTTCTCACATAACCCCCTGCATGAATAGCATTTACAAATAAACTGCACTGACTCTTACCATTTTAGGAACATTTTCAGGGGGGGTACAATCCCTCAAAGTTATATTATTATAGGCTAAACAAGTAACTTACACAACAAACAGAGCCTGTGCAACACTTACATAATGCACCAATGCACCCCTATATAAACTCTACATCCCTCCTGATAGGAAAGTTCTATGGCCACCCCTGTCTAAGTTACTACAAATATCAACAATTGATACCTTGCACAAGAGCCATCACAAGACCCACAAAGAGAAACATTTTCCCTTGTTGCATGCTATAAAGCAAATTATATACATTATTTCTAAGATGAATGATTCTGCGATTACTGCACTCATGTACCTTGTGTAATTTAAGATACTGTGCGTGAGAAACGTGAGAGTAAATTCCAACCCAGAAAACAAAAATAAGTAAATAAAATAGACAAAGCCAATCCTTTTCGCATTTGTGAGCTCTACATGAACAAACAAAGCAAATATTAAAGAATGTTATATGCAATGCGGTGTTTGAAATTAAATGAAGATATGATCTTTGCACTTTTGCTGGACAATTTAAGCAATTGCCTCATGAACCTGAAAAATTCAGGTGACTCAACGGGATGAGACAATTGCTGAAATTGTCTAGCAAAAGTGCAAAGATCATATCTTCATTTCATTTAAAAGCAAATATTCACAGAAACATTGTCAACAAATGTACACAATGAGCAATGTCAAAATGTTGATTAGATCCCAATACCTGCTTTGTCTTTCATGTCAGCAGCGTCAAAACAAAACAAAGATAATGGATTGATCAATTGCATAGCATTTTTCATTTCAGATGTTAGAGACTTTGCCTGTAAGTTAATAAGTCATAAGTCTTGCGCACTAGGCATCCTTTTCTCTCTTGAATAAAGAATATTTTACCCTTTTCTCTTTAGGGAGAGTTTCCTCTAAGGAAAACATCAAGAATAAAATGTCTACAACAGTTACAATAACCGTAAACATGGCTGGGAGAATGTAGAGTGTTCCACTGGTAGTTTGCGAATGCTTTGAAAAAATTGCACCAATCACAGGTCCAATGATAAAACCAACAGAATAAGCAACGCCGATTAAAGCCTTTAAGTAAAAAAAATTTCATTAAGACACAATAAAGGACAATGCATGTTTGTTTGCCAAACAAGCAACTAATTCATGCTTATAATCCTGCATTAGGAAGAGCACACAAAATATTTTGGCTGTTCTATGTTCTGGGGACAAACCTTTGCAGTGCTTTTAATTGACGGAAAAGAAAAATTTTTGCCAGAGGAATTTTTTTGTCTCCTATCAGTGTGTGGACAGACTTCATACACATATTTCAAAAAGAATAAAGATCACCCCCACCCCACCACCCCCCACACACACACATACACACACAAACACTTTATATAGTGCCCCCTTGTGCATTAGTAATGCATAGAATATTAGCATGCTTACCATTCCTTTGCCTCTATTCACAGTGCTTGTGACATCTGTTACTATGGCAATGCTAATTGTCACATTCCCTTTGCAAAGGCCACCAATTATTCTTGCAAGGACAAATATTGTAAAGTTTTGTGAACATGCCCATAACGCATACGAGACAGCGACGCCGGTCTAAAAAAATAAAGAGAAGCCGAGGAAGAGATGAGCACGGGTTGCAAAAGGTTCAATTTTCATGTGTCAATATAGCTGACCATTGACAAAAGAAGGATGGACTTTCTTCCATATACATCTGATAATGCTCCCAAAAGTGGAGTGGTAACAAATTGCTGGAATGAAAATAGTGATCCGACAAAACCTATAAAGATGTAAAAATCAGGGAACTTAATCAGCAGGGAGCTTGAAATTAAAATTAATTGTCTGTTACATAACTGACCCACCTCCAAACAAAACAAAATTATATCTTTCTACGTTTGGGATTCGCAAAAAATCTCTGAAGTCATTAACTCTCGTCTGAACAAATCTAAAAAAGCCATCCTAAAAATAAATAATGAATCAATGATGGCTGAACACGGTGGCCATGGTGAAACTGGTGAAACTGTAAACTTGAAATGCGATTTGCGTACATACATGTGAACTTAGACACTGACCTTATTATCTTTACTGTAGTGATCCAGGAGTGAAGGCAATAAGGGTAGAATGACGGCAAAAGCTATCAAGTCCAACAGCAAACCAAGAAAAACAACTATCAACACACGAGACGACGATCCGTCATCTTTTTCTTTTCCATTAATATTGACTTTGTCTTCATTACCGCCGGAATGTTTTTCATTTAAGTTTGCAAAATTCTTGTGTATGTCATCACCATCACTTCTCGAAACCATGTTTAGGTTTATCTAAGGTCAATCACACAAGCAGCGATCGCGTTTTCGGCCTAAAACCAAGATAATGCTCCCTTGCTAAGGTGAACAAAACTTTTAGCATTTGGGATTTAATTTCAAGAATTATATAACACTATTAACATTATCGTGTCAATTGCGGAAGTGTAATGATGGAAATGTGGGGGCAGCAGATGCTTAGTATCGGACCAGTAAGCGGATATGATTGTTCAAAATACTCAAACAAACCCCAAAATATAATTCCTATAAAAACTTTATCATACATTATTTTACGAACCACGGTACAAAATGCACACAACGTGTAATAAAAATACATTTAACGGAGAAAACAGATCATTCAGATTTCAGATGTCTTATGTAACATCTGAAAAAATTGTACGATAACCGATGATGGAAATGTGAGGGCAGCAGATGCTTGGTATCGGACCATTAAGCGGATATCATTGTTCAAAATACTCAAACAAACCCCAAACTAAAATTCCTATAAAAACTTTATCATACATTATTTTACGAATCATGATACAAAATGCACACAACGTGTAATAAAAATGCATTTAACTAAGAAAACAGATCATTCAGATTTCAGATGTCTTACGCAACATCTGAAAAAAATGTACGATAACCAATGGCTGTAACAGCTAAGATACTATCTCGATTCTCACTCAGCGCACAGACGGGTGGAACAGCGAACAATTATATCATACAGTAATATATGGAAATATCACAAATATCTTCCTTGTTTCGTCCACCATCTTCTTGAAGACATTTACCAGTGCGTTACGTAACTTACGTTCCGGGAGAGGTATTGTCACGTTCATTTTCCAAACGAATCATCAAAGAAAATACTTACAAGTTACAAAGCGGAAAAGCTAGTCATCTGTAAGACAAAATTCAACAGAAATATACCTCACCTTCTCTCAAATCCTGATTTCTATTAGTACTGGTTGAAACCTGATCAGAATGCGGAGCACACTAGCATGGAGCACCATAACCGTTTTTCTGACATTGACAATTTGATATTCACAGTCACGTGCGTTCGGGTGCGCTCCCTGCTTGGCCCATATGCAGACGAATGAAATGCGTGTTAAAATATAGACATCTGTATAGCAGGTTAAAATTGTAATTGCACCACACCTGGCATACCACCACACGAAGAGTAGGAGCTCGGTACCCGCATCATAATGACACCGGAAACTGATACCCGGCATTCAGCACTTGTTCTTCAAACTGTCATGGCGACCAAAACTAAAAGAAAAAATTGGTTGGAAATTTTAAAAAATGCGCGTAAATCGAGTCTTGTTCAAGATGGTTTGTACTTTACCCAACACATACATAAAACGTAGATGTAGGAAGTTATAGACATAGAGATATTTTTTCAAATTTTCTTCAGGAATGTTTATTTTCAGGTCGGTGGAAAGTCCATTATACGTTCGATGACAGAGAACTCGTCGAAGAATATGACATCAAAGCAGGCTTACTCGTTGGTAAGTAGGTCGCCATAGTGATCTAGGAGCAACCATAACTCTCTAATCTATTTGGGCGACGATGTAAACGAGCGCTTTATTCACGTTAGTTCGAAAATGGAAGAGAAAAACTAGTCTAGGGGCAGAGAAGAAATGGGAATACGAAATTGGAGAGGATTTGTCAACACAGTCAACTGCCATAGAAAGCAATTATATTGTGGAGAGTAAATGTAACGTAGGTGCTGTCCATTATGAGCGTGTTTAATCTTTTCGTTAAATCCTCACAAGTTCAAGCGCGTCTAGGTGAAACTTGAGATTCGTTTGACGCCATTTAGGGATAACTTCACGTCAAACTCCTTAATGAAAAGAACAAACAAATCTTAGTCGACTGGAAATAGAAAAAAACGTTGCTGAAGTTGTCACAGCGCGCAGTATCGTGTGATTATTTAGCTAAAATCCCCTAACAATTGACAAAGTTGGAAGTTTTGATAAACAGTTTCAATAAACTTTGCCATTCTTCTTGTAGCCGATGTTCGTACGAAAAGACACGAAAGAGTCGTTTCAATGGAGGATTCGTAATTTACCGTTTCCAATCGATTTTTACGACTTATCCGTTGATGAAAGCAGAACGCATATTGTGATAAAAACGAAAAACAAAAAGTAAAGTTTTTTGCCCTTTCTTCGAAGTGTTTTGCATGCATGTTCTCTTATATCTTGATGCGTTTTTCTATCTCTTTCTTTCAAGATATTACAAAAAGTTCAACATTCCAGATATGATTCGTCACGAACTTGCCCTTGACGCCAAGTCAATATCGATAGCTCACGCGAACAACACACTTATAATAAAGGTAAAGTATTTCCTTCTTATAAAAGGGAACTTTTCCTCCGAGTAAACCTCCTTTATATCCTCCCGTAGTACGCGAAACCGAGGGAAATATTGGAGCAAGAGAAGTTGATCCTGAAGGAACTGGAGAAAAAGCAACACTCACGGGAGGGAGACGTTGAGTGTAATCCGAGTTAAAAATCCACGAACGCGATTACCATTCAAAAAACTCGTTAGAGAGTTGGCATGAGTACTTTCATGAGAGTTGGCATGAGAGTTGGCATGAGTAATTCTCGTCATTTTTGCGTCAGGTCAATGTTTACATTGAAGCCTTCCGCGATAAGTCTTCAAACAATTTTTTAATGGAATGCGTCAGCGTGTATATCAACGTTAAGATGACACCTATTGTGGTGACTAAGGCAAATAAAACAGTCATTTCATTTTGACGTTCGTTTCTATTTACTCGAGTTTGTGTACTTCGTGTATTAACTAAGATACACAAATACGATTTGCATGTAAAGATATGTAAAGGATTACTTGAGCTCCTTGTGATTGCCATCAAATTAAAAATGATCTTTTCGCAGAAAGATCAAGAAGTTGAAAAGCATCAAATTCCATTAAAATCATACGGGGCCGATTTTATTCGCTAGACAGGGCGGCGTTAAAACGAATTAATTCTTTTCTAACAATAAAGAAGGGTATGTGTGGTTTACGAGAAAATATTGCTGTGCCTCAGAGAAAGCTTTTTGATTTTTTGAATATTGATTTAGAGATGATTAAAGCGATGAAATAAAACAATGGGATTACCTTACAGGCTAGTGTCTTGTAGACGGTTTTAAAATCTGCCATTCTGTTAAACGTTCTCATATCACAAAGTTGAAAGGGCTGCTAAATTGGTAACAGAGTTCAAATAGACCACATTCACACCTAGCTGCATGGTGGCACATTTCTCGTTCATGTCAATTTTTTAAAAGGATAGCGTCCAATATATGTTTATCCATATATCACACGATTCTCGACCGATGACAAGGTAGGAGTTTCTTTGATGCATTTTCCTTAGTTTGGTATTTGAAAATGGTTGTCATTGACGATTGCCATTAGACAAAGACCATATATATACATATATATACAAAGTATATAACAATGTGCCCTCCCGGCTATCACCATAGTAAAATGGTGACTCCTGCACTTGGGACACAGGATGTACGGTTACACATTGTATGGATTGTATTGTAGAGTCACCAGAGCGCTCAAACCTATAAAGGTGAGCTTTGCTTAAAGCGAAAGCGGTGAACATATATGTACATATATATATATATATATAAATACACGTTATTAACATCAAATGGTGGGATGAATAAGATAAGTTTTAAAATCCGTCAAATTAACATAACAACGAAGCGAAAATAACAGTATTTTAAACGATCCATGAAAAAATCTACTCATTCTTCAGTAATTGGAATGATCATCTAGCTTTGTTCATGGATTATAGAAAGAGAAGAATTTTTCCACCAGCCTTTTTGACAACTGCATTTCGCTGCGGCTGACTAATCTTCCCAACCATTTCTGCACAGATGACAGATATTGCGCGAGGATCTTCATCTAAAGCGATCAAAATATGTGATGAGCCTCGCAAAACAGACCATTGTCATAATAATAATAGTTAAAAAACAGCCATCAACCACAGTAGTTCACACGTACCTTCTCAAACATTCAATAGAACAAGCAAAGGCACGTTGTCATATGAACTTAGAGGCGGTATTTTGGTAACAAAGGCATTTGGAACTAGAGCACTATTGATTTAATAAAAAATCTCATCGGGCTGAAGACAACGCAGCGGGCATTTCAATTTAACTCGGATGTTTTCACGAGCTGAATTTCCTTTCAGAAAAGGCCGTGTTTAGGTTTCATTAAATCGAAAATTCTTTCACATGTACCTAAGTGATTCTTGAAGGGCATATTGTTCGTTTGTGAAAATAAAATCATCGCACAAGCACTTTAGAATTGGATAGGTGAAATTCCGGACTTCTGTCGAAAAACGGGAAATACTTCAATGTGAAAATAACTTCGTTTTAGGGCGATAGGTTTTAAAAAAAGAAAATCACGTCGCTCTGATGAAAAACCACGAGCACTTAATTGAAAACAAGTAGTCATTGTCTGATCTTATTACACGTAGGGATATATAAAATAATTAGATTATGAGAAAAGTCCAATATATGAGCAGCAATATACGAATCCATACACATGATAAATTTATTATGCGCGCATAAATACCTTCAGGAATATTTCCTTAGACTTATTAAATGGATATCATGTACGGAGTACGGCTTATTGGTGTAATTTCAAAGCAACCAGATGATTTTCACGAGAAAACAGAAGCAAGCGTTGCTATTTCATGCATCGAATTGACGATATAATCTTATTCAGATTTTCTTTCAACATTTGTGATCGGATCTTAGATTGAAAGCCCAGTAACTTCCTGTCGTCTTTCCAATATACATTGTCTGATTCGTGCACAAGTACTTTTTCAGTAACATAACAGACAAGTGAATGATGTCTGAAATCCAATCATTTCTCGTTTTATGTGTCCCATTAATCGAGGCATTCGCTTTTTTAGCGATGGGATACGAATTTACAGTAAACAGCAACTGTTCCACTATATTCGTTTAATCCAATTCTGATAACTCTAAGTCGTGCAAAATTTTCTAATGGCTTAACAGGACATCTTTGTTTGACATTGGTGTCGGCATATTCATATCAATCATTTTATTTTCACGTTAGTGTGCGACTTTCGTTGACATACCTATCGCCTTGACGATTTCCTGAGTATAATTAATGTACTGTATACGTTGCACAATGACACAAAGTAGTTCCATTCGTGAGGTCTTGTCAATCCTTGTTTTAAATGGTGTTAAATACGCCATTGCCTACATGAAGATATATAAGAACTAGTTGAGCTCATCCGAGATGAAGAGGAACTAGTCAAGAGGAGCAAACTTGAAAATGATACTACAATGGAAGCATTTTCAGAGTAGTGCAGCCTTACTTTCACATTATATGAAAAGAATCTAGAAACTTCTTTTCCAATAAAATGGTGTTGACAATTCCTATCCCTCATGCAAATTTCGTTCCTCTTTAAGATAACAATGCGTTGCATGAAGACATTGAATACATATTGTATTTGAGCGATATTGTATAATGTTAATTTTACTTTAGGTCTTCTGTTAGTGATACAACTGTACTAAGATTCTTATGAACAATGTCTTCATGCAGCAGGTTTCTCAATAACATTGGATTTTTGGTGGGTTGCGTGAACGATATGATTGCATTCATACCAATTCAATTTGCATATGACAGCAAATGCTGTTTCTTGTGTTTAAAATTGCTTAATTATAAACGAGCATTGCATCGTGGTGGGCGGTAGGCACGCTTATAAAGAGTCTAATTTCCATTTCGAGACACTACTCAAAACAAAACAATATCGTTTAAAACAGTATGCTTTATTAAAAAATTTCGAAGCTATTCACTCATGTCATTTTGCAAAAATTCTTTCAAATGTCTTTTTTTGATATAAACCATGCTTTGATAAAAATGAGTATTGAAATACGGCAGTCACTCCACCTCGTGAAATTGAAAGGTGTGAAAAGGCTAGGAAATTATTACTAAACGTTCATAAATGAACAAAAATGTCGCCGCCGTCTAAATTTACTCATTTCAACATATAATATTTATAGTTTTGCTTCATTTGTTATAGAATTTGATAATTAAAAATGACCTGCCATATCATTTCTCGTAGACAAATAATCGAATATAAACTTATAATGTGTATTTCAACATTTCATGTTCGTTTAGCAGTCGCTTTCTTTTCATTTTAGACAATCTCCTGAGCATCTTAATTTCCATAGTTTAGCATGGAGTGGAAGCCTAAATTAAACCAGCATGAATGAACATTAAGTTGCTAGTGGCTGGGGATGGCATACTTTCGTATCAACACTTAATTTAGTGAATTTCGGTATAAAATTATCAATTATTTCCTCGAAAAAATGAGATGAGTTTCGTTTGCACACGTTCAATTTCTTTGTCAGTCAACACTTGCTATTGTATTGATTTAGTAGACATAACCTAGGAATTTTTATGTAAACAAAAGTATGTGGAAGAAGATTGGCAAACTTTATCGAAGGGAATCTTTTTTATCTTTTTTGCAATTAGTATTTTGCAGCAGCAACCAAGAAACGAATAATCTTTTTTGATCAAAATTCTCTGTAATGTGGGATGTCGAAAATTTGCATTTTTTTTCAATGAGTCGAAAATGCCATTGATAAAACGAGAAGAACGTCATAAACCGACGTGTAGCCAATGCAAGGCAAGTACACGTAAAATAAAGCAACATGATTGGTTGGGTGACCGTATAGGATATTTGTTGTGATAATGTGCAAATTCTCGGGTGTGCATTTTAAATTGTTGTAGTTCTAGTATCGTACGCAACTTTCGCCTCTTATCGAATCACCGAATTTTCATTTTTGTTTCGAGTATAATATGACCTAACTGGTGTCAGTGTCATGTTTGGTCGAAGGTAAATAACGTTCTTTTCCAAATTTGCAGTTCAAGAACTGAGTGGTCTTTGCCGCTAGTATCCATTCGTGCCTCCATGCAACGCATTTCTTTACGATGCTGGCCATAAAGAACGGGAGTAACCTTTACTATGTTTTTGACGTCCTTTCCTTTCTTGTGTTTTTTTTTCAATCTCAGGCAAACGTGATATGTACAAGTGATATGCGACATCTTGAAGTCAACATGTCGCCTTTTACAGGTAAGGGCATTGGGCAATGCTTTGTGACCAGTCCTTGTGTATTCAAGGTGTTGCTTTTGAATATGTCATACTACGTACCTTTGGTATATTGCTTTGATTTAGACAAATAAGAAATTGCCAGAAATCGTCGGGATCGCATATTGAAACGGTTGCATTTACCTTTTGTTTGAGCTGGCAACAGGCTAAGAAATTGTGTTCTCGGCATATTTTGATCGCAAATTTTATGGAGCTTTCTCAAAATGGTTACCTTAATTACGGAGAAACTTCAAGACCAAACATTGGAAGAGATTACTACGAAAGAAAGGGTATGAATTTTTTACTTTTGTAGATCTATTTTGTTGGGTATCGTGTTATGTGTGTGAATAACTGGATATGAGCCACATGCTACTGGAAAGATGTTTATTATTCGCGAGTATTATGATTACACAAAGCAATTTAAACTTTCTACAGATTCACGAGGAAAGGATGAAGAAAAGCATGTCATTATATGGCAAGTATACTTCGTATTTTCTCACATTTCAAGATGATTATTTCGCTTGCAGAGAATTATGTTTTCAATGCATAGCGTAATTGGAAACAACAAGACGTGACCCGACCACAGATGTACAATGTTCGTATTTTATATTGTGAAAGTATTTTTATTATATAGATGTCACGGGAAAGTCTTCGAGGCCTTCAAAACTGAATCATAGAAGAACAATGTCGAAGGACAACGGTACAAACCGCGCACAAGAAGTCGGCAAGCTACGAACGTTGGCTTTTCACGGAACGAGATGCCAAAGCTATCCACCAGCAAGAAAGCGACTCTGTCGATCGTTGTCAAACACCGATGCAAATTTTGAAAGTGTCTCAGGCTGGCGCCCGGAACCTTCTTCCATCTGGACGCCAGTCAAATCAAGAAAGACCGACACTTATTATAAGCCTTCTGGAGTGAGATCTTTGGAGTTCACTTGTGGCGAAACATTTTTTAACAGTTGGTCAACACCACCAGAATCTCCAATCTCAAGACCTGTATCGGCCAATTCTACTATGGACGACTCTAAATTTTTTCCACTACGGTTGATAAGCGACGAAAAGCATAACAATGAAATAGATAAAGGTTTTACTGACGCCAGCCAAGAGTGTCATAAAATGTCTCCCACAATGCCAAGGCGAAGTCAGTCGCATCCTTCGTTTACGTTAAACATGAACTCTGGTTTAAAGAGAAGGCTATCGGAGATAGATATTCCTCGACCAGCATTGGATTTTAATAAAATGAAAGCGGTGAATAGCGTTTATTAGTTCTTTTGTTGTAAATCATCGATTTAGCAATTATTTCGGTGTCAAGCACGTTGTTTGCATTGTTTGATGTAACTGAATTATTTATTAAATTTAGAAGATCATTTTACCTATCAAGAAAATATATATTATATCACGTATTTCTGTCTTTTTAGAGGACATTTTTGAGTGTGAATTGTGATAGGAAGAATTTGAAATGTTTTAAACATGTGGTAAGATTTTAAGCCTGCATAAATGATATTGTTATCATGATTTATTAATTGTCGTAAATATAATTGTTTTTGTTGTTTACAGGATAAAAGGAATGTTAGTCTCAAAGAGAATTTTGCTATTGAGCAGAAGAAAGTGATGTTCACTAATTATGAATCTGAGGATTTGGGTGTGAGTTTATTGATTACACCTACAGCTTCACCTATTATATCTTCTCCTACTACAGAAATGAAGACATCACAAACAATAGACAGCAATATGCTTAGTGAAGATGACAATTCCAACAGAAAGTTAATGGAATTATTTTCCCCAAGTAACAACAGCATGGTAGATGTTGAACTAGATGTTGCACTTATAGAGGAAGATGGAACAAATGCCAATCCAGCACAAAGCACCGTGCTCTTTATATAATATTTCAAAGCTATTTATTTATATATTAACCTATATGTAACAGAAAATACGTTTTTTTGACACAAGCATACCTATAACCTATCATATGTTAACAAATGTACAAACACCAAGATAACTTATTTAAAATAAATCATAGCAGATGTTTTCTGCTATCTTTTCAAACTTTTGTTTGCATTTCAACCTCTCATTTATCTCATATAAAGATAAATAGTCTCTTTCATGAAGTATGGGGACGATGCTAGAATTTTCCTGCACATGGTCTGCCACGTGGTTTTTGATGTAAACAAATGCATTTTACCGGGTAAAATATTTGGATTTCGCGCTTAATTAGAGCGAACCAATAGTATTCAAGTTGAATAACACATCCGGTTTTGGGGACGTATATATTAAAAATGGCGACCGCCACCTCGATGTTTAATTTTTTAGTAGAAGGCAGCTTTTGTTTTTGATTTTGTTTCAAAAAATAAAAAAGCAATGACTGTATGAACCACAGCTGCACGTTAATTAAAAGCGCTACATTTGTAAATATGTGGAAGACTGACGCCGACGGTTCGCCAAAGAATTTATAAAATGAAACTAAACAGGTCAAAACTTTCTATTTTTAATATTATCACTTCGTAAAAGATGGAGAATAGTTGTTCGAACGTCATTAACACCGATAATATAGATCAAATTTTCTCCAGAATTGCATATTTTCTTGCATTATCATAATACATCTTCAAGAATCAAAGATACTTTTCCCTGAAATATGATAATTAAACAAGTCAACTTTTGTGCAACAAGTTTGAGTTCAAAGAAGTGCAATTGAAAAGGAGAAATACTAAGGAGAAAAACGTGAACATTTTCTAATGTCTACTGCCACAACATGCAATGAAAAACAGAAAGCTCTATCTAGTATCAACGTGCCTTCATTTGCAGCTTCTCGCAAACGCTTCAACTCAGCTTGTTCTTTCAGCTTTTTCTCATGGAGTTTTCTGTCTTTGGCTCCATAAGGTTTTAGGTATTCTACCAGAAAACAGCAGCAAAACCAAAATTTAAGTAATGAGTAATTAGTTGATGTACCATGGCAAATAATAGCTAGAAAATTTTCGGTGAAAATGTGAAGGGTGAGCACAGTTGAACTATGCTTTTATAAAAGGACAAATACAACCATACAAAGCCAAAAATATAAAATGATACTTGACTAAGTAACTTGAGTGAGATAGCTAGTCTAGCCTGTCTAAGGATGTTCAATGCTTATTTAAGCCTTAATGTGCTTAAAATGTCTTAATGTGCAACTAGAAAGTTTTACTCAAACTTGTAAGATTAACGTGTACCAGCCATATTGATACTATACCATTTCTTTTGTAACCATAGCCAATACCAACAAGTAAAGCAGCATATCTAGAGAACTGAGAACAGAGCAATATTAACATAAAAACGCTCGCTTTTCAACGGAAACGAAATAAAACCTTGAAAATAATGCGCTTTCCTAAGTTTCATTTTCTTTTAACAGTAAACATGACTTACCCGAATTGCTGGAGATACAGAAACCGGCATATTTACTCTCTTCTAGGAAAATATTTCAACAGCCACACTCAAGATGGCGGCACTCCAAAATGCTATTCACTTATGGTCTTAGTGATCCCAATATACCAAGCATTAATGATCATTAAATATCCATATCATCATCCACAAAAATCCCATTTAGTCCCACAATACACAAGCGCTGTCACCCGTGCTATCAACACGTCACATTTTTAATCATACCTTCAAATTTATCTTAATAAATTCTTTTATTTTATCTACTATTTTCGGAAGATTCTTTAAAAATGGTGAAACTATACGCTCTTTGTATCCTACTTAAGGGGACAAACGTGAAAGCCCTTAATTCTGCTTATGATCTACAATCTTTTGGCTATTTTCAAAGGTCGAGGTAAAAAGTTAAGATTCTAGAGTATCATACTAAATTGTACGGTTACACCAAGCAACAAATAAACATCTACAATATTTGATCATCCTTATTCACGAACACGTCTCTTAGCCAGTATAAATATAATCATTGAGCGTTGAATTCTGTCTTCAATATCAAAGAATACATTCAGGAAGAGAGGAAGTGTGTTTAGCCATGATATTTTGAGTATTTATATTCTGGCCAACCTTGTCTTAACTAAAACACCAATATCAAAAGTATGCTGTTGTTTCAATTTTGATAGTGTGAAAGAGTTCATGGACTTTACTGCGAGAATAATCGTGGAACGAACAAGAGTTAAGGAGAGAGCATCGGTTAAGGAACAAGGTCTGCAAGCTGGTTCATTCTGTCTTACTGGAAGCTAGTGTAGACAATATAATATTCCATGCTAATGCCATACCTTTTGCTTTTCTTTAGAATATGTTTGCCATGTCTATGTAGATGCAAATAATTTGTCTGGCGTTTTGATTTCCGATTCTGAATATCCTTCAAGAGTGGCATTCACATTGATTGGAAAGGTTCTTGCTCTTTCTTAATCATATTAATTTATGTTGTTTGAGAAATTACAGCCTTGTTTTGCCACAATTGTACATAATTATGTGAGATGTGGTAAAAATTGGGTAACCCATTATCTTACCTGAAGGTAAAAAACAAGAAATTACGTGTTTAAAATAACATCTTATTAGAACGAGTTTCAATTATGTATGTGCACTGCTATAACACATCAATTAGTTTCTCAAAAAAGGTAATTATTTCGCATTTTATAAACCTTGTTCCATTGTCCTAAACTGATAATTCTATAATTTCATAATTTAGGTTTTGGAGGACTTTCTTCAAGAATACCCTCTTCACAAACTGCTTGAGCTCGAGATGAAGTAAATAAATCATTCATGTTTTTTGCTACGAAAAATCATTGACATTTATAATAAAGTATTCTTACTCTAATTAAGAGATATTGTGTTTGAGAAGTCAAGAGAATACTTGGATAAGTATCAAGTAGGTTGAAATACAACCCAGAACATGACATGCTTTTTCAAGTATCTTGAAATGCTTGCTATTTTGTGTTTCTTTTCCTAGAATCCAAGTCAAGCAGATCCGATGATGAAGGTTCAAGCAGAATTAGATGAAACAAAGATAGTTCTGGTATGAAATGTAGACCTCTGATGTGTAGATTTTTTTATCGGCCATGTACACAATTCTAACATTACATATTACTACTTATGTTAATTTGCAGCACAATACTATTGAAAGCGTATTAGAGCGAGGGGAAAAGCTTGACGACTTAGTGGATAAATCAAGAGAGTTGACCATACAGTCAAAAACATTCTATACCACTGTAGGAATTACCTTCTTGTGGTTGTGAATATCAACTTTGTGCTAATTTTATTTTGCTTTTTTCGTTTGAAGGCAAAAAAGACAAATTCCTGTTGTATTATCCTATGAGGATTTTGGTGAAGTATCCATTTAGTGGAGATACTTTCTATTAAATTTAACTAAAGATAGCAGGAATGTATACATGTATTCCTTTATTATTAGACACTTGTCACTATAAATTATGAGCTGGGGTAAATCATAGATGATCGGTACGCACAAATATAGACATATATAAATATTGTTATTGTATTTAAATGTGTAAATAGTGCTACATGAACTTGTAACTTGTTACATTATATTTGTACAAGTGATAAATGGTAGCAGATACTTGATAAAATTTTGTGAAAAGGGGAAAGGAATAAGTCAATTGGTGATAAATATGTTCTTAGGCAGTTATTTCAAGAGGGGGGGGGGGATCACTCCTCCCAATGTCTGCTACTGATGATATAATTGAAACCTTTTCCCTACCACCAGCACATGTTCACCAACAACTGCAAAATCCTTCAAATATCTAATTATTTGGCTTTAGCTTTGTCCCAAAGATCAGGGTTAATAAAAATCGCTGATGCTAGGATGAAGTACATGTACATCCTGGGATGCTGAGCTATCACAAAGAGGATGTACGTGTATGTCTCTGGTAGGGAAGAGGTTGAGCCCTAAAAGTTATCTTTACTGTGTCAGTCTTTCATTAAATTTACTTCATCATTACAAACATTGTTCTTTTATTGCATATCCCAATATACTCAAGCTAATCTTTACGCATTGATTCACTTTTCTATTGAATCAACAGCCCCCCCCCCGGATGCCAAAACAGATATATCAAAAGAAAAATACCTCGTAGATCAAATCATTTGATGTTGGATTAGTTAGTTCAGTTACAACTAATCATATAAACACTTTTCAACACTCCAGTGACTCTACAGTTATATATAAGTAAATTTTTCAATATCGCTGACTTGTACCTGTACCCTTGCTTGTTTATTGTCTCAAAAGACTCAGAGATTTCTGGAACTTTGCTATATATTTCCCCGATTGTGCATCCTCAATTTCCTATGGATGAAACAGATGCTAAGAAATTAAATCAGTCCACAGTTTAGTCTGGCAAAAATTTCCAATAGTTGTATGATTGTCTTGAAGTGCAAATACCTTCAACATTTTCTCGCAGAGAACAACCAAATCTTTTAAAACATTTTCCTTGGCGTTTGTTAAATTCAGCAGTGTGAGTGCTTTACAAAGCACGCGAACACCTGGAGAGAATGGTGTGGTGATGATTTCGTTAGCAATCTTTAGCGCCAAACCACCGTGGATGGAATCAGGCTGAAACGAAAGTTTAATGATTTGGTGTTGGTGCTGAATCTGAAGATGACTACCGCTAAGGATGTTGAAACATCAGTAAACCCTAGACCTTCTCCTCAAGACTGCACTAAGCTGGACGATTGACTTCTATAAATATGAACCGTTAATCCTGGATTCAAACCATTTAGTTTATTAAAAAACTGCATCGATTTGCTTGAACAGCAATGTTCATTGTTTCGTCCGGATTAGTGGAGTCACGAGAAGGACTGTTAATGTCGTTGTTAACAGAGAAGATGACTATTGCTAAGCCATGTCGTAAAGTCAGTCAAAACCAATGGTTCTCAGGAATAGACTAACCTGGACTAACTCTCCCCGGTTCAAAGCGTTTAATTAATTTGTTTTTAAGTTACGTAATCTTACAGCAACGTGCGTATAGTAAGTATATTTAGTTATTTACCCGTGCCTCGTCTACGCTGTCTTCGTCATTTGAATTACCAGAACCACTATCCAAACATTTGGTTGAAGTCAAATGAACAAGTAGTTCGGCGACATTGGCCACGTCAATTTGTGCAAGTGGAGAAGACGTTGGAGCGTTGAATAAAGTCCTCAGTGTTGGAAGAACGGCATCTGCAATCTGTTCTTGGTTCGAACTGAATAAAATGAATGATCTTTAGTGGACCAATGTTTAAGGAATCTTTGTTCGGGATTAAAAAATGACCTCCGCATAAAACGGAAGGCACGAAGTAAAAAAATATACGGCTTCCTCACCGAGAATCAAAAGCAAAAGCGCTCATAAAAACACCAATGGATTCTCTGAGGTATGGATCATCTTCCGTTAGTGGATTATACCACAAAATCAAGAGACGCGAGAACACTTTGGGACTGTGAACACGACCAGACAGCATGAGTTTTGCAAAACCTTCAGCGGCAATGCAACGAATCCAAGGATTCTGTACAAAGAAAGGATTTGCAACATACATCATGGCAGAGGTGTTTAAACTGACTTACAGGGAGGGTTTACAAGGGAAAGGGAGAAGTGTTCACTCCTCGTAGCCTTGACTAGAGAGCATGCACGCAGAGGTGTTTAAACTTACATAGAGAGATGGGTTTACTAGGGAAAGGAAGAAGTGCTCACTCCTCCTAGCTTTGACTAGAGAGCATGCACGCAGAGGTGTTTAAACTTACATACAGGGATGGGTTTACGAGGGAAAGGGAGAAGTGCTCACTCCTCCTAGCTTTGACTAGAGAGCATGCACGCAGAGGTGTTTAAACTTACATACAAGGATGGGTTTACTAGGGAAAGGGAGAAGTGCTCACTCCTCCTAGCCTTGACAAGAGAGCATGCACGCAGAGGTGTTTAAACTTACATACAGGGATGGGTTTACGAGGGAAAGGGAGAAGTGCTCACTCCTCCTAGCCTTGACTAGAGAGCATGCAGGAGGGGTGGCAATTTCCCTACGACATCGTGGTATACCAAACAATCAATTTAAAGCAACAACATACCTCTTTTTCCAAACACTTAATCAAAACATACAAAACGTGAGAGACAGACTTCTGCGCTTCGTTAATAATAACCTCTGCTTCGTCAACTTTCTCAGCATTGTTATCATCACTGCCTTCGCCATTACTACCACTGCCTTCCTCACCACCATTGTCGTCGTTATTATCATTGCCTTCATCATCACAATCAACTTCTTCACCATCACTGACTTCGTCATCATCATCATCATCATGGTTCTCGTTCTCAGGCTCCAAGACAGACTGCTCTGCCTCGACAATGGCTTGTTCTGCTGGCGTCACTTTGAACGTTTCCAAACCATAAACTTGAAGCAGATCGAGGATGGATTTTAAAGCTGAAATTTTTACTTCGTCGACATCAAGGAGAACAATCTGCGATATTGTATTTACCAAGTTTTGAGAGTTAGTTTCACGTGTTTGATGACAAAATGAGGAGTAAATGTACCTGTAAGAAGAGGACGAGATGACGGCTCGCAAAGTCACGTGATAATAAAGAACAAAGACCAAGACATTCAACGGCGACTTCTCTCACAAGAGGTTCTTCATTTTGAACACCAGGAAGGATCTACAAAATAGGACAATCGTGGATGTGAAACAAGGTAATGTTAGGTAGTAGTTAGGAGAATCGTGGATGTTATATGAAACAAGGATATGCTAAGTAGTAGTTAGGACAACCGTGGATGTTATATGTGAAACAAGGATATTCCAGGTAGTACTAAGGACAATCGTGGATGTTATATGTGAAACAAGGATATTCCAGGTAGTACTAAGGACAATCGTGGATGTTGTATGAAACAAGGATATGCTAGTTAGTAGTTAAGACAATTGTGGATGTTATATGAAAGAAGGATATGCTAGGTAGTAGTTAGGACAATCCTGGATGTTATATGAAAGAAGGATATGCTATGAAGTGTTAGGACAATCGTGGATGTTATATGAAACAAGGATATGCTAGGTAGTAGTTAGGACAATCGTGGATGTTATATGAAACAAGGATATGCTAGGTAGTAGTTAGGACAATCGTGGATGTTATATGAAACAAGGATATGCTAGGTAGTAGTTAGGACAATCGTGGATGTTTTATGAAACAAGGATATGCTAGGTAGTAGTTAGGACAATCGTGGATGTTATATGAAACAAGGATATGCTAGGAAGTGTTAGGACAATCGTGGATGTTATATGAAACAAGGATATGCTAGTTAGTAGTTAGGACAATCGTGGATGTTATATGAAACAAGGATATGCTAGTTAGGACAATCGTGGATGTTATATGAAACAAAGATATGCTAGGTAGTAGTTAGGACAATCGTGGATGTTATATGAAACAAAGATATGCTAGGTAGTAGTTAGGACAATTGTGGATGTTATATGAAACAAGAATATGCTAGGTAGTAGTTAGGAAAAACGATAACTTACGAGAGTTTCAACCAAGGTACTCGGTGTTGGATGATTAAGACTACTCCGAATGATACCTCGTACCAATCCACTGGCAACACGCAAACACTTCGCCAAGGTTTCAGCATCATCCTAAGCATAAGAAAACCAATAAGCATTTTGCCAGATTCCTTTCCTCTCCACCGATGATTTTATTGCACCTTCTCAATTCTAGTTTGAAATTTATTCACGTGGTTTGCTTCATTTTCCAGATCGGACTTCTCTTGTTCCAGTTCACACAACTGTCTCTTCACATCTGCAGCTTTATCGAATTCTTGTGCGGAAACGAAGTTTTCCATGTCGTCTCGCAGTTGGTTGATCTTCACTCGAACCCCGGCAAGCTGCGGAGAGAAGAAAATAAGCTATTTCTTCGTAAAAGAACATATTGTTCCATGTATGTAAATGTAGATCGTCCAGGTTGGTATAGTCCTGAGAAGGACTGTTTTTGTTGTTGTTGACTGACGTTTCGACAACCTTAGCGGTAGTCATCTTCAGAGTGAAACGAGGAGTAAACGTCAGGTTGGCCGTATTTATCTGGATAATACGGTTACCCAGATAACAAATACGGCTAACCTGACGTTTACTCCTCACTTGACTCTGAAGATGATTACCGCTAAGGTTGTCGAAACGTCAGTCAACAACAATAGCAGTCCTTCTCAGGAATATACCAACCTGCACGATCTATATCTGCAAATATGTAACGATACTCCCGGCTTGAACCCAAAAGTATCTTTAAATATTTGTAGATGTTGCGCGTCCAGGTGAAGAACTGTTGGTGTTAACTGACGTTTTGGCGTGGTTAAAAGTAATCATAGTCGTTGTCGTTGACTTTAAACGGTATTGATTCTGAGACGATGACCACAGCTAACACAAAGTATCGAGAGTTCTTCTTAGAAGTGCACTAACCCGGACGATCAACGATTACAAAAATGTTTGTTTTGCTTTCACAAGTTTTTGAATGTGACCATTTCAAGAGAGTTTCTCAAGTATTACTACCTTATTTCAAATAAATCTATCGGCCATCGGTCGTGTAACACCGTCAATTCACGGAGATCATTACCTTCAGTTCCCTGGCGCGGTTATCTTCATTGATCCGAGGAGTATCAACAACTGTGATTGGTTCTCGGATGTCGGCGATCACTTCCGCTATCTCGATGATCCTCTTCTCTTCATCAGGTTCCACAGTGGAGTATCTTTCATGAATGATCGGGATGAGAGAAACGGGACATTGTGGATTGATCATCATGTCTTGAAACAGCTTTTTCAACTTCTTTCTAACGTGGATCAATTGCTTTGTAGTTAGACCGTGTCTTTTTACAGCCATTTGCAATCGACCGTGCGCCGTGCATAAATTGAACGTTTTTTTATAGTTTCAAAACTCGCTACCAGCGGCTAACTTGATGTTACTATACAGCTATCTGATTGTTGCTAAGGCGTAACCCTGAGATAGCATTGGTTAATCACAAAGTGTCGCTCTCCGAGTCTACGACAAAGACACACTGTGGCTCACCAATACCAATTTAAAGTCTTATATTTAACGATAGAGTTCAACGTTTTCAAACGTCTTTCCATACTTGCATAATTTCAACATGCCACGATTGTTTATTAGATAAAAACATTTTCCATAGCTTAACGCGTACGCCTTAGCAACAATGAGTTAGCCGTTAGTAACGTCAAGGTTTGAAACTATAACAAACGTTTACTTTATGCACGGCGCACGGTCAAATGCAAATGACTGTACCAACACAACAAGAAGCTGTAGATTTACTACTTTCCACAAAGGAACATGATACCTACATTCCCTTTTTGTAGGATAACCTAGCCAATGGGATGAAATCATTCCCTTTTTTAAGATAACCTAGCCAATGGAATGAAATCATTCCCTTTTTTAGGATAACCTAGCCAATGGGACGAAATCACACATTCCCTGACGTTAATCATTTGTACAATTAGCTTTGAACAGAACCCTTATACACAACCAACATACTGGGGTGAACTTTATACAACTTATATGATTATCAAGGTTAATATATATTGGTAAAATGTTGATTTGTGCCAATGACCCCCATCCCCACCCGTCTCTTTTCTTACAGCTCCTTCGTACACATCCGTTATGTTCGTATGACGAAAACACAGTACACGTCGGGATTTCAAGGAGTATGAACACACAAAGAAACAAATACAAAAACACTTTAGATTTGCAAAAATTGCACCCCCACTCTGATTCAATAATGATTTCCAGTTGCGTGCCTGTCCAGAACTTGTCAGTCTATGAATTCGATTGTTGATAATATGCATTTTTACATTTTGTAATCAATGACTCCTCTGCTATGGAAAACAAACATTGCCTAACCTAGCTTTGGGCAACACCACCGTGCAAACACAAATTCAAAGCATGTCAAAATCCATTTCCAAAGCCTACCTGCCAACTTCATCGGAAAGATCCATATGTGCAGCAATCGTCAACAGTTGCTGCAGTGCGAATTCTTCATGCCACTTGTTCTCGATGACGTCATCATTGGAGGAACACTTATCTATATAACTTAATGGTTGACATCACTGTCACTTTAGACGTAAAAATTTCAACGTGAAAAAAAATTTTTTCTAAACTTCTCTGTAGTTCACTACCTTTCAATATATTGGCAGAACTCTGATATTTCTGGTAGGATTTCGTCCAATGCTGATTGTCCCTTAGTACCCAGACTAACGCAATAACCAACCAGACATTGCCAGAACAAGGCTCTTTCACAGTTGAGATTCTCCAGAAGTACGGTCTGACCTTTCATGAATTCCTTTAATGTGTCAATGTGAAATGAAAGTCCAGTGGCTGCTGTTCCTAGAAATTAATTGAATCCAATAGAAGTCCCAACTAAGACCCACAATTGGATTAAAGAAGTTCACTCTTACCTTTAAGTAGTTCATTCACAACAATTTCAGATGTCTTGAGAGAGTTTTCAACATCAAGCAATGCTAACAGCTTTGGTATACTATTGTTGCAGAATTGTTTCATCCATTCCAAAAGAAGCTTCGAATAACATGCCTGTTTCACACTTTCAACTCGATCATTTAAGCCGTCGTGAAGAATTTTAACTCTCTGAGCAATGGTTAGTGCTCGAATGCCAACTCTGTGTCCCAGAATTTGGAATGCGCACTTCCTCACACTGTCTTTTACATCGCGAGTTCTCTCTGCAAGAAAAGTGGGGAAAAAGGCGCCATGTTTCTTCATCACTGCCATGATGATAATAATTATAACAAATGTAAAATATACTACCAACACATTTCACAGTTTGAGATTTTCACAAGAAATAAAGAAAACATGACTCATACTCAGGGACTAACTTAGTGGAGGAAAAATTATCATATCTTTAATTGGGCACAAGATGCACACACTAGGATGGTGTAAGTACTTCCAGAAACTGATAGGTGAGGAAAACAGTTCGTCCAATTAAAATGGCAGGCTTTTTATTCGGCACAGACACTGTAAAAGTCATTTTTTAGAGAATGCACTGCCCCGCACAGCACAGGTATACGAAATGTTAATGAGAAAAGACATTACCAAGAAGATACTGTAGAGTGTTGTTTGTGATAGCAATACACTGCATTGCTGTTTTTCTAACATCCGCACTGTTATCAGATTGCATCATGTAGAGAAACACTTCGATAACTGGACACTTGGGATCACTTGGATCTTGTAGTCTTGATAATGCAAGGATTGCTTGAGATCGAACAGTTGGAATTTTGTCGAGCAGTCGATTCATCATCGATGTCAGAACTCCATCAGCAATTTCCTGGTTTATTGATGCCTCGTCATCAAGGTAGTTGAATATTTTGCTGATGAGTTGGCATGTTCGATAGCGAACTGCTTTATCTCGTGAATCATGAACTTCTAGAAGAAAATTCATGAGATTCAAGAGAAACCAACTCATTGGATCGCTATCTTCCTCATCACTGCTTTCTGTGTACGACAAATCGCCAGCCTGCAAATGAAAAGTCGTTTCTATCAAGTAACTATAACCACACAAACTCACCATGAATAAAAAAAGCAAGCCTTCAAATACCTTTGAAATTTCTTGTACACCCTTAGCAGTCGTCTGCCTTGTAGCATAAGTTGCAATGAAATCTATAAGTCTTTCGACGGCTGGCTCTTTTTGAAAGACAATCATGCAATACTTTAGGTTGTGAATGAAGTCTTGTACAAATATCTCCGACGATTCGCTGCATTCTAACAATTTATCTAGTGCTTTAAAAAGCGTCGCTTGATGTTGCGAGCTTGTTTGAGCAGCATTAAACACTTCTTTCACGCTTGAAAATGTCTTCATACTAAAACAGAAAAGGCTACACGAATCATTAGTTGAACATCGAAGTAACTTTCTAAAAACTGTTTACAAAAATCATTTTAAATTTTGAAATTCAAAATGGTTGAAAACTTGAAATTATTAAATTTGCGCGCGCATTTTTGTATCAGCCAATGCAAAAAATCCAAATCACTTTAAGGGGGGAGGGGTGAAGGGAATTTGAAAAGTTCTTTTTTAATCCATATTCCATAAATGATTTCGCGTCTTTGACAAAAGCACAGAAAAATTGTTTTGACATTGCCTATCGTTTTTGCACTCAATTTGCGTTCAATGGCTTCTGTCTTACTTCAATTCTTACATTTCTACATGTTTTCACGTTCGTGCCACCCCTTCCTCCTTGACAAATTATTGACAACACTTAACAGGTATAATAAATGAACAATTGCATTCCACTAAAAATATTTGAAAACAAACATTACAAAAATAACTGATGAAAACACGGAATTTCCATGTTTATTCTTCTTGAGTGATGATGAACTCAAACTTATCGTCACTGATGTACAATGCGTTCACAGAATGTAGTATTTTATCTATTTTTAACGTCGCTGGTTTTGCTGTTGTTTGTGATATACACGTACCACTCGAATGTCACAAAACTCGATAAATTGTCAACCCTTAAAGTTCCAAAGAAGTATTTAAAACAATGTAAGGCTGGTTCTTACTATTCACAGGTCAATACATCATGTTTGCCCTGCGAGCCAGGTACGTTTAGTTTTGATGGATGGATCGGTTGCCATCCTTGGTTGAACTGTTTTGATATTGAGGCAAGTGTACGAACGAGAGGATTGCTCAGCAGAGCAAGCCATTATAACGCCGTCAAACACATCTATCTTGCTGACTGGCATGGCTTTAAGATTGTGTACGTTAAGTGTGCGAGTAGGATGTTCTGGGACGATTGTGAACATAATGCAAAGATGGTTAGAGGATTTCAGCAGAGTAAACTGATTGTGCAGCTTCTTGGTTACTGTGATGAAAAACAGGAGGTAGGTTAAATCCTCCACACTTCCGTAGTGAACAAGTGGTGTCAGTTTCTGCTCTTTTCTAGATAATTACAAGACATTACAAATACGGCTCTGCTGACAAACTGAATGTGGTTCTTGCACATCAGGACTTTTCCATTGATGAAGAATTACATATTCGGTTGCAACTAGCTGGGGATTATTTACGAATATTGAAGTTTTTACACAATAGCCCATTAGGTGTTCGTGTCATGTGTGATGCAAACGACTTGATAAAATTGCTCTCGCAATTTCTTATAACTGACGACTTTCATCTTGTTGTTAACGACCTGGATGCATTACCCAAAGTTGATCGTACTTTGAATGAGTTTGTGAAATGTGGCCATCATGAGCTGAATGGGTGGTTTGTAGCACCAGAACAGCTCTGGCCATTTGAAGATGCACCTTTTGATGATTCTAAAATGCTTCCATATGATGAAAAGGTGGATATATGGAGAATTCCCGATGTTCTTGTGTGGTTTCTTGGAGATACTCTTGAAGCTTTAAAGATTAAGGCAAAACTAAAGGATGTGTTTACCAGCTGTAAATCATACAATCCAAGACTTCGGCCAAGTGCCGGCAAGGTTCTTGAAATCTTTCAAGAAATCATCAAATAATTTGTGAGTTCAAATGGTAAAAACAAGTTACCTTTTATTGAAAGATCAATTTATTACAAAATGGTCAAATTCTTGCGAAAGGAGTTCATTCATGCTTGATGGTGAACATATCTAATCTTCTATCCTAACTGGACTGCTCTTCATTACTATTCACATTCTTTTACAAAAATTTTTCCAACATAAAAAGGTTGAAAGTGAATGAATATGAAGCATTACGGAATAGCTATCTTCATTTTAGTATCGTCCGCTGCGAGTGTTATATCGTCTGCTTGACTAATGGGAAATAAAAGAGAACATGGATAAGGATTTGAATAACTGAACAAAACAACACAATTTCTTGACACTTACATCTCGCGATCGAGGCAATGTTGAAGACTGAAAAATAAAATATCAGAGAGGCATGTTAGTGAATTTGGGTAATGAACTACACAGGAGCTCATCGATGCTCATTTCATAGGGGGTCACATATTTTTAGAGGGGGTTGATCAGCAAGCAAAGGGTCGCCAGGGATGCTGTATGTTTAAGTGAAAAGTAAGTTGCACTCTGACTTGATCTAAGTCTAACTGTACAATTTTCTTCCGGTCAATAATATAATATCCTATAGAACACACATCATTTTCATATTCATCGGGAGGGAAGTGGTGAGCACATACCCTTGGATTTTCAAGAATATCTCACTTTTTAATAAAAAGTAAAACTAAAATGGCCCCTTACTTCATATCTGTAACCAGATGTGTACTGAAAATGAAAGGTACAAAAAATATTAACAATTTTCTTCATTAAAGGTTTTGTGTATATTTGATTGAAATAATAAAAAGATGCAACGTCTTACATCATCAAAAGATGCATCGTGACTTGAGGTCTACAAACAGAAAAGACATCAGTATAAATGAGTAACATTTACATCACGTTTATTTGAAATGCAGTTTAAACAAATACTCAAGACATCATTGCTTCAAACCTCAAATGGTTGTCGAGAATGTTCTGAGTTATAACCCTTAAAAAAATTATGAAAATCTGAGTAAAGCAATTATTTCATCACGAATCTTAACTAAGTGAAACTTACACCGCGAGTTGAAAAGTTTCTTGGCAAAGTTGATGAACCCTACAGTAGGTTATTATGTTAGTATATTAGTTTTGATTAAAATTATTAGTTTTGATCAAACTGATTTGTTTTTGATTAACATGACTAGTTTCTGTGATTGATTTAATACAAAGAATAGGTATTATCACTGGCAAGTGTGCAAACAAATTACTTTCAATGGCCAGAAAATTGTGCGGACTAATTTTTGTAGCAGTGTTTGAAAACAAAATGAAATTGGACAGAACAAACAGTAAAGATTAACATAAAAATGCCTCAATCTTATAAATTTGATGATAAGTTTTTAATTGAAGCAAGACTTAAGAACCTACCTCATAATAATCACTTGTGGAACGAGAAATGCGAGACTATAATAAAAAAAACAACCAAGTTTTGGTTTCTGGAAAAGAATATTGTTTATGAAATATCAACTTCATATCTCACAGTTTCATCATAGTGTCGATGAGGGATATTGTCATACATTCCACCTCCCAAATAAACATTGTCCATTGATGCGGCATGCAGTCTACTTTGATCCAATAAGTTAGTACTACATCAATAAAAACAGAGACTTAGATAGTTCTCAAAAGACTAATAAAACAAATACTTTCTGACATCTTACGTTTCAGCAAATCCATCTATATCATTATTTCCATGTATTTCGCTTGTTTCATCAAAAGGAGGATGTACCGTTTTCTTTCTTCTAGCATTATGCCTTTGTCTGTAATTTCTGGTTGTGCCTTCACCTTTCTCATGTGTTTCATCACCGAGATCTTCATTCAAGCCAGGAAAAGATTCCAAAGAGCTTTCAGATCGATAGCGACGAAGCTGTTGCACAAGCACATCCTGACCCTAGTGGAGTTATACAAGAATTTAGAAAGAATATAAAAACCATGACCAGTCGACAATTTAAGGAAAAATAGTATAAAACAAATTCCGAAGAAGCAAGACATCTTGAGATTTCAAAATATGCATCAAAACAAGACGAGAAGTGAACTGTAAATTTTTGACTTTATTTCAAAGTCATCCTCAGACTGAATGATATTTAAAACCATACATACACATATATATTTACAACGCATGAAATAAGTAAATGGAAGTAAGCAATAGAAATTAAATAGTGTGATATTAACAAAGGCAGAGTTGGAAGAGGTGTAGTATTTCAAAAGTATGAAGTGAAACTGCCGACCCAACTTGTAGAATGAGTGTATTGTAATTTAAGAGAAGAGTTGTAATTCTTTGCTAGCCTTAAGTCCCGTGTTGAGATTGAGAAAAGGTTTGTTATGTTTGATGAGAAAGAATATAGCTCCCAAAATCACAACTGAAACATGGATATACTATGGAAAATAGTCTTACCGATATTGCAGTCTTTACCATGGTGTCTGCCGCTAAGTCCAGTCCTTTCTTACCATATTGCACCAGTTTTCCATAGCCATTTGTTTTTGCTTGTTCAATGTACTTGTCTATTTCCTATAGACAATGACAAAACAACTTTCCAGCACATTTGTATTCATAGCATTTCCTATTCAATATAATCAATCCAACCTTTTCATGTTGGGTAAAGAAAGGGTGCACAAATTTCTTGTACAAAATACTTGATCCCCTCGTAGTTGGTGACAAAATCCACAACACGAATAGAATTTTTAATTCATAGTAAAACGGCATCCTTGATGTGAAAAAACATCAATAATTATCTTTGGAGTAACTGAGAAAAATTGCAACATGCTGCAAAGACATTTTACCAAAATCCAACAATCGCATCGAAAAATATTTCAGCAGTTGTAAATATTGCAAATACAATCCAGTACATCATCCATTTAACCTAGAAATGGTTAACAATACAAATATCTTTGTTTTTAATTATATTAATCACACAAAATAGCAAAAAACACACATACTCTGAACAAAATATTTATCTTTGAAGCCTGGTCCTCACTTACGACATAAGCATAAGCACAAGATTATCAAAACTCTCAGTTCTTCTTATGCATATTGCAGTTTATGGCAAGCGAGGATGCTTTTGTTTATGCTTATGTCCCAAGCAAGGACCAGGCTTAACTCAATTTTTGAGACAAAAGAGTGATAATATATGCAGTCGCAAAGCGACCCTGCAGGTTCTAGTTCTGTTATGTAAATTTCCAATCATTACATCATTCATTTCTTTAGAAATCTATTGAACAAACTCATAAAAATTTACATAGCAGAAACAAACTAACAAGAAAGATTTCAGACAAAAAACGTATTTTCTCGGTACAAGCCATCTCTTCTCCGTTTAACCCCCCACCATTTCTGACGTTCAATGTAAACACTAAACAATCAACGAAGCAGTAGTTGCCTAGTGGGCAAAAAGTTGCCTGCGGTATTGTGAAAATTTAACATATAAACACAATGAAAACTAGCGATAAATCGATTTATTTGGCTATTTTGTTACATAAACTGATCTTAGATGCAATTAAGATAATCTCGAATTGCGAAGCTTACGTAAACAAACTGAAATTGCAAAAAATGACAGAGAAATATCATACATATTCCTTGGTATCCTTTGACTTGATTGCCTTGTAAGACCTATACGCCGGATAAAGAGTACCCAGAACCATTCTGAAATGAAAAAGACTTGATAAACACCAAAGTATCCTATACCAAAAAACACCGAAGTACTTGTTAATATTAAGAAATCAGTCTTGAGTCTCAAAATAATGTGGTGGTTGTAACACAACTGGCGACCCGTCGACTAGTAATACACTATGATTTCCAGTCATGCCAAGAAAGTACTTACACAATAGCGCGTGAAACGATGTAGGACACCATGACTGGGTCTTTTTTTAGGAGACAGAGATTAGAAACGTCAAAGGAACCCTCAAATCATTAAACCATGCATGTTCGTGACATTTCGTCTCCTTCTAAAGATAGCTATTAACTGACAATGTTTTTGTTACGTCACCGTCGTGGATCGTAAAGTCGTCGGAAGTTACCGTTTACTGATTCATAAACCTAAAGTACAGTTTAAGATACCAATTTATTTACCGAGAATGAGTTTAAGATAAAACCAATGGCCAGGAGGTCAATATTTTTCATTACGTTAACGTTATTTACTTCGATTTATACAGGTATGGATGAATGTAATCGTCGTACTTTGTTGAATTTTTCGAGTATTGTGATTCTTTGTGAAGATATATTTTCTCACCTTACTTTCATTGAACAGAATTTGAGTTTCAGAAATGGCGGGGGGCGGAGGAACAAAATGGCTGCAGTAATTAATGTTCAGTGTATACTGTATATTTCATTTTGTGTCAGAGAGACATGCAGCAAGAGTCTATCTTTGTCAATGCTCCCCCCCCCCCAATTAATTAAGACGGAGAGACTAAAAAGCCCCTACCAATATTCATTGTCACAAAAAGTGGTAGTATTTTCAATATTTTCCCTTTGTTGGACTAGGGGAAAACCATCAACATAGATGACCTCTCTCTTACGATATATCTTTCTCATGCAGAATGAAGTATACAATGAACAATCTAGAATTTTGCTGACTCTTTGACTGAAACTTTGCTATAAGGTGAGAAATGGTATGCACCCACTACGACATGTCTTGTTATTCTGCTCCCCAATCATAGGTGTATTAGGTGGAAGGGTAGGGGTTGATCTAGCCCCCAGCTAAATGCTCCGCAAACAGTCAAGCATTATCCAGTGGAAAGTTTTGTAAATTAGATCATTTAAGATTGAAAATGTACTACCCCCACTAATAATTTTGGCTCATCTGCCCAATTGAAAACATTTTGCACCCACTGATTACAATATTGAGGGCGAGTTTATTTTAAAGTGTAACTGATCATCCTTTCCACTATAACACTTATAGTGAAGGAGGGGGGGAACGTGATCAGGGCGTGGCATTTTACTGATCAGAGAGAGCTGCAATTTCTGAGATTTTTCATTTTATATAGAAGACAAGCAGGGTACGAATGATTTGGTTTTGATAGAATCTGGACCACAGGAAAATGAGGAACACGATAAAACTACAAAACATGACGATTACGAAGTATTTCACGCCACGAACAAATGGCAGACGGTAAAAGACGGCCAGGCGATACCACGTGGTTTGCACGTGCAAATCGACTTGCAAACTGGCGAAAAAAGGGCGAAGTTAATGGATGACACTCCAAATGTTGAGAGCAATGGAAATAACGTTCTGACATCAAAAAAAAGGTTCATCAAGATTGATCGAAATTTGATTTCTAAGCAAAAGCTAAAGGATGCCTTAAAAGATTTCAAAGATAAATTTCACCATGAGAATGAAATGGAAGATGACGTCATTGTCGAGCATGGTACGACGTCATCTACGGTCGTTTATTTCTCGTGATTCAACGGCTCGATTACGATTTTCATTAATTTAGGGAAGAAAAAGTACAGAAGTATGGACGAGATCAAGCAAGAATTTCAAGGGACAAATATTTGGATGAAGAAAGACATCGAGATCATGAAAGATCAAGTTTACGTGTTGAACAACAGCGCAAGCAGTAAGATGGACATCCTGCAAGCTTTAGAGGAACTGGAGTATTTGGTTCATCAGATAGACAACGCTAGAGATTTGGATAAAATTGGAGGCTTAACGATAGTTGTCAATTTGTTAAATGCAACCGATAATGATGATGACGTTCGTAGTGAAGCCATAAGTGTCGTGGGCTCAGCTGCTCAAAGGTAAGGAGAAAGAAATATCGTTCATGGAATTCCACCATTGTCATAATATCGTTCATGGAATTCCACCATTGTCATAATATCGTTCATGGAATTCCACCATTGTCATAATATCGTTCACGGAATTCCACCATTGTCATAATATCGTTCATGGAATTCCACCATTGTCATAATATCGTTCATGGAATTCCACCATTATCATCTTTACACTACGTTTGTCATTTCTTTCAGTAATTTGCCAGTGCAGATAAGCTTGTTGCAGTCTGGTGCGCTCCATTTATTGACAAGGTTACTCGTCGATTCGCGGAGTTCGCCGACGTTAAAAAAGAAAGCCGTTTACGCTCTCTCGGCCATGTTGAGACTTTTTCCCAAAGGTGCCCGGCTATTCCTGAAACTCGGTGGATTATCTCATCTCAGCTCGTTGTTCGAGAGCAACTCGAATGAAAAGTTGCAAATGAAAGCATTGACGTTGGCGATTGACTTACTTCGCGAGCAAATGGATGGCATCCGCGAAAAAGCAAAGGAAATGGGAATTAAAGAATACGAGAAGGCGGTGATTAAGTATGATTCTCGCGACAAGGTAACAAAGCGTTCACCGTCAAAAATAACGACTCCTGTTTCTTCTCTTACAGAGCACCACTGCTGAAAGCGTTGTACGATGACGGTTGGTGTGAGCTGTCTTCCATGTTAATTACGTCTATCGATGATACGGAAGGGAAGGAGAAACTCCTTCAAGCATTTCATGTTCTTTTACCTGCATGCCGGGAGGAGTATAAACGGTTGTCACGATTTAAAGAAGCCCTCGAGCTTTGGCGACAGGAATGGCGACGCGAAATGACAATGGACGAAGAAGACGACACGGGTTATCTGGAGAGCTTAGTGAGACTTGTGAATAGGATTTTTGAAGAGTGCGGATGGACGTAGGCGATTTACTTCAGTCTCAGACGAAATCGTAAGAGATCCTGTTTCTCTTCCATTTTACCACAAACAAATCCAATTTCTTCTATATTCAAGCAAATAAGATTAGTACTGCACTTAAAACAAACTGTACTTAAAACGAGCATAGAACAATTGTTCGATTCTCCCTTCTTCGTTGAACGAAAAGTTTTAGTGTGTCGTGAACAAAACGCATCGAGCTTTGGTAGTACTCGATGCGTTTATGTTAGTAACACAGCATTTCTAAAATGAAGTGTGATAATCATGTTTCATAACACAAAAACTATTTCATTTCACTATTTCACATCTAGCGAATCAACTTCTCCCAGCATAAATTTTCGCGATAATTTCCGGAAGACACTCGAATTTATTCAGTATCCGGTGCGATTGCCTACGTTTCTTGCAATGCTTGATAGAAAAATGAAGTTGTATTCGTAATAAAATCGTAGCTTTCAAGGGAGAAATCAACACTCTCCTTAAATAGTTATAAAATTGATCATAAATAATTGTAATGTAAGTCCTACACGTCACTAAGCCAACACATACAACGTTGATATGATAGTATATATACATTTTAAAACAAGCAAGATCCTTACAACAAACCATGTTCGTACGTGAAGACCTAGTAGACGCATCTTTAAACAATCATGTTTGGTCAACATCGAGAGTAAGTTCGACCAAAGAGATTGTCGTTTTAGTTGTCTTACAGCCACGGAGACCGGCAATGTAACGAGATGGTTTAGGCACACTTGTCGATTCTTCTCGCTTGGTTTGAGTCCCTCCGTCTCTGTAAGTAAACAGAAAATTTTCTTGAGAAATATTATCGCTTGAGGAGGAGGAGGAATGGGTACAGATTATGTATTTAGTCATGAAAAGATTACATATATAGTGGAACATTTGCAAGAAATCAAATTTAGAAGGAACAAGAACTGTTCTCTTGAATTCTCGGTTCCGACAGAAAATAAACAGGTCGCCCCGTTCATTTTGTTTTGACATTAAATTTCTAAAACAGTTCTTTTTAGAACTCTTGATTTTCTCTGTTTTCTCCGCTTAGTTTTTTTTTTCTTCTCGGTTCAAACTTGGGTTTCGTGGTTTTTATTCGGTTTCAGTCCATTCACCATGGCAATCGCTCTTTTTTAAGGCGGTATTCAAATTTGTCACCACGACAAAATCTCTGTTTTACCATTTTATTTTGCATGTCTGAACACGAATCTTAACTGACTTCGAAACGAGTGGATGAAAATAAAACATTCATGAGAATTTGGTTCCCGTACTACACATAAAATATTACGAGCAAAAATTTACCAACTTTGCCTACATTGGTTGGCCGTTGGCAACGTGACGTCACAATCGTAATTGATGACGTTGGGTCATCGTACCAATGACATGATACTTGTGACGTCATAGTGTTCAAAATTATTATATTTGGTACATGGTTCATCTGACGACCAGCATGAAGGGTGGTGAAAACACTCAAAATAAATCAAGACTAACTTTGGAAGATAAACTTGAGTCGTGTTGTCTCTCTTGTAGTTACTTAAATTCGTCTGCATCGATTGCGTCACTTTCGTTCGTAAATTTGCCTGAAATAAATCGAACATACGTCATCATTACATACACCAAAGCTTTGCGTATGATGGGGCTTCTGTTTGGAATTCAATTCCAGCAGAAATCAGAAATAGCAAAAGCGTGTCACTTTTTCAAAAGATTGCATTTTATGATTAAGTTCAACATGTAACTAATTGAATAAACTAAACTCTGGGAATATTTAAACTTATCTTTCTCTTCTATAGTTAATTTTAATTCTTAGTAAATTTTGTAATCGCTTTTGAACAAAAGCACGCCCCAGTTGATGAGGCCAGCGTGTCAAAATAAAGATTTTCATTCATTCACTCTCATTCATTACAAAAGTCGCGATCAGCCGCAGATTGTCAAGAGAGTGGTTTTCATTCTGCATAACAAAAACACAACTTTGCTCATTCGGAATGTTATGGGAAAAAATCACACAGCGCATTTAGCATCACGAGATTTATCCTACTGAACTTGCAATATGGATAAGACTAAACAAAGAACGAGTGGGGGAGGGGCAACAAAACAAAGAACGAGTGGGGAGGGGGGCAACAAAACAAAGAACGAGTGGGGGAGGCAACAAAACAAAGAACGAGTGGGGAGGGCAACAAAACAAAGAACGAGGGGAGGGGCAACAAAACAAAGAACGAGTGGGAGAGGGGAGCAACAAAACAAATAACGAGTGGGGGAGGGGGACAACAAAACAAAGAATGAGGGGGGAGGAGGCAACAAAACAAAGAACGAGTGGGAGGGCAACAAACAAAGAACGAGGGGAAAAAAAAAGAAAGAGTGGGAGGCAATAAACAAAGAAGAGGGAAGAAAAAAAAAAGAATGGGAGGGGCAAAAAAATGAATGGGTGAACCAGCATGTGAATGTATCAAAAGTTTCCCGCTTCCCGCACCATTGACCTAAACATCGTCATAAAATCGTTTGTTACATCACGCGTCACGGATTTAAACAAGAATTGATAAGCAAAACTTAAGCGGTTCAACTCGCCTCGTAGGGAGAAATGGCGGAAAACTGTGAGTGAAGTTCTAATAATTGAATCAACTCGGGAGACTTCTTTGCCGCTGAAGCCACGTCAGCAATATGCCTATAATGACGTGTTAACATAACATGAAGTAAGGTAGAGCGATCGCACAAAGTTCACACAAGAAGATTATATTTTCAGAAACATTGAGTTTTGTTGTTTGGCGCAGTCTTACAACGGTCACGTGGGCACTTGGAATAACTGGAAAGAACATAATCAGCAATAAATATATTCGAGGCATTTTGGTTGCGGTAGTTTCGACATGTAATGAGGAGAGAAGAGGATTATGCAGAAGACAGACGTTGAAGATAGTAGTGCTAGAGAAGACAAGATAAAAAATGTTATTGTAGAAGGTTGATGGGTGTGGTGAAAAATGATTTGAGGGGCATGGAAGTGATAGAAGATGATAATATGAGGGGCACGGGAGTGGTAGAAGATGATATGAGAGGCATGGGAGTGATAGAAGATGATGATATGAGGGGCATGGGTGATAGAAGATGATGTGACGAAAACATAACATTGAAGGTTGAAACCAGATTGGCGAGCACGAATAAGGGAAAAAGGAAGAAAATTCGCCGACCACAGTTTCATTTCGCGTGCCACAGTGTTTCTGGCGTGTGGAGGGGGGGAGGAGCGCATCCCTTCTGTGCTAACCTTTCGCGGTGGCCCTAAATGTTTATCGAATGATAATAGTCGTAAAAAACAACTTTACTTTTCTGGGTCTTTCATGAATTCATAGCAAGCTTCCTTCGTGGAGAACGCATAATATTTACTGTCGTACATTACCACACCAATGGCGGGGTTGGATGGTAAAATGAAACCTTTATCATTCACCAAGGACCATGCGCAATATCCCTAAAGAACCATTATATAAACATATTAGTGAGATGAACCTTCACATTAGTCAACACCAGAAAAAGATTCGCCGACACGAGTTACCATGGTAATGACGTAACTCATCTTACTCGATATAGAATTGGCAAACGGTAGAAATTTTTAATCCCGTCGGGATAGAAGAGTTCAACATCCTGTCTTGGAATGTCTTCGGATTTAATACGACAGTTTTCATCATCGGTCTATAACAAACCAAGTGCGGGCCCGTATTAAAGAGTCTCTGATGCATTTTCAAAGCCATCATCAGAGAATACATATAATATATAAATCCTAACACGGTTTTTAATATGCACATGAAAAAAACATGTAACTTGGACGAGATTTGAACTCGCACCTTCGGGATACTAGTCCGCCGCTCTACCTGTTGAGTAGAGTCGTCCAAGTCACATGTTTTTTCATGTGCATATTAAAAACCGTGTTACGATTTATACATTGATGCATTTTTGAAGATCCTTTATTTCGGGATTACTTAAAAACGAAAATTCATGTCACACGTGCACTTTAATAGATGATCACGTGAGGGACAACTGTATATATAACGTGAAGATTCGCTAACCTCCGTCAAGCGATCGTTGTCTGTCTTTATTTTAATTCCTTGTAAAAGTTTTTCCAGCACTTCGGGAGGAAATAGCTCCGTGACAACTTTACTAAATGGAGCCAAACTGCTCTGTATATTGGTAAGAACACTGAGTAGGACCATCTCGTCTTGAAAACCGCTCCAAATATGCGAGACGTTTATGAACTGAGGCTGAATCGCAACAAGAGAAAAACCAGTCAAACATATAGTACACTGCCATCAATGTAATTTCTGCGACAGAAATGTCAAATTCCAAAAGTATTCGACAATGTAAAGTTTGAGAAGGTGATAAGGTAATAGCTATATAAGAATGTTTGTAGATTACATGTTTGTAAATGTAGATGGTCCAGGTTGGTATAGTCCTGAGAAGGACTGTTTTTGTTGTTGTTAACTGACGTTTCGACAACCTTAGCGGTAGTCATCTTCAGAGTCAAAAAAAAATTTACTTTATAATGTTTGTAGATGTTGTTTGCCCAGGTTAGTGCAGTCCTTTGAAGGACAGCTGATGGTACTTGATGTTGAGGTTGACTGACGTCTTCACAATGACTTCGAAGGTGACTACCATTAAGGATGTCAAAACATCAGTCAACAGCAACACCGACAGTCCTTCTCCGGACCTCACTTGACCAGGACAATGTGCATCTACAAGGATCAAACGATACTGCGCGGTTAGAAGTTAGAACCATTCACTTTAATAGTGATGCGCCGATGCTTATATCGGCTCTAAAACAGAATTATCGGTATCGGTAATTTTCTTGCTCATAACACCGATATTTAGACATTTCGTGGAAATAGAAATACATTAGGAATGAATCATAGCATTACAATACTAATTATAACACTTTAACAATTTTTGTTAAGTTAATACTACTTTAAAGTTGTTAGTGCCACATGATATTAATTTCCATTGACAATTGCGTTGTGAAATATAGGGCTGCAGTGTAAATAAACACTTCGAATTTTATACATTTTTTATCAAATGAACAGTCACTGGCGAGCAAAGGCGGCGTACTTTATGATGTTTATGTTTCGTAAAATGGCGTAAAATATCGGTATCGGCACAATATCGGCATTTTAATAACGGGTAATCGGTACTACGGTAAAATCCTATATCGGTGGATCACTACACTTTAATGCACAGAAATCGCTTCTTCAATGTTTTCATTGAACTCATTTGTAGTAAGAGTGTTCGCAATTATAAACCTTCCATAACCCCGGGTGAAAAATTCCTGTTGCCCACCCCCACCCCGGGCTAAGAAATGTCCTTTTTTAAAAAGTAATTAACATATTAAGGAGTGCTACAGATTATCAATGACTTACATAAACTTGCGCGGTTGGAACAGCAGTTTTTGACTGAACGGTATTGCGAAGATTTTCCAATCTTGCTTTGAATTGAAAATCAAGAGTTTCGGTCTGTTGGCCACACTCGATAACTTCGTGCTGCATTTCGTAGTAATTATTTCAAAAAATTTTTTCAGCCTACCAAACGCAAGGTGAAATTCACGCCTTACCAATACGACGGTTAGAAATGTTTCCAACTGCCTGACATTTGTCAAACATTGTTTTAACAACGGAAGTGAAACGTCCGTGGATGAAGTCTCTGGCTTTGATGACAACTCTTCGACAATCGCTGAAACACAAACAATGGACGCATGTTAAAACTTTTCAAAAAAACTTGCAACAAAAGCAAACAAACCTGTGAATTTATAGGCCATTTCACGTGTTCCATCGATCTCAGTTTGAATCTTGCTAATAGTAGCTGGTATAGCTTCCCCAAGAACAGCAGGCACTAGATAATATATTTAGTAAATATCATTTTATCCTACAAGATCCCTAATAGTAGCTGGTATAGCTTCCCCAAGAACAGCAAGCACTAGATGATATATTTAGTAGACATCATTTTATCCTACAAGATCCTTAATAGTAACTGGTATAGCTTCCCCAAGAACAGCAGGCACTAGATGATATATTTAGTAAATATCATTTTATCCTACAAGATCCCTAATAGTGGCTGGTACAGCAACAGCATCCCCCAAGCATGGTAGGCTCCATAAAGATCAATGCATCCCCCTGCATGGTTCCAATCTATAAGTAGCCAAATCATTGAAAGATAACCTTACTACAAGTCACTTACAGTCGTCTATACCATCACCCCCTTTGCCACACTCTTGGTTAAAAAGACGAATGCCAGATACAATCTGACTGAGTTCTTGCAGTTGTTTCTCCTTATCCTGTTTTATCATAGACATGAAAGTCCCAAGCTCTGTGTGAGGAAACACACTTTGTAGGGCAGCTATGAAGAAGTAATACATAATATTAAATATGATACACTCAAGTAATTAAGACGTAAAAGATGTCCACAGAGTTTGCACAGGTTTATACAACAATGGAGACTTTGGAAGAGCTTGAGAGCTGAGGTTTTTTGGTTTGATCTTTCTCGAGAGTTCGCACAAATGTCTCATGGTTTGCATAAGCCTGTGCAAACACGAAATTCTTTTTGTTTTATAAAGTCACAAAAATGCAAAACAAATAATTTTAAAACAAATATCTTAAATTTTCTTCTATCGTGTATTCATGGCTTATTGGTAAAGTCTTATAGATTATTTTATAAATTGACTCAGATCAGTTTGCACAGGCAAATTGAAATACTCAACTTTTGACCAATCAGCATTTTATTATAATTAATTTATAATGTACTATGCAACACTTTGTATATGTAATAGCATGGTTTCGAGAGCAATTTTGGGAAAAACATGAACAAGTGAGTTTTTTAAAGACTATCAAAATTGCACAAGTCCGAAGGATGAGGTGTTTCGCATTTTTGCACTGGTATTTAGAAAAAATTGCACTCTTAACCAATCAGAATTGAGAAATTTTTCCATGTATATTATAAAGAAAAAAAATACCTGTAGCTTCACGGACAACAGTTATATCTGTGGGTGAACCAAGACCGGATCTGAGCAGGACACAAGAAACAATCTTACGGTAAAGTGCTAAAATTAGATAGAACATGCGAGAGAGTGGCACTAAGGCGAAAAAACTAAAGCACTCTTTCTGCAATATTATTCTGGGTTCATCCCTGCGAAATGATGAAAACATCATACCTTCGAGCTCATCTCGATTTCGAGCTCGGCTATCGGTGATCTCTCGTACAACTGGACTCAGTCTGGTTTCAAGTACCCTACGATGTTCTTCCAGGAAATCCGCTGTAATAAATCAAAATTTCAAGGTATTTTCATGCATTTATGATGTCATCTGAAACAAAGTGGGATTTAATTTACCGCGAGTGGTGTAATTCATATCAAAGTACACTTGCATCTTCACAGTTGCAAGAGAAGGCGATGTTTCGTCCATTAATCTAGCAACACACGACTGAAATAGAATGTAACTTATCTTTCTAACGATGATAAAATCAAAACATTATCATGCATCGTTCATACACTTATAAGTCGTTGAACATCTTCTTTCGTCAACGTTCTGTCCACATTGAAGTGATTATTTGGGTCCAAAACTACAGCCTTCACCTGAACCAAAAATAATGTATAAGTATCATAAGATTGGTGGCATTATTGGCATTTATTGCAACAACATCAATAACTCAATTATATCGCAAAATGCATAAGAAAGTTTAGCAACACAGCCCTATACGGTCTAGCATACCATGAAGGCCACCAAGGTTTCAGAGACTTCTTGACCTCTTCCCGCACATTCCTGCGCAATTTCCCGAATTATATTTTTAATCACACTCTCTGCTTGTGGCTTTGACATGTTGATAGAGCAAAACGCATTAAATTCCTAAAAAATGCTGCAAGAAAATAAATGTTATCGAAGAACAGAAGCCATATTGATAGTTGTGCGCTGTCTCTATGGAAACTTCAATATGTTGAGAAAAGAAAGGCCTGGTAACTAGAATGAAATAAGCAAACCGGACGTCGCAAATTTTTAGTATCTCAATTTCATTGAAAATACAAATATATGTGTTTTACTACTGTAAATGACACTTTGCTGGTAAATTAATAATAAGATGAATCAGATGACAAGCAAAGCTTCCTCAAACGTACTTTCGTGGACAATAAAATCCGGCGAATCCAAAAAGGCTTAGAGGTTTTTGGATTCCCCCCATTGTAAATTTGTGATTCATCCAGCACTGAGCTGCCCAGTTCAGCTGGACGGTGGGGGTGTAGTTAGAAAAGGGGGAAGTTCATGTTTAGATCTGGAAAATTACAGTATGGAAGATGGAGGTCGGATAACGTCACGTGCAACTGGGAACCGTTCCAAGTTCACTGGGACACACAGGGCAGAGAAGTCCGACACCCATGACGTAATGCATTCGGGTAGGACAACAACGGAAATTCTCGAAAAAGAGATGTATGGCGAACACGTGACGAAAAATGATGACAAAATGAACAATTCCCTTGATAAATTGTCTGATGATGAAACTGATGGACCAGTGTTGAATGGTGAAAATAAAAGACTTAGAATTAGGAAGAAAATATTGACACAAGTTAGAGAGCATGATCTTCCTTCTCACAATAAAGACAATGACAACGTTAAGGATAGATTAAACCCTCAGTCTGGCAAGGATGCAGTAGTGAAACCCAGTTCTGAAGAAAAGGGCACATTTAGATCACTTGGCAATGAAGATAAGGAACAGGAAGATGAGGAAACTGAAGACATGCCTCAACAACTGCCCAAGAATTTCAAAAAGGGTAAGTATGAGTTGCAAAATGGCGTCCCTATCAACTGCTGAGCTACAGCAATAGCTCAATTATGATCTTTAAAACTACATAAAAATATGATCTTTAGATTTTTCACTGTTTCGATATTTAAAAATGGAAATGACAAGAGGCCATCTCTTTGAAGAACGTGAAGGAAGATACCTGGAGCAAAGAGAGAAGGTTTACACCTTCATGAAAACACCAAGAGAATTAGAAAAGGTAGGTGCTTCCCAGTGATAAGTGAATGTAGCCTTGCTCATATTTTACACATTGTATCATGTAAGTAAAGAATATCTTCTTTTTCTAGCTAATGTGGTTCGGCTTCTTACTTTGCTTGGATTGCTTCCTGTTTGTCTTCACGTATCTTCCCATACGTGTCCTGGGAGCTGTATTGCAGCTGCTTGCAGGCATTGTTTCTTTAAAGTTTCTCAGAACAAGGCAAGTTGAGATTAAGCTACAAATATTAAATGTGAGAGGTTGGGGGTATTTAGGGGGAGTATAGGTTGGGGATCTTTAAGGGGGTATAGGTTGGGGATCTTCGGGGAGTATAGGTTGGAGGGATCTTTAGGGGGCAGTATAGGTTGGGGGATCTTTAGGGGGGAGTATAGGTTGGGGGGATCTTTAGTGGGGAGTGTAGGTCGTGGAGGCATGTAACACAACTGTTTTAGTAAACATATAAAAAGTCGAAAAACTGATAGAGAACAAAAAAAGTTGTGGATTTTTCTATCAAATACAGACACTACAAGAGTTGGTCACCAAATATAGAAACCCAATTATTTTGAAATGCTTCTTTCCAAAGTAGTTCATTTTGCTAAATCTGTTAATTGCTGATGTAAATTCTATTTCCCTCCACTGCAGGCAACCAATATTGGAATCACATCAGATTTGTGACTTACTACGTGGTAGGAATATTTAATCAAAGCCAATTGAGAAAGACAACATTTTGTTGGACATTTGAAATATTGATTCCCTCGTTTAGGTCTTGTTCTTTTTGTGTGCTGTGCTGCGATGGAGAACCTTGATCTTTCTATATTGTATCATATTGTTCGTGGACAATCAGTCATCAAGTTATATGTTATCTATAACATGTTAGATGTGAGTCTACATCATTTGAGTGTATTGAAAACAATTCTGGTCACTCAATGATCATGTTCTATGTGTTAAAAATATTTTGTTTTTCATGAAGATTGCTGATAGACTTTTCTCCTCCATTGGTCAAGATACTTTGGATGCTCTGTTTTGGACAGCAGTTGAAGCACCAGAAAAAAGGAGCATTCTTATGATCCTACTTCATTTTGGCTTAGCCTCTCTCTATGTCTGTATCTTTTTACCTGCATTTGTTGACCCCCCCCCCCCGCTTTACAGCCCAATGCTAACATTTCTTAAAGTGAATGGTTTTATCAAGGGAGTATCCTCAAATGTTTGTAGATGCAGTGATGGTACGACAGCCTTAGCGGTAATCGTCTTCAGAGTCATGACTACAGCTAAGGTTGTCAAAACGTCAGTAAACATCAACATGAACAGTCCTTCTCAGGACTCTATTAACCTGGACGATCTACATCCACAAACATGTAAGGATACTCCCGGGTTCAAACCATTTACTTTATAACTTTCCTTGATAAAAATCTCAGTTTTGCACGCGGTGTTGGTTCTCTTTCAAACCATAACTCTAAATGTTGCAATTAATTCCCATAACAAGGTTCTGATGGTCGTGATGGTGTCAAATCAGGTGCAACGACGAAGATTCTTGTTAGCTACAATCGTTGTCGTCATTGCGATGTTTTTCTTTGCGACTTTTTTTCTTGGGATTTCAATACTCACCATTTTTGCTTTCCTAGTTTGTAGAATTGAAAGGAAGCGTTTTCAAGAAATTTGAGAAGAATAATCTTTTTCAAATGTCATGCGCAGGTGCGTTATTACGATAATGTTCGTCGCCTCTATCAAGCGTACATCACAAGGAAGGCGATGCTTGTTTCTTTCACGATGTAATAACGATCCTCTTGTTCATAGATATCAGAGAAAGATTTTATTACATCGTCCTGGTCTCGCTGGTGATTCTCAGGAACATGCACGAACTTCAGTGGGACATAGGTGATACATGAGGATCTTTCTAATCCTCGAGCGTTGACTTTCGTTGACCGCGTAAATCGTTCATTTCAGATCATTTTTACGAGCTGCTTATGTCCGCTACATTGTTACTCTCCTCTGAAGTCTTCGTAGATTGGGTTAAACACGCCTTCATCACGAAGTTCAACTGCATCTCGAGCGAGGTGAGGGTAACACGACAGCGCCATCCGTCTTTTTACCGAACAACCTTTACTGTTCGAAGGATTTTTTTACCTGGCGAAATTCAACATCTTTATCTTTCACCAGGTGTACAGAGAATACAGAGAACTGCTGGCCGTGGACGCAACAACGAGTAGATTGATTGGACAGAGTGTACGAGACCCTGAATTAAAGTCGCTTTCAATGTTACTTCCTTCGATAATCTCTTGCATATTTTTCCAGGCTATTTCCGAACATTTTGATTTGGTATCGCGGCGTCTCGGTTTTATTCCCTTGCCTCTGGGATGTTTGGTATGTGCTTCATTGTCATAATACCGTTTCTTGAAACACAAAACACATCATTTTCAATTCCAGGTGTACCGCGTGACGAGTCAGTCTATTAAACTCAGTGGAAAGTTTGGCGTTGTATCGCTAATCTTACTGTATTTGTGGTATAGAAAATCTTCCATTTTGAGACTAAACACCGTGTGTCGTCACCAACTACCTTGGGTTTTTGCTATTTTAGGTTGACGTCACTAAAAGTGCTGAACAGCATCATTCTCCTCGGATTATCGAGTAATTACGTCTTAAACATGACGTCATCAAACGATGCGGAAAAGCAAAGCGAACCAACTTGTGCAAGCCCCGATGTGCTTTTTCCCACTTCGGATCCTTTGAATAGAGGAGCCAAGAAGAAGGGGAATGCGTGTAAAACACGTCAAGTCAAAGCACTTAATGAGATAGATCGTTATACATTATGCAGTAATCGTATCGTTTGATAAACACAATGAATTTATATACAGTTATTTTGTAAAGAAAACAGTGTTGTATTATATAGTTTGTGGTCACTTAACGCCATTATATTTATTCGCACTGTGCGAAAATATTTCAAGTAAAATAAATCTCCTGGCAAACACGCAAAATGCGAGAGTACTCTTCTGCGTTTTACCTAATAATTCTTTTTTCTCTTTATGTTTTCGGTTTGGCAGACCGCGCGAATTGCTGAAAGAACAAGTAGATCGATATTATACACGGATTTAATTCTCCTCCATAGAAAAGTAAAAAAAAACAAAAACTAACCACGACAAGAGGTTTACCAAACAGAACATAACAATTTGTTTCCTTTAACGCCAACTCGGCCGACTTTTCATCGGCAAAGCTCACGAACGCCTGCCCCTTCATTCGGCCTTCTTTCATCAGACGAACGTCAAAACTACGAGAAGTTATACAATTGCAATGAAGTTATCTTTCAATTTAAGCGTCGATGATAAGGCATTACCTTGATTTGCAGTCTTCGTTTTCCTGGTCAACAAATCTTCCAAAAACACGACGAAGATCCTGCAAAACAAGTTTCTTTAAGCACAACACGTCAGTAAAACCGTACGCAGTAGTTTCACATATATAACTACCTTGGTGTCGGCTTGTTTTGCGATGTTTTTCACGTAAAGACGACATGTTACTTCACCACAGGAGTAGTTCTTGAACGCCGATAACGATTTCATTTCTATAAACGTCGAACGGAAGTAGCTATTCAACAATCTGTATGAGAAAAGTTGAAAATTTTGAGTTGCGACAGAACACACTGCGTACCTTCTCGGCTAATTCTGTTTTTTCTCAGTTCATGAAGGGAGATAAATTCCCCATTATCGCTGTCTTCACTTCCAAAGTCATCCTCACTGTCATTTCGTTTTTCGTCTTCGTACGTTCGCGGAGCGAAAATTCCAAATCCCGAACCCTCGCCTGCACCGAAACCTGACAAAAATTCCAACCATTTCATTGGCCAGGAGATGATCATGTGATTTGAATGATATGAAAGCATTGCTAACCTTTCTTCTGCTCATCTTCGAGTGAGAGTCTTGATGGAGCAGCGTCGAATATGGCGGATATCGTTTCGGCTAACTTTTGACCAATCTTGTTGGTACTTTGCTGAGGCTTTCCCACAGCTTGTTCGAAAACAGATTGGACCGTTACTGGTTTCGATGAAAGTTTTGGTTGATTCTGATGAATGAGTTGGGTAGCCTGAACACGAAGTCGCTTTGCTTTGGGTTTACTTCCGGTTGAAGGTCTTTTCTGCGTTGCATTGGTCCTGGTGAAAGAAGATATAAAGAGAAGGATGCGAAAAAAGTCAATTGAAATCATACAACAAGGCTGTCAATCTTGACTAATATATTTGCTCAACTGTTTATTCTCTGAATCGCTCTCCAGTTCTGATTCCTCACTTGAGATCTGTGGCTCCTCTGGAACCCTTTCTCCTGGCTATCAAGATGGAATAAGTTCGAGTGTCTCGTATGCGTTTTCTACAGTCAGGGGGTTCACATTCAAAGTACATCTAAGAGGGTTGTTGATCATGCTGGAAAAGGACGAACTTCTTGCGTCGGTAGTCGGCACGAGGTGTGATAAAAACATCATTAAAAAATATGGGGAAATTTCCTAGAATATTTTATCTAACATATGGAATGAAAATAGTGGCACAGAGTTACAGAGTAACATGTCGATAATAATTTACTGATTTCATAAATCTTTAATTTCTTACGGTACGAATTGACGTCAAAAAAGCGCATAAGGTTTTTTCATTGAGAAGTCACAAAGACGCGTAGTGCATCCAGTGGCGTCGTCAGCTCGATAAGTGAGGGGGACAGTATTCATATATATTCATGTTTTAATCCCTAAGAAACAATTGACTTTAAAAGAACTTCATACGCAAAAGCATGTATACAACTAAAATCTGCCTCACTTATCGAGCTGACGACGCCACATAATCCATCTGCGGTCGCGAGGACGCATTTCAACTTTTACAAAGAAGCGCATCGTTGATTTGCGTTTCATCATAGTGACACGCAAATTTGCACAATCCTTCGTGACAAATGATCAAAAAAACATCGTTTAGCTTACAAAAGGAGGTGTCGGCGTTTGAAAGCCAAAAGGTGCAGGAAGATTTAGCCTGTTCATCAGATGCAAAACCTGTGAATAGGGCACAGAAATCAGGAAACATTGCCAACAAACCAATATTTCATAAGTCATACGTAGGAACCTGAGTGTAGAACTTTGGAGAACAGATGAGGGCGTTTGCGATGTTTGTGATGATAGAAGGTGTTGGTGGAGGATACAGGTAATAAAGATAAGGATTCCTGCGATAATTGAGCCTATAAATTGAAACACCAAACAAAAGAAAAAATGAAATTGCAATTTTTTCAAGAGCACAGAGCAATGGTTGGATGAATTCATGCACACATATGGATGAACTTTTTTCGAAGGTAGATAAGAAAAAAATCCGGAACTTGCACACATATTTTTTTGAAAAAAATAAGACCAACATCTGATTGGTAGAGCAGACAAGTTTCTGAATTTTTTGGGTGCACACATGTTTTCTGAAAGAATACTACACACATCTGATTAGTAGAACAGACATGTCAAACGTTCAAACTCACCCCAGTTTTTTGCTCACAACATCACAATTCTTGTCCTCATCATTGGCACCTGATGTTGAATCCTTGTCACCAGATTCACTTGCTTTCTCATCCTCGAGAACAGCATCTGGCTTTGGCGATAACCTTGTATATAGGCATAACAAGTTGCAAAAGTGAAAAACATATTGATACAGAAAATACCCAAATATACTTTGCCATGGCGCAGCATTAAAAATCAGTACGAAAATTTCTGCTCTCAATAAACAAATCTGTTTACAGTTCAATGCAAAGATCTTGTTTTCCTTCAATTAATGGATTTGTTTATATTTCATGTTTGATGAAAGATTCACAAACTCTAATATTTTGATTTTTGAAAGCCAGATCTACCTGGATCTTTCCCTAGCAGCTGATTCTTTATGTTGCACCTTTGCAAACTCAACAACAAGCCTTTGATTGAGGACTTCCAGCTGATGCAATCGTACCAAAGCCTATTCACAAAAAAACATAATTTGTTGAGTCTGGAACAATTTTATACATGCATTATTATTCATTCGTTCCCAATGCCTGACTAAAAAACTAAAAATACCTGTTTAGCAGAGGAGAAATCTGGAAAGGTCGCATAAGCTGAATTGCGCTAGAGTTAAAGATAAGGTCAATTTTTTCGAATAAGAAGTTCAATTCTGAATTTCATTTTAATAAAAAATTGCAAGTCTCAACTATAATTAACAATTCTTTTATCTGACGGAATGCTAAAAACCAAACTATAAAAATATAAAGATACATGCTGCTAGAGTGCTAGTTTCTCACCATTTTACCAATCTTTGCCATGCAGACAACATGTTTCGCTCCAAAGTGTTTCAAAAATGATTCTTTATCGTTGTCAGTGAACTGTCGAGGAAGATTTTTCACTAACAAATCTGATGTATTTTCTACATGTGCATTCGCCATGTTGTAGGGTAAATTTCCCGGGGTGGTAAAGTCCGTATAATACTCCAACATTTGAGGTATCGGAGGTACCCCCTGATTCGATTAAAATATTTATTAATTCCGGCAGGCGCATTTGTTTTCATTTCCAATTATGTACTTTAAATTTCAGGTAATTATTAAAAAGTATTTATTGCGCTAAATTTTACCTGATTGCATAGCTTCTTCACTTGAATTGTATCAGTTTAACTCACTATAAATATTTAACTTTGTAATTAATTATGCATTACGGCAGTAATGAATAGAATGTTGATAATAACTGCAAAGTAGACAAATATTAGATAATTTGATGCAATAGCGATGTCTGCGAGGCAATAAAAGTTTGCATCACAAACACTTTGAAAAACCTTATATTGGATTGTAATATATAACATAGCATGGGGGCATGAATAGATAGAGAAAAAAATAGCAGGAGTGCTGAGAAATAAAACAGTTTCCTCAGCAACAGCGCAGATGTAAACAATAAGTTTTGAACCGGAAAACCACAAAAATCACGTGCCGTGTGCAATAGTGACCTCTGGACCTCAAGATTTTTTCACGCATATTTGTTGTTGTTATTGCACTCGCTTTAGACGAGAAATGCGGCCAGCAATAATAACAATGATATACTACAGTTGATGCTGACCGTGCAAGACTCCAGACGTAGAATAATAAAAATTATCGTCCGGCAGAATTTACAGACCTGAGCAGATTCTTCACTACTAACATCTTTCTAATTACGTATTTACTTTCATTGAATTATTTAGTGACCATGAAAATTGATCAATACTTAAGCGTCTAAGGCTTTTGCGCATCTCTCGGTCTAGACAAATATGTGACAAATGTGACCAACATATTGGTCTCTTACATGCGCATCCCAATTTGAGACAATTACGAACTATCTAAATTCTATCGTTACAATGACTGAGTGGTTAAAATTACAGACTTTGACAAGAGAAAAGCTTGCTGAGAGCCCATTACAGGAATACAACACTACTACAACAATGGCAAGCTGTACAAGATTTGTATTCTGTATGACAGCAAAAAATTATTGATTTCCGTCAATATATTGTCATTCAAATGGCATTCATACATTCAATATACAATAAAGTAGACACAACTAGCGCATTATAATCTAGCACGCCATCCCGCGACCCTAATTACAAATACGTAACGCTAACGTCATTTTTTATTTCGATAATCAATATTTCTTGAACTCAGAGTTGCCCATTTCTGAAACCAAATACGTCGAAACATTCCTCAAGTCAATTGGTAAATACCGAAAGAAGGGTATTAAAATATTTCAGGATGATTAAGTTTCGAAGCACAGGAAAATTAACACTACAACTCAACCGAATGTCAACAAAACTTCAATAAAATTGACACAAGTAAATAGGAGCTTGTCAATAGCGCGAACTCAACGAAAATATTGCACATCACCGCAAGTTATTCCCATGGTTAGTTAACACTAAATTGACACAATAAACCGGATTTTAAGCGACACGAGAGACATCAAGCGTCATTATTTAACGAAACACGCCCTGAGTTCTCCCGCAATTGTCAACATATAACAAATGCGAACACTCGTGACAACGTTTCTGCATGTCTTTCGTAAATAATAAACGACATTTTGATTTCTCACTTGAATATTTGAATTTAGAATTCATTGAAGTTTACATCTCGAAAGCAGATAATGCGTAATAATGATAATCGACGTCCAAACAGTGCCAAATTTCTATATTTAATGCCATGTAAAATTAGGCAAAATGAATATACTCTACCAATTCATTACATCTAATGTTGATTTCATAATATATTCCTAACTATGTTATCTATGAAATGAATATCACAACATTTTACCATCTTCAAAATCAAATATATAAATATCCATGAAGTTTATTAATATGGGGGCACAGTTCCCACACAGCAGCAAAACGGCAATTGCTTATGTGGTCATTCAGGAATTAAGTCACACACACATTTTACAATGTCATGAGATGCCAATTCTAGTGTCTATTCCTTCTCCTCACCTCCTGATTTGTCGGCGTTTGCAGGTTCGGTCTCACCATTAATTTCACCTTTCTGATCACCGTCTTCTTTCTTATCTTCTCCGCTCGTTGCTTCTCCTGTTGGCTCGGTTTCACCATTCTCTTTGGGTGGTTCTTCTGCATCGCCATTTTCTTTTGCCTCCTCGTCTTTTTCTTTTGACTCTTGTCCGTTTTCTTTTGCCTCTTCGCCATTCGCTTCGTCTTTGGACTCGTTGTTTGGACTCGTTGTTTCTGATTTCTCACCTTCCTTCGCAGGCTTCTTAGATTTCTTGTTTCCTCGGAAACTAAGACGTTTCACGAGGGATGCCTTGGGCTTCTCTTGTAATTTCTCGTCGCCACAAATATCTTCCCAATTGCTCCAAAATTTCGTCTTCATACGCTCGTTAAACTCCCGTATATTTGCCAACTTTTCTTGGATTAAAGTATTCTGGGGGGATCCGAGGGCGCCATATTCGAAGTTAGCTAGTAAACCAAATGCAATGGCGTCAAAGCTGGACGGCTGTTCACCAAGAAAAAAAGGTTTTTCGCCGAGAAAATACGAAAGGGCGTAGAGGTCTTGTTCAGCAATGTTATACAGCTCTTCGCGGTTGTAGCGCCCTATCATATGACTTTCGATCGACTTCTTGCATTTATTTTGAAACATTTTGGGACTGACAACGTTCAAAACAGGAGGAAGCTTGCTGAAAACCTTTTTGGATTCACCATAGTTGTCAACCCAGCGATAGTACATCAAACTCCAATACGTGCTTTCTTCTATCATAGTACGGAAGGCGTGCACCACCGCAAGATCAGGAGGTGAGAGATGTTTATCCGTTTCAACGGCAAACTCTTTCATGAGGAAATCGATACAGTTCTTTAGTCCCTCGACTTTATCTTTCTTGTAAACAATATAAGGTATTTTTCCCTTGTTTTCTTTCGTTACGTCTTGGGCCTTGTCTTCGTACTCGTTCGCGTAAGGAATTTCACACATTAAAATGAAGGTCTCGAGGGCAAGACACTGCGGTGAACGACTAACTATTTCTTTAACAGGAGGCAGTTGATGCAGTATAACTTTTGGCTGCTCTTCCTCTACTTCAACAACAGGTTCATTTGCTTCAGCTTTACTTTCGGCAGCGGGTGTTTCATCAGCCACGACATCGGCCTCGGCCGCCACATTTGCTTCAGTCACAACGTTTGTTTCAGCCTGCTGCGGTTCGTCTGACGCGGGACTTTCAACGTTATCGCTAGGTTTTGCAGATTCCTCTTCCTTTGGCTCTTCCTCCTTCTCCTCCTCTTTACCATTTTCGACGACGATTACTTCTTGCGTCGTCTCAACAGTTGATTCTTGCACGTGGTTTTCCACCGTCTCTGATTCACTACGCACTTCTGTTACGAGAGTGACAGTCTCATGCGTTTTAACCGTGCTGATAACTTCGGATTTCACGCTATATTCAACTTTCTTTTCGCTCTCAACAATCTCTTCCTTAGGTTCTTCTTCGCTTAGCACGATATCCTGAGTTTCCGTGGCCATTATCAACACCGAATACCGCGAGCAATAAAGCAAAGATCACACAAACGCACTAAGTCAAAGAAACCTGTTTGATACGCGCCGTCTTATATCAAAGCGTTGCAACTGCCAACTTATGTGTACACGCCTTTGTATCGCCATAATAGACCTCACCCGTGAGCTTGGACCAATCACAGATCGTTCTGATTACGATAAACCAATGAGAATAAACGAAACTACGTCGAGGATTGTTTACTTTAAAATCTGCTATGCCTATGATGCAGACGCTCTCAGGAAATAGCAAACATTAGCATATTGTTCACGAGCGTGACAACCTTGTTTTTGAGAGCCCAATAAATGCTATATCGTTTTGTCGTTTGGCATTTTCTCGATTTTAAGACAGGAACTCTCAAGTTCCGACTCCTCGGCGTGGTATGAAACCATTATTCTTCTGTAAACTGCGTTCAAGCGAAGAAAATTTTCGGTATTTGCAACCCAGACAATATAAAATATGAAAAATATTCTATGTACAATTATAAAGAATTTAAACGATCTCGAAATGACCTTCGGCAATAAATTTCACGATAAAAACATAAAACAGTGCAGAAAATATAACTTTGCTAATTGCACCCGCAACATGCCCAAAACCCACACCCCCTCCCCTCAGCCCAGCTGATGTGTCAAATATCACCATGAAAAGACAACCAATCAACTTCTAACCAGTTCACACCTCGGTTTACGCAACGAACAACTTCGACTATCCACGGTAACTTTGGTGGAATTGTGGCATACCTTCTGAGCGTTTTTAGTGAACAAAATAAGGTAGCACTGCGTTAGTTTCGCCCTGCAAAACTATCTTCGAGATTATTTATTCATAACTAAGCATATTTGAAATTTGCCTTGTGATGAAACAATGGATGAAAAGAATCAATCAACAACAAAATGTGATTGCATGTAGTGTCGGAATTTCTACCGCAAATAGTTGATCATGTTTGACAAAGTGTTTTTTTTTATTCCTTGACGTTATTTTGTGTTTAAGTCAGCACAGCACAGCACTTATCATGAAATTAACGCGAAGATCATAAAATATGCGTTTAAAAATCTCAATAACAAGCGCTTTCTCAACGAGCGTTTCGTTTCATCACAGTTCGTCAAGGGTCTGTAAAAGCGCAACGGAACTACAATATATGTATATGTATACCGCAAGTCTGGAAGAAATATCCTGACATTCTTCAGGCTGGTATTAATACGACATTCTCACAAGACAGCAACTCGTATTGCACTGTTGTTCGCAATCAAATCATATCGCAATACAATGTAATAACCTTGTGGACATCATGACAATTCCAATGTTGACGCGCCAAAGAATGCGTGGAATCAGCCCCTCCCGCGGTCTCTAGTTGTCCATATTGAATTGGAGCGCAACTTTATTGCACAATGCGTATTACAATGCTGACATTGCAATGCAACACAGAGAAGAAAGAAGCCTGCTGTTGTGCTCTTAAAAGATTGTAACGTGTTGATAATGATAGATGTAGCCTTTCAGAGGGCTATAATCTCATCAAGGTGAATACAAGAGATAAATGTACATGCAAGTATCAAACCCGGCAATTTACCCACGGAACGAATAAAGTGAAACTGAAGCACGTGGCTTAATATTTGTTGAAGAAATCATCACGTCTGGAAGAGCTCGAAGCAATTCTCATTTGCTTTGATTTTCCCTGCCACACTTTTTTTTGCACGCCTGCAATAAAGGATCTGCGATGGTGAAGGGTTGCTTATTTTATCTGGCAGTTCAGCAAGCTATCTCTTTCGTCAAGCGCCGACATCTACGCATGCATTCTTACAATAGTTGAGAAGATAAGCACATTTATTGTGTTTCCGAAATAGCCGTGAAAAAGCAACGCTCACAATAACAAACTCAAACCTGGAGGCAAAAAAAAAAGACGCGATTCAACAGCGAATTACTACCCTAACGAAAGAGACGCCCATGGTGTGCGAGTCAATTTAAAATCCGAGTTAAAATCTATTTCGTAACTAAGGGCTACCAGTAGAGAACCAAAATTGATAAAAACTCGCCTCGTGCGGAGAAAAATGAAAGCAATTCGTCGACTGAAAGCAAATAACGAAAAAGAAGAGATGACGTACAGAAAGTGATGAACGAACGCCTTAAGGCTTGAGGACACAAAATTATCTCAAAGTTATATATTAAATTTGGAGCAATATGTCACGGCATAAATAATCGGATGAACCTCATTGTCGAACATTTATCAAACGTCGGCAATAAAATATTGTCGCAGTTTAATTGCCCTACTTTACATTTTGTATTGGTAATTTAACATTGTCATTGTATTACCCGAAGAGGCAAGAATGCAAACAAGTCAAATAATGCAAACAAACATAAAGTCAAAAGGCAACATGTCGTTATCGATAATCGCCTGCATGTTTGCTTTATATTAAGATTCCACGAGCCTCGGAGAACACCGTGGTTCATAGCGGAACACCAGGGATCGTAGACTTAACATTGCAAAAATGTTAAAATGTTACCCCACGACGTTTCATTTTACTCAAATATATAATACCGCTGTTGATAAAAAAAATAAGACAATATTGTGTGCACTTTAAGCCGATCCTCACTGCCTGACGATTGATTAGGAGGGAGCAAATGTTTCGCAGCAGCAGTTTGGGGGCATGGAACTGACTCCGGCATCAATCTACATATTTATTTAATAATCGAACATATTTTACATTTCTGTTGTAGAAAACTATGATAACTATGAAATGCAATAAATTTTTTCCTGTCTACCCACGACATCCGTGACAAATCGCTCAAGAAATGGTTGCTGGTTAACGCAGGTTTCAAACAAGCAATAATCAACCACCTATTTGTCCGCGGAGATAACGTGTTTGAAAGACCATTTCCTAGTTAAAATTGTTTATGCCTTGTGGCCGGTTGACCTGTGGGATACGTGGACCCAGGTTTAAATTTTTTCACTAAAAAATTGCGCAATCTGTTTGTTATTTTCAAAAGTAACACTAACGAACAGGTAGAAATCAAACTGTTTTAAAAAAAATGAAACTGGACAGTGCCGAATAGCATAGTGGTGAATAGTGCAACTCCAAACCTGGTTAAGCTAGTCCCAGTCCACTATCAAACGCACACGGATAATCTCGGGTAGCAGAACATGAAATATATTAGCAGCAATATGTTTAATTTACCATAAAGTTTATATGACAAGCTCGTCATCGACTCGTGTTCAGTGTGGTGCACAGACTCTAAATCGTGAACTAACTATCGTTCGTGCTGTTGCTGTTTTTAACTCAATGAAAGGACAAAACATTTAAGTCGAAATTGGAAAAACAAAGGGCACGAGTGAAAATCAAAACAATCACGAACAATCGCTATAAAAAATTGAAAATCGCCGTGGAGCGGCAAGTACGAGGTAAAATCTTCGTTTACCTTCATCACAACGTTTACTGGGGATATATCGTGTTTCTAAAATAAAAAAAAACATATTTTAGACACTTTATTACAATGCTCATTTGCACGAACTCGATCTTATAAATGAAACAACCTCATGTTAAACCGCACAGGGACCGCGGGGGTGGTGGGGTGTTATCTTCCGCCAAAATTGGGTGCAAGTAAGGATACGGGGAGAAATTTCAAAAACACAAAATTTCGGGAAAATTATGGGGGGGTGGGGATGGGGGGTATAGCCGGTTCTTCCTTCGTGTGTGCCGAGCTTCTAAACAGGACAGTTGAGTCGAGTTCAATTTGCAAACAAAACAATTTAAATTAGTTATCTCTCCAAAAATCTCCAACAATGTATTTTATAGTTAAAAATCATTATGGAACACCTTCAGGGTGGAGAGGGGCATGCATTTAGTACGTGCTCAAAAATTTCAGAATTTTAAGCAACCCCCCTTTTTAGCACACAAATGTACAATACCAGGCTACCCACTCCCACCCCCTTCGTACGTAAATGTACATCACGTGTACATCACGACATCAGTTTACGTTCTAAACCGATGTTCAATTGATGATAAGCTATAGCCAGTAAAGGGAAAACGATTGACATTGCATAGGTTCAAATGGTACGCTTCATCAGGGAACTCGATTCCAAATTGTCAAATCGTGCAAAGACAGATTAACACGCCCATTCCTCTCTCGCCCCCTCCCCCCCCCGAATACGTACTAAATAGTCGACCCGCGGGATTGAAATGAGTGAACAACCAGTGCTCGTCTATGCATTGTGTGCAAACAGACAGAATAGAGAGCTTTAGCATGAGTACGACTACGAGTACGAAGTTTGACCGTGTTAGGGAATGGCACGAGATTGATGACGGCTACGTGTTGTTGTTGTCGCAACAATGTTTTCGCGCCAAAATGACGTAATTCGTACTCGTAGTCTTTGCGAAAGCTCGCTAATGACCAGTGCAGTGCATGTAGTCAAACAAAGAATGAAAGCGGAGTTTACCCCTGATTATGCCATGAGTTTTTATGTCTGAAGAAAGAAAATAAGAGACTAAATTAATAGAGTTGCGAATGGAAAATTATCTCACAGGAATTTATTAACAATCAGCATTTCATTTTACTTCTACTTGTCAGAATTGAACGAATTAGAACAAATTAGAACGAATTAGAACAATTACGTACCTTTGCATCATTTCCACTCTGAAAAAAAAGAAATAAAAAGAGCGATCAGACTCGTGAAATATGTACACCTCCCTCCGTTCCTACGTCAGTGAATCATCGGAACGCCTTGAGCATGCGAGTTTTGTGGCTGGCGGTCAGAAAGCGAACGATTCCGAAAAAATCGAATGACGTTTCGGAATGAGAACGTTACCGAAATATGGAATGAAATCTGAAATCTTATTGGCCAGCTGTAGTCAACAGCATACAAAATAATCATTAAAACCGATTGACCGAAATTTACAGCAGGTTTTGTCAATGACACGCCAGAGAATAAGGAATATACAGAAAAAGGTCGCTACCTTGAAATATTATGCATGTGATTGGCATAATGGAAGTGAGAATCATTGAACTAAAATACATGGAACGCTATCTGAAGCAAATAATTGAAGCCAAATCTAATACCAGACACGCGAGATTTTACCCCAGACACGCGTATGTAGTGTTTTGAGATTGTCTATTGTGAAAATTGATTACTGCACACACGTGTCTGGGGTAAAATATCGCGTGTATGGGGTAAAATCATGGCTTCAAAAAATTATTAGGGTTTTGTATTACAGGTAGGGTTCCATGTATTTTAGTTCGAGGGTCTGAATACATCGTTTTCACATGATGTCATTGCCGCCATGTTGGTGTACCAATTGAAAAGAATTTTAACAAAGTTCATTCGCTTGGTACAGCAATATGGCCGCTTCGTCCATTGTTATGTTGATGTCCGGGAAATGAGTGAAACGATCTGTAGAAATGATAAAATGGCAAGCCACACCTTGCAATTAAACTAAATACAGTGCACCGAGTTATCAAAAGCGAAGGGACCCTTCTGTATTATTCTTATTGTGTAGCCATGCTCTACCTAGCGTAGGTTTGGGCACTCCATGGATTGACGTGGTAGATGACTGACAGAGCTCGTGAAGCATTTTCATTGAAAGAAAAAAAAAAGGAGATCGTACCCTCTTGTGTCTTGATTATCGAAACCCGAATCAAATTTCATTCTTCTATAATGCTTTGCGAGTTTCACGCTCAAAATAATGGCCGGAACGTAAAAGAGGAGAGCGAAGCCGATGGCAAACCAGAAACCATTCTGAAATCAAATCGATGTCGTTAGTTAGTAAAAGGAATGGATGAAGAGTAGATGAGCCGCTGGCCAATACGACTGACATGACATGAGTCCACTTACTAATGGATAAACCGTATCACGACAAACCAAATTGACAACGGAATCGTATACGTCCGTCAAAATTTTACATCCTCCAAGATCATTTGCTACCTATAAAGTGGACAGAAAGAAGTGATCAGAAATTATCGTATTTCCACTACTTAGCCCCCCCCCCGGGGGGAATTATTTTTTTACTAACTTTCAAGTGAGGGATTATTAGAGGGGGGGAGGGGAGAAAGATGAAAAGAAGTTGTGGGCTGGACAACTCACGCAGCACATACTTCCATATCAATTTCTACTCAATAAAATGTCCAATCCAGTTCGTAAATATTTGCTTGTTGAAAAAAGTCATTTGATGTAATCCGTGACATTGACTTCCTGGTTATTTTCAAATTTACAGAAAGTGAGGGGAGGGGTGAATAGGGGGTGAATGTATCCTTAGTTGCCACCTTTCAAGCGGGGAAATAGTAGAAGGGGTGAAGTTAAAAGAGGTTGGGCGCTAAATAGAGTAAATAAGATATGCTTCTTTCTTAACTGCTACATTGAAGAAAACACCTAAAATTTTGCCGATCAACTGAATAATTAAATGGGACGCGGGGAGCGTAAAAAGAGATTGGGGCTGGATAGAGGAACAAAAGTATGTAGCTTTCAGCCTTTCATAAAAACAATGCCCGTATAGAAAAATAGACTTACGGTGTCCACGGCCCAGCTCGTCGTTTGATCGATGTAACCCAAAATTCTTTTAGTGTTTTCATCTACGAACTGAATATGCCAAAAACAATTTATTTATTGTGTGGACTATACAAAGAAACTCACGACGTCATTACAGTAACACTTATCACGACATGCTAGCACGTACCGTTCTAACAATTCCGGAAACGTTGTTTCCAAACACGCTTTCAGCTCCTCTGGCTTTTTGTAACGTACCGTTTGCGTTAGCCTACACACATACAAAGTTAGTAAGATAGTACGATGTTACCATAATAATAATGATAAAACAAGAATGATTTTGTCAGGGGAGGGGTGAGGATGCTCTAGTTTGAATTAGAAGTTGGCGACTACTTTTCGGGTGGTGACATGCCTTACTTGTCAAATTCTTGTGGTTTTGAAAATGTGCTCCATCGAACACAAGATCACAGTTGCTTTTGCTGAATTGTTTGGTGTTTTAATGATTGGCAAGTGAGTTGACACCCCCCCAGGACCTCTTGTAGCTGAGGATAGGAGAGAGGTGCTCGATTCCACATACCCAGTTAATCCCCAGGACCTCTTGTAGCTATGGATAGGAGAGACGTGCTCGATTCCACATACCCAGTTAATCCCCTCCCCAGGACCTCTTGTAGCTGAGGATAGAAGAGACGTGCTCGATTCCACATATCCAGTTAATCCCCCTCCCCCCCACCAGATAATCATAATAACAAAAAGGAATAGATGTCAGTGTTAGATGCTACAATAGTATGAAGTTCGTAGGACAGAATGATATGGTCTGTATTGCAACAATCATCATTACAAACACGACAGCAAAACAATGTTGGATGCTACAATCGTGTGAAGTTCGTAGGACAGAATGATATGGTGTGTATTGCAACAATCATCATTACAAACACGACAGCAAAACAATGTTAGATGCCACAATCGTGTGAAGTTCGTAGGACAGAATGATATGGTGTGTATTGCAACAATCATCATTACAAACACGACAGCAAAACAATGTTAGATGCCACAATCGTGTGAAGTTCGTAGGACAGAATGATATGGTGTGTATTGCAACAATCATCATTACAAACACGACAGCAAAACAATGTTGGATGCCACAATCGTGTGAAGTGAATAAAACACAATTATATGATGCAGATGCCATTGTAGTAATCGTCTTAATGAACAAAACAACTGGTAAATGCTAGGTACAGTCATATAAAGTTAGTAGGAGAGGATGGTGAAGTGTAATTGTTACTATCTTCATAAACGAAACAAAACAAGCTAGTACCGATAGGGTTCCTCCAAGTTTTTCCAATTCAGTGACGTTTCCTTTCAATGATTGCTGTAAGAATACATGAAGTGAATTAATTTAAAGCATTTATTTCTAATTTTAAAATAATAATTTCTAAATTAAACATCATTACTGCAAGGGGTCAGTTCAATCCTGCAAGGGGTCAGTTACATCTTGCAAGGGGTCAGTTCAATCTTGCAAGGGATCAGTTCAATCTTGCAAGGGGTCAGTTCAATCATGCAAGGGGTCAGTTCAATCCTGCAAGGGGTCAGTTACATCATGCAAGGGGTCAGTTCAATCCTGCAAGGGGTCAGTTCAACCCTGCAAGGGGTCAGTTCAATCATGCAAGGGGTCAGTTACATCTTGCAAGGGGTCAGTTCAATCCTGCAAGGGGTCAGTTACATCATGCAAGGGGTCAGTTCAATCATGCAAGGGGTCAGTTACATCTTGCAAGAAGTCAGTTCAATAAATTTTAAACATAAACCCTACGATCAGTACAAAAAAAATCCAAAAATATTTATCTATTAACTAACAAATTACGAAGAACTGCGAAGGTGCCAACACATGTTTCTCGTTTTGCAACAGTTTCCTCTACATACACATAGTAACAAATATGGCAACACTACCGCTCTCAAATACATCGCAGTCTCAGAAGATAGTCTCGAAAAACATTCAGATCCAGTACATCCCAAGATTTGTAAACGTGCACTTACTGCAGTCAGCTGCATCCGTCTACTTCTCCTTTGGATGTCCTCTATATCATTGCTAATATTTCTAAAAGCAGGCTAAACAAGAAGTAGATTTTTTTCCTCGCAATCACATTTATAACTTTTTCATTTCAATTCATGAAGTTAAACGTTCCCACTACTCACGATGTTCGTTTGGTTTAGCTTGTTTCGCAAGTCATCAATTTCCGAGTGGTTGAGCAGATTTTTACTAGTCTATAAAAACAAAGCGGGAAAAAAAAACGATCAAAGCAGAAACTGAACCGTTGAAAAGTTTCCTCGATGCTTTTGCAATATAAATACATTCGTTCACGTCTATTAAAGAACTGCAATCAACCTCTGAAATAAATTTGGTGAAATTTATATTTTCAACGGAGGTGTTCGCCAAATTATTCAAACTGTCGATCGTATTATTGTTCAAAATATCTTGATCAGTCAGGTCCACGTCGAAGTTTCTCAACTCTCCTTCGATGTCTCCAATTGACTACAAAAAACAAACAAACCAGCAACATGTTAGAATACGTTCCAGGCTATTAGCCGGTTGCACAAAAACCTCATTCTAACCACACAATTCTTTTCAGCAGATATAAGAATGAAGGAGAAACATTACGTCATGACAATGCGAACCAACATTTTTTTGCCACTGATAAAATCCTTAATAATCTCAAGCGCTTCTCACCTCTGTCACATTGAATGTCTCGTTTAGATCCCATTTTAGGCGTCCTTGTATTGCTTTGTAGATTGCCGCATTTTCACGGCATTCTCTGACATAATGACATAAAAGAACATGTGAGAACATGCAAGAGGGATCTCAAAGGATAAAATAAGGAAGTGAAAGACACGAGGGATAAATGGGACATCATACGGAAAAAAGAAGTATAGGATATACACAAGGACATAAAAGATTATTTTTAGTAGTAATCATTAACAATGTAAGGATTATATGTTTGTGGATGTAGATCGTCCAGGTTGGTATAGTCCTGAGAAGGACATTTGACTCTGAAGATGACTACCGCTAAGGTTGTCGAAATGTCAGTCAACAACAACAAAAACAGTCCTTCTCAGGACTGTACTAACCTTGACGATCTACATCTACAAACATGTAACGATACTCCCAGGTTCAAACCATGTAAGGATAATCTGTTGGCACTTACGAGATTACAGTCTCGACTTTCACCATAAGTGTTTTGTTTTGAAAGAACGTGTCTGCAAGTAGATATTTTCCGTCCCAGAACTTGGGTACATCGACAAACTACAAACGGAGTATACAATGAAATATTTAAGACAGGGTCCGTGGTTTGTAAAAATAAAACTGTTGAGAATTTCGATCACAGTATTTTTTTCATTACAGCTTTGAAAATGAAAAAGTTTGTTCCACTTTTAGTGGTATTAAATGCAGAACGTCTCTTGAGTGTCAAATTCTGATCTAAGGAGCTCTACTTCCAAATAACTAAGGAAGATTTTTACAAATTCTTCCTGTAGGGAATCATTGATAAACACATGCCTCTAGATATCGACAACAATCATTAGGAGACACATGCCTTTATGTATCAAACATCGCATGTATAAAGGCAAGTGTCTCTTAAACACAGCACTAACTAGACTTATGCTAACTTGCTAAATTTCATTTAAACAATGAGGTCACTTGTGCTTTCGAAAAGTACTCGTCGTCTCTTGAATTCAAAAATACAGAATTCAAAAAATTAGCATTAGTAAGTGCTGTATTTCCACTGTTAAATACGTTTTTCTTATGCAACAATACGTATTTCAATGTAATTCATTTTTTAAGGCACGAGTGACGTTAAGGCACGAGTGACGTTTAGCAATTCACCCTAAGTTTAGTCAGTGCTGTGTCCATCAATCAATCAATCAAAGAGAATTTGCAAATCAATAATGAATACATGTTAGAAGGAAAAATAAAACGTTTGTTATAAATTTGTCTGTTTTTCATTATTGTTATTTTAGAAGAAGTTTTTCATGTTTGCACAGGCTTATGCAAACCTCGGAGAGGTGTGTGAGAACTCTCGAGCAGGTGCAAACCTTCGACCTTTGTTTTCGGGCATGCACTGATCTGCTTTCGAGTTCTCCCAAAGCTCTCTGAGATTTGCATAAGCCTGTGCAAACACAGTAAACATCGTTACGTCTAAAAGAACGTGCTAAATCCGTATTTATAATCAATGACATGTTGAATTGTGAATTATAAACTCACGTCTCTGATTATTGATTCATCTCGAACGCTGTGGCATCCTTTCTCAAGATGGGCACCCAGCATGAACAAAATCGACGTGAATAACATCACGAAGAAGAAAAATATGAACATGAAGCCAACAGCACTACAGAACACAACAAACGTTATGGTACATCCGATGAAATGGAATAGAAACTGGAACGCTAATCCCAATACTATTGCTATGAGCCATTTTGAAGCCAGTTATGATGGATTTATATCTGAGTTTTTCGGCGTATTACCAAACTTTTGTGTTAAAAAATACGATGGCATTTTGTACTACTTTATTTTATGAATGCCGTGGTAAATATTTTGAAGTAATAAAAAATAATCGTGGACTTTCTAAAAACTCAGAAAAACTAGCTTTATTTTCGGTTTCAAAGATGGCGGCGTGATTAGCGTTCCGGTAGATATCACAGTTATCTGGGTAAATCAATCATTTTCTCATTTTCGTAAAGAAGGGAAGTTTCAATTGAAAGCCAAAAGTTAATTTTTTCTCTGAACCCATAGAAATAGCCATTAACAAGTGAAGCGAATAACGGCTATAAGCAGGAAAGTTTCTTTAGCGTGATTATCAACGGGGAGTACTTAAAAGCATGTGCGAAGAAAGAAGAATGCCATTTTAAAATGTATGGTTGGCAAGTTTTGGCATTATTTTAACCAATAGAATCACCCAAGTTGGAAGTACTAACATAAATTTAAGTTAGTAGCATTAAAATAAATTTGATTATCTATCTGCGAAACTAATAAAAGAATGGGACTATCTCGAAGTGGAAATCGAAGCGTGGCGTTGCGTCTAAATGGTATTCTGGGTAATACTTACGCCATAAGACAGTTTCCGCCAATATTCGAAATGGAGCCGCGTTCTGAAGGACTGCTGCCTTTGTCATGTCCAAATATTCCACACAAGAGACCAAGTGCCATCATAACAACCGGCAAAAGAACCAAGGAGATTAAGCCAACACCTGTGTAATATCTGCAAATGGAAACAAGAAAAACACCGTGTTCTATAAAGTCCAGAAAGAATAATTGAGAAGCGTGGAATCGAGAAGTGTGTTTGACAGTACAAATGCTTTGAGATATGTTTTCATTATGCATTGATTTCAAGATGAGAAGAGAAAGTGTGCAGTGCAAAGTTCACGTATTGTACAATTGATTGGAAGGGTGTTTTATCACAGAGAACTTTTTGCAAATTTAGATTTTTTGCTGGTGAATTCGACATCAGTTTTTATGGGCATGTTAGTGAAAGCAACTGATCTATATGGATCGTAATGTTCAATTTGACCATTCAATGAAAGACCCTGACCTATATCTATGGTATCGTCTAAAGTGATCATTCAATAAAAGAAACTGACCTATATTCATCGTAACGTTCAAAGTGATCATTCAATAAAAGAAACTGACCTATATTCATCGTAACGTTCAACGTGATCATTCAATGAAAGAAACTGACCTATATTCATCGTAACGTTCAACGTGATCATTCAATGAAAGAAACTGACCTATATTCATCGTAACGTTCAAAGTGATCATTCAATGAAAGAAACTGACCTATATTCATCGTAACGTTCAACGTGATCATTCAATGAAAGAAACTGACCTATATTCATCGTAACGTTCAAAGTGATCATTCAATGAAAGAAACTGACCTATATTCATCGTAACGTTCAAAGTGATCATTCAATGAAAGAAACTGACCTATATTCATCGTAACGTTCAACGTGATCGTCAAACACATCTTGGATATCTTTCACCCAGTCATCGGTTTTGTTTAAAATTTCCTACGATTGATAAAATACTTTGAATGAAGGAAAAAATCCGTAAGGTAGACATGACTTCGATGTAAACATACTTCGTTCACTTTGTCTGTTATATCGTTGAATGTTTTACGAAAATCTCTTCTGCCTTTTTCCGTTTTATTCGTTATCTCTGTTCGTTAAGAGAATAACATGTTATACACTACTTTTCGGCACTTCCAGCCCATTGTATTCATATATATACATGCAATTTTTTAGTACATTTGGTCTGATGAGCTTTGACGTTCCCACCTGCTTTGTATAATTAAAAAATTCAAAACGGGGGTGTTCAAGCTCATTTGACCACGTCCAGCAACGTAAAAACACCGCTATTCACATTGCTAATGCAAAGCACATTTTTGATAAAAATTCACTTGTTGAACGTATAAACCTGCTAAAGCTCCCGAGCTTCTGTCAGTAATAGTGCTGCTGAGATCATTAAACAGATCAAGACCCTATAAATCGTAAAAATGGCAAACAATAACATTTTCATAAGTTGTCATTGCGAAAATATTTCATTGAAAATACTTACCTTCTGGGCACTTTGAGAGAAATTCTGTTCGTTAATCTTGACTATTTCTTTTAAACTCTTTTCAACATCCGGCAGAGTCGTATAGTCCGCATTCAGGTTAAGAACACTAGGGTCGATTCCATTGCTCGAACAATTGGCACCTGGCATCGCACATGTACTACTTAAATGTGCTGTCACATTCACAATGCTCGTGTTGAGTGAAACGAAGTCGTCCTTTAAATTACGTGTTGTGCTGTTTATTTCTTTCAACAAAACTTCCATTCTCAAAGTATCTGTGTTAACAAAAAATCGGAACTCTTACCACAACAATTTTTGCGGTTTTCATAACGGTACACTCAACATAATTTACGCAGCAAAACGATTTGCGAAGCAAGAGTAAATTTACTGGTGCCTAAATCATGTTTTTGCAATTGGACTACGCAGTTGATTTTAAACATATTGGCAAATATTTTATTGTTCCCAAATTTGATCTTCGGATATTTGCTTGAGCTCAAAGTCGTTGATTATTTGTTTGACCGCGACATAAAAAAACCTAGGGCGAGAGCCCAGATCTGACGTCATATCGCGGACACGCTTCGAGAAAACACTGTATTTTACACATAATCTCCTCAAACGCATAGCTATTTCGTCGCATTACACGCATGCGTGGTCAGGTCTTGCGTAGTGGATGTTCAAAAATATCCAATTTTTAACAAAATAAAAAAATCACATGAAGCACAGGTTTTTTTCTACTGGTGGTCAAACAATAAAAATGATCAATTTTTCAACGTTGAGTGTTGAAAAATCCAGCAAAATCACACTTTCGAGCTACATAATATATTACAAAAGTTATAAACTATTTGTCGAACCGTACAATATAATGACACAAAATGCAAAAACGTGATATAGGCATTTTAAGCCAATGAAGAAAAAGTTGACATCAAACTTCAAGATTCAGCAGGTTTCACTCTCAATCATAAGATTCAGCAGGAATGCGAGCGCACCCTCCCCTCCCCCTAAAAAAACAAAAACCACGAAGACACTACGTTCAGAGACCGTAGCACCTTTACTACAAAAAGAAGCATAACACTGAATCGACTTTCCTCGTCGTCTACATAACCCCCTGTTGTTAACATCTGTGCTATTGTAATTGAAAAAAAATCCTTACTTTTTCCAAGCATGACAACACTGTCGAGAGGTTCGCGCACGGTGGGATCAAGTTTGTTTCTAAGGCTATCACTCATGTTTTGGGGCAGATTTTGAACGTCAGCAAGAACAATGTCCAAAACACGAAGAACGGTGCCAATGATGTTATTATCCACAATCTAATGAGACACGATTACCTGATGAGCTTAACATGTTATCTCATCAAAAAAACATAGAACGTAAATATTAACGTAAAGAGTCCAAGATGTTGGACGGACAAATGTTCTGTCTTTTGAGGCAAAACATCCTCTGTGATATCACCAAGGACGTAAAACCGTTTTGAAAAGTGTGTATGAAGGGGGTGTACTACTAAACTCAGGTGTAGCAATAGTTTTGCTAATGTAAAGCATGGGAGAACGTGTACCCTCCCCTCCCCTTCTCCACTAGACTAATGTAAAGCATGGGAGAACGTGTACCAACCCCCTCCCCCCTTCTCCACTAGACTAATGTAAAGCATGGGAGAACGTGTACCCCCCCCTTCTCCACTAGACTAATGTAAAGCATGGGAGAACGTGTACCTCCCCTTCTCCACTAGACTAATGTAAAGCATGGGAAAACGTGTACCCCCTTCTCCACTAGACTAATGTAAAGCATGGGAGAACGTGTACCCCCTTCTCCACTAGACTAATGTAAAGCATGGGAGAACGTGTACCCCCTTCTCCACTAGACTAATGTAAAGCATGGGAGAACGTGTACCCCCTTCTCCACTAGACTAATATAAAGCATGGGAGAACGTGTACCAACCCCCTCCCCCCTTCTCCACTAGACTCACGCCGTTGTACATCACCTTATGGGGAAATGCAATAGGACCAATTCGCTGTTTCAGCTTGGTACTAAGAATTTAATAAGATTACTGGTTGCAGTGGGCAATTTTATTGTTCTTATTGGTCAGGTAATGAAATTCACTGTCCAATCACATGCGTTGTAAGATAAAGGTGATACAAAAAATTTAACAGAGCAATGCCATAGTGTTGGTTCTCAATACTTCGATCCCGAATTCTTACTTACATGCAAAGTTTCTCGGAAATATTTTTCGCTTTCTCGTATAGCCTTCACTGGAATTGTTTCATAACTCTTGATAGTGTCCTTTATACGATCATTTGAGAAAAATGCTAGCACACATCCAGTACTATACATAATGCAAATGAACATACATCAAAGTACATCCAATACTTTATTCAAACAACATACATCAAAGAGAGTACTGCTACAAGTGACAGTGGCCATTATAAGATCATTTGAGAAAAATGCTAGCACACATCCAGTCTTAACATGAACATACATCAGAGTACATCAAAACTTCATTTAAACAACATATATGCACTTGTCGTAACTTTTCACAACTTTTCACTGTTAATTTCTTTGGAAATCTTTTGTTTATTAAGTGACTGATCATCCGAAAATTTGCATACCATGACAAATTTAACTGGATGGCTGTGCCAAAACCAGAGTTACAATAGTTATTGCTAATAAAAAACATCGCATACTTCATTTAAATAACATGTAACTATAACATAAGTCATGTTAGTGCTTAATAAACACATCTGATACTTCATTTCAACAACATAAGTAGTGTCACGATACTCTATACAAACACAACTCATACTTCATGAAAACAAAATATACTTACAACATAAGTAGTGTTAGTATACTCTATACAAACACAACTCATACTTCATGAAAACAAAATATACTTACAACATAAGTAGTGTCACGATACTCTATACAAACACAACTCATACTTCATGAAAACAAAATATACTTACAACATAAGTAGTGTTACAATACTCTATACAAACACAACTCATACTTCATGAAAACAAAATATACTTGCAACATAAGTAGTGTTAGTATACTCTATACAAACACAACTCATACTTCATGAAAACAAAATATACTTACAACATAAGTAATGTCACAATACCCTATATGAACACAACTCATACTTCATGAAAACAAAATATACTTACAACATAAGTAATGTTACTATACCCTATATGAACACAACTCATACTTCATGAAAACAAAATATACTTGCAACATAAGTAATGTTACAATACTCTATACGAACACAACTCATACTTCATGAAAACAAAATATACTTACAACATAAGTAGTGTTACAATACTCTATACGAACACAACTCATACTTCATGAAAACAAAATATACTTACAACATAAGTAATGTTACTATACCCTATATGAACACAATTCATACTTCATGAAAACAAAATATACTTACAACATAAGTAATGTTACTATACCCTATATGAACACAACTCATACTTCATGAAAACAAAATATACTTACAACATAAGTAGTGTAATAATGGCTAATATCACACCAAATGTTGCACGTTTGCAGCCTTTATTATCGCTTTCCTTCTGCACCATCTCGCCTCCACAGTTTCCACAGCAGCGACAACAGCAAAAACAAAAGCCGACAATTGGAATAATTATGGCAAAGACGATTCCAAGAGCAAACACAGCAAGATATGGCCTCTCCCATCCATTCAAAACCTTACATTATAAAAATATTATAGCAAACGACTTTTACTTTTACAAGATAAGAAATTTTCATAGAAATCAACAAACCTTCTCTCGAACTTCAGAAAACTCGCCGTCTTTTATCTTTGCAATCTCATCTAAGAATATTCAAAATGTTGAAGCTTGCATTCAAGCTCATAAATAAACATGGCCAGCAGAACCAGGGGGTGGGGGTGGGTGCAGGAACATTTACCCCCCCCCCCTCCCCCACAAAAAATTACCAATAGGAATTGCCCCCATTAGTTTTATGTGTCCTACCGCTTATTCAATAACTTATGGCTGTTTCATAATGAGTAATGATAGAATTTTTTGTTCCTTTTTCACATCTTACTCAAAGAACAAAAAGGCCATTTTTGAAAGTTTCATTCTACAGATATTTTGCTAAGAGATTTTTATTCATGTCTGCGAATAACGGAAGATGATAATTCAATAATTAAGGCTGACAAGTCAATTACCCCAATTATCCTGCTTTGAGCAAGAATGGCAACCTAGATATGAAGAATGTACACTTTTATGTTTCTCCCAGAATTTAAACAAGTCACACTCCTTCAAAATTAATAAGCCTACTTGCACTTTCTCAAAAAAAATTTGCTCCCACCGCCTCAGTTCAACAATCTTTACACTTAGAAGTTTCCTAAATTTCAGTAACACTTATTTTCGTTATTTTATTTAAATGTTGACTTTATAAATTTTATTTAAATGAAAATACAAAACAATGACCTACAACAAAGCACAGGTTTTTTGGTTCTAGAGTAGTTGCTTTATTGATTTATTTCTTATTGGACCGATAGTGAAGAGACAAAATCTTATTTTTTAGACTTTGAACTGAACTAAAACTCTAGAAAATTCTTATGCAAATTTGAAAATGCACACTGTTTACTTTAACTGTCCTTTTACGCAAATTTTTTCCCTGATTGTTCGCTAAGCATGAGTGTTCATTTCATGCATTTTTTCCTTGAGTGAATGAGCATTAGTTTCAAACAAGTTGACAGGTTTTTGTCAAGAGATTTCAATGCAAATTCCATGAAAGTTGTGCTACGATCTGTGTAGTACCACTTTTAGTACTTGAGCAAATTGCGATAAATTTTTCTACAAATTTGCGGAATAATGTTGTGCATTAGCGAGAAACTTATAAAATTGCGAGAAATGAAAGTCTCAGAGTGGAAAGGTTATGCACTTTATGCACCCTAGCAACAATCGTTTTTGAATTCCCCTAAGCAGTTAAGTTGTTCAGAGAATTGCAAAATGGTTCAAAGAATTGATAATAAACGATAAAATTGGGAAAATAAAGCTTCCCGTTGCTATCCACGAAAAGACATTTCTCGACAAAGCTTTCTCTTTATTTACACTTTCTGTTAAAGTTCTTTGAAAATGATCGAAAGTCGTCTCATTTTGTTTATATATGCACAAAAAATATGACATGAATTCCGAACTATGATTGGCATCGTAGGTGATTTGATATTTAACAATACGATAGCGCATTGAGATGAATTAAACGGAGCGCTATCACAGAAAGAAATAGCATTTTTCAAGCAAAAAAATTTGCCACGAATGTAGACGTAAAGTGGGTATTTTTTTAAACACGTACGAAAATTTACCTGTCAGAAAGAACAAACTTTGAAATGTTACAACGATTATTTGCCGAATCAATATACATGGCGTACTTTCGATTTGTTTAAAAAAGACAATCTGCGCAGGTAGACTGTCTTTTTTGTAAAATGTAATCCCCAACAAACATTACAATTCATTTTATCGCGTCTTCACGAACAACTCATACATTTAGGCAACACTCATATATTCTAGTCAGGACATAAAAATAATAACAGAGTATAATAAGATAACGACGTGCTTACCGTAGGGAAGATCGTCGCGTTGTATCACATGAACAAATGATTTAGCCACATCATACCATGGTTCTAAACCTTTTCCATCAAACTTAGTCGTCAGATTCGATTTGAACATTGGCTTGGGTATTCGAGAGATGCTAAGACTGCCATTAGATTTTTTGACAGTCACTTCACAAAAGCACCCGGTAATATATGCAATTAAACAAAGCGAAATGACCAACAATTTCGCCATCGAGCGAGTTGTCCAGTTCTGTTCGCGTTTCTCTGAACGTTTAGCTGGCGTTATCCGAAAATGTACTCAAAGACTCGATTAAACACAGCTCAATCTTACTTTAGCAACGTGATCTTCATAAAGTGTCGAATGTCTCATGAACACAATGGGAGTTCCTTCTTCCTCAAAACATCCTCGGCACAATGCACGATTACCATGGTAACGTTCAGAGAACGAATAAAGGAATGAAGTACATAGCGAAAAAAAGGTATGTTTTTAAATATTTTTTTTGTTATTAAATAGTCCTTATCACTCTTTGTATGTTTTCCTATGTCATGTACAATCTTCATACATTTTTTGGCAACTTTCAATGATTGGCGGTTGAAAATGTCGTTAGAAGTCACTCTGTCAATATGGTTCAAAAAAGCACATTTGCATATTTAATGACGTTAGAAAATTAGCATGCAGTTATACTTTTGGTTTAATCTTTTTAAAATTCATTTTTATTCACGGTAAACGGTTATGAACACATTGTTTTCGACATATTGTAATGTTGCGTTTTGTTCCTTTCGTATTGTATTAACGAGTTTTCGGTTCTTATCCGTGGTTTAAGAGTCGTAAGTTTTCAAGAACCATTTTTTCTTTTATGGCAGATGCGTGGGTACACCGTGGGAAGGCAGGCACGTAAAAATTACTGCAATCCAATTACGTGGCAACATTTTTTTCTAAAGTAACATCCATTTCAGAGTTTTGAACTAGTAACACATCCCGAAAATCAATGGAAGTATGAAATGGATTGCCTGACATTAGTATAATAGCCAAATAAAAAATATTCCCGATCGACACGTACGGTGGCTCACAAGGGCCACCACACAAAATAAAAATATTAATACACACACAAAATAAAAATACACACACAAAATACATAATACACACACAATATAAAAATACACACACAAAATACATTATACACACACAAAATAAAAATACACACACAAAATATTAATACACACACAAAATAAAAATACACACGCAAAATACATTATACACACACAAAATAAAAATACACACACAAAATATGATTGCGGGCGCTTGCAGTGTCGGATGGTCTGACTATCATATTATCAGTTTGTAATCAGATATGTGTAATTCAATAATTGTGATTTTAGCATGTGGTCGACTTGTCGTCGTATTTAACTGTTTCAACTGCGAAACATTTGAAATTACATTTGGAAAGGAATCGAAAGCAAGCTCTTGCATAATCCTGGCATAATTATGTTTTGTGCCAACTGTGGTGCACAATCACTTGACGAAGCTTCTTTTTGTCACAAATGCGGTGTGCGTTTGGGAAGATTAACTTCTTTGCCAAAATGTTCTAAAGCGTCAATGACGAGTAGCGTCTCTTCAAGCAGTTGCCCTTCGAGCTCTGCAAGTCCGTTAACTTCAACTTCAAGTACCCCAAAGCTGTTTATAACTGGTACGGGACAGGCTAGAGCAATAATGTCCTTTCAAAGGACAACACATTAACCTTAATTTTAACCAGAATACGGGGAGCAATATCGTAAGCAACTTTGAAATAATTGATCACAGTGAAATCAGTGAATTTTGTTATGTACTATGGAAGTTGGAACCATTAGAACTTTGAAAACAAAAGCGATCAATTACGAGCAATTCCGAGTAAGCCGACACTGCAAGCGCCCGCAATCATATTTTGTGTATGTATTTTTATTTTACGTGTGTATTTTTATTTTGTGTGTGTATAATGTATTTTGTGTGTGTATTTTTATTTTGTGTGTGTATTAATATTTTTATTTTGCGTGTGTACTTTTTATTTTGTGTGTGTATAATGTATTTTGCGTGTGTATTTTTATTTTGTGTGTGTATAATGTATTTTGTGTGTGTATTTTTATTTTGTGTGTGTATAATGTATTTTGTGTGTGTATTTTATTTTGTGTGTGTATAATGTATTTTGTGTGTGTATTTTTATTTTGTGTGTGTATAATGTATTTTGTGTGTGTATTTTTATTTTGTGTGTATATTAATATTTTTATTTTGTGTGGTGGCCCTTGTGAGCCACCGTAGACACGGAACTGCTAGTACAGCTAATTTTATGGAACGTAACACAGACAATTTTATAATTATTGCCCAGAGCAAGTTTGACGTGGCGTATGGCGAAGGCCGAAAAGTTAATTAGCTTTCAAAAAGAACTGCTACAAAACAAGGCAAGGAAACTAAGATTGATTATACCTATAATGGACAATTGCAGAAAAATTATACGTAAAGAAATATTTATTAATTTGAAAAAGTGAACAAACTTGTGCTGAGGCACAATCCACTCACACATCAATATCCTACACTTACATCAATGTCCTTTATTATGTAAGGGCTCATTTTATTGATTATCACGTGATCTTTCTCATCGAAAGCATTTGGTTGGCTGTCATACGCGATGACGACACCTTACACTAACTGACAACGATAGGTCGAACTTTGGACAATTTAGCTGCAGATGGTGACAGCCGATGTTTTTTTCCAAAACACGAAATGTTCATAAAGACAAAGGCTGTACTAAATAACTATGTACCGCATGGCAATTAAACATTTAAAAGCGTTGTTTTAAGATTTTACCAAACTAACTCAAACTTAGATTAACTTGTTATTTTGATAAAACAAGCAGCACACTCACGAATTTCGACCCTTCAATCCGTCATTAAGACGAAAAGAAATGACTTAGAAACACAAGAGAAACACGATAGTGAGCACAATTATCCACAAGTAATTGTGACTGTATTTCGTTACATTTCACGAGTAAAAACCGTTCCAAAAAACCCACGGCATAGCCAAGGTTTTGGTTTTTGATCTGAGCAAGGAGAATAGTTAGTCTTGTAACATAATACATCATCGTTGTTGAGCTTGCTCTGAAGCTTTCAAACAGTCTGGGATTACGAGAGGGATTCTTCTTTTTCCATTTCGCAATCTCAAATTCAACCATTCATCTTTGTTGGGAAAAATCCGAGCCTCCAATGCATCCGGCTCATCATCATAACACGAAGTGCTTGATATTGCAGAACTGCCACTGACCGTACTCGCATGCACTATATTCTGCTTTCCATAGCCGTTACCAAGACTAAGCTTCTTTTTCGTTTTCGGTTGAATCATCAACAGACGTGCAGCCTCGTCAAGATGTCGGAAAATGTCAAGATTCGCGATACCTAACCGAGCTTCGTCACTCGGCTCGGATACTTTTGAGGTCAGCCACACTTTGACGTAATCAAAGTCAACCTTAAGTTGACATGCGCCAATGACACTAAAGATAAGCAGAAGACACTTGTGAGGTACCTGCAAACCAACTGCTATCATGGCCGTAGGAAACACGAGGAAAGGAGGCACAAGTTTAAAGCTAAAACCTGGGTCCCCACAGAGGCGCCATCTAGAAGAGGGGAGGGAGAATCCACGCTCTTACGGCCACGAGTGCCATACATTAAATGCCTTAACTCCAGCAAGTTTTTCTTGACACTATGAAACTTTTATTGCAGTTAAAAATCTCGCGCTAAACAACTTATACATGAAATAAATTCCATCACCTAAACTTTATCTGCTCCTTTAAAATGTGATCCCTCCACGATTTCATCATAGCGTTAGCCGTCTGAATCACGATCCAATCACATCGCGGCAGCTGTGAAAACTCCTCCACGATTGGCTGAAGTAAGTGATTGATGGCGTGCTCTACGTAAGAGCTTGGCTCGCTGGGCAAGCTTCCTGTTGTAGAGTAAAAAAAATGATTATTTAATGGCGTGGAAATTCTAAACCCGTTGTTCATGAAAGAGAGTCTTTAAAATTACAAAGAATGAGTGAATGGCGATTTAACTTAGGTAATTTTCTCTCTAGTTTAACTTAAATAGTTGATATCAAAGACATCTTGGAATGGTTTGGGTCATTATAAATATATTAATAGATAGAATAACTTTATTTAAGCACGCTGAAACCGACAACCGAAGCTGATTTCCGCAGGGTAGGGTATGAAAACACACACAGCAAAAAAATTGAAAGCTACTCACAAAATTTTAAGGGGAATATATAATTACAATGTCTGACAAACAAAATTATTTAAGTAAGCAAATAAAAGATAAAATGACTGGAAATATAAGAATTTCTTGTCGATCAACGGGAGTAGCGATTTTGTTTTGAAAGGAGGAAAGCATTTTCTGTCTCTAATTTCCTTAGGAATAGAATTCCAGTGGTACGCTCCCTCGTACACGAAACTTTTTTTAATGTTATTACTTATTTGCACACGGTCGTGGTAGACGAAGACTGTTTGAAATGTACCGAAGTTTGTAGTTTACCAAAACATTTTCATAAACCATGCAAAATGATCATGACTTTTGCTTTTCTTTATTTTCCTTACAGTTTCAAGTGGCTTTCATTCGTCGAATTCAAAATTATTGACTGTAATTTACCATACCCTAACAACTGCTGCTTAAATAACGATGACGAACGTAGAGGTTCTTTATTGAAGATATTCTTTGTCGATACACGAGAAAATTATTTTGCCAAATTTAGGTTCGTCGTATAATTATAAGGATAGTTTTCGAGGAACAGGATCTCACAATTGGTTCCGTTAATGGTGGGCGTGTATACTCTTGTGTTGCGTGTGAAAAACTTTGTCAAGGCAACAATACATTCAATATAGTTAATTATGCGAGACAATAAAAATCGTCATGTAAAAGAAATATGTAGCAATAAAAGACGAATATTATGTCATGTATTTATGACTCCGACAGTGAAACCATATGTGCAAACTTGTTAACTAGATTTGGTCGCATGAGCTTAAATACTCCCCCCCCCTGTACTGAGGCTTGCAATTATATAAAGCAGGTGGGAGAGTCTAAGCCCATTAGATGAAATCTAGTAAAAAAATTGCATTTATGGCCAAACGGTTATGAAGTGTATGCGTTTATAAAATGTCTAGAAAAATACACTCTTGAAAATGTTGTCAGAAAACTGGGAACTGGCGGCGTTCTGGGAACAACTTTTGTATAATTTTTATTGATATGAAAAAGCACACAATTTTAGCCGGACCAACATTTACAGGCTTTTTCTGTCCTCGATCAGTTTCTGGACCGATTTTTTATACACATGTCGCACTCACCCCTCCCCCCTTAAAACGCGCTCCCGACAGCTAACGGATAATTATACTGCGAGAAGCTTTCCAACGCTGTTAATTTACGCATTTAATAAAAACGACAAGTTTTTCTTAAAATAAACATGTTTCAACATCTCATGATGCCATCTTCAACATCTCAAGATGGCATCATGAGATATTGAAACATGTTTATTTAAAAAAAACTTGTCGTTTTTATTAAATGCGCAATATCAATAGTGCTTTTACGCAGTTGCTGTTAATTTAACTTTAAAAATAGTATTTACCGGAGTTTCTACTCTGTTTCCAAAAACGACCTTTCGGCATCATTTCTTTCCAAAAATCACTTGCAAGCTTCACATAGTTGCTCGTGAAACGCTCAATGCATTCCACGTGGATTATCTAAAACATCACGAGTAGATTTGTTATATAGAGTTTTACTTTCTTGAACACATCGAACTTTTCTACGACAATAATGTGTCCAGTCAAAACGTCCTCATCAGGTGGAAAAAAACGCTCCCAGGTCAAAACCTCCTCGTTTTCTGTGGTCAATTCGGTGGGGGTTAAGGGTTAAGGATTAAGGTTAAGATTAGGTGTTAGGTTAAGATTAGGAGTTAGGTTAAGATTAGGGGTCAGGCTAAGATTAGGAGTTCGGTTAAGATTAGGGGTTAGGTTAAGATTAGGAGTTCGGTTAAGATTAGGGGTTAGGTTTTGACAGGAGTGCGTTGTGACTTGAGCACATTTTGAGTCCTATTTGACAAAGGAGGTTTTGACTTCGAAATGTTTTGACAGGTAAGCTGATAACAATACCTCAAGATGATCAGCCTTTCTTTTCATTTCATCACAATATTGACGCATTAAAACACAACCCAGCGCATCGTCAACCCGTTCGCGATTCATCTCTTCCATCGCGCGCAGTATGGCATTCACATCCTTTATGACGATACGCATCTCGCAATGAGCGAGGAGAAAAAAGGAATGGAGAGACCAGTTGGCAAGATACTGTTTAACCTTAGTCGTGAACCAAAAGACGCAGTAGTCGAGAAAAGAACTAAACCTATCGACGACATCTTGTATGGTGATGGAGACACCGGTCGAAGATAGAGTGACTAAATTCGCCTTCCATGGCGTCGTAAAGAAACGTTGGTAAACAGAACAAACTTGAATCATCAGACGTGTTGTCCTAGTTGAAGGGACACCGTCAACGATGTCAGCCAATGCCTTGCATTTATCTTGTTGGCCAACTGCAATCAGCAGGCAATGCACTAAAAGAAATCGCACAACGTCGAGGGAGTGACTCAATGTCGTTAGGTTGTTCAGACTGTGATATTAGGGGATTGAGGCGGAGAATGCGTGAGTATGAGGTACAAGACCTCAAGGACGCATAGGTGCATTCCCTGTATAAAAAATGCTTACTTGTGGGAGAAAGCACCGAGAAAGTTTTATCGTTAAATGCAGCCTGCAATCAGAGGCGTAGCGAAGTCAATGTTTTCGAGCGGGTGTGGGCGTAAAATTTGCAGGCAAATAAGGCATAGCAGGGTCGTAGTTTGGGTGTATACTGTAGTAGGTGATTGTGTAGTTAAATTTTGTTGAAAATTACTGATAAAGGTACAATTTTCCAGACAGAACGATGATTGCTGGAGTCTGGCAACATCAGACTACCCCCCAATCTTGACGCCTCTGTCTGCTCTGTAGCTTTCTCTGCTGAATGACCACCCTCCCCCTGCCATAATCCATCTCTGGACATGCACTTCAGGAGCAAGCTGTGTGCATGAGAAAAAACACTTACATTGATCCAAAACTGAGAGCACCGAGGACAAATACAGTTGGCGACTCACATGCTGCATGGATTTAAGAAAAATATCTGGGAAGTCACCTTGAAGGATAGAAAGATGATAGTTGACACTCACTCTACATCAAAATCACAAGTATATCAGAAAATCACAAACCTGCGCTTTCAAGCTTTTCAATTTGATGTTTGATTTCCATTGTGGTGACTGTTGACCAACTAAAAACTGGACCTATTGTCTTGCTCACAAAATGCTGCCAAGTTAGGCCTTCCAATTCACTATAAAACTTGCTTGAAAATCTTAACCAAAGATCATTGTCATAAATGGAAATGAGACAGTGGATATTTTTCTCCTCTGACAACGAGGAATTATCAATATGAGGAAGAGCACATCCATCAAACAATATCTTCAAGGTCTGTCTACTTTGGCCAGCTTGATACATTAACTTTACAGAATAGTTTTCACAATTGTGCAATTGACTGTGTTGAAAACAGAACTCTCGCTCAGATTCTCTCTTAGTTGGACTTTCATTACAGGGGAGTGCATTTACTGATGCTGCATTCACTAACTGCTGAAGAAATTCTTTTTCTTTTTGTCCGTACTTTTTGATGATAGTTCGTAACCTTCCAAATCTTGTCCTTGCAGTTTTTTCATGCAGCTCATTCGTAGTTAACTGACCATCTGAATTCCAAGAGAATTCTTCTGTAGTAGATAAGAGATTGGGCTTTTCCAGAACCGCGACCTCTTGAACCAGATTCTCGTGGACTAATCTGGCTAACAGGTTTGATCTTTGCTCGCATATCACGGATAGAATTGTCACAAGATCTAATGTTGGCAAAAGATAATTTATAAGGCCGTACATGTTTTTCTTTTTGTACATGTACTTGGAATCCCTCAAATACTTTCTTTCAACAGATACCATGTCGTTGAAAATCTTGATAACCTGAAAAAATTTCGGCAAATCAACACTGCTAAGCAGTTGTTTAAAATTACTATTTGCCAGTAGCTGGAAACCAGTTACTGCTAATTTGTGCAAGTAGTGTATTATGCTCCTCAGCAAACAGAAGAACAAACCCTCTAACTTTTTGATTCGCAATTCAAGGACAGCAGTACGTCTAACTGGCAGCTTCAGTAGGTGTATTTTAGATTCCACATGAAGCCAGGAGAATATGTGTTTTTTGCCTTCTTCGAAAAGCTCGAGGTAGTGACCTACATCCAATAACATTGCCTGCGATATATCACAAGAATACACCGAGTTTAAGAGCAAGAACTCGCGTTCGACTTGATTTTCCAGTTTTTTTTTGAAAATCGTCAACGATGTCAATCGCTTCAGGAATTTTTGAACGAGTTTTAATTCCGTAGTTTCGAAGGAGCACTTTTGCAACTCGTGAATACGAGAACAATATGACGAAGACCGAGGGATATGAGCAAAACATGCTTGACTTTTCCTCGCAACGAAAAGTGGTATCTCAAGTTCTGACGGTCCATTTGATATCTTAGTCGAATTTATCGTACAGGAAGGTAACGTTGCAGTTCTACAATCATCGGTTTGTTCTTTGTTTATGTCAACTTGAACGAATGATGATGAATTTTCCGCCATTTTCATATAAAAGAGCACGCACTTCGAACCATGTAATTTCTTGCATGTTACTTCTTCTCGAACTTTGAAAACAAAAACTTACGAGATATATTTCTTGGATAAATCTACGAAGCAAAATTTGAAACATACACCGAAAATTTTGAAAATGGAATACACTAGAAATGTATTATGGTATTGGCATTGCATATTACTAAGCAACTAAATCAAACTCAAACTCTTCCCCCCCCCCCTTTTTTTTTCAATGAAAATATATACCAGGAAATACCAAGACTCCTTCTCTCATGGTTAAAACAGTTGAAGTATGAAGCTCAACTCTGACATTAGCATAGCCATCAATATTAATTGTATAACACTACCAAGCCATAGCAAAACAGAAGTATATTGAAATTTAAATGCTTCAGTGATAATCTTTTTCTCGTGATTCAGGATGATGCAACAAATCATTATTGATTGTAGTTAAAATACATCTAAACTTTGCTTGTCTCATATAAACAGTTGACAAAAATAATAGTTTTTCATGTAGTATTGACTCTATCAACCTAAAGTACGAGCCATTGATCCTTGCAGATATTACCGACAATAAATACAAAAATTCTTAGCATGTAGTCTTAATATCAATAATGCAAGAAGGGATTATTATTTCCTGAATTCAATTTCACCATAACATCAGGAACCTAGCATCTTTTTTGTCGATTACAAGATTTAGAAATGTATACGCATGGCATGATATATTTAATGTCCACTACTGTTTGAAATTTGAGCCAAGTTCTACAAACATATTGACGATTTTCCCCCTCTTTTTCAACATCTTATAGCAGTACCAACTGACATAAATACACCAAATGTACCACCACCTTGTACTATAGACTTACCAACCATACTGGTTAACTCGCGACCACGAAGACCTGCCCTAAAAAAAGCACAGAAATTCAGCTTGGAAATCAGTCAGAATTCTTGCTCAGACAACTTCTAGTTAATTTATAAGTATCTAGTTCATTACACATGACATATTCATGTCGTCCACGTGGTTATGGCGCACAAAAATTTGAAACAAATTTGCTTATAAACATATTAACCTTAGCGCGGCGTATGTGCCAAATAGCCCTGCAGCACTCATCCCGACGGCAAATCCTATCATGAAACCCATTTTAACTCGATCAAAACAGCTGGGTTGTTGTCGTCTTTGCATATTCTCATCAAATTTTTGGTCATTTAACCGAAGCTGGGTTGTAGATATAAATACACAGTCTTACATTGAGGGGTAATGGGGGTAAAACCGAGTTGACGGGGGACTGGCGATATTATTCAAAATGGCGGAAATTGTGGAAACTTTATTGAAATCTTGCCGAATTGTGTAAAATACTTCCACAGCGACAATGCTGGGTTGTTTTTTCTCGCTCCAATGTCAAATGTCTAAAAGAAAGTTCAAAATCAAAGCATAATTGTTTAGGCAGGCGTTTAAAAATTTTGAGTGACCCAAGAATAATGTAGCGAATGTAGCGACGACTGTGACGTTACCAATCGGCAAGTTTGGTGGTGCAACTGGTGGTGCTGGTGCAGTGGTGCTATGTAGAGGTTATCTTGAATTAGTCCCGCATAGCAAGATCCTCCACAAATGAGATCATTTTTGTCAAAGACAGATTTTCACAAACGCACATACTGTGATAGTCTTTCGTGTATTGTGAATTTGTGTTGTATCTAGTGCACTGGTGGCAAATAAACACGAGGCTCGTCCCTTTCAGAGAAAGAAACATATGTCTTGATGACAATCATGACATCACGTTAACAACTGTACATACAGATACAGTCGTGCAACCATGTGACCAGTCGCAAGTTTAGTCGTGCTATGTACATTGTTAACAGCAATAGATTTCTCAAGAAAGCATTGATTGCAGTGTTTGCTGTGCGCGCGGGGAAAATTTTCCCCACGCACTTTTCTGTTTGTACGCATAATTTATATTGAATACATACCAAAGTTCAAATTTTTTCATTTACAATTGAGGAAAAAGTAAAGTTCTCTATGCTTATAACTTAGGACGTTTAGTTATTGGGAAATTTTCTAACTCCATGCTAACTGGTCAGTAGTCACCGGTTCGCGTGATCTGACTGTTTATGTGCGACGTCCGCGCATCAGTCCACGTTCGAGTTGTCTTCCCTGCAGTGCTGTAGAACTAAATTTGTCAGGGGGGCTCTCTTGACTAAGCTGAAGCCATGAAATTATGAAAATTACCCATTTCAAAGGTAGAAGGGGGCTCTTCCCCCAAGCCCCCCCCCCCTCCCTCCCACTTCTACACCACTGCTTCCCTGTGCACCTTGCAAACTCTGAAATCTGGATTAATGCTAATGAATTGACACCGCACGACCAAACCTACAGCATATATCTCGCGTCACTCGAGCCTTTTAACGCCTAAACAGTTGCGAATTCATGTAGGATTTTTTCATGTTTGATTTTCAGGTAAAAACAAAACCTTGAGTTATGGCTTTCAGTCTGTGAAAGTGTTCTGATTATTCTTCGGAAGTTTAAAAAAGAAAGAGTAAAACTGTGAAACAATGTACGGTACGACGACACAGACGGTCTCTCTCTTACTTTTTCTATCTCAAATTAAATGTGAAACCACTAAAAAATGGCTGGAGCCCAAAAGGCTAATGGACTTTCATCGAAATGAAATCACGAAGCGAACGTGACGAGAAATTATTCACTAAATGACCAATGAATTTCTAAGGTATGGAAAAAATTTCCCACTTTATTTGCTCTAGCAATTACAACGAATAAATTACTAATGACAAAACCGACATGCTGAGTGCTTCATGATCATGACAAATCTGTTCTCTCTCCTAAGTCGGAAGAATGCTACCTCCTAGCGTGGTGGTATAATTAATTACATCCCACTTATGATAAAGCGACTCATTCTCTGTGCAGCTGAATATACTCGTCGCTTATGTATTCATGAGAGATGCAACACCGTCTTATTTGGACAAGAGATGTGAAAATGCGATAATGAAATTTCTCGCTTGGCAACCTCGTTCCTTGCCATTACCCTATGCTCAAGCGAGATATTTTCACAGTCTGCCAACGCATGCCATATAATTTCGCACGTGTTTTTCTAAGACATCGGTTGATAGCAAACCGAAGGTCGAATATCGTCAGCTTCGTTGTGATGAGACTCGTAAAAATCGAGCAAGTGTAAATAGAGGCCCCGAACAATGTCTAGGACACCCTTAATGAAACCATTGTCATTGAAATTTGATGGGCATGACGTCATAAATTACATGCTGTACAAAATCGTTTTAAAGGCTCAACGAAACCCACACTATACGCGGCAATACAAAAAGCGAGTAGGTTCTCTCCCAGTAGGACAAGTGTATACTTGAATAGCACTTATGCTACATTTGATTAACTAGCAAAAAGGAGAGAAAAATTGTGTCCAAAATCGCAATGTGAGTGTTGGGCTTGCTCGAATCTGCTCGTTATTGTAACTTTGAAATCAAGAATGGGTATTTTTTTCATCGAGTTTTTTCGCTCGCTGAAGAAACCGACCAAGTACATGCTTGGTCGTACTATGCTGTTTTTCGTTTACTTAGTCTTCGGAGCATTTGTGTTCCAAGCGATCGAGTCAGGTGCGGAGATGGGCCGAAAGGAGCATCTCGATTCCGTTGTGGAACAGGTAGTAAATAAATACGGTATGAGTGAGCAAGATTTGACGTTGCTCGTTGATGAGGTGGAAAGAGCAGTGGACGGAGGTTACTTGAAAGCAGATTATGATAGATGGAATTTCGCGGGATCTTTGCTATTCACTAGCACAGTCGTAACTACGATTGGTATGTTTTTCTATCTGAATAAATGAACATATATTTGATAGATAAATGATAATTTCATTGTAGATCTGAGTTTAACTTTTCGGCGTTAATGATTTTAACACCGCGTCTTTAACACCTCAAAAAAAAACGAACTTCGTCTTTTGTTTTACTCTTAACGCCACGGACCATGACAAAATCTAACGTTACAACTGCCATGTAAATTATTAGTTTATGTCGCAACGAAGTGAAACGTATTAGTAATTATGTCTCGAAGATGAATAAGATCGGATAGAAATGAAAGGCAGCTGATGTCTACAGAGGGTGCGCATAATCATTAGTTAAAATCGTGTGGGCTGTTGCTTTCATCTAAAATTGAAATCAGTACATGCGTTGTGCTAATGTAAAGAGCGTCAAGTGAAGCCGTCAAAGTCGTTTTGAAATGTTAGATGCGAAGAAAAAATGATTACTTACCTAAGGTAAACTGTGCCCATGTTTCATTACGTTAAACAAGAGTTATACTACACGATGTTCTTTGGAGTAAAAATCATCTCTGATATAAGTTGAAATTTCCCATTGAGCATTTTCGTCATTAACTTTTTTACATATACGCCGATTTTTATTTCAACAATTTATTAATTGAAAATGAGTCATTTACACATATTTGAATACTAATGACATTCACAATGCAAGCTGCGCATATAAAAATCTTGATGTTTATTATTGTATGCGGGAGGAGCTCGGCTTACGTTGTCCTGCCCACACGCTGTGTTTGAAAATCACAGGAATAGAATTAGTGTGTCCCGAAATGCAATAAATCTAAGTTGTCAGCTCACAAGGCCTTAGTGTGCAAGGATAATTTTACCATTTTACCTTTTCTGCATTTCTTTTTTTGCTCCGTGAATCCGACATAAGATTTTTGTCTGCGAAGGTTTTGCTTCGTGGGAAACATTAGCACACACCGAAGTCAGAGTTTTATTGCGAATATTTGACAAGGGGACTCTAAACTATGACATCACCACTGCCAGAGCCCAAAAACTTGCCATAAATTTAAGAAGAGAGCCAATCAATTACACTAGAATAAAATCTAAACTTTCCAAATTTTAATCTCAACTTAAGTGGCAGAAGTAAAAGATTGAGTGGCAGTAAGACTGTTTTTCATCTCTAAAAGAGTTGATTTGTACAAATCCTATTCCAACAGCAAAAATTTGTAATTCTCAAGCCAACCGTCACAAGGCTATTTATAAAAGAAGTAAGTTTTCACCATGTCAATTGAAGGCAACAAACGAACACCTTACTCGAGAGCTAAGATTAATTTACGAGTCAAAGAGCATACGCTCGACTCGTAAAAGTATTCGTTACGAAATGCTGTAGGGTTTTAAACTTCTACTATCGTCATGGAAACCGAGTTTCTCTGTCGGCTATAGCACATCTGAATAGTTGCTTTCTATTCTTACCGAAACATTTAACATTTTTCTTAAAGTATTCAAGTGGTGTGTATGAGTTTGTAAGAGGGGAGGGGGGAAAGTCTCGGACGATCCAATGAGGGAATCGCATTGAACTAAAATACATGGAAGCTGTAATAGAAAAGCCTAATAATTTTTTGAAGCTAAATCTTACACCCAGCCACGCGAGATTACACCCAGACACGCGTGTGCACTCAATTTTCACTCCGCGAGAGAATCTCCAAACACTACACACGCGTGTCTGGGGTAAAATCTTGCGTGTCTGGGTGTAATCTCGCGAGTCTGGGTGTAAGATTTGGCTTCAACTATTTGCTTTAGGTAGCGCTCCATGTATTTTAATTAGTTCAATGGGCATTCCGTAATCCTTGTTTATTCTTAGGTTACGGTCACATGACTCCCATCACCACTTGGGGTCGCGCATTTAGTATCATCTATGCCCTATTTGGAATACCCATAGCGGGCCTCATGTTGAAATCCATTGGCGAAAAGTTAACGGAGACCATCCCGAATGTACTGACGTGCGTGGAAAGACGTTTGCTTGGGAGAGAAGAGGCAGAGCACATTCAGATGAAGTCAACAATTACGGTGTTCGTTATCATGGCTTTCCTTCTGCTAACTCTAGGAACATTTGCGCATGCTTATGAAGGTTGGTCATACTTCGAAGGAATTTATTTTGCGTTCGTCACCCTGTCGACCATAGGTTTTGGTGATTTTGTGCCTTCACATCCGGCCGACCCGAGCAAACACAATGGCCTTCATACCATTCTCTTTACTATTCTAACCTTCATTTACATCACCGTCGGTTTGGCAGTCGTTTCCAGTGCCCTGTTGTCGATCAGCAGACTTTTTGAGTGCAAGGATCACGATGAGTTTATGAAAGTTCCTTGCTCGGAGTTGGACGATAGTTTAATCCTGAGCGAAAGCGAGGGGAAAACGGTAAAGACCTCGGAAAGCCAATAGAAAGAACAACGACGTGCACTTTTAAAGAATAGAAAGTTTTCGTGAATGAAAATGATGTATATAAAATAACTGAGATTATTCTCTTAAAATGTATTTTTGTTTGAACGAGAGAATTATTATATTATATGATGATTTTCCTCAACTCAGAAGGAAAAATATAACAAAACGCCGGAGAGCGTGTCCACAATTCTTCATTCTTCATTTATTAAAAATCTTGAGCGGATTCGTCATATCATCCGTTCGTTCTTCCCTGTTCCATCATCAAGTCTTTCATGAAACAGACAGCAATGGGTTGGTAAAAGATTCTACTCTGAAGTGAAAAGTTCAAAGCATACGAACGAGACAAAAAAACGGCAGATGACGAAAGAGTAACGAATGATGACGATGAGTTTGTATTTGAAATAGTGATTCACTCCAAGTCCTTAATGATTCCTATTTCGTTTGAGCTCACTGGATGAAAGCCGAATAATGTCGGATCTTCCATCGCAGTCCTTATCGATAACATCATGCTAGACACAACAGCAAGTCCTATGGTGAAGTACAATAGCGTCAGCATAGTAAAGACAATCACGTGTACAGCATACCCGGCCGTGTCCTCTCCCGGACAGGGGTGAAGCGGTACCAGGTCTCCGAATCCTTAAACGAGAAAAAATGTGCGTTGTCATTGCAAAATCATCAAACCACAGATTGAAATGACGGAATGAAGCAAACTCTTACCGATAGTACTTAATGTAACAAAACCAAAATATATCCCATCAAAAAACGACCATTTTTCGGTATAGTGGGCAACTATTGCGATAAAAAGAATCATAGCTAAAGCCATAAGACTTGTAACCATTGCTGACTTAAGATCCACTTTGCTCGGTTCACGTAGTAGGAACTGCCTCTCAAACAACGAGATTGCCGAGGACACCCCGGACGATATCATGTATCCGAGACGAGCCAGCAACATCCACGTCAGCGGTATGCCGATTAAGGCGTAAAATATGCAAAATACACGTCCACCATTTGTCGTCGGAGCCAGATGACCATAACCTGCCAGGAAAAATAATAGATTTAACGATTAACGATCTGCGCTCAAAAAGATCGAAATCTTACTCTTTGTATCTATGTTCATCATCATCGTTACTGTCGTAACGAACACAGCGTAGATAAAAATGAAGTTAAAAAAATACTTATCATGCAGCAATAGTTTTTGAAAACAACAAAAAGACAAATGAAACAAAATCGCTTCACATTAGGCAATTTATAAATCGTCCAGTCTGCAGGAATTCGGAAAAACTTGTCGGCCAGACTCGTCTAATCTTATCTGATGAACGTAATGAAATTTTTTTCAAATGAACAGAGAATGAAGTTTTGAGTTCATAATCTTGTACTTATCTACTGATGATTTTAAACGACGAAATACTCGCAGAACACTAGATAATACGAACTTTACACCGTGTTCTCAAAGCATGCTCACATTTACCGAGAGTGTAAATCGCGCTGCCCATAAAAAATGCCAAACTCATTTCCCTATGAATGGCAAGATTCTTGAAGAAATATTACAAATCAAGCAATCAACGATACGAAAATACCGTCCTCTATAAAGTGTGAGGTAGTTTTGAAGCCTCCCTCAGCTGTAAGTGTAAGTAAGCTTTCGGAATACGGGCGCTCGTGAACGGGAATTTTATGAAAATTCTCATTATAATACGGAGGCAGAGATAGCTGAAACGATTTTCACCGTATCAAACGACCAGACTGTCACGTTCTCAGAGAAAAAATTATTAAAAGGCAGCTGTTTTTAGACTTGATATTGCACAACAAAGCAAGGAATTAAAAATTGACACAACCGTTACATATGTAAGTGTAAACATCACCAAAATCATGCATTTTTCTGCATAAGTCACACGATCTAATACAGAAGGGGATGCAGAAGGGTACGCAGAATTCTGTGGTCCGTGTGAATGACGTCACGTAGCTGCCATGTTTTCACTGAGTGTAGTGATTTGATAAAAAATTCACATTAATTCCAATGAGCGTTCTTATCGTGCCTCTCGCATGCAATCTAGTTTATCAATTTTAAAAAATTAAAAAATTTAAAAGAAGATGACCTTATGTCTGTATCATCTTTAGAATGTATAACCTGGCGTTGGTTTTTACTTTGCTGGCGCCTTCTCTCGAGCTTCGCTTCGTTTCGATCAAATTACAATAAAATGGCCAAACACGACACGACAGCAACGACAACAAGCTCATTGTTCATTTGATAATCTCGGACTAAATATCGAATGCTCGTCAAGATTCTCAATGCAAGCGAAACTCAATTTTTTAGTTTAAAAAGACTGGAATAACAGGAAAGATTAGATAGGGTTAAAGAATGCTCGTTCACAGAGTAAGTATTTAACGATAACAAGTGACAATGAAAAAGTAATTGAAAATCAAAAATGACTAATGAGATTGCAGTTTATGCCAGTTCTCTATATTTTATAGAGCAGTCTAATCTTGACTACTCTGTTTGTATAAATGCCAGTTATACATCTTTATGACCATATATATATATAGATTAATGACTTGTTCAATTTACACAAGCCACTCACCGATAGTTGTAACGACAGTTCCAGAGAAGAACAACGCACCGATAAAGTTCCATCTGTTTACCCATTCATCGGAGAATCCCTGGTCAGCTATCGCTTGTACAAGCTGAACGAATCGTCTCAGATCCTCGTTGCTCACGTTATACCTCCGCTGCAAATCATCTCGGGAATTGAGCAGGAGCTGTCTTTCCCTCGTCTCGTTCTCGATCTCCAAAGCTTGAAAAACAAGTGCACCAAATATCAGGTAACAAAAGAACACGACGAGCTGTACAATCATACTCGAAGACGGCGCCTGCCCGCTGCTCTTCATCTTCACGTAAGACACAATGGCGAGAAAATTGACATTAAGTACGAGCACAAAGAACCATCTGTCTCTTTATCAGAGAAGAAGAAAACTTTTTGTGGGCGTGTGCTCATTCGCCGTTAAAGGAGTGAAAAAAAAAACCGTCAACATGTTTCACACAACACACTATTACACAAAACAACACTTGTCTCGATCCTACTTCTTTGTAAATCTAACTGTATTTATTTAAAACCATCAAAAAAGTACCGAACCGAAGGCAGCTGCTCAGCAAAGCGCGTGTGTTATTTTCTCGTTAGCCCGCGCAGGTGCAACTGCGAATAACTGTGGGAGTAGGTGCCATTGCGCATGTGCCATAGACCCGTTCCACGAATAATTGGTCATTTGTGAATGGAAATTTCAAAGCGAGGGAGTGAAGCGCAATCAAATACAAACAGTGTGTGATAAAGACATATAACCATTTGAGCTTATCGCTTCCGTGGACACGAGATCATTCTTAAAAATAATCGGAATCCGGAAAAGAGATAAGTCAATAATTACGTCCAGGTCAAACTGGCTTTACATACCGAATTTCAGAGCTCAGTCCTAATTCGTTACCAGTCTACGCGAACTTTCCAGCGATAAAACACGATTATTCAGATCACAGTAACCATGGAAACGATGATGGAGATTGTCGTAAGGAAGGCGCAGGCAAAAAACAACAGAAAATAGCGATTCTAAAAGAAACCCATCGAAATTAAAAGTCAAGCGCGTTATTGCCAACACAAATATCGAAATTTGCACGACTTAAAGTGCTAAAATTTCCCTTTAACGAACCCAAGATCGGAAGATGTCATGGCATAACAGACACGTGATGTTGTAATAGGCTTTTTTCATTGGCAAACATTTTCCCACGTGACTTCTGATCTAAAGTAAAAAGAACTCTGTGGAGAAAAGCGCACCGGTCGTACGACGAGCAAGAAGTCGGGACCGAAAATAGTTTGAAGCTTATTTTTTTTTACTTTACAGTTTACAGTTATGAGACGTAGAGAATACGGAGACCGCAGGAAATAGATAATTGGGGATGCCGGTGGATAGTATTCATACATGCATGTTTTACTTAGGTATTTACTATTCAAATCAATTGAGATTACGGATTATAACATGCGAGTGTTTGAATACGACCCTCCCCTCCCCTACCGCAATCATCAATCTTCTTCAGTCTCCGAGATAATACGTTCATTCCTGACCACCTGAAAGCGACAGATGGCTTACAATCAATAAACTGAACGAGTTACTTCAATGAGCAGCACAGTAGACAGCAGTGATAATCAGCCCACAAGTTTCAGTCCTTGCGTGTAAATTTCAAGATGTTATCATCACTTGTTTCTTTATGAATGCCTATGAAGACCTTGTATAGCAACACTGAACAAGTGCTTGGATAGGTCAACGACATGAAACAATAAAGTTGAAACTTTGAAGTTGTTACTTATTTGAACACCATGGTGTCCCTCATGGACACTCTTGTTGTTCTATAGTGTACCTTGAAAACACCCTCGTTGATAAACGACTTCAGTGATTCGATAGTTTGGACGGCGAGACCGTTGGAAGCCTTGCATAAAAAGGTAAAAGGGTCGACTTTAATTTGTCGTGTACTACATACTCAGGTAAGAAACTACCTGTCATTAATTGCTACAAAGTAGGAGTCATTTACCTGAAGACCGACCTTTTTTGAAGTATTTGAAGTAATATCAAAATAAGTGTCTTTTATTTCTTTAATGCTTTTCTGGTCAATAAACACAGAAGTTATACGACAATGTTGTCTCCATTATGGAAAGACGAAAACGGCAAGAAAAAAAAACAATCCAAATTTTCAGCAACTCACGGAAATTTGAGCTCTGGATTCTTGGAATCTCTTGAAATCTTGCCGAAGTCGCTTCTAAATAGATTGAAATGGAAAGAGCTACGAAATTGTATTTTTCATGCAAGTGTTCTTACCAACAATATGGGAAAAATTTCAATATGAACGTTCCGGATTGCATTCCCATTTTTAACAGCCTTCTTTCGGTACGTTTTGAACGATTCTATAGTCTAAAACGGTACAAATTTATATTGTAATCGCATGCAGGTACAGTACAAGTATAAATACAATCAAATCTCTTGTAAGCGGACACTTTTGGGGTCACAATCTGCTCTGGTATCCACTTAAATAGTTGTACGAGTCGTTTCGGTTTTCTCATTCGTCTCTCGAACGCAAGCCGATAAAACAGAGGTCTTCACTTCAACATGACCGAAAAGACTCAATTGAGATTCAAACAACTACGACGTTTATATACGAACTAGTCTTTACAAGAATTGCGCGGTTATGAGAGGTTGTGAGAGGCGATATTTTAATGCCAGAATCAGTGTTTGCTTGCGGAAGGTGCCCACTTCGGAGAAATTTCCGTGAGTAGAGGTTCCACTTCCACTGCATCAACGGTAAATTCTCATAAACCAACAATACCCTTCGACTTCCGTGAATAAACTACGGATGTTGTCTGATGACTCCTACCTCATTCACCATAGAATCAATCTCGAGGCTTTCCAACATGAACCGTTTCCATTTCAAAAAAAGTCTTGCATATTTTTTATCGGCTTGGAAATCATGGAATGTGTCACCGACGAGAAACAGACGCTCAGCAAAATGTGGAAGTTTCTACATGAAACAGAGCAATAAAAAAAAAAGGCCATTTTCATCATGTGTGCGGAGGGTCGAAAAGAAAAAGTATCCACCCACTCCCATATAACATCATATGTACCCCACCCAAAAGTACCCCACCCATCCCATATAACATCATCGTCATATGTTCGTGGCCTGTCATTCTTAGAGGAATGCTATAGAAACGAAGGCTTACTTTTGAAGAATAAATGATGCAAAAATGCAATGTTTTTTTTACCGTCAACTATACGTTTAATCACGCAGTTAAAAGAAAATCAAAATTTATGAAAAAGCAAGCACATTGTTGACGTCATGCTATTGTCCTTCTGCAAGGTTACCAAAATCACTAATGCGATCGAAAAAAACAGGTGTTCTACGACAAAACATGGACATATCCTTCTACTGTCAGTAAAAATACATTGGATGAAAAAGTTTTTCAATTCTTTGTTGGCAGTCATTACATAACAGCTTTGTGACAAGCACAAACATAAAGTTGCGTGTATAATTTATCTGGTTTTTTAACGAACTCTAACTACCACAAAGACTGAAATCTTGTTCACTTACACGTAATTGACTAATACCAGAATTGATGTCCACTTTATCATCCAGATCCAACATCGTCCAGAGAGTGCCGTTCTCGGGACATTCGCTAAGGAAAGTGAAGACATTGTACTTCATGTTGCATGCAATGATGAATGTCGTTGTATTCCGATGTTAAATGATCTTTTACCTAAGTTTCTTGAATAATTGTATTGATTTTGTCCTGGGAAGCATTGTAGACTTTGGTAACACACTTGAAATATCGAAGATCTAGAGAAGTGTCATCGATGATGCAATATAACATCAAATATGAAAAAAACCCAGATAACTTTGTCGTTTCCGAAGACCAGCCTGACCACACATGCAATTTTTTTAACAGATTTAGTCGAATGAGCTTAAACACTCGCCCCCCCCCCGTTTTGAATTTTGCAACTATATAAAGCAGGTGGAAGCATCCAAGCATAACACAGCGAATCCAGTAAAAAATTTGCATCTATGGACACAGTGCTTTTAACTGGTAAAAATTCATACCCTGTCAATATTTTCATGATGAGAGGTGACGTCACACACAAGAGACATGTTGGATGCCAGGAGGAATGTTATTCCTGCGCATGCGTTGAGAATGACGATGATAAGCAGTTGTGCGATCACTGAACTAAAGGTAAATGTTGGTTACAGTATCAATGGTGGCAAAGGGGAACATATAAACTGACAAGGTCAAGGACGTAGGAACTGGGGGAGCAACGGGGGATAGAGGAAACTTAGCCTTCAGGAAAATTTCAGGACAAATGTTTGAATGTAAGCAAAGTTACCCTTTTATCTTTGGCAAGCTACAAAATTTACAAGCCGTGCGGAATATTGAAGGGATAATGTAAACATAAGAATAACTAATTAAGATAAGATTCAGATCAACATTCCGGAAGATCTGGATCTTCAAAATTCCCTCTTCGTGATTTGCCACCTGCTTCCCTCCCACATTGAAGACGTTTTTACGTCCCTAGACAACGTGCAATATGGGACTTGATGAGGGAATGTACGGGGGCTGATAGGGGGTAAAGGATGATAGTAAGGAGTAATAAGAAGGCTGATAAGAGAAGACATATCAAGGTGCTAAGGGTAATATGGGAATATTGGTTGATTTGTCGTAAAGATCGTTAAGAGATTAGTTCACTGTTTAACGTAATGTTAATAAAAAATGCTATAAGGATATAGAGGTCTGGTGAGGGTGACAAAGGGATTATGCAGGGGTAGTAATGGGTTAAAAAAAAACCTTAAAAAAAGTTTCCGAGACAACGACGAATACCATTTTGTCAATTTTTCCACAATAGGTCGTCGACGAAACAAATTTTGCGTTTGCTTTACTGCGACACTTGTCATCGTTGCCATTGACGTGAACAGAACGACGAGAGCAACAATCAAAGTTCCCCACCACCTCAACATGAAATTATAGACATGAAATTAGGATTAAACTTATGGAATTATGTTTACAAATGGAATTATGAAATTCTTGTCGCAGACACTGTGTATGTCAGTAAATATACACATCTACCCACCTTCCTGTTTCATAACGGCCAAGATGACTATCTTTACCCAACGTGATGTGAACTTTTTTTCTCAAAGGAGTCAAGTACTTTTCAAACAGCTAAAACGATTGAGTGATAAAGTCAAATGCGTCACTGCCCGCCGGTGGCAACCTACGAAAAGATGTCCCAAATTGTATGTAGTAAACCCTTGGAGGATCTGAGGTGCCTCAAAATTAATTACCGCAGCGCAATTTGGAATATATTTAAATTTCTAAGCAATTAAGAGACAAGTTAATTGGTAAAATTATGATCTTTACAAATTCAAAACCAATAGCGTTTTTCTGAAAGTACTTTGATTTTAAAATTAAGCAGCTATAATTTATTTTGAGTTCCTCTAGATGCGCCACTGTAGTAAACGACATAGTTTCGTGCCTGGTTTGAGTAAGCGCTTAGCGTGTGAAGAGCGAATTTCCACGTGTATTCAACACCCTCGTATAGTTTCTTCAAATCTAACGAAAACCATAAACAATGAAAATAATCAAAATAAGCAAGGAGTGGAACTAAAGTTTTAGAATTAAACACGATCAGTATGGATCAAGGCAAAATTCAGAAAAAAAAATAAGAGAACACGGACTGAAAAGTTTTTTTTAGAAATAAATGATAGGAGCATTAACTGAGATTAAATTTTTAAAAATACATAAGAAAAACGTGGATTGAGATTAGATTTTCAGAGTTATTAAGAGGGGCATGTATATCAAGACGTTAATTGAAGAGAAGAGTTGTTTCTTGAAGAAATGAGTTGTTTCTTGAAGATAAGAGTTGTTTCATGAAGAGATGAGTTGTTTCTTGTGGAGAAGAGTTGTTTCTTTTGAAGAGAGAGTTGTTTCTTTTGAAGAAGACTTGTTTCTTGAAGAGAAGAGATGTTTCTTGAAAAGAAGAGTTGTTTCTTGAAGAGATGAGTTGTTTCTTGTGGAGAAGAGTTGTTTCTTTTGAAGAGAAGAGTAGTTTCTTGAAGAGATGAGTTGTTTCATGAAGGAAAAGGTTTTTTCACTAAAAATCCAGTTAGTATAAGAAATTTACGCAGGAGATTATCTCAGTCTGAACAGGTCAAAATCCTGTTCAGACTGATTGAAAGGATCGCGTTACTGACGATGGAGATAATAACATAAAAAGCCATATATGTCTTAGAAACGACACAAATGTGACATTACCTAAAGGCATTGTACTTTTTTTTATAAAAATTCGTCAATTAAGAGCAGATGCAATTAAAGAAAGGAGATTTGAATAGCAAGCATAATGGACAACAATCAATTAATGTGGGCAAACAGTTTTAAGTAGCTCGCGGTTCAGCATGTTTTGAGTTTTCACTCATGCATGATCTTATCGAGAAATGCAACGATTAAGATCTCGATTTGAAATCAAAATGGCAGATACACGAAGTGAAGCGCACGATCATGTTTGTGTGTGTATAAAGGCATATTTATGCTTATGCTACCTTGGAGTTACATAAATAAATAGGCACATGATACGCTCGACACTGTTTCCAAGATTGTTTCATGTCCCGAAGCTATCTTTTCTGGGACACAGAAAAAACAAAACAAGGCAGAGATTTTTTGCTGAGCTATCTTGCTAATTGACGATGTTTGTTTGGATAAGACAAAGAGCAAATATCGATTTCGCCTTCCTGCTGTTCCAACTCCATCAATCATCATCACTCGTATTTCGTAGAATATCTGAATATTCTACGAAAACCTATCGTCAAATGCAGCAGCATATAGCATCCCAGCCCGGAGATTGAATTTAAGAGGCATGCCTCCTTTAAAGAAAGGTCGCAGCGAGAAAAACTGCCAACGAAGGCGAAAACAAAAATAACAACAGTTTGCCTTATGACCGTGTTTGTTTCTACTCAAAAACGTTTTTCGAGGATACAGGTGCCGGATACACAGCGACATGTTGTCCGTCGCATGAGATAACACGTATACATGGTTATTTTTATTTTTCAAAGGTTATCTCTCTTCGATTGTTCCCCGAGACCTTTACTGAAAGCGATTCATAATGGCATCGAAGACGGAACAGAAAACAAGCAAAGCAGGGCGTAGGAAAAGACTGACAGGATCCTCTTAAGTACCTTTTTACTTCGAACATATTTCAATGAGACGATAGAAGAGAAGACAAAAAGTTTCGATGATGACACGTTCTATATTTCTGACAATAACGACGAATATTTGATCTTGTTAAAACTGACATTTAACTCGATGCCCCCTGCGCTAAAAGGGGCACGTGGCTTGAAAAATTCGCCTAAAGTGAATGGCAGCCGAGAAAGCCATGTATTTCCATCACATATAGAGTTTCAACCATTGTTTCATCAGTCAGTGAAGGCAAACAACGATTAAAAGAAGACTTCAACCAAATTAATGTGGAAGTGCAGAACGAAAATCTCACTGCGAAGAAAAAGTTCAACACAGCAAAAAACCGGAGGAAATCATCCGCGTAAAAACAGAAAAAGCTTAAAATGGAATTGATATCGTCCAAAGACTGCAAAGTGGTGATTTGTCGAGATACCCAATGCAAGCTGTGTTGGACTTGCAATAGGACCAGAAACGAAACGAGTTTGGAGAGCCAGGCCTACATCGTCTTCACGTGTGAAAGTAAAGAATGTAGGTTATGTCACGAGGACATGGATATACTCTTGGATTTGTTTTGTCCTTTCAACACCGCGGAAGAAATTGCGGAAACGGAACGAATACTCAAAACTATTGGCAAAGAGGCAACCGGGGATCATGTCGGTAACGAGAAATGCCTGGAGAGTAAGCCGCGGAGCCATGAAGGACAACCGATTCAACATCATCACAAGGTGAATACGACAACAGAGGACATCCATGTGGAAGAGCGAGAGAAACTGCCCACGATCTTCGGCGAGATTATGGAAATGAACCTGATGCAAGTGGACGACGGTTTGCTGAAGACTATGGAGCGCCAACTACAAGTGGAAGAGTTGAAAGATTTGCCAGATTTGGTGGATATATTTGATGAATAGATAAGAGAATCGTGTCATCAAGATTAAGGACAGTGGAAAGCATGAATTCAAGAAAATTCGAAAACAATAGACAGATGAAAAAACGAAACACCTTTACTCAGCATTTTGCATTGATGACTGTATAAACACATTAAGTATACAAAAGTTCTGTTTCTTTCTACTAGTGAAAATCGACTGACATGTTCCTTGTAAATAAAGAAGCAATATAGATATTTTGATATGTTTCGATTAAAAAACTCCGTAGAAAAAACTTCGGGGGGGGATGGACAGAAAATGTGACGACACGTATCGTTTTCCAATTGAACTTGCAAACTGATCGTGCCTTGTAATTCGTCAGTCAAAATACTTTTTTTGAAAACCGGGCTGAACCGTTTATGAACACAAAAACAAACAATCGGCAGAAGTGATATCTTTCCATCAGTTGACAACCGTCGTTAAAGTATCCTAGCTATCGCGTAACATTTAGTTTTGAAAGTTGAAACTGAAACAGACTCGACTTTACCAAGAGTGGATCAATAACCTGGGACCATCTGCGTGCTTATCCTTGCACATTGACCAGTTCGAATCGAACACAATTCTGTTGTATATAGCTACTGACTACATCGAGTAAGCACAAGAGTACAGCACGAAAAACAACAAATCGACGCTATTTTTATGCCGTGCACGAAATTCTGATTCACAATAACTACCTTGCATTTTTCTTGATCTCTCCTTACATAAACTTTCCTCGGCATGTTTTCGTGTTTTCATGATCTATAAAGGGAAAGATTGTCTGCCAGAGGATAACATCTCGGGGTCATCGTCAGTCAATTCATAAACACTGGCTCACAAAGAGATGTAGACTGTGAATTGTGAATGGTCTGATCGTTCATCCAATCATCGTTTTTTGCCTTAGGAAAGTGGCATTGTAGACCTTTTATCTCCGTCATGGGATTTCTATAAATCTTAGTAGTCATCACAAGATATTTAGGGGCTGTTCACATGAGCCCGCAGTAGTGGGGATTTAGCAAAGCGTTAAATCATTTTGGCAAATGGAAAAGATTTGATACTTTACAACAAAAAAACTTATTTGAGCAATTTCTCTATGCTCTGTCCTTGCAAATTCAAAAAACTTTTAAAATAAAACAAATAATTTAGCCTGAGTTAGTTGCAAACTGTCCTACATGGCATGTTATGTTTAACGTATAGACTCCTCATACATAGTTGAGAATTTTGCTTGTTGAGATGTATAACCCGAGGTAAACCGTGAGAATGAAAAGCATTAAAAAAAACTGGGTGTATAGAAATGCGATCAACCTCCACCGTATTCAAAAAAAAACCTTTGAAAGGTCTTTACCATCATCACGATTGAAAAATGCTTTAATACTCGATTGATATTTGACAATGTTTCCGTGATCTTTGACACCTGTCAAAACAAAATGCTTGGTGTTTCTTTAAAAGCTTCAACTCAAAACTTATATATTATGCAGCAAAAAAATTGAAGGACTCGAAACAACTGTCCTACGTGTCGACGCAGGCGAGTTTCTTCTTCTTTATTTACAGACGTCAAACAAACATCGTCTGCGATGGAGCAAAGTGGCTTTGCATCTTTCGGCTCGTTTGTTTCCGAGCGTTTTTCTTTGAGATCGTTTCGGACGAGTAGCAGGAGTCTGCTCATTGTTTCATTGATTTTGAAAATTTGATCTTTTGCTCGACGAAGCTCTAGCAAAACATGTGTGGTTATAAATTTTCACGAACAATCCATCAACATCATGCAGGAAATAAGATGGGGTTCTTGGGAATTACCTGATAACGTTGATTGAGAGTTTTTATAAAGAAAAGCACTTATTATCTTCTGCTCGAAACTTCTAGATTGACAGTTACTGGAAACTGGATAAAGCGAGACAACAGACGAGTTATTGAAATGGAAAAGCTACAATTTACAAAAATCTCGCGCGCACCTCGAAATTGATGTAATCGATCTTTAACAGTTTCGTCAAAGTCGTTGCGGAGAATCCGATCTAGCTCCTACAGGGCAGAAATAGTCACTGCTTAACACACGTCAACATGTCAAGAAAGGGAAGAAATGAAAAACCACAGAGCCGAACTATAACGACTCGGAAATTTGACGGACCTTAACCGTGTCGTTTTGAAAGTCGTGCAGAACGCGAATGGAGCTCATTAATGTTGTTCTTGCACGAGGCAAATTGCGTGACATTTTGTTGTTCCACAACAACAGGAAGACATCTGTCACACTAAAATAAAACAACAAAAGGTTCGGCGTACACGGGAAGTATTTACATAGACAGCTGTGAACCGACGATACTCATATCGCTTTTGTAAATATACATCAATTCCCTGCAACTACGATTCATAATTCATTCATTAAATTGATCATTCATTCATTAAGGAGAAAGAAATCATATCGTAGAACGGAACCTCTGCGTAGTCAAAATGGAGTAAAACTAAGGTCGACGGGGGTGAGGAAATGTCCTGGAACGAGATGGCGGGATCCATTGTCTTATTAAAAAACTATTAACTTGTTATAAGATTGCAAATGTGCATGCAACTTACACTAGGCCAGCAGCCAAGATTGCCAATATAAGATTATGGCAAAGATTACAACTGCCTTTAGCATCGCTTTCCACAACATTCTTTGGTGAAGCTACTGTCTTAGTTTTCTTACGGGAGAGCACAAAAAAGCCAGAAATTTGAACCATCAGTGCACAGATGATAACAATGAAAACCACTATCAGAAAAGGCGTTTCGTAGCGAAGAGCCTAGTAAAAGATTGAACAAATTGAGGTCTATGTATAACGTGCATCAAAACTTAAAAAATCCACCTAAATCACCTTTCTTGCGAAGTCCGCTTTTTTGTGATTCCAACTCCAAACGACATCTTGGAAAATTTCTTTTTGCAACGAGCGAGTTCAAAAATCAAAGAAAAAATAGACTAAGCGAATGGACTAATTTTATTGTCAATGTAGCTAGTAAGATTTCCACTTACCGTCGGGGTTTTGTAACAGTAGACGAGCAAATCGCCTGGTGGAAGTGTCTAAATAATCCATGCAGTTTAGTTATACTGAAGCTGACGAGTTTTCGAATAAAAACTTATAAAATATACTCATTTTTACAACTACCTACTAATCAACGGTCATAAAATACCCAGTACCAGTTGCCACCGGCTCTGCTATCCCTTTTCTGATAACTTTCTAAATGAAAAAAAATCAACTTTTCAGTGACTTTGACACGGTTATCCTAGGGACATAAAATCCCTATATTATAACCATCATTCAGCAATTCACAATAGTCAACAATTCAAAATGCTCGTGCAAACATTATTAAAATTTCCTTTTTCTTTCATTGCTCGATGAAGGGGATAGATTATTGTGACTTGCAGATTGCACTAATTTACAACGGTTTCGCAAACATAGGTCAAAAGTCGACGAGAAACGTTGAAATGTATGCGGGCAAATATGAAATCCTTTACGCAAATTTACGATATTGGGCCCGTGGAGCGAACAAAAGGTTATGTGTTATTATTGTTGTAGTTTTTTTCCTTTTCTTTTCTTTTGTAGCAATTTGAATTTTTAAGGCATCTGCAGTGTGTTGAAGCATACATAATTTGTCTATCTTTGTTTTCGGACAAAGGTGTACAATGTTGAATGCAAAAGTGTGCTGTCAAACGAAAGTGTTGCCGATGATAAACGAGAGAAAAGATTGACACATTTCTTGTCTGTGAATATCGGCGAATCAACAAAAAATCAAGATTTCGAACCTTTGTTGGCACGCTTTTTTACTTTTTAAGATTCAAATGCGATATTATTAATCTTGTCTCTTTTATGTACAACACCGCCCACACTGAGACGCGAAAGCAATGCTAAATATTTCATTGCGAAACACTCGCAGATTAGGAAGGGAGACCGTACAATTTAACATAACGTGTTTGCTGAAATACCTCCTCTATTTTTTTCTCTCTCATCGCAATTCGCAAACATTACTGATAACTTTTTATTTTCGTCAAACAGCAATCCACTGTTTGCGAAGGACGGAAATTAAACAACTAATTTGGCGATGGGATATTGCATTTTCAATCTGACAATAGATTTCGGCGTGTCTTTCAAGCTTTTGTTCTCCATATTAATGTATTCAGAGCTATTCAGTTTCAAATGCCAATAATTCCGCTCCTTTCAACCACTCGCAGTTAAAACGCACGATGGTACAAATACAAAATTCATTGCTATTTACGGCAAATCATTGTACATCGCGAGTGGCAGTGAAATAAAAGGAAATACTCATTAGTTATACAAAGTATCGGTTGACACAATCCCTCAAGGCGTGTGTTATATAGAGCACGTGATCCCTAAAACAATAGTGACAATAGCTTTTACTTCGACGAGAACAATAGTTGTCGCTTTGTTAGGAGAAGAGAGCGGACCATGGCAGCGGAATGCGATGTAAAGCCAGACATTTCTTCTTTGGAAAACGTTCATGACAACGTCGGGAAGGCGATAAAACCGCTTTCGATAACCGATGGCGAGAAACAAACGTGGCCAGCCACTTCGAAAGAAGTAGATGTTTTGAGTCGAACAGACCTAGCCAAACATGGCAATGGCGCTCTGCCACATGTAAACGTTGGAAGCGAGGGCGGAAAGCAGTTGAACGGAAGAGAAGGACGAAACGAGAATGACACTCCGACTAAATGGCCAGCAACTTTTGACATGGACGCGATCGCTCGAGCAGAGCTGGCAAAAAATAACGATGGAAGACACGAAGATATTGCGAAGCAGTTTGCCATGGACAACGCGAAGGAAGGCCACATTAAGAGACCTATGAATAGTTTCATGATATGGGCACAATCTATGCGTCGACAACTTGCTGAGCAGTACCCTCATGTTCACAATGCCGAATTGAGCAAAATGCTTGGCAAACTATGGCGAATGCTACCCGCCGAAAAGAAGCAACCTTACGTCGAAGAAGCGGCTAAACTAGACAAGCAACATAAGAAAGACAACCCGGGTTATAAATACAAGCCGAAAAGACGGCAAAGAGGAATGAAACGACCGTATGGGCAGTATAGTAATATGGTGGGCGGTGGATTGCCGAGTCCGTGGCAAGAACAACAATTCTCTAATGTCACAGTACTAAAACACACTAATCAAGCAACGTCGACTATAATTACACAAGTCCCTGGTTCGGGAAAGAATAACATAAACACTCCTTATGTTTTTGTCCAAGGTGGCAGCGTTATCATTAGACCAGAAGCAACGAGTGCATTGCAGCCAACGTCTGCAACAAATGGAATAACGACGACGACGGGCTATCAGAGTGACATCGTACGAGTGATAACTCAACCAACTCAAGCAATGGCGAGCATGAACGTTGCTCAAGCAAACGGCCATGCGAACATCAAGGTGGAGCCATGCGATTCGCCTAAAAAATCGCCCACGTACAATTTGCATGTTCAAACATCCGTTATCAAAAGCAACGAGTCTAACAACAACAACGAAAGAATTTCACGGATAGTGGAGACCTCCACGGGTAGAATAGGAGTACAACAGTAAACATGCGTTGTTGATTTCGGGTCTAACTAACGAGGTATTCCAGATATGCGATCTGTTTCAACATAGTTTTGTTATCTACGGTTCTCGGGAATTTACACTACGTTACAAACGTCTGCGGTTGATCCTGTTATGTGCGTGTCCATCACTAATTTTTTTATTGTAAGTATTTCGTTTTTTTTATTGGTTAAAAAATGGCGACGACCGATATGTGTATATCGTAAATATTTCTGGGGCTTTTGGACCTTTGTTTGGCATTCTTTAATTTCCGCTCTGATTTATAAAAGATATTTTGTCTGATACCGTCACCTCGGGGCAAATACGAGAGAATTTTGCAGCGTTTTCTTGAAAAATGATACATTCCAAGCGGTATCTCGAGCATTTTAACTATCAAAGCTCGTTGCTTCAGCATTCTAGCCATTTATGTAGTATTAGTCCGTCTTTACCAGTTTCTTCTGTGACCTTCAACTACATTCCAATCGTTTTTTATCCAATTAAAGTCAATAGTTTGTTCTAGACTATAAATCCTGTTTATGCACAGTATGAAAATGATGAGACGGTATCTTACATTTTCATATTGTCAACATTAAACAAAGACAAGTACATTGACATACATTGTCATCAGTTGTACCTAGTGGTTGCACATGATATAATCCCAATTGATTGGTTGTAAGGTCATGGGATTGAAGAAGGCAGGTCATGTATCATACAATTTGATTAACTGACCATTTGAAATCTTCATATGCAAACTGGGAAAGGTTTGACTCTATGGCATTTCCCCAATACTTTTATGTTTCTCGAAATGAAACATTTGCCTCGAGGCTTTCTCATATTTGAAAACATGTCACCATAGCATCAATCCCATTAGCGTTGAACACATTTATTTATTTTTTAAAGCTTTTGACACAATAAATGTGCAAACCTTATTTATTTAACAAACCTTGCAGATAGTCTGCATATTTGTTTAGCTAGCTCAGAGAATTGTGATCTTAAATAGTAATATATAATTGCAGATCAGATAAAATCAGTGATACCAATGTACTGATGACGAACTGACAAAAAACAGTGAACTAAACTGTTTCATTTTATCAGGCTTAGAGTTACCAATCTTTCTTTTTGAAACTATAGCCATTGCAATTCTTGTTCATTGCAAGGTTTTCTGTTGACAATTTTACAAATGCATTGCTTTATAAACTATTTACACTTGATACAAGTTTTTAGTTTGGCTTTGCTATGTAATTGCTGTAAGTTTTGACCTCCATCAAGCCTGTGCATTAAGCTTGTAGCCAAGTAGTTAGAAATTTTCTTTGTAAAATATTATTATGGTGCTGTATTCACTTTTTGACCATGTTGTTTCAACATATTTGCATGTTTCACATTACTTTAAACTATTTATGCTATATGTACTCTTGTTTAACTTATCAAACAATGTTGCTGCTTTGGGAAACTGACATAATTACGTTGTATTGTTTATTTTTAGTGTTGTATGTATATATATACATATACAAAGTGTATAACAATATATATGTTGAAAAATAAAAGTTTCTCCGGATTTTATAAATGATTTTTATTTTTCAAGCTTAAAAATATATGTATATATATATATTGGTTTTGTTTTTGATTTTTGTAATTACTGTGCTCAATGCATTAAAGCACAGCATGAATATTGTTAGGAAGAAAGTTCACAAAACTACAATTTCATCCCCACAAGCCTGTTTTGTGATTTCTCCCTCTTAAGAGATAATATAAAATTAATACAAAAGCATGTGTTTAACTACACTTGCCAGAGAGTAAAATGAATCCCCCCTGACAATTAGCTGTTTGTCAGTTTTCCACGTGGCAGCAATCCTTTTTATTCTTGTACTTTGAACAAAATTTTGATGTAGTGCATTTGCATTCAATAAAAAAATTTGTTTTTGAAGTGTCATAATTTATTTGGTTGTTATAGCATGGGAGAAGAGACCATTGGCAGATCCAGAGTATGTTAAAATAAATTACTGCAGCACATTTTGGCGTTATGTAAATTTTTAAACACCTTAGAGGCTTATTGGAAAATTATATTCTTCAGAAATTAAAAACCAATCGTGTTTTTCTGAAAGTAATTTGAATTTAAAATTGAGGAGCTATAATTTATTTTCACATACACTGGATCCGCCACTGGAAGAGACCAATACAAACTGATCGAAAATGTCTTTAAAATCTACTTGTTTTTTCATTCCCACAAGGAAAAAATCTTTTTATTGATTAAGCCAAAGATTAGTAGAATAGATAGAATTTCAATTTAAAAGCGTATTCCAAAGCTGATTGGTATCTTAATGACACAATGATAAGAGCAAGACTTCATTGTGCTTTTGGTTGTTCGGAAGCAATTTTGGCGAATACACAATCAAAACACCATTCGAGTAACACTTGAAGCCGTTGCCAGTTTTAATTAAACAATGAGCTCCAAAATGTCAAATAACATCTATTACACACACTTCTGAGCGACACTAAATTAATACAAACTTCGAATTTTAGTTGTAAATTGCAATGCATCATCCCAAATCAACTGACAAAGCCATAAGAATGAAGGGGTTGGAATACGAACATATTCAGCAAAATAATAGAATGAAGTGAATTGAACTTGGTCTTACACTCTTACCCTTCATTTTTGTAAGCAAATGATTACTTCTTTCCTGACACCCTGTAGTCCATATTTGGTTTCTTCTTGCCAAATTCGTTGTTTTTTTGTAGTCTTCACATTCCTCACTTGCTTAAAACTACATCAAAATTCACAGAAAATTCACCACGTGTCGAACTGTCAGATGAACAATGCTTTAGTGAAGCTGGAGCAATTTCCCCCCTGACATTAACCATATATGGTGTGTAAGCGAGAACATGCGGGACTGGCGCGGTATTTGATTTTGACGAAGAAAGCTTCACTTCCTAGTTCTTATCACCACTTATTACCTCATTTTTCCTGGTGTATTTATGGCAGCTACGAGGCTGCCCTCACCGGTATTTTACGTGGGATCATAACGAAATGTCGAATAGATCGTGTGAAGATGATTTAGCGAGCGAAATACTTGACATGCTACGTAAAAAGGAGCTCTCTTTGCCAAAATTCAAGGCTTCCTCTCCTCAGCTTTCGGTACGTCGATACTTGGTTGATTGGTTGGCAATCATCTTTGAAAAGGTTGGCTCCTCGTACGGAATCTTGCATTTAAGTGTCTCGCTGATGGATTATTTTATGGACAATCATGACATCCCTGAACCACAACTGCATCTGGTGGCTCTTTCCTGCTTTCTGATAGCAGGTACATGCTGACTCAACTCAAATATATAACCAAGTAACACAGTATGTATTGTTGCAACAAACATGCTTAATTGATTTTCTATTTTCAGCAAAGTTTGATGAGATTGAAAACAGGATTCCCACAATAGAACAGCTCAACTCGTTTGTCCAAAATTCATTTGAGAGAAGTGAATTTCATGCTATGGAATTGCTTCTTCTTGATCATTTTTCATGGAGTGTCGATTTGCCAACTGCCGCAAGTTTTGTAGATACATTTTTAGTTTCTTCAGTTTTGAGCGACGATATCCACTCGGGTCAACCACTAACTAACTGTACCAAAGCAAAAGTATATGTCAAAAAATATGTTCATTACTTCTTGGAAATATCGTTACAAGGTTTGCTGTCTTTCTTCAATTCTTCTTTCAGTGTCGTGGGTTCCTTATTTGAGTCAACATGTATTGTTAACAAAACAATTTATTTGTTTCAAGATCACAGGTTCCTGTTGTTTAAACCATCAGTGGTGACGGCAGCTGCTGTGGCTGCAGCAAGGTCTTGTCTGCATCTAACGCCAACATGGAAATCTGCATTGATCGAACTTACAAAATTTGAATTTTTTGAAATATGTGAATGCGTCGACCTCATGCTCAAGTTAGTACCATGCGATCACTTCAATAGACTATCAACATAGTATACTATATAACTAAAGGTGACCACTTTGGCAGAGAGTATGATATGTATACAAGAGGATCCCACTGGTTTAGTATATATATATTTATATATTTACAAGGGGATAAGAGCATAATATGTATAAAAGGTGATCACATTGACAGAGAGTATACTATTTAAATATGTGTATACTAGAGATACAAGGGGATGACACCGGTTTAGAAAGTACATACATATACACATATATACAAGGGGATCAGAGTATAATATGGATAAAAATTGATCACACTGACAGAGGGTTTTCTATGTTTTGCACCTAGGAAATAGAGTGGTAAAGAGTGCAATATTTATATCGGGTGATGTAGAATTTTATTCTATATTTGCTTTATATCCAGGGCCCATGATGCAGATGAAAAAGCCATGTGTACTACATCGATTGTGCAGCCAAACAAAAATTAAGTGTGTTATATATTAAATAAAAGGTATAGATATGATTTAATAAGGTCTAGATATATATAGTAATTTCACGAAAGACATCCCTCGTTTTGTTGGTGTTAACTTGTCATGAAAAAGATAAAAGATCTGGTGTCGAGGATGTCCATAAAATTGATAGTGTGCTATTGTTGAAGAAGAAAAACCGAATGTTAATTGTTGTTGCAAATGATAATTTTATAGTCTAGAATAGCAATGATATTATTATAGTGTACAAGTTGAAAAATATACAATGCTTGCTATAGTGTTTGATCTTCATTTTTAATGGATTTAGTTTCCACCTCAACTTCATTATTCAAAAGCCATCTTTCTTTCATATTCCTAGACATGTTATTTTTTCACATTCAACTTTAATTTTCCAGCCATGCCTTAAAGACATGTTGCATTTCTTCTCGATTTTTTGCCGATCCTATGTTTACAGTCGGGATGATCTTATGAGGTCTTAAAAATTGCACAAAGTCTTTAAGTTCATGAAAACTACTGTGTTCACTATACGGTACACCTATGGAAATTCATGGGAAATGAGAAAAAATGGTTCACATGAAAGCACCCTATCTCCCACCTAAATATGCTTACCATATAAAGCCAAACCTTTCCGTTTCACTGGTTGGATTTTTCCTAGATCATTTTCGTAAGAGTCTCTATAAGTCCATCCAGTTGGTTTAAAAGCCAACAGATCAGTATATTTGGGTTGATGAGTGTTTAGATGACCAAGAAGTTTCTGCCAACACAACCACAACCAAAGTGTTTATGTGACGCCTTTATAATTGAATTACGTTGGTATACTGCTGTTTCATGTTATCCCTTTCTACTCACCGGTATTGTGAGGGAACCCATGGGTAACACATGGATCCTAGCTTGCTCATACTCCAAAGTTATTCTTTTGTTCAGTTGTTCATCTTGAAGACAGCGCAACACGTTGAATTTATCTCTTTGAACGGCCACCTTGCTGCTCAATGCATTGGCGATGGCTGAAACAAAAACGAGTGCGTCATTCTTAAGTAATAAAAGATGTTTACTGCTCTTGCAAAGGTTTATGCAAACCGGGGAGACCTTTGGGAGGATTCGGGGGGGGATTGGAAGATGGCTCACCCCCCCAAAAAATGTAAGGTGAGCACTTTCGTCAGCACTTTCGTGAACACTTTCACGAAGAGCACTTTCGAAGAGCACTTTCACGAAGAGTACTTTCGTGAACTTCGTAACTAGTCGGGCATGAAAATGTTTTCAAGGAGAATTGAATTTTTTAGAAATTTAAACGCAAAACATCAGCACCTAAAAAATAAAATTGATCTCGAACACAGACATCTGCTTTTCTTAGTCTGACGATGTTTTGGGATAAAAACAAAATATGTGTCTAAACTCTTGCTTTACCTAGAACATCAAGAAAACGAGATGTCTATATTCGGAATCTGTTTTACTTTGTCTTTTTTTCCTGAGTTGTCTGCGGGTCGTGGTTATTGGTACTTGTCAAAAAGAAAAAATCTCATGTGTATTAGCTTTTTTCTAGTAATGCACAAAATTAAACCCTCGTCTTTCGTAGAGCGACATAGGTTCTCGTCTACACCTCAATCTCAAAAATGTCATTTTCGCCACATTTGGTCGGATGAACTTAAATACCCCCCCTGTTCTGGACTTCGCAACTATACAAAGCATGGGGGATAGTCTAAGCTCTAAATTTGGTACGGCCACCACAGCGGATAGACCCCTGTAAACTTCCCGACAAGTCCGAACAAAAGGTTATATATGAGAACAATTCATTACCGACAAAAATCTTTTCCTTGCCAATGGTGTAAGTGCCCACAACTATTAAAGTCTTTGGATTTTTTTTGACACTTTCCACGGCGATCTTTGCACAATAGGAAATGACGTCACGTTGAGCGGTAAAACTGTACTTTGCATCGCAGTAGCTGAAAGATATACGCAATGCATGTGAGGAATGTTGGAATTAAAAAATAACGATCGAGGAAAACTAAATAAGTCCCGCTTGCACGCCTAACAGTCGCGATTAACGATGTGCAAAACTTTATGGGATCATAAACATTCAAAAATATATCGCTGCTATTTTATTCAAAAGTAAACACAACAAACAGAATTTTACTTCTTTGGTACTTGAAAGAGCAACATGGCTCACAAAAACAAAAACTTCAATGTTCATAAGTAAAAAAACTTAATGCGTGAAAATGATCCAGTTGCTTCGTCTTGAGATATGTTGGCTTGTAGATTAATCTCTGATGCTATTGTCGGGAGATTTAGTATGTGGTTTCTCATCTCTAAATTTGACAACAACATGTTTGTAAATGTAGATCGTCCAGGTTGGTATAGTCCTGAGAAGGACTGTAAATGACTCTGAAGATGACTACCGCTAAGGTTGTCGAAAAGTCAGTCAACAACAACAAAAACAGTCGTTCTCAGGACTATACTAACCTGGACGATCTACATTTACAAACATATAACGATACTCCCGGGTTCAAACCATTTACTTTGGCGTCAATTATTAAAACTCACGTCGTGTCCAAGTAAAGCGTGTGTATTGAGCATTGTTTGATTGAAGGGATTTCTTGCATTGCTGACGAAGCGCGAAAATCACCTGTGAAAAAACGCAAAAAATTCAAGAGATGAAAAGCGCAGTAATCTAACTAGAGGTGCCATAAATCACGAACTTGTTCTAACAATGCATCCCACCTGTGTGCAGGTGAACGACGCCATTTCGTAGTTTGAATAAAAACAGCACAGCACCTGGACAGCTATATCAAAATGGTCGAAAATATGTTAATTATTGTACTCTTTTCAAGTTTTCAATCGAAATCCGTGATTTATACATGAAATGGACGTACTGATTCGCGTCAAGTAATGTAACTTCGACGTCGTTGATCACAGTGGGTGAATTCAAGGGAAGAGGGTGAAGAAAAGAAGATGGGACCTTTATCTTCAACGTCACCAGATTTGCTGTGATCTGAACGGCAAAAGTACAATGTTAAAGTACAAGGACATTCAAAGACCAAAGAAACTGGTGAGCTAAAATAGTTAAAACTCCGTGAAACACCTCAAAACACAGAGAGACACTGTGAAAAATCGTTAAACACCGAGAGACACTGTAGAACAATGAGAGACACGGTGAAACACTAAAAGACTCTGCAAAACACTGTGAAATACCGTGAAACACAGAGACACTGTGAAATACCGTGAAACACAGAGAGACACTGTGAAACGCCGTGAAACACAGAGAGACACTGTGAAACGCTGTGAAACACAGAGACACTGTGAAACGCCGTGAAACAGAGAGACACTGTGAAATACCGTGAAACACAGAGAGACACTGTGAAACACCGTGAAACACGGAGAGACACTGTGAAACGCCGTGAAACACAGAGAAACACCGTGAAACACCGTGAAACAGAGAGACACTGTGAAACACCGTGAAACACAGAGAGACACTGTGAAACGCCGTGAAACACAGAGAGACACTGTGAAACACCGTGAAACACAGAGACACTGTGAAACGCCGTGAAACACAGAGACACTGTGAAACACCGTGAAACACAGAGAGACACTGTGAAACGCCGTGAAATACAGAGAGACACCGTGAAACGCCGTGAAACACAGAGAGACACTGTGAAACACCGTGAAACACAGAGAGACACCGTGAAACGCCGTGAAATACAGAGAGACACTGTGAAACACCGTGAAACACAGAGACACTGTGAAACGCCGTGAAACACAGAGACACTGTGAAACACCGTGAAACACAGAGAGACACTGTGAAACGCCGTGAAATACAGAGAAACACCGTGAAACACCGTGAAACACAGAGAGACACTGTGAAACACCGTGAAACATACAGAGACATTGTGAAACACCGTGAAAAACAGAGAAACACTAAAAGACTCCGCAAAACACTGTGAAACACCGTGAAACATACAGAGACATTGTGAAACACCGTGAAAAACAGAGAAACACTAAAAGACTCCGCAAAACACTGTGAAACACCGTGAAAAACAGAGAAACACTAAAAGACTCTGCAAAACACTGTGAAACACCGTGAAACATACAGAGACATTGTGAAACACCGTGAAAAACAGAGAAACACTAAAAGACTCCGCAAAACACTGTGAAACACCGTGATCAAATAAAATTTCCAATGCAAAAGCGACGCACTATAAAAAACTTGAATTCAATTCAATTCATAGATTCTGATTTCAAATCCTTAAAGATAATTTAGCCTTAGGGTTTTACTCGATACCTCAAAATAAACCGAATTCATAAAAAAATATTTGCATAAACGAACCTGGCTGCAGTAAATGGGACGAGAAAACGATTTGTTTAATCCACGATAGTGATCATAATGAAAGTGGCTCAGAAAATACGCAGTTATGTCAGCAACATGACCGTAGCAGAAGGCATCTACTGCAAAAGAAGTTCCTGCAGCAAAAAAACATTTGAAAATAACGTTATTTCTGGAAACCGTTCACGTCATATCAAAGAATAAAGAATGAAATAAATGCTTCATTAGCACTTTATTATTTAACAAAAATCACTGAACATCATTCCTACGTACTAATAATCCAACACACACAAGGCTTAATACGTCTGCTGGTACGTCTACAGTACTGAAGACTATCAAATAGTTATTATTCAACATCACAGTTATGTTATGTAGATGTGATTTAATGGATTTGGTGCAAGATTTAAAATCTTTCAAAATAATGGGGGCAGGGCTCAAGCAAACCCTTGCCCCTGTAGTGTTCACACTGTTTGGTATACTTTTCTTGTTCTTTTGAGCTATAAAAACTCTCACAAGCCTTCTGCAAAAAGCTTGAAAACTTGATAAAAATCCTGTTACATTATGAATATTGAAAAAATTCACCAATAATACATATACTTCACATACGTACCTTCCACAATCTTATAAAATGGACATTTTCTTTTTTGCTGTAAATTACTTTCCTTAGCAGATTTCTTGTTATACATATTTTCCCCAGCAACTTTGATATTTTTAACGTTAACCTTGCTATAAATGTTGGTTTTAACATTTACTTTGCTTTGCGCAGGTCTTATCCCAAAATAAGCAGAAATATCCGTTTGTTTCTTCGGTATTTTGGCTACATCTGAGCCTGAATGTTCTTCCCCATGAATAAATGTTTGTGTGTGGGCTGGAAAAGTCGCTTTAAAGGATGTTGGCATTATTTTCTGAGATTTGCTCAAGTCTATGCTTGCATTTAGCAAATCAGAACTTGCCATGCAACTAGTAGTAGAAACAGGGGACTGAGCATCAGGGGATTGGTCAGTAAGGGACTGGACAGCAAAGGACCGGGCATGATTAGAGGGGATAAAATTGCATGAGTTATGGGGGGCAATAAAGTCAGATCTACATGTGGAATCTAATTTCATCGCATTGTCTGGACTTTCGCTAAAGCTTTTTGAATTTTCCTTATCTGAAGACTGAGAGCCTCTGCTTTCATTAGTATCCCTTATTTCTTTCTCATCCCAGGCAATGCATGTTGATGGAGTCGTCCCAAGTGAGGCACCTAATCCATCAAACATGTTGTTATGACTGTCTTCAACTTGCAAGGTCTGAAGCCTCACCTTGCCTTGTGATTTTGTTAAATCTTGACAACGCAGGCTTGCAAGCAGTGGATGTGAATACTTTTTAAAATGCTGAGGCAGAACGGCATCACAATTGATATCATTTGGACAGAGTTCTGAACAAACAAAAGCAGTATGTGTTATGGCAATATATCAACAATACTCAAACACTGTTCAATCACTTCAATCCAATTTTCATATACCGGTTGCTGTTTCTTTGTTAGATAAACACTCTTCAACATGACTTTGAGTAGATAGTCCAACATAAAACCGAAAGGGCAATTGACATAATGGGCAATATTTTAAGTTATCATCACTCGTAGTCGCCGCGCTGTTATTTTGATTAATTTCTCTTAAATTAGTTGGCATAGTTGCTAAACTTGCCATTTTCTGTATGGAGCGAGATGATTTAGATGAAAGCCCGGTTCTTTTTGTTGATTTAGCATATCTTTTGAAGTTCTTTTTTGAACTACGAAGAAAAATGGAATCATTGTTTTTTCGTACTTTTTCTCGTTGTTGGAAATCCATTGAGTTCTATAATAACTGGAGCGGCTATCTCAAGCGCGGCCTTAGATATCTGATGACGCCAAAAAAATGGCGGATTTCGTCCTTTGCCGCTGAGATTTACCGAAATTGACCGCTTTTCCGAAAATTCCATAATTTCCCACTCCCTCCTGAGGAAAGAGTGAGGAAAATGTATGTGTGTATTTGGGATTCGGCAAGCAATTTTTTTATGAAAATCAAGGTAAAAACCTTAAATTCATAACAACGAGTCAACTGTGGTTGTCAGTTATCTGCTCCTACGAGGATGCATTTATAACTATCGACGAAAGAGCTATATGTCGGCTACACATGTATGAATGCAGATGTGCGTCGTTTTCTTACCAGCGTCAAACTTGTTTGATCGATTAAACTCTTTAGTCTATACAAAAAAGTATATCATAGTTCATCTCCACGGTTCACGAGAGAGAAGTTAGCTTATTTGTTATCATTGCTATTTTGCTTCTTTTCATGCAATGGGCAATGGCTTTTTTCGCCACAATTGTAGGATTTTTACTTGTTTCTTTAGAAAAGTACATATTAAATCTCTGGATATTTACGGATTTTCTGTAATTGAGTTTCATATGAAATTTCAAAAAGACTCAAGTCTGCATAGGTTTGGTAAATGAAAACAAACAATATTGTATGGAAATTACTTTAAGTAACCTTTTTGTGATGTTCTGAAGTGCAACTGCGTCAAATACTTGTAAAGTGTAGCACATTTTGATTTTGTCGTATTGATATATGAATTGGGCAAAATGCAAATAATCATCAAAACACTTATGCTTCCAATGGTGTTTATAATTCATTTATAGTTTTAATACTTCTACCTTTCTTTTTCACTTTGTTTTGTTTTTCCTATATTTGCAATAAAAGTGCACTATAATTTGAATGATTAACACAGTTTTCACCTCAAGAATATATTTCATAAGCAGTTGGTAGTGCATTTTGTTCTCTGAGTATCCACATCTGGTGTTTTGTTCATACAAGAATGATGAAGTGCAAGTAGATATGAACGAATCAAAAGACGAATTCTACAAAATGACGAATTTTTGAGAGGTCTACTGCTATGAAAGGAGGGGCACACGTGGCGGGGCCTCCTCCAGCTTTTTTTAAAACATGTATTAAAATTTTAGTCCATAATCTTATAGAGGACAAAGAATGAAGATCGGGCTAAAATTTTGGCACTGTAAATAAAATTAAGACACTACAAGAGTCTGTCTCAGGAGGCACGGCCCCATTCACCACGTCATTTTGGGAATTTGTGCTCCCGCATGAAATTTGACATTTTTCTAGACTCCAGTGAGTAGGAAATGACGCAAATATCGTCATTCCTAACAAGTCAACGTCTTATAAATCACATAAATGATAAAACTCAACAAATTGGTAAAAAGTGATTTTTATATTTTACAAAAACAGAGACACTGGTCAAACCAGAAGTATTTGAAAATCAGCGATAGCGTATAGGATACTGACGTCTGATCTCGAGCTCAACCGCAAACCATCGTGGTATAAAGATACTTCTTGTTGCAACTTTACTTATGGTCTAGCAGGCAGTGTACTTCAAAAACTACCACCGGCAGGGTTTAAGGGGGGGGGAAGCCGGGAAGGCGTCCAAAATCAATCTTACATATGCTATATTATGATTTTTACTGTAAAAACAAAGAGCTTATTACTCTCCGACCCCCACTCTCTTGACAGTGCCTATGCTTCTAATCTATTTCTATAAAAAGGCCGTGTAACATGCCGTTAACCCGATTGAGTCATATTGCAAACTGGATCTTTTTGCCCGAAACATTGCCGTGCAATTATATCTTTGTATTCCACCCAATAATAAAGCTGATGAATATAAAATATTTTTTTACAATCACATGATGCGGCAAAGATCTGAGCTCTTGAGTACACAGGAGGATTGCTGAACCATCCGAGGACCTTGCGAAGATTATTTCGCTTGCATTTTCGATAGTTGTAGTAATAAGAACCTAAAATGTTTTAATTCAAATTTAAGTTTCAATTAACTCGTGGATATTGTAATTTCACATTAATCAACGACAAATTTAATGCGCATTAAGAAAAACGACGAGTGTTTTTAGATAACACGTAACTTCCCGTCAATCATTTTGCACTAGATGGGTGTGGGGTGGGTGAGTGCCAAAATTTTAACAAGGATGTCTCTTATACTTATTTTCAGCGGGGCGAAAAAATTACAGTTTACACACACACAATTCAAAAATATGAGCCATAACAAAATACGCACCGGTAAAATTTTTTTTTAATGGGAAATTCCTGCCGATTTTGTTCATCAGATCGGATACGTCAAATAATATTCCTTCCATCCGGGTAAGTTTCTGCGATAACAAAAAATATGCGACAAAATCTATGATAGAGACTGGAGTCGAAAAAAGACTGGAATCGAAAAAAGACATGCCGACCGCTTCGTACCTCGTCGTTTTTGTTTGTGATTTTAAATTTTATGGAGCCCGGTAATGACCCATGACGACACACCCATCTGACGTAGGGCGAGCCAGGAGATAGAAAGAAATATGAACACAGTGCACCAAAGACGAAAAATAGAAAAATGCCTATTAGCACCCGATAATTTCTTCGAGAGATCTCTGAACAGAAAAATATCGAGGTTTTTCTTAGAATTGTGTATCACAAAAAAATTCTTGGTTGTCATCGTGAATCACAATCGAATCGTTCTTAAAAAAACGTTGTAAACTAAAACAACGATAGCTGTGAAATTAAATGAGGCGATGCATTTGAAGTGCGCAGAAGTGTGCGAAAGTCTAAAGAAGTCTGCAGAAATGCATCCTTTACGATTTAATTTCATAGCTATCTTCATTTTGATTTTCAACAGTTCCTTTAAATACATCTCAATTGTCATTGAACATGACAAATATGCTGTTCGAAGCAAAATTACATTAGAAAATACGTCTTGCCTTTTCCTTTATGTGCAACATAATCACGCGTGTTCGAGACGATCTGCGCCATGCCCTCCATTTGGATGTCGACGTCATCACGAAACTCGTCCATTTTCCTTTCAAAATCCTCGGCCATCTTTTCTTCCAGTTTGGCGAGGATGTTCTCGATTTGATCATTACTTATCGAAAGCAAGATAGACACAATACAATCCACCATTTTTACCTCGCTCGAAGTACTCTCTTCAATGGAATATCCGAGAAGGCGCTTTTGACGGAGGTTTCCTTTTAAAAAAATAGTCACGTCAATTGCTGCAGTGAACAAGCTATAAAAACGATTTTTGCCACGTGATCAGCCTACCATTGTCGGCCTTAAATTGTTTCTCGGTAACAGCGACTCCCGGTAATTTATTGGATGCAAACAAGAATTCGCCATGTTTTACAGCACCGTAAACCTTAACTGGGATTTTACCCATCATGCATATCTTCTCACTGGGGTTACTCGTTTCATCTACAGAGGAAAATTCATAATAGATATCAACATTCGTCCCTCGATGTTGCTACACGAGTGTTCGTACCTTGTGTGTTAGCTGAAATGTAGTACGATCTTGTGATCACACCAGCCAAAATAGCGCCGTTGTAGTTTATGGGAGTTAGCAAGTCAAGATATGTTTTATCACGATCTTTGCTGGGAAATATTCCGACAACATCTCCCTCGTCATATCTTTCGACCGATTCATCTGATTCGTTATTCAACTGCCAAGAATACGCGATGTCTCCCCTGCACGTTGTCAGTCGTTCGATTTGCAGGTCTTTTATATGAGCCTGCTGTGCTTCAAGCTTGATAGCTGATATATATTGTTGTTTACGGTTTTCTGTGAAATATAGACGTCTTCAACATATTTAAAATACATTATTTTTAGTTCATATAGTCCACACCTTAACAAACCACTTTTTTACCTTTCGTTTTGGTTCTGAATCGATACACGTCTTTCCAATAACATTGGTTTTCTATCGAAATTTGTATTCGAAAAACAAATATGTTATTGTCAGGTGATGATTGGTCAGACATGTACAGTTCTTTCCCGACATTCCAATTATAAAACTCCTCCGGGTCTAAATTTGCCGTCACGCTATAGACATAAATCTCCGCATCTGAAACAATGACTGATATCAGACCAATGAGAAAATACAAGGACCAAACTTTGTATCTATTGTTTACCATTCGCAGATTCCATCGTGTTTAAAGACAAATATAAAGGGATCTTGGTTAAACCAATGACAGCTTTAGGTTTTCCAACCATTGCATGGTCATTCACGCGTTTCACGTAACCCTGACAGCAGCAATCATCGAGAGCAAAGTTCGACTTACAAGTAAAAGTGAAATCCTGAAAAGATTAAATCATATAAGATAAAGTTATCAATACAATCCTAAGTACGGACAAATTTAGATCTTGCCTTGTCTTCGAGCCTTTGTTTACGACCTTTATGAGGACCTGTGGAAAGTTGCTTTTTGAAGCGTACACTAATCTCATCTTGACTGATTTCGCCGCTTTCAACGTCAATCTGAAAAACTGTTTTTGACAAAAAGAAGCTGATGAGAGAGTAACGAAAAAAGTCAAACACGATTCTCCTTGTAAACCTTTTATTTTGAAAGTGCACACGACAAAGCTTAACCCGTCAAGATGAAAATATAGGACCAGGTCAAACAAATAGTTGTGAACGCTATCCTTCAGAACATCTGTCAGTGATACAATTAGATTCGTTCCTAAACGAGAATCAACATTTGAAAAGCTTTTAATTTGACTTAAAGTTTCCTGTTTGTTAGAACCTCTTCCGCAGAATATTTCACGGAACACAAATTGGCGAAAATTGGAGCACGTGAAACAAATTTATCGAAATTTGCCCATTTTCAGACATGAGCACTTCAAGTATAAACACCAACGCTTTTCATCACAAAGAAATGTAACAACAGAATCTTGCATATTTGTGGATGTAGATCGTCCAGGTTAGTAGAGTCCCGAGAGGGACTGTTGGTGTCGATGTTGACTGACGGTTTCGACAACCTTAGTGGTCGTCATCTTTAGAGTCAAGTGAGGAGTAAACGCCATGTTAGCCGTCATCGTAAGAATCAGATAACACAAATACGGCTAACCTGACGTTAACTCCTCACTTGACTCTGAAGATGACTACTGCTAAGGTTGTCGAAACGTCAGTCAACATCAAAAACTACAGTCCTTCTTAAGACTCTACTAACCCGGAAGATCTACATCTACAAACATGTAACGATACTGCCGGGTTCCAACCATTTACTTGAAAGAATCTTGGTTCTTACCATCGGAATAATTGACTCTTTCCATGTGAACTTGTCGAGTCATGATGTTATCTTGAATACACGTCGCTATTGTTGAATTCGAAATATCGATGTAGGGATGGAATATTTGCAACTTCAAAACCTAAATAAATATAACAAAAATTTTCGATGTAATTAGCAGTAAGTCTCAACTTTTCAGTCATGTATTCAACTAGAACATAATTCATTGATACCCATTGTGAACAGTTAGATAAATCGTTGCCATTCGACTCAGGGACTTTCCATTTGATAAATTGATTCGTCAGTGGACATCGAAGAAGCTTTTCCTGATCAATTATGTTGACTTGAAGATCTATTTAGAAGGATGAAGCGTTTGAACAAAATGATGCTAGCTTTTCTACTACTACAACATGCAGGAAGAATAAAGACATTGAAACATTAAGATGAATTCTTGACATATTTAAGTGATTGCTTCGTTGTAGTAATTACCGTTCATAACGCTCGTGTTGCCAGAGAAATCGTCGACAACGTTGGCCATTACTGTTTATTATTTGATGTCGCTACAGTACAAGAAGATGAACAGTAAAGATTGAGAAATGAAAGTGAAGCAGCGTGACTGATACCAATTTCAAATCTTTTCCATTGGATTGCACAGCAATATGTAATGTACACGTCGAAAATGCAATACAGCCGAGTTAGCGAAGCCAGTCGATGTTTAACTCTTGTATGTATGAATAAACAAGCAAAACAATCGTTAAATATTTGCTCAAGTGGAATGAAACAAAACTAGCAAATAGCAATCATTGTAAGCGAGTGAAACTGTAGCCTTGAACAACATTAGACAGAACCGCGAACGATATTACTTGAACAATGTTTTTAATACGACTTAAAAATTTGTACGTTTTTGGCATATCATTGGCGAATACCTCATGCTTCGGCACGCATATCAAGTACCACTGGTGACACACCAATGATGTGCATGGCACAAGAAACATTTGCATGGACATGAAGCTACAAAGTAGCTAGTTTAATGATTGGTGGAGCGAGGTCAACTCTCTTTTCTTCAATGCAACATCATCGTGTTCACTCATTGCAAGAACAATGAAATTAAATTTCCAAAGAAATGAAAACCTTGGCAAAAGGTGAAATGGCAAGGGTGAAATTTCGTGTGAACACCGAACACGTATAAATTGAGCTTCCGATAGTCGGATCTGTAAATCTAAAAAATCGGATGGAAATAGAACTTGCTCTATTTTCATCCGAGATAATCAAAGCAAGCCGACTAGTCAAGTTACATAGATTTGAAAAAGACTTGGAAACAAGAACAAAAATACGAAAAACATATCGATAAATGTACTGGATAGCACAAATAGCTGCTCGCATGACTTTTTATATCTAAACGAATGTAAATATCAGCAAAATTATCGGACTGTCTTAATAATCATCCAAAAGTCGGAATCGGAACAATCGGCTCGTGTGAACGGGCCTTTAATTAGACTGTTCGCCGGATAGTCTGTATCCGAGGATTGACATTGTGTATAACCGTGAGTAATAGCTAAAGTAATGATTCGAACAAAGAAAGTCATCTGCACAAGTCTTAAACTCGCTTCAGATAGCTATTCATACTTGTGGAGGCATTGTATCTGTTGTAAAAAAGAAAATAGTAACTAAAGTTAGAAATCGATTCAGGCAAACTTGAACTACTTCATGTAAACGCACCCAAAGAAATCAGTGTAGTGTTGGTCAACCATAAATTTTCCAGGACGAGCTTCAACGAACGCCTTCAGAATATTATATTTAGCAAAACCAACCTCATCAAAACCAGGAGTGTAAAGACCTATTGAAAAACAAACAGATTGTACGAAGAATCGATCTTTCCCGGCTTTCTAAGCAGCAGATTTTTCTTTCCAGTGCATGAACGAACAATGCAAACCTTGACCAGTCAGCCTGTTTACTGATGGATGTGTATCTTCAACAAGCAGATAATCTCCAGGTATCATAAACTTCTCCAAGTAACCAAGAGAATCCTCCAACGGAACGTGACAGTCTTCGGTGATGAACCAAGGATGAGGCATTTCCTAGATCAATAAAAAATTAAAAATACAGAGGTGTGTGTGGCGTGAATTGACAGCAAGATGTGACTGACGTTTCCAATCGCTTGCAAAGCTTGCATCTATGTATAACATCTCGAGTTATTTGTTTTAGAGTACTGTCAATGAAATAGAGGCGTGTTTTAGAGTACTGTCAATGAAATAGAGGCGTGTTTTAGAGTACTGTCAATGAAATAGAGGCGAGTTATTACATTCCTTTAGTCATATTATTAGAAATATTGTTACTATGTAAATTTCCGCTAATATGTTTTTAAAGCGGTGAAAAATATACATTATGTAAGTTTTTTGTTTATTTCTTTATCCATTCTGAACATAAAGATGAATGATATGGAAGCCTGTTTATCGGTCAGTTGGCCGTTGTATAGTGCAGGTGCACCCCCCCTTCCCCTTTCATATTTCCAGGAGATCCGTTTTTCAAAATACATCAGAAAAAAGTAAATAAACAATAAGTGAAATTGCTTGTTGGAATTCAGAAATAGAAAAGTTTCCCATGCATTTGTGTCACGTGTTTGTTTTCCATTTAAAGCTCGCGTGTACCAAGTTCAAAAGGCTTAACAAATGGTATTGCTAGCATGTAAAACGTCATTTAAAAAGCCAATAAAATCACGAGTACGAGAATTTTTTTCTCAGATGCGCACTCCTTAAAACTTTCTGGTTACGGCCCTGATACCTTCAGTTTTTCCGCTGGCAGAGCTTTCTCCATGTCCTTAGAGGCATCGGCCAGTAGAAACGTGATGTCCTTATTAGATTTGGCTTTTTCATGAAGACATTCAAAGGATATATCAATGGAGTACACGTGACATCGAATGTCGAATGATCGTGCTATGTCCGCAAGCCAAAGAGCACTGCCTCCGGAGTATGTTCCAAGCTCGAAAATCGTGACTGGTCTTTCGCTGTAAATCAAACTTTGAAGAATAACAAGATCTAGCGCATCTTTCATGAGTTCCACGCCTTTCCACGTTGTCTTGTACTTACCTAGAAGGACGAAGCAAGAGTCGTTTGCTCGGTGTATTGATGAGATATTTGAAACAAGCCGTTTTTAGTATCATTGCGCTGTTCGAACACACAATCACACTATCAAATATTTTGTATAAACTAGTGTTTTAGGAATATGCGCAAAATAGGTCAAGATGAAGAAAGGGGGTATTTTTTATACGAGGATAATTTTTGTCCACCACCTTAAAATCTGTATGCCCGTCTTATTACTTGCAGTATTTATATTCAGTTAAACGGGTCAACTCGCTTAAACGGGTCAACTCGCTTCTTAGCTGAGACGAGTTACAAAATTGCAATTACCTGAAAGGTTTTGACCCGCACGGGAGAGCAATTTTTGGCATGAATAAATTAGTTGCGTAGTTTTTTTGATTATGAATTGTAAAGATACATGGATACATGGATATATGGATCCATGGATATATGGATACATGGATGGAGGATGCATGTCTGTTTCGTGGACTTTGCTGAACCAAATGTGTTATTTTGATATTTGTGAGCCCACAGTCGATATAATGCTTCAGCCTTCACAGCAATTGTTTATCCGCTTTATACTAATAGCGCGTTCAGACTGAGTGCCCCGGTACGGTGCTCAGGCATGGGCACCAATGTGAACACAACATTTTGATGGTACCCGAGTCAAAGTGCCCGGGTCTGGGCACCTCGAAAATAGGTAGTACCCGAGTACAATGCTCGGGCACGGACACCAATGTGAACACAACATCTTTATGGTACCCGAGTCAAAGTGCCCGGGTCTGGGAACCTCGAAAATAGGTAGTACCCGAGTACAATGCTCGGGCACGGACAACAATGTGAACGACGACACCTGAATAACGTGTACAGAGATGCATCTATTCAGCACATGGTTTTAAAACTTGTGTACAGTGAAAAACGTGAAATTATAAATAAACGAAGGTAGTGGGTACTACGTAGTGTGAACGGCCTGCAGATTTGTTTCCGAATCAGGGTATCGTTCTCCAGCACTCAATCAGAACGGGCTGTTAGGTGTTAAACTCGATAAAAGTTTTATATTTTAATAACGCGCCCAGCCCAGTAAATCTTTTATTATTTTGCTATCTCAATCAAACTTCTGGATGACAATTTTTCCTGTGAATTTTGGGAGCTTGTAGCTGCTGTTTGAACAAACAAACAAGTATACATCGCTCGAACGTCTATGCCAATTTAAACTACCCAATAAACAAACGCGTGAATCAAATTTCTTGGCCCGCTTTGCCGAGCCAATTCGGCAGATTGCGATTACATTGGAATTTTCATCCTGCCTAAGCGAGTTACTCGGCAAGCAACAACCGGGATCCCGGCAACGCGGAACAACTCGCTTGCTATGTAATCACACTGTCAAAATAATATATGACAATTATACAAAGCGAGTCAACTCGGCAAAGCGGGTCAACTCGCTATGTAATCGACGCCTTAATCTTGAGTTCACTCAAGATGGTACCAATGCTATAATTAAAATTTTTTTAAACCCTTCGAATAAGTCTTATTGACAATAAAAATTGTCGAAATTAATCTCCCCTACCACATTCAAGTACTATCCTTCATTTGCTAAGAATATTTTTAGTACGTACTGGTTTTAAAACTTTCAGGTGAACACAACAAGAAATCAGCTCGAACTACATATGAATATTTCGAAGCGACTTACGAATTTTTAAAGTTAATCTTCATTACTCATAAAGATACCCAAAGATTAACAACTGCAGTTGTCCACACTTCGAGAATGTTTAATATATTTTCTTTTCACATAATGCGTGTATGATGTATGAAATTATTGTGAGAATATGGTGTGATAATTATTTAAAAATATATGTTGTCATCATTCGTCATCACACGTCAGGCTCTAGTCTCTCGCGTGTTCATTCTGATTTTTTTAAATCATTTGTCCCTTGGTAATGGCAGACAGAGTTCGGATCTTGATCAGAGCGTAAAAATAACGAAATTTTTGGAATGAAAAGGTTCACGGAAAGTGAATCAAAGTGATAAATCGAGAAGCAAGATGAGGTGAACTTAGTCGAACTGCTCTTACGCTGCGGTTTTCAAAGTCTTTAAGGATATTCAATTATTGATATCGAGATGACAACCATTTAGTATTTCAAGTTTCAAGCACTATCAAAATCGATGAAAAATACAATCGCCCTGTAAAAAGTAAAAATGCGAGTTATCGACTCAATATTTTTTATGAAACTGGATATTCAAGTTTTTTATTCGGAAAACAGATCTTTAAATCCACTGAAATGACAAAAAGACAAACACTGTCTGACACCGTTTGAAAATTACCTTCCGATGTAAGAAAAATTTTTGCTTGAATATTTTCTCGTCATATTTTATTGTATTGTCTTTTAGCATACAGTGTAATTTTCATTTGGCTTTTCCTCGTTACAAGTTGTAAGTTACAACGAACTCACTGTAGTAAAGTTTCAGCTGTAAAAATAACCTTTGCGAAGAGTTGGCCTTGTGTGTAGTTTGTCGTGATGTTGTTTATATGTTTATGCTTTTGCAATTTGTATTCAAATTTATATTGGCCGTATATGTGTTTGGCACTCAGGGAATGAAACTGACGTACAAACCGCGTGAATATTCGACTTTGAAGGACTGGAACTGACGCACAAACCGCGCAAGAGACTAGGACTTTGGCTTCAATTTTATATCTATAAAATGTATTTCGTTATCATTCCATATATATATATATATATATATGGAGTTCACTGATTTTCCTTTGCCGCTGAGATTTACCGAAATTGACCGCTTTTCCGAAAATTTCACAATTTCACCTCCTGAGAAAAGAGTGAGGAAAATGTATGTGTGTATTCGAGATTAGGCAAGCAATTTTTTGATGAAAATCACGATAAAAACCTGCAATTCGTAACAGCGAGTCAATGTGCTTTCCAGTTATCGGCTCCTACGAGGAAAGCTATTAATTATAAACTATGTACGAAAGAACTCTTTGTTGGCTGCGTTTGAACGTTTTTAAACGTCGTGTCTAATGTACATGTGGACGATGTGGTATCATTCTCGTATCATACGCGTATCGTTCTTGTATCATACGCGTATCATTCTCGTATCATACGCGTATCGTTCTCGTATCATACGCGTATCATTCTCGTATCATACGCGTATCGTTCTCGTATCATACGAGTATCATTCTCGTATGATACGCGTATCGTTCTCGTATCATACGCGTATCGCTCTCGTATCATACGCGTATCGCTCTCGTATCATACGCGTATCATCCTCGTATCATACTATGTATGTGTCACAGACCAATGATTCTTTGTGCTTATGGTCACGTTTTATGTTTCAAATCCAATTGCATCCTATTAAGTAATATACCATGGATAAGACAATGGACATATAAATAATCAAAGATGCGTAGCACGACTACCTATTTAGTTCCAAGTATACAACGGATCACTAGCATCATACTTATCATTATTTAGTCAATAAAAATATAACAAGTGAATGCAGACACCATAATGCTTTTTTAACTAAAAAATATCTGAAAAAAAAATCACATTATACACACAGTTAACATTTCTGTAAGGCCACATTCAGACATGATGTTGAGACACTCATCCTGATCTAAGTTTTGCACATCATCAGCATCATCTATCTACAATACATATACAACAGAAATCACAACATTGCAATGATAGAGTTGTTAGATCAATTACTAAAATAATTCTAAGTTAATACAATTGAAATTATTTGTCAAACTTAGATGCATTAGTGCTCAATGGTTTGATATATTAAGTGGCAGTGTGCGGTGCGCCCTGTCATTTTACTTTACCTTGCTAACACAATGCGCCTTAACTTGTTAAAGAGGACTTATGCAGCTTGACAGGTTAACAGAAGTAATGTATCAGCTATTTTAAATACTGAGAACCAATTAAGCACTGCATCCTGATATTTACTCAACCCTATGTAATCCCTCACAATTGCTTTGTATACCATGAATGACCTGCTATACTATTATCAGTTCAAGCCGAGGTTTTATAATTTTTGCTTAAACAATGCAAAACAATGTGTATTAGGTATATCACCTGATCAATGAAATTCTTTATGTATGCAGTACATTCTCCAATGTTTGCAGTTCTCATAGCCAGTTCAAAATTACCAGTGGAAAAATATCTGTACACCGAAGGACTGAATATCGGAAAACCAGGCCAACCTTGCAAAATACTATGGACAATAATTGTTCCAATACATTTCATAATTCCTCACGCAACAACATCAGCATTATATACTGGACTTTGGTTGGTATCACCTTCAAAAAACATTTCACTCACTTTATTGAGCAAATTTGTAAAAAACTGCCTGGCAACCCCTCCAGTATCAACTGCTGGTTGTCCTTTGTAAATAACTCTCAATGGTTTCCTTTCATCAAAATTGGGATCTTTATAATAGGACATTGCATCACTAAAAAGGTCCTCCTCTTCAACTTTTAATTTTTCTTTTTCTTTACATGGTTTTTTTGAAAGATCTTTAAGCATAGAATCTAATGTCGCCACTTCAGACAAAGAAGAGACATCTTGAATAAGAACTTCATCATCAGTATCGTCATTAATTGATAATAATTGCTCGTTGCTGTTTGCAGAAAGTGCCAAAGCTGCTCTATCTATAGTCCCACTTACTTCTAAAGCATGACGTAACACATCATCATCCTTGTTTGGAAACATTTCTTGTAATGTAGCTTCACTCCCATCATTACTTGTTACAGATGAAGAGCATGGCTCATTGTTATTGAAAACTTGCTCTTCACTGGAATCTAAAGAGCTTGGCATATCCAAAGATGTTTCAGAAAATGTTTCTGTTCCTGGACTAAATGTACCTTCATCATCATCGGGAAGATCCTCTTTTGGTCTTATATAAATACTTCCTTGTCCGGAAAGGCTTAAAACTCGAGCAGAAGTGAATTGAACACCTCCTGCCAGTTTTGGAGTGACAATTTGACCATAACAAGATTTGACAAAGTCAATATCAATATTATTTTCTTCTAAGATAGGAAACCATCCATATATTTTGTTTTTGAGTTCAAACTCTTCCCAAGACTTGTCAATTGGGCATCCATGTACTACAAATCCTCTATTTTCAAGCTGACATCTTGTTTGATGAGTTGGTACTGATTGAGATGTGGAAGATGGAAGTAGGACAAGATCTTTGTGAACAATACAATGTTTCTTTATCTATTTTGATGGTGGTCTTTTGATTTTCTTTGACGAAGTAGTTGATGAAAGTGTTGGAAATGACCGTCGAAGAGCAGCGGGTACATCTGCACTGTTTCTTTGCCCACGTGTTATTGCAATATTATTTGTGTTTGAAATTGGGCAATTTGAAACGGATTGACTCAGTCTGTTGGACGGAAGACTTGGTCGATTTAGGGGTAGAGAAGTTACGGACAAAGAATTTCCTCCAATATTTCCCCCATCTTCCTGAGTCAAAGTTGCCTGAGAATTTGATTCTATCAGACGACGTTCAATTGTCAAAGTATTTCTATCATCGAAAATATCCAGAAGATTACGCGCCTCCTGAGCAAGATTTGATAAAGCAGCCCGAAAGTTTCCAGTATTTTCAGCCATGCAGTGAGAGTTTATTTTGATTGAATTATTAAGTTTAAAGTCGAGATAGCACGATGTCGAATGCAAACATGTTGTCAATATGGCGGCGTCAAAATCAAAACAAAACACTTCTCTAAAAACCTGGGACCTGGGCACTAATATATTTAAATTCACATGAAATCCAGAGTGGGATCGCAAAGCATTATGCAACACGATGTAAAAAGTTTGCCCATACCGTATATGAAAATTGGAGCACGATGTAAAAAGTTCGCCATACCGTATATGAAAATTGGAACACGATGTAAAAAGTTCGCCATACGGTATATGAAAATTGGAACGCTGTAAATTTTGACGATACGATACAAGAAGTTTCGAACGTATATGAAAAGTTTAGAATGTCCTACAGCAAGTTTCGCATATATTTTTTTTAGATTTGTCTCGAAGTATATAAAGTTTGCTATGTTGGTAGTATGTTGTGTAGTATTGTAAGTTTAGAATAAAGTCCAATTTGGCGCCCCATATTTTTCTTCGTCAGGAAAACTATTTGAAATAGACTAGTAAATTTAGTGTTTTATGCGTTGATTCAACAACTAAATAAAAAAATTTGTTGAATTTTTTAAAAAAACACACAGGAAAACATCAGTGTATGCAGTATTTAAGACAATAGGGAGTTTTAGCAGAGCCTACGAGTACGATTTACGTCATTTTGGCGCGAAAACATTGTTGCGACAACAAAAACACGTAGCCGTCATCAATCTGAGTACGATGTTTTGTAAAAAATTCGTAGTCGCGACTACGATGTCTTTTTAAGCAAAGAAAGTAGGTATATTTCTTCATTCTGTAAGAAATTAGTTTACAGTACTATTTTCGAGCATCCAGGCTTTAATTTAGAACCCTTTTTGAGCGCAGATGTACATTAAAAAGGAAAATATGACCTGCAAAACTTTCATGTATTTCGTACGCAAAGTGAAAGGTAAACAAACAATAAAATAGTACAAATTTATCGTACATAAAACTTAAAATAGTGAAGATTTTTCAGTCTAAAGAGTCCTATATTCTCGCAAAACCAGTATTGTCGATTCTTTGATATCATGATTGACAAATAGAGCCGTAGCTGCTTCGCAAACGTCGGTGTTTTACACAATAAAAAGGCTCGTTCTGTTGTTTACAACTAAAGCAAAATTTTGACGAAGCGACAACGACAACAAACTTCCTCGTGCCATTCCCTTACACGGTCAAATTTCGTACTCGTTCTCGTAGTCGTACTCTTGCTAAAACTCCCTAATGTTTTTTCATAAGGCCTAACAGATTTTGGGGCTTTCAATTGTATAAATGCCGATTCAATCTTTCAGGAACAAACAAAATAAGCGAATAACTCACCAGTGAAAAGCGATGTGCTTCGTGTTGTAAATATTACGACATTCTACAATTGAACATCGATTAGGCATTTTTGAAAAAAATATTGTTTTGGCCTTGAAAAATATTGTTTATTTATCATACAGCTAGCAATTGCATTTGAAATTTTCAACTGAAGGCGGGAAAATCAATAACATCAATCTGGGGAGGTCGAGAATATTATTTTTCTGCAAAGCGATCATTTCAGCGGAAATACGTCCTTTGGCCGCCATTTTTTGGCATCCTCGCCCCAGTAGAGTTAGCCGCTCTAGTTATTATAGAACTCAATGTTGGAAATCGCCTTCTTCGTCCTCCATGTTTCACGTGTCTATCACTCACGTGTCTATCACTGTCACGTGTCTATCACTCACAAGGACAAGACGGAAAAGACGATGTCACGTGGAAGAGCTTCTGACAGGGACGACTTATTGGGACCAAGTGTGAGATCTGTAGGGAAAGTATTGCCAGAGGTTTTTCTCGCAACTCCTACGAAGCAATTACAATCTTCAAAAAGATATAGTAATCTTTGATTGAGAGCGCTTTCTTTTTAAATTTTATTATTTTCAAGTGTGGGAAAAATTAATTTCGCGATAGGAGTAAGATGATATAAATAATTCGTCAACCAGTCAGCGTGGGCCATTCATCTCAGTTATGTAATGAATTTCATAGAAGCCAAAATATTCCACCGGACCCCCGGAGGGAAATCTTCGAAGTTCCAACAGAGTGCAATAAATGCGTACTTTAAGGTGTATCGATTCTTTTAACTAAACTACTTAAATTCAAATTAGCGATTATTTTTCCAGCTTCTCGGAGCTGATAACGAAACCTAAGATCGCCACAAGTGGCAAAGACGAGCCAAGTATTTCTTCACATCCATGCGATGAACCAGAAAGTCGTCCAATTCGGATAAATTATCATAAAAAATACACTATAAGACCACGTTAGTAATACGAACGAGTCTCGATAGGAGAGCAAAACTATATCAGTGTACAACGCCTCAACACAGCTCCATTGGTCTTCATAAATTGCTGTTGTAAAATAACAATACGCTATCGTCAATATAAACAAGACGGACGGTGGCGAAGTGACGATGGCACACAGCACTTGAAGAAAACGACGGTATCTAAAAGTCGATATATAACTAAGAAACGTTATTTTATTCCTGTTCAAGATATGATAGGAAAAGGGGACACACATCAATATCTCGCCTCGAGGTCGAGGATATCATATGACACAGTAAACAGAACATACAGTAGAGCCACTCCATTGAATTTTTTGTGCCACGCACATCGTATTGGGCATGTGGTTACCATAGTGGCAGTCAGTCAATTGCAATTTCTGACCAATAGGAAAGATGAAATGGCTTACGGCAGACAGTAAACTAATTAAATAAACAGCAGCCAGTTGCACAGCGAAGGTGCCCTTCTGTATATTCCCTAAGCTGTGCCCATGATTACTTACGGACATTAGTAAATCCCCAACAGAACTACTACGAAACGCATTAAAATTACGCTGGCTACTATAGCCCCAACAACAAGCAAGTTTATTGTACTTCCGTCGATAGAACAGACACCCTGGACGTACTTTTCACAAGACACAACACAGAAGTCAAGGAATTTTTTATTTGTGGGCGGCGGAACATTGATAATTGGGGTGTAAGGTGTAAGGTGGCGGAACATTGATGATAGGGGGTGGCGGAACATTGATAATTGGGGTGTGGGTGGAGGTGGCGGAACATTGATGATAGGGGGGTGGCGGAACATCGATAATTTTAGGTGGGAGTGGCGGAACATTTCTAATTGGGGGGGGGGGAACATTGATAATTGGGATGGGACCATAGTCATATATTCATATTACAATCACAAATTTAATAGAACTAATTAAGTAGAATATGTATATATGTATTCAGCCTACTCAATCATCAATCTTCCTTGGTCACTGTGATTTCCCATTTATATTTATAACAAGAAGAAAACAATTTGAGCAAAAGTGGACATTTCAACACATTTCAGGCATCGTGTTGTTTGTTCTACGTACCGGTTTTTAGTGGAACGAACGATGAGAAACGTCGGAAGGCTGAATGTTGCGAGAAAAAATGCAAAAGAAAAGTTGACAGTCGCCAGACATCCAACTTGACACACAAAAATTACCAATGCAAAAGACTTTAATAAAGCGACATCGTTTTCTTCAAAATTACTGGTGTATCTGAAAAATGGACACAAAGGTGCATTACTGCAAGTCAATCTAAAAATGTACATATGTGTACATATTTAAGTTTTGTCATACCAATGGACCTTTTTCAACCAACCTGAATGTTAACACGAATCCTGAGCCAAGAACAATTACTCCAAGCAAAACAGCGACAAAAAGATGTGAAGGATGGACGCCAAATGACGTAGCATCAACATACTGTAGTATCCACGGGCTTAAGTAGGCCATAGAACCAACGAAATATCCCGCGAGAATGACACGAAACGCTTTAAGAAAATGCTGAGGTGGACGAGTAAATGGAAACTGGAGAAAAGAGACGAACCATCATCGAATATTGGCTTTGCTAATCACGCATTTTTAGAAATTATATACGTACTTTCTCTCTCTCGTCATGTTTTGTTTCTTTGGCTTCATCCTTTTTCGTAATTTTATCTTCGTTTGTACTAACTGAAATAAAATGAAAAATGAAGTCCCAATTTATATTGAAGTATATTGAAGACAAGTATGTACGACACGACCTTTCTCTTTCAATGACGTCATCCACAGCGACAAAGCTGTTACTATGGGACCAACCATGACGCACGCGAGAGGGGGCATGTAGAGACCGATGGATACATAACGGGATGTCGAGGACAATAGATAGAAGAAAAAGGATTGATGAAATTTCTCTAATAGACTGTTCAAACTACGAAACATTCCTTCAACGGATCTAACAAACAAATCATATCATAGGTTTCCTTAGAAAATGGCTTCTTTCAAGAGTACATTTGTCCAAACCCTTTCAATCACAACTAGCCACTAACCTTCCCAAATTTCCAAATCTTACATAGTTACCGCGATCTTTCTTCAGTCCTCTTAATGTAACTGCCTCGATACCATATTTCGGGAACACTCCATGGTTTGCGGAGGGACGGCACGAAGCTTGACCGTACATCATAGATACCATGGTGCTTAGTGAGCTTCTAAATTCATCCCAACCGTCATAGAAATGGCTCACGGGCTACAAAAACGTAGTAATCTCATAAAACCAGTAAAAAATCAGGCAACTTTTGGTCCTGATATGTAAATTTCAGATCATCATCAAAATTTATAGCCAGGGTGTTATCTGACCTCTATAGATGACTTGCTCCTGTTTACGTTTTGCAGGCAGGCAGATTTATCCCAATGGAGGTGAAGCATTGTTGCTAGTGTAGTCTAAAAGCACTCGACTAAGTCTGTCTGCCAACCAAATCTGCCTGCCAACCAAATCTTCCCGCTAACCAAATCTTTCCGCCAACCAAATCTTCCCGCCAACCAAATCTGCCTGCCAACCAAATCTTCCCGCCAACCAAATCTTCCCGCCAACCAAATCTTCCTGCCAACCAAATCTGCCTGCCAGCAAAACGTTAACAAGGCAAGTCATCTACAGTGTCCGTTTCACGGACTCTTTCCGAACGAAATGGCCACGGCATTTTCCCACCTGCTTCTACAGGAATGATTTGATTTTTTTCCGATGAGAAACTAACTGTTCAGTTCTAGATCATTGAATGCATGATTTCATTGTGATCACGCGTAACTAATGTAGCTTTCCGACAAAAAAGTAAAGAACTGGAGAGAAAGTTACTTCACTGCGTTTACGATCAAATATCTTATTCAGTTAATGAGCGGTACAGTGCTGCCACTCTGTGTATGCACATTTCACCTACCAAAACTTTAGTTTCCCCCTACTACTCCCTACTATGATTTTCCTTGTTTTCCCCTACGAGTGGCAGTACTGGAGCGGTATCAACCTGGCAAACACCCTGAAAGCAGTGCCAACTATGCAGGGCTTCCTACGTCACTGATAACAAAGATTTAAACTCAATCGTCTTCATTCAAATAACACACTTTAGCCTCACTTACAAACTTCTTCAATTCAACCGGAATGCCTTCGCCTTGGCACAATCTTATAACCATATTGACCAAATCCAGGTTGGGTAGTTGTCCATTTAAGCTTTCGACGATAATTTGCATGACGTTGAATTCTTCGTTTTGAAACTCGATGTTAATTGCCGCCTGCATCGCACCCGACCTGCCGAACATTCTCGATGATTTTACATCTATGACAAATGAATAATTTGAACGAATTCATACTGAGATACGAGACTGCAGAGCTGGGTGGATCTCTGAGGTTAAGCCACATTAAAATTCTTTAAGAAATAGATTATTGCTCATGATGTGTTTTGGCCGGCCGACTTTGCTCAGCATTTTTGCCAAGTTTCTATTTAGTGGCCATTAGAAGATCCAGGGTCGGTCAGAATACACAACTGAAAATAGATTTCCATTTTAAATTATTTTGGAGTGAATCCTATTGGGGGTACTTCAACTTACATATTCTTTAGAAATTTCTAACCAACAGCTTTGTAATAAAAGTACTTTGAATTTAAAATAAACCTCTATGATCAATTTTGACCAACTCTAAATCTGACAATTGATGTTAGTGGCATAGCAAGCTTGATAAACAAGGGGGGGGCTAATATTCCTAAATACATGTTAAAATCCATGTCAATCAATTGATTTCAATGGAGCTTCAGAGGGTGGGCATTCCCTTACATATCCTAAGCTTTGTCACACCTTGGAGTTCCCACACCACCCCACCAATCCCCCCAAAATCCTCTGCAGTCCAAGGTGTGAGACTAGTTATTACATCAAAACATACATTTTGACACAACACCATGATATTCATCCAACCAAGACTGGACTCCAATTTCTCCCTGATCGACAATTAGAAATATGATGTCTTTTGACCAATATATGTTATCTAAATGATTGGTACAACAGCAGCAATTAATCAAAACAATCAGGTTCCGAAGATATTTATGAAGATCACTTCATACATTATCATACTCACTCCTAAAATGCTCTGCCAAAGATAACATGAAGACCAGCTCATCATAACTGTCAGTGGTGCCCTGTTTCCATGGTATCATGAAAACGATAGCCTCGGAGCGGGAAGTGCGAGGTGCACGCAATATTCCATAAATATTTGTACCATTGATCTCCTCATTCATAGATAGCAGCTCCTGAGGTAAATTTACAGTGAAGTTCTGATGATAAACCTCCAGGCCTATGCTGTTCATTTTGCCCATCAACCATTGCAAGAAATGACCACTAGAAGTATATGAAATAAAAATTTGTTCGATTACTTAACAAAAGATGTCATTATATCATCAAAGAAACATTGTTGGACAAGGAAACTGATGCTTTGACGCTGAAAAGAATTTGAAATTTTCAAAGAAACATTGGCCTAATTGAAAAATTACAAGTCTGTTGTTTTTCCCCAAAAATCGAACCAAAACCAATAAGCAAAGCCCCTACACACTTGAGATTTTTTCTGCAAGAGCTTTTCATATATTTTAAATAGCAAATTTCCATTTTTATCAATTATTTCTTTGCAAAAATTCATCTTCACAAACTCCTGAAATACCCATTTGCACATTTGAGATCACATCAAAAATGAGATACTTTCCAGCACTAATTACATTGTGCCAGTGATGGCAAAAAATTTCTGGTTAAAGGTGCACATTAGGCTGGGTGTGGTAGGCTTTAAAATCCCCAGATTATAAGTAATATGCATAAAAAGTCGTCCAGAAACTGATAGAAAATGAAAGAAGTTGGTTCCGTGAAACTCATGAAGACACTACAAAAGTTGGTTCCAGATTGTTCAACCCCAGTTATTTTTGACTTATGCGCTCCTATTTCTGGTAACCGGTGCATTTTAGTGGCCATTATGAGCTCCACCAATGCCAGAGGAACTACTTATGTCAAAATTCCTCCAACCTCTTCATTTTTTGTTCAATTTCAGTTTTTAAATCTCTCTCAGAGCGACCATAGCGATAGGTCGTCTCCACCATCCCAGGAAGTAATGCATTCTCAGAGAAATAGGTTTGGTTGTTCATGGGCGGATGCACCAGAGCGACAAACCACAAGATACCAGCAACATAACCGAGACAGCTGAAAATAATCTATAGTTTATATCTTCAGCTTTTTCAAAGCAGAAAAAAATTCTAATTCTCACCTTATTTTAAACGTATGATCCACTGCCACATCCAATAATTTCTTCAGCTTGCTTGCCATAAAGATGCTCTTCTTCTGTTCTTCGGCACATTTAATCCAGCTGAACTTAAATAATGGTAGAAATGGTACCTTTTGTTATTTTGCTCCAAATATGAAGTATCGCTGATTTGAAAAATTTGCTGACCGTATGTGACAGAGGACTCATAATTGGACTTCGCCATTAATACCATAATACTAAATGAAGATATGATCATTCCTACAACATTAATACCATAATACCTCAAAAAGTTTGCTGAATTGGCTTGTTTTTTTAAAGTAACTCAAACTTAATTAAATGATAGATGCTATTTGATGTATGTTGCTTCAAAGACTATCATAACTCTCGTAATTATCGTTTTTGACGCAATGAGCAACAAAGATGACGTCGAATCTTCGACTTCGAGTGGAAACACTACTATGGCCCTTGCAGTCTACGAACCGCCAAAATTATTCACGATTTTTAGATCAGACGTGAGGGAGTTCAGTTTTGCAGGTCGCTCAGTGAAAATTAATCAAGAATGGGAAAGAAACGGCGTTGCTGCTGTTGTCTGGGATGCAGCTCTTGTTTTGGCAAAATATCTGGAGAGAACAAGTGTAGATTTGGCGGGAAAAAGAGTGATCGAATTGGGTGCAGGTCAGTATTTTGCTTTATGACTGTTGGTCTCTGTGGTCTGTAATGTATACATTTCATGAGCACCGCTCTGTTGTTGCCATGTTCACCAGGGACGCCGGAACTGGGGGGGCAAGGGGGGCAACAGCCCCACTTGCCTTTTCTGGAGATGGGCAGGGGGGCAAAAGTGCCCTACAGGTTGAAAATTTATTGTTTTTAATCCAAGATAAAGATTACTTAACCGTGAAACGTCATTCTTTAAATGTAACAACTAAAAAGGGCTAGTGTACAATCGAGAAAAAATAAGGCTTTTTGCGAAATTTGTTCAACTCACTCTAAGATAAAGGGAATGTTTGGCAGTTATGAAGTTGGATTTGATTACTGGAAAAAAGGCTGCGAGAAATTCAACGAACATGAAAACAGTTACGCTCATAAAGAAGCTTGTGCCACATCAGACAAAGGGCAATTGTCTATTAGCATAGCCTGCAGTTCGCTTTCTCTTGAAATGCAGCAGTTAAGACGGAAAGGGTTAATTTCACATCTTCAAACATTAAAAACACTCTTACGCCAACGTATAGCGATTAGAGGTAGAACGGATTTTGAATCTAATATTCATCAGTTTAATCTTGGTAAAGCGATTAATGGCAAACTTTTACTTGACGAGAACCGATACGTAACTGCACACGACATCCTGGACGAGCAGAAACAGATGATTGTATTAAATGCTCGAAGACATTTGATTAATAAAATTCTAGTGAGAGAATCATTTTCAATTCTAGCTGACGAATCATCAGACGTATCTAAGAAGGAACAGTTGTCTTTTTCCGTAAGGACCTGTGATGATAATTACGAAGTATCGGAAGATTTTGTTGGAATTTATGAATGTTCGCAAGGACTTTCATCTGATGCATTACTGCACTACACCAAAGATATCCTTCTCAGATGTGGCATGGATGGTCACAAAATGGCAGCTATTGGCTTTGATAGGGCAATGAAATCCCTGGCAAGAAAGCTCAAGGAAGATATTGCACCAAACGCCATTTATGTTCATTGTTTCACTCACTGCAATGAACTTATTATACAGGATGCTGCTAAGCAATCTAATTTATTGTCTACATCACTGGATTTATGCCAATCCCTGTATGCAATCGTAGGTGCCCATCTAAAACGTATTTTATTGTTCGAAGAAATACAGGCAGATTTTAGAAATGAAACAGGAATGAACGATTACAAAGTTCTACGACTCCAAAGTCTTTCTACAACGAGATGGACAACAAGAGTAAAGGCTGCTGACGTCATCTTCGAGAAATCGGCTGAACTACTTGCAACCCTTGAAAAAATGCAGGAAGATCCTACCATTTCGGCAGACACAAAAGCAAAGATTGGAGGAATATTAAGGCGACAACTGTCTTCCTTAATCGTCATCTTTAATTTAAACGCGACAAGAAAGCTATTGGCTTTACTCAAGAAGCTTTCTAAAGAGCTCCAAGCGGTTGATATTTCAGCTGAGTACGCTCTATTTTCAATAAGACATGTCCTGCAACGTCTTCATGAGATGAGAAGCGAAGAAGAGTTTGAGCGTACACTTGATGACGCTAAGAAAGTTTTTCTTGTTATGATGTCGTTTCCACTGGAATCTAGTGAAAATTTTGGCACTGGCACTAGACTAAGAAAAGTTCCAAGATGGATGAATAATGAAGAAATGTTAATAACAGAAAGCCTTCACGTCACAGATGCCTCAGTGCAAATATAACGCTATTGCGAAGGTCGTACTACCAAGCCATTGATGCAATTATCCCAGGTCTAGGATCGCGATTTGAACAAGACGATCTTTTCCAGATAAAATGTATCGAGGAACTGTTACTTAACTCTATGAAAGAAAGATGAGTATCTTTAGATGGATTGAGCAATTCTTTGATTGATAAAGATGTTCTAAGAATGCAGCTTGATGATCTTCCTACCATTCTTGGGCTTTACAATGCAGATCAGAAGAAAAAAATAACAGAAGTCACGCGTATTTCAACAATAGCAGAGATACTCAATGCCATGCCGTCAGCAAAGAAAAGGTGCTCAGAGATCCACAAACTAATTATATTATATTATACAGTGCCAGTAATGCGTCGTCTTAAAACATGGCTGCGGTCAAACACTGAAGGAAATCATCTGAATGATATTATGTTCTCCAACATTCAGAAGCAACACATGGGTATGGTGGAAATGGACGTAATTGCCAAAGAGTTTTCACAGAGAAATGAAAGAAGAATTAAATACCTTGGAAAATACAATACATGAGTGATATGAAATTGAAAATTAGTGACGTTACATCGTTTGATAGTTATATTATCGTTAATATTCATCGACAACACTGCGGACATGTGCTTCTGTACAGTGTATTGCATGTAGCACATCTCTTTGCTGTTTATCAGTATTAGATTATTTTTAGTATATTTCACTAATGTGCCCTTCCACAAAGGCTTGCCCCTCCTGCCTTTTGCCGTTCCGGCGTCCCTGATGTTCACCATAGCAACAAGAGATATTTGGTGAATTACATACCGTAAATAATGCAATAGACGTCGACCAGAAAATAAATGCCAGGTATCTAATAAACGTCCCCAGTGAAACATGAGTTTTTATTAGATACTTTTTCTGATAAGCACCTCCCACAACATCACCATTATAATAATATGATTATAAAGGCGGGTTGATTGGGCTTGAAACTGTAAAGTTAGTCTTAGTTTTGTTTTTGTTTGTTCAGGCTTAAGTGGTGGAGATTATAAAAATACCTCCACTAGAACTGCTAGAATGTATTACATCAATCCACCTTTCCGATGGTAGACACACGTGTCAAAAATACGAGATCAAATTACAAAATTCGGACAAACAAAATGGTCAGACATAGTATTGTTTATGTAGAATAGTAACAATAAAATGGTTAGGAGATGCGTTTGAGTTTTTGGGCATTTGTGAATCTGATTCTAGTTATTCTGAACGATTATTTATAAAGACAGAAGGCATAACATTAAACTTTAACCATTTCGGGTTAGAAAAAAGCATAACTATAGAAGAAAAGCTTGAATACTGGCATGTTGTCGAGCTAATGAATTTTTTGTAAGGATTTACATCGTGACTTAAGAATATCTAAGACCGATTCCAGCTGCATGAAATGCAAAAAAGCTACCCATGCAAATTTTTGAACTGTTATTTTTATTACATGTTTGGATTTGCTGTCTTATAATCACTAATCACTATTATTATTATTGATAGATAAAATCTCCCTAAAACTTGCTTTTCTGATTCATTTACAAGTTATATACGTAAAAATGAAATTTTAAACTATAGCTATAAAATTACGATGACGCTAAATGATAACATAAAACATTATCTTATTATGAATATGTGTTAATTGTATTCAAAGGCAGTCATAAATCTCATCTGGAATCTCGTGATACATCGAATCATAAATATAAAAATAACATTTAAAAAAATTCCATGACTTGCAATTTTCTTCGCTCAATGCATCAATAATCGGATATTCTTTGGTAGGGTGGTTTCTTACAACGAAGTGCAAACTACATACTTCTTTGAATCTGAAGTGTACTGTTTTTTCGCAAAGTTACTGGAGAAATGAAGTTACTTTCAGGATTAAATCATGAAACTATTGTAAGATAAAAAGGAATTTACTATCCAAAATGAATTAAAAATTTATGACATAAGGGTTCAATTTAGACGATACAAATGGCTTGGCTTATTAAATGCTATGTTTGTAAAAGCTATTATAAAAAGTACATAATCTCTTTTTCCACGAAGCCCATGGATACTATCGTTCATGATGAGAGAGTTACATTGTATAAGGAGGCTTTCGTTCATAACGAGAGAGTTATAAGAAAGTTACGTTGTAAAAGATAACGACTAAAAAACGTTAAACATGCTTAGAGTGAAAAAAGTCAAAAAAGCAGAAGCTGTTTGAACCTCTGCAGTATCCTTGGACGTTCTAATTTCTTTTATGAGAAGAATTCTTGAAAAGATAAAAGACAAATTTTGAAAACAAGAAATCCCGTTTTCGGTCCATGCCTCCCGATACCCCGAGATAGTTGAGCACTAGAACATCGCATGTCAATTAAGGGAACCAGATAATTCTTGTTTGCCATGAAGCCCTTGTATGGTTTGCTCGTGATACATGAGAAACAGTAAATGAGAGTTAAAGCAGAAAGATATAAACCAATAAGAATTGTAAAAAACATGTTTAAGGTTGCCTTGAATTATAATTGTCATAAAAAGGGACAGTTTCAGAAGAAATTAATTCGAAGCATTGCTTGGTTTATTTTTAAAAAGATAAAATTCGAAAGCAAAAAACCCCGTTTTCGGTCCATGCTTCCCGATACCTTCTTAATCTCAAGGCACTAGAACGCCGCATGTTAACGTTTCGGTAGGAGATTTCGGCCCCTCCACGCTATCCTACTTGGGAGATGCAATAGCCAGTTTCCGCCCATCAGACCCCGAGATCACCTGCGATAGGCTTTGCTCGGGGTACGCAGGGAGAGTGCGGTCGCCACCGAAGTGTGGGCCCCTAAGCCACTGCATACCTAATCGCACCCAGCTTCCACTGCTAGTTGACATCTACTATATGAAGTATATATATACAAAATTTATATATTTATATATATATATTTATTTATTTATATATATATACAAAAATTCAAAGGCTTACGAAAGTTGTGGTATGATCAAAGTCACTAGTGCGCATGCTCAGATTATTTCTTTGATATTTTGCGACTAAGAGAGCCAATTGCCACAAATGTAGTGCAAGTACTTATAGTTAGTCGTTGCCATGACTATGAACTATTATTCCAGTGAACTGCGCATGCGCTCGAGCTTGCGCAGATGATTTCTCTATTATATTGTTACTAAGCATGTTAGTTACTTTAAAATCGGTGCTAGTGGATGCAGTTGGTCGTTGCCATTTCCATAAACTTGGGCAGCTGGTCAAATCGACTGCGCATTTTAAATAAGACTGCGCATGCGCATATGATTTCTCTATTAAATTGTTACTAAGCATGCTATTTACTTCAAAATCGGTGCTAGTAGATGCAGTTGTTTGTTGCCATGATCATGAACTTGGGCAGCTGGTCAAGTCGACTGCGCATGCTCAAGATGACTGCGCATGGGCAGGTGATTTATTTGAAAATTTGTGACTGAGCGAGCTAATTACTCCATAGTCGGTACGAATACCTACCGCTGGTCGTTGCCATGACCATGAACTTGGAGAGTTAGTGGAGTTTACTACGCATGCGCAGATTAATTCTCAATTAATTTTTGGAGCGACCTCTGAAATTAGTGCTTGAATATGCGCTTAGCAAATTTCCAATTAAATATTTTTGGCATGCTCTTTGTCTTGGCATGCTGTTTTGACAAATGCATATCAAACGGAAAATGGTTTTTATTCACTCTTACACCTTCTGCCTTTATAATTAGTCGTACTGGATTTCTAAAATAAGATTAACAAATGCCCCAAGAGCATCTTCTCTCTATTTTATTGCCACTATTTTACATGTACAATACTATGTGCGACCATTTGATTGTTCGAATTTTGTAATTTGATGTCGTATTTCTTAAACATGTGTGATTACCGTCGGAAAGGTGGATTCAGTTAAGAATCACGTGCTAAGAATGAGGTCTTTTAATTGAACAATTTGACTTTGAAGTAATTCCCGTCCTACAGGGACTGGACTGGTAGGAATTGTCGCGAGTTATTTGGGAGCGGATGTTGTTATTACGGACCGAAGGTCAGCTCTGGATTTGACAATACAGAACGTTCATAAAAACACGCGTGAATCAACGAAAATCGAGGTGGCGGAACTCGAATGGGGACAAGGTGTTTCGCGATTTGATCCGCCATTCGACTTCATTATCGGTGCCGACATAGTGTACATCGAGGAGACGTTTTCTCTCTTACTTCGAACGATCGAAGAATTGAGCGATGACAAAACGGTGGTACTTTTATCTTGTAGACTACGATATAAACGTGACGAGGATTTTTTCGAAATGTTAAGGGGGAAATTCATTGTAACGAAACTACACTTCGATGAAACGGTCAATATTCATATTTTCAAAGCACAAAAAAAGGAAATATATACATAAATCGAATTTATTTTCGAGGCCAAAAGTAGTTCTTTTGCGACTTTCGTCAATATTAGGCACTGTTCCAGTTTTGTCGAATTCGTAACAATATGCTGGTGATTATAGCTTCTTAAGGCCCGACGATTTTAAGGATCGTCCACAATTCAGGCAAGTGTATGTGAAGTGGGCGTCGAGTTCCTACATATTTCCCCATGTAATCTGTCATTTCTTCGTCAAGATATTGACATTCGCCTCTTTAACGACCTGAAAGGTTTGTTGCGCGTTAAATTTTCTTTCACCTTGGTCAACGAAGCTCTGCTCGCCGATCTGACGTCGGGGACTTTTTGAAAACTTTTGAGTACGTCGCTCATCAAAAACTCCACGTCCACGGCATTTCTCGCGACCGAAATTTCGTAGAATCGACATCTCGTCTCTTGAGATAGAGACGTTCCCTCGCTTTCCGAGATTTCTCTCAAGTGCTCGAGATCTGTTTTGTTTCCCACTAGGGCAATCTCTAACTGACAACCCCTGTTGTTTTCACGCAAGAAGCTCGCAAGCCTGCGCGATTCTTCAAAAGATGAACGATTTGTGATAGAATACATGATAATGTAGAGGTCGCCTGCGACCAGATAGTTTTCCAAATCTCTGTCGGATTTCTAGAGAGGAGAGAGGTTCGAACCTGTTTTTTTAGTCTACCAAAATCTTTCCAAGAGGAAAAACATACTTACCGTTCCCGCGGTGTCTGTTATGGTCAGCGAGACATGTTCCCCCTCGTTTTCAATACAATGGCTGTAGCTGTCCTCTGCAAGTATTAAAATGGTAATTGTATATTGCTGTAAGCTTATAGCATTTATATGTTTCATAACCTCACCGATATTGCTATATTCCGAAATGTAACGTCTTGTCTTTAAGCGGACTGTGAACGCTTAGCAAAAAAAAAAAATTAGTTTCGGTATAATAGGCCATTGACCTAGGGTGAAGTGTGCAAACGGTTCAATGACACAAATGACTACAATTTTCTTTTATTTCGCAACACAGAAATGGCAAAGCCAGGTCGTTAGAATTTAGAAAGGATAAACGGGTTTTCCATCTTAACTGACTGACGGCAATCTGCACACGTCTCTCATGATGAAAAAAAACTATGATTTCCGAATTTAGTTCACTATAATTACACGAAGCGAGTTATTCCTGGCTCGCCGGTTTCAACCTCGCGTGCGAGCAATTCTTCAGTTCTTGATATTACATTCATGCTGCGTTTACACTATACCCGATTCGCTGGTCACGACATCTTCATTTGCTTTATGGGTGTAACTGTTCGGAGTAAAAGCTTATTAAGCTGATAGATTTATTCTATTTGATTATGTTTCTGACGTTGAACAATTTCATTGCCTTTTAATACAAAGAATATTCAACCTGCTACGATAACAATCCGGTATAGTGTAAACGGGGCCTCAGTCTTCAAGTGAACCATCTGGCACGAGTCGCTCCAAGTAATCAGCTTCAAGAAGTGATATGGTAATGAAATTCCCACACCATCCACCACGACAAGAACATGTATATTGTATTCACATCAGAATTCAGAAAAAGGTATTTCTAATCTCGGAATGCTCGTCCATATCCCCTTGTGCACAAGCGGTCTGATAACAACCGATCAAGGGTGAAACAAGTTCCAGAAATTTATGCTATCGCTCGTTCGTTCATTAATAAAACAAACACGCGTCTAAACACAGTGTATATAACCAACCTGACTTTCCAACGCCATCCTGACCAAGCAGTATCACATTCAAATGTTTGGGTGCCGAATTCGCGCGTTTTTTGGTCTTCGACATTCGTTTGTTTTGCTACCAACAAGTCCGCAAGTCGTTCTCTCGTTACACCTATTTCCAGAACGGTCGGCCGTCGTTTGTTGATGTGCGTGAAGTGCCAAGAGTAAATAAAGGTTTGCTGTTTAATCAATTAGCTGCAGATCGTAAATCATCACTTGATCGAATGAATATGATAGGATCAACCAACGTTGAACGTTTATTACGTTGTTGTTCACCGCGTGTGTCTGTGTTGTTATCACGTATAGACAGAAGGACAGCACTATCCCATCTCCCCGACCCTCCCCCCACTCCAAAAAAAACCCCAAAATACCAAAAAATATGCGTTAATCCGTTCTAAGTTCAACACTTCGAGGTGTTATTCAAGAAATTTCTGTCTGCTCTCCTCCCTTTTAATGCTTGTTGGCCCGTGCGCTCGTGGTTGATTATTACTGATATTTCACGATTGACAGACGGTTTTGTTTATGACGAGGCAAAACAAAAACTTAGATCTTATTATAAACCGCAGGTGTGCCCGTTCCTTGCTTTGGGGGAGTACTGCGAACATACTCACGCATTTGACATGTTCTCCTACAGAGCGTGGAGAAAGTTTATAATGGATTAACATACAACAAGCGAGGTTACGAGGGCACTATTAGTTAATTATTTTAACATGCCAACCCGATGTTTGTTGTCATTTCGCCCACGAAATAATGATTTTTTATATTAGTTTAACGTAAAGCCAAACTCCACCCACAACTGAAAGTCGTCAGCTGCGCACGCATTTCGGCCTCGTTCAAAACATTTGGTTGTTTTTCGCTACTAGAAGCAAACGCGTTTTATTTCACTTGTTGATCGATAAATCTCTCATCTTTCATGCCAACCTAACGAAAAACAAATGGTTTAAAGGTCATGTAAAAATAGCAGGGAAAGTAGATAATTTTAGTTTTAGAGTCTTAGCAACTAGCCGTGTTGTGGAACAGAGCTCGTACCCAGGGCCTTTTCCATTCACCCAATTCGGAAAGGCCCTTGGTGCGAGGTTGACAAAGATTGACTTTTATGTGACGTGTGTGAGGAACAGCTCCTTTCCATATCTTGTTGACAATTTTCAACTAATGATCGCACGACAAGCTAATGTTACAATATATACATGTATGTGTTGTTGTATACTGTACAAAAACATTGAAAGATGATTGGGTATTTAGGAAAAAAGGAATTGATCACGTGCAACTACTCCACTACAGGAGCGCTGTTATAGATGCTTTTCTTCCTTCCCATCGACAACTTGTTCAAATTATCCTTGTTTTTCTGTTTCTTTTTGAGAATCGATCTGACCGCGGTCTTTTGTCCGACGAATTTCCCGCAAAACTTACGCAGCAACTCCTCGAACAATCTTTCAACTTGTTCGTAACCTTCGCTTATCGAAATCTCGTGAAACGGGCACTGAAGTTCGTTCGCAGTCTCCCGAGCCGAGTGAACGTCGACGCGACGTAAATGCTCCAAGTCGGTTTTAGTCCCCACCAACACGATATTGTCCGCCGCATCAGGTTTTTTACGTTGAACTGATTCTCCGAGGTAGCGCGCATGCTCCAGGGATTCTCGATCAGTGATTGAGTACATGATAATGAAGATATCACCACATCGGACGTACACGTCGAGATTCTCCTCTGAGCACTACAGTATTCGAAATAGCTCAATGTCAGATAAATAATATTTCATGAAATACCTGTAAGGTTGTGTGTCAGGTGCCGAGCAACCGAGGCGAAAAAGTGGAGCCCGGGGCATAATTATCCCAACGTCCTGTCATGTCATCATTTTAAACATTGATAACCAAAACATGGATTGTGCGCAAAGTGTCATGATAACTATAATTGTCTCGACTTTTTTAGGTCTTCTCAAGAAATCAGGGGCGCTATTGGTTGAGGGCCCGTGGCAAAACGCGTCTCTGTTCCATCTTCCGGTGAACCTGATTATGTACAGTGTATGCATTATCTTCACGTCAGCCATGTTGGAGGTCGAATAGAAAATAATACTTTATCAATGCTATTGTGGACTCCAGCCAATGACTCCAGCTGGCGTGGGCGAATTTTATGGTTTGGTGAATACCAAAAGATTAGTTGCAAATGAAGAATTTGTCGATGTCGCGTAAGTTTTTTTCAAGCCAGTCAGTCATGTCTGTTTTCTAAGTATTTATGTTTAGTTAAAGACTGGTTCACACAGTTGCGTTGCCAGCTCAGCAGGGGGGAGGGAAGGGGAAACATTCATATACATTGATCTTCAGCTGCATTAAGTTCATGTATGAATATTGCCACCCCCACCACCCGCCAGTTATCGACGCCAGCTACGCAACTGGTTCACTTCACGCTCGGTCTAAAATAAGCATAAACGAAATTGACATAAGCGTGCGCATTCAATCTTTTTAATGCTTCGAGAGTTTTGCTGAAATTTTAAATTGTACGTCTGTTCACACAGTAATGTCAATGTCCTCTTTCGATTGTTTATGCTTGTGTTTATACATAACTGACGTCAACTGTTTGTTGTTGTTTTTGTGGCTTATTTGCTCGTGCGAGCCAGACTTAAGAATCTACGTTTTTTGTTTCTCCGAACAATGTTAGAGTAGTTGCAACAGTAAAAGCCTGCAATCCGAACTGAACTTTATTTGAAAGAAAGAGCCGCGATCGATTCTACACAAACTTAAATTCGTCTCCTACCAATCCGGTCGTATCGTTAATCTCCAGGGGTACATGTTCTTCGTCTATCATCGCGATGTGTTTCCAAGTTTCATCTAGAAGTTACATAACAACGTAAGACTTAATTTGGATCGAGGTCATTAGCGGCTATGAACATCGATAAGATTTTTGGTTACTTGAAGTATCGTGAAGTCGAGGTCTTTTTTTAACCATTTTACTATGTTTTTTTGTGCGTGTACATTAAAATCAATGCGATTTGGCGGAGCGAAGAAAAGAGGCTCAGACGTGACGGAGGTCTTATAATGTAGGATGTCAAGCAAAAATGTTTTAATCTACATCTTCGGAAGTGACCGTTTTTACTTGTCGTCGATAGTTAGTTACTTCGTCGGCTTTCGTGTGGAATCACGAAAAATCATTAACTTTATTGCTATCGGTCGGTATGATGACAAAATCTATTTTATGTCATGTGATAAGCCATGGATTTTTCTCGACTAACGACATGAAAGGGAAAACAAAATTTATCTTCACACGACGATTGATCAATTGCAGTAACATTTCCTGTGGAGGAGATTTTTGTCTTTCGTGAGTAATATTTTATGTTCACCCCCTCGCTTCAATTGGCAGTCTGTCAATGATAAAATTCCAAGACTGTCGAGCTTCATTGACGAGGCAACACCAAAGATGTGTCACAATGTATGTCAGAAATTTAGCGTGAATTGCCTCAATGAAATACCTCTATAAAATATCGAAGTTGTGTGTGTCAAAGTGCTAGCAAGAACCGTTTTCTGAATATTTTTCTTGAGAATTTGACAATAGTTGTGAGATAAAAGATAGAATGTACTCTTTCGAACTATGTTTTCTTGCGTTAAACACAGCATGAATCCAGTCGGAGAGAAGGAGAAAAGCTTATTCGTCTGGCTGGCGCATAAACTGCTCAAATGCCACACTAATTATCGCGATTTAATTGTCAAATGGTCTATAGTCGGATTTAGCGCGACAACCTTGACTATATTTATACATCAAATTTTGAGAAAATATGCATTCTTCAAGCATCGCATAACAGAGATTCCGAATCTATTTCCTTGACGACTACATCGAGAAACGTCTACGCCTGTATTCTAGCAGCTAACTCGCCCTTGCATTCTCCGAGTGCAACACAGACATCGTGAAAAGCATTCACTAATCAATGACAACTCGTTTCTTCATCGAAGGGGAGATTTTTGCAAAACAATTTAAATGAAGCAATATATTTATTGGAGTGATTTTGAAGCCCTGCTCATGTAGTGAGTCTATTCATCGCGGCACATCGAATTTTACAAGGAGACTACGTTCCCAAGCAAAAGCCTGGCCAATTTTTAAAGAGAATATATTCAACTTACCATTGCTGCTATCGTACTCTCCGATGTAACGTTTGGTCATAAACCGGACGGTCAAGGCTATAAAAACATGGAATGAGTTGGATGTTTGATTTGGCGACACGAAAAAAATATTAATGAAAGGTCGTTAAAATTTTTGGATAAGCATTAAAATTTTTGTCAATTGTCATGAAGTTTATTTGATTATTTCGTCTTGTTAAAGCCAGCATGCAACCGTTTTTCGCACTTCAGAAAACGAATGTACAAGAATTTTGTACTTTGATATACACAGCGTTCATTCTTGGGAATTATATTTTTTCCCAACAGTCCTAATTTATTGTTAGACTCGACGTTACGTTCGTAACCATCACGCATCTATGATAAGGGAGCAAAGCGTTCTCAGTGAGAATTGGCAGCAAAACAAAAACTACTGACAGCTATTAAGGTGTTTATTGCACGATATTCTGCCAGACGAAATGATGAATGAATTCAGATTACAGTACTGTCAAGGAAACATAGATAACATCGTTAATTCTTCCATGACGAAATGAATCATACTTTAAGGACATTTACTACAACATTTTCGTTTATTCAATTTTCACCTGATTTTCCCACACCTTTCTTTCCCAACACAACCACGCGCACCACATTCGAATGCTGCAAGACCATGGCGCTTCTCCTTCGTCGCATTTTCTTCGTCGATTCTTTTCGAGCAATGGAAGACGATGACCATACACTTAAGGCCTCAAGAGGGACGTTATCTCACCAAGCTTGCTACCAAATTCGCTACCGTAATGAAGCTTAACAGAGTCGGCATCTCGTACACGCATACGACAAGCTTGACAAATAAAGCAGACGGTTGTCATGTAGAAGAGTTATTAAGTGAATTACAGAAAGATTGCCCGCCCCCTTACTCCGCATGACTCCAATCTCTTAATGCTCTTATAAAGCATTTGCACTGTGAAGTGTTTCAAAACAGAATACAAATGCTTTTGTGAGGATTCGATGCACAGCGGTCAGTTATGATTTTGCCTATTCAGAAAATCTTTTGTGTGAACGTGTTTCTTTATAAGGCGTAGCATCTCTTACGTAGGCCGAATAGGCAGTCACACTGCCAACAAAAATCAGAAATTCTTCATGATTTTTCTATTGTAAACGTGCAACGGTCTGGGTTATTGTGAACCTGTTTGCATGTGAGCTAATTAAATGAATACAATGTGCAACGCAATTACTCGCTTGACGATTTAACTTGTCATTGATGTTAAAAATGGATGGAGTGTAGATTTCTAACAATTCAGTCACACACCTCTTACCAACTCATCCTGATGTTTTCAGTGAATAAGTTAGCGTTCTGTGTCCTCTATGATTAAATATCACATTACCTGGCCAAGAATGACCACCCAATTTTGACGAGTCAAGTGTATCCTTCGAGCGCTTGGTCATTAGCGAATATCAATTATCTCAGTGCTTTGTCGCATATCTTCTGCCACTACGACTGTCGTGTGGGTCTGATCGTTTTAAATTTGCAGCCCATTTCAAAAAAAAGAAATCAGCGCTACGAATAAGGAAAACGAAAGCACAGCTGCATAGCAAGCATACTAAATATAGAGTTAAATCCTCGCTTTGATGAAGACCGCCAGCTGAAATGTATGATAACAGACGAGGGTCTATAATAATGGTCACGAAGCACGTTGGAAGTATAAACAAATAATCAAATACAATTAAAGAAACTGTATTTTGTATAACTAGCTAATTATATGTATGTGTATACAACTGATGTTTGTGAAACGACAGCAACAGGAGGGAACTTATTTCGAAGTATGACAATCATCGCTATCTCCTACAAGATAAGTTTCGTTCACCGCAATTTAACGACCACAGAGAGTTGAAGACAGTGGTTTATGAAGTGTAATGACCGTTGACATATAAACGTTCGTCGTTTTTATAATGCTATTATCCATGGAGCTATTGATGAGGGAGCGTGCGCCGACGATCGCGATCTGTTCCGAATGGAACTTGCAGCCTGATCACTAACTGCGAAATATTTTTCTTCCTTCTTGCAATTACTTTCCTGATATTGATAATCTCGGGAGATATCTTGTAATCAGTTCTATTTCAGGCTAATTACCGTGACATAACGAGATTTGAACATGTCCGCGTCGCGAGGTTTCATTAAAAAAAAAAAAAATCGCAATGATATTTGAGAATGCGTGGGAGCGGGTATGAAGAGAATTTCCATTTTATCACAGAGTCGGAACAAGTGAAATCTTGATCATCGCCATTTTTAGCGAGCTCTGTAGTATCGCAGCTTTGAAATGCTTCTCGTGATTTAATCGTTAAGAACTGTGAGAAAAATATTTAAGTTCGAATACTAGCATTATAAATATCGAAGATTTCCAAAACAGATACGACGCTATTTTTAAGCCACCATCTTATAACTCATGACGTTTTCACAGTTTACCACCAAAAAGAAGACAGTAGCGTGTACCATTGCGAATATAGGTTGTATGCGGGTCCTGCAATAGTACTATATGGTTCTTATTTACTTCAACCAACGAAGTGGATTTTTTCTCAACATAATTGAAATTGCTGTCCTGTTTGACTCGCCTTTTGTGAAATGAGGTGTTGGGTTGTTAAGGATGTGTTATTGAACCGCGATTCTTGGGGAAATTTTCAAACAGATAGATTACATGTCTCAAGCTTCCCGTTTATCGTGCTTGACAATAATCATGAACATCTGTTATTCGCCATGCTCTTTCATAAACGCATCATGCTAGGATAATGGTTACAAATTGAGCCCTAGCATTAACCTTTGAGTTGGTTTAAATTTAACTGTATGGTATCGTGCCTTTCTTCTGTCAAAGTGTCATCAGTTTCACCAAAAGTCATCTGGTTGTGTTCACGATGTTGAAGATATTTTCTTCTACATGCTGAATGTCGATACGATGTAATTCAGAGGTAAACTACCCCATGCAATGAATACATAAAGTGAACGCTCGTATGAATCAGTGGTTACAAGAAAAATCAACAGGAATTAGCATTCAAATATATTTTAACTATGCAAAACATCAGATGCAACTTTGCAAACGCCGTTGACGACAGCATCGCGCTTTTTTTTGAGGAAAAGACTGTTTTGAAATCGTGGATTCTTCACCCTTAGAAATAATTTTACGAAAATTTCTTCCGTGACTGCAAGTTGTAATTATCAATTCTTTAGCGTTTTGGATTTTCAACGCGGAGGTCAAAAGGCAAACAATTAAATTTATCTAGTTGATAACAGGAAATAAGATTCTGCTAACGCTGATTGGCTTTAATTGTCTTTAGTTCCCAAACAATAGTTCAAAGATCTGTTGTAGTAACTGCTCGTTAAAAATTATCAATAAAAGCCATATTTTGTCGTTATCATTTCCCACTTCATAATCATGAAGAGTTGAAATGATTCCTCCTTGAGAAAGAACACGAAATCCTAAATTTGTCGTAGGTGAAACCCTCTACATAATTGCGACGTTAAAAATGCACGTTTTCCCAAAATTTAATATGTGCGTAAGCACACAAGACATAGGGAATTTGTCTTGGTTGCTTACTAAAAAATTCTGTCATGATCATTCCGGTTACAGCCCTACTCAAGAATTTAAGGATCGTGTACATAGCAATGTCTAATCTTTTTCAGGTATGAAATGATAGATGTGGCAATTGTAAATAGTAAAACCTCGAGAGACAAGATACATCTACCCTCTTGACGAAAACGGTATTCTTTCGAACTTTCAAGAGTTGTTCATCAATACCACAATGCAAAAGTGATCTGTAAAAAGAAGTGTTGATTGATGAACTGCCTTCAGATGCACCCATTAGGGGCTGACTACATGAGCCCTGTTGCCGGGATTCAGCGAAGCGTTATATCATTTTGGCTAATGGAAATGATTAAATACTTATCAACAAAGAACTTATTTGAGCAATTCCTCTGTGCGCCGACTTTGAAAATTCACGAAACCTTTAAAATGAAAACAAATAGTTTAGCCTGGTTTGAAAATTTCAATAAAATGAGTTATTACGCTTAAGAAAAGGTTGTAAGTTTTCAAAATGTTATGACAACATTTTCCCAAACAACAATGCAATTCTAATTCTTTCTCCAGCTTGAGCTCATTCCGCATCCATTTTTTTTGCAGGCATTCTTTCTGCAAAAGTTCAACTTAAAACATTAGAATGGTGAAGGCTACTTCTTTTTGCTAACGTTGCATTTATGACGTAGTCTCAAACTTAAAGAAAACATGTGTCACGACTTGTATGAATAGTGTAGAATGTTCCATCGTCGATGTAAAAATTCCAATTTACTTTCTGATCGACCGAACCCTAATTGCAAATATGTGATATTAAAAGCTTAATTCAGAGAGGAATTGGAATTTCTGCTTATTATCCATCTTAAGGACGATTTATTAAGATTAGGGGTCACAAACCTCAATTGATCCTAGTCATCTTCGATGACTTTCTTGATTTCCTGCCAGATTCATGTATGGAATGCAATGCATCTTTACCTTGTACTCTCTGCCACTTCCTCCCTACCCAAGGTACTAATTCTTCGCTAACCGTATTACTAACAGTAGAACACCACAAGCAGACTCATTACTTGGCAGCCACACTGGTGTATCTCTTTCGCTCGAATAACCGCCATTTCTGAGTCCAAGTAAAACCCCATTCTGACTAGGACACAGTCATATCATTGTCGTTAAACACCGTTGTGTGTTTCTTACTTTGAAAAATCGTGAATCAAAGGAGAAAATCCATCAATAACAATGTAATTTCATCGTAGCTGCGGATAATCAAATTTTCGAGTTCCTTAGGAAAAGCGCAAAAATTCCTCGTTTTCCTTAAACATTACTTTACTTGGTAAAATCTGTTAGTTGTTTTTCGATTTTTTTAACCGTTTTTTGTGTTTATGAGGATAAAGCCACAAGTGGTTCAACATAATGTATCTAGTTTTGATATTCCTTTAAAAACGGCTTACTCGGAACTCCGAAAAAGTATGCGAATTTACTGATTCAAAGAATCTCACGATCTTTTCCTCAAAGAACTATCAAGCTAGACAGAAAAGAGCTCGAATTTTTTATACACTATTTATATGTTTGGAGAAAGAGTGTTTGGGCCTTTAGGCAGCATGTTATGTCATTCCCTTAGTTTCATTTCATTTAATGTGAAGTTTTGATAATCTGCTAGATTTTGACGAAACAGCTTGTTTTACTCACATCTAACATATGAATGTTGTACAGAGCAGGAAAATTGATGTAATTATCGGTGGGTGTATAAAGTATAATTTTGCTATTTTCAAGTTTACATCGGCTTTGTGTGGTAAGCTGTTTTATCCTCTGAAAACGCTTTCAGTCCAAGACAGAATTGTTCAAAATTCCTTTAAAAAAATCCTCAAAAAACAATAATTCTTTAAAAAATTCTTAAAACTCACAGAAAAACCTATTTTTAAGGATAATTCCTTGAAATTGAGAGCACTGGTGGTCGTACTGCAGTGTACAAATTATGATTTAAACACGAAGTTTTGCTAAAGAAGTCCGCTGACACCAATGTGAAGATTGTGCGGTTTCGTGCTTTTAGATATTAAAGTACGGTTCTTGGATAAACCGTCTGAGTTCTCGAAATTAATAAAAGATGCACAAGACCTCCCGGCCACAGGTATATAACTGAACCCTCGTTTCATAGCAACGACTTACTAAACAGCGCAATCATTCTGTCAACACTTTAAGTCTTAAATTGCAGAAAAGCGAAAACACACCGATAACATTTACTCTCCTTATCTCTCTCGTAAACGATGAAAATATTTTTATGGATCAGTTCTTTGAGAAATGACAGCAATTCGGGAATACCGGAAAACAGAGTACTTGTTTCATAAAAAATCTATCAAATTCAAAAAATTTGTGCATACCTCTAATGCCAACGAGCTCTTCGATATGAATGTTCACTGTGGAAATGATTTGGGGCAAATTTTGGCTGGCCGTAGATACGACAGTGGCGCTCTTCACTGCTGCAAGTACGAATAAGTGAATTCGCAAGAAATCCAAACTACAGAAAAATATCTATGTCGCCGAGGGACTCGTCACTCACTCTAGAAATGGACTGCGTCAACTTTATCTGTATAATGGAGGGTGGGGTGGGTGCAGAATTAGTTGTATTCATCTAGTTAACCACAGTTTGACCATTGTCTTCAATGTTGCAAATACCATAGCGAACGGTTAAAGTAATAAACTAATAGTTCTTAAAAGAACTGCTTAAAAGCAAAACACTAAACTTATAAGTTCTAAAAGAACTGTTTCAAGGCTAAAAAACACAATGCATTTTGGCAGATTACTCCTCAGCTTCTGTTAACTGAGAATTAAAATTCTATCGATATTAATAACATTATAAACGTTGACACCTGAGGAGTAGTCTGCCGAACTGCATCGTGTCTCTTAGCTTTGAAACAGTTTTTTTAGAACTATTGGTTTAGTGTTTTGGCTTTAAACAGTTCTTTAAGAGCTATTAGTTTATTACTATAACCATTCGCCATGGTATTTGCGATTTTCAAAACAATTTTTACATTCGTCACCGCGAGTAAGTCTCTATTTTATAATATGAGAATCCTATCAACTGCATTGCACATTATTAAAGCATATTAATTCCACTGAAAAATTTTACGTAATATGCAAACATTTTGCAATTAGTTCACACGTTAACAGCTTTACACGCCATATTTAAATTCTCTAGTGTTAAGAATAATCGGCTAGGTTTGCGATAATCCGAAGAAACGCTTTACGATGAATAGTCTATCGTCAAACCAGAACTTTTCCAGGTTGCCAAAATCTTTCATAAGACAATTTAACACGTCATCTTTACGCGTGAAAAGAGATTTCTCACTCCGGAGTTCTGCCAACAATTTTCAACCAACAGCTATTTTAATTCTCTGTGAAGATTATTCTTTAAGTCGTACGACTGGTGAAGTTATCAAGGTTAAGACTTAAGCGCAAACAAGTGCGAGAATAGTTTTGAAAGAACGCGGAGGTTGTCGTAAGAATTAGTTAAGACGATTTATTTTTGCCTTCATTAAAGAACGATTAACTTCTGAGATTTTATAACTGAGCTGCAGATATATACAGCAAGTATTTAAGATTTCCTTCCAAATGATTGTTTTATGAATACTGTGTTCTGACTGGTACAGTGGAAATCTTTAGAATCTAAAAAGTGACTATGCTTTATTTTACACTAACAAAACTACAAGATCGAGACAATATGAAAATAGAAAAGCACACGGATGCAACTTAAGAGCAAAACGAAGACAACCAACGGTTCGTGGCAAGCCTTAAATGGAAAAATTGTTTCCTGAAATCTCTTGGTACCCCTGTGCTTTCTCGTTGTCTTGTTATTAACCGAGAAAAAAAGATCTCAATCTTATGATACGAATATTTGCATATGGCGTAATTTCCAACGGATATGTTGGTTTTAAAGCAATTGTACTTCAAACAAAATCACCTGTGCATCCTCACGTAATTTATGAATATATGAAACGGAATAACGCAATTTTCGTAGTACTTATAGGTATTATGGCTGTTTTTTGACTTTTGTTTATCTCGATCAATCGTTATCCTAAGACCACGAGTACGCCCAGCGTATCTATTTCTCGAAGGAAGGGGACGGCCCAAGGCTTTAAAATCAACTATGAATTTGCTGAAACAAACTGTGGCAAGCCCTAGTTTCAGAAGAGTTATCATTTTAAAAGTAGTCAATTCAAATTTCTAAACGAGTTTCTAAAGAATGACCACGAGTTTCGACGCAAGATTCATGAAAAATTACTGTTCAGCAAAGAAAAAAGTCGCTTTCCCAAATCATCTTACGTGGGTCGATGAGAGAATGCTGACATTTAACGCCAAAAATAATACTCTATGGAATCCCACATTTCAGTGTTCAACATTCTTCGCCATTTGATTACGTGCGAAGATGAAATCTGTCCTCCTCGTTTTCACAGCTTTTCTTTTGCTCAAAAACAAGGTTAGTGTCATGACACATTTGGTGTTTTCGAGAATCATAATCATAAAATACAGCATTTAATGTAAATGCTTTGAGCCCGGGAGTATCGCTACATGTTTCGCTTTGCCGTCCAAATGATCGTATGATAAAGTAAATGGTTTTAAACCGAGAGTATCGTAACAATTACATGTAATTACAGCATTTATCACTTAGGATATAATTTGATGTAATATCCAAGTTTTACGCCTGAACTAGAAATTCCACAAATTTCATAACAGTTGATTTTATCTTCTACGACTGGCAAAATGATTATGTGAATGTAAGAACATCGCCAAAGCCAGCATCGTCGGTGCTAAATACTAGCGATAAACCGAGATCACAAACAACTTAACACCTAACCAACTACGTTTCTACAGCTTTATTGATAAACAATCATCGACGTTGACAATGCACTAAAACAATTCGTTTTTAAGGCGATTATATACGTGCGTCGTTAAGATCTGTGAGGAAATAGAAGTCTATGCACTTATCAATTTTTCCCAAAAATGAACAATCAAAATCTCGGTATCGTTTTTTATAAAAATAGGTCAACTAGAGAACTTTACGAATCAAGACAATTCTTATTAATTCTGTGTATTGTTTCGTAGCGGAACCATTCATGTTATACATTGAAGACAAACGACAAATTTTTAAGATGGCACGGGCATGCCGAAACCATGTATGCAATAAAAAAAGTGAAAAAAATTGCCGTTTATTTCAAATGTTTGATAATTTGTCTCGAAAAATCTGCGTAAATTAGCTACGTAAAAGATAGCATCGCAAACATTGGTCACTAAATTGGTCAGGACTCATTCCATAAGCTCAACATAGTTGGCGGGGAACAAACCGTAAGAACCATCGGGGGCACGGCCTTGCCACCATCCGGGATCTATCTGAACGATTTCCGTTATGACGTCACCGGGGTCGAATGTTATTTCCGTGTCATCAGCTGGAAGGGTATAAGATATTGTGAGAAAAAGAGGTGAACAGATTCTATTTCTCACCATTTATATCATAATTGTCATGAGAAAGGCAGTTACCTGCTTGATAATCGTACAATGCTTGGGCCTTCATATCACTGGTGTTAGCTTGAGCAATAACATCTGCATTATCATAGACATTGTCATCGTCATAATCGGCAGGATCATACTGTGGTTCAGGCTCTGGCTCATGCTGGGGTTCGGGCTCCGGCTCATATTGAGGATCAGGCTCTGGTTCGTACGGTGGTTCAGGCTCTGGTTCGTATGGTGGTTCAGGCTCTGGTTCGTACGGTGGTTCAGGCTCTGGTTCGTACGGCGGTTCAGGCTCTGGTTCATACGGTGGTTCAGGCTCTGGTTCGTACGGTGGTTCGGGCTCTGGTTCGTACGGTGGTTCGGGCTCTGGTTCGTACGGTGGTTCGGGCTCTGGTTCGTACTGTGGTTCAGGCTCTGGTTCATATTGTTGTTGCTTTTGGGGAACTGGAGGCTGAGGTCTTGCTACTTTACCAGCTCGGATAAGTTCTTCAGCTTCCTATAATGAATTTAATCATCGCCAGTCAAAATTCATGCAATAAATTGTTATGCTTTGGCCTTCGTACCTGTCTTCGACCAGGTGCCGATGAGGATCTCGCCTTCTCTTCTTCATATTCTCTTGTGTAAGCCTCAGCTTTAGCTGCTTCCTTCTCTCTCCTTTCCTGTTCTCTTCTCGCAGCAATCTCTTCTTCTTGTGTCCTAGAAATACATCATAATCATCACTCGGGAGTATTAGGATGTACCAAATTCACAACTTCTCTGAATTGCACCTTCTTTGTTGAATGTTTTTGGACCTTTCTTGGATTTCAACATCTCTTCTCCTTGCTTCATCCAGCTGTAACCAAAAACAATGACAGTGAATGTGGAAAATATAAGATTTTCTCGAGCCCTCATACCTCTCTTTGTTTTCGTTTATTTTCCAATTCTTCCCTCTCCACTGTTTTACGTCTGGTTTCTTCTTCTTGCCTCTTGTTTTCCTCTTTCTAAAAAACAAATCATTGTTATAATTATTACAATATGGTAATACATTTCAACTATCAACATAATTATGACAATAAAAAGAAGCTTTCTTATATGACTAATAATTCATTATAATAATCAATATCACAATCATAACTAGCAAATGTAATCAAAATTATCATCCCAGTTTACAAACACAAAACAAAAGCTCAAAAAGATATGAAATATGAAGCATTCTCCAAGACATTATACCTTGTTGGTAATGTGGAGAGTATGGGGACTACTAGGGGCATTCTATTGATGTATCCATTTGTTAATGTGGAGAGTATGGGGACTACTAGGGCATTCTATTGATGTATCCATTTGTTAATGTGGAGAGTATGGGGACTACTAGGGGCATTCTATTGATGTATCCATTTGTTAATGTGGGAGTAAGGTGACTAGTATATGGGCGTTGTAGTGATGTACGTATCCCATTGTTATTGTGGGTAGTATAAGGACTTGAGAAGTCTGCATGTGTACATGAAACAATAATACAACATAAAGTTTAACCCAATTAGACAATTGATATTATAGAAATGAGATTATGTATATATGTACATAATGCTTGCATAGTTTTTGTTATTGGTCAGAAAACTTCCAGTCTCCTTTAGCTTTTACCAATAACACCTTACACTCACCCAATAAGCTGCAAACAGCACAAAATTCATATTGCTATAAGGAAGTCGATTTGGTGTGGAATCCTACCTCTTGCTGAGACCAAAACTGATTACGTTTATTCATGTCGGTATATTGATGAACATTTGCCTTCTTGTACACCGAACCCTACAAGAAACAGCTGCATAAAGATCATGGAAGTAATTGCACAGATTCTTAGCAAAGATAAAACATATATTTAAAAAATTCATACAACAGCAGTTGGGGCTTCAACAGGTCTGGCCTTCTCTTTGTGGTAGCTGTAGTTTGCTCCTGAACAATGAATTAAAAAAACATCAAAATGTTTGTTCTGACCATGGGGGCTTCCATTCACTTCTGTTTTACATTTCCAGGTGTTCTACATTTGGGATAGACTTTGCTATCCCCTATCAGTATTTATAAATACATATTTCAAGAAATGAGGGGGGTGTAGCGCACTTAATGTGCTCTGTTATTGTGATGTCACTATGCACACCTGAGGAAGCTTTTACTTTTTTGATAATGACATTTTCTTCAACATCATCTTCTGAACGTGCATTAATTACAACATGATGTCCCTAAAGGCAAACACATTCACATCTCTCTGCATAAAACAAATTCATTCACTATAAAACATCAATATCGAACATATTTTACTCGAAAAAATCTCTCCACATCTCGAACATGATTGGCGCAAGTTCCCTTTATGGAAGATGGAACACCTTCACCTTGCTGTGAAGAACGAGATCAAACTCAAAAAAAAAATCAATGCATTGAAATTGTCTGGAATGACAAAACAAACCCAGTTGATGAGAACATATTTTGGTAAATTTGTGTTAGGATCCAAAACTTTCAATCCTGCATACAATATCTTTCCGCTGTTGAATTCATCAGCAAGCTCTTCTAGGCCTCCATCTGAACAGAGATGACCCATTGTAAACAATGGAGTTCAATCAGGAAGTTGATGTAATTAGTTAAGTGAAAGGCCGAAAAATTAAACTTCATGGATAATTAATCGAGACTGATACGAAATAAATGTTAAGCAATCACCTCCAGTTTCGACAACCTTCAATGTGTTGCTTTTCTTGTCGTAACCGAAGACTGCCCTATAACATGACAAGTTCTACTTAGAAAGTTGTTTGACTTGACACACAACACACGAGAAAGTGAATCGAAATAGAAACTTTAACAAGACAAAATTGCAACACAAAATGAAAATCGCGCTGGAATATAAGAACGACGAACACTCTCACCAGTCCGTTTCACATTTGTCATCGAAGATGTCTTGCCAAGCCTTGGAAAGACTCTCGCCGTTCGTTTTCAAGTCTACAGCCATATTGATTTTGGGAATATTGACCAGGATTGTGGATAGTACCCGGGTGTTGTCTTGTGCTACTATTTTTGTGGTATTATCATAGTTCCGGTACCTACTGACCTCCATAGTTTACGTACTGGACTACCACTAAAGACGTGTCTCATGAAAGAATGCAAGAGCTAATTAAAAGATGTCGATTGTTGTCTCATTATTAGTAAGTTTTCTCTCTTTTATTTCATATTTAAAGCTGCCAATGCTCGCTTATTGTTTCAAGTTAAAAAGAACGCCAAACCGATCGAGCCTTAAAAAGTAGAGAGCCTTTCGGCACATGGCACTTGAACTGAAATTGAATAAAATTGAACACACTCACTCATATTACCCGGAAAAGCTCGACAATTCTCGTGAGTTTCTTGCAAAAAAACACAATGGAAGGCAATATGTTAATAAGCACGCGCTTATATGTATTTTATGTACATAAATGATATGCTAATAAGATCGAGGGCTTTGAGTTGATCATTGCCGAATGATAGTCGCTATTTCACTATATTATTGTCAAGTTTTTGGCGAATAAAGCACCTATTCAAGTGAGTTATTGCTGTGGTATGATGATATCAATGAGTAATCGTGAGATTCATAAATTGAACGAGCGAAAACGATATGTTTTAGTTAGTTTTGAGATGTATTAATGTGATACACTAAACACAAATATCATTAGTACACCACATAATGGACTTTACAGATTCGGAATAAGCGGCAATACTTGAAACGATTAATTTCTAATTGAAATCAATTTTGATATCGTATGGCAGTATGTGCTTGTGGAGTAAGATGCTTTACTACTGTTGTCATAGAGCGGGAAGCACAGCTGTTATTTTCAAACTTTGTTGTTTACATCTAGTCAAAATGTCGAAGAACTTCGTTTTGGCCAAGTAGTGCACATACATGTCTGACCAGGTAACCAATACTCTTTATTGAAGGTTTAAATATTCTTTTGTTACGTTAATCATGCCAACGACAGACTGACAAAATCAATTCGTTTACTCGTGTTTTTACATTAAAGACTTAAAGTAGTATGTTTCTATATAGGGATCAGTAAGTCCGTCACGTCTACCGTCTAGAATATCAACCGAATCCCCGACAAACCCCTCTCAATCCCCGAATGTTCTCCTGTATGAACGAGTGAGGTTGCAAAGTTTTCAAAGTTTCCTTCATGGAACTGTTGGAAAACATCCTCGGGTATTACTGGAGGATCTACTGAAAGCAGAAGTGAGTCGTAGACAGACAACTGTCATTCTCGTAATTGTCATCCTGACGGATGGAAACACGAAAAAATATCATTCATCTGTCTGTAAAATCATCGTTCCGACTTATTTCCCTTTCAGGTTTTATCATCGAAACTGGTTTTGGCGATTGAAGACCTTGTGAATAGCTTGCTTAACATGCTGGACAAACGGAAACACGTCACGGAGGATTATGGGATGTCTAGCACGACAGAAGACGAGTCCATAAGAAGTTTTCGCAGTGCTTTGAGAAACAGCGTTAACGCGTTGGAAGGTATCACCAATTTGAAGATATCGGAAGAGATGAAACACACGATGAGTTCAAAGACATCGGAACACTCCTTGTCGATGACGCAGGATAATCAAGAGCTAAACGTGGAAAATTACAGCAAAGAGAACCACAGGTGGGATGGATCGATTTCTCACCATTAAAATTTTACAGAGCAATGAAATGTACGTTGCTCTGACAAGTTTTTACTTAAAGACCATTGATGATTTCATCGCTCTATAAAATGACCATTCTTACTTACATAGCAAGGAAGGTTTCACTTTCTCATTTCAAAGATGACGATTTTTAACAATTACAGAGCAATGAAGATTTCGTTGCACAGCAGCGAGAGCACGACACCTGGAAACGAGAAATCGTCGTCTCTCTCGACGAGAGGTTTCAACAGCACGTCATCTTCGGATCATACGTCAGGCGAACACGCCACCGTGAGTGGCGGCGAGGAATCACGTGGCTTAGAAGATGTTTCACGTTTACATGACGCTGTATTGAAGTTGCGTGACGAAATCGAAGATTTGGAAAGACAACAAGAAGCTCAATTCATTATGTTTGCGAGTAAGATTATGGACACGAAACAAGGTAGAATATGATGAAGCAGACAAATGGGATGACCGTCATTTTGCGTATGATAATCATGATGACGTAATCTTAATAACGCAACACTTAATATTTAGATCACGGGCTCAATGTTCGCCAAATTCTTGAGAAAATAGTACAAAAGCTTTCACCGCAAGGTAATTCCCACATATTCACATCGTTCACAATGTAGCTCCTATCATTGTCTTGCAGAATTAGAATTCTACAGTTAGGAAGTGCTGTATAACTTATTTTACCAGGGGGGCTACTTTAAAGAGGGTGAAGCCATGAGATCATTAAAGATGTGTCGTAGTCGTATGACGTCATAGATGTTCACTGCGTTCAACTCTTGGTTCAACTGAACTGAACTGACTGTCAGATGATACATATTTTATATTTAATTTTATTGCATGGACTTATGATTTTAATTTATTTGACTTGTGTCGCAAGGGTCACAAGTTAAATAAATTAAATATTTTATTAGCTATTATGTGTATACCCTCTTCAAATAAAGATCTTTCCTTACCTTATCTTACCTTACCTTACCTTACCTAACCTCACCTTACCTTACCTTACCTAACCTCACCTTACCTAACCTAATCTCATGAAGAAAGTCTTTTTAGTCATAAACCAATATGAATAAAACCTTTATGTTTGGAAGAGGCACACTGTCATACCACTCTGTACTTGACCGGGCTCGGCAGATTAAAAATTTTAAACTGCGATAAATAAATTATCAACTTCTAAAGTTCCCCAAATGCCCGCCCCTCCCCCCGTCCCGCTTCTACAAACATGGCTGTTTGCATCTTTTTCATTATTTAGATCAAAATTGGACATTTCAAGCGCGTCTCAACGAAGGGGATATGGAGCAATTATTCTATTTTGTTTTGCTTCAAAAGACTTTAAAATCCTGTCTCGTTGTTATGAACTCGATTACACTTCCAGAATTACATGATTTAAATATTGACGCTGAGGTATAAAGCTTTTTAACCTTTCTGGAAACTTTGGGGAAAATACTCACCATCTTAGATGGCAAGCTCTTTTTGTAACAGACAGTCAGTAGGGGAGGGGGAAGGAGAGAGGCGGGGCAGGCTGCAGCCCCCAATTTTAGGAACACATCTCTTCATCTCTTTCTCCAAAATCCTTTGAAAGATGGTCGCAAAGCCCTCTTTCATCTTCGAAAGTTGCTTCCGATAGGCCAGTACAAAAATGTAGCTTAGCACGTATCTTTTCTTTAACTGTGGAAAAATGTTTTTGTTGAAGAACTATCCATGTACATTTTCACGGTGTGCTGATGGCTTTGTTTATTGCAGACCGACAACGACAAACACGACGGAAAAATCCAGTTGTGTAGTATGTGTGAACGTGGCTTCATTGCGAAGGAATCTGGTAAATGCGCAGCGGACGAAACGCTTCTCAAAACAAGCAAGCAGCCATTCAATTTCAACAGTTCCGACAGCAATGACGAGCAGCAAAATAGTTCGGCGAAAACTAGTCTGAAAAGGCCGAACGAATTCGACGATGAACAAAAACACAAAAAAAGACGAAAGAGCTATCTTCTTTCTTGTTTTGCCGGAAAGTGGATGAGAAAGAGACGCTCTAAGAAATTGCGGCTAAATTCTCAAAAATGATTGTAATAAATGTTAGTGATTGTATTTTCCCATCGTTTTGATCATTTCCCATCACTATTTGATCATACAAAGTAATAAATATTTAGTTTGAAGTGCATGTGGAAGATATTTTGAATAGAAAATGTTGAAAAAATATCTATAGCTAGCAAAAAGACAGCGCTTGCTATGTTGCTATGGTGATTGCACAAAGCGCCAAGAATAATTTAAAATTTCATCACCATAGTAACGACAAACAGAAATATTGATTGACAAGTGAAAATAAAAAAAAACAGTTCAAAGCGCATCATTTCTTTTCACTTCATGGCAAGCACAGAAAATTTTACCATGAAACACGAGGAATTATATGCAGGCCACACACGTGTACCTTACGATATGAAAAATAGTCCGATTAAACTTTTGAAGAAATCATCAGATGAAGAGTTTCGTATCATTGAAGAAGCACTTCGGCAAAAGACTTCGCCCTCAGTTAATTCATTTAAGATGGCGAAAGGAAAGGAGATAGACAAAGCAAATGAAACAAAGACGATTGGCCAACGAAATGAAGATGTTTCAACTAATAAATTGTGTTTCACCGAGCAATTGGTGAGCTCGTCAAAGTCTATGCGAATTAGCCTCTGCGAGTCCAAAGCGTTTAGGCATAATCGTACGCCTGAGAAAGAGGAGTCTTTGCATCCTTTGGACTCAGTAAATAGATCACAATGTGATCCTCTATCAAATAACGACAAGGGATGCCATGAAAAGACTCCATCGTGTCCAACATCGGAATCAACGAAAAGTCGCGATGCATCTCCAAATTTAAACAAAACAAAAACACTGTTCTCTTCCACGTCCGGCCTCAAAATATTATCATTTTTATCGACAAAATCACGTAGCACAACCCAGAAACTAATCACACCTAGTCAATGTGCCGAAATATCAAAATTACTCGAGAAGAAAGGATGTACGAAGTCTGTGAAAAAACCCAATGGCAAAAATGTCTACGTATCGACAATGGCAAGAGAATCGACATCAGTTTGTGAAGATAATGCATTGACATCACAAAGCACTAGTAAAGGGACCCTATCTACTTGTGATCATTCGTCAACTTCACCGGCAAAGGAAAAATTTTGTGCGAAAGATTTAGTCCCGTCGAACTCTATTTGTACTGTGTCATTTTCTTCACCAAGCCTACGGCGGTTACCCTCAGATCACTGTAGCTTAAAAATTACACCACCACCACCACAAGCGTGTATGGTAAGCAGTAAAATACCCACGTGTAGACTACCACACACGCCACCATTGAAAGAAAACGAGTCACCACAGTCGCCGCAGAGCGAGCCCATTATGAGAACTTGGATTCCTCCAATGGATGACCCGATGAGTCAAACGTTTCTCAGAATGCCATTCACCTATCAGAGTTTGCAATTTCAACGCAACCACGACAATCAACGTCACGTGAAGAGACCCATGAACGCTTTCATGGTGTGGGCAAAGAAAAACAGGGCGAATATCGCTAAAAGGTAATTTGAACGTAAGTCGTCGTAGAATCTCCGATCAGTTTTGAAATAATTCTGGTATTTGTTTTATTCCTCAAGGTTTCCAAATGCCAGCAACGCTGAGATCAGTGTGCGGTTAGGTCATATATGGAACCAGTTGCCCAGCAGCGATCAAAAACCTTACTTTGATGAAGCGAATCAACTGAAAGAGAAGCATCGCCATGAAAATCCTAACTGGGTTTATCAACCAAGACAAGGCAGAAAATGCAGGAAAGCGCTCTTCACGTCCGCCTCCACGTCATCAACACATCAGCCAATGATATTGAAAAGAGGTGAACGACCGATCTATTCGCGAAGCACACCGAATTCGCCGACAGTAAAGCGACCGCTATGGACCGTGAATGACGCAGAACTGTCCGAGGAGGAGCTGCAAACGAGGATCGTCGAAGATCTTTTGGAGGAAGAAAAAGAGGAGAACACAGGTAACCCAACTATGGATAAATACATCGATGAATGGCTGAGCCCAAAGAAAACGAAACGCGATCACAGAATTTGTTTAATGAATGACGCGATGCTACCGTCAGCCATTCAAGACGATGACGAACAAAATATTCTAGAAGAAGAGATGCATTATGATGGCAAAGACTTTGAAAACTATATCAAAGAATTGAAACACGGGCAGAATGATTTCACAAGGTTTGATCAAAACATGGGTAGTCTGTTCGAAGAAGAAGATGACCTCTAACTTATTTTTAATTGTAGAATTGTGAAAATAAAGTGTGTCGTAGATTATTTATCAGATTTTAAAAAATTACAATGCAACTTTACTCCGTGTATTGCTTATTTATACCGAATCTCTCAAACCCACGTGGATTATACAATATTTCTACTGCTACTTTGATGGTTATATCACGAATATTTTTCATTCCATTTGTCATTCAACAACCAGCAATGGTACGGACATCTTTGCTACTGAACCTGAACTTCTTCCTGTCACAGACACTACGACTGTCATAGTCATACCTGGGGTGGCTTTCGGTTTTCCTCGGAACGTGACGACGAACGATGTCTTCCGACCTTTACGTACGAGTCCGAATTTTCTGGACTGTCTTTCGACTGTTCCCAAGTTTCCAAACGATTTAAAATCAACGACCTCATTGTTTCCAAAGTTCTCAATCGAGAAAATTAAATAAGTTGTGCTTTCGTGTTTCAATGTGAAATCATTTCTTGCGTACAATACTTTCACTATCAATGTTTCTGCTTTAACTGGTGTTTTAGAAATGCGCTCGAATGAATTGCCTTTCTTTGTGAGACCTTTCAATTGGATTTTGAAAATTTGATTTGGTGGATGGAATTTGAACAAATGTCTAATCCCTTTGCTATCTTTAGCGGACAATGACGTTGGTCTTGTGCTTGTGATGACGTCACCATACAACGTCACAAGTTCCGCGGCCAAACTGCTCTTGTTGACATGAGAGATTCCTCTAACATTTAAAATTGCTTCATTCTGAACACCTGACAATATGGAGGATTATGAATTCATAGATGATCTAAACTTGACAAGCATAAAGAAAAGCAAATTCACACAACACCGACGCAATTTACAATAAAGATTTTCACTCTCACCTAATATAGGAGATGATATTGAGATTGTGAACTTCCCTACACGACGAGAGGTCGTTCGTACAAAATAAACTTCGAAGTCAATATTATCTGTACTCACTCCCTTCACTGAAACATCATAGTTCACGTCCGTAGTCGATTGTATTCCTAAATTCCATATTCCCACAATCGGATTTGAGATTTGATGAATTCTTCCTTGGTTTAAACTGTTAGTCGTGACGCCCGCGAGCGATCCTGTGGGAGAGGTCAGCGATACATTCCATGAGCTGCCGTTACCATAAGCCTGATCAGTGGTTATCAAAATGACCATTGTGTCGACAGAATCATCCACAGTGATGGTGTAAGTATTACTTTGCTTGGACGAACTTCTCTTTTTGCGTTTTTTGTTTCCATAGCTAGCCATGTCAGTTGTCCCGCCAAGCAAAGTAGAAGTAAAATCCGCCAATTTCTCTAATTCTTTCCTATTATTCAATACAAAAACATGACCGTTTGTCTCTTTAGCTACTTTATGAAAGGGCGTAATGTCAGATCTCGTGGAACATCCCGAGTTTTCCACATAGAAGAAAACAACGACACATTCACAATCTTGGGCGATTGCCGATAAGTGCATAATATTTTGGTTGCTCGCGTCTTTAGCACCAGCGTCAGTAAACACGTAAAGTGGAGAGCCATCTTGAGGATTATGATCGATTGCATTTCTCATACCTGCGAACGTCAACTCGAGACAATCTCCACCATCTCGAGGTTTTAATGAGGATATCGCTTTGAGAAATTTGTCTTCTTGAGTTTCATCGTAGTATGAGACTGGACCAGTGCCTAAAACATACATACATATAACAGCACGTTAGTAAAATCAGTTCTCAGGCTTTTTGGTCCTTTGAGTTTTGAATGGTTTTCTTCATGTTACCATAGGGCAATCCTTGGGGGGGGGGGAGGGTTGAACTATCATTACCATGTCAAGATTAAATGAGTTCAAATACTTCCCTCAGTGGTTTTGAAGTATTGGTGTTCTGGTTTTATTGGTTCATGTATAAATTGGTGTTTTAAGGATGAGATACTACACAAAATATGTTTTATTGAGCCTGAAAACTGACATCATAGTAATTGGCATTCATGTACTTTAATGTGTAATAAACGACCACAACAAGCGAGTTAATTAATGTTGATGTCTTAATTACGAGGAAAATTCTTTAATGAGTTTTTGAGAACATCTACTTGAGAATACACACGCAAAATACATTAGCAACTTAGCAAGCAATCCAACCAATGGATGACAATGTTTTAGTATGTGTTTACCAGGATCATCAAAAGGCGACAAGATATAATCCACTGGTACTGTTCGATTTGCTGTCACAATAGCTGTGGCCATATTCTTTGCAGCGTTAATTATTTTGCTCATGCTTCCTGTGTTATCGATGGCAAACATCAGTGTAACATGACCTTTTATGACCAGCAGTTTACTGAAAGCGTACTCGCCAATTTTTTTCTTCAAGTTGGCGAGAAAGCTCTTACTTGACATCTTGGGACTTCTCTTACCTCGTCTCCTGTTGTCAAGCAAAAAACCGCCCTGACTTCAATAAACATTCTAGATCGAGTAGCGGGGAAAGAAAGTCGAGAAAAATTGCAACAATAAAAAACACAAGCTAATCAATGTAGTAGACACTAAACGACCCCGGAAGAAGAAAGGGCTAATTTCTAAATGATAATTGCAATGAAAGACAATCTATGTACAGTTGCTGAAAGTGGCTAAAACGCAAGAAAACACGACAAAATTCTTATTGTATATCTAGAATTACTTTTAACTTGACTCTGAAAATGACCGCCGTTAAGAATGTCGAAACGACAGCCAACACCATTACACCAACATCAATAGTTCTGCTCAGGAGGCCTTGCACCAACCTTTACAAGCTTGCAAACTTGTAAAAACACTCCCACCTCATCCTTTCTTGGCCTGTTCAATTTATTTTCGAAGATGGAGAGGAAACAAGAAGTTTGGAAGTAACGATAAGCACGAATAAGAAAGAAAACATTTATCAACAACAAGTTAACTTATGCGAGGAAGATTTGAACTGTGTTAGGATCGTGTTGAAAGATTGTAGTCTAGATATGTTAATTTGCAATCGAAAGTAGTAAGCGAAACCCAATAACGGAAGTTTTTACCTTTTTTCTTGCAGTTTTTTAATTGTATACATTGCCTCACCGATTGCCTTGCGAGCGAAACGATAACTTCTTCTGGAAACGGCCGTCTTAATCAACTTCAGCAATTTTCCCAATCTCTTTTCGTTGTGTCGAACCAGTCCGTTCAGTTGAGCATTGGCCAATGCCCTCTCGATGTCTTTCATAGCTATTGCAAATTTATTAAAGTTAAGTTTTGCTACTTTCTTTTCTCCCTCTTTGTGCACAGGATCATAAAACGATATTATCGCATCGCGGGCGTCATCCATTGAACCATAAAGATCGAACGTGCAAGACACGAACACCGTTCTGAGGAGTATTAAGAAAGCTGAGAAACCTTTCATTGTTGTGGAATCTAGGAAAACACGGTTCTCTAACTGTTTATGTAACATACGAAACCACTGTAATGACGTCATTGACTGCTTGATGATTGATTCAATACAATTTCAATAGACTTCATATCATATCATAAAAAATCGCTGTAGGTAGCCTCAGTTTTGAGCCATATGACGACAGCTGGATGCTGTATTGTCTATCACGAGTTACTGTTGATTAAATGACAAGAATCATGTCAACATTTTTCACATCCCACATAGCGTTGCAACGAGTACAAGAACAAACACAAGATATGGTAGCCAGTACAAGCTTGCTACTCTTTGTTCTCGTCAACTGATTATTTTGAAGTGCACAAGATTTACAAAAATAATCGATCGTGTTTGAAAAAACCTGGCTGGTTCGAATTGTTGATTTTTGATACGACGTTTTGGTGAGGAAACAAATTGAATCATAGAAATGGCTGTGGTCATGTTTAGAAGAAAGGACAGAAAAGGTAAAGTGGGCTTATACTGTAAATATTTATTTGTGACAAAAAAAAAGAAAAGTATATCCTACCAGCACCAGTGAACAATTTTTTTTCTATGCGTGTAAGTTTCTAAAAAGATATCTCACGATGCCATTAATAAACACACATAATTATTTCCCCCCCAAAAAGTTATATTTTATTAAATGAAGTGCCATTTACAATGTATCACTTTCTTAACCATGCTATAAATTATTATTCCATCTTAGCACGGTTTGATGTGATTTGCATGTCCCACGTCACTGGACTCCTGTTGTTCGACGAATCACGTGACCATTTTTGAGCAATTAGCGAATTACCAAATTTGTCCTTGGGGCTTTCCGCGCCATGTTTCAAAAGACGTCTTGTTGTCTGTTCACAAAGTTTATATCAGAAGTATTATGTTAAATATTGCATTATATGCTGAATTAGTAAGATTTAAAACATTTCATGAGTATAAATTGTGTAACACACGACTATTTACTTTGAGATTAATGGTAAAAGTCGTTCACGAATTCAGCAAAGATGTTGACGAACGTCGAAGACTTCAAATGGCTTACATCACCACCACTTCAGACTCTTTAACACAAGGTAGGATGGTTTTTAATTAATATTAACTGTTTATTCATCAGAGAGTTAAAGCTTGACCATTTCCTAAAAATACTTCGAAATATATTTGTATTATATTGCATGTAATGAAGATCTGGCCGACCTGACCTGATTTCATCTAACCTGACTTGACTTGACCTGACCTGACCTGACCTGACCTGACTTGACTTGACCTGACCTGACCTGACCTGACCTGACTTGACCTGACCTGACCTGACCTGACTTGACCTGACCTGGGCCGTTTAGAGCTTAATAACATTCGGTTCACGCAGAGCTTTGTAATAAAGTTGAAAATTTACAGTTTCTAGAGGCTACTGTAAAATATATTGTCAAGAAAGAAGAAATGCAGTCGTGTGTGTACTTGACCATATCTAACCAAATATTCACGGCATTCCTACGCCAAAATGGTCAACATCTATCCTACGAATGGCTTTGTAATAAAGTCGAAAATTTACAGTTTCTATCTGCGTCTTGGTGTGAGTGATACATTGTATTCTCAGCACGTAATGTACAGCTGCTGAAACAAATATGTACCGGCTAACCTTGGTGAAATACTGTACAGATACCAAAATTATGTCGACATGCTTTCTTCGACGTCTCACGAAAGAATAGATCTCGTGGTGAGAAACTATATTAATGTATTGCTGTCGTGGGACTAGACTAGCCGCTAAAAGAAATCTGCATTGCTGAGCCGTAGGAAAACGTGCTGCTTTTGAAAGACTTACTTGTCTCTATCTTTTTCAAAAGAAGACATTAGTAACTATAGATGTTTTGCTAATGTATTGCCAAACTAACATTAAAATAAATGTATTTATTTGTACTACTTTTTCACTCTTTATATCAACATTCGACTACGAATATGATTTTTGGTTTGTTGCTTTATCTTTAGCTGGAAGTGTTCTGCTATAATTTTGATTCGAGACCTTCAATGGTCTATTTTTTTGCATTAAACACTTCAAGGTAGGAGTGGTACTTTAAAATGACCAGGTGTCTTCAACGAACTCTCTGGTCCAGTGGATAGGTACAATCTTTCGAGGTTGAGAGTGGAGGTTCGAACCCTGTCTAGAATAAGATGTTGTTAAGGCTCTTTTCCACTCATCGCAAAATGCTCTCGCTTCGAGGTTGCGAGTCTGTTCGCACGATCAAAAATTTTTGTTCAATTAATTTAACTATGCTGCAAGTCATAGTAAGCTCGCTGCGAGTAACTCGTAGGCACTCGCAGCGAGCTTGCGAGTACGTTTTGCGATGAGTGGAAAAGAGCCTTTAGGCTGTAGGATGATCCGAAAAATGGGAAAATAGTGCTGGTTAATAGAACGAAAATGGGATTTCTATTACTAAGTTTTTCGAGAATGGAATGCGATGAGAAGGAGAGCGAAGAAAAAAAAGATAGTATTCCATGCAAAAAATCACTCTTAAAAAGTCTTTTGCTCAAATTTTTTTATGACTCCCTGGGATCAGGGAGTTATTTTTTTAAATTTTGAAAAGTCAGGAAACCCAAGAGCAAACAGAACGCCTAATCATCCCTTTCTTACTTCCAGGCACTTGTTCCTCAGTTCGACTTTCTGTCTTCCACATCCGTCGCGTACACCTGCCAAGTGTGTTGGCAGAGGGGCGAACCAAAAGGATCTTGTGCACCGGAGGTCATTGATGTCGAACTAAGCGCCCAACATCGGCCAGTTGAGCTAAGCGCTCATCATCGAAAACTCAATGTTTTTTCGCGTATTTGTTAATTTTTTTCAATGTGAAGCGAAAGAAAAAAAGAAGATCTTCAACCCGAGAAGGTCAGATCACTGCACCGGCGTCTTACCACTCGGCCAGACGGGTGAGTTGGAAAACCGGTTAAAACATGACAAAACAACATTGCCTTCATTTCTCTCGAGGCTTACATTTTATATTGTGTTTATCTTGTTCTTCGTCATCATCATTGCAAAGGTGAAGAAAGGGACTTACTACGCATTAGAGCTGTTCAACTCAAACATTGTTGGAGAATAAATGTTATAAATAAAAGGAGGAAGACCAATAAAGTATGCACAATGTCAGACATTGCCATGTGGTGAATCAAAACAACAACGTGCATGTTCGTAGTCAATTTAATGGCGCTGGGAGTTTCTAACTTGTCTGTTCAAAGTTAAATAACATATTTTTACCATCATGCATGATAATATTGTAATGGTTTCTACAAAAGCATATGGCTCCTACAGAACAGTATCACTTACTAATTCATAGTCAATTCAAGTCTTTTTTGTCATTTTACAATCTTGCCATGTCTTGAGTGTCGTCATTTAAAATATAGCCAATGCGGTTTTTGTCTACATTTGTCTCAACCTTCTTGTCTACCTTTGTGTCTACCTTAATAAGATTTTCTACCTTTGTGTCTAACTTTTCATAGGACAAAGTTCTCATTTTGTTGAACACGACAGTTGAAAAATTAGTCATTTCATAGTCTAAAGTTGTCGAAGTAGTCTATTCACGCGATGCCATAAGGTAAATCAGGGCAGTGACGAGCATGTCTTTGATTATTTTTTCCGATACAATGGCGCTGAGATCATTTGACTTTATGTTTGAACTAACTGAACTTTTTTTTATCATCATACGCACCAACCATATTCTTTCATCGTTGGTTTTGGTTGCGCACAGACAAGAGTTTAATAGCAAGGACAAAGAAACCTATGAAATAACGTCTTTTTATGATATCGTCTTTGATGCAATGACAGCTTTTTCTCTTCTTTGTAATCCATTAAATCTTTTCTTTTCTATGTAATCGACTATATCTTTTTCGCTTTCTATTGATGTTTTTTCACAAATTTTCACATTTTTTTCACACAAAGACCATAATTCACTGCATTTTTATTAAAAGACTATAATTCACGCATTTTCACAAAGTCCCACACTTTTTCACAAAGACTATAGTTTACGTATTTTCACAAATTTTCATTTTTTTCCCACAAAGACTATAATTCGTGCATTTTAACAAAATTTCACATTTATCAAAAAATTATATTTTGTGCATTTTAATTTTTTTTACACAAGACATCATGCATTTTAAAATTTCATTACCAAAGACATTCATGCATTTTAAAATTCATTACTAAAGATTCATGCATTTTAACAAATTTTCACATTTTTTTCACACAAAGACTATAATTTATGCATCTTCATAAATTTTCACATTTTTTCACACAAAGACTATAATTCATGCATTTTCATAACTTTTCACATTTTTTCACACAAGGACTATAATTCGTGCATTTTCATAAATTTTCACATTTTTTCACACAAAGACTATAATTCACTGAATTCAATGCATGTATTATAGTGTTTTGTGAAAAAGTTTGAAATATTGTGAAAATGCGTGAATTATAGTCTTTTAGAGAAAATGCAGTGAATTATAGTCTTTGTGAAAATGTGGAAAAATCTTATAGTGAAAAATATGAATGAAAATGAAAAAGAATCATGGAAATGGAATGGAAGAAAATGTGAAAATGAAAATGGAATGGAATGGAATGAAAATGTGAAAATGAAATGCATGAAATAGTCTTTGGAATGAAATGGAATGGAAAGAATATGTGAAAATGGAATGAAATGTCTTTGTGGTAAAATGAATGGTACGTGAACTATAGTCTTTGTGAAAAAATGTGAAAATGCGTGAATTATAGTCTTTTAATGAAAATGCAGTGAATTATAGTCTTTGTGTGAAAAAAATGTGAAAATTTGTGAAAAAAACATCAATAGAAAGCGAAAAAGATATAGTCGATTACATAGAAAAGAAAAAGATGTAGTCGATTACATAGAAGAGAAAAGCTGTCATTGCATCAAAGACGATATCATAAAAAGACGTTATTTCATAGGTTTTTTGTCCTTGCTATTAAACTCTTGTCTGTGCGCAACCAAAACCAACGATGAAAGAATATGGTTGGTGCGTATGATGATAAAAAAAGTTCAGTTAGTTCAAACATAAAGTCAAATGATCTCAGCGCCATTGTATCGGAAAAAATAATCAAAGACATGCTCGTCACTGCCCTGATTTACCTTATGGCATCGCGTGAATAGACTACCTTCGATTACTTCGACAACTTTAGACTATGAAATGACTAATTTTTCAACTGTCGTGTTCAACAAAATGAGAACTTTGTCCTATGAAAAGTTAGACACAAAGGTAGAAAATCTTATTAAGGTAGACACAAAGGTAGACAAGAAGGTTGAGACAAATGTAGACAAAAACCGCATTGGCTATATTTTGAATGACGACACTCAAGACATGGCAAGATTGTAAAATGACAAAAAAGACTTGAATAGACTATGAATTAGTAAGTGGATACTGTTCTGTAGGAACCATATGCTTTTGTAGAAACCATTACAATATTATCATGCATGATGGTAAAAATATGTTATTTAACTTTGAACAGACAAGTTAGAAACTCCCAGCGCCATTAAATTGACTACGAACATGCACGTTGTTGTTTTGATTCACCACATGGCAATGTCTGACATTGTGCATACTTTATTGGTCTTCCTCCTTTTATTTATAACATTTATTCTCCAACAATGTTTGAGTTGAACAGCTCTAATGCGTAGTAAGTCCCTTTCTTCACCTTTGCAATGATGATGACGAAGAACAAGATAAACACAGTATAAAATGTAAGCCTCGAGAGAAATGAAGGCAATGTTGTTTTGATAGAAGCACTTGACATGTTTTAACCGGTTTTCCAACTCACCCGCCTGGCCGAGTGGTAACGATGCTGGTGCAGTGGTCTGATCTTCTCGGGTTCAAGACCTTCTAAGGTTGAAGATCTTTTTTTCTTTCGCTTCACATTGAAAAAAATTTAATAAATACGCCAAAAAACATAGAGATTTCGATGATGAGCGCTTAGCTCAACTGGCCGATGTTTGGCGCTTAGTTCGACAGCAATGACCTTCGGTGCACAACATCCTTGGTTCGCCCCTATGCCAATACACTTGGCAGGTGTACGCGGCGGATGTGGAAGACGAAAGTCGAACTGAGGAACAAGTGCCTGGAGGTAAGAAAGGGATGATTAGAGCGTTCTGTTTGCTCTTGGGTTTCCTGACTTTTCAAAATTTATAAAAATAACTCCCTGATCACAGGGAGTCATAAAAAAATTTGATCAAAAGACTTAGTTTTTTTAAGAGTGGCTTTTTGCATGGGATCCTATTTTTTCCCTTCGCTCTCCTTCTCATCGGAGAGCGAAAGTGTCGCATTTCATTCTCGAAATACTTAGTAATAGAAATCCCATATTCGTTCTGTTTAACCAGCACTACTTTCCCATTTTTCGGATCATCCTACAGCTTAACAACACCTTATTCTAGACAGGGTTCGAACCTCCACTCTCAACCTCGAAAAGGTTGTGTCTATCCACTAGACCAGAGAGTTCGTTGAAGACACTTGGTCATTTTAAAGTACCACTCCTACCTTGAAGTATTTAATGTCAAAAAAAATAGACCATTGAAGGTCTCGAATCAAAATTATAGCAGAACACTTCCAGCTAAAGATAAAGCAACAAACCAAAAATCATATTCGTAGTCGAATGTTGATATAAAGAGTGAAAAAGTAGTACAAACAAATACATTTATATTAATGTTAGTTTGGTAATATATTATTAAAACATCTATAGTTACTTATGTCTTCTTTTGAAAAAGATAGAGACAAGTAAGTCTTTCAAAAGCAGCACGTTTTCTTACGGCTAAGCAATGCAGATTTCTTTTAGCAGCTGCTGTCGATATTAGCTTTATTAATCCAATGGCACTTGTCGTAGTAAAATATGAGAATGACAATTTCTGGCTTGACGTTGGTGGAGGCTTTAA